GTTGGAGGAAGAACCTGTTGTTTCTTGTTCATCCACGTCCGTCATACTATCTCACCGCACGCCTGTCTCAATCCACAGCATAAGCGACGAATAAAACAATCGGGATGGTTGTTTTTTTTTTGTTGCGCTGTCTGAGATCTCCCACACTGAAAGAATTCTTGGGTGGTGCAAGGCTTATCCTGTTAGGGAGCTTCGAAGCGAGAAACTGCTCGGGTTCAGTCATGAGATCGATCTTGCGTTGTCCGATCCATGCAGCACTTTTCTTTTTCTATATACTTTTCCAAGACTTCAGTCGTTAGTCGTATGAGTCCCGACTTTCAAGCTTAAAGGACGCTGAAGAAAGATAAGGATAAGGCCAAGTCCAAGAGAGGAACTCCCGCCGTGGGGGAAGACGCAGGCCGTTGCGGCGCTCTGACCTTAATGACGCCAACTATACGCGGTAATGTCGACACCCGCCGATAGTCTCGGACGTATTGTGATAGATGAATATGCCCGATTATCGATCTGTCAATACGGAGTAGTCGTTGGATAAGGCTTCAAGGTCGGTCCGCCAGGGGAGATTCCGCTGGAGCCTTCAGGAGCTGGAGGAGTAAGGGCGATTACCCGCCCACTAAGCGAGTTGCAGTAGTTCATCCGAGCACTAAAACCGGCGGTCAAAGCTGGACGTTTGAAGGCGCTGGAATGATCGCCGCGCACCAGAAGAGAGCGAATCTCGGGAATCCTTTAGTTTACCGGCCAGCTTATTAATGCCGTAACACTTGAGGCTTAAGCATCCAACATTTCGTACGAGTTCCTGTGGGCTGATTCTGAAACTTGAGAACGGCGCCACGAACTGGAGAAAACTGTCCCCTGAGGAGTTGAGATCAATGATACGGACTCCGTGTGCGAGGAAACTTGCTGCCGACGTACCGTGCTGCTTGCTTTTTTTTCTTCTCTCCAAGCAAGAAGACAAACCCATTCTCTGTGCTCTCATGGTCGGTGACACTTGCCCCTTTTTTTGACGTCAAGGCCAGCTCCGCTGCAGCGATCTGCCTCCCCTTCCCTTTTCAGACGCTAAACCGCCAAACTGAAAATATTAATAGCAGCGGTAATTTTATTAAAGTTACAAGGCGGTTGAGCGAAGTCTGGTGTGCGAGAGCACACCACCTTATCCTCCGTATGTTCCGTGGTTGAATCGGCCCCAGCGACCTGGGAGGGAAATCTGGTACGACCCTCGTGTAGTTGCGAGTCGCTACCAAAGTCGAAGTTCCTCCAAGCTCAAGCGAAAGGGGAGGGGTCTTCCGGAGAGGGAAGCTGGAAACGCGGACGCAGTTGGCTTGGTTGGCGTTCTGGAATGCAATTTCCACTCTTCCTGATTACCCGTTCCACTGAACTACCGGTGATCACCGCGATCCGTGATCCTGATTCTGATCAACGTCTTCGAGATTCGAGACTCAGGTCGAAAGCCGGAAGAACAGCATACCGTCCGGTGCTCGGGGGAGTTCCGGTCGCTTATTGAGTGAAAAACTCTCGCTGGAAAGAATGCGAACGGCGAAGGGAACTTGTGTGGATCTGATGACTGACGAAGGACATTTGTTACAAATCACAATGATTGGCGGCTAACAAAATAAACCTGTGCCATCGTTGAGGCTGGCTCTCCGAGAACAAGCTGCTCGCTCGGCGACATGTTTTCTTTTTCTGGTGCATGGGGATGATGCGCTGGAAAGGTTCATCACCAGCGGCGCAAAAACTGAATCCTCCGCCTGTCAATCACTTAATTGAGCATCCATTGCGAGTGAAAGGGGTGAATCGTATGTGTCAGTCAGCGAGTCATCCTGATCTTTGTGTTACCTCGCTTATATCCTTCATATTCCTTGTGTAACTTTCTCTGTGCGACCATGGACCAAGGAACTGGGTTCTCGAATCCATGAGATGGCTGCGCTGCGGCTTGCGCAATTTACCACGTTTTTAGACCCTCTTAAGTCTTAGTTTCCCGCTTTCCTCTCCAGGAGCAATTTTTGGTTGGACTTTGGAGACGGCTGATTTGCGGGGCTTGTCAAGGTTGGTTTCGGCCATCCATTTGGTCTTCTCCCGGAGCAGGACATAACTACAACTGAGTCAAGAAGCCGGCCGACGGGGTCTCCGAAACCATCGAACAGAAGCAGAAGCTCTCGAATAATGGTTTTGATTTTGAGCAATGTCGGCCAATGAGTATCCGACAGAGGCGGGGGCCATGGACTGGAGCCAACGTTTCCTGCCTGAAATACTCCCGGAGTAATCTAATGATAGCGATATGCATGCAGGCAAGGCGAATGCTGACAACCTGCTCAGTTGGACAATGGAGACCCATCAAATGAGGAAGCTGATTGGGCCTGTAAGCTTCGCTTCCACGAGATCGTATATTAAGGTTTGAGATGGGGGCACATCCATCATTCACACATGGTTGACTGGGGTCTCCATTCTTTTCTTTTTTCGTGCACATCTCCAGCACAAGGTAGTTGAGCAAAAGAGCGGTGATTCCTCGGATTGCTATGTGTGTCTTGGGTTGGACAAAGAGAGGCTGTAGGCGCGCTTCTGCTGAGGACTGAATGATGCGCATTGATATTCCCATGATCAACAGCTAGCAAATGGGGGGACAAGGCCGAGTTCCGACCCAACAGCCAACGCAATGGGTGTGTCGGTGCGATCATTCAATTCCTGCCTTCGTTGTCTAGGCCTCGAGGGAGAAACCAAAGGAGTCGAGCGACTGAGAAACGGGCGCCTAGTCGCGAGGAAAATCGTCTAGGCATAGCACTAGTCCCTTTTAGGACGGGATCTGACGATCATTCTCGGGAAAATACCCACGGAAATGAACTACGGAAAAGAGACTCGACCGAGCCTTGTCCTCCAGACTATCGAGTTGTTCGGGTGAAACAAACCATCAGTTGTCCTCGAGGAAAATGGCTCGAGTTATTGGCATTATTCGGAACGCTGTATTCTTGTTGATCAAAGCAAGCAACTCGGTGCTCGGCGTGATGATCATCCATTAGTGCCTCGTCTCCATCACCACTTTTGGGGTCCAAGGCCCTTGGTTCGCCGCCGGGGCTCAGCACATGTGGACAAGAAACTCGGGGAGAGCCAAGGCTGTAACCAGGGTTGATGCCAGTCGGTGACCTCCAAAGGGAGTAGTGGATAAGGGAGCACTCGTGGAAATCCTGCAAGCGTCTGGAATGCGTGAGCTAGTGTATGGGTGCTTGTGATTTGGGCGATCCCAATGGACAGAGGATTGAGCAGTGGGATGTCGTTGAGTTCGGCGATCAATACTCCGGAGTAAAGCGAGGCCAAGACGATCGCAACGATTGTGCAAATGGCCTGGTTCAACTGTTCAACCTGATATTGGAATGGAGTGGCAACGTCATAGTGAAGGAAGTGAAAGTCATACGGAATCTCGCCCTTGGCCAGAAGAGCAGCGAGGCTAACCTTAAATTGGTCCTTGGTCCGGAGGTGAACCTCATTTGATGAATTTTTGGGGGGGATTTTCGCGCCCACTCCACGATAATCTCCGGTTCCTTCATAACGCTAACCCGCTAAGTTACTTGGCCCCCAAGCGAAGGATGCAATGGAGGGGGATCGTTCCCAGATTCCCTTCCTGGAGTCTGCACCAAGGCTGGCCCATGCCCAAGCTGGAGCTGCCACCGAGCCCCGGAGGCTTGGTTGATGAGAACGGACTCGAGACCCGGAGGCACTTCAGATCCGAGGACGAGTCTCCCCCTGGTATCATTCACAGCTCAAGATCGTCAGAAGGAAGATGTTAAGACTCGTCAATCGTAGATAGGGGAACAAGGGCATTCGTAACAAGGGCATCGCGGGAGGGTGGAGGAATGCTGCATCTTCAGGCTTGCTGCCGGCAGCCAGGTTGAGGTGAAACCGAAACACTCAAGAACGATCGACGGACTTTTTGGTCGGATGAGATCAGGTTCTTCGCAAAAGACATGATCGTGCGGCAACGATCAGCCGTTAACGGGGCATGGGATGATTGTGACAGGTAAGACCAGAAATGGAGCCGACCCAACGATCATCGCCTGTCCAAGGCTCCAGGCCCATTAATAATAATAGCACAGGCTAAGGCCTCTACCGGTCGCCTTCGCCACGGCTTGGAAGGCGCAGGAGAAGGAATGAGAAAGATCAAGAGATCTGCACTAGGAGATTGTGCCGAGCTGAAGTGTTTTGGAGAGCTGTTGGTTCTTGGATGCGTCTTCCTCAGACCAGTGTAGTTGTCTCTATGCTGTGAGACAACAAGACTGAGGATTCCTCTGAGAGACAAGAGATCTCCCTGGTTACCCGTCAGTCTCGCGTGTCAATTGAAGACTCAAGGGGTAACGGCATTACTAGCGGGAGTCAAAAATACCACACTTTGGCAAGGAAGACAAAGTTACCGATCCACTGCCGGTCGTTATTAATTAAGCTTCGGACGGAGGTCTCAGAATGGGCGTTGGCAGCCTTCGGGAAAATTACACATGTACGACGATTACCATACGATATCGCCAATCAATCTTGCGGGCGACTTTCTTCTGGGTCCGATTGGAGTCGCTTCAGGTTGAAGTTCAGTCTCTTGAGTCTTGAAGCTCTGGGTTCCGTATCGGCTGCACTCCACCAAGCCTGAGCCCACCTCCCGAGTCATTTCCACGACGGCGGAGGCCCATCAGCCTGCGCGAATCAGCCTTGGTCTGATCCTCCTGCGATTAATGAGGGTCGTTATTATTATTTCCTTAAAAATAAAATAATTCTGTTCTTTTTAATTCTTTCATTTGCTCCCCACCTTATCCAACAATCCTCATCTCTGGCTTCTGAGGTCTTGGTCTATAAACCTCGTTGCTCCCCCCCCCTGTTTCTGTCTCTCCACTCCATACATCTGGATCGCCTTGGGTAGCGTCGTCTCCATCATATATGGTTCCTTCCTAGCCACGTTTTTCTACTTTAAATCATCCATCCTTCCGCACCCCGTCGACCTCTCTAAACACCATCCACCACCCACATACATCATGGACCTCGCAAACCTCATAAGCCAACCGGCTCCTCTCCCCGCCTTGACGGTCAAGGCTAGAGCTTCCTACAGCCCTCCTGCCTTCGAACCTGGCTCTTTCTACCCTTCCGCATCAACCTCCTACACACGCGCACAAGCTCCGCTGTCGCCGCCGGTGGAGGACAACGCTACTCGCTGCTCGCTCCCCTCTATCTCCTCGCTCCTAGACAGCGCAGATGGCGCCGCAACACATGCCCCAAGTACGACACCCAACTCATTCTGTATACAAGCTCGGAATTAACAATCTAGTAGAGCGCCAGAGACTCAGCTCTCCCACTCACCGAGAGATGGACGCTCGCGCATCGTTCGACAAGGCTACATCAGCTGCCCCTCCAGTCCGCCTCCCACCCACTCCACCATTGCGCCCCGGCTCTGGCTTTCACAGTACCGGTCACTCGCCCGCAAGCTCAATATCGGGGACACACCAAGTGATTCAGACTGAGTACCCGCAACCACCGGTCACTCTTCCTAGCCCAGCCGACAGATCGTCAATTTCAAGCCAAGGTTCCAACCACCATGTACCTTACGCTTCGCCGGCTCCCAGCGTTGCTACATACTCATCCCCTATCGAGCCCTCTCCGTCAGCAATGTACTACCAGCGACCACCGTCGGCCAACGCATACAGTGCCCCTACACCAGCAGCGCACCAGCCTATGATCTCACCCGTTACACCAGCGTGGCAGCACCACCACTACTTCCCTCCATCCACGGCTGCGCCATACCAGCAAAATCAGGACCGATACATCTGTCGCACATGCCACAAGGCCTTCTCGCGGCCTTCGAGTCTTCGCATCCACTCTCATAGCCACACCGGCGAAAAGCCCTTCCGGTGTACACACGCTGGATGCGGCAAGGCATTCAGCGTGAGGAGTAACATGAAGCGCCACGAACGCGGCTGTCACACTGCTCGTGCAGTGGCTGCTGCCATCGTATGAGTTTGGACAACACGATTCTCACCACCACCCGACCTCGAAAACGATATCCACCTACCTACCCACCTTGCATAATACCGAAAAGCCCCTCATATACCATTGATTTCTTGCTTGTTGATCTTTTCATGATACCCTCATATGTTCATGTTCTGCTCGGTGTCGCGGGAAACAAACATGCATTTCTCTATCTCTTCTCTTCAACCCCTTGTATACTTCACATTGTCATATTGGGTCAAATGTTTATTGGTAATATGCCTACATGGCATGCATCTGCATATCGGAGGAGCGAAAGGCGTCAAATGGCTTCCATGGTCATCATGAGGGTCTCTTTGGGTACAGGATCAGCGATTGTTCTCTATACCCATTATTTTATGTCTATTTCTTTGTGTCATTTTCCTTTGTTCCAAGTGATGACATGACATGATCCCTCCGCCTCTAGAAGAATAAGAAATAAAGCAAAACATTCTCTTATGATACCTCAAAAGGCTTCCAATGGCCCTAGCCCTAGCCCTAGTAGTATGTAGTAGATAAAGCTCATCTAAGGTCCCTCATCTTCATTCCGTGTTTCTACTCGACTACACAACACGTATCTGGCGCGGCTGACAAAGCTCTTTCTTGGCCAGATGCGGAAGGCACAATAGTACTGTGCTCGATCGCTCCTTCCTTTCCCAGCGCGGATACAGCGAGGAAGGCGCGACCCAGGGCAGTTTCCTATCAGAAATGTATACAAGAAACGGGGCCAGCGGTTCATTTAGCTGTTCTATCAAAGTCATAATCTCGTCTCGCCTCGAATACTCCAAGAAACAGAAACAGAAAAAGAAGAAGATAAAGAAAATGCTTCAGGTATCACAGTCAAGTATAGGCAAGAATTGAACGTAACATCAGAAAATGAGGTCTTTACCGCGCAAGAACACCCAGCCCGCATGACCTGTCCCCCAAGAGAAAGAGAATTAAACAGGTAAGTCGATTGAATTTAATGGAGAAAAAGGGATGGGTGAAGGAGAGACATCAAGCGGCGATGCTTGACATTGGAGTCGAGCTGTCGATAGCTCGTCCCATGCGCTTCGTCCGTTCTGTCACAGCGCGCATATTACGCACGGCTGCACCGAAGTCGATCTCATTGTGGTCCTTGGGCATATGTTCGCCGCTGACGATGCAAAGGACTCGCATTCCGGGCTTGTAGACGAGGCCGCTGAGGAGCTTGGGGGTGATTAGGAAGTATTGTCCGCCGCCGCTGTCGCCGCCGCTTGGGGCGCAGGCGATATCGACTAGGCGCTCGTGAACCATGCGTTCGTTGCGAGGATCCATACCTTGGTTGATTTCATCCACGACTCGAAAGGGCGAGGCCGAGAGAGATTGGAGCGCCATCAGGTAGAAGATTGTGCTTACGGCGCGCTCTCCACCGGACTGGCGGTGGGAGTCGAGGAGGGAGAGACTTTCGTGTTCTCGGAACTTGACGTGAACCTGAATAGACCACTGGTCGAAGTCGTTACCGCTGGGCTCACCATCCGGGCCTGGCTCCTCTCCTGCCTTGTCTAGGGAGACTTGACCGGCGCAGCCAATACGTGCGAACGAGTCGGAAAACGCATCGCTGACGCTCTGAATGATAGCATCGAGCTTTGGCTCCCACTTGCCTCGGATTTCGTGTATGGCATGGTTGTAATCCTCGAGTTTCTTCTCAAAGTCTGTGAGTTTTCCGCGTAGTCGTTCAATTTGCCGATCGCGTTCCTCGAACTCCTGAATGACGTTGCTAGAACCTCCATGCGTGAGTTCAAGACGCGCCTTTTCTGAGTCGATATCTGCCTCCAATTGTTCCACCGTGTGGCTGAATACCTCCTGCTGTATCGCTTCGAGTTCCGGATCCTCTCTGACACGTCTTGCGGTCTTTCCTGCTTCTTTAGAGAGCTTTCTGAGGGTCTGCGCCATCTCCTTGACTTCTTCCAGTTTCTGCGCTAATTCACCCTCTTTAGCAGTAAGCCTCTCACGATGATCAGTCGTGTGTGCTTTTAGGATCTCCACATCCGACATTCCCTCTATTTTCCAGAGACTGAGCTTGATCACCTCCTCTTGAAGCGCGCGAAGAGTCTCGACAGCATCCTGTTTCTTATCAATACAAAAGTAGCACATTAGAAACCACAGAGGGTCATACCGCGTATTGAATGGTAGCTTCCGCTTTTTTGAGAGACAGTTGATCCTGCTTGTTGCGGATTCTGATAACGCGCTCTCTCATTTCAGCGAATTGAGCATCGTTGGTTCTCTTCTTCGCCTCTTGTTGACCTATTGAACAGGGTTAGGTTAAGACGCCACAAAACGGTGTCCCAGGGCCTTACGAATTAGTTCCGGGATGGCTCTGAAGTTGGTGTGAGCGTTCTGTTTGTCATTCTTCTCTTTCTCGAGAGCTTGCTGTAATTCTTGTTAGTAGGGATGTATAGCAAGATGAGAGTGGATAACTGACCCTCTCTCGCTCGCAGGCTGAGTGATCTTCACCTAGCTGAGTAAGTTTGGCTTTCTCTGATTCTATTTTTTCCTCGGCAGCCTCCTTCTCGACTCTCAGGGCTTGAATGGTTCGCTCAAGGGCTCCCTTGGCTGATACATCCACTGGCTGAGACGTCCACACCTTAGCTTGTCTTACTGATCTCACACGCGTAGAGGTAGCTGATGGACCGTACTCTCGCCGTCGAGTGATTTGGTAAGCCTGCTTACCAGACACCCAGGAACTGATTGGGCCGTTTTCCATGCTTCTGTATGTTTCATCGGAGATATCTCGAAGACTAATAGGGGTCTGATGTAGCCGGTTCTCGCCACATAGTACGGCAAGCACAGGCTCTGGCCCTTGAAGAAAGTCCTTAGCCCATCCCTGGAATCCCAGATCTTGAAGTTGATTATCTGGTAGCGGAGAGCGAAGGTTACTCGGAGCAGCCACAGATGTCCTGATAGCTATATCGTGGAGCTTTTGTTCGCCATTAAGATGTCTCTGCAAGGTCCTGAAATCGTTTCGACTTTGCACCGTGAAGGCTATAAAGTCTGTTCTTTGCAATAACGATTCCACGTGGTCGGCATATCGGGGGTCTTTGATCGAGCATGTAACGATCGGCGGGCCAAATACTTCCTTTTCGAATTTGTCTTGGTTGTCCTGGAGCCACTTATAGGCCTTGTAAGAATCCTTGGAAGCATCGTATAGTTTCTTCTCTTGTCTTCCAGACTGTGAATCAAGGCCTTGCAGTTGTTGTTCGACTTCCTTAAGACGATCTGATTTTTCCTTGACCTCTTCTAGAAGGGGCCGTCGACGGCCTCTGATCTCACTCGCTTGATCTTCGATATCTCGTACTTGTCTTCGTTTTTCTCTCTGCTCAGTATTAGTATGAGGAATTTGATTCCACTAGGTCACTCACAATCTGCTCGTTATACCAATCTGGGTCGAATTCCACAGGCTCTTCGTTCAGTTGCCGAGTTAGTCTGTTGATTGTTTGCTTGATCTTGAGCGCCTCATTCCTCAAGGCAGTGGAGCTTTTCTTCTCGGCTTCGATCTCAGATTCAAGGTCTTTCATGTTCTGTTCGTGCTCTTCAACCTTCCTTCCGATGTCAGTTGCTGCTTTGTTGGCCGCGTCGACGCCTCGCTGCTTGTGCTTTATCGCGGCCTCCAGTTGCATACAGTATTCCTGCTTCTCATTCACGGATCTCATGACTGGCTCCAGTTCAGCCTTGAGCATTTCGAGTTCGCGGTGGCAGCTATCTTTATCTAGCTTCAGTTGATCAAACTGCCTATGCATAGTTTTGTACAAGACAATAGGTCGGCATTCTTCTAGCAGTTCGATTCTCTTTTTTATCAAAGCTCTTTGGCGCATCCTTTCGACGTCCGCCCTCTGCATTTCTTGTCGCTCTTCAAGATTCTGCAGTAGATCTTTGTCGCCCTGGTTGTCTGCTTGGAGTCTCTTCTGCTCGGATCTTAGAGTCTTCAGATTCTCGTGCCACTCCACCATCTCTGCGCCAGCCGCGGCCCGTTGGGTTGAACTAAGCAATTCAATAGGCGTAAGAGCAGCGAACTCGCTTACTTTATCTTGTGGAAGGAATTGGCAGAGGTTATCGACTTGGATAGCGAACGACTGAGCAAGCCTCAGGACTTGGTTCCGATTTGCCGGTTTACCGTTTAATGTAAATGTGCTTTTGTTGCCATCTCGTTTGATGGTTCGGGTCACAACGGGATTTCGCGAGAATTTCGGACCACCAGCGAGTTCAATTTCGATTGTGGCCTCTCTGCAACCATGTTTGACAAACTCGCCGGTATCTTTTGCACGTCCTAGATGCTGTTACCGCAGCCCAGAACCGTTAGCACAAAGATGTAAGCATAAAACGACCAAGGAGCGACAGCAACTGGAAGGAATTAGGTACCTGTGGTCCCCAACCTAGACCAAGACAAATAGCACAGACAAGTGTACTTTTCCCTGTTCCATTCGGCCCAATCACCATGTTCAATTTTGGCCCAGGAAAGAACTCTGCTGAGGTGTATGTGACAAAATCGGTCACCTTTATGCGAACAATAGCACCGGGTTTGTAGCCCTCCTGTACAGCTTGATCCCTAACGCCATTTGGAACAATCGAAGTCTGTGTAGCGGGACCCTGAGTGTCGGCTTGGCTCGAATCCATGGAGTCTTCCCTCTCCCCCTCATTCTCGTTGTCGGGTTCAGAGACGACATCGGAGCCGGATTCGGATTGCTCACCCTGCGTTACTTCAATCCTCGGTCGCTTGCTGTTGCTTTGAGGAGTGGGGTTTGGTGATGACGCGGAAGTAGATTCATCGGTCTCATCATCTTCCTCAGACCGCTGTCGACGTTTTCGGATTGTGCTTAACGAAGGCATACTTGGGTTCGACCGGTGTTGCCGGCTTGGTGAAGACTAGCAAGCATGAGGATGCAATCGAAGTGCGGGAATTGTTCTATTGCGACATGAGGGGCCGATTCTTTGACATCGTTTGTCTTCTTTGTTGCGGCGTCAACACCTCTTGACTTTTGGCGCGGCGAGACGCGACGCGCTAAAAGCAATCAATCTAATTCCACTTAAAAGGGCGGTAAGGCGCGGCAGAACTAGAATCGCTGCATGTTTTTTGCAGCCTGAGGAAGCAAGATATAACATCATTGAACAGTGAAATTGAGGTTGTGGAGATTCCTGTTTCGAGAAGATAAACGATGTCTATCACCAATTCTCCGCTGAAATTTAGGCGCCTTGTCTTGACCGGCGCTGTAACCGCTATCACCATTGCGGGAACACTCTACGGTGCTGGCTTAAAGACCGAGAAGGAGGTCGCCCAAGTACGTGCTTTCGAACACGTTTCACTTACTAGACTAACGAAGAAAACCTAGAAAGTACAGAAATCCCGAGAAGTTACCATCGATGAGCGAATCGCTGTACTCCGCGACTTGCGCCAAAACCTCGTCGGGAAGAAAGACCTCATTGAAAAGCAGATGCACGACTTAGATGCGAAGATTGAAGAGAGGAAGCAAAAGGGCATCGATAACAAGAGAGTGTGATGAGCGATTGATAAGATCTGTGATTTCCTCAGATCTAACCCGAGTTTTGGTCCGTTGCGCTGCAGCTGGAGACTGGTCAGGATCATGGATACCCGCCGCTCCCAGGACACTCCATATCTCCGAGGAACCAATACAGACAGCTGGGTTTGTGCGGCTCCTTCCGGACTTTCGGCATTCAGGAGGCCCATAGCTCTAACACGCTCTTAATTGCCGCTGCGCCGTCTTGTTTTGCGACTCGCGCCAACACAGTCACCAAGCATGAAGGGTCCAAAGCATGTTGGCCAGCGGATGCTTCTATACGGGAATGAAGACGACCTCTCCATGGACAGTGATATATCAGGAAACCAGAGCCGAGCCGAACACCAATATCACCGATGTTAGGGAACGAATGCTGGTCGATTTGTCCGCATTGTGAGCTGTCATGTTGACTTGCTGTTCGAGTGTTGTAACATATTCAACCAGGTATATTGTACTCTAGTCTATTTCAGGTTGTTATATTGAAGCGCACGAGAATTGGTATGGTATACTCCAACTCTCGGCCGCCATGAAATGAACAAAATAAAAGATAAATGTATCATGTACCGTATATCGATCTCACCAAAATGTGCATGGCGAATCATATATTCAAATCAAGTATCTCGTAATAGCTCGTCGTTAATCATCCAATATACCGCGCGTGAGGGCGACAAGGCTGGCTTCGTATCTCGCCGGGTTGTGGTCACTAAACATTCCAGAGCCGAACCGCAATTCTCCGAATCGGGTCTCAACATCTCGGATGAACTTCAGTTGCACTCTTGTTGCAGGCCTTCCCAGTCGTGGGCCATCTTCCCCTACGTCAGAGGTGAACGCGCTCCGTTGAAGAACGCGCATCGTCTCGACCACGAAGACCTCTCCGGGAGGCACTAATTTCGGCGCACACATTGCGTCTCGTAGAGATTTCAGAGTGCTCCAGGCCCAGGCATCCTCACCTAGGCCGTCACCAGCATTCAGGAGCAGAGGGGTCTCTTGGACATAGAACTTGTTTACTATGCTCTGTCGTATATTCTCCCAGACTCGAGAGCGAACATGAGACCTGGCCTGAGAAACATCGCTCTTGAAGGCCAAAGAGGTCGTATGCATGTCATGCAAAATACCTAACGAGAGACAGGGTACCACATCTTGGCCGTTCACGATAGTGGTTACTAGCCCACGTGTGGCCCGACGGAGGAATGGTGACATAGTTGCGGGAGGACCATATGCATAGACATGGATCGGGCGACCGGGGGGTAGATAATAAGCAGAATGGTTGTCATCAGCAGTTTCGGTACCATTAGAGACAGCCTGCCCGTCAGAGTGTGAAGCAGTCGTGAAGGACACCAGGGATGTTCCGTGGGTAGGCTCGGATATCATCGTAGCAAGAAGCGCCGCTACTCCACCCCCGAGTGAATGACCACATAATACCACACCGTAGTCTGGAAATTCCTCCAAGGCAGCTCTGATAGTAATCATGACCCGCCTGCCCCCTCCCATCAGGAGATGTTTCGCCGAGGCATGCATACCCTTGTGTACTTTCCAGGTTCTGCCCTGCCACTCCAAATCATCATACGCGCAAGTCATATCCGTGAGAACATCTTCAAAGCCCCATGTCCCTCTCAGCGCTAACACGACGGCTTTAGACTCGTGGTCAAGGAACAGGTAATGAACAAGAGGAAAGCCACTCTGTGTTTCGCCTGCGGCGTTAGACCCACCCGCAGGGTCCGCGAAGGACGAGAGAAGAATGGCAGAGGCCGGCAGCCCTATGTGATCAGAGAAATCGCTATGCTCTTGACTCTGAATCTTCTCTTTGGCAGAACCCTTTGGGGCTCGCGGAACACCCATGACCTGGAGAGCGTTGGACCCATATGTTGCAGAGGAGAATCGACAGAAACGTCTGATGTTTCGCACAAAGTGTCGTTGAGGAAAAATGCCTGGAACAAGACCATCTCGATTGAGCGCCTGAATAGTTGAGGCATCGTCATATGCGCTTTTCCGAGCACGATGAGCAAGGACCAGTGATGTTTCAGATCCGGCTGTTGCAACTGAGTATATACTAGATGAATATGACTTGGACCTGCGGTTGGCTGAAGAGTTTGGTCTGTTATCAGTATGTATAGCCACTGTAGTATCTGCTTTAGACCGCGTAAGCGACATTGAACTACTACTGCGGACATGAGTCCTCGTCGCTGTTGGTGAAGAGGGCCGCGAGTCCCGCGAGACAGTAAAAGCATCAGTCTGTACCAATAATGATTCTTGATTCTTTTCATGCACCTCGTAGTATTCCGCCCTCGAAGCCAATCCTCGGCGACCAGTTGTCTCAACGCTTTGGATAGGTCGTGCCCTTGTGTCTTGCAAAGAAGTCCTTGGAGCGCTTCTATTCGCAGCAAATGCTGAAGTTTTTGTTTTGGTGGACAAGATAGATTTTCCCGTCTGAGCTTGTTGGGGTGACTTTTTATCCACAGCCGCTCCCTTGTGAGCCTTGTTACGCTGGGTCAGGTTTCCGGATGTAAGCTGGGCGTTGGATAAGGGTAGTCGCAAAGATGATGACCTTTTTGACTGGTCGCTTCTTTCGCCGATGGCCGGTCTGACCTTCTGCGCAATCTTTGCTAGTGAGCCCTTGCCAAACATCGCCTTTGAATCTCCACTGATTCGCCTGGAAGACTGCGGCGCTTCCCTCGAGGAGATCGGAGGGGGGCTTGAAATGCGAGTATTGGATGATGAGTGACCTGGCTCAAAATTCTGTTTCCGGCGTTTTGCTTCTCGATTTGTGTCATTAAATGTGCTTTCCGGTTCCGAATCAAACACAGCAGAGTCGTCTAGCTCAGTAATAGGTCGAGAACCATCATTACCATGCTTATCGACACCTTCACTCGTACCGACAAAGTGCCTTGAAGGAGGCCTCACGTCAGTACTTTGGGACTTGTTGAACGCTGTCCGGAAAACAATAGTATGCTTTGGAGTTTGCTGACTAGTTGAGGCCATGCGCCCATCATGCGAGTCGTCGTTGAAGCGTTCTTCGACAACCATAGTGCCCGGTGGAGCTGTGATTTCTCCGCTTTCATCATCATAGACATTGACGGTTATTGTACGGGCCGTTACTGAGTCGGTCTTGATCGAGGCACGGCAACCTCGAGGGAGCTGTTTCATAATGTACAGACGGATGTCTTCCTCGGACATTTGGTTCTGATCAGTTGGCAGGATGATGGAAGGTGATTTCTCAGTACCTGTTATGCTCGATGGACGCTGAATCACATCAAAACCGTCTTCGTTACTTCCAGGAGACATAAATGATGATCGGCGTGACCTGTTCGGCATGTTTTCCCGGGGGTTGCTCGCAGGCTGGATCTGGTGCGTCTCAACGACATCTGCTCGAATTCCATTGTCCAAAATGACAACATCCCATATAGTCTCCAGCCCGCCATTGATGCGTATATGTCTCTCTGTGTTCTTCCTACCCCACCGTTGGAGCATCGCAAACCCGACGGTTCCAACAAGGAGATCGCCAACTCCAACTTTCTCAGAACCAACTTGAGCACTCGGGTCGCTGAACTCCTGCCGGATAAGGGTTATGATTGCGGCAATCGCTCTTGAGGACTCGGTGGAACCAAGAATCGCGTCTAGCGTCGATAGGAGGGCTTGGGACATATTCGAGGCGGATGTGAGGGTCGTAGAGGAAAGATGGAATGTTGCAGCTGCAAAGAATGATGCAGAAGTTACCGTAGTATGTAGTGCAGCGAGCTGGATATGAGATTAATCCATGAACCGGCTGTATATGAAATAGGACTTACACTCCTCTCGAGGATAGACTCTGCTTCAGCCTTCCCATGATTCCCATTACTCCGAAAAGCAACATCTCTCCCTGCCCTAGTCAAAACCCCTTCGATTACAGCTCGACTGAGTTCTAGCCCAGTCAGTGTTGTAACCCGTGCCCCATCGAGAGCGACCCCGCCAAAGTAAGTTCCCAGGCGGAGAGACAGGGAGGTGGACTGGGTTATCAATGACACAAAGGAGGCCACCGGTCTGGGAAGCAGAGAAGTGCCGGAAGCCGCAGGTACATGGCTTGCATCGCTGGGGCTGGATGTTGTGCCTTCGACTTCATCTTGTTTCCAGCTTGGTCCAAAGCCCAGTAGTCTAGGCATTTCGAGCCATTGACGTAATTGTCGTGTTCACTTTGGTCTGGTCTTTTGCGACAAATATCTCCCCTGGCCATATGAGAGGGCAAGGCTCTGAAACTATCATTTGGAAGGATAAGGAAACTAGATTCAGAGAACGAGGGATGTAGGTGTTGCGTCAGAAGACTCAGCTTGTGGCCGCGACAAACAAACGCGGATGACCAACTGGGGTTCGGGGTTGGCTGGCATGTGATCCGCCAGTGTTTCCCCAACAAAATATGGTGAACTGCCCCATGATTTCTCTCTCTCTCCAAATGTTGCATATTTCTGTGAGAGGAGGGTGTTTCTATTCATGATTTCATGAGTACGCTGCACATGCGATCAAGCTAAGTAACACGATGCTGATATGAGCTTGATTTACCCCTCCCATCTCGATATCAATGATGGCCTCACAGCATGGCTTTTGTGTCACCACCGTACTGCACTTTTCTCAACTTATCCCTTGTGCACTCCGAGACGGTACATATACCACCCAGGGACATGCTCTGCCAAAGATCGGCCTGCAAGCTTCTGAGGACTGACTTAGCCCCGTTCTTCCCATCGATAGCAAGACCATAGATCACTGGTCTGCCCACCAGCACCGCTTTCGCCCCAAGACATAGGGCTTTGATGATATCGGACCCTGTTCGGATACCGGAGTCAAATAGGACCGTCAATTTATCGCCGACTGCATCGACTATCTCGGGAAGAACTTCCAACGAGGCAACGGCTCCGTCGAGTTGACGACCTATCTTCAATCAGTACATTGTGTGGCAAGGGTTCTCGAGACGTTAGAGACTTACCTCCGTGGTTGGAAACAACAATCCCATCGCAGCCAGCTTCGACGGCAAATCTCGCATCATCGACATGCTGAATGCCTTTGAGAACAAGAGGTCCATCCCAGTTCTTCCGTAAGAAGGAGACTTGATCCCAGGTGTGTGGCGCTGTAGACAGAACGTTGCCAATCCATGCTCTGGACGCTGCGATAATATCATCCTCAACTTTCGATCCAGTGTCTTTCTCGAATTTCTCGCGAAAAACTGGGTCTGAGAATCCAACCTGATTTCCGACCCCGCGAATGAACGGAATATAAGCGTTATCCAAGTCCGCCGGTCGCCATGCCAGGGACCAGGTATCTAGCGTAATCACCAGGACGGAGAAACCGTTCTCTTTCGCGCGTTTCAGCAACGACAGGGTAATGTCATTGTCGCCTGGCCAATAAAGCTGGAACCACCTTTTGCCGTCTCCGCTTGCGTTTGCGACCTCTTCAATCGAGCTAGAACTCGCGGTGCTAAGAGTATACGGAACCACTACCTCTGTGCACACTTCTGCAAGACCCGTTTCTTTGTCCGGATGGAACAGAGACTGAACACCTACCGGTGCCATGACCAAAGGGGTTGGGTAATCTTGCCCAAAGATGTTCACCGCGAGGTCCTGCTTATCCATCTATACCGCGCACCTAGAATAAGCACTCACCTTGAAATTATGTTGAACAGAGATCTGAAACGTACCTTTCTCAACATCTTTGGGACCCTACATACGAACGCGTTACTATGGTTGTGACTACTTAAGCAGTACAGAGTGCACTCTTACAGCTTCCATTGCCGAAAAGCCAACCGATTGCTATCCATCGTAGACTTCTCGCCAGCTCCTCCAGCGACATAGTTGTAAGAGCGACTGCTCAGTGTCTTTCGCGCCTGCTCCTCGAGGAGCCGAGGGTCGGTAGTGACATTCGGTTTATGGCCCAGCAAGGCGCCTTGGCCGTAGATCTCAGCCTGATACTCTCCGTAGTTTTCCGGCATCATGAACTCGCTTTGCAGAACAATGACTTCGAGAAGATGAATGTTGAATGATGAATGATGGAAGACAGATAAGTGAACGTTCTTAGCCCAGTTGGTCCGAGGATGCTCTCCACTTCTTGAGGACACGTGAGAAGGATTTGGATGCTCGGTAATAATGATGCACGGTCCCCGCTGAGGCCTCGCCAAGAAAAGTATGAAGTATATAAACGTTAATCATTTGCCGAGCCAACCATGTACATTAAAATTTCAGGAACAGGTACCAGGGGCTATTAACTTCAAAGCTATACCTAGTATTAATCCGCATATTAGCCAGACTCATCTGGAACGGTGTCATCCATGGTGAACTATGGGATTGACGAAACACAAAGGTATGATGTCACCAACTATGTGGAGACCGTCATTTGTTCATGGTTTATACTGCAACTGAAGTCACTGCTCATAATATATGCAAGGGGGGTATTCTAGGATAAGTATAAGTGGAGATCTCTAATCTTCTATTTCTTATGAGAATTTTAAGGCATACTGGCTATTCTCACCGTTACAGAAAACAATATCCAAAATCTTCTACATGCGCTGCCAGTTAGGCGAAGTTATCTTGCTAGTCAAATCTTAGCAACCTTCTCTTTGTATTTTGGAGTTAAGTATTTATCCCTGGCAACTGGCGTGGGCTAACTGCTATATACCCTGCCCCACGAAGATCTCATGCAGGTCAGGCGCATACAAGGGGAGAAAACATTGCCAACTGGCCATTGAGAGGTATTAATCAGATCCTACGCCATTCGGGGGCAATGATCTTGCGCATCCTAGTGAGTATCAAAGCTCTTAAGCATGGAGAATATAAGCTCGTTTAAGACACATAGAAGACTTGGAGTGTGTGCTTTGTGCTTCTTCAGCTATCTTTGGGAATGATGATGAGACGATGGCGTGAAGCCTCGGGAGTGAAGGTCGACTCACAAACTCTACCTACCTGACAAGTAGAAAACAATATCGAATCTCGTGGCCAAAGTTGAAGTAGATAGCCGTTAACAGACGGAGTGACAGTCTTGCAATTCCGGTGAGGCTATATGCGCGAGATGTGTATGGAACATGGAGGCTATGATAGATGAGTAGAATTATGCTTACCTAGAGAGGAAATGGATTGCAGAGTCATAAATAACCAAATTACTCTGCAACGCACGGAGTAGTATATCATATCCCATGCCGGGTATAAAAAGCATGCATCGTCCAAGTGGCGCTTTACTTGATTAGGAATCCAGTGCCCAGGTGGTATCTGCAGGTGGGCGATCTCGGTATATTCCAATTTCTGACGTCAGAAAAAAGTAAGTTATGGGAAACAGCACAGTCGAAGATCCCTTGCTTCACCATTAATCAGCGATATAGAAGGATATAAGAGGAGGAAGGATCGCAAGAAGATGGTGTGCGGAAGTTGCCAGGCCAAGATTCATCTGAGCAACAGAGGAATTCTCCACCTTATCCCACTTCTTGCCTCGCAGGGTCCGGACCACTGATAAGCAGCCGATCTGGATTCTTGGCACAACATTTTCGCCCACTTTTGTCACCCCATCTCGGCTGATTTCTTCATTTAACTGTCATGACACTTGAAAGCCTTCAGACGGAGATTGCCTGAAAGCATCCTTTGCCGTGCACCGCCAGAATTTTCCACACGCAATAGCGCCATGGACGCTCCGAGACTCTGATCAATCGTCATCAGATCATCGTTCCTTCCGATACCGGCCTCGCCACGGTTGGCAACTGCATTGAACGAACTCGAAGCACAGGCCTTACAGCTGTCTCTTGATTGTGATCTCAAACGTTAGAATGGATACCGAACAGCAATCGTCTAGGAGCAAGGAGGCAAGTTTGCCAGAGATGGATCTGAGTTCCGATATCTCCGCCATCGATGAGCTTGCAGAAAAGAGACTTATCAGAAAAATGGATATATACATCTTGCCTTTCGTGGTGCTTTTGTATCTATTCAGTTTTCTAGACAGAGGTGCGCTACATCCGCCCAGAGAAACAAAAAACCATGGCTAACTGTGTGAACGTAGTCAACATCGGCAATGCCCGTTTATACGGCCTAGAGGAGGATCTGGGCTTGGTTGGCGATCAGTACCAGGTCGCCGTTTCGATCCTTTTTGTGACTTACTGCGTATGCTCTGTCCATGGACTTAATGGATTAGCTTGTCTAACAGTTGTTTGCAGCTCTTTGAGGTTCCGTCGAATCTAGTCATCAAAAAGTTGACTCCGTCACGTTATATTGCATCGATAGCAGTTATTTGGGGTATCATAGCGACTCTTACGGGCATTGTCCAGAGCTATGGTGGTCTCATTGCCTGTCGTGTCCTTCTTGGTGAGCAAACTTTCGAAACATTCATGCCTAAATTGTGATTGACTGTTTCAGGTGTTGTCGAGGCTGGCCTTTTCCCTGGCCTTATGACTTATTTGACACTTTTTTACAGCAAACATGAGCTTGCTCTACGAACTGGGTACCTTTTTAGCAGTGCCGCTTTAGCCGGCGCATGCGGTGGTCTCCTCGCCTACGGCATTGGGTTCATGGACGGAGTCAGTGGGCTCAGAGGCTGGCGATGGATTATGATAATTGAAGGAATTCCCACCGTTCTCATCGGAGTCGCAACGTGGTTCTTCCTCGCAGACTCGCCTGAGACGGCTTACTACCTCAATGCAGAGGACCGGGCTTTGGTTGTCAAGCTGCGTGGTCGTCATTTTGGTCATACGGCGTCCGCCCAAAAGTTCCATTGGGCGGACGTCAAAGAAGGTGCGTTTGATTGGAGGATTTACGCGTTCTGTATCGCCCAGTTTGGTGTTGATACCATGCTGTATGGATACAGCACCTTTTTACCTACAATCATCCGTGGGCTGGGAGACTGGTCGACCCCTGAGGTTCAAGCCCTCACTATTCCCTGCTACGCACTCGGAGCCCTAGCATATCTAGTTGTGGCGTGGCTCAGCGATCGCACACAGCGCCGTGCAATCTATACCTGCCTCTTTGCCGCAATCTCTGTTGTCGGGTACGGAATCCTCATCTCTGACTCTTCTTCTGGAGTGCATTATTTTGGCGCGCTGCTTGTTGCAATGGGATTATACGTGGCAGTTGGCCTCCCTTTGGCGTGGTTACCTACAACTCTTCCGCGCTACGCCAAACGTACTTTTGCAACTGGACTTCAATTGACATTCGGAAATGTTAGTGGCGTCATGTCCCCATTCCTTTACAAGACCAATGAAGGGCCTCGCTATGTACGGGGTAATGCAGTGACCCTGTCTCTGGTCGGCTTCGCGGGAGTTGTATATGGCCTAATGTGGGTTTACTACCGGTGGAAGAACAATCGCAGGGACCAAGGCCTCGAAGATGGCAAAATCTCTGGTATGACGGACGAGGAAATTGAAGAAATGGGCGATAGGAGCCCTAGGTTCCGCTATGCTACATGATACATCTATATACTGCTATCAGCTGAAGGATGTATTTCACAAGTTGTATTTTCTAAGTAAAATCTACTCTACCATTGGTTTCCGCTCTAAACAATTCAATGTACTGCAAACCTATGACACCCCGAAAAGTCCACTATTTGCCCGCATTTACCGGTTCTTCTTGGCGGTTGGGAGGCCCTTAATCCGTTCGCAGATCTTCATCTTTTGCTTCACTCTCTTCCAGAATTCCACCACTCAGCCTCTTGGACCATATTTGGCCTAGCTTTCAATGATGGGTGCTTTGTCGTTCTCGATATTGCTTCTCTCTTTTATAGCTGCAATAGCCGGCATTTTATCCTTTTACAGAGATGATGCACTGTTTTTGATCTGTGAGCGGTTCACCAGAAGATGTAACAAGAGCCGTAATACTTGGATATCGCCACATTATCCCAGCTGGAATTCGTGGCTTGACCCACCTCATAGCTCTTTTCATGAAAGGCCATCGCCGTTGAAAAATGATGGCTGGAACCTCCACTACCATCTCGGCGGCTACGGCCCTTGGGTTGAGAAACTGGACGGCCCTGTACAGGGACTCGAAGTTCCAGCGGGGTGTCGCGTGGATCAGGTGCATATGGTAAGTATATAGGCAACCCCTTCCTTGTTTGGCTGGATCGTTTGTTTGCTCTTCTTATTCCACACAATAAAAAATATATTGATGCGTGACTAGATGGCACGGCACGGGGAGAGATATCCCACACGAAACGCAGGAAACCGTACGTCAAGCCAACTATAAAAGATCCTGTCTACATTCCACGGCTAACCGTTTATCGCAAGGTCACCTCGCTCTTCTCAACAGAATCAAAGAGGCCAACGTGGTTCTCAATGGCTCGTTGTCATTCCTGAACGACTGGGAATACATCACGAGCACCCCAGATGAAGACTTTGACCAGTTGACTCGGACTGGTCCCTACTCTGGTACTCTTGGGGGGTTCACTACAGGTGTTCGGCTCTCTACACGGTATCAGCATCTCATTCCAGCGGACTCGAGGGTCCGATTCTGGGCAAGCGACTGCCAGCGCGTGATTGAGACGGCAAAGTACTTTGCGTATGGACTGTTTGGGCTGGATTGGGAAAGCAGCGGGAAAGCTGAGCTCGAGATCATCCCCGAGACATTAGACCGACGCGCGAACACACTGACTCCGGGAGATACTTGTTTAAAATACCTTGAAGACACGGAGGATGGCCACGACAAGGGCATGAATACGCTTGCGCTTTTCCAGGAGACGTACGCACCCGCCATAGCGGAGAACTTGATATCCAGGCAAGGCAACTCTGCCCTTGGGACCTTTACAAACATGGAAATCTTCAGCATGCAAGAAATGTGCGGATTTGAGACGCTTGCGCGTGGATCAAGCCCCTGGTGCGATGTATCCACTCGCGAGGACTGGGAAAACTTCGAATACGCGCGCGACTTGGTGCACTATTACAGGGCAGGACCAGGGAATAAGTATGCCGGCGCAATGGGATGGCTCTGGTTGAATGCCACAGCCACTCTTCTACAGAGGGGACCGGAAGCTGGGTCTTTGTTTTTCAGCTTGTAGGCTCACTTTTCCCCCGTAGAAGTTACCCGATGTCTAACGTTTGGCAGTGTCCATGACGGAGATATCGCCCCCTTCCTTGCGGCGCTGGATATATTCAAGGATCCAAAATACGATCCCGAGCTTCCAGTCACGCATAAAGTCACAGATCACAACTGGCGTACCTCCTCGGTGATGCCAATGGGAGGGCGCATCATTCTTGAACGTATGACTTGTTCGCCATTTAATGATGGCGCAGCGACCGGAAAACAGGAATTCATTCGGGTGAACATAAACGACAAGATCATACCCCTGCCATACTGTGATTCTGGACCTGGATCTTCCTGTCGCATAGAGAAGTTCATGGAGCATGTGGCACGTAGAAAAGTGGAGGTTGGGAATTTTGACGAGGTTTGTGGTTTGGAAGGGGATGTTGGACAGATTACATTCTTACACCAGCTATAGTGTCTGCATATAGATTTCGAATAAGCGGCCGAAGAGAGTACAGAAATGATAACCTGCGTAATAATGGATTGATGATTGAGGAGAGACAGACGGCTTGGATGGGGATGTGTATACTGCCGGTTATCACGTGATGGTATCCTGGGCGAACTTTGTGTTTATCGTGACAAAAGTTTCGGAGAGCTCATCCGATCTGCAACGGCAGCGCCAAAGCTCAAATTGACACACCTTCGCGGGGCCTTCCGCTGTACAGTCATCCCATCTCTGGAAGCGGCTTAAATATACCTTCGGGCTCTATATTATACGTTTTACGAATTTTCCTGAACGTTGTGACTGCAGTTTAAAATGGAGTACCATTCCGTCCCTCTGGAGGAGCGCGCGAAAGACGACAAAGGGAACATTTTACCCTGGGGTTATGTCTACAAAGAGTGAGTTTTCGGGCAGAATACACGGGTGCAGTTTACGTGTGGAGAGTATCGCGTTTGCAAGCTTGGAGCAATCCGCTAATATGGACCCCGATGAAAACAGCGAAGCTCGCAATCCACGACGACCACCGGAGGAATCTGGACCATTTGGAAAGAGAAGAAATGCGCGCTTTGAACACTCCCGATCACGTACTCGCACCGGTACCCCAGCGAAGAAGGAGAACGCCAACGTAGCAGAATTCGGCCGCCTTTTCGCCCAACAGCAAGAGGACGACAAGTCCCGGAATACACTCCCCAAGTCAGCGTCGGCATCGAGTCTCGAGAACGCGAGGAACCAGACGGAGAAGACCGCGACGGAATGCATGCTCTATGGATACAGGAGTAAAGATTCAGAGTGGAAGGTGATTGACAAGTATGAGCGGACTTCGCGAGGGATAATCTGTGAGGACTATCCGCGGATTGACCCCAAAACCAGCAATGGATACGCTCAACTTCTCAGCGGAGGTGATGTGGTGATCCGCGCAAACTTGTCTGCCGATGCCAACCGCAAGTCAAAACGATATGCGGGTGGTTTCCACTGGATCAAGGTCACATTCGATTCCACGACGGCTGCGGATCGTGCTTGCTTCTACTCGCCGCTGGAAATTGATGGACATCATGTCTTCTGCGAGCTTTACCATGGACAAGGGCCTGCAGAAGATGTCCCCATTCCTGTAGGTTCGACGGAGTCTAACCGAGTCCTGGCGCAAAACAAGCGGACTCTCAGCACATCTCACTCTACTGCGTTCCTACAGAACAAAGACAGGGAACGCTCGACGTCGACGCTGCCTCGATCCTTTGGAATGAACAACCTCGCTAGCATTGCTGATTCTGATGATGTCTTTTCTCAAGACACAACTAGCACAGTCAGCTCAGCGACCGCCACTGGCATCGAGCAATCCACCCTACAGCAACGACACGTCGCCAAAGAAGCCACAACAACCACCTCCGAATTTATGACACATGCGCCAACAGTACGACGGACAAAACTCCGACCGATCGCCGAAGCTCTTCCCCCAGCACCCACAGTCACTGAGCGCGTCCTACGATCAATCCCGATTCTTAGTTGGTTTACGGGTGATATCGTTGGCGACGGTCCACAGCTCCGGGAAGACGGAACCTTCGACTATGACAAATCCAACGTATACTGGCGGTTCTGGTACATGGTGGACTTGATCTTAGGGACGGATATTTGTGGCCTGAGGGAGGATTCATGATCATCCGTTCCTTTCGTTCTCCCCGTGACGCATGTATGATAGATACTAGTTATGCGGGGTGTACGTTTAGGTTGATTCATGTTATTTTATATCTACGTTTTTGTATTTGATAGCATTTTACGATGGCGTTTGCAATACAGCATCATGGAGCAGGGAATAATTGTCACAACATTGGACCTGAGGACCTCGTCCATCTCGATCGCATTCCTCTAAAAGTAATAATTATACCGTTGTGCTTATCCGAGGGGATATCTCGCACCCTGCTCTCACACTGATGGAGCTTGATCTGGGTAGTAGTCCTTGAGGCAATACCTCTCGACAAGGAAAGTGTCGAGTGGAAATAGCCAACGCGGAACAGTATTCCTCATTACCAGAAATGACAGTGATATTCAATTCATTCTTTCATTGATATTTTTATCCTCTTGCCTGCCTCGCTAGATCCTCGCCAGCAGGCCAGGTATTAAATAACCTCATGTGCATTGTGCAAAAAAGAGAAGAATATCATCATCAGATTGCGCCCGCTTGTGCCAAAGACGGGGAACGTGAGAGGGGTGAGGAAGATTCAGGATTCGATTTGGGTGGTAGCGGCTAAATTTATTCAACATTGCTCTCGAAGTTCTCGCCCTCAACGAGGTCGGGGATGTCGTCCTCGTCGTCGTCCTTCTTCTCGCCGGCCTGGTTCTTCTGCATGTTCTGGTAGCTCTCGGCGAGCTTGCGGAGGGAGGCAAGGCTGTCCGGGCCGAGCTGGTTGAGGATGCCAGGGACGAGCTCAGTGAGCTCCTTCTCCTCGCCGTTACCGTATAGGGCGAAGGTGTTGGAGGGGACGGAGGCGTGGACTGTTGGGATTCGCTTGTTAGTCGCTGGTTTTCTTTGTTGAGATGACAGGCAGAGAGGGGTAGGTACCCTTAGGAGCAGCAAAGTGGATGACGTTTCCGTCCTCCTTGAACATGTTGACTTCCTCGATGGCCTGGATGGGCTGGACGTTCATCTTCTTCAGGGTGGCCTGGAGCTTCTTGTCGTCGGCGCCAGAGGTCTTGTGGACCTTCTTGACCTTGCGGCGGGGAGTACCCTTTCCACTGTTCACAACGTATCAGCATCTTGCCATCCTTGCGTTCCTTTCTGTCTGGTTGTAATCGGTCGGACGTGTTTTGAGGAGTTCGAATTCAGCAGGGGAATCGTAGCTACATACCCTGTGACGAAGTGTCAGCGGATGATTCAAACCAAAGTTAACCAATTCCCAATGCAGTTCGACCCCCTAGACATCGCGAATTCCGCAGAAATTACCCCGAACCCGAGAAACCCAATCGTTTCACCTCGTAGTATAATTTCGCGATTCCCCCGCAGCGCAGCTGGCACCGCACAATTGCACTGAAAACGACACAGGAAGAGAAAAATTCACATACCAATCCGCACGCTCGCCTGCATTCTAGCCAACTTTGCCTGATCCATTTTGACGGTTGTTTATTTGTAGAACCTGTAAAATAAAGAAGCGAAGCGTCAACAGTCTGTGCCAATCTTGAAAGAGCAGTCGAGGAGCCGGGAGTCGGAAATGTGGTGCTGTGTGGGAAAGACGATGCCAAGACTCGGAATCCTCACGACGTCAGACAGAGCCCGTGCTCGCGGACGATACGGAGAGTCTGGTTGTCGGGTGTATTGGGAGTTGATGAGGCGATGGAGAAGGAAGCGGGCGGTAATTACCTGAACGGTTGAGGGTATGGTGCTGAGTGGTGAGGATGGATGCGCAAAGGTGAAGTTCAGATGTTCAGGTTCAGTTCAGTCTGCCGGGTTTGTGTGGGGAGAAGCAGAAGGAAGAATGGCGAAAGCGGGCCGCGTTGCTCGCTAACTCAATCTTCAAGAGCTGCCATTATTTGATTACTGCTACAATTACGGATTATTTTGACGCTTTACAGTGTCCTCTACAATGTTCCTGGGTGCTGAGCTGGTCCTGCGAATCTGTTGTCGCGTTGATTGTGGGCTGTGCCTCGAGGCGCTGGATGGAGGCTCCTCGGCTAAACCCTAACGAAATAAGGCATCAAGACAAGTCTGGAAGCTTGTCAGCTGCTCCAGCCCGACGCATAACATATCTTGCATCTTGCAATATAAATGACTGCAATCACCCAATGTTTGAAGGCCAGATCCAAAGATCTAAACCCTGACCAGGGACCATTGGACCAAGTAACCTGCTGAGCTCAGGTGATACCCTCTTCCAAGGTCCATTCGGCCTGGATCGGGACTTCCGTATCGGGTAATCAGCAGCGCCGGACTCAAGCACGGAATATAGAGGTAATGGTCGCGGTCCGTCATAATAGGTAAGGACCAGACTTGAAGTCTCGAGGGTTTCGGCTTTACGTAGATGAGCCCGAAGTAATACACGTATGTATACCTGCCTGAAGCGTGGAGGTCCCGTGCTCTGCCCAGTCGTAGATTGAATAACCCCACCCGTATTGATCTATGTCATCATCCGATCAACACTCTTCAGCGCTGATAAAAAAACTCTCGACCTTGATTGTTTCTGCTCATCGCAATAACCACAACCCTGACGCTACTACTTTCGTCTAGAAACCACCACAATGCGGTTTCTGTGTTTGCACGGTGGTAGCACGAGCGGGGAGGTACGTCCATCATCACATCTGCGTCGTATAAGTTGAAACAACACACTAATTGACATTTCAGATCTTCGAGATCCAATCTGGTATAAAGAGATTAGCGGATTATTCATTGTAAATCAACTGAAATAGTTGACCTTGACTAGGCGGCCTCGTCCAACCTCTCGAAGCCAAGGGCCACAAATTCACATTCATAAATGGCAGACTCAACTCTGACTGCGAGCCTGGTATACTGGTAATGCCCTGGCAGACAAAAATAGATGCTAACAACGCCTAGAGCTCCAAGGCATCGTCCCGCCCCCCTTCTTCAACCACTATCCCCGCGATATCGCCCCGGGTGAAGACCTCCTAAAGGCCATTGAGTATACCCTTCGCACAATGCAGCGTGAGGGCCCCTTTGACGCCGTAATGGGTTTCTCGCAGGGCGCTGCCCTCGCCTTCTCGCTTCTTCTCCACCACGCAGAGAAATACGGTCCATCCGCGCCGCCTCTTTTCAAAGCGGCGGTGTTCATTTGTGCCGGTGCCCCTTACGAATTATCGGGGAAGACGACGTTTAGCATACCCGACGGCGCTGACTATCCGGTCAAGATTCCGACGGCGCATATTGTCGGAAAACAGGACCCATTGTATCCGCAGGGGTTGAGGCTTCGTGAACTTTGTGAGCGGTCAAAGGCGGAGTTTTATGATCATGGTTCGAAGCATATGATTCCTTTCGATGCGACAAATAATGATGCGATGGTTGCGGTTATTGAGAGAGTTATTGAAAGGGCATCCAAAGAGACTTGAATGATGAATTGGAATTAATGGTTGTGCGATTGTCAATCTATTTATTTATGTTTATGTTTGGACTGATCTTCGGCGCCTCGTCTGTGTATCAGGATGGCTATTAACAGCAGTGCTAAACCAAGGGCCAGGCCGTATGAAGTGGTTTTCCACTGCGACGAACCGTCATCAAGTCATAAGTTTCCATTGTCCTCTGGGGGAATCGTCTTATTGAGAAATTTCTCCAAATCTTCAATCTCAAGTGGGTCTGCGGAGTGTTGGAGGTACCTAGATAATTGTGAGCAAGAAGCAAAGCCAGCACTGAGGAAGAATGCAGGGGCGTACGGGTAAGAGTTGAATGTAACATCTTCCAAGCCGAGCTCTTTAGCCAACTCAGCCGACTGCTTTCCAAACTCGTGCGGCACAACATCATCCTCGGTGCCGTGTGCGATAAAGAAAGGCGTTTTCTTGTTTGGCCAGTTCTCAGGGATGTAGTTCTTGATGCGGTCGCTAAGGAGCATGTAGCACGAGAGGCCGAACACGCCACCCAGCTTCTCCGGGTTTGTGATTCCCGAGAACAGAGACATGGCTCCTCCTTGTGAAAATCCACCGAGGACAATGCGCGAGGGCTTGATACCCTTGTCGACTTGCTCTTTTATCAAGGTGTTGAAGTAATCGCGGGACTTGAGGATACCGGCTTCGTCCTGGTTCCTGACGGCTTCTTGGAAATCGAGCTACAATTGCCAGAGGCCATTAGTTACTGCTCATTGTAAAAGGAAGGTAAGAATGCCACCTACATCACGACCAAGCTTGGTAATATCGTACCATCCAGGCATTGACATGCCGAAGTTCTGTATATCATCGCCGGGGCATTAGTTATTCGGAGCCCCCCATAGCCAGAGCCAGAGCGTACCACTGTGATAGGGATCATAGGAGCATTGGGAAAGATAAATTCCACTTCGTCAAACATGTTCCGTCGGCGCCAATTGTGAGCCAGGGATACCCTGTGTTATCCCTCATATTAGCCATTCTGCCGTTCGACTTGCCACACCTATTCCGAGAGTATGAGAGCGTACCATCCTGCGCCGCTGTACAGAATCACAATCGTTAGCCCGTCAGTTTAGTGGTATACGCTTGAATATCGGAAACGAACCTATCGCCCAGTCCGTGAGCCATGATCACGGTGGCGGTGTGCTTCTTGAGAGCCGGAACAACAAAGGGTCCACGAGACATATTGGCGACTCCTTAAGTTCTCTAGAAACTTTAAAAGATCAACGACAATGATATGAGGTCAGAGAATGAATGTTGAAGAACACAAAACCCCTCGATTCTGCCCCTCGACCGAGGTTCCTGGTTCTCACCGCCTGGAGTCCATCGGGGTCCGAAAAGTCTTGGCATATCAAATCCTTAGGTAATGAGCGGGAAATCACGTGCGTACTATATCCACAATCACCACGCCCCTTCGTATTGTTCTCCAACATAAAACACCATTAATTTCGGAGTAGATGTCTGCCTAATTATCATTCCTTGGAGTCGCGAGCATGACCGCAATCATGGACAGCTTTGAGAAACTGCGCCCTGTAGGTGAGTGAGCAATTGGCTCTAGTTCTTGATTCTCCGCTTCTCCTTCCAATCGCTGACTTAGAACAGGCAACCTGGAAAAGTTCTCCACCATGCGCCATCCTCTTGGATACTACTACAATGTTGCATTTGCGGTCAATTACACATTACCTGAGAGTTACAGCCTTCCGCTGAAGGACTACGTATATAAATCTGTGGATACTCTCATTCAGCAACATCCGATTCTCTCTGCAATTCCTCATGACGAGGCGTCCAACGAGCCGTACTTTGTTCGCCTTCCGGAGACCGATTTGTCTCAGCCTATATCTTTTCAACATCGTACTGAGAGACTCTCCGACAACGAGCTAGAATACTTTCTACAGGACCAGCATAATACTGGATTTACACCACCAGGGCCCTACTGGAGATTCATCGTATCCACCGACGAGACGGACAAGAATCAGTTCACTGCCGTCTTTGTATATCACCACGCTCTCGGCGATGGGGGATCTGGCAAGGCTTTTCACCGGACCTTTCTCCAAGCGTTACGCGGAGCTGCTTCGCTGCAACCCGGGGAAGCCAGACAGGTTGTTCCATCACCCAAGACAGCACTGCTTCCCAATCTAGAAGCCGCTCATCCGCGAGGGCTCCCAGTGTCTCTCCTCTATCTTTCCAAAGTGCTTTTCAAGGAGGTTGTATTTCCAAGAACTGACCCTAAGCTGTGGGCTGGAGGAGAACACCAGCTCCCTCTGAAAACGCGACTACGCATGGTTTCATTTACAGCGGCCCAGACCTCTGCACTCGTAAAGGCCTGCCGTGAGAATGGCACAACAGTGACCTGTTTGATTCAGACTGCATTCGCACGCGCCTTGTTTCCTCACATACCCGAGGAATTCATTCGTGTCAGCTGCAGCGGCGCCATCTCCTCCCGATCATGGCTCCCTGAAAGCATCACAGAAGACTCGATGGGCGTCTGGGTACAGGAGTTCTTTGAATCATACACTCGCAGCGCCGTAACCGACAAGGCTTTCCCTTGGTCGGAAGCTAAGCGATCCCGCCAGACAATTTTGAGAGAGCTGAAGCTACAGAGCAAAAACACCTCTGTGGGTCTTTTGAAGTTCGTAAAAGACTATCGCAAGGAGCTGCTCGAGGCTAAGCTCGGCAAACCGAGAAAATCAACATATGAAGTGTCAAGCCTGGGAGTCGTGAAGACGGAGAATGCCGACGACTCCTCGATTCCGCAAATGGGCCGCGTTGTCTTTTCTCAGAGCGCCAGCGTCACGGGTAGCGCCGTTGAAGTCTCGGTCATAACCGGCGCCGACGGCACCTTGATGTTGGTGCCTTCGTGGCAAACCAATGTTGTGGACGATAGTCTGATGCAGGCTGTGATTGAGACATTCACGAATGAGTTGCGCCAGCTTTGCGAGTGATGGAGTGATGGAGTGTCGGCTGTATATAGAACCGGGACCCATATGTAGGATCCATATGTAATAATGTTTAATAGACTCTGATTTAGTAGTAAAAAAGGATGCAGAGCGCGTTCCGAGTTTCGCCCTTTCCCGCGATACTGGACATAGTTACTCAAATCAAGGTTATGCAGGCTGCATCACGAGATGCAATCTGGACGCTACTTATTCCAAATACCACCAGTAAGGGACCAGCGGAGACGCGCAATGTAGTTCGGTCTTGAGGTACTCTGGCTGGGAGATGGCCGCTATAACCGCCATGATGTCTCGGCGGGCAGCCTGGAGTGGAAAACTGTCTCAGATATATCGACTGCGTCCTCCATCGGGAGTACAATACAACTGTCCGCGAAAGATACGAGGTAGCGGGGACGATTCCAGCTGTCCTGGGCCGCTTAGTCAGGGGCACTAAAAATGATCACCTACCGGGGGAGACCAGGTAGATATCCAAGACTTCACAATTGACCAGAGCCGAGGTTTCAAACCCGGCCTACTGGGCCTAACTAATGCGGGCCATGACTCGAAGGCTGACAGTGATGGTTCCCGGAAAAGAGATCCAAATTTTTCTCAAAATGGAGGTTAAACTGAGAAAGAGTCGGTGAATCATTGGGCGGCTTGGTAGGCTTGGTGGCTACGCCGTTGGTGAACGCGAAGGATCCTGGATCCCAGGGATTCTGTGCCGCTTCGGAGAATATGTATGTCTCCAAGAACGGTAGTGCCTAACATAGCCCTGGGCTTCCCTGGGCAAGCAACGAGCAAGAATTCCTATACGACCGAACGATCCTTCAAGAGCGAAATAATGCACTTTTGCAGTGATTACTTAGGCGTGGGCTGCCGAGCGAGAGCAAGTTCCAAGGTGCTAAATGGGAGAAGACAAGGGACTCGGACGATCACCACTATGAGTGAATACAGCATTTGCAAATGCATTCCACACAACTAGGTTTTGGCCAAACTCGGCTGAGATTCAACATATCAAAATGGATTACCATACTCGCCTGCCTCTCTTCTACTGACATAAACAGGCACCTGCTATTCCAAATCACCGACCCGAATAGTCATTGATCCCCAAGGTTGCAAAGCAACGGCACAGAGCTCGCTTGATGATCACGCACCCTGTAACACCACGTCAGCAATCATTAGTGGACCCCACACTTTGCAACCGTTACTGTGGGCGGGCTTGCGGTTGAAGTCTTAAATGGCCCACAATCCATGTAGGTCTTCGAGGGACTACCGTTTAGCTGTCTGCACGACTGGGATCACCTCAGCCTGTAAGTAGCGCATAACTTTTGCTTCGTTTCCCGAACGACCAAACACACAAGTCTCTTCTGGACGACATCATCCAAGCAGAAGCTTGGGAATCTCAACTGATGCAGAACCCTGATCTTCGAGCCAGAATCGGGGGATAAATTACCCAGATGAGGGGTTCGTGGAAAGTGAGGGGCAGAGATCAGGAAAGGCGAGGGTGGAAACCCGGCATGGTGGATCTGAAGAATTGCGGATACTCTTTGTATACCAATCATCCAATTCGCTGTCTCGGCTTCGGCTCAACGGCCATCGTTGGTACTCTGTGCAAGACACTCATTGCGGCAAACGAATGATTGAGCCCATAGCATCTTTCCCTTCCGCGAAATCCGTGCTGACATCCAGAAACGTGGTGGATCATCTCTGCCAGTCTGGGATGGGGCAATCATGGTGCGCACTCGATAGAGCCGGTCCAGGGCATTATTAATCTCGGCAAGCCCCGTCACCTCGGATCTCCAGATTCTCGTCTGAACAAGCCCAGGGCTTAGTTTTTGAGGGACTTGTTCTTCCCGTCCAGAACACCAACCCGCCAATATGTGTGGACTTACAGCTCTCCTCGCCCTCAATGGAGGATCCGAGTGCCTTCAATGCGATAGCAACCAGGACCCACAAGCTTTGGAACGTCAAATGGACGAGAGCTTGGAGCTAGTTAAGCACCGTGGCCCTGATGCAAGAGGCCAATGGTTCAGCCCAGATTACAGCGTGGGTCAGTGATCCCAATGGAAAGGACCTGTTCCTTGATAGTGGCTGACAGTATTGTGACTACACAGGTCTTGGACACGCCCGTTTCTCTATCATCGACCTCAGCCCTGCCGGCAATCAGCCTTTCCATGACGACGAAGATACAGTCCATGCGGTCGTCAACGGAGAATTATATGACTACGAGAAATACAAAGCGGAGCTCGGGAACGAATATGAGTTCAAGAGCAACAGCGATTGCGAGATCGTGATTGCCCTATATCGGCACTACGGTATTTCCTTCGTCTCGAAATTGAGAGGAGAGTTTGCTCTCGTTCTTTGGGATGCGAAGCGAAAGCTCTTCTTTGCCGCTCGGGATCGTTATGGCATCAAGTCTCTGTACTACACAGTTGTGAACAACAAACTCCTTGTCGCAACAGAGATGAAGTCTTTTTTACCATTTGGATGGCAGCCGGAATGGGACAATGGCAATATCCTAGAAAAGGGTTGGCTGTGGAACGACCAGATGTACTTCAAAGGTGTACGCAGAGTAAGTCCAAAGAGTTATAGTGCTTCTCATCAACTTCTTCTAACTTGCTATATGTAGCTCGAACCCGGCCAGTATATGGTCAGCTTGGATTATAAACCTCCAGAGGTGAAGACTTACTGGGATCTGGATTACCCCGACAAGGTTAGTATCACACAGTGCAATCTATTGAATATCTTGACTGACGTAGGGATAGAAAACCCTCGTCCCCAAGACAGAAGAGGAGATAGTGCTCAAACTCAGAGAGCTTTTGCTAGAGTCGGTTAAACTTCGTCTGCGTGCTGATGTGGAGGTTGGCATCTACCTGAGCGGAGGATTGGATTCTTCCGCTATTGCGGGAATGACCGCACACCTCATCAAACAAGGGGAGCTGCTAGGCAGTGATTCTAGTGGAGATATTTCGAAGATGAGCTGTTATACCATCCGGTTCGGAAAACATACTGGAGTGGACGAGTCAGGTGTGTCTAGCTTTGGTCATCATAACAACAGATTCTGACCCAATGTAGATATCGCACAACGCACAGCGGACTGGATTGGAGTCGACCTGCACCCGGTGACGATGACAGAAGACGAGATTGCAGCTCGGTTTGAGGATACCGTTTGGTATACCGAGACACCCATCCCGGATGTCAATGGGATGGGCCGAGTTGCGGTTGGTGAATTGGCTCATTCGCATGGAAAGAAAGTTATCCTTACAGGTAAGCGGATAATCCGAGTTCTTTGTAGATAAATGCTAACAGCAGATAGGCGAGGGATCGGACGAACATTTTGGGGGCTATCCTGATATGCTGAGCAAAATGTTCATCGAACCAGATCTGTCATGGCCTCCGCCTCCTTTTGAGGTGCCAGACGACGTTAAGATCTTCGAAGCAGGACGGGAAGCTATACCGCTACCAGTCAACTCGCCTGCTTCAACAAAGCGAATGCTGAATAACTCATCTGTGTTTGCTCGCGTCAATTCATTCTACAATTTACCTTTTGCCTCGTGGGCCACTAGATACGCGATAAAAGATCTCGAAACGGCCTTCGCAGAACGCTTCGGGGCACAAACTATCTCCAATATCACCGAAAAATGGCATCCTCTGCACTCAGCAAGCTATCAGTGGATTAAATCCATCCTTGTCAACTATATCCTTCGGTACATCGGTGACGGTGCCGACATGGCCCACCAGATCGAAACGAGGCCACCCTTCCTGGATCACCACGTTACGGAATTTGCAAACCAAATCCCCCCAAGCTTAAAAATTCGATATGACCCAGTCCGCAAAGTTCTGCGCGAGAAATACATTCTCCGCGAGGCAATGCGGCCATTTGTGACGGACGAAATCATGAACCGCACAAAGCAGGCATACCTGGGACCTTCTCAGTATAGAGAGGACGGGGCGCTATACAAAGTCGTTAAGAAGCTACTTACGAAAGAAAACGTCAAGAGGCTAGGTTTCGTCGACTGGGACCAGCTACAAGATAACCTTGTAAAAGGCTTCCGAGAAGGTGACCAAAGAGCCTTCCGTATTTCGCTCTTCGTCGCCCAGCTTGTGGTTTTGTCCCAAAGGTTCGGGGTCAAGACGGCGACAGATCCATTGGGCAGCGACAGACCGGAGTTTAGTCACAATGCCGGAACTACAGCCATGCCGCGGATGGGCAGCCGCCTATAGCCACTTGAACCTTACCGAGAAATTCCTTCTTGAGAACATTCTGCTGGAAGACAGACGTGGCTCTCGGAAATCGGCATTTATGAGGCGTTAGCGAGCTCTGAGTCTGTGCTTCCTGGTCTGCAGACTCGAGAAATTACCACACCCTCATGACTAGGAGCCTCACCGGCGAGTATAACTGTGGAATCTTGCGAACCTTCACGTCATGGATTATTGCATGTCGCCTCGTGGACAGCCGCACGCCGTGCGACATACGGCCAAGCTTTGACTACAGAGCTGAACAAGGACACGTATGCACCCCCAACGATGAACCCGGAGAGGTGGCTGTTTATTTTGAACGAAGAGCGTGGGATAATTCCATAATAGCACCGCGTGTTAACAGGGATGAGGCCAGGATGATCTAGAGCACTGGGGTGCCATATCAGAATAAAGTTTTAGCAACTTGTCAGTTAGTCCCCGTGCACTAAGTAGCGATTCTGAGCTTAACTGGTGCCCATTTCGTACCTAGTACTTGGCTATACACCCAAAGCATGGCGATTGGTGGCCCTTCACTTCCTGGCCCTGACTCATGTTAGTTGCATTGGCACTGCAGAGCATCTCTAGATCACCAGCCCTCCGTCTGGCCCAGTCACGGGAGAAACACGATGGAAAGCAGTCTAGACTCCGCCACAGCTTTCAAGCTCTCAAAGGTCGATTTGAAACCAATGTAACATGATCCTTATGGTTGAGATTTGGCTCAGACCATTTGGGGACAAACCATATCTGCAGGGGTGTTTCAGCCTTGCTTACCCATCCCACAAGAACGTGGGGGTTATACAGAGCTGTGTTACTAGAGATGATGGTAAGATTATGCCATCTCAGATTTCTTTCTGATATCATCGAGTCTCAGACAAATCCCGGAGAGGATTGGGTTTGCTCTATTTCTGGTCGAAGGTTTGCTTTTGCGAGGTTGGCAGAGGGGGAAGGGGTCACGGGGTCCCTGCGAGCCAACTGTCGCCGTGGCCAGCTCCCTTTCCCTTGTCATCCTCAAGGTTCCCCGTCAAAGTGGCGTTTCTTCATCCTATCAGCTCCATCGAATTTCCATAAATCGTTGCATCCTACGATGCATTCTACTTTTTGATCATGCTGCCCTTTCGAAAGGCCCCTTCCCCGGCTTCGGGGTCGATGCGGGCAATCGTCAACCAGTCGGTAGAGGAATGGACTGAAATTCCCCTCATCCTCGTCTTTCACCTTACTTTATGTGACTAAACCATGCATGGGAACTTCATCGAGTGCAATTTCATCGAATTCTCCATGATTTGGGCTCCAATAGGATTCAGGCCAAAGTCCAAGCTACACGACGGGGCTTGAGAGTTGGATCGGCACATCCGCGATTCGCAACTCGTTCAAAGTCTCCGCACGCTGCTGCTCTAGTGCCACCTCTTATCAGGGTGATGCCGGCTTCTCCTCACGAGTTGGGGTGACTGGGCACCGACTTTATCTTTGGCTCCTCCAACTCTCTCGTTCCTATCTATCCCTCGTCGTCTGCAACGGCCTTATCTGTGGACTAGTACATTACGTCTGAGAACCCCAACCTCACCCAAATACTTTCGCAGATCATCGCTGCCATCTCGATCTCATCTACTATACAAATTGGGATAACCATAAACGTCATTCTTTCCCCCTTGACTTTCTCTTCTGTTCTTCTGGAACTTTATCTGCTTCTTGCTGGTGGTGACAGGAACCATACGCGCTGTCCCTGGCATGGATAAGATAAGGGTTCCCTCACCGTCTACTATTCTACACCCTGTTCCCGCCGCTTCGTCTGCTGGTCGTTCCAGAGCTCCCGTCTCCACTCAGAATGCGGCGCCGGTGCAGACCGCTACTGCTGTGACGACTAACAAACCCAAGCAGTCCAAGAGCCGTAATGGTACGGTATTGCCATTTTCTTACAGATGTATCGGATCGAAATTGGAAAAGATTTCAGAGAGAAGAAGACGAAAGGCATGATAAACCCATTAGTGCGCAGTGCGCTGACCTTATCCCTGTTGTTGTCTTTCAGGTTGTATCACCTGCAAGGCAAAACGATTGAAGTGCGACGAATCAAAGCCGACCTGTCTTCAATGCAAGAAACGAACCGTGGAATGTGGAGGGTACAAGAAGGACTTTAAATGGCGTTCATTTGGGGAAGCCAATGTTCCTGGACGGAGTACTGCCCCGAGAACGAAAAAAGGTATGTCTGAACCCTGGGTAGGATATGCCATGACCACAGACTGACAATTCTGGTCTGCAGGCAGCACGTCGCCCTCTTCTGGGAAGTCCACCCTGCACAGCTCGAGCCCGGTTGATACTCAGCCGCGCAGGCTGGAAACAACCAACTCACTCCACTCTCGACAAAGCTCTCCCCGAGACATTTTGTCTAGACGCCCAAGTCAATCATCTGAGAAGAAAGATCTAGCATTTTCGTTTGATCAGCTCTTCAACTTTTCAGCTTCGGGCAGTTTCAACGACGATGCCTATGTCCCATCATTAACGGACTTAACGCCTTCTGAACAGTCTCCGTGGCTGTCGAATGTGCTGCCGCCACCCGACACCAGCAACCCGAGCAGCTTCAGCGACACATTTCTGGACGGATGTCAAAGAAATGATGACTTTAGCTTCGAAGCCTTACTCGAAGGCGATGACGATGGTATTGAAGAAATTATACGGCAACCTGATCGAGGTATGGCAAGCAGAGCTGTGAGCTTCAGCGGGCAGTTTGATTCCCACCCCTCCGGGCCAAATATCTTGGCTACCAGCTTGCTCAGAGAGCCTGTCTTTAGCCTGGCAAACCCTGAAATGCTCGTTGCGCACTTTGATAGGTCTACATGTGGGATTCTATCCGTCAAAGACGGTATACATGAAAATCCCTGGCGGACGTTGGTATGGCCCCTGGCAAAGACCACTCCAGCCTTATACCATGCAGTTTTTGCGTTGGCTGCATTTCATGCGAGCAAAGACAACCCTTCGTTAAGGGTTCATGGCGTGGATCATATGCGAAAGAGCATTACCTGCATGGTGGAAGATATACAAAGCATGAGGACTGATGCTGCGTTAGCCACAAGCCTATCGCTTGCTTTTGCTGACACCTGGGACCAGCATACTCGATCTTGTATACAACACCTCCGAGGAGCAAAGGCGTTGGTGTCTCAGGTTGTAGAATCTGGGCTACAGGGCGCGATTCATGGTGCTCAGCTTAGCAGAGTCCGGTTCTTGTATAACACTTGGTTATATATGGATGTTATTGCTCGATTGACTTCTCGTGAAGATCACGGTGGTCAAGGACTCGTTATTCCAGTTTTCCAGTTTCCTGAAAATACTGTGCACCAGATTGATCCCTTGATGGGATGTGCTGCGACGCTCTTTCCCATCATAGACCAAGTTGCTCGCTTGATACAGAAAGTCCGCAAAACAGAATCGAACTCGGTGTCCCTTATTTCCCAGGCTATTGAGCTGAAACAGTTGGTCGAACAATGGGAGCCACCGGACTGGTTTGAGCCTCCTGAAGATCCCACTTCAGAGGTCCAACACAGTATACAAACGGCTCATGCTTACCGATGGGCTACCTTGTTGTACCTCCATCAAGCTGTCCCTGAAATGCCATCAGAACCAACGTCAGATCTAGCAAAGCGTGTGCTGATTCTTCTTGCCACAGTCCCTCCTAGCTCTCGTACTCTAATTATCCAAATGTTCCCGCTTTTAGTTGCTGGGTGTGAAGCAGAGCAGGAAGAGGACAGAAACTGGGTGCTCAACCGATGGAGTGCTATACAATGTCGACTAATGCTGGGCTCCATCGATCGTTGCATTGAGGTAGTCCGCGAAGTCTGGGCACGTCGAGATGCAAGCGAGGCTAGGAAGCAGCAGGAACAGCTTCGAAGAGCTGGCCGCTCGAATCACAGTACTGGGCAGATTTCTGGAAAGGACAGAGCTTTCTACACCGGTCGTGGCTTAATACCTTCTTCACGACGGAGCTCTGCGGTATCACCACTGGAGAATATTGAATACGATAGGACGGTTCGAGGAAGATCGCACTGGGTGCATGTCATGCAAGAATGGAACTGGGAAGGTAAGATCTTTCATTCGAAATGCGAAAGTGAATATAGGAGGCTAACTTGTTTATGCAGTATTCCTTGGCTGAGTGCTGAAACCTGTCAAGTTACTTAAACCAAGGTCAACGAGCCTCCATATTGCTAGTCTGGACGTCAGCACCTCCATTGGTTTCGCCACCAGAGCTCGTTTGCTTATCCCGCGTGGTAAGACCTATTGGCCTAGAGTCATCGCTCTTTGGCGGGCTCCCCGTCCCATTTTTTGGTTGACTCGGAAATAAGTTGTCAGTCGCGAGGTATAACCGGAGGGAGTCTAGATAGGGCTCCAGGTCGCGCGTAATCGAGACCGTTGACATGGTGCTCCGTCGATATATGTTGCTTGGGTCTTTTTCGAATTGGAAGCGGGCTGGAATCCGGAGTTCTCGTGCTTATTGGGGTCAAAAGCTGTCTACAGTTTATCCTTAGTATTAGCAATTCAATCTCGGTTTGACCATGATGAAAACCACTTGCTCTTTGGCAGACTTGGACGCTGCAGTGGGCACCACGTCACGTCCGTAACGTATTAGAGAGGTTGAGTCGGTGGCTCTTTGCTGTACACTAAATATCAACTACCAGTGCTGTCCTGGTTTACTGGCGCGCGGGCTAGTAGAAGAATCGGCTATCGCTAAGGGTCGGTATGGGCTCAAGTTGCGGGGGGAACTACTGTGCCGAGCAGGTTTGGCTGGTGCTCAGTCGTTTTCTCTTGAGAATAGAGCTGGAAGGGAAGGTCAAGAGGAATCGTCGGTCCCACCTTGAAAGTTGAGGGGTCGCTGCGCAGGGAAGGTCGATATGAAGCTCTGCATTGGGCGGTGATGTTTTTGTGGCCGTGTTTGGGAAATCGAATTGGCTGCTTTGGTGGTGAGTTGCAAGACGATCGTAGCAAGGGGAAGGGGGAGAAGTACTTTGTATTTAAGTGTAGTAGTCGTTGAGTACCTCGAGCAGAATGATGGCATCTTAAGCGGGGAAGCAGGGGAGAAAGAGAAAAGGCTGCATGCGACTATTCTGCCGTTCTCTACGAACCAATGGTAGCTATACGCGTACCCTTATTCCGTATAAGTAGTCTGGCTTGTATGGCATGATCGTCTTGTTTCCCTGGACTAGGCTTCTATAACAGGTGAATCTATAACCTGCCATAGCTTCTTGATGGTGGCGAACTCCATGAGAATAAGCAGGTCATTGATGATTTGATTTGATTAGTCTTTTCTTTCCCCCTCATGGTCTTCAGGCGAGGAGGGTTAGAAGTTGATAGAGTGTGGGAGGGAATCGCTAACCTAGATGGGTAAAAAGATCCCGGGCCTGCCGGCATCTTCAAGCTGAACCAGTGGGCAGCCCGCAGCGTTATCAATCTTCCCTATCAATATCAGCTATCTATGGGGTCGACCCCTCACCAGTTTTCGGGTTCAGATCCCGAGGGTCAGCTCAGTCAGCGATTCATCCTGATAGCTTAACTCGGCGCCTAGAGTTATTGTGTGAGTACTTTGATCAGTCCAGGGAATAGCTCTGTACTGGTGCTTGCATAGTAGCTGGTCTAGCTGGAGCAGGTATGCTTGTTCCGCAGCGGTTGCCCAGATCTGCCCCTCATTGGGGCTGACTGTTTCTCTCCCCTCATTCAGATTACTGATCTGTATCTGCACTCTGCTTGAAGGATTATTCCTTCCCTTCTCTGGTAGGAGGGACCTCCTGAGTATCCTACTCCAGAAGGTGAATCCGGCGCGCGAATCGGATGTCGTATCTAGGGTGCTTGATCCCTAGTCAACGATAGAGGATGGATGGGATATAAAGCAGACCCAGGTACGGAGTACAGCGATTGACTTGGTACCTTCTTCAAACCTGTCTCTGTCTTTGCCTCTCTCTTTTTCTTTTGGTATTCAGTTCTCTCAGTCGTTGGAATAAAGTCTCGACACGCAAAACTCAAACAATATGCCGACTGCTATGGTTTACCACGCCAAGGCGCAATCCACCTTCAAGCCTCCTCTTATTGCGAACGAGAATGCTTTCCTGGGAGATGTCGATTCGAGGTACGGTACTTGCGTTTCAATGGCACTTTGAGCCTGGATAAATGGGCTAACGTGCAGCAGCGACTCATATAATCCCGAGAAGCCCATCTCGGCTGGCTTCTACCGCCTGGAGAAGGGCACTCCTCTCGTTTACGAGTACACATACGACGAGATGAAGATCATTGTCGAGGGCGAGTTCGAAATCTCAGACGAGACAGGCCAGAAGGTCACCGCACTGCCCGGAGATGTGTTCCACTTTCCCAAGGGTTCCAAGATCACCTTCACGACGCCGTCGTACGGGTTAGCGTTCTACGTTAGTGAATCAAATTACCCCTGAACAAGAAGAAAGTCGCTGGGATTGGTTGTTGCTGACGCGTGGCTGGGGACGTTTAGACTGGACAGCGGGCGAGAGGAGCCGCTTGATTTGCGCTTCCAAGGAAATAAACGAGCTTATCGAGATCGCCGGACCTTGATCGATACTTGATGACATCAGTTCTTTGTTCCGAACCTTGGATTTCGAACCATGGATGGAGGCTGGGGTTGGATCCGCTCCTGTCTTGAAATTTTGGAGATAAACGATTTAATGTGGAAATCAATTGCGAAATCAGAAGAATAATCGTGGAATCCTTTGCGTACAATCTTGGCTGTAGATATTTTCTCCGTGTCCAATTTCGTGCCGAACTCGATGGGCACCAGGTTGATCAATCCGATCATCTGGATCTTGTGCGTGCAAGGCAAATCTTGCGAAAGACGAATCCTGCGAGGGCTAGCGGGGATGACTCGCAGCTGAAAGCCCTGTCCTCAGCCTCAGAAATTGAAACTTCTCCCAATCAAGGACGTTTGATCGGCTCGGATTTGCCCTGGCGTCCAGATGGATCGGAAGAAGGGAGTTGCTGGGGAAACAATCCAGGAACCTGGCAGGAGGACTGTGGGATGAGAGGGGCACAGCGATCGGGCCTGGGCGCGCGAATTTGTGGCTGGCTGTCCATCAGGTATCAATTGCTTCTCATTGAATGCTTTGAACAAGAAATGTGGGTTCTTTCTTGTTGCTAGCTTCGTCTCAGCTTCAGCTCAGCTCCAGTCGTCATCAATAATTAATACCGTCGGAATTTCCCCTCATCAGCGTCGCTTTGCGCTCGCTCACCCCTCGCGTCCACTTCACCATCACAAGCATTTTGACTGTCCTCGAGCAGCTTCCCTGTTTGTTTGCTCTCCTTTGCAGGACCAGGGCTCTTTCTTCCAGAACAAAATCCCTGTTTCTCCTTCTCCCATCCAAACAAAGCGCTTCTCCTTCCTCTGCTCGCCAGATTCGAGTTCCTTCCCTGTCGCACTCGTCAAAGAGCTCTGTGTCACCCCCTCATTGCTTTTTTCTGACTGGGGAATTTTCTTTTTTACCTCGTCTGGCTCCGGACTCGGGTATCTCGTGTTTTATTCTCCTATCCTCGTGTTAATCTGATTTCTTTTTTTCGCGATCTTCGCTCGACCCCTCTTGTCGCTCCCCGAAAACGAATTGTGCCCAACTGATTGTGGCGAAGAGTCGCGCCCTACACCAGGCCCTCTCCTGTACACCCCCCGCTGAGTTGACAGAAACACATGCGATAATGGCTCTCGATCTCGGCACAAAAGATCGCTCGGGATTCCGACTGCCTCATCCTCCTCCATTGCTGCACACCCGCGCCGGCAACGAGCCCTTCGATCGCCCCTCCACTCCCCGCGATGAGACCTTCACCAGTCCCGTTCAGACACCGCAAGGAAGTCCCAGCAAAAACCGAATGCCTCCAGGCGCATTCGACCTCCCTAATGTTTTCGACAAGGCTTTGAAACTACAGCCTTCCTCCCCAACGAAAAATACCCACAATCACTTCAATCACCCAATGTTCACGAAATCCAATAAAAGTGGCGAGTCGCTTAACGAGAGCGTAATTCGCCCAGCGAGTCCGACTCGCAAGTCCAACAAGGAGAACACTCCACCAAATTCGACTCGCTTGACCAAGGATCTTGGTCCTAACCCGGCCGCTGCGGCTATCTCCCGCCAGGAACAGTACCAGACGCGGGATCTGGATAGCGTTGGCAGGCGCCAGGTGCCTATGCGAGGATTAACACCTGAAGAACTAGAAAAACTTCAAGATCCTCGGGTCAAGCGTTTGGTCAATGTGACCCAACTTTGTAAGTCCTTGTGCAATTGAGGTAAGGGAAGATCTTTGCTAACGCATGCAGATTTCCTTGATCACTATTTCGACCTTCTGAGTTATGTTCACAACCGCCAGAACCGTTATTCGCAGTTCCGCGCCGCTTACCCAGAACCTCCGGCTACAGCCATGGACGACTATGAACCCGCCCTGTTAAAGTATTTGGGTCGGGAACGGGCCCACCTCCGCAAGCGTCGTACCAGACTTCGTCAGCACGATTTCCAAATTTTGACGCAGGTCGGTCAAGGTGGGTACGGTCAGGTGTACTTGGCATCAAAAAAGGACACCAAAGAGGTGTGTGCACTGAAGGTTATGAGCAAGAAATTATTGTTCAAACTGGATGAGATTCGACACATTCTCACCGAGCGCGATATCTTGACTGCAGCTAAGAGCGAATGGCTGGTGAAATTACTGTACGCATTCCAGGATGACAGCCAAATCTATCTTGCTATGGAGTTTGTACCTGGTGGTGATTTCCGTACTCTGCTGAACAACACTGGTGTTCTGCACAACCGACACGCCCGGTTCTATATTGCGGAAATGTTCTGTTGTATCGATGCTCTGCACGCGTTGGGCTATATCCATCGTGACCTGAAGCCGGAGAACTTCCTAATCGACTCATCCGGCCACGTGAAGTTAACGGACTTTGGTCTTGCAGCGGGTATGTTGAATCCCGGTAAGATCGAGTCAATGCGAGTGAAGCTGGAGGAGGTGGGCAACACCCCGGTTCCCTTCGGTCGCCCGATGGAACAGCGTACGGTGGCCGAGCGTCGTCAAGGCTACCGCAGCCTCCGGGAACGGCAAGTAAACTACGCAAAATCGATTGTCGGCTCTCCTGACTATATGGCCCCTGAGGTGCTAAAGGGCGAGGAGTACGACTTTACAGTCGACTACTGGAGCCTAGGATGCATGCTGTTCGAGGCGTTGGCCGGTTACCCTCCTTTTGCCGGATCGACAGTGGACGAAACATGGCAAAACCTCAAGAATTGGCAAAAGGTTCTTCGACGGCCAGTCTATGAGGACCCGAATTATTTCCTGTCGAAGCGGACCTGGGACCTGATCACGAAGTTGGTCGCACATAGAGACCACAGATTTAAGACCATCCATGAGATTCATGAACATGAGTACTTTGCGGAGGTGGATTTTAACCGCGTACGTGAGCAGCGTCCGCCGTTCGTACCCGAGCTGGATTCGGAGACCGACGCGGGCTATTTCGACGACTTCACCAACGAATCCGACATGGCCAAGTATAAGGAGGTCCATGACAAACAACGAGCACTGGAGGAGATGGCTGATCGGGATGATAAGATGAACAAGGGCCTATTTGTGGGATTCACATTCAGGTATGTTTCTGATCAAGGTCCTCTAAGAACGAGCCTAACTAGCTGCAGACACCGGAAACCCAACATCGATGGAACTGGACGCCTATCCCCGCGCAAAGCAATTCCGACGGACGGGACCTTCGGCACAATGTTCTGAAACCTCTCCATTTTCTGATTCGTCCCCTTTAATTTGCAGTGCATCGGCCGAGCTGGATCTCGATTGACGTAGCCCTTGTTTGATTAAGCGAGTACGGGTTTAATGCATGATCAATTATGTCGGAACGGAGTTGAGTGTATGATACATAGATGGTATCGCAAGTGGTAATACAACAAATGACAAGCACAATCTTCTATCAATCTGTAACATAATCTTGAGGTTTCCGTCTTAGTCATTCGCCTGCCTGACCATTTTCAGGATCTCACTCTCATTGTCTCCAACAACGGCCTGTCCGTTCGTCCAATCCACCGTAATCGGCCGCACAAAACGCGTTTCATCCTCCTTGAATTTCTTCACTGCATCCTCTGCATTCTTTGCCCCCTTCACAATCTCTGAAACAGCATACGTCGGCCCGCCGACCTTGCCAACTAAACTCGGGTCACCGCTGACATAGTCAAGGATGTTCCGCAGCTGATCTGTCGTCGGGGGAGCAGTCGTGATTTCGAGTTGGAACTCGCCGCGCCCAACGGGACTGTCCGCGGCGCTTGCCGCTGCCGATGCGGCCTTGAGGATGTTGAGCGCTTTTGTGGACGATTGGAGGCTGGGAGAGTGGAAGAGGGTGATCGGATCGAGGGTTTTGGGCTGTCGTTCTCTCTTGTTAGTATAGTTCACATAGCAGGTATAGGTACTTTGAAAGGGTGGCAGGTAGATGTTGCTTGGGTTCAGTTTGAGCTTGCTGTACTGGGCCCGTGTGGAGATGAGGGTACCGGATGGTGGGCAGGGGTAACGTACGAATCGGAAGACCATTTTAACGGTGTAGGTGGCTTGAAGTGTATGAACTCTTGCCTGTAAGGACTGGATTGGTTGTTTGTGAGGGTGAGAGAGGTCGTTGGATTGAGCTATCTCGGCACGAAGCTTGGTGGTGAGTCAGGTGTAGTTAGTTCAGGCTTGATTACGTCATACATTTTTACACTGCTGTTTCCGAGTTTCGCAACTCGTCCGCAAAAAATGTTCCGACGACTTTTCGTAGTCTTGAACTCGTGATATCCAATAGCCTACTTACTATGAGACTATGAGAAATGTGATTACTATTTCAAAGCGTCGATCCTTGAAGCTCAATCGACTGTATTATTCGAGCACTCTTTGAGTCTCCCACTCAACAAACAGCAGCGAAGCGATTTGGACTCACTAGAATACAGCCACATCAGCCATGGACCAGCCTACTCCTCTGTGATTCTTTCATGCACGTCAAGTCAAACACTCAGATTCTCTGCTAGCGTTCATGCTCTCGTATTCAGCCGCGCCACTTGATATTGGTGTGGGCTGTGCTCGAAGTGATTTAAAGATGCAGGAAATGGCTTCATTCTACCTGGTGAGGTCCCGTAAACGACAGTTATCGTGACAAGTTCTTTTATCATTACCTAGGCTACTGTCGCTGAGGGGATTATGGACCTCAGTCTCGATCTGAAGCAACTAACGGTGGATGAGGGGAGGAGTAAGGAACTCAAGCCTGAAGGGCAAATGCCAGTCGAACAAATACCTGATGAGTTACTGATAAAAGCGCAGGAAACCGTGGAGGCTAGAAGGCTAGGCAGTTTGATGTGTACCATCCGAGAACCATCAGCATCTTGTCCTCGTGCCTGTGCGCGTGCACACAGGGATGGGAGCGAATCTGCTACAGGTCCATTACAGTCGACTGAATATACTTACTGGGGGCTTGTCAGTGCAGAACATCCTTCCTCTGGCATGCTTCCCCTTCAGGTGGCGTAAAGAAAGCTGCGTACTAACTACGATAGAGCTATATCGGTTCCAGAAAAGGTCCACGAAAAGGCAGTCGGAGGAAGAACTAGATTGTGGAGATTATATTCGGTTTGACCCAGAGGCCTCTCCTGCCTACGAAAGTATGGATGCGGAGAATGTCACGGTCGAAGGCTTTGGCCTCGATATTTGGGGCGCCGAGATCAAATACAAGCCTGTTTTAGGCCCGCCTTGTGTGTCTGTACCAGAACTGCCAAGATATCCTTTCTTGCTGGTCGCTGCTCTCCGCAAAATAGAGGAGCTCCGCTTTCAAAGACATCTCGCCTCGGCCGAAGTCAGGGAAATAGGTAGATGGCTTGACACTTTGAGTCAAGAGGCGTGGAGCAACACGTTGGACTGCCAATCTGACCATGAGGGGCGTGTCCTTGCCAGGCTTTTTCCATATCTGCACCGGGCAAATTTTTCAATATTGACAACCATCTCGCAAGGACCTACCTCGTTTGACGAGAGCAATTACGATAAGGCGTGACTCCCATATATCTACATGATCATGGCACGACAGCGTACGCTCCGTCTTCGGGAGAATGGAAGTGTGTCGGTACGCGGCTTGACGAAACTAGTTCTTGCTGTCCTTCTCCTCAGCGATCGCTGGCTCGAGAACACGAAAATCGAGTTGCTAGATAATTTCAGGATAGAATCGGATGTGGCCGAGACGATGAAGGCTCAAATATCACAATATGAGCGGGAGGACGCCGAAGAGCTTATGCGCCAGAGGACCAGAGCCGCCGAGGGTGGACGGATCAGAGTTGCCCGAACGCTCTATAGTCAAGCAAATCGGATTGTCTCTCCAACTACGAATTTATCCGGAAGAGGGCGGAACCCATCCTCGGGGGTGGCCACGGTGCCGTCAAAGAAGGGATTTTTCTGAAACTATTGGACCCGACCCGTGTGGAGGGCTACATGATTCTAGGACGAGGGTACATGGGCTCTAAGAACTACCAACTGGCCCGAGAAACGTTTAACCAGGCATCCCAGGTTGTGAACGACGGAAAAAAAAATGTGTTCTTCAAATTAAAATACAACTCCATCTTTGTGACACTTCCGCCATGTCACTAGACGAACCGAAAAAGGCCCATGAAGTCCACCGTCGCGAGCTACACAGATACAACCGCGAGGAAATTTTTGTAAAGTGCTCGATCGCCAGCAGCCGTTTGCGGACGACGATAAAATTATGGTGATAAATGCCACGGGTCCCGCATCTGAGGTTGTTGCAAGGGCTTGGTGTGCGCACCATGGAAAGACTGCTGCGGTGAGGAAGGCTGGAGGGCCGTGTTATGCCTGCGCTGAAGGCCGCGAGTCGGTATGGTATTCGAACTGATGTTTTGATTTGGATGTCCTAACGCTAAGCATAACCATTCAGAAGAACTCTTGCCTTGATGCTGGGCGCTGTATTGTCAGTGAATATGGTGTGGAGCATTGTACATTTTGAGTTGTTGTATAACTACGGACAAACAGGTTATTCTTGAAGCCAATCTTGGGGTTATTCACCGATATTGCTCCACGCGCATATGGTGACTACTCTCTGATCGAGGATATTGTGTGTCCATGAAAGCCCAGCTTGGACTCAATTTACCACGCCCCAGCTGCCTGATCACTATCCATGGATACCAATATTTGGTGAGACTACTAGAATCGAAGCAGTTGGGGATGTAGTAGCATCATAAAGAAAGCTTCGGACGCAAATGGTCAGACCTTGAAGAGAGAGCTGGAATTGCCCTTGTCCTCTTCATATCTCAATGTCTATACACACTGGATCTCTGATCCTTTATTGCGAGTTCGGCATATACACGCTCATCTCGAACCCATTCGTGAATGGCAGCGTCATATTTTGGAACCCATTCTTCGGATCCCGCATGAAAGCCAGCAGATCCGCATACCCCTTTGCCCCGGAAATCGTGTTGTCAGTAAGCACGACCGCTCCGGGCCTCAACCTAGGCAAGACAGTCTTCAGCGTAGGGAGTGCGAGCGCCGACCATACTACGCCAGTTAGCACAATTCACCCAGCTAGGAGTAGGGGCATATTGGAGACTCACTATCAAGCAACAGCAGATCCACAACCGGCAAGTTCTCCTTCAACGTCTCCAACAAATCCCCAACCCTCAAATCAATCTCCCTCTCCACCACCTCCCCACACTGCTTCCAATACCCCCTCGCCACATCCGCCTTGCTACTTTCCTTCTCCGTCGCAACCACAACCCCCTCCGTCTTCCCCGTAAGCGCCTTGACCCGCGAAACCGCTAGCGCAAGGTAGATCGTACTAACCCCGAAGCTCGTCCCGGCCTCGACGATATTCGTCGCCCCCATGGAGGTGATGAGTTGGTAAGTGAAGTGGCATTTGTCCTCGTCTAGCGCAATGAACTTGTCGAGCATGAGGGAGTCGAATTCTGTAGCTGGGTTGGCTTGTTGGGCTTCTTCCTTGGTTGAAAGCTTAGAGATTATATCTCCTGAAAAGACCTTGCCGGATTTGTTGGCGGCGATGGTGGCTTCTTGGTCGAGGGACTTTTTGTGTAGGTCTTTGAGGAGGGCGTGGATGTGGGGAGGGGCCACGACCGGGGAGGGGCTAGAGGTAGACATGGCTTCTAGCAAGGTTGGGGATGTACCGCGATGTTCACAGTGTATAGTCGATGGTAAAGAGAGATTGAAGGAGACGTTAATCTCTTGTTAAAAGGTAAGGTCGTACTAGACTAATTTATAAGAGAAACCGGGGTATGTCTTGGCATTTGGGGATCTCGACAGGTTGACTCAGAGTTTGTCAGAACCCAGACTCCAGGCTCGAGAACTTCTCTAAAGACGAAGAGGTAACAACGAACACCTTCGTATGGGTGGGTCGTTGACTCATATATATGATCTGAACTCCAACAATTGAATATCTTCGACAGCCGATCTTGAAGGACACCACGTTGATAGCCGCAAGAGAATGCTGTACCAGCACCACTCGACATGAGCAGGCCAACGGCGGAGCCTCGTTACCAATCAGAAAGAGACGGTGCGACCGATAGCCCTCGTGTACCATATGTGGAAGGCGCGAAGGGCGTCCAATGCATTGATTGCCTTTGAGCTCTTCACGGCATGTGAGGGGTATTCAAACTGTCTATTGGTCACATATGCAACAATGACATTACCATCCAAAATTCTCCACATGAAGATAAACCCCCTGCGCACCTGTCCCTTTGTGCACTGCCCGCTCGTCACTGAGGTAGACCACGCTTCGGCGCACATCGTCTGACAAACCTTGTGGTCCACATACGAACACAGCGCTCTCGCCCTCAGCTCTCTCGAGGGCTTTGCGGATTATTTGGCGAATTGCTGGGCGGCCAGACAAGAGCGGTATATCTGGAGATGTGGATGACGTCTGAGCCTGAGATGCAGGACCAGAGCAAGTGCACTGCCGTGGGTTGATTTGTTCTTCTTCAATGGTCGTAGTGCAGCAACACCTATCGACGGGAAGACTGCTTAGTTCTATTGACGACCCAGAGTGTATTGATATGGCATCTTTTTCCGTCGCAATTGGCTTTCTGTCAGTGCTAGCTGACCTTGTGTGCCTCCCAAATGAGGTAGACCAGGCCGCTGATGACTGGCAAGTATCTGGAGGCGGTTGCTCTAGTTTCTCGTCGCAGGTAATGTGTACATTGAGCTTGATCTCCCGAGCGATGTCTGGGTACTCCTGCTGGCAAGCCGCTATGTCCGCTCGCACAGACTGCAGCTGTGGCTCGAACCAAGTGAGGTGCATGCGCGACTTGATCACCCAGACGAACCGTATCCGCTTGGTTACGGTTAGGCGGGAATTACTCCTCCATTGCGCAACAACATCGCGGAGCAAGGGCACTGTGAGGGTGGCGCCCATACCACCGGCAATAAGAACGATGCTGTCAAATTGTCGAGGCGAGCGCAGCCTTCCGTACGGCCCTTCAAGGAGCACTATGCGTGTTTGTTTGTTAGAGGCGTCGGGATTGCCGATGACTTGGTCATATTTGGATGCATACCGAAAAAAGCGTCTTGTGCCGCCTTTCTCTGCACGAACAAGAAATTCCAGTTGATTGTCTTCGGGGATAGAAGCGATGGTGAATGGGTGGCTTTGCAATGGCGCAACTGTATGGCATGTGAGAAACAAATGCTGGCCTGGCGTCCATTTGGTCCCTGGGTTCTTGATGGTAACTCGAGTGACGTTTCCGGGTAACGGGGTGAAGGATGCCCTGTTTGCCCAAAGAGCCTGAGTCCAAGATCGATGAAAGACCGACAGATTAATATATGTTGCCCACGCATATCTCACGACTCGGTCAAACACAAGCAGTCCAATAGGTATCCAGACCCAAATTTTAGTCTCCTTCGACGCGTGTAGCCATACTGCAGCGATAAAGCCGACAAACATCACCAGATGCTGTATGACGAAGAACTCATACCCTAACTTCCGGATCGGGCGGGCAGATGAAACAACGATAAACGTTAGGATACACCAGGCGGCGACTCCGCGTTTTGCAAAGCCGTTTGTCTGGAGCTGATATGTGATGTAGTTATACCGACCCCAACTTCGAAACCAGAAGCCCATGTGGAAGGTTGCGCATAACCAGACTGTCCGCGCAACCCATCGGTGGAACCAGTTTAGGCGTTGGTAGTCTATACCTGCCAGGAGCCCGATGATATTTTGTCGTCCTGCTAGCAGAAATATCAAAGGGAGCTGTGCAATTGTGATGAAGCCTGTTCGGTAGCCTATATCCTCCCACGACCATTGGTCTTCTGTGTTGAGCTTGTAGAAGCAGAGGACCACGGCCATGATTAGGTTTGCAAGGACGATGATTAACGGACCCAGCGGGGCAAAGTGAATCTTGAGACCGTATACCGAGATCGGAGGTAAAGTTGCATAGCTTGTCTCGCGACTCACGGCCGTCAGTGTGGCGTATGCGCGGAAGAATAGTGCCTTTGGTTTTGAGGGGGTCAGGGTAGAATCTCGCGTTCTGCAGATATCAGCCCGCGATTCTTCTGGATTGTCGTCCGGGGTCCTTCACAAGAACGCTTACCGCTGAAGAGTAATGATATGATTGAGAACATTTGCAAATGTTGCGGCCCCAACGGCACTGCCAACAACCGCCCAGTACATCTGCTGGAGGTCGGAGTGGCTAACAGCCCCGGAGCCCATATGCGTATGTCCACTGTGGCTCATTTTGAAGGTAATGTCAGTATATTCAAGAGAGCAGCATGTCGAGTATTAAGGTCAACCCTAGACAGTTCAGCCAGAATCGCAGAGTCCATCATGAAAAAGGTCAAGGACCAAACGAGGGACACAAGCGGGGAGATTCCACTTCTGGCTGGTTAATAATAATCTGCTCACTTGGAGGCTTGGACGCACACTCCTGGTTGGCTGAAAACGTGCTCAAGGTCATCACTTGAGTCTTGAAGCGTGCCTGCCAGATTAACTTCCAAGGTTTCTCTTGACAGTCTGATAGTCTCATTACTTCGAATGTTTATATCTGTTTCAACACCCTACAGCAAGAACTTCGCACCACTCAATACAACCTGAACAAATGAGCCACTCCCACTCAAGTTCGGGCTCGTCGTTCATGACGATGTCTATGGTTTTTACCAACACACACGATTCGCCGCTTTTCTCTTCGCAATGGACCCCTTCCTCAAACGGCTCCTACGCCGGAAGCTGCATTTTCCTGATCGTTCTTGCCGTCATCGGCCGGTGTCTGGTGGCATTCAAAGCCTACATGGAGCAGCGATGGTTCAACGCTCATCTCAAGCGTCGCTATGTTGTGGTCACTGGCAAAGCCTCTGAAGCCGGCCGCATCAACGCAGACCCAGACGCAAAGACGGGCACTCTGGTGACGGCGAATGGCGTCGAAGAGTCGGTCAAAGTGGTCTATCGCGAAAAGAATGAGATCCTTCCCTGGCGCTTTAGCGTGGACTTCCCGCGGGCGCTGATTTACTTGTGTATCACGGGGGTATCCTATCTGCTGTACGTCCATGTCTAACCTCTGTGAGACTCGAACTAATGCACAACCTCCCTTCAGGATGCTGGCTGTTATGACGATGAATGTGGGATATTTTTGTTCGGTCCTTGGCGGTTCGTTTCTGGGAGAGCTTCTGGTGGGACGGTTGATCCAATGGCACGAATCGCATGGACATTAATCTGATCAATTATACAATAGCCTATCAATTATCTTGACATTATTTTGTCCCTGTGCTTTGTCGAGTGTGCCCCCACATTGGTGCAACCATTGTCATGTACATCCGCGAGAAAAAAAAATGGTGGATTCCAGATCCTGCAGGGCTCGGTTTGAGCGCATATGAGCACATTTTCTTACCCGATCTGTGTTAGCTGTCAGCCTTCATTTAGCCTTTCGGGTGTTTTCTCCATTCATCATCACCTCAGGGTCTTGGCTGTACTATTCACTTGGTTTGGCTTGCTTGCTGGGTATTGCTACTGGCAATAGGCCTGTCAACTGAATTAATAAACTTCATACCAATGCTACCAGCGCCAGCTCGAAATCTGCTCATCCTAACCAGTTCTGATAAACACCAATCTAGCAGGCCCTGAAGTCCCGAGTATCCTGTCTTTCCCCCGCTCAATGCAAGCGAGTATCGCATATCCCTGTCCCACCTACTATAAAATCTACAGCACAACCAAGCCTCACCAAGCCTCACCACCACTCACTCTCACCCACCAGACCTTTCTCCTCTTCAACCCAATTCCATCCACAACAATCATGACCACAACAACGATGAAGCACCTCCTCCCCCTCCTTACTCTCTCCCTATCCCCCCTCACAGCCGCCCACTTTGCCCTCAACTACCCTGCACCCCGCGGTGACAATGCCGAAGAAATGACCGCCTTCCCCTGCGGCGCCTTCACCAACCCCTCCTCAAACCGCACGCAAATTTCCCTCTCAGACCCCACCTTCCCCGTCGAAATCGACCTCGGCCACGATCAGACCGCCGTCGAGTTCCTCCTCGCAGTCGGAAACGAGCCTGGCGACAACTACAACATCACGCTCCGCCAAACGTTCCGCGTCGAGGGGCTCGGCGAGTTCTGTATTCCGAGTATCGAGCTCAGCGAGGAGGTTCTCGGTGTGGAGCTTGTTGATGGGTTGAATGTTACACTGCAGGTGCAGACAAATTCGCATCCGAGTGGCGGGTTGTATTCTGTATGTTTCGTCCCTTCCTTCTCTCCCTTGCTTCACCCACCCGGCCCTATACTCTACACCCTCGCCCATGCTAACGCATTTCTCTCAAATACAGTGCGCAGACCTAACCCTAACATCCGCGACAATCCAGCCCCCCTCCAACTCCGTCTGCAGCAACAACACCGGCGTAACCGCAACATACTTCACCGGCGCCGCGGCAGAGCGCCACGCAAACGCCTCAACCCCCGAGGGAGAGGCGCAGAGCGAGTCGGATGACGAGCACTCGGATCATGACCATGGTAGTGACGAGGAGACCACGGGCAATGAGACGAGCACTGCGGATTCTCCCGAGGAGACGGATGGTGCGGCGGGGGTGAGGGCGGCGGTTGGGTGGGTTAGTCTTGGGGCTGTTGTTGTTGGGGGATTATTTGCTTTGTAGATAGGGTTTGTGTGGGCGTAGGCTTGGTTTTGGGTTTGATGTTAGAGCAGGGTTCGGTTGAGATGTACGTATTAGGTGTGGGGATTTCACAGGAGCATGTCGACTCAAGTCGCAAGGTCCAATGTTCGGATATGTACTAGAAAACGAATTGAATTAAGATACGGTACCATTAACCATCAGCCGAACTCTAGACAAATAGAATCGGACCTTCCTCGTCTATATCGCTCCCAGCTAGCTACATCATACCAATTATACACCCCCTTCATATCTATAGGCTTCGTCCCTCCAGCCAAAAGCTTCACTCACAGAACACCAGCCGGCTGTTCCTGCTGTTGAATCTCCACCAGATTCCCATCCGGATCTGCGACCATTACGAGCAAAGGCAAGCCGATAATCCCCTGCGCATCCATAAGCCTCTGCTTAGCTTCTAAATGCACTCCCGCATACTCCCCAATACCAAACGCATTGTTAACAGGACCCGTGAATGTCTTGATCGGCTCTCCATATCTCTTCAGGATTTCAACACCCTTACTCTCAAGATATTCCTGCGCCTTGACGATATCCGGAACAACGAGACCGACGTGTCCGAACGTATTGGTGCGGTTAAGCGAGCCGAGCAGCTCGTCATCCGAAGCACTGAACTGCACGATCTCAAGCAGACCGGCGAGATTGTTCTTGTCCCGGTTAAGTTCTTCGCCTGTCTGGAAGCCCGTCCCGTTGCGGCCGCCCTGCGGGTAGCCCATGTACGTGATTGTGAACTCCGGTGTGAGGATGACGTTGAAGATGAGGCGGAGGCCAAGGATATCGCCGTAGAAGTGCTTCAGGCGCTCGAGGTTTGTGGTCAGCAGGCCGAAGTGGTTGATAAAGTAGCCTAGGGTTTCTGGGGGCGCGGGGCCGTCGGTGCCAATGTGGAAGATGTCGCTTGGGTCTGGGGTTGTGGTGTTTGGTGCGCCGCAGGCGGTGGCCCATTGAATGGCCATTGCGAGGCCGAAGAGGAGCTTTGCGGCGAGCATTGTAGAGAAAAATCGAGTGTTGAAGGGAGGAGAGAAGGTTTGTATGCTCTGTGGGCTGTTGTAGATGCATATTCATATTCCAGTGATAGCAGGGTCTTTATAGATGTCCAGGCTCTCAAGGCAGATTGCGGGCTTAGCCTTATCCATCTCGCAAGACGGTCAAAAGTCACAAATCGCGTAGCAGCTCCGAAGCCATCTTCTCCAAAGGCTTGGACGAAGCTGCAGGAACAACTATGAGATACCCAAGCATGATCCCCAAATATATCTCAGAACGGATTAGCGGCGCGAAATCAATCCAAGAAAAGCTTAGCGGCGGAGGGCCCCCAGCCTCGTCGCGCACGGGATTTCTCACCTCAACGAATAAGACTTGATTTGTATTGGGGCTTTGTAGTTGGGGACATCTCCAAACTATTTCACTGGACAGCTCGCGATCTCTGATCCTAGGTACGTACCAATCATCCCTTGAGGATCCTGGGTCTGTCTCTTGACTCCACGAGCACGGGCTGTGGACAACAAGCGCTTCACTCCGCAGCAAGACCCTGAGGACTGCCCGATTTGGGAAGCATTTGACGCTGGGATTCGGAGTTGGAGTGACACCGAGTGAGGCTGTGGTTTTTTCGACCCCAGTCGCGACCTGTCAACGCTTTGGTGGTTTCCCCAGGAGCGGATCTTACCCCGAGCAGGCCGAATGCCCGTGGCGGTCAGTATGCCCAGGAATAGTTGTGGACGTTGAGACGGGTTCGGATGAACTTATGCCGTTATCTGTTGAGGATGAACGGATGAGCCGGGTTGTATATGATATGACTCATGGCTCAGCCTCTCTGTCTTGTTTCGCTCCCCAAGCATCTGATGAAGGTGTCTCGGCCATTCCAAACAGAGCATCATTTCTCGCCAAATGTCAAATCACTTTGAACTGGAACAGAAGAATTCGAGCTCGAAGACTTCAGGGTCGATGTGCTCTCCGACTACCCGGCATATTGCTCATGTTCAAGCCTCCGTTCATGATCTCGAACTCAAGATACTTGATTTCATGCCATCATGAGGTTGTGCCTTTCGGCGTGGCGATCACTGGCCGGCGCGTGGCACCAGAACCGCTGAATCAGCTTCATGACTGCTTTATAAGAGTTCGGTACGGAGTAACACCGAAGCCAGTGAAAGCAGCTCTTGCTAGGTAGAAGTGCCGGATCGCACGAGTGTGGCGGTCGAAGGTCACAGATGTCAACAGTTGAAATGTATAAGCAAAGGCCGGTTTTCGGACGTTTGCTTCAAACCGGCGGTATTATTTCTTTTTGTTCGGCCCGTAGAAAGTGGCCAGTGGTGTGGTGTGTTGTGGATTGGTGTGGGCTTCTTAGCGCAAGAGAAGCCGCGGGGAAACGGCAAACCCCGGACTCAGACCGAGGTCGGTCATCGGCCAAACAAGCGCATCATTGATAACTTCTTCACCTTCTCCCCTCCACAACTTTTCCCCTTGCTCATCAGGGGATCACAGAATAGCTTCAATTATGCTACGATCAGTTCCTCGTCGGATTCTGCGACGCCTTCCTCACTCGCCGACCGCAGGCGGTCCGTCTCGTCTCGCCCTGCGCCCTTTCACATGCGGTTACCTGCGGATGTCGCCCTCGTCGCTCCCTCCCGTCCAGCCTCCCGTCTCAACTGCCTTGCCTAGCGATTCCTACCAGCTCCTATCGACCACCGATAAAGCTGGAGCTGCGGAGGATGCTCTATACGAGCAGCAGATCAAGGATGTCGAGGAGTGGTGGGCCTCTCCCCGCTATGAGGGAATCAAGCGGCCGTACTCCGCCGCCGACGTTGTTAGCAAGCGGGGGTCATTACAACAAACGTATCCGAGTTCATTGATGGCGCGGAAGCTTTTCAACTTGTTGAATGAACGAGCGGCGGAAAATAAGCCAGTCCACACCAGTATGTTCGCATCAATCGACGGCCGTTTTCACTCACTAATCAACGGTAGTGGGCGCAATTGATCCCGTACAAATGACACAGCAAGCTCCTAATCAGGAGGTCTTGTATATTTCCGGCTGGGCATGTTCATCGGTTTTGACGTCTACCAACGAAGTCTCTCCGGACTTTGGAGACTACCCATACAACACGGTGCCGAACCAGGTTCAGCGATTGTTCAAGGCCCAGCAGTTGCACGATCGGAAACACTGGGACGCCAGAAGAAAGTTGACACCGGAGCAGCGAAAATCGACTCCCTACGTCGACTACATGCGACCGATCATTGCCGATGGTGACACTGGGTATATTCCCTTACCCCCCTGCAGAGACCTCTGCTAACGTGTGCCAGACACGGCGGCTTGACTGCTGTCCTGAAATTGGCCAAGTTGTTTGCTGAAAATGGTGCTGCGGCCGTTCACTTCGAGGACCAGCTCCACGGCGGAAAGAAATGCGGCCATCTTGCTGGCAAAGTCCTGGTCCCGATGGGAGAGCACATCAACCGACTCGTTGCGGCTCGCTTCCAGTGGGATATGATGGGTGTCGAGAACTTGGTCATTGCGCGAACCGACTCTGAGAGCGGAAAATTGCTCAGCAGTGCCATTGACGTGCGTGACCACGAGTTTATTCTCGGAGTTGCGGAAGACGTCGAGCCACTAGCAGAGACCCTTCAGGCTATGGAACGGGAAGGGGCTGCTCCGGCTGAGATTGACGCATTCGAATTGGACTGGGTTAAGAATCACAAGCTTGTGACTTTTGACGAGGGTAAGTATTCCCTCCGCCTACCTAGTCAAACTCGCTAATTCTTTCTAGCCGTCGATGCGCACCTCGAGGCCGAAGGTGCCTCCCAAGCCGCTCGCGACGCCTACAAGAAGCATGTCACCGAGAACCCAGATCTATCTATCTCGCGCCGTCGCGTTCTAGCCAGCGACTACACAAAGAAGCCAGTAGTCTGGTCATGCGACAGCCCTCGCACCAGGGAAGGCTTCTACCACTACCGCGCCGGCTTCCCCGCAGCAACCAAGCGAGCCAAGGTGTTCGGTCCCTATGCGGATCTCCTCTGGGTTGAGACCGGTGACCCAGATGTCGCCAAAGCCGCGAAGCTCGCAGACGAAGTGCGAGCCGTCCACCCCGGCAAGAAGCTCGTTTACAACCTGAGCCCGTCCTTCAACTGGATGGGACAAGGCTTCGACGAGGCTTCCCTCAAGTCATTTATCTGGGATCTCTCAAAGCACGGGTATGCCCCTACTCACCCTTTTCCGCTTGTAAATTGCTAAATTAACTAATATAGCTTCGTTCTCCAACTCATTTCCCTCGCCGGTATCCACTCCGGCGCCACTATCACCGCCGAACTCTCCCGCGCCTTCAAGGACGAGGGCATGCTCGCCTACGTCCGCCTCATTCAGGCCCGTGAGAAGGAGCTGGGCGTGGATGTCCTCACGCACCAGAAATGGAGCGGTGCGCCGTACATGGATGGAATCGTTGGAGCTATTCAGAGCGGAAGCAGTAGTAGTAAGAGTATGGGCGAGGGAAACACTGAGAAGGGTGAGTTTCTACGTTCTTTCCTCTGTTACTTATAGTGTTGTGACTAACAAAATGTGCGTGCAGGTTTTTAGACTTCTTAATCAGGTACTGGAGTGGATGTGTAAATCATGTCATGCATTTGATGAAAAAATTGTCTTATCTAGTTGATTTTTTGCTAGCTAATAGATTTGGTATAATTCGCACTGCAGCTTCATTCTCAAGGAACTCAGGCTTGTAACGAAAATACCGACCAGACAGCCTGTGTTGCCTACAGGCGGGCGAATGGGTACGAACAGCGACTATAGTCTCTACGATGGAGCGAGTGACTCAGGAAACAGTGACTACATTCTGCCTTTGCCCTCACTAAGAATACAAGATATACGACTCGGAATCGCCGGCAGACAGAAACAAAGAATAACGAGCGAGAAGAGAAAAGAAAATCAAACTCGAAAGTGGCACTCACATTCTTGCTCCCGCTGATAGAATACCATACATCGATAGGAAATAAGAGAAAATAACACCAAGAGGGTCATAAGAAGGTGAAAATGAAACAAACATGATGACGAAAAGCCATTCTTCTTCCTCTGATTGAAAAAATTTGAGACCGTCAGGAAGATAATAAAATAACAAATTTCCTCCGTAAAACAACCAGAATCGCATCGCTCGAAAACGTACAAATAGGCGCAATATCATAGCGGTTCAGTTAACGCGGAAGGCGTCCAAAATGACTATAACGGTTAGTATGTCTCTTTAGACAACCAGTCTTGAGTGCACTCACTTTCTTGACCTCGGCGGCAGCCGCTGGAGATCCACATCAGGGTGTTGAGGAAAGTATAGCGGTCATCGCCTGTCTCCATGGACAGGTTCACACGATACTTGTAAGAGTTAGGGTTAATCCCGTCCGCCATTGTAGGGTCGCCGAGCTTGTCTAGCACGTCTTTGGCGCCCGTAAGCCATCCATTGGTCTTGACGACAATGAACGCCGGGGGCTCGTCTGCGGTCTGGAGGAGGAAGTTTGCGCGCATGCTTGTGGAATCCTTCGTCATGACTTGAGAGTCTTGTCCACCAGGCTAAAAACACGATTAGCAATAAGCTTCGCGAAAATCTCGAGTGGAACGTACCACGACCACACCCTTGCCCCATCTACCAGCCCACTGTCCACCAACAAAGGTGACCCAGTCCCTGTGGCCCCAGATGCCTGGGCCCACTCCGACCTTGGGGTTTATCTTGAGGCTCAAACGAAAGTCCAGCTCGAGGGTAGGTGACGGGAGCGACAGCGAGCGGGCGATTTCGCCCTCGGGGAATGTGTGCAGGAGGTTGTTTGCAGGAATCGAGTCCTTCATAACGCTAAGGTATGTCGGGCACTCCAGGAGATGCTGGCGCTGTCGGCTGGTGTTCTTTGCGCGGACCTGTTGGCAGTAGATGCACTGCACGGAGAGACACTGCTCTGCGTCAGTACAGTATTCAATTGGGTCCAGCCAGACACTCTTACCTTGTCTTCCTCCTTGGCACGGAACTCAACAAACGCAGCGTGAACGTCATCGAGAGGAGGGGCGGGGAGGCTCGAGGTTGAGCTCTTCGGCTTCGCTTTCGGGGTCGTACGCGCAGGCGGCGGAGGCCCACCTGTCGCAGGGCCAGCAACAGGACCGGTAGCTGGCAATGAGGGGCGGCCGGCCAGGGTCTGGAGAGGTGTCTGCATGGGAGTCGCATGGGGACCGACGCCGTTTGGCATCATACCGGCTCCAGGAGTTGCCAGGGCGCCATGCCCTGGAGGGGGCCCTGGGGCGGCCGCGCCTGCGGCGTTGGGATTCGGAGGGTATCCATTTGCAGCGGCGATGCCATTCGGAGCTGCTTGGGTAGGCTGGGTTTGCTGAGCCTGGGCGCCGCGGAGACCAGGACACTCGAGCAGGTGCTGCTTCTGCCGCGAGGTGTTCTTTGCGCGGATCTGCTGGCAGTAGATGCACTGTACGGAAAGACACTGTTTTGAGGAAACAGAAAGATGGTTAGTATGTCAGTGACGATGACGAGATGCGGTGCTGAAGCGGTTTCGCTGAAATATTACGGGATGGGAATTACAGAGTCACGCACCTTATCGTCTTCCTTGGCACGGAACTCGACAAACGCCGCGTGAACTTCCTGGTCGACCGTCCGACCCATGTTCACGACTAGAGGGGCGAAAAAATCGATGGTGAAAAGATTGGCCTGTGATTCCTATTTGATTATCGAGATGAAGAAGCCCTTTAGGGGTGGAAATGTGATGGAAACCGCGGGAGAGCTGGACAGGACACGCAGCTGGACTCGGGGGAGGGAAAGTGAAAAGGAAGAAGACGGAACGGAGACGAGACGAGACGCGGGCGGTTAACTTACGCGAGCCGTCACGACAAGACCTTACCAGTAATTTCCACACACTTTAGAACCATAACAGACGGCCGCCATCGCCGAAAATCAACCAGTTAGGAAACCTTCACTTTCTGTTATTTCTGTTATTTCTTCTCCAATTGAACTGTGAAGCAACTGAAGCAACTGAAGCTATCTGAAGGAGCGCAGCTCTCACGCGCGGCTGATCGAGCCCACCGCGTAAGCAGATTCCTGACTCAATTCAAGTTCCTGGTTACTATCAGCGTTGGGCGTCCCCCATCCATTCATTCCCTCGCTGCTATTCTCGGACACGCCAATAGAATGCGATTCAACATCCGACGGGGAGGGGAATCAGGGGATACTCATGAGCTGACCCCACTATGTACTCTCATCATTGAAGTTTGGCCTTCAGACATTATCAGGTCTCTCTACTAGTAGTATACTCAGTCTAGTTCTTGCTCAGCGATACTAATACTGCGTACATCGTATGCCGTACGCGTACGGAACGGTCGGCACATTTCAATCCTGAATTTACCGCGGTCTGCGATCGCGGTATTTCATCAAAACATCGGATCACGGGCTGCCCCAGTACCTTAGCATCGCGCGAGTCTAGATACCCTAATATGAGGTTCAATTTCGAATGCTAAGAGGAAACATGAAGAATTGAAGCCGTGCAAAGCAACTCGAGGCAAACCCCGCCCGTGGCAGAAAGCATTGACCCGACTCAGCCACAGCCACCAGCAACGCGCGAAGTTTCCCGCGTCCAGCACATCACCTCATCAGCTGCGATTATTGGGCTGGGTGGGATGAGAAGGTTCAAGTTCGCAATTGGTTTGCGCGTCTTGGGGGTGGAAGTGGAGGGGTAACTGTACTTGGGGCCAATAATATATTTCTCATATAGGCCGAGAGAGCTCCGGGAAAGCAGGACCTGAGGGGATGAGGAAGGCATTCCAGATATATTTTCTGATAGTGTTGAGGTGAAGTATAAGATGGTATTTCACTTCGCGTTATTCGCTCCTCATACATGATACTGTACTTTAGTATAGTACCTCTGGAGCTGTTGGAACTGTACTGGTATTCAAACCAAACCGGCTTTTACCATCATGAAAAACGAACATGATCGATCGCGCGGGGTCGCCACTGGGAGCGTTTAGCCAATCATTGGTCGCTTGGTGACTATATATTTTGAGTGTGTTTATACTAAACACCGAGGACTTACGCCTACACACCACAGGCTCTGCTCCTATCTCCGGGTAAGTCAACTGGTTTCCATTCAAGGCTTCTCGCGATATCATTGTCATAACTATCATGATCTCCATAAATGTTGTCGTCCTCAACAGAAGTAGACGGATTGCCGCCTAATAGCACGGAAAAGCTCGCATCGCTAACTTGAAAATATGCAAATCTGACTCGAACAGTGAACAGAAAGGAAGATCGTGGCTCGTCACTTCAGATAACACAGCCATAGCTGTAGCTATAGTGGGCTACATCTGAACCAAGCGCATGGAGATCTCACCGTACTCGTAGCGAACACCATGCTCCTCGCTACTCTGATCCACGTATGCGTCTTGGCAGATGGAAAGAAAGCCCTTCGTAGTAAGTGCAAGGATATGCATGAAACCCTGTGTCGCGACGTTGTGGGAAGTTTTGTGCGGGGGTAAAAGAGTCGAAAATGTGATCTCATTGTCAGCCGACGAACCCTGGGCCCCTGTATCCGGCTTTGAGGCGTTGATCTTTGCAGCTACAAATTCCAGGAAGTTAAGACTTTGCTGATCCATGACGGATTCCGCGAGACTATTCTGGAGCTTGGGCTGGCTTGTGTACGATGGGCCCGGAGCATCTCCGATTGAATGGCTGTCCGCCATAGCATCGTCCTCGAGATATTGAGTCAGATCAAAACCCTCCAAGTCATCATCCTGCCCGGGCATCGAGAGGCCGTTGAGTTGGTTGATGTCGTAGGGAAGTCCGCGTCCGGCGAGAGGGCTTGCGCTGGTTAGACGGCTGTGCCCTCTTCGCGGGAGACCGAGAGCACCATCACTAGCGAGCGCGCCAGCAGACTCGGAAACCCCGCGAGATGAGAAATCGCTAACGCTCCCGAAGCCACGGAAGTTATTCGCAGACGTCTCGTGGTGGGAGCTCTGGATAGAGGCGGTAATGTTCCAGGGCATTTGCGAAGAGTGGTCGTCCTGGAGTGCTGGCGAGGCGCGACGGCCAAGTTCGACATCCTAACAGGTTAGGACATAGTCTTTGGAAACCGACACTAAGGCACATACCTCGTTGCATAGATTGTTGCCGTCCCCAAGCCCTGCCATTCCCATATTGTCATCCTCTTCCTCCCTTGCTCGTACACGACGACCTTCAGACTCTTCGTCATCTTCTGCGCGACGTTTACGGCCAGCTAGGTTGGGAGCGAGAGCCTCGCGCAGCTCATCGCCAGAGAAGAAATGCAATGGGTGCACAGCGCGGGAGATTCCCACGCCTGAACCTACACAGCCAATCCCAATGCCAAAGACCCAGTACGCTGCATTCTTCTTCGCCTGCGTCGGTATCCTGTTGTTTTGCTTCTGTCTAGAGGCCACGGCCATGTTTTGCATGTAATCGGTGTTCATCTTGCTTAGTTCGAAGCTGCGCAATGCGGTTTGCCCATCTGAAGGGAGAAGCTTAGGGGCTCTGTATCGCTGAGGCATTGTCACCTGGTCGCGATCGCCCGTGTTTTCCGCCTCGGGGGCTGGAGAGCCTTGCTCAACTGATGGTATGGGTTGCTGAGTAGGTTGGCGAGGCTGGTCTGGTATCGCCATTTCGACGTCTTCATCGGCAAAAATAGGCTAAAAGCTTTGTTAGTTAGGTGGAATTGGGAGTACAATGCAGCTTACCTGATCGCCAAACGTAAAGTTGGTGGTCTCATTCTCTCTCATCTCACTTCCGCGTTTAACTGTCCTCGCCTCGCTCTGATGTCTTGTGCCGAGCTCAATGATATTTCCATCCTCATCAAACTCAAAGTCAGGCTGTAGGAGCACACCTCCATCCTCACCGAGACTAGAGCCCATCAAGCCTGCAAGATTCAATCCCCCTTGGACAGAGCTGCCAATATCAGCTTCAGAACTGAATCCGCCAATGTTGCCTGGGATATTATTGTCATCGGAACCAAAACTCAAGCGGAGACTCGAGTTACTTGAGATCGCAGACTGGCTGAGGTCCGGAGTTCCAGGCAGAAAGCTGGATTGTTGACTTTCAGTCGCTTCGAGAAGCTGGGTCAGTTTTGAGAAGTCGATCGCCAGCCCGGGGAGGTTGTTCTCCGGTAGGAACGTGGGATCGTATGGAAGGATCAGCTGGTCCGGTCTTGATATTTCAAACCAATGTAAGCATCCTGATACGCCTGGATATCCAAGTAAAGACTAACCTTGCTTTCCCTGCAGAGGGATCCAAGCCACGAGCTGCAACAGACCTGAGCATTGTTCTCATCTTATCGTGCATTGCCTGGACGTCAAGGAGGGTGTATCCGCATTGCTGGCTGTATACTCTTGAGACACCGTATCTACCCGAGATCGCTTGTCAGTAATGGTCATTTCATTGATGAGATCTCACGCACAAAAGATTGCTCTGGAGCCTGAGCGCCATGGGCGCGACCGGATCCATGATAACATTGCATGCTTTGGGAACGTCCACATCCTGGATGGTCTTGCGGTTTAGTCTCCTGGAGATGGATCTCGCGCCTAAGGTGGCAACGAGCCTTAGAAAGTCAGTAGCGATCTCGAGTTCATAAGTACTCGTTGAAGGAATGATGGGTTACCAGACGGTAGCCACTCCATGCTCAGGAGACGTGAGTACTACAACCACGCAAAGTCATCAGTATGAGTCGAAATATGCTAAGGCGAGAGAATCAAAGCTTTTGCGATGAAAGGGGTAAGGAAGGGCTTCATACTTTCGTGGCTGTAGAACATCTTGAGCTCCTGGTGTCTATATGAAACTTTTTGAATCCTTCCCCCTCAATAAAGACTAACACAAGATGCCTCCTTTTGCGCGCCGAATGTGTCGATGGCCTGTTTTATGGGAAAGACATCCGATTGAGTGAAAGAGAGACGCTTATCTATAACACGCTCGTATCTGACGAAGACCCGGAGAGAATAAATCTTCAGGGCGACGATATCAGAGTCATTCACAGAGAGAAGAGATACCAAATTCACTCACCAAGTGCCAGATAGTCCGCTCAATCACCCCAAGAGCAAGACTCAGTCCTCACAACAGAACACTGATATGGGACACCTAGATCCGGTACTTGACGTTTCAATGATTGGCAATGTCGAACGTAATGATTGTTGCGAAGCGCAAGCCTAGAAAGCGGAGTGGGATAGTCGGGGAGCGGAATGAGAAAATGGAAAGAGAAGGATTGGGCACGCGGATGGACGCGTCAAGAAACTTGGAAGGCTACCGGTACCCTAGGCACCACCTGCCTACTGTTCTGCAGGAGTGAGAGCATACCTAACAATCTTCTCATCAGTCCGAGGGGGTCACCCAGCAAGCCCCCCAACAGCGGCAAGCCCAGGGCGAGCCAAAAGAGTAGTATAGCCAGAGATCTCAGCTATTTGCGTGAAGTAAATTTGGAAACGGGATCAACTTGCTTGTGATACGACTATTACCCGTGTTACTATCAGGAAAGAGTATACACTAGAGACATTCAAGCAGAGTAGTAAGAAGCCTCCGAGCGCCTGAGAGAATATACGCCAAGGCAGCCACCTGGGTAGTGGATAATGGTAACCTTAGTAGCAAAAGGATTTTCACCCCTTTAGCCCTCGCTATAGTATGGTATAGCGCTGAGAAGAGATACCGCCGCGCCGTAGACGACCAATCCGACGAGCGTCACAATTCTATTGAGGTGATAACCAAGACATGAGCACACACTCCAGCAGAGAAGGGAAAGAAAATTGAAAGAAAAGTACGTGGACTATGGACGTAAGAGACAAGCGTCTAAACCTCTTACCAAGAATCCGTAACCCATCAGCAACGCGAAGATCCACACAGGGTATGTATGAGACATGCAAAGATACCAAAAATAATACAATAAGTGACAACCCTTCGGACTGTGACTGGGTGATGGAAATTTTGACTTCAGATGGGACAGATGAAGAAGAAACCCGTATATTTAAATGTTCTCACATACCTACCTATCCTAACCGTTCAACTAAACCAGTTTTATACGACACATTGAGGATTTATAAAACAAAGCGCTAAATGTCTATTCAAGAGGGATGCCCTCGTATTCGTTGTATCCTAGGGCAAGGTTCATGTTTTCTGTCGCGATATTAGTACAAAAGTTTTTGAAGAATGGATAGCTGGAGAACAACGTACGCAGGCATTGGGTGGCGGCACCCTTGAGGAGGTTGTCGATGGTGGCGCACACAACTACACGCTTCTCGTTGGAGTGGACGGCGAACCCACCGACCTCGACGCCGTGGCGGCCAGCAATGGCCTTGACCAGCGGAGGCTCTCCGATGATCTTGACGAGCTTCTCGCCAGCGTAGCGGTCCTGGTAGATGTTGCGGATGTCGCGAGAGGACATGGACTCCTTGAGAGGGATGTTGATTGTGAGCTGCATGATTGTTAGTTATCTTCACCATGGAACATAAATAAAATTCAAAACTTACACTAATGCCCTGGAACCAGACGGCGACATGGGGCATGAAAGCAATAGGAGTCCCCAGCTGAGCACTGATCTCCCTCTCGTGGATGTGATCGGTCAAGCTGTAAGGAATCATGTTGTTGGTGAGGTTCTGGACGTCGTTCTTAGGGCTAGGCTTGGTTCCAGCTCCGGAGTATCCAGAGACACCGAACACGGCGGGCTGTCCACCGAGGTGAGGAACAATGGGAGCAATGGCGACCTGCGAGGCGGTGGCATAGCAACCAGGGTTGGCAATACGAGTGGCCTGGGCAATCTTGGAGCGGCTAATCAGCTCGGGAAGACCGTAGGTCCACTTGCTGTCGAAACGGTAGTCAGCGCTCAGGTCGACAATCACGTTTCCGTCCTGAGCACCCTGGTCGACTGCATCCACAAAGGGCTTGCAGACACCGTTGGGGAGAGCCATAACCCAGCAGTCAACGTCGCCGTTGGCCGACATGCGCTTGACATCTTCGGGGCTGAGGTTCTCGTAGATGATCTCGCGCTTGTCGTAGCCTTGCAGCTTCTTGCCAGCCAGCTCGCGAGAAGAGACGTGTCGGAGGTCAAGGTGGGGGTGGGAGTTAATCAGGCTGATGAGAGCCTGTCCGGTGTAGCCACGGGCACCGATGAGAGCGACCTTGGAGGGCTTGGTGTTGGACTTGTTCTTCTCTCCGAGGGGAGGGTTAGGGTTGGTTGTGGCGTACGTGCGGACCGACTGGACGGGGATCATTGGGCGTCCAGCACGGGCGGCGCGGAGAGCATTGCTAGCGGTGGAGAATGTGCGCTTCTGCCCGGCGTTGCCAATGTTGGTAGCGGCCTGAGCAGCGCGCTGGAGTCTGGACTCGAGGTTGAGGTCACCGAACATCTGGCGACCGTGCTGGGTGAACTCTTGGACGAGGAGCTTCACCTCCTCGCCGCTCTCAACACCGTACCAGAAGAGCACCTCACCCTCGCGGCTCAAACTGCCATCGGCCTTGTCAAAGAACCAGGTAAGGTTCTCGTCATCCTCCTTGACAGTCCAGACGAGCTTGGGGTAGTCCTTCTTGATGGCGGCGAACACGTTGTCCGCGACGTTGGTCAACCAACCAGACTTGGTGATGGTGAAAGTAGCCAGGTGAGCAGCGGAGGAAATCACGTCCTGTTGCGGGGGGAGAACAACAGCAAGAGCCTCCATAGGCTCATCAAAGTAAGCCTTGAAATCGCGCTCCTTGAGACCCTCAACATAGCGGTCAACGGTCGCACGAGCGTCGAGTCCCTCGCGATCACGGACAAGCACATCCTTGAGGGCTTCCACGTTCTCAAACTCGGAAAGAGAGGTCCTGGTGTGCACCTTGTTGCCTCGTCGGATCAGCGTACCGGCTCCAGAGTCGGTAAAAAGCTCCTTTTGCAGGTCGGCAGGGTGAATGATGGCAACGCTGGAGGTACGGGGAAGATCGCTGAGAAGCTCCTTCATCTCCTTGATCTTCAGGCGAGTACCGTGGCGCACCCACCATTGCTGCATCAGGTGGTCGTATTCCTCATCAAGGTTGATGGCGGAGATCTTCTCGCCAGTGTCACCGTTGAACAGTCCACCCTTTTCGGCGAGGTAAACGATCTTCAGAGGCTGGAGAGCGCGGGCCAGTTCTCCGGCAGCGACATCGGCGTTGACATTAAGGACCTGGCCATCGGGGGTCTCGGCCATGGATGTAAGGATAGGCAAGCAGCCAGCGTCAATGGCGGACTGAATTGGCGTGCTGTTCACGCCATTGATCTTGCCCACCAGGTTGTACTTCTCCTTGTCGAGGTAATCGGCCTGGAAGACACCGGCGGTGAGAGGGCGAGCCCGCACGCCCATGCGCTCCAATTCCTCAACCAACTTCAAGTTCTCCTCCAAGAAAAGCTTCCGGGCAAGAGCCAAGGTCTTTCCGTCCGTCACACGGATACCGTCTTCGAATTGAGGCTCGACACCGGCAGCCTCGAGCATGCGGTTCAACTGGGGACCGGCGCCGTGGACGACGATCGGGTACAATCCGACATGGTTCAGGAAGGCAAGGGCGGTGGAGAGGGTCTCGAGGTGTTCGGTAATGATAGCACCGCCGACCTTGATAACGGCAAACTGCTGTTGGGAGACTGAGGTAAAGTGGGAGAGATACTGCGCAACCTCACGCTTGGAGCCGATGTTGCTCAGCAGCTGGACAACGGTGTTGCGGGTGGAGGAGTGCTGGGGATCAGTAGCACGGGAGTAGTGACGGCTCTGCAGCAGGGGCACGGCAGAGGCCTTGAGCGAGGCGCGAGCTGTGGGAGAAGAGAGCCTCGCAGCAGTGACGGCGTGCGGTGCGGAGAACGCTCGGAGGGGCTTGGTAGTGGAAGCTCTCCGCACAGCGGTGCGAAGGGAGAACATTTTGCCAACCAGCATGCGGCAGCTTCTTCCGGCTAGTTGGACAAAAGATCTAGAAGAGAAGAGAAAGGGACAATGGTCAGCGCGAGTGGTGAGGTCCTTAAAAAGTATAGGCTCGGAGGAGAGGAGTCACAATCAATGAGGGAAAAAGGTTGTGCGGAGCTGCGGGTTCGACCGTCAGGACGAATTTGCCGCCCCCTACGAATAATCTGAGCGCCGAGACTCGAGACCAGGAACCGCTCCTCTGGCCTGCAGCGCGATTTTTCGTCAGGGTTTGCTGTTGGCCTCACAGTCTCCCCAAGGCAAAAAGCAAGAAAAATTGGAACTTTGCTGTGAATGGGGGAGGGTTCAAGCACTTACTCCAGGTCCAAATTCCGCAAACAAGTGATAGACGGCGAGACACGCGGCCGGTGAGCTGGGGCTGAGGGATTTATGGGAGCCCAAAAGGATATGATATGTATGAGCACTTTACTACCCAACGGCCTTTGTGCAGAGGGGAAAATATCAAGACCTGGTGCGAAAGAAAAAAAAATATTGCAGACCATCCACCAGATGAAGCTGCTGCTGCGAGGATCGGAGGAGCCGACAGACCGCCCGTGACTCACCGCACAACTGGGCTGCTCTTAGACTCCTTTGGTTGCCCTTTTTTCTTCTCTTTTCCTTGGTTTCTCAGCCTTTTATGCTTCGTCTACGCCAAGTCGCGGAATGAGAAGTGGATAGCCTACCGAGGAATATGGTATAGAGTGGATTTTCGTCAGGGCCTCGCTTGTGTTTCGTAGTGTCAACAGATGCTGCCCATCTTGTTATCAGATGTGATTAGATCTTCCCACCCCCATCCCAGCGGCAGCCGAACGAATAGAGAACACCCCTCGTTCTCGTGTGGATAGAGCCTAAAAGCCCAGAATGCAGCTCCCAATCCTGCGGGTCTTTCTCATTATCTGATCTTTTCAGCTAATGGCCACGCCTCGTGGCATTGACTTGGTCATAGATTCGTGGTGTGATCCACTACCCCCAATCACCCTCTTGTTCCTCGGCGGAGACTTGCAGATTGCGTGAAGAAGTCGAACTTTACTGCTGCTCAGATACAGAAGTAGAGTTTAGGTACAATAACGTTCATTATATGAGGCTAGGACGAAGGACACAATAGCACATGAGAAGGGAATGTTGGAAACAACATAGGCAAAAACAAGAAACACCAGAGTATCATTTACATCTTCGCCGTCGACGAGTCGTGTGGCATAGCCCTCATTCGAAAAGAACCAACCAATTCATTGCGTCCAAGGCCTGCAAAGACAAGGCTTTATTCGTGACAACAGCAGGGATTGACGCCCAACAAAAAGCACACAAGGTATTAAAGGCTGAAAACAAAGCTGCAGCGGTTTTAACGCAGAGGACTCGGGTCGAAGGCATTCGCTCCGAGAAACATGACTGTCATGGATCTCCGTAACTTAACGAGTAGTAGTGACAACTGCAGAAGCCAAAGCCGTTAGCATCTTCCTGCTAGAATATCTTTTGAATAGCGCGGATCTTCCGATGGGTCTTACCAGCAGGGACAATGATCACTACAAGCAAAAGAATGATGCAGATAATCAGACACACACGCATCTTCATGTCTTTCCACCACATTTGCTTTCGCACGCGGTTGGCGCCTCTGCGGAAGCCCTGCGCTGACACAGCCAGGTTGTCGGTCTTATCCTGAAGAGAGTCTAGACGTTCACCACGCTCAGAAACCTTGAAGATATTCGAGCGCATGGTGTCGACGGTTTCTTGGATTTTCTATAGTAGGAGACATGTAATTAGCGGGAATCGCCAAGAAAATGATCGGAAACAACAGAGCTAATATCGCCGCTGCGATACAATATGTGAGTATAGCCCCCGCAAAAGCACCACAGAGCAACGGTCGCCAAGGCGCCAAAAGCGAAAACTTCTCGCCTATGGTGCTTGGAGACCACAAAAGGCGATGATGCGTTCCGCAAAGGGCTACTTGGGCTGGGATATCTCGCACTCACCCGGTCGATTTCCCGCGTCCGGTTGTCGCCATTTTGCGCAGTGCTACCGCCCGCGGCGTTGGCGTTGGAGCCAGAGGGAATATAAGGGTCGTATGGTTGCTCAGACATGATATTGGTGTGGAAGAGACTCGATGGAGAGGAAGAGGTTAAGCGGTAGAGTTGAGTGGATCACAAGACCACGTCGTCGCAAAGGACAACTTGAAGGCCGCTGGTGGTTTCGTTTCACGGGGCGTAACGGAGAGAAAAGGGCGGCAGGAGAACGCTTGGGGAGCTGGCGGACGGAGCGGGAGAATTCAGAGAACGTAAACGGAGTCTGTCGATGGAGAGGAGGATGACGATGAGATACAAAGGACGAGATGGAGATGGGGAGGCTGACAAGAAACTGACGGAATTATTATTGACGGTTGCTGGCTGGAGATGACAGGCGCTTTGGTTTCGGTTCGGTCGGGGTGGCAACACGTGACACTTGGGCCACTGCCACAGCTACGGATTTATTATGGAACTTGAGGTTATTCTTGGGAATAGGCACCGGTCAATAATCTGTCCACCAGGAACCAATCACAGCCACTTTTATGAATAGTACAAAGAATGGATTGCGGCTGGGGATTCAATAGACCAATTTCGTCAGCGATGATAGCCCTACGCTTTACGCTCTTCTCAAAGACTTCGTTCAAAGCAGATAAAAAAGGGGCTGGGTGTCTGGAACACCCTCGTCATCCTCGAGAATTGATCGCCGAACCCGTGTCACTGTATGTTGCAGCCTTTAATCCATGCATCATGTTTTCCTGCTCGCGGAACATGACGGAATTCTCGTGAATTTCCCCAGCTTTCGGCTGAAGAACCCCTCGCCCGGTAAGGCTCTTCTCGCCGCAAGCATGGAGTTCGCAACGCAAGGCATGTGGACGCCCACGGTCGATCGTTCACTGGCAGAGACGAATAATCCTGCGGAGTACAGGATTCCAACTCTAGATATTGGCTATCCCTTTTTACTTTGCGTAATGCCTATTCCATCTTGGGTGGATATATCTTCATGCTTTTCGACGTCCTAGTTAAATGTGTCCCGCATTGCAGATGGGTTGTGGGTGAACATCTGCGATTGTTTCCACTAATAGCAATGGCGGTAAAACAAGATATATTCTTCTGAAGGAGTGAATGTGCAACTTTTGGTTAGATTTACAACTTGAATCAAGTGAGGAGCATAGCTAGGCCGTATGGCCTGTTTCTCGAAGGTGTGACGGGCGTCGAATTCCTGGCTGTATAGGGGGGCTTGATGGCCTTAGACGTATCAGCCGAATAACTGATAGGATTTGACGAGACTGAGATAGGTCTCGTATCCCTAGATGGTACCAGTGGCAGTATGAGCAGAGCTCGTTCCTGTAAAAGAGCAATAAAGTCTTTTTAGCCCACTATGCTGTATACAGTTAGCCAAGGTGGTTTCTGAGATATGTCAGGTCATGAACGATTACGACTAGGACAGTAGTAGGCTGGCTAAGGTGAGCGCCGTACGTAGATTCTGGGGAAATACCTAATAGACCCAGCAAAGGGGCATCTTTGTATGATACTGGATTAGTGCTCATGGTCATGACGGGGTGTTCTTGGGAGGAGCAGCCAGAGAATGGTAATAGTGACGAGGAGAGCCAAAACAAAGGGCTGCAGACTCGATACTCCGTGTGGTTGCGCGATAGCACCAGCGACGAAGGGCAGACTGCGAGACAAAACAGGGGTTAGTAATCACCATTCGGCTGGACAGGGCGTCGTCCCCCGGAGCAGAGGGTCTTACATAGCGCCACCACTCCCTCCCAGCGCTGAGATAAGCCCAATGCTCGGAGTATGTAGATGTTTGGGAAGCAACTTGGCGGCGACAGTGATCGCAGCGGGGAACATAGGCCCAGTAAAGAATCCAATCAAGGAAACGGCGACGGCGGAAACGACGAACTGCGGGACCAGCCAGAAGACAAGCTCGAGGGCGATCGACAGCACGAGGAAGATGACAACCGCAAGTCGTTCGCCGATGCGTTCGTTCACAAGCCCAAGTACGACTCGACCAACTGTTATACCGGCCCAGAAACCCGTGGGGACAAGGCCAGATTGAACGGCGCCGCCGTCACGGACTTGCATCATGAACTCGACGATCCAGCCACCAATTGATACTACAAAGTCCTGTTAGATCTGTGTATGTGAGTTCATTGGATTGAGATAACGCACCCTCTACACCCATGTACGCAAAGAGGAAGAAAGCCAGAACCCAAGTGACTTTACTCTTCACGGCCTCCATTGTTCGAGAATCTTTCCCGGAACCTGGCAGCTTAGGGGTATTCGCACGGAACCGCGCCGCGTTTTCAGGCCAAAACAACAGGCTGCAGCTGACGAGTTCCACAGCGGCGCCGCCGACAAGGGTATAGTAGAATGTATACCACTTCAAGCCGTGGTCAATCATCGCGGTTGCAATAGCCGGACTTATTGTAGCGCTGGCCGTATAGGATTATGTTAACGAAGGTATTCTTGCAGCGAATATTGTACGGCATACCCGAGTCCATAACATGCATGCATGAGACCCATCAAGGTACTTGCATTGACCATGTCTCCGACCCACGAATTCCAACCGGCGTCGATCAACCCATTGCCAAGCCCAACGAAAGCGTACGCGACAAGCAGGACCGCAAACCGGGGAACAGTGGCCATGATGATAAATGGAATGAGGTGGCATAGTGGCGCGATGATTGCAATCCCCCGCTGCCCAAAGGTCATATGGATCTTGTTGACGGCAATAGAAGCTAGTGTATAGCCGGCGAATGGTGTCATGAAGATCAGGGAGACCACCGTCGTGGACAGGTTGAAGTCTTCACGGATCTAGAATGCGACGCATATCAGCACGGGTCCTTCCTCTTTGCAGCGTAGTGCTTAGAGCTGAAGCAGGTGGCTGCTTGCGGAGCGAGGGCGCTGGGCATTCATACGTAGGGAACTAGAGCCTAGGATTATCAGTGGACCACGTTGACAACTCAACTGAAGTAGATTGAGGCTCGAGATGAAAACTCACACCATACACACCATCACTGGCGCCCGTGATCGCAAAGGAGGCAAAGGCCGCAGCGATGCGCCATTTGTTGATGGAGGGCTCGTTCCATTTCTGCTTTACTCGAGTAACATTGGCGTCTGGGTTGGGGGCATACGCCTGGTCAGGTTCGCCTGGCGGGCTGCGCAGCTCTTCGCGCGGGGGGAGCTCGATAGTCACAGTGGTCGACATGCTGGGAGGTAGAGAAACCGAGAAACAGAAGAGAGCTGAGAAGGATCCATCGTCGAATTTGTAGACTTCCGAGTCGTGTTTGAGTCACGTCACTGTTGGAGAAGTGGAGAAACTCGAGACAAAAGCGAAGCGGGGTGAGCTCCGTGAGGGATTCCCTCCATTCACGTTCATTCAATTCCGACGGCTGTGGTCAGGTGGAAGAAAAACTGTTGCTATATAGTATATACGAAGAATATATGAAGGGTCCAAGCTGCGAGTATACGAAGATAAGGCGATTGGGCTGACGTCGTACAGGCGGATCCATCAGGAACCTCTCTATAGACCGAGCGCTAGCAGCGTGAGGGGCGAGACAAGGAAGATGCTGTTTCAGCGTCATCTGCCATCTCATTCGCGAAAGAAGCATTTCGAACCATCCAGGAACCTGACAGCGTCGGTTAGGCACATCGTCATAGTTTCGGGCAGAGACAGCCATGCCCAAACCGGTGGCGCTAGAGCATTCCACGGGGTCGGATGGCCATAATTAATCCCGAGCACTATCATTTCACTTTGTTGACTCTCATATAAAAAAAATCAGGCAGTCCCTGCTCGCTGCTTCTTCGCTTTCAAGTTCTCTGTTGAGGACTTGAAACTCTCTTGAACCAGTGACGGCAACACACGTGGCCAGCCTTAGTGCGATCACCAGCCAGCGCCGTCTTCATCACCTTCGCAAGATTCGGCACAAGCGCCGGCTGCTGATCCTGCAAGCGTGAGTGGGATTCAAGGAGGCCGAAGAAAATTACTGGAACAAAAGTTTTCGCGAGAGAGATACACACATCACGACGCTAGCCTGTTCTATCTCTAGAGAACTCAATTCATCCCCTTGGTTTCGGGCCTCGAATATCGGCCTGCGCCCATGGATTTCGATTCCAATCCGTCCTAGACTTCGCCATTTCCCCTCCTTTAAAGCCGATCCCAATACCAGCCGCCTCGCACTGAAGAGTTATGGCATCTGACGAGGCTGCACCGCCAACCCCGAACAAATTGGAGGTAGCGCTCTTCCTTGCTTGCAGTCAGGGCTACGACACAATCGTGCGATTGCTGCTCAGCACGCCAGGCGTGAACTTGAATTGTACAGACCAAGATAACCGAACACCGATCGCGTGGGCAGCAGCAGAAGGCCATGAGAATGTAGTCCAACTGTTGCTTGAGACGGGGGGTCTGGAGCTCAATTCGCAAGACTCCAAGCATGGGCTATCCCCGCTTTGCGCTGCCGCCAAAAACGGACATACCGGGGTTGTGCGTCGGCTAATAGAGTGCCCCGAGGTGGACATTGACCTCCCGGATTCCAATGGCCAAACGCCCTTATCGTGGGCTGTCGAGAATGGCCACTCAGCGGTGGCTCAACTACTTGTCGCCAGTGGGAGTGACCCAAACACCCCCGATCCCAGTGGAGTGACTCCATTGTCTTGTGCTGTGGCAAAGGGAAACCATGAGATAGTCAAGGCCTTGCTCGACACTGGCGATGTCGATGTTAATGCCTGTCACCCAAACGGGCTCGCTCCGCTCTGCGATGCAATGAACCAAGGAAACGTGGAGATTGTGAAGCTGCTGCTAGACCGCAAAGACCTTGATCCGAACAAGACGGACACGGACGGCTACGCACCACTGTCACGAGCCGTCCAGAAGAAGTCTCGAGAACTGACGCAATTACTCCTCAAGCGTGATGATCTCGACCCCAACGTTATTAGCCCCGATGAAGAGACACCCCTGTGCCGCGCGGTGGAAAAGGATCACGATGATATAGTGAAGATGCTTATTGCCCGCCCTGATCTTGACCCCAACACCCCGAACTCTGACGGAGAGACTCCGTTATTTTACGCCGTAGCCACAGCCAATCATGTAATGGTTCAGCTTCTCCTGGCGCATAGTAACATTGACCCGGACATTCCAGACCATCACGACCAAACGCCCTTGTCTTGTGCTGTCGAGCGGGAAGAACCCGAAATAGTAAAGCACCTGCTAAAGGCTAGGGCTAGCACTAGTGTTGTGGACAAAGATGGCCGGATGCCGCTCTCGCGTGCCGTGGAGAAGGTAAACCCGGAGATGGCGAGGCTGTTGCTGAGGGCCAAGGCCGATCCGGATGCCGCCGATGTGACAGGACGGACGCCCTTGTCATACGCTGTCGAGACGGGGCACCCGGACATAGTGCGGTGGCTTATCAAAGCCAAGGCCGATCCCAACCTGGCCGACGAAGATGGAAGACTACCCCTGTCATTCGCCGTGGAACGAGGAGAGCCGGATATAGTCTTTATGCTGCTCAAAGCGCGAGCAGACCCGGACCTAGTGGATGACCACGGAAGGGGCGCATTGTCACTTGCCGTGGAGAAAGGCAATATAGATATTGTGCAAATGGTGATCAAGGCCAAGGCGAAGCTCGACCAAAGGGACAAGAGAGGACGGACTCCACTCCTATGGGCAGCGGACAAAGGGCACATGGAAGCAGTATGGGCGCTGCTCGCCAACAAAGTCAACGTCGACTCCCCCGATAAAAACGGCTGTACCCCGCTATGGTGGGCAGCTCGACACGGCCACTTGCCCGTTGTGCGGCTGTTGATACGGAATGGGGCAGACAAGGAAGTTCACCCGGAACTGGATGAAGATGGAACGAGATCCGGAAACCCATTATTCCAGGCTGGGCGCAAGGGCCATGTGGACGTGGTAAAGTACCTGCTGAAGAAAGGCGCCGACGTCAACGCGCCAAACGGCGAACAAGAAGTCACGCTCCTGCTGTCCCTCATCGCGAATGATCGCACCAAGCGCGGCAGAGAAGTCATCGGCCTGCTCCTGCAAAAAGACGCAGATGTCAATTTACCGGACAAGCTCGGCCAAACCCCTCTCGACATCGCAGCCAAACACAGCGACGTGGAGCTAATGAAAGCGCTCATCGAGCACGGAGCCGAAATCGACTCCGTCACAGAGGAAGGCTCAACACCGCTCCACCGCGCCATCATCAACGAGCGCGAAGACATTGCCGAGATGCTCCTTGACCACGAAGCCGACCCGGAAGCCCAAGACCAGCAGGGCAACGCACCGCTGCACTTTGCGGTCATGACCGGCCGCCGCAAGATGGTCGAGATGCTTCTAGCAAAAGAAGTTGACATCAACATCACCAACTTCGTCGGCGAAACCCCACTGCACAAGGCCGTTGCCGCCGGCCACCGGAAAATGGTAGAGCTCCTGCTGCAGAACGGCGCCGACATCGAAATCCGCGACGACTACCGACGGACGGCACTGCACAAGGCCATCGGCGCAAAGCACCACGTCATGAGACTGCTGGTGAACAAGGATGCCGACGTCCACGCAAAGGACATGTACGGCAAGACGGCGCTCCATTTGGCATCGGAGTCTGGGTATAAAGATGACGTGCACTTCCTCATGGGCCATGGTGCCTCGACGGATGGGCGAGACGGGAACGGACGGACGGCCCAGGATCTGGCTCGGATTGCAGGACATGACGAGGTCGCTGAGCTTTTCAACAAGATGGCGCTGGTTTTGGCGGACCAGCAGGCGTCGTCGTCGCCCCCGTCCCCGCCTGGGTAAGGGAGGGTCTGATTGATTTATACATATACGTGTCTAGACTGTACTATTTATCAGCATAATGAAATGACATGAAAAAGTCTGCGATTTACGTGGGAATGAAAGCGAGTAATGAGCCGGGAGACTTCTCCAATATTCAAGTGCTATGGATACACGTAATGTACAAATTTCCCACTCACCAGAACGCGCCAGCGCCGTATGAACTCCGAATTATGGCTTTCCTCATGTAAATGTCGTTTCCCTTCTTTTCCTCTCGTCGTAGACCCTCAGCTTGCAAGCAAACCCGGACTTTTTGGACAGGGGAACACGGAAGAAAGAGGCAATGGCCTATTTCTCACCCAACATTTCCTTCCTCATCTGTTCGCGCTGTAACCTCGCTTCCTCCTTCGCTTGGTCTCGTTGTGCCTGCTGCTGAACGCGCTTCGCCTCTTCCATCTCCTGCGCCGCGAACCAAACTATAAGACGAGAACGCAATTAGCCGCACATCACACTAGCAACACATCTATTTGAGGAAGGTAGGTATCGGTAACGAACTCGACTTATCCGACTTGGACCACTCCTTCAACTTTGTGACGTATTCATCGAATTCCTTCTCGCGACGGTCCCCCTCTTCCAGACTGCGCTTCTGCAGATCCGGGTTGTATCTCTTGAAGAGCTCCTCGTCGGAGGGTCGGATGCTCTGGACGAGCGCTGGACCGCCAACGCAGATGACGATGCCCCTGCATGACGCGATACAAGGTTAGCAGTTGCCCTGCAAGTGTACTTGGAGCGGGGAATAGAATTGCTTACACGCCCAGCATCTTAAGCCACATTTTAGACATGTTGCTGGTTGTTTCTGGTGCTGTTGGGACCGGAAAATCGGGGTGAGACAATGATGTCAGCGCTGAGTGATACGGTTCAATTCTTTTTTACCGACGCAAAGCGAGCTTGAGCGTGGAGTGATTGAGATAATACGTCGAGCTACGCAGGTTCCAGTCAATCAACGGTTTGCCGATCTCATGTGTGGCTTCGGTGGCTGTGCCATAGACGAGGCGGTGCACCTGGCTAGTGGCTGTGCGGGGTCATAATAGCCAATCAGATGTCCTCAATTGGAATACCCAGGGTTCCATTTCTGTCTTGAGCCGAGCAGAGTTGATGATGACGAAAGTTTTCTTGAGACGTGTTCCATAAATGTTTCTATGTGCCGATGCTGCCGAGTAACGGCTAGGTCGGAAGCCACCATCTACGCTGCCGGTGTGTACCTCGGTGTGGCTCGGCCAGTGGATGAGTTTAACGGAGAAGACCTGAGACGGGATTGACGGTTGAAGGAACTTCCTGGCCTTCTTGTGTTTCACCGGTCTCCAGGGTTGTTACTATTGAGTTGCAGATGGCAAATCAGGAGCCGGAGTTGCAAGGGTCGCGAACAAACAGGGGCCTTTCTCATCATCCCTCACTTGGACCTCGACCGTGGAACGGCCGTCATACTCTGCAGGGGTATGCAAGCACGAATACGACGAAGCGCCTAGCTCTCTAGCAACGAAGAGGACTCTGTTTGCCTGTCGGAGAATCATATCGGAACAATGTAAAGAAAGGCAGTGATTGACTGGACAATTTAGTGCCGTAGGGCCAATCTACTACATATGGAGATCTGTGAAAAGGCCAATAAGATATGAGCCTGCTGTCGTTCCCCTGCGTGTGAAGCGTGAGTAACCATCGAATCGGACGGTCCCGTGGACCTGATGTAGGTACCAAAAGAAGCCCAGGCTGCCAGCATCGGCACCACGTTTTCTGCCCTTATTGTCCCAAGTTTCGGTGGAGGAATGGCCCATGTCAGCGGCGAAGTGGGACGTCATGAGTCGCATGTCCCTGGGCTTGCCGTACGGAATAGATATGGGACTGTGGACTCCTGTATGGGGCTGGTTTCGGGGAAGAAACTCTGAGCGGGAAGAGAGCCATGAGAGGATCCTAATTTAGACCCGCCGAGAAACGCTGTTCCGGCTTGGGCTGACAGGATGCATCAATGAATATCGCGTGTTGTTTCGACACGGAGCTCGACCTGAGGAGTTTCAAAAGTGGCTTCGAGTTGTCGAGCAATGGTCTCAGCAATGCAACAAGTGTTTGCATCCAGCCACGATAGGCTGAAGCATTGACTGGATAATGAATATTGAACAATATGATGAAAGGATGGATCGCGTGGGTCAGGGACAATAGGATGAAAAGGTCGAACCGTTGAACAGAAAAAGTGGGGTGAAAAGAAGGAGAAAAGAAGAATGAATGAATTTGTAAGGCTCATCGTGAGCATCGTTCTACAGAGAGTAGAGAGACTTGGGTATATTAAATTGTCCCGGGCCAAGTCAAATTAATTCCAGTCATTCATACCCAATCTGTCACGACTGTGCGCGCCTCCAGCTGTGACTGCAGAACAATCTCCTCACCTGCAGCAGAAAACTCCTCTTCTCTCAGTCTCAATTTCTCACTCACGCTCCTTACTCTTCTGCTCCCGGGGGGATTCTCTTCCATCCTGTCGCTATCAGCGCTCTTTTCCCCGTCGCTTACTCTTTGTCTCTCCTTCATTCTCCCACCCAACATTCTCCCCCTCGTGGCATTCTCCGGGTCACTGGGCTTGGCTCCTGTCGGTTCGAGCGCATCTCGGCTTCTGCAGTGCTTAATCCGGCCACCAAGCCTGTCCGCTGACCTTGTCCTTCGTTCTCTTGATTCACGAGGCCTGCCGCCGTCGCCTGCTGGTCCTTGAATGTTGGTATCTCCCTCTTGTTATCCACCTGTCTTGCCGTCCGCTTCGGGCTATATTCCAGCGGGGAATAGGCGCCCGCTGCCTCGCGCACCGTCACACTTCTATCTTTACTGACGCATAACTTTTCCGACAAATAGTGAAAGGCGGGTCTACCGATCCTGCTATTCGAGTCCCTACCGCCGACCTTCATTTAGCCGGGCGACGTGTTCCTATCCTTGCTGTCCAGCGACAGCCGCTATCCTCGTTAATTTAACCTTTTCCCCGCGATCACACCAACCATGGCCTACCCACAACAGAGAGCCCCTCCCGTGAGGAACTACGGCGGTCCTCCTCGGGGTGTTGCGCCGAAGGATCCTTCCTACGATCAGGGATATAATGATTATGGCTACGACAACCAATATGCAGGCGCGGGATATGGTGACGCTGGATACGGTTATCCTGCTGAGGCTACTCCAAGGTCACAAGGCCCTCCGCAAGGCCCTCCACGAGGTGCACCGCGACCTCCGCGCGGAGGACCTCGCCCGCCGGGTGATCGAGGATATGCGCCGAACGGACGTCCCCCCCCCAGAGGCTATGATAGTCGGTCGGACAGGCGCGGGCCTCCTCCGCAAGATCGAGGGAGAGGACGTAAGTAGTTCCTGAGCGAACCCACACTTTGGTATACAACTAATCAAGGTTTAGCTTCGCGCAACGGCCCGATGTCGCCCGACAAAATGGCTTTCGATAACCCTTTCCCTTCATTCCCCCCGAGAGACCAACGGGGGTCTAGAGGGATCGAAGGAGGAATGGCCGCAATGAGCCTGAATGGCCCGGTGCCGCCTCGTCCGCACACATCTAATGGCAGTCGGCGACCCCCTCCGGAAATGTCACGGACGCCTCGACCCGGGCCTCCTGGAAGAGGAGTGAGCGCAGGACGCTCTGGACCGCCTGATCGATACGATGGAGCATACAACGACCCCCGAGGCCCACCACAAATGCCTCAAGTCAGCAGAAGCGCGACCATGCCTGTCTCAGGAGGCTTACAACCTCCGCAAGCGAGTGCTCGGGACCCGCGAGAGAGTACATACGGAGGGTTGCTGGATAGCTACTATAGTACTATTCCCGATGATCCGGATATGCCAAACTTTGACGCCATGCCCGACTTCAGCAAAGGGCCGATTAACGAAGATTTACCAGGGCTCGAGCAGCCTAAGCCCAAACCCCAATCGCCTGCCGAGTCTGGGCCTCCACAAGGACAATACAAAGCGTTCAACCCCGCCGCGGCAGAGCTTCATCTCCACACTCTTCCAGACAGTGGAACGCCAACAAGTGCGAACCAGTTTGCCAATGCCGGATTCCAGTTTGACCTGCCCGGCGAACGACAGTCGGCTGGGTCTGCTCCGAACGGCCTGGGTCATGGATACGAAGCATATGAGGATCCATACCAACCACCGCAATTCAGTCGCAGCCAGACGATGCCGGGCTATAGCGAGACTAATGGCGGTTACATGCCTCACCCCGGTGATGGCGCCAACCGTGGCAGCGGCGGCCCTCCGCAGCCGTACCGGGTGAACCAGTCTCCACCGACAAATGGCCAGATGGTGGAACAGGAAGCGACGGATAACCCCGACGCCCTTCCACAACACCCCGCTCCTTTCCGCCCAGGTCATGATTCTGGAAGTAAACCAGCGCCTGTGCGCCAATATACTAGCTCAACCAGCTCACAACAAGCACCTCCACCGCCCCAAGGCACTCCGGACGCGCCAGCCGCGCCGGCACCGGTCACACACGCCGAACTCGAACGGCTCCAGCTGCACGCCAGGGGAAATCCTTCTGACCAAAAGACGCAACTCTTACTCGCGCAGAAATACGTCGAGGCCTCAATAGTGCTCGTCGACAGCAGCAGACTCGACCCGAAATCCAAGAGCAAAGCGCGCGAGAAGTACAACATGGACGCATACAAGATTATCAAAAAACTCGTTTCAAGCGGCTACCCAGAAGCCCAGTTCTACCTCGCAGACTGCTACGGCTCAGGACTGCTCGGCCTCCAAGCCGACCCCAAAGAAGCCTTCTCCCTCTACCAGTCTGCCGCCAAGCAAGGCCACGCACAAGCCGCCTACCGCGTCGCCGTCTGCTGTGAAATCGGACAGGAAGACGGCGGCGGCACAAAGCGCGATCCCTTTAAAGCAGTTCAGTGGTACAAGCGCGCCGCATCCCTGGGCGATCCGCCCGCCATGTACAAAATGGGCATGATTCTCCTCAAGGGTCTCCTCGGACAAGCCCGCAACCCGCGCGAGGGCATCTCCTGGCTCAAACGCGCCGCCGAGCGCGCAGACGAGGACAACCCCCACGCTCTGCACGAACTCGCTCTTCTATACGCCTCCGCCACAGACAACGACGTGATCATCCGCGACGAGGCCTACGCCTCGCAGCTCTTCCACCAGGCCGCCGAACTTGGCTACAAGTTCTCCCAGTTCCGCTTGGGTATGGCCTACGAGTACGGCCTGATGGGCTGCCCCGTAGACGCGAGGCAGAGTATCATGCTTTACTCCGCCGCGGCGGCGCAGGGCGAACACCAGGCCGAACTTGCTTTGAGTGGCTGGTATCTCACCGGCGCCGAGGGCATCCTTCAACAAAGTGATACAGAGGCGTACCTTTGGGCCCGCAAGGCTGCAGCTTCAGGTCTCGCAAAGGCCGAGTATGCTATGGGGTACTTTACGGAAACCGGGATCGGGGCTACCGCCAATCTAGATGATGCAAAGAGGTGGTATTGGCGTGCTGCTGGTAAGTTCCTTCTTTGATTCTCCTTCTCTTTCCCTTATCGACTATGGAGAATATAACGGTGAATACTAACGTGCATCCAGCCCAAGGATTCCCCAAAGCCCGCGAACGACTCGAAGAAATCAAACAGGGAGGCGCACGGATGCAAAAGACGCGCCTCTCGCGATCCGCCGTGAACCAACAGAAACCTAATGATGGGGACTGTATTCTAATGTGACGTGACTGTGACTCATTGATGCGATGCTGATGTACTAGACCTATGTCCTCCTTTTATTTCTTTCTTGGCAGATAGGGCTTGGTTTCTGGGACCTATCTGTATATACTTTACGTGCCTTATTCCCCCTATTCTCCTCCTATTTAATATTCGATTCCCCTTCTTCTGCATTGTCTCAGGCTGTTGGTCTAAGTTCTACTAGCGATTACGGATGGTTCAGTTCGGTACATATGCTTTCGCACTTTTTTTACCTTTTCTACTGTTCTATCAAAATACTTACTTTCTGATGAGGCCTCGAATGATCTGACCCGATATGTGAAATACACTATAAAACTTACTGGTTGGCGCGGAGCTTGCTTCTGCCTATATTGTGCATTAACTACCTACTACTCCTACTAGTGCTAGTGGCTGGACTTGAATTGGATGGAGCTAGCCCTACCGTTCAACAACAACCTTCTTGCTACATGATGAGCACAATGTGTTGAATTGTCGCGCTGATGTTCTCTGCCATCTGAATTAGTCACCCTACTGCCGGATATACCTCGAGAAGTTGCAGATATTATGGGCTTACAAGCACTGGCGCGAGGCCCTCGAGGGTTATTTCAGCAGGATACCTCGCCAGCGGGCTATCCGGCTAGGTCCGCAACATGATGCGATTATGGGTCGCTTCTTCCATATGCGTCTTATCCTGGATTATCTGGGAAGGCCCAGGGTCGCTCTTTCCTATAGAGCATGTAGGTCCTGAGGAAAGGAGCAACCCATCTATCGTGATTTTGATATGCGTCGTTCCTGCCCTTCTCATTCAGGCTCTGTTAGGTAGGTGCGCTGGTACGTGCCTTCCTCTTTCGCCTGGGTGTAGAAAACAAAAACGAAAAAAAAAAAAAAAAAAAAAAAAAAAAAAAAAAAAAAAAAAAAAAATGGAAAGAGCAACTAAGGCGCCTTCCATCTTTGAAATAGGAATGTACGAGGGTTGGTCGCGCCTTCCTTCGTATGCAGCCCTTCAATAGATATTGGTACCTACTCTTGAACTTGTTTCGAGAAAAGGATAGGTACTGAGGGTATCAAGGTTAAAAGTCACTATCACTACTTTATGTACATGTATAAATAGATATGTAAAATCAACAAGCGAAACAAGAGCGCCTACCCGGCGGCATACGTACTCTTCTTCCGCAGGGCAGCCCCATACCTCCAGAGGAAAATTGGAGCCGGTATGCCCAGCCCCAACGAAATGAACCCGAGAAGACTATTCCCCCACCCAAAATGCAACGCATCATACATGTATGGCGCAAACAGCGGGAACGCGAACCCACACAGCGAGCGCATACACGCACTCGCCGCCAGCGCACTCGCCGCGAACCGCGTGTACGAATCAATCATGTATGTCTGCGCGCACTGGAATGTGATAATGTTGCCCATCCCAAAAATCGCGGCGCCGATGTTGGGCGCGATCCAGTGTACGCGGTTCTCGCCCGTCCAGCCGTAGATAAACAACCCTGCGGGGGTTAGGACGGCGGCGATGTAGAGCAGGGGCACGCGGAATTCGGGGCGCCCGATGTTGTTGTTCCTCGCTTTCAGGCGCCGGTAGATGCGGTCGTTGAGCGGGGCGCAAAGCTGCGAGCCGAGCCAGAAGCCGAGACCCAGCGAGATGTAGTTTAGGCCGCCGATGCCGATGGACTCGTTGTAGTAGGATTCGCCGGTCCAGAGGGTTGGGAAGGTCGAGAGGACGAGGTACATGATTCCGTAGATGTAGGCGAGGTAGAGGGCAATGGCTTGGACGATTGGCTGCGTGGCTAGGAGGCGGAAAGGGCGGATTAGGGCTGTGCGGAGGACTTGCGAGAGGGGTTTGTTGAGGCGTTCGGATTCGGTTTGGTAGGAGGGGTCGTTGGATTCTGTGCGGAGCTTCTTTGCGCGTGCGCTGAGAATCTTGGGGGCGTAGGTCTCCTTTAGCAGGAAGAGGCCGGCGATTTGGATGGCGCCGTCGACGATCGAGGTTGCGTAAAAGACAAAGCGCCAGGTGGTGTTCTCGGCAATGAAGCCCCCAGCTATGGGGCCTAAAGCGGGGCCGAGGAGGGGGGCAAGACTGTAGATTGCAATGCTTTTGCCTCGCTCTTCGGGTTTGAAGCAGTCTGATAAGACCGCACCACCGACCTGGTCACGTTAGACTGGGCTCATTGTGAGAGTTGAGTGTACATACCGCTAGCGGAGCACTACCACCTAGCCCCGCAAAGAATCGAAACACAATCATCTGCGCCTTGGTCTGTGAGACACCGCACGCAATGTTAAACACCAAGTAGAACAAGTTTGCCAGCTGGAGAATGATCACTCTCCCGTAGATTTCAGAAAGAGGACCGAGGAAAAGCGGGCCAACGGCATATGCCAGGACAAAGACCGATAGCGTGAGCTGCGACTCGACCGCATCTGTAATGTGTAGATCTCTCGCAAGAGATGTTAGGGCCGGCGCCACCATAGACGATGAGACTGGAGAGATAAAGGTAAAGCACGACACCATCAGAACAATCGACCACTTTCTGCGCATCGGCCAATTTTTGGGGTTATCAGGATCATCCGGTCCGTTCCATGTAACCTGCGAAACTTTAGCGAATGCAATCCGGAGAGGTCAGGTCACAACGTACGAGTTTAGGATCTGGTGTAGGCCGCGAACCAGCTGTCTGGGATTTCTCAAGGTCAGTTGGACCAGCCCTGTTCGCCTCCAAATCGAGATCCCGCTCGTTCACAATCCCATCTCGGACTTCGAGCGCCGCATTTACATCCTCCTCGTCGACATTGTCCTGTGACATGCCGATACTGTCATCTTCACCGTGGTAAACGGAGTGGTCATCGAGATGGCGCCCTGAATAGATCCTGCGAATCTCAGTAGATCTCGGTCGAGAGCTCGACCTCGCGCGAAGCGAACTGGCAATCGAGCCAAACCGGGATCGACGGCCAGAGTGTGTCGAGTCCGAATCCGTGCTCAAGGAAGAGAGAGACTCGGGTCTAGCAACCTCGGGTGCATGTTCGTGTTCATGAGGATTGGACATGACGGTGTGATCTCAGGAAAATATTGCCGCTTATCACTTTCTGCGGGGCAAAACACTGGGAGGATCCAAGAGGAGGGGCAACATCTTTATATCAAGGCAAGTCTTGGTGTAGATCGCATAACGTCGACACACACTGACGCATTGCTCGCATAAAAACTGGAAAAGATTCCGGCGATAGAGCCATCTTAACACCGATCAGACTTCAAAGTGGGAATCAAGATGTGGCTCCTGTTTCGATTGGCCAAAGCGAAAGCTTGACTCCTCAAACTGGGTCTTTTCTCCACGATGGACTGGGTGGACAAGCGGAAAATTCTGTCTGGTGGGCTCTGGCCGCACGCCTGGCCGCTGGCGTGCGGCGGTTTGAGCCGTCATCAGTTGCAGCGCCCCCAGGGTGAATATCGGATTTTAGCATTCTATTGGACAGTTGGGAATGTTGAGGATAAAAAGTTGAAAGGACCGGATCTTCGGCACAGTGGGATGTGGTCACGTGAGCATATCTGCTGCCATGTGTTTATCTCTCAAGCGTCTACATAGTAGTGATGAGTGAGATTTTTATATTTCTATCATGGATATGATTCTTGGGTTGTTGCCCCAAAAGCTACCCACTTTCGCCGTGAAGAATATACCTAGTAGCAGTTGAAGCCTGCTGAATGCATTGTGTCGCGTGCCGATATCCGGCCCTCTTATGTTCGATTTCCAGACAAAGGTCGCTTACGAGTAAAGTTATGTACGGCTTCAACTAAGTGTAGGCGATATGCCAATCGCTTGACTTGAACAATTGTGCCGAGCAACATGAGAACAGATGCAGGGCCAAGGCATCGCCACCCGACACGGCATAAATGATGCGATCCAGATCCTGCGATACTAATGATCCCACTCCCGAGCTCTTCTGTGTGTTAGGCGAATATCGGCAATCTGATCTCCAGGGTTAGAGTTCTCGAAAGCCGGTTCTTGAGAGTTGGGTTCGGGTATCTTGTTACAGAGGATAGTCAGTAGTTGTCAAAGATCATTGCTCTGATCGGCACTATGTGCCGAGTTGAGATAGGCTGAAGTCCCTGCCTACGAGCACGTTATGCAATAACTAGAGCTTCAGACACATCCAGCACAAGATTGTGGATGGTATCTCGAGGCACAATCGGGTTTTACCATCGTTTTGGACCCGATAGCCCCGGAAGGTGCTTACGCATCCTTGACACATGGCTTACAGTACTCAGATCTACACACAGTTGTGCAGCGAACGGCTAGTACCGATTACCGAGCCTATGAATCATCGGGATTCGGAAGGGGCTGAGGAATATTTATACCCAGGCTCCATCATAAGCTCAAGATGAAAAGGCTTATCTTTAAGCAGACCCACAGTTGGCTTATTCTACGCTGGTGGAGGAACCGAGATTAGATTGCCTTATTGCTGAGTAGTTACCACTAGGTATTATGTGGCTGTAGAGTGACCTGCTATCTCCATTTGCAAGTCTATATATACACCATCTATGCAAATCGACCTAGACGGTCCGAATACACTTTCTCAAATACCCTTCAACCCTCTCTACATCATCCAGCGCCGCAATCGTCCCAATATACCCATCAGGCCGTACGACAGCAATCGCACCCTTGCTCTCATCAACCCCATAAATCTTATACACATCGTCAGATAACGCGTAGCCGCTGTAAAACCGCATTTCCGATTGCTGTTTCAGTTCGTGCGGGAGGTCTCGCCACATGAAGTTCGTTGTTTCGAGACGCGGGTGGATGACGACTTGTTCTACGACTGTGGGTGGGAATTTGGGGATTATTGAAGAGCCGAGGGTTTTTAGTGTTTGTGCGGAGGTGCCTTGTGGGTTGAGGAGGTCGGAGGATGTGAGGACGAGGATGCGGAAACGGCCGGTTGAGAGGAAGTCTGGACATTGTTAGTGGTGGTTGGGTTAAGAGGGGGAGGGGGAAGCGTACCATCTTGTAGATCTCGCCTGTTTCCATCTGCGAATCTCTTGACTCGCACGTTAAGCAAGCGTCTTCCGGGATGGAGGATTCCTTGGAGGTAATCTGTTCCTGTGATGGGGTTTTGTGCTGCGGTTTTGTCGACGGTGATGTTCTCCGGGTACTCGATTCCGCAACCGCTGGTGAAGCCGTTGCCTGTGCTGAAAACTTCGAGGAATTGCTCGTGCGTCAAGGCCTTGCCGATTCCGTCCTCTGATCCGATCTTGCCGGAGAACATGGATGAAAAGGCGCGGTCGAAGTCGATGAGTTGTTGGGCGATTGTGTGACGTTCTTGATGGTATGTGTCGAGAACCGGGTCGGACTTTGCGGTCTCTAGTGGACCGGGGGTGAGCCCATGGAGGGAGTATACGAGCTTCCAAGCGAGGTTGTACGAATCCATCATTGAGACATTCATTCCTTGGCCGGCCTGCGAACTTTGTTAGCATCAACCCCCAGAGCCTTTGAAGACGGACATACCTTGGGACTGTGCGTATGGCACGCATCACCGGATATGAACACCCGGTTAATGCCCTTTGAGTCCTTGACAGTGAATTGCCCGGAAACCCGCTGCCCAATCTGGTAAGCCGCCCACCAGTCCACCGCACCATCTTGCTTGGGCTTGATATAGTACGGTTTGAAGGCTTCGGCTGCATGCTGAAAGATACCATCCAGCGTAACTTGCGCTCTGCGCGCCTTTGCACCCTCCTTCGTCTTCTGGTCTTCACCAGCCTCAATCTCGTCCTCCGGCACTTGAACATACAACCTCGTCAAGTAGTCCCCAGTCACGATTCTTTCGCGCGGAATGACCATGACCGACCCGGCCGGTGAATGGATCGCGCACCGCCGTCGAATATCCGGGAAATCAGTATCGATAACCAGATCGACAACGCCCCAGATATGATCCGTCGACTCGCCCTCGAGTTCCAGCCCCATACACCGGCGGACATTGGAATGCGCACCATCCGCTCCAACCAGGTATTTTGAACGCACCGAGTACCGCACCTTCCCCCCACGTTCATTCTGAACCTCGACATGCGCAACAACCGGAAACTCTGGATCCCCCTCCTCATCAATCTTCACATCAAGCAGCTTCGTATTCCTCTGCACGCCGCGCTTCGAATACCTCAGCAAATCCGTCTCGAGAATCCGCTCAATCCTTCCCTGATGAATCGTAACCTCGTGCTGAAACCGCGCAGGCACACTGACATCCGGCACAATCGACGTCCGCTCAATAACACCACCCTCGGTCTTCCCCGTCGGATTCCAAAACGCGACCTCCTCCATGTGGCACCCATCATTCAGTATCTCGTCCGCGAGACCCAGCGATTTCAGGACCTCGAGCGTTCGTGGCTGCAGCCCGTCGGCCTGGCCCGATTTCAGTGTTCCGGGCTTCGCGTCGACGCAGAGGAGGGAGGAGTCGTCGAGGCCGTAGCGCGCGAGGAGGAGGTTGAGCATGAGTCCGGCTGGGCCGGCGCCCACGATGACGACTTCATATTTCGTTTGTGCCGGCGCGTCGGGGTGTGTGTCGTGTTTTGGGAAGGCGGGGGAAAGGCGGGGTAGAGGGGGTGCGAAGGAAGGGAGGACGCGAAGTTCGCGCGAGGAGGCGGAGAATTCGGTGAAGACGGGCATGCTAAGTAGATAACGGGCAGCCGCCGCGAACCAGACAAAGCTTAAAGGGAAGGTTAAAGTTGGAAAAACAATGATTGTTTGCTCAGGTAATTGATCCTAAATATTTGAAGACGCTGATATAAGATAATTATATCGTGATCGACCGGGGCCGGAAAAACCCCCGTATATATCCGTAGGGAGGAATTATCGAGGCATGGCTGGTGAATTCCGCATTTTATATCCGAATCCGAATCCAAGTATTGCCCAGCTGTTTCCAATGAATCTGCCTTGGTGATTCGGTCTGTTGGGACTGCATTGCGACTGCCCAAGGACGCTAGTTTGATACTTGCAGGACGGCTAGGAAATCACTTGCCGGGGTTGGGGCTGCAATGAGCCGCCTATGAGTGTGGAATATCAGCAACATTCGATGGCTCAGGGTTTCAAAGGATTTGAACTTGGATTGGATAATTTGCTCAATCAACTCGAATTTGACCTAAGTAGATGAACTATGATTTGGGAATCAATTTCGCCACAGTCTTTATGGCGACCCCTTGCAGTGAAAGGGGACTATAGATCTCGCCATGTCACTGATATTGAAAACTCGCCTGCATCTCTCAATCATGGCCTCCAGGCCCAGTTCAGGGCTCCATCGGCTTGCAGCTCTGCTCTCGCCAGTTTCAAATACCCTGTGGATCATTTTCGAATGATGATGTTGATTCTGATTCGAAGAATGTCGGAGATACGGATATAGTCGGATACTGTGGAACTGCCGGGGAAGGATTGGACAACCCCAGGCCACCTTAGCGAATGCGGGGAGGAGTATATCGTTGTATGACGAGAGCAAACAAGCCTGACAAGACTGAAATTGTACTTTTTGTTTGAAATAAATAATCCCAGGAAATGTATATCAAAATATCTACTAACCCTTTGCCCATCACAGCCAAGGACTACACCTCTCCTCCTTTTTTGGGTCTCTAGCACATCTGGCTGTGCTTTGTAGACTATATATAGGGAGCTCCCAAGTTTCCCGACGTATACGTGTAGTAGGGTCTGCATTGGACGAGAACATCACATTTACCCAGAATAAACCATGGAGGTAAAGCCACCACACACGATTCATACTACCATTTTCAAGTCTCTCCCTGAATCGTGATGGGCACTACAGGGTTTCTTCTCCCTTCGAGGTCATAGTAACTCCCGTCTACCAAACTAACCAACCTCCAACCTCCAACCTCACCGCATCATACGCACACACACGTAGTCCTCGGCAACTCCGCCTCCTCAACACTTGCCGCATCCATCGGTAAACTAAGAACAAATAGATTCTCACCTAGACGCAGCCTCTCCGCCGTGAACTAAACTTGTGCTCAAAGTTCAAGCAACTTACCGCGCTGCATATCCCGCACGAGGTACCGACGCTCCAGGGGATAACCCACGTCTCTACGCTGTCACCGTTGACTTTGGGTGTATAGGGTAGGTTGACCCAGTCCAGAGTCCGACTGCCTGTCTTTGCACCTGCAAAGGAGATTGTTAGTGTGGCGGTCGTGCCCTTTAGGTTCGCTTGGCCGTGCGCGAGCTGGTGGGCGTCGAGGTCAAAGAGGATAGTCCAGTTGTTGATGCTGTAGACGGTCTCGTTGCGGGAGGTGTTTCCGACGTGAGAGAAGACACTCCAGTAGATGTAGTTCCAATCTTGGGATGGGTCGCTTTCGCCGATTTTGTATGTGACGCCGTTGGGGAATTCGGTTGGGAAAGCCCATATTGCCTGCATTGATGATAAGTACCCGTACATTTAGCGGGGGATTTATGGCTTTCTCTTGTGCTAGGATATCTGAAGGAAGAAATATCCCACCCAATACATCCGATACTCCTCGGGTCCCAGAATCTTGCTGGTATACGGCGCCCGCCCGTGCCTGAACTCTGCCGCTGACCTACCTGGAATTCCAATCCTCCATATCTCCTTCCTAACGCTCTCTGCTTGCCAATGGAATCTCAAGAGCTGTCCCCGCCCCTTGTTGTTCCGACGATACAACTCCACATCATCCTCAACAAACATCCCAAACACCCGGTCCGTACAGACCGTAAGCCGATAAACGTCCTCCTTGACCTTCGGAATCTCCACCAGGCCAGTACTGCAGCGCATCCATCCTCTCGACATTGGATTCGGATAGACTGCCGCCTTTGGTGAAGTGGTGGTATTGTGGCCCGTAGGTGCGGTCGAAGCCGTGCGTGATGTTGGGGCGGGTGCTGCTCTGGTGACCGCTGGATATGTAATTGTACTGCTGACGCGTTAGTTGATGGCATCGAAAAGGAGAAGATAAGTAATAGGCAGCTCGCCAGAATCACATCAACCATGATATCAAAATGAAGCGGCCCGCCATGATACATGACGGTATTATGCACAAGCCCGTACGAATCACCGTCCTGGCTCGTTGACCCATCAGAGTACAGCCCATGCGCTTTATGATCGCGGCACTGATCATGAAACGAATACGTTGTGAAAAAGTCAGAATAATCGCGAACATACGCATCATCCGGCGAGTGGCGCAGATCCCACGTCACATCCTGGACGTCGGTATCCCCCTCGAAGAGTTCCGGCGCAGGCAGTGGCGCCCAGTTCCCTCACTGGAAAACAGATGCGTCCACAGCGCAGAGTTCGGCCGGAATAGAGCCCTCAGCTTGCCCATTCCATTGAGGAATGGCTGGGACTCGCTGTAGTAGTATACGCGGGTGAACATGTGCAGGCCCGCCTCGCCCTCGCGCAGAAACCAGTATTGCTCGATTGACTGGTTGGTTGAGGTGTATGTGTCCTGCATTATGATTCCGGCGCAGGAAGTGCTGCCTCGCCTCCTCAAGACGTTCAATATGTGCCCAACAACTATCTCGCGCAGTTCGTCGAGTACTCGGATGTGGTCGACTTTGCCGGAAATCTCAGGTACGTACCTGCATTCCAACGCGGATGTGTCAAGGACTCTCTGCGCACCTTCTAACCTCTCGCCGCCAGCCACCCCAACAAATACTCGTATCAGCTGCTCAGGAACATAGCCGAAGTGTCAGGCGATCTTCCTATCATTCGGCCCGGTGGCTCTCCGCAGGATAGGGCATTCTACCTGGAAACCCCGCCAGAGCCCTTCATCAAGATGTATCCGCCAACAGGTGGAAACAAGATCCAGAACTTCATAATGGGCCTGCGTGGTTCGAGTCCTTTCAGACCTTTCTGGGCGTGAAGTGGATTTTTGGACTTAGCTTTGATAGGACGAGTCAGAGAAGTCACAGTTCATCAAGCAAGCTCTCAAAGTCGCGGAGATTCTGGATCGAGATGAGATCTACGGACTTGAGCTGGGGAATGAAATGAGGGTACGCCGCTCCTGCCTTGTTGATATGACGGTTGAATGCGGTCGGCTACTGACTTTCTCCCCTTAAAGGCTTCCTTAGTCTCCGACGAGACACAGACTAGAGTATCAGCGACTACGTCCGTGAAGGGCACGAGTACTCGGATTCAGTTAGCAAGACACTGTCTAAACACGCTCCGTGGCTGCAGCAGCCACTGTTTCAGGGCTGCTCGTTCCTAGCACCGGAGGAGGCCGGAAACAACCTCTCGTACTAGAATGTGGAATCCGCACTGAAGCTGGGGATGACTGACGGCAGTAAACTCAGGGCGATTGCTGACTATAAGGTACGCTTTGCCTTGATGAGATGTCTCCATGACATACTCGTGCATGCTAATTCAAGTCGTTCACGAGTATATGGGTTCCGTTTGCTTCGACAGCGACGGAGCACCGCCTACCATAGCCTTCAATCTCCTGAGCCTCACTCATACAGAAGAATTTCTATCCTGCACGGCCATCTGGGGAACTATGCCTCGTCACAGGGGATTCAGTATGTGCTAGGCGAGACCGGATCCGTATCGGTATGTCTTGATCCCATAGAAACCTTTATACCTCTGCACCCCCGTTTCCTATCATTTCGGGGTCAGACTTTTTAAAGCTCAGCTTGGTTCAGTGCCACGGAGCCGGAGACGTCTCCGACACATACGCCGCCGCCGTCTGGGCAGTCGACTACCTCTTGTACCTCGCAACCCTCAAGGTCTCGCGCGTCTACTTCCACCAGGGAACAGGCTTCCTCTACTCCTCCTGGATGCCAATCGCAAGCGAGACGGACGGGACACCGCGATTCCTCCACCCGCAATACTACGGAAACCTGCTGACCGCGCACGCGCTCGCAAGCACTACACAACAAGTTGTCATGCTAGCGAGCGAAACCTCGTTTACGGCATATGGGATCTACACCGCGGACGAGTCTAGCGCGATACAACATCGCACGGCCCATCCGCCTCCGACGCGTCGTCATCGTCAATCTCCAAGAATTCAACGTCACGCAGGGCGCCGATTCGAGACCGTACGTCGAGGTTAACTTGGAGAATCTGATGGGTCCAGCTTGTCGCGCGAGGAACGTCCAGGTCCGTCGGTTGACGGGGCCAGGTGCTGATGCTAAAGGCGGAGCTAGCTTTGCGGGCTTGACGGTGGATAGCAACGGGGCGCTGGCTGGGTGCGAGATAGTTGAGAGGTTAGGACGTGGTGTGAAGATGTTTGTTGGTGACATGGAGGCGGTTCCTATTTCGATTGAGGAGTAATCTGGGATATTGATATCACGCACGTATATAAAGAGCGAAGGTCTCATTTCTGGAGGCAGGCAAGTGAGCAGTCAGAGTCCTTGGACATTGTTCTGAGTGATTCCGGTATTTTAAACTCTGGTAAATAGAAATCCTGGAACATGGGGGTTGCCAACTTGTGACGAGCGCTCAAATCATCCCCGGTAAAGACGGCATCCGAAAGTTGCTCTCGATGGATAATAACAAAGGTGAGAGTTGGTGTTGACGAGGTGGTGTCTCAGGCTGGTTATTGACCACCACGTGCCCGCTTGCTTGGAGCTTGTGTGGCTATTGTCATAACCACCTTCCGACACGATGTCTCCCTTTTCACCTGGCCAACGCCTACACTGACAGTGAATCTCTCATTACTCTTAATATGACCACTCTCGATCCTTGAATTGACTTTGGTCCTGGAAAGCTCACCGGGAACTGAAGGTCGCCACTTCGTAAGGTGTAAGCGAAAACGTTTGGTGTGTTTGTGGTCGGGGCCCCTCGAGAAAATCAACCAATAAAAGCCGATAAGAGGCATTTTTTTCGCAGCGATGGTACTGGCCGACTTGAGGTTGGAGCGACGATAAGGGATGAGGAAATGCTCTTGTTCTCATAACAGTCAGGCTTGTTCTCAGCAGCCAATCATTCGTGCTTTCTCCGACTCCAAGCCCTGAAGGATTGTGCACCCCGCCTTTTGCCTCTGGGGTTGGGGTATTTCCGGGTCAGCACCCAATCTGGAAGTCCAAGACAACCGGCAAACTCGATCGAAGTCGTCAATTCTGACATCAAGACTCCGCTGTCATCCCCTTGCTCATGATAAGCACTAGGCGAATTCGGATGTGAGCTCAAATGTTCATGCTGGGGTTTATCCGGCTGACATCGTGGCTTCGGCGTAATTCCGCGCTTCTGATTACAGTTTGACACCCAGATGAGGTAACCCGAGGTGCAATTCAGTCGATACGTGTCACAAGGTCCTCGTTCTGTCTGGCTTGCGATACGTATCGTATGCTGGGTACGTTTGACAGAAGCACGTTGCCTTCAAGCAGGTTCTGCCCTATCACATCAATCGGATTGGGCAGACTTTCGATAGATGTAGCACCGCAGCAGTACCACCCCATTGGCACGCATATACCCCTCTTTGCAGAAGGACCCGACTGGCCAGTCTTCTTTCACGGATTCCTCCAGCGAGGCAGTTGTTCAATGCCCGTCCCTTCCGGAGTATGATTTCGAGTCCAAGCTTCCATCCCTTTTCCCCGCAATGGAGGCAAAAGGGGGATTTCCTGGCCTCGGAGCCCTCAAGTTTGGAACCGAGGGTCCACCCTTCAAACCTTCTCAATCGCAGATTCGCATTTCCTTGCGCCTGCTTGACAAGACTCCCCTTCCATCGCTGATAACACTCCAATACATATCCCGCGTAATCGCAGTGGATCGCGCATCCCCCAGACCCAGCTTGCTCTCGGGGAGGTTACCCCTAAGACTCACGGGGAGGAGATTAAAAGGATTTTTGGTGATTTTGGTGCTTGGAAACCCGGAGACTCCGCACTTTTAGCTGGTCCAGGGGTCCACTGTCTCCAGCGAGGGCACCATTTCGGGACTAGGGGGCAGACTTCGCCATATCTTTCTCGGGGAGGAGGCTTCTCTCCGGGGTTCCCAGTTTTTCAACGACATCTCCTGATCCATCTCTCTTCAACACTCTTCCGTTATTTATAACGAGGCTCTTCTTTCGTCGGGACGCTTGTGTTTTGAGTTTGAGCCTTCGTCCACCAACCTTACTCAAGTTTCAAATCGCATATTGCGTACCAGCACAGCCATGATGAAGCGTCTATCTCGCGTTCTGGGCCGAAGCACCTTGGACCCAAAAGTCGAACAGCTGTCTGCAGTGCAGCCCCCTGTCGTATTGAACGGTGTGGAAGTCGCGACAGTGCAAACAGCACCTGCTGAGCCGTGGATTCTGGAGGAGCGCTCCATTGACGCAACTCGCCCCATGAGGGTCGTTGTCATCGGTTCTGGCATTTCAGGAATCATCGCCTCTATCCGTCTCCGTCAGAGAATCGGCAAGCTTGATCTATGTGTCTATGAGAAGAATGCCGATATTGGAGGGACGTGGCTTGAGAATAGGTATCCAGGATGCGCTTGTGGTACGTGCTGTCCTTAATCATAGCACGACTGTTAGGAGACTAATTTTCGCAGATATTCCGGCCCACACATACCAGGCTACATTCGAGCCAAATAAGGACTGGTCAACCTTTTATGCCGCCGCGCCAGAAATTCACAAGTATTGGAAGCGCGTGTCGGACAAGTATGGCTGCGAAAAGCACATCCAGTTCAAGCGCCAAGTTGTGGGCGCGACTTGGGATGCCGCAGCATGCAAGTGGAAATTGCAGGTCAAGAACATTGACAGTGGAAAGATCCTCGAGGATACCTGCGATGTCGTTGTCTCGGCTAGCGGTGCGCTGAATGAGTGGAAGTGGCCTTCTATCGAGGGTCTGCATGATTTCAAGGGGAAGCTTTTGCACAGTGCGTGCTGGGACGAGAGTTATGATTATAGCGTATGTTGCAAGTTATCTATGTGATCACTGATGAGTGCGCTAATACTTGAAATAGGGCAAGCGAGTTGCTGTTATTGGAAATGGGTCCAGTGGAATTCAGATTGTGCCTGGGATGTTGCCCAAGGTCACACATTTGGACCACTATATTCGAGGGAAGACGTGGCTTTCGCCTACCTTTGCGCGCGAGCAGATCGATAAGCGTAATTCGGAGCTTGAGAACTGTGAGTTCCACACTCGGATTGTAACGGACATCTGCGCTAATTCTGTTCAGTCTCATTTACGCCAGAGGAGATCGAAGCGTTCAAGAAAGATCACTCGGTATACCAGAAATTCAGAAAAGGTACGGCCCTCATCCAAATCGCAAGCTCGACATTCACTGATCCGATAAAGAAATTGAGAAAGAGCTACAATCCGTGCACGGTGCCACGCTTGTGGGAACTCCAGAACAGCTGGGAACCACGGAATTCTTCACAGAGAACATGAAGCGCCGACTACGACGGAAGCCCGAGCTCGCCGACGACCTCATGCCCGCATTCCCACCAATCTGCCGTCGGCTGACTCCCGGCCCTGGCTACCTCGAGGCTCTGACTGACGACAAAGTCGACGTCATCTCAAGCCCCATCGTCAAGATCGTCGAAGATGGCGTCGTCACTGCCGACGGAAAGCACCATCCCACCGATGCTATCGTCTGTGCCACTGGCTTCGACACCACATTCACGCCACGATTCCCCATCACCGGTGAGAATGGTCTGTCCCTCGCGAAGCGATGGGAGGAAACGCCGGAGAACTACCTCTCGCTTGCTGTGGATGGGTTCCCCAACTATTTTATCTGTCTTGGACCCAACGCGGCCCTGGGTGAGGGGAACCTGTTGCTTCTTATTGAGAAGGAGATCGACTACGTCACCTTCTGTCTACAGAAGATGCAGCGCGATAACATCCGGGCGATGCAGGTTCGCAAGGAGGCTGTGGAGCGGTTCAGAAGGCACTGCGACCAGTACTTCTCGCGAACGGTGTTTAGCATGGAGTGCCGCAGCTGGTACAAGGGCGGTTCCTTGAATGGGCGAATCACAGCATTGTGGCCTGGTAAGCTGCCCCTGCTGATCTGATTATCGAATTTAAATACTAACAATGGAACAGGCTCTTCTCTCCATGCAATGAAAGCCCTCGCTTATCCTCGGTGGGAAGACTACACTTATCAGTATGTCAATGACAACCCCAACGGCTGGATTGGGGACGGATGGGCAGAGGACGAGCGGAATAAGATCATCAATGTCGACTACCTGGACGACGACCAGATTGACTTTCCCACGGCTGTGATTGCAAAGGCGAAGGAGAGCGTCATGGAGCATGTCAACGGTGTCAACGGCGTGGCGCATTGAGTGTATTTGTTTTTTAGCGTGTATATAAATGTGCTTGGATCTCAATATCAACTACTACCCCGAATGCCAGAGGTGTGAAACTTGCAAAGAACTCCCAAACTTCAGTTCAAGTTGGTACTTTTGCCAGATTGAGGCATCCGGTGTGCTGGGCATCAATTACATAATACATCCGGTAAAATACCTGACTGGCGGGTAACGGGGAGTTCGTCCTCCGCAGTCCAGAACCCCTCGGACTCCACCTCCACGCCCCCAATTACGAGTCCGTTACCGCACCCAATGAATAATAATATGCTTGACTCGCAGACTTCTGGCGTTTTCTTCCAACTCCGTCGCCAAAGAATCCCCGAGTCGCCACTGACCTGAAGCAGACACAAGTCGAGTTGGGTCCCATGGATGAAGCACAAGTGTGACAGGCTCAGAGCAAGCCACGGTTCTCCCCCGCTTCCAGACAAGAGACTCGCTCACGTTTCCCTCGAGTCTTAATTAATTCCCCCTCCCCGTGGTGGTGTCGGGTTCCCCCTTCTTTACCCCAGAATTTCCGACTCCCCCCCAAAAGCTCCTCCCCGATGCATCATCTCAGACCCTCGTCATGAAGCCAACCAAGCACTTTTGCTGCACAATCTGCCAGCGGGGTTTCACCCGCATTGATCATCTGAAACGGCATCACCTCCGGCGTATGTGGCTTGCTCTTTTTTGTTTTTGCTGCCGGCTATTGCTTGTCTCGCTCGCGCCCAGGCTAACTCCGAATGTCATCCCGGTAGACTCTGGCCTGAAGCCTTATTCGTGTGTTTTCTGCAACGAGTCATTTGCTCGGTGGTATGTTGCCTCGCTGGTGGTTACTTCAAGTAGTGATATGCTGATGGCTGTAGTGATAACCTTCGCGATCACTATACAGACTGCGCCAAACGTGGCGACCGGGAGATTCCCGAGACCGGCCAACGAGGCCGCAGACGACATGCTTGTCAATCAGTGAGTTTTCTCGTCCTTGCCCGGAACGCTTACAGACCACTTACCGTTGTAGTGTACATCGATGAAGCTTCGCTGCGATGGACAAAGTCCATGCGGTTCATGCGTCAAGAGGAATCTCGACTGTAACAAAGAACGGCAGAAGGCGGCCACGAGTCCTGAAATCGGCTCGGGTAAGTATTTCTTGTCAGTTTTCGGATTCAGCCTGACCCTGCGTAGATACTGCTTCTTCAAAGCATGAAGGATATGATCGCCCTTCGGATCGAGGCTCGATCAGGTTTCTCCTCAATGGAGGTACAGATAGCTTTACGGAGGACTTCCTCCTGCCTCCGCGTAGTGATCGCACTCGTGGACTCGAGTACCATCAGCAGAAAGAAGAGGCCGAGAATTCACTGATGGCATACCCCGCCGAGGGAGATCCCAATGGTTTCGCGCCGGCATTCGTTGAGCTAGATCCCAACAGTCTGACTTTCTTCCATGATACCTTCCTCGACTTCTTCAACGGGCCTTTTGGGGAAATGCACAAATCAATTGTCGACCCTTACGGTGGGATGATGGACTATCCGACAGTTCCTACTCCTAACACTGATCCCGCTCTCGCCTTTTCCGGACAACAACCGTTCGAGCAGGAAAGGCCGTACGCGACCGCCATGATCCAGGCGATCTTATCGAGGGCATGGTCGGTGCCTCTCGACCCCAAGGTCCACGAAGAAATATCAACAAACCTTACCTTCCTTCTTACAACAGCGCGAATCCAGAAATTCATCAATCTCTACTTCAAATACTGGCACTCGAATTGCTCAATCCTACATATGCCGTCTTTCAACCCGGAAGTGGTTGCTCTGCCCTTACTGACGTCGGTCGTGTTCATGGGGGCAATGTACACGAAAGACGAGCGCGAGCTATACGCCGCCAAACGACTTCTTGACTTTGCCGAGCTCTACGTTTTTTCTAGCGATATCTTTTCCTGCGAATATGAAGTGGCGGCGACGATCTGCGGGAGCCGGAATGTTGAGAATGAAGCTCATGACTGGCTGCAGTTTCAGAACTTCCAGGCTGGCTTTTTGATGGTCGTGGTACAGTACTGGGCTGGCGGTCGGAAGTCGACTAGTCGTGCTATGGAGAATCGGTTCAGTGAAGTTGTTAAGGCAAGTCACATCGGGTTCTCAGGTTTTGCTTTTACTGACTAGCTTAGGTCGCACGTCGAATAGGACTCGTCCAGTATCAGCACACGCCCGAGGATGGAATTGACGAAACACTATGGATTCAGAACGAGTGCCGCATTCGGTAAGTAGACCCAACTCCATTTCTTTGATTGCCTTCCTAACTATCTAGCAACATGAATATCATTTCTCTCCTCGACTGCGCCTTTTCATTCTACCAAAATTACCCTTGCCGCCTCTCGCATACAGAATTACAATGGGACTTTCCATGCCAGGAGTCCGTCTTCGCCTCCGAACACCCATTCGCAGAACCCGGGTTCCAAGTCTCACGAGGTCTCACACTAGGCGAGGCATTCAGCAGCCTATTTGAAGAAAACAGCGGTGCTGAATCGTCCGCTGTTCCAGATACAATCGCAAACCTCACAGTACTCGACATGTTTGTCCTAATCCACGGTACTTACTATCCCATTATCCTCTCCCACCTCCAGAAAGCTAATAAATCCAGTATTATACGCATTTATCAACACGCACATGACTTGCCTCGCTCCTCTCCTCCGCAACACCGTAAGAAAACAATTCCCAACCTCGACCGGCTCAGGGAAACGACGACAGTCTGTCAACCAAGAAGACTCCACATTAATCCCAATCCGCATGGCCTTAACACGGTGGCGAGACCACTGGCTAACACTGCGCAACACAATATCACCGCATGAATGGGCGTCCATGGGCTTCTTCAAGAACGGGTACAATTTCTGGCTCGTCTCGCAGCTCCTAATTACGAAGAAGGAGAGCGTGGATGTTGTGATGAAAATGGAGGTGCGGTGCGAGGATAAGCTGGAGAAGCTCAAGGTCCTGCTGCAGGATGAGAATGATTGATGATCTATGTATAATGCGTATACCACTGCGTGACCTTTCTATCTTTCGTCTCTATTTCTTTGTTCCCTTCTTCCTCTTCTTTCTTTGCCATTTTGCGAGTGGGATTGAATAGAGTAAGATGGGTTGGCTGGTTATATCACTATTATTGTACGGTACCATATCATTTCAAATCACGCCAAACCCATACATAGACTATGTATACCACAATACATGCAGAGTCATTCAAACCTCATACTTTCAATTTCATACACATTTCATTCATATCCATTCAGGCATACCCCAAGCTCCAAAAGTTCTCAATATTCCTCCCTGTATCCTCATCCACGTACGCCGGCGGCTCCGCAAAGGTTACATGCTCCCCATGCAGCTCCGCAATCTTGCCCGTAAGCGAAGGGTCGTCGACAAACTGCTGGGCCGCCCGCTGAGCCGTCGACATGGGCGTCAGCACCATTGTCTTGAAGAGGTCGGAGCTGGGGGCGATGTTTGTCTCAATAACAGCAGGCGCGAACCCGTTGATCTGGATCTGTTCCCTTTCTAGCGGTCGAGCGAGGGAGCGGACGAGTCCGATGACGCCGTGCTTTGTTGCCGAGTAGATGGGTGCCATTGGGAACGGGTAGACGCCGGCGTTTGAGGCGGTGCAGATGACGCTGCCCTTTGAGTTGTTGACCGGGGTGTTTTTTGATATGTAGTGGAGGGCGAGTTTTACACCTGTACTCGGTCAGTCATAATTACCCTCAAGATCACGGATAGTTACTCGTAGTAATGAAAAGAGCAGGAGGAGGAAAGGGAAACCTGGGGAGGAGAAGACATACTATAAACAACCCCAACAAAATTCACATTGATCGTCGCAAGCTCCGGCTTGGTCAGCTTCCCATCCTTCTCCGGCAAAAGCGAACCCTTCTCCGTAATCCCCGCATTCGCAAAGACGACGTCGACGCGGCCCTGCTGTGCGAACACACGCTCAAATGCCGCCGCCTGGCTCTCCCAGCTCGACACGTCGACTTGCTCGAAACTGAACCCTGTCGAGGGGAAGTCGGTCTGCAGTTGCGAGACGATGGCTTCGCCGGTTGTGCTGTTGATGTCAAAGATGGTGATGTGTGTGTTGGGTTGCGGGGCGAATTGGCGCGTGATGCCCAGGCCGATTCCTGAGGCGCCGCCTAGGGAGGGGATTAATTTTCTTTGTCCTTTTGCACATTCCTCTGCTTCTTCCTCCTCCTTTGTTGAGTTCGAGGGTGGAATTACCTGTGACAATGATGCTTCGCTTGGTGGACATTCTGATTGCTCCGATACCGGTACTGACAGGTTTACTTCTAGTAGTGTTACCTGGGCAAGAGTGTTCCTTCTCCCAGCAAATGTTATGTATGCAGGGCGTGCGCGAAACTGCGGAAATCCTCCGAGTCCGAAGCCCCTCTTCGCTTTTTCAGCACAATGTGGGATGGGGGAATCCCGATATTGAGTCAGAGCCTTACGAATCGGAGTCGAGGGCAGCAGGAATGATACGGAGGAATGGTCATGCAGCGATTGGATCGACGATTTGCAGCAGGGATCCTGAATAATGGACGCTCGCTTGTTTTCGCTAGATTCATGTCGTCGCCACTTGTCTAGCTGAGTTTGTGGTTTGGCTCGGTCTGTGGAGATGCAGCTGGCGAGTCTGGCTGGGTCCGAGTCTGAGTCCGGGGAGATGAGGGCAGCCCGCGCTCTGGGTCCGGTGGGCCTCGCCGTCCACGTTTTCGAGTCAGAGGTGGCGATGTTGGATTATCTTGAATGATGGATGCGAGTACGTACTCGTCGATAATCGCCAGGGTGGTCAGCGGATTGCATCTCTGATCATCACATCGTCGACGACACCCACATCACCCCGGAAATCCTCCTCCCCGTGGGGAACTGGAATCCCCGGGTGTGCTTCTCCGCAGCCCTGTCTCCTATCTTGTCCTGTTCTGGCTCGTCTCCTTAACACTGGGTGAGCTAAAAAGCCAAAAGGGTTTGGAGACGAGGCTTGACGTTCCCACCTGAGCTCCCCGACCCCCGGCGATCCTATTTTATCCGCCCTCCACCCACCCCGGCCTGTCACTTTCTCCAGCTTGCTGATTTTGATTTTTCTTTCTCTATCGATTGGCTTTGCTTGTACGGCTTGGTACAGTTTCAGAGCAAAATGCCTCTGGGAATCCTCGAAGACACCAAGCTGGAGAACGTTCCGGGCACTGCGCCCCTGAACGAACTCGGCCACGACACCACCTACACCGGCATCGACCCTGCGTTCCTCAAACATGACAAGACCGGCGAGATCGTCCTCGTCCCTCAGCCGTCGGACTCGCCCAATGATCCCTACAACTGGCCGCGCCTGAAGAAGGAGCTCTTCACCATCACCTTTGGCTGGGGCTGCGGTTGTACAGGAGGTGAGCATGACACCAGCATTCGACGCGTCAACGCGTCCCAACACAAAATCTAACATTCACAGCCGTTGGCCCTCTTCTCGGTGCAGCCTTTGTCCCCCTCGCCGCAGACTTTGGCGTCCCCCTCAACACCTTCGTCTCCGGCGTGCAGGGCGGCATGATCGCCGCCATCGCCGTGGGCAGTCTGATCTTCAACTGCCTGGCCGTCAAGTACGGCAAGCGGCCCGTGTACCTGATCACGACGCTGGGCATGATGGTCTCTTGCTTCTGGGCCGCGGCGGCCAAGAGCTTTGCCTCGCTGGTTGCGGCGCGTGTCGTCTGTGGCCTGTGCATGGGGCCGTTTGAGGCGCTGGTCCCGGCGTCCATTGCGGACGTCTGGTTTGTGCATGAACGTGGGTTTCGCACTGCGGTTTTTAATCTGGGTGTGCTTGGTGGGATTAATCTTGCCACGCCGATTGGTATGTACTTGACTTTCTTGCGCTTGGGGGTGGTTGGTTGACTGACTGCTTGTAGCTGGTGCGGTTATCGAGTACGGAGACTACCAAACCTGCCTCTACGGCATGGGCGGTGCTTTTGGCCTCGCTTTGATCATGGTCATATTCTGGATGCCTGAGACGGCTTACGAGCGGACAGACGCCCTGAGCATCGACACTGGCCACGATCTGGTACTGTCCTACCTCATACCCATATCAAACTCAGTCACTAACGATTGCAGACAAACCTCGAAAACAAAACAGACACAAAGCACCTCGAAGCAACCAGTCCTCCCATCGTCAACTCCAGCACCGAAGAACCAATCTCCTACACACGCTCCCTCCTCCCCTACAGCGGCTACGTCAACCACATCTCCTTCTGGAACACGCTCATCCGCCCCTTCTACCTCATCGCCTCCCCCGCCGTCTGCTGGGCCGTCGTCCTCTTCACAACCTGCATCTCCTGGCTCGTCCTCATCTCCCTTACAATCTCGCAAATCTTCTCGGCGCCCCCGTACAACTTTTCCGTCGGCGCCGTGGGCGCGACAAACGTTGCCTCGTTTGTTGCTTCGTTGATCGGAACCCTCGTCGCAGGGCCCCTCGTCGACGGCGTTGCAACCCGCCTCGCAAAAATGAACAAAGGAATCTTCGAGCCCGAGTTCCGCCTCCCCATCATGATCACCTACCTCCTCTTCACCGCAACCGGCTTCTTCGCCTGGGGCCAGTCCCTCTACAACCTGGACCCCTGGCCCATCCCCGTAATCGTCTGCCAGGGCCTCATCAACCTCGGCGTGCAACTGGGGACCACAGGTGTCGTGACGTACGTCGTGGACTGCCACCGCGAAAAGGCGGGCGAGGCCTTTGCGACGATGAACTTTATCAAGAACCTGTTTGCGTTTGGGCTGACGTTTTATGTTAATGGGTGGATTGAGAGTCAGGGGGTGCGCAATTGTTTCTATACCATTGGTGGCATTACCATTGGGGTTACGCTGCTCACTGTGCCCATGTATATCTGGGGGAAGAGGGCGAGGAGCTGGGTGCATCGGCATCGGATCGCGGACAGGCTGTAGTTTTCTCCCTTTGCTCTGGTCCTTGCTTGCTGGCTGGCTAGCTGGCCTTGGTAGGTATGTACCTTGGCTTTGGCTTGGCTTTGGCTTTGGCTTTGGCTTGCAAATGGTCGTGGATAGCTAGTTGTCTTGTCCTGATACTTCTACTTTTGGTTTCGGTGGCGTGGAGGGTTGGGTGGTTACTTTCTTTTTCTTCCCTTCTTGTACCTTGCTTACCAGTCTCTGGTATACTAATCAATATAAATACAATTACAACTTGCGAAGCATTGTATCGAAACATCGTCTTCTTGGATTATAGTTCAAGTTGTCGCTATCCTAGCCCTATATAACCACCAGCTCCTCCTCCTCCTCCACACCAAAAAAACAACTCTCGCTCCCACTTTCCAACTACCCAGACGTACAGTTCACCTGCAACAAACTTTCATCAACCTATCCCAGCATCATACTCGTTAGCATCAATCCCACCAACCAGTCGGATCAGAATCAGAGAGGAAACCACTTACATTCGTACAAACAAACTCATTCGTCCCACTGGGACTAAGCACATCGATGTTCTCGGCGTAGATATCCGAGCAGACCTATATATAGTTGTCGGTTAGTGATCTGGCCCTTTTGTTTGCCTCTCTTCCAATGTTGTTCAAGGAAGAGCGACATAATAGGGAACGGACGGGGACGACATACATCCGGACTCGAGCAGACAATCGTCCCAACATTCGGATCATGCTTATCCGAGGTCGTCCCAAAGAGGTTCCGGAAGTGCACGTCGGAGATTGTGAGGTTGCTCTATACGGTTCCATTAGCACGTCACCACTCCATCACGGCTATCCAAAAGCAAAATTGAGGGCGAGGGTGGGGGTGAAAGTGAGGCAACGAACCGGATACTCGTTACACAGCGTCAAATTCTTCTGCCCATAGCACTGCGTGACTTCAATCGCCCAGTCGACGTTCTCGACGTACATGGTGTCGTACGTGATGTTGGAGACGGAGCCTGAGCCGCCGCCGCCCTGGAGGTCCTCGGACATGGCGGACGAGACGCCGGGCCAGACCTTGATACGGGCCATGTCCTGTACTCGCTTGTTAGTTGTGGCTCTGACAAGAAGGATGGGAGGGAAGGATTAGGGAGGCAAAGGGACGTGTGGCGACGTACAGAAGCATTGTACATGGAGATATTGTAGACAAGGATGTTCTTGACGATGTCGACTTCGCCGACGTACTGGCCCAGCGAACCGACAGAGATACCGTGGGAGCCGTTGCAGTGCAGGTTCTGGACGAGGATGTCGGTGCTGTTCGGTTTGAAGGAGACGCAGTCTGTTCATCGCTTTATTAGTCCACTTTCACCACTCGAGAAGAAACAACAGAGGGAGGAGGTCAGGGAAGGGAAGGGAGAGGAGACAGAAAAAGGGCAACGCACCATCCCCATTGTTAATAACCGAGTTCTGAATAACAATATTCCTCGACCGATACGTATCCCACCCATCCGTATTCTTCGCCTCGTTCTCACTACTGCTATACCCGGAGATATCAATCCCGTCAAAGAGGACATCTGACGAGTTCGCAACGAGCTGGTACCACTGCGGCGAGTACCGCAGCTTCAAGGGCCCAATCGTCCCGCCATGCAATCCAATAACCCCGAACAGGATCGGGCGAAGGATGAGCGGGTCCTCCGCGTACAGGTCGTACCACACCTGCCCGTTCCCGTCGAGGGTGCCCCCGCCGTAGACGTTGACGTCTTCGCCGCCGAGATTGAAGAAGGTCGTGGCGTTTTGGAATGTGTGCTTGAACGAGTTGGCTTGCCAGTAGTCTGTGTCTGGGGTGAAGGTTATGCGGCCGAGGATTTCTTGTCCAAGTATTAGCTTGTCCATCTCTGCCACATATCCAAGGGAAAAGTCATACCCAAATCAACATTCTTGAGAAACGTAAGATCCAGCGCCGTGCCAATGGTATACTCCTTATCGGCATCAAAGACGACCTTGCCGCCCCGGTTACACTTGTTCAAGGCCGAGAGGATGAACTTCGAGTCGTCGCGCGAGCTGTCGCCGTAGCTGCGAACATGGCAGACTTTCTTCCTCGGGTGGCTGTGGGGGAGAGGTCGGAAGGGAGGCTTGGGGCCCACGGCGTCGTTGCGCGCGCGTGTGAAGTGGCCGTCGACTGCTGTGCCTAGACTGAGCAGGCTCACCGTCGAGGTGAGGATGTGGGAGAACTTCATTGTTCAGCAGCGCGGGAATTGTCACGGCCTGAAGCGGGAATGTTGAGCTGCGCTGCGTGGATGGAAAGTGTGGGGATGCAATGCGCCTTTTATATTGCTTCTGCTGGTGTTCCTCCTCCTGCTCCTAGGCAATTGTACTGCAGCTGCACCATCTCGCAGTACGTAACCAGCGGAGAAATCACCCCCTCATCCGTACTCATTTTATCCGGGGAAAATAGCCAAATCCTCCTCGGTGCCAAAGCTGTGGGGATTCAAGCTCAGAAGGAAGCTTGGAATTGGTTGTCAAGAAATTGGGGATGGGTTGGAGGAGCTTAGCTGGTCTTTGCTGGACTGTGATAGGAGGGATAATTATGCTCGAGATACCCCGGACGCAGCGGAGAATTCCCCAATGTGTACGCTTTGGGTAGGGAATTGGATGATCGGCGCGCTGAATGTCCGGTTGGTTGGTAATCTACCTGCGACTGCGAGTGTTGGTGCTGCTGTTGGTATGAGTAGGTACGTTGGCCGGGTGGGCCGCCCTATACGGAGTACAACCTAGATGGCTGATAGATACTATGGGTACTCAAGACCAGCTGGCAAAGAGTTATATCACCGCACGAGTCGCAGATAAAGATGGTGAATATATTGACATTGTATACCTCGCACTCTACATCGTACATCTAAGTGTGCTTCTTCACAGCCTCCACAGCATCCTTAGCAACAGCCTTTGCCGAGTCCGCAATCTCGTGCTCTAGATCCTTAGCGGCCTCTTTTGCCGAGCCGCCTTCCAGGCTGCGGCGGTAGTTGAAGATACGCGTGACCTGGACGACACCAACGCATCCGAGGAAGAAGTTTACGGCGGCGAGGCTGACACGATTAGTAACATGCCCGCGAGGGGGGTATTGAGGTCGAATAGCACGTACAGGTAGTTCTTGGGCTTGATGATCAAGCACCAGCGGGTCCAGATGGCGCCGGTGGCCGTGAGAGCACCGTTTTGCGTCAGGGAGAGCTTCTCGGCGGGGCGCTGGAAGTCGGAGATACCGGCGATGACGAGAGCCCACTATCCGTTCATCAGTATTGTCCAGATGGTCTTGTATTCATTCCAATTTGTTGTCCACGCGGTCCATCCAATCGATAGCTTCGAGCGTGTTTAATCGGAGTCTGGCAAACGTACCTTCATAACGGGGGCCCTAAGAGTCGGTCGTTAGCACATATCCCCACCAAACTATCAATTGAATCTCGAGAGCATACCAGAAATGCACCGTCTTCAGCCCAACAGGGCTGTTCCACATGCGCTGGAAGGTGCTCTGCTGCTCAGCAGCAGCGGCATCCGAACTCTGAAAGCGGCGACCGTATCCCCCCGGCCGGCGGAAAGCGCTGCGGAAGGCCGCGCGCGAGTTCTGGAAGAAGCGAAGACCAACTCGAGACGTCGACATGGTGAGTGGAGTGGAGAGAGGGACGATGCAAAGTCGGAGTTGTGACGACGGTGACGAAGCAAGCTTTCTTGTTATCAGTCAGAGCCGACGTCGGCGGCTTTGTTCCTCCGCCCGGAGTTTGTCGTTGAGGCGGCGCGGCTGTTGCCGGCTGAGGTAAGCGGTGAACCGCGACTGACAATCCCGCTTGACCACATTGGTTCGTTGCTGCAAAACGACGGGACTTGACCTCGACTGAACCACCAAGCTTCACGCTGCGATCCCAATAAAGTGGCATTGAGTGCCTGGGCTGTTGATTCTTCTTTCTGTGTGCTTTTTGAATTCGGTTGAGATCCCGCCGCCATGTCCTCCAAATACGTTTTCACAAAGGGCCTCAAGGAGCTGCGGTTCCTCTTTTGCCAGACCTCTGAGCACAGCGCTGCGACACGGTGAGTTATTCTTTTTCTTGCTTCGAAAGAAGGCTGGCTAATTGATTTGTTTAGGTCCTTCCTCCTCCGCGCCTATCCCACCATGAAGAAGCACAACCCGCACACCCCGATCCTCGTCCGCGAGGCCTCCGGCACCCTTCCACGTGTCTACGCTCGATACGGTACGTCTGACGAAGCAATTCGAGTTATATGTGTAAAGGAGGCTAACAAGCGACTGCGATAGGATTCGGAAAGGAAACGGAGGAGGCTCTGAGCGGTAAATGCCCCTCCCCCGATCGGACACAACGTGAGAAATGCATCGCTAATCATCGGTTAGGCCTTTCGGATCAGCAGATTGAAGAAAAGATTACGCAATTGGTCAAGGCATCCTCATAAATAGAATCGACGCGTCGTCTGTCATGTACCGCACCGGCTGTCGCCACTGTATCTATACTATATCCGAATGAATCCGTTGGCCGTCTTTACAAGGAAATGATGATATGATGCGATACCTTGAATATTTACATTGCTATGCTATATATGGATCAAATGGTTGATAGGAGATGGTCGGTTGTTGATGGCTAACGGTCACAGCGCGCTGGCATTGGCGACCTCGCCGAATCTAAACTGCGCCCAGCTCATACTCCCCTCTTTCAGCGTGAACAGCCGCTTCCCTAGATCATCCCCGGCAGCGCCCGCCCCCACGTGGATAGGCAGGAGGTGGTCAAAGGTCGGGTGCGCCTGTCGGGCATCTCCGCGCTTCAGCAACTCGGTAAGAGCCTGCGCTCTCTCCGTCGGCGAAGTCGTCACAGCATCCTTTAGCGCCTCGTCGAAACTGACGGTATACGGCATCGGCCGCGGGTTCCCAAAGGTGAATCGCAGATCCCGCAGGTTATGCACGGCCATGCCGGATACGATGATGAGGATGTTTTCCTCTCGGAGTTTCTGGACCGCCTGTCCGAGTCGGAAATGCTGCATGGGATCTTCGCTGTTGAACAGGGAGACCTGCACGATCGGAACATTTAACGGATTGGACTCGGGTTCAAATGCTGCGTGGTCGAGGTTAGCTATCATTCTCGTTCTGTTGCATCTGAACAGGTCGGCGACATACCGCACTTGAAACTCGCCCAGACACCATGGTCCAGCCCCCTCTTGACACCCTCAGCCTTGATCCCCGCCTCCTTGAACGCATCAAGCACCTTGGTCGCAACCTCCTTGCTGCCGACGTTGGGATACTTTTCCTCGTAGTAATGGCTTGGGAAGCCGTAGAAGCTGGCAATGGCAATCGTCAATAAACTGTCTTTCACAGCCACCCTACCCCGAAACCAAAACTCAATTTCGGGAATGTTTTTTACTCACTCGTAAATCAACTCGGTCATCTCCGCCGTATTCACCTGCACCGTATCGCGGCCCGCCTGCCAATGCGCCGAAAACACCACGACGGCCCGCGGCTTGACCTTGGTCGTGATCTCGCGCCCGATCTTGCCCAGCTCCTTGTAAGCCGGGTGATCGACGTCGTACATGATGTTTGGCTAGAAAGCAGTAACAACAAAGTCAGTCGGGTATCTCTAAGATGCACAACCAGATCATGGGCCGAGCAATACGTACCCCACCATGGCTGAGGAAATACACCGGGGTCCTCATATTATCTCCCTGAATCCGTACGTCTCGCGCGCTACCCGTAGTATCAAGCCCAGCAACGGAACCCAGTTGCCGACGGGCCCAGGACGTGGGGACGAAGCGTCGAAGCCCGAACAGATTGGCGGTAGGTGTTTTGTGCTCGCTGTCGGTCGCTGTAACCCCGAAGCCGAAGATGAGGGCTAGCGAGATTGCGACTGCTAGGGTTAGGATGGAGAGCAGGGGTATAGACGATCTCTCGGTGTCGGTGTCGCGGTGTGGTGGTGGTGTTGGTGTTGGTGCAGAAGAAGGCATATATATGGTAACCTTGAAGCCGTCACAGGTGAGAGGGAAAGCGAAGGATCTACTAAATACATATATGTACCTCCTGGATGCCGAAAAACGTCCAATGTGATTGGTGGACAGTGACTCTGGGAGGAAAAAGCTACAGCCGGAACCACATATATAGTTCCAGTTCCTGAAGTTTCTTGTCTAGCAGGGAATTGTCATCAATTGTCAGACGATTTGGATTTGGTTGGTTCGTGGATTCCCTGGCTGGCTTCACATTTGTCACAGAGCGGAATGTGCGGAATTGCTCCCTGCATTAGTCATCTGATCCATGAGCCTCAACAGTCCACTTTCGACATCCGCACAACAACCACTTGAATGATCCTGAGATTAGTAGTTGCCCGGGAGCAAAAGATCTCACGACGGAGAAAATTCTCGTCAATGCGCTCATGTCCTTGATAGAGCCCTCACGGCCTCGGAAGCTAGAATCCTGCCTGCTCTCACGGGGCGGACCACACTCGAGGTCCAGAGCTCCGTCCACGTTGTCAACCACCGTGCAAACAAACAAGCATCCAAGACACCAGCACCAGCAAGAGCACCAGCAACTGGAGTCCACTTGCCCCAAGTCCCAGAGCAATCCTGCCAGCTGCGACTGCACGCCTCGGCTTCACCCGCAGATGTTACCCCCGGCGGAGTAGGTATGCATCCCATACTATACGGCGGGGCCATGCCATCGATGGTGTGGCATGGTGTTAACCACCTGCAAGACGCTGATTCTGCGGTTTCGGACTCGGGCGGGTGTGCATGTCACAGGTTCTGGTCGAGAGCCCCCTCTCTCTTCGCCGGGGAAGAGGTTAGTTAGGTCTTTCCATTTATGACCTGAGCACCTGCCATTGAAACGTCGCTGGATGAACCCCTTTGGGGTTCCGTTTCAATCAGGGTTATACCCCGTGCTGTCACTGCTGGTTGAGACAGTGGTGGACAAATCAATCCCTTGCCCGTCGTGGCAGAGACTGTCCTACTATGTAGTAGGGTTGGCATGTTTCAGTTGTTACACCACCTCGTTTAGGCGTTGAAGCAGTTCAACTCTTTCGAGGAGAACCACCGTAGTAGCTATTACCCATACATACGTACCAACCAGACCAGACCAGACCCGTCTTACCCGTCTGCGCGAGACAAGGACATCGTGATGGATAGATAGATAGAGCCATGAGGTGGTACATAGGCAGGCTGGTGCTTGGCTCTTCGAGCGATCGATCCCTCACCGAAATTGCCCCTGCGCACAATGTATGGATATCTATTTGTTTATCAGCATCCGGGTGGGCTCGGTTTCAGCCCTGTACATCAGAAGGGCTCTAAACCGCCTCTCGACCTTGTATACCCTCCCTCGGCTTCGCCATCCCATCCCATCCGCAGCCGCCTGACCACCAAGGCAGACTCGCAAGCTCTGCCGTCCTATACAGTAACCTGGTTGGACGCCTGTTGCACCACTCCACAAAGGCACGTCATCTTCCGAATAAACGGTGCTAGCTCTGTGGCTCGCGGGTGGCACGGACAAGCCTTTGACTAGATGTGCTTATACTGACAGGGCGCGAAGCAAGATGGCTTTACTTGGTGTCCTGGACTTGGTCTGTGCCTTGTAAATGATGCATGGCAAGAAAATCAAGGTCTGCAGCAAGGCCTTTAGACTCTATCATCATGGCGAATGGCAATTGCTGGATCGTATTGATTTTGGATGTTCGGAGTTTAGAAAGAAGAACAGCCAAACTAATGGCGATGGTGGGTACGTCAGGACATTAAGGTTCTACCGGGTCATCTACCGCGACACGAGGAGTCTACTGGACAAAAGGTTTACCAAGATGGAATAGAGTATAAATTAATTCATTCAGCATGAAGCATCAGCATGGTAAGACATGATGGACATGATACATGGCTATGGTATATGTGATATCCTGATAGGTGAAATCAAGACTGTATTAAGCTAAAAACCACATTCGACGCGCGAATGGGACAGGCAATTGTCCGGACATCTAAACCTTGTCGGCAACGTCCTCGACGTTGGTGGCAACGCTCTTGTCTGTGAGGCCCATCTCGGCAGCAAAGGTGCCGTGAGGCTTCCACTTGGCAGAAGTGCGGGGGGTGGTCTCCTCCATCATCTTGTCGACCTGCTCGAGGGTGAGACCCTTGGTCTCGGGGATCAGGAAGTAGGTGTAGACGAAAGCGCAGGCGCACAGGGAGCCCCAGATGAAGAAGACTCGGGACTTGAGGTTGCCCTTGTCAGAGTCGACCATGTAAGGAGTGATGACGGCGATGATGCAGTTCCAGAGCCAGTTGGAGGCAGTGGAGAGAGCGACACCGCGCGAACGGATGGGAAGAGGGTAAATTTCGCCAATAACGACCCAAGCGCCTGGACCCCAGGTGGAGGCAAAGAAGACTGCAGAGCGGTTAGTCTAGTTCGTGATCAAGGAATGGAGGAGTACATACAGATGTAGATACAGATGAAGGAGATCTGAGCCTTGACGGTGTTTTGGTTGTCACCGTCAACGACACCGGCGATGGCGACAATGAACTGGCAGACAACCATGCCGAGGGCACCCCAGAGAAGGAGCGGGCGACGACCGATCTTCTCCATGGTCCAGAAAGAGATGGGGGTGGAGAAGACGTTGACGATGGTGGTGATCATGCTGATCAGGAAGGGGTCGCTGATTGTGCCAAGCTGTGCCACAGGTTAGCAAAAGCTGATGTTCAAACAAACGAAGGATACATACGTTGGTGAAGAAGGTGGTTCCAAAGTAGAAGACAAAGTTGACACCGGTCCACTGCTGCATCATCTGAAGAGAGGTACCGAGAATGGTGCGGCGCAGGTTGCTGTTGGGGGACCAGAGGCTGCCAGTGAAGCAGTTGGCCCAGGACTGGAAGTAACCACCCTGGGGGATGATGGTCATCTCATACTCGTTGTTGGCGACAATCTCAGCGAGCTCCTCCTTGACATAGTCCGAGTCGGTGGGCTGGTCACGGACGCGACCAAGCACCTCGGCGGCCTTGGAGAGATCGCCCTTGCGGACGAAGTAACGGGGAGACTCGGGAAGGAAGAAGAGACCAATAGCAAGGATGATGGCCCAGATGAGCTGGATGGCGATGGGAATGCGGTACGAGCCAGAGTCGGTGCGGTTCTCAGTGCCATAGTCGACGCAGGAGGCAGTCATGAGACCAATGGTGACACAGAACTGGTATCCAGAGACGATGGCACCACGGACCTTGCGGGGAGCGATTTCGGACATGTAGAGAATGATGATGGCCGAGACGAAACCGACACCGAAACCAGCAATCAGACGGCCGACAACGAGGAGAGCGACAGTGGTAGAGGCGACCTGCAGGGCGACACCAACCATGAAGATACCGCAACCGCTGATGATGGTAGTACGACGACCAAACCAATCGGCAAGATCACCGGCGATGATGGCACCGAAAAAGGTACCGGCAGAGAGAATCGAAGTGATGAGAGACTTGTTGGAGGAAGAGATGACATAGCCTTCTGGATTGTCGACGTAGTCGGATTTGACCTGCAAGAAGATAAGGGGTCAGCCTGGGAGTAACACAGGGAGCGCACTGGCAGTGGACGAACCTTGCCTGAGAATTCGTGAATGAAATAGTCCATGGCCATGACGCCGTTGATGTAACCCGAATCGTAACCAAAGAAGATACCACCAAAGGCAGCGAAAGCGCACATCATGTACGTCTTCCAGGTGACAGGGGCCTCGACCCTGGCACCGGCAACAACACCATCAGCCATGATGAATGAAGCAAAAGTCTAAGCAAGTCTAAGCAAAGCAGTGCCTTCTATGACAGAAGAGAAGATGGAGAGGGATCGTCGAGAGTCGCGAGTTGGCGGAGGGACGATCTCGAGAGAAGAGGGGATGAGCAGAGAAAGAAAAGAAAGGAGGGGAAGTGCAGAGACTTTATAGCCCGTGCGAGGAGATGCGTGCAAAAGACAAACCCCCGACGAGTGGATATTTTTTTTTTTGCTGGACGCGGCTTCCCCATGGCAGCAGCAGACATGAATCAGAGCATCGGGTGAGCCGTTGAGGAGCGCAGGCCGGGTCCCCGGGAATCGCCCACGGGGAATGCACCTGACAATTTCGGCTCCACGGCCTCACGACTCACGGCAAGCGCAAGCTGACCAGGCTGGGTTTTTTCGCGCCGTCGCTGAATTAGCGGAGCCCCCACTGGGACCAGAGTGGATGGTTTGCCTTCAGGTTTCTGCTGGAACTGGGGCCTTGGAAGCGAGACACCCTCGTCCTGCGGAAACGCGGAGGAGAGGCCAGATTTGGACGACATGACCAATCGAATCGGCGCGCACGAGCCTTTGGTCTGCGCTGATAGGTTACATGCACATGGAAATCAGACACAGCACAGGCTGACTATTGCGCGGGCTGACGGCGCATGGAAGGGCGAAGGAATCAGAGGTGAGGGTGGCGCAAGACAAGCTAAACAGCGCTGGCCATACAGACACTCGGCCCAGCGCCGAAGTCACACTCGGAACGGAGTCCAAACGCCGCCAAAAGACTCGCTCAAGGCCAAGAGTTGCAGTCTACACTGATTGGGCAGACCAGACAGGGGGCGGAAAACGAGCCAACCACGTGGTGGACAGACTCTGCCCTTGGATTCCTCCTGAATCGACTCGGGGCTCGCCGGATCGTGGCCGGCTTGATGCATGGCTGCTCTTTGTTGGCGACCAAATTCTCGCTGCTATTCGGTCCTGGTCGACGTGGTCCACGAAATGGACCCTCTCTTAATGGGCTCATTATACGAGCCTGCCTGTTTCCGGCAGTGGATGCTACCCTCGCTAACACTGGCCATTGATGTAACCCTGCCAATAGTCCAGAGTAATCAAACCAGCAGAATAATAATTGCCACAGTCCGTGTCCAGTGTTCCAGAATTAGCTGAACCGAGGGTTCGCTCGGGCCTGGCCGAATCTAGAGAGGCACGTGAGCCTGTTAACTGAGTCTGGTTTCACTCGACGCCTCTGCCACCAGAATCTGCACCTCACGAGACAAGCAAAAGACTACTTGGATTATGCCATGCTTAGTGGCACTCAAAGCCCTCGGCATGCGGCAACTTGTGGTGTTCTTCAGAGCCGACGACAAGCCGGCAGGAGCTGCCAGCCGCTTGGCGTGCTGGACAAGTCGGTCTTGGCGACCGGGGGAGAGCAAAACAAGATCGCACAAGACGAGTCCTGAGCGCCCCTTCTGTCATTTTCATGCACGTCTTGATTGCAATTCAAACTAAATCAGGAAGCGAATCCATCGCAACCAACAGGACAAAACCCCGACAGCTGGTTCGCCAGCGCCACCAGGCCAGCCCGCCAGCCTGTCATGTTGCGGGGAACTCCAGAGAAAAGTCTTGCTCCCCACGGGTTTCGCCCATTCGCCAAATCTCCGATCTCATCTCACTCCCGGTGAGTCCTTTGCGTTAGCAGCGCCCGACTTGACCGTCAGTCTGGGGTCAGCGAGAATGCGGGATAATGGATTCCTCCAGATTATAGGCGCACAGTAATCTCACCCCTGACATGAAACGGCAGTCTGCCAGGGCACAAAACACCGCTGCTTACGACCCGTCGACCATGCCACCGCGAATCCAGCGCCAGCTCGCCGCCGCCGATTCGCCCATTTTTCCGTGTCTAGTAAATCTAGTGCCTCGTAATTTCCGTGCTCCACTTGCAGAGAATTCTGCTGGGCTCGACTCGACAAGACCGGTTCCCCGGATAAACATTTCTATTCGCAGGTGGACTGACTCAGCCGCTCGCCCAAATATCACCGTCAGCAGCGACAATGTCTGTGCCACCGAAGCGAGGATTGGGGTTCCACGATTCTTCGAGAACACGCTGTGCAACTCTAGAATATCGATTCTCGGATCCTCGCATGTGGTTGACATCTCATCCACATTCCTCCTCCCGCTCGACGATCTGAAACTCTACCAGCTGACTGACCCAATCTCGACTCGTCACTCGGGAATTCTTCGGGATAAAAACAAGTCGGATCTCTTCCGAGTTTTCACACTTCTCTCGACGGCCGACCTCGACAGTCTCGCCGTCTCGGGAGGCAGAACTCGGGAGCTAAGACTTAGAGAACTGGGTCTGCGGCCAGGACAGTTGGCAGGAATGCCGTGGTGCTCCTTGATTTGAGGATCCGTAATCGATCTGTCATCCCGATGTTTGCTGTTCGCTGTCCGGGAAATCTCCAGGTCTCGGAGTCTCTCCTAGATGCCGGGTCCTCAGTCCAAAAGACTTGAGGTTGGAGATGTCGCTGCCCATGAGTCATGTTGTCATTCATGAAGTGCTCAAGCAACCACTACTGCTTACAAACAGGGTCTAAACGCTTAACGCCTTCTTCTGCTTTGCAGGACGAAGCGAGAGCGCAACCCGAGTCAGTTTGCGCACTAATCTAACCATCTTCTCCAGTAAAGCCAATGGGACGTGACGTGGAGCCTTGGCAAGCCAGGTATGTAAGTTGCTTACGAAGGATGGCAGGGAGGTCAAAGCCCAGACCACAGATGCATCAACCAAGCCCGGTATCATCTCTGTGCATACTCGCTCGGCATACACTGGACATCTTCGAGGAGCGCTGGCCCATGCCAGGTGCACCCCACCGATGATTCCATGAACTGTATCAAGTAGCCATCGTTCCCCCTCTCGAGTCTCGTCCTTTTCTTTTAAGCTGTCCACAGCCCATCGTGGCTCCTCGGCGGCTGCTGACACCCGCATTTCCGCGGGCATATAGTCAACTCGGCTATATCGGCTTGATTAATCAAAGTAGCCGCTACCAACTCCCTGAGCTGGCAAGCAAAACCGCTAGGATACAAACGGGACTCCGTTATTGCATCCGTGTGCGAGTTATGGAAGCGCTGAATCGTAACCGAAGCCCAGATAAAAGGATCTTCATCATCAAGATTCACTATCTCCGCAAAATCCGGGGTAATCCTCTCTGCCGGGATTCGATGACAGGTCTACTTTTATCGCACTGCTTGAGCAGCTTAGAATCAAATCAAAAGACTTCTGTCATAATGAGTCAGCGACAGGGTCTTGGAATCCGGGATTAAGATTTTGCTTCCTGTGGGTGTCAGCTGGAATCCCGGGGTAGAAGGATCGTTGACGGGATTCGATGATAGGGCTCATGGTGTTATTATCGCGCCCTCTCAGCGTATGAGAAGTCCATTTGGGCTCTTCCTCGTCATAATGACTGTAGTAGCTCGATTGTCGACGAGTTTCGGGGATAAGACGCTGCTGGCACTTGGGTGTCAGCTGAAATCCGGGCTTGCAACAATATATATAGTTGTACCATGGGTTTGCATAGTACCAACATGCATCCACAACGCAGCGACAAGCAGACCCATCAAACTCTCCCTGGATAGCCTGCTGATCTCTTACAATGTCCTCCCCATTTGACATCAACACCCTCTTCGGGGTCAAGGATCTTGTCGCTGTTGTAACCGGTGGCGGCTCAGGTACTCATTTCCCGTTTCCATCGCTGACCCTCTACAACAATCGCTCATCAACACCATATATCAATATCTCTAATCCGTCTCCAGGCCTCGGCAGAGTCATATCCCGCGCCCTCGCCACAAACGGCGCGAAACGAGTCTACATCCTCGGCCGACGGCTCAACGCCCTGCACGAAACCGCCTCGACACACCCCGAGATCATCATCCCCATCGTCGCAGATGTCACGGACCCGACCTCTCTAACCGCCGCGGCGGACCGGATCCGAGAGGAGACTGGGTATGTGGATTTCTTGGTTGCGGGGGCGGGGATGGTGTATCTACACCCACCGCCAGCGCCGGGTCCAGCTCCAGCTCCCACTACTAGTACTGCGGATGCGAGTGAGGGCTCTGGTGATGGTGCTGGCCCAGGCAAGGGAGGCCTCTCCCTCTCCTCGGGCAAAATCCAAGTCGGGCGCACCCTCCGCCCGTCTCCAACAGCGCCGCAAGTCGAGTCCTTCCTCCTCGCCACAACCCCCGACGAATTCCTAACGAGCTACCGCGTCAACACCATGGGCGTATTCTACACAATCGCCGCATTCACCTCGCTCCTCGACGCAGGTAATAACCGGCAGAACGAGCACGACCCCGTCAGCGCGTCCGCCACGACACAAAGAGAACAGAAGGAAGCGGTAATAAAAGTCCAGCGCAAAAGCCACGTCGTCGCCATCGCCAGCGTCTCCGGGCAGAATAACAACGCCACGGGCGGCTGTGCGTATGGGATGTCCAAGGCCGCGGTCATCCAGCTTATGGGCCAGATGATGCGCGTTTTGGCGCCGTTGGGGATCCGGGTGAATACCTTGTCGCCGGGCGGTATGTTCCCTTAGCCTTCGTTTCTTTTTTTTCTGCGGCCCTTTACCTCTTGAGGGCTCTATAGTGGTTATTGTCATCGTGAATTGTGCTGACAGGATCGGTACCTTGTACAGTCTTCCCCAGTAACCTCGCCGGAACGCCCGCCAACTACGCCATGACGGCCGAGGGCACGTTTCCGATGGAGCTGATCCCGCTTCGCCGCGCAGGAACGGATCAGGAGATGGCGGGGACGATTTTGTATCTTGCTAGTCGCGCCGGTGGGTATGTCAATGGGCATGTGCTTGTCGTTGATGGGGGGAGTTTGGGATATCGGTAGGGGTTTATTAAGCTCTTTTGTTCTCGGTAGGGGCGGTGGTGGGTGAAAGGAGGCGAGAGGGTTCAACATGTTGCCAGTGGTATGGTAGGGCTGGTAGTTCAGAAACCTATCAGCAACAGTGATGGATCTTGGCCAGATGAGGCTACTTGAGAGTAATGCCGAGTTACTTTGGAAATCCTCATGCATTGGAGCCTGGAATCGCACATCTCCTTTCCATATGGAGAGCCAAGAGCCAGAGCATAAACCTTGGGGAGTTCCACTATGGCTGAAGTCTCGTGAACCGAGATAAAAGGCGTCCTTTTGTTATATCGGAGCCAGATCTATCCTCGGGTATTTAACAAAGAGCGGCCGGGATCTATGTTGCTGCCAGAAAAGAATGCGGCGGGCAGACTTGGTTGACAAAGGATCTATTCCAAGGTTGAACAATGTTCGTTCCTCTTTGTTACTCGATCGACTCGAAACGATTCAAGGAATTTTGGCTGACCAACGACTGGTTCTTCGGCTCGGCGCCTTCGTGTCTGGAATGTTGTCTTTGTTACTCCTCAACAAAGGAGATTTGAAGATTCCTGTGAGACCGTGCATTAGTGGCCGGTAGATCTTGACTCTCCTGACGGTGTATCCTGCTGTGGTTGTGTAGTATCTGGAGCTGCGCGATTGACACTGTTTGGGAAGGAGTGTTAATGACCCCCGGATAAACCTCGCCACTCTCCCTCGATCTCTCCTTTACTGACATCGTCTGTGAAGCTGCATGCTCCTCTACCAATGACTCTGTACCGTGAATCCCGAAGCAACTATTGTCCGCTTGACAAGGGATTTGAGTAGAGTGTCTGCCCTGAAACAGCAGTTAAAAGACGCGCCAGATTCTTCGGATATGGCTCGATACACAACGGTCTTTTGGCCTGTTATTTTTAACCATCTCCAAAGAAACTATTTTGATAACCCCCGTCACAACGACGACCAGCGTGACGGCCGTGATGGATACTTATTCGGATTGCTGGCCTCATCGGCCTCTCGAGACTCGAGAAACTACACTTGAACATATCGCCATACATCAGTACACTTCGCCATGGCCCTGGACATGGAAATCGACCCCCCAACCTACCAATTCGGTAACCTCCCCAAACTGCCCCTCGAGGTCCTCGACCAGATCAACGAGTACATCACCGGCGGCAACCCCCACAAGCCCTACTACTTTGGCTCCGTTGACCCGGCGCTCTGCTGCGTCAACTCGCTCTGGAACCGCATCTTCACCCCACTCCTCTACACGCAATTCAGCTACCACGGCAACATCAATAACGCCTGGTCCCTCTGGGGCTTCCTGCGCACCCTCTCCGAGCGGCCCGATCTCGCCGCCCAGGTCAACGAGCTCACAATCACGACATGGGACATCTACGAGCCATTTGTACCAGAGGACATGGCGTGGGAATCGAACTTTATCTCGCGGTGCTCCCACCTCTTTCTTGCCGAGGCTGAATCCTCGCAGGGGGGTTTGCGCGCGTACCTCACGCAGGCGGGGCATATCCGCGCCGCGTACAGAGAGCACATGAAGGCGTGGCATGCGAATGCGCACTACATGTGGAATCAGCAATGGATCGCGCCACTCCTTCTCGCCTTTGCGATGCCGCAGATGCCGAATACGCTGCCGGACAGTATCCTCACCAACGCAGATCGCACGCTGTACAATGGGCAAATGCACACGGGCTACCAGGGACCCCTCGCGGCACTGACCATCGCGCTCTGCCCGAAACTGCGCCGCCTGAACATGGACCTGTGGGACCTCGGCCAGGACCTCTGGTTCAGCCGCGTCCTGGGGTATGCGACGGGTCGCAACCCCGTCCCGCCTGCCCTGGCAAATCACCGGCCCATGCAGAACGTCGAGGTCGTCCGCCTCGCCGCGCGCATGATCAAGCCAATCGGCTCCCCGGTCCAGCGCGGCTCTGCGGACATTGCGGATTTCTACAAGTTACCCGCCATCCGCGAGCTCACCTGGTTGAACTCGGTGATGCCGAGACTCTACGACCCCCCGAGGCCAGGCACGGAAACCACCAGCCCCATCCAAAACTTGACCATAACCGGCGACATACGGCCGGGGCCCCAGATCCCCTCGCTGCTCCCCTGGATGCAGAACCTTCGCCAATTGTCGCTCAAATTGACCGGCCGTTACATGCAGACCATCCACGACCCCGCAGAGGGACCCATCCTCTGGTCCTGGCTCTGGCAGCAGCTCTACGCTTTCAAAGACCAGCTCGAGTTCCTTGATCTGTACCAGCGCCCGTTCCCGCTTACGGGGAGTGAGCCCTTTGTCTTTGAGACGATGGTCAAGGGTGTGAAGGATGGGAAGGAGATGGTGGAGATGGACGGCTTTTGTCCGCCGCTTGCCAAGTTTACAAAACTCGTGCAGTTGAATATCACCCCGCTGGGCCTGTACGGCTACAACTGCCAGCATGCCGAGGGGAAGAGATTCCGCGCACACCTGCCCCCCAAACTCATCTCCCTCGGTCTGTATACCGACGACGACGGCTACTGGGTGGAGACATACATCCCGTTACTCGCAACCGAACTCGAAAACACCGCACTCGGGGGCTCCGAGGTCGAGGGCGGGACGCTGAAAGCAATCGTCGTCGACGATCCCAAGAGCGGAGAAAACATCCCCAGCGGCAAATTGAAGGCTGCGGCGCGGCGGCTGGGAATGTTCTACAGTGGGGAGGCGCGGACCTTCCTGTTCTTTGCGGGGGCGGAGACCATTTGGGGGGATATGAATGATGACGTGTATCGGAAGATCGTTTTGGAGAGTGGTGGCGAGGAGAGGCAGCCAAAGCGGGTGATTCCCAAGGGGATGGTTGTGCATGATGTCAGGGGGGTGTTGAGGTTTTGATACAAGGATTGTTGATTCGCCTTTTTCTCGTGTTGTCATGGTTCTGTTGGCGTTGATGAAAATATACTAGCCTGGCTGGAGTTAGAGTTGATCTCTTGATAATATAGATGCATATAAATGTGATGTTTTCGAGGTAATACCAAACCTGGTCTCACCTACTATTTGCCCGTAGTCTACTATAGCTATACCGATGACATGTCCAGGACTGCGAATGAGAAACCAACTTCACTCAAGGAGGGCAGATTAGCATGACATTGGCACTAACCATGATCAAATTAATCTGCAAGAGCTATCCCCAATTGCTTGCTACCACCAAGAAAGCAACAGCCACGCAAATAGATCTGCTCTGGAAAACCCCTTCCATCACTGTATAGCGTACTGCCATCCTCAAGATGATCTAACTGTACCATTTCGCGAGCCATTGATTCCACTCGCCATGCGCATGGTCGTTGGAAACATGTCTACGCCAGACTGAATGTACTCTACATGATGAGCATTTTGATGTGCCCCAAGCTCGGGTCACCTCTGATGGTATACGTCTCGGTGATGCATACGAGTAGTAATACCGGATAGACTCATCAAATCATAGCATTAAATAAAACATGCTGAACGTAATCTTGCTACAAGAATAACGATACCAGTGGAGCGCTAGTTGGCAGCAGCTGCAACCGTCGCGCGCGCGCTCTTTGCTCCCCCCTGCCACGGCGAGTACACGGTTGTCTCGGACTGCGACTGCGGGACCGAGGCGTACTTCTTCCGACGATGGACGAACCACCTAGAAGACATTATCCAATCAGTAAAATGTCCTTGCTGCAGCTATATGATGGACGAGGGTAGACTTACCACACCCCAGCAGCCACACCAATCAACATGGGACACCCCAACCCCACACTCAGCCCAATAATCAACTTCTCATCATTCCCATCACCATCATCATCATCATCCATGTCCCCGTCCCCGCTCGAGTTCCCACTCACCCCCGCATCCCCCGTCTCCCTCGGCGGCACATACGAAACAGGCGGCCCACTAACCGCCGGGAGCTTGCGCACATTGGCTCCAAACGGAATCGCCCCGGAAAGCGTACTATGCGTCCTCTCCGGAAAGCTCGGCGTAACCCCCGACTCAACGGTTACCACCGCCGTCATCGTGCGCTCCGTCGCTGTCGTCGTCTGCAGCGATGCCGGGCAGATCGCCTGCCCGGTCAGCCGGCATCCGACCACCGTGTATTTTGTCGAGCTTGTGAGTGTGGTTGTGGTCATTTCTTCATGGGTCTCGTTGTTGTTTCTCTGGCGCTCTTCGAGGAGGCCGTGCGACGGATTCGGCGAAGCAGCAGAAGTGATGGTGGTGCTGCTCTTCTCCACCGCACAAACACTCGCCAACGTCGTATACCAGACGGGCACAGTCGTGGTCGGCGCCGGGCCCCAATTATACGTATCCACAGCAACCGTCGCGCCCGCCGCAGCGCCCACGGCAAGCGTATACGCGGCAACAGCCTCGAGCGCACACTCCGCCTCGTCATCTGTGGTCGCATCCACGCTGAGATGCAGGTCCGCGACGTACGCAAAGACCTCCGCGCTAACACCTGTGCTGAAGTCGATCCCCGGGATGTTGTCGAGCGTCGCGAGCTCAAAGCCGATGCTTGCGGTGATTTGGAGCAGGGCGCGGAGGCTGCCGGCGCCGGTTATTGTTACCGGAAGGAATTCGAGGAGGCCGCCGGGGCTGCGAGCGAGTATTTAGTAGATATTCATTCATTCTCTCTTGGTCCGGGGATTATTTGGATGAATGGGTAGAAGGGTAGGTACAACTCACAGCGTAACCCCCCCGACATCTTCATCAAAAAGCGCAAAATCGAGCACGAGGCCCTGATCAAGTTTCACATGGAACCCCGAAGAGATGTCAATCTCGGCCTCGGCGATAAGCACCAGGTCAACCTTGAACAGCGCACCGGCCTCGAGCCCCGGAATCTTGATCCCGGCTACACTCTGCGACGTGAAGAGATTGAGCGTGTACGTTGCGCCCGCAGACAAGACCACGTCGAGCTCGAGGTACAGCTCGAGATCCGTAAACTCGAACTGCGCATGGACGTCGGGGAGCCCCTCTGTGTCGTTGAGATTGAATTCCAGATTGAGGGTTGGCCAGGCCGGGAGGTCAATGCCGTCGAAATCAAAGTCGGTTACTGCGTCCAGCACCACGTCGGTTGTGTTGGTTACGAAGTCGGACAGTTCCCCAAGGACGAGGGAGGTCATGTCCAAGACCTCTTCGCTGAGGCTCGAGACTGCGTCGGTCACATTGAAGTCGTTCGTGATGTTGACCGTCCCCGTCACGGAGCCGTTGATGTAGCATGCGGTGCAGGTGACTGTCAGGGCCCCTTCGAGGTCGAGGGATTGTTCGGTTCCCGTGGAGTTGTTTGTTGTCGATGAGCTGGTGCTGCGAACAGATACCTCATCAGTAGGTTACTTTTGAGAGAGAGAGGGGATGGAATCTTGGTGGACGTACCCAATTCCAAGCGAGAACAGCGTCGCATCGGCCCAGCTCTTTGTTAGATGGGTCTGATTGAGTGTATAGGTCGTTCCCGCCGCAGAATTCAGCGCGCGTTTAACAGCGACAGCCGTATCATCTGCTGCACGCACAGTCCGCAACGGGGGATCCCCGACAGCAGAAGCAGAAGCCGAAGCAGAACCTGCGCCGAGCAACTGCCCCGCAAGCAAGAAAAAGATACAAAGACCCATCATGAGCGCAGCAAATCGAGTATCTAGCTCACTCTGGAATCTGAAATCCGAGCTCACATCTCACCCACTCGCTTCCCGGGGCAGAAGCGCGCAGATAAAATACCCCGTCGCAGAAACCCAGCCTTGCTGTGCCGCAGGTTACGGTGCCGCGCGCTCACCAAAAGGGGACTAGAATGTGTCATAGCGTGTGCTATGTGAGAAATTGTGTGACGCTACTGCAGCTCTTCTGACTCGGTTCCAATCCTCGGCCTTTGTCTTCCCGAAAGGCGTTGGGGGCCGAATTTTTGAATTCTGGGCGGGCCTGTTGCGGTTGTGAGGATGAGGGATTGGTCCCTGGGAGAGGCTCATGTTAACATTTGGATTGTACGTATGACCTTCAAGTGATAATCCGCACTTTTAAACCATCTCCATCGCCCCAAAGTCGAGAGAAAATGGGCGAGGCCGCCCAGTGCTTTTTAAGATTATCATCTGCGCCGCAACCTTGGCGGCTGACGAGGGGTTCGTCTCACTTTGACCCCAAAGTCTATCTTTGACTCGCGCTAGCCGAGAGTCTAGTTAAATTAGTTCGTTTGAAACGTTATCTCTTTGTCTCGACTGTGTCAGGGGCTGAGCACGGGGGGCATTGCTGGCTGTTGACAAAATCTTGCGAACAGACCCCTGTGAGTGAAGAGTCAGCCTTGCGCCTGTAACCTTCAGTCTGTCTTTCTTAGAGGGAGGATACTATCTAGATATTGAATTCATTCGCGGTTCATAACAGTATCTAGGTGGAGTGGATCTCCCGACCCGTGCGGCGCGCCCCGAGGAGCGGATCCGACAGCCTGTCCGAGGCCAATGAAATAAGCCCCCCTTGGACCACCAATGAGGCGTGTGGGCAACCCTCGAGACCCTGAATCATCCCAGTCTTGTGTAACAGGACACATCCAGGAATAGAACAGCCATGAGAAGTGGAAAGTGCGCATAACAACAGAGTTAACAGCCAACGTGGCGGCATTTTATTCGACTGCTTAACAGCGTCCGGCGTTTGGATATCTGAAATTAAGATACGCGCTCAAGCGCCAACCACTGGAGATGACGAGATCAATGATCAAGATTCCCAATCGTCACCGTCTTGACAACCTGGTACTCCGCCATCCCATACTTGCTCCCTTCCAGGCCATATCCGCTCTCCTTGACCCCCCCAAACGGCGCCTCGGCCGCGCTGATCTTGCCCGTATTCACACCACACATGCCCACCTGCATCTTCTGCGCAACACGCATCACCCGCGCCACATCCCGCGAATAGAAATACCCCGCAAGCCCAAACTCGGTCTGATTAGCCAACGCAATCACCTCGTCTTCGCTATCAAAGGCGAAGATCGGTGCCAGGGGGCCAAACGTTTCCTCGCGCGCAACGGCCATTTCGCTCGTCACCCCGGAGAGAACGGTTGGTTCGATGAAGAAGCCCTCGCCCAGTGCCGTGGGGACACCACCCCCGATTTCGATGGATGCACCTTTGCTCACCGCGTCGGCAATGTGCTCTTTGACTTTGTCCACTGCGGCCCGGTTAATCAGGGGTCCCTGCGTCGTCGGCTCTTCAAGACCAGCGCCACACTTTAGTTGGCTCCGGACTTTCTCCACGAGCTTCTCCGTAAACTCCTTGAGAACCTCCCGCGCCACATAAACCCGATTCGTACACACGCACGTCTGCCCCGAGCACCGAAACTTACTCGCGACGCAGCCCTCGACAGCAAGATCCAGATCCGCGTCGGCAAACACGATAAAGGGTGCATTCCCGCCAAGCTCCAGCGAGACCTTTTTCAGCGTCCCCGCTGCAAGTTTCGCGAGCCCCTTGCCCACGCCCGTCGAGCCCGTGAAGCTGATTTTCCGTACCAGCGGGTTTATCGCAAGTTCACTCCCGACCTCTCTGTTCCTAGTCGGGACAACCTGCACCACCTTTGGTGGGACCCCCGCGGCAACCGCCAATCTGGCCAGCGCCAGCGCAGTAAACGGCGTCTCGCTCGGCGGCTTGATAACAACAGCACACCCGGCCCCGAGGGCTGGCGCAATCTTGCGCGTGATCATGGCCGCGGGGAAATTCCAGGGCGTGATGATTCCGCAGACACCGACGGGTTCCTTGAGCGTGAGCACGAGAGTATTCGGCATCGAACTGGGGATCGTGTCGCCGTAGGCGCGCGGGGCCTCGGCCGCGAACCAGGTGATGAAGGAGGCGGCGTAGGTTATCTCTGTTCGGGCTTCGAGGAGTGTTTTGCCGTTTTCGAGGGTTAGGAGGGCTGATACTATACATCCACCCCGAGGGGTTGGGTTAGTTTTTTTTTTTTTTCTTTTTTTTTTGGTTTTTGGGGGGGGATAGGTCCAGTGGGTTGGCGTACAATCATTGATATTCTCCATGACAAGATCATGCCACTTCTGTAGCACCTTCCCACGGGCGGCGGCCGTCGTCGAGGCAAAGTACTCGGCTTGCGCGGTGTGAGCGCTCTCAATGGCTCTTTGCATTTCTGCGAGGGTACAGTTTGCGGTTCGGCCGAGGACCTGCGCGGTTGAGGGGTCTACGCCATATGAGAATAAATCAGTACACGCACAGTAGATGTGAGCAGACGCCAAGCGAGGGAGAAATACGCACCGTAGACGTCAAACGTCCTTTCGCTGGTTACCCACTCGCCATCGATGAATGCCGAGTCCTGGATGAAGAGGCCGGATGCGCCGAGTTTCTCGAGGGCGGATGCGTAAGATGACATTTTGGCGAGGTGATGAAGGGTACAATCACTGAAATGCAACAAAAAGTAACAGATGGGCGTGGTATATACTCTTGTCTCTACACCTCACGGGGACAGAGGCAGGAAGGACCTCGGCAGAGCGTGCAGATGCCGGGATCCAAGTCCCGTGGAACTCGAGTCCCGGATCGTCCAATCCGGCCGGGGCAAGCAGCCCTCACGACGAATAGTCTTCTAGTGATTCTAGTAGTGCGGCCGGTTTTCGATCAGGAACCTCCGAAACACCTCAACTGCCGATGCGCCGGTGCGCTACCCCACACCCCACATACTCGACCGGAGGGAGGCCTTGAGTCGGCCCACTGAAAAGATATCTAAAGAATGCGAGATAGACCCGAAGATGAGGAAGGGTTTTGTTTGCCCATGATACTGAGTAAGGAACCGACTTGGAATAAGGAGGCAAATGAACGCAAGTCTGGCCCCCTGTCACTGTCAAATGGCTCATCTCCAGAAGCATACTAGCGACTGAGATCTATCCTGCCTCGCGCTCCGAAACCGTGTTCTAATGCCAACATCAGCTGGTACCTATCTTCCAAGTATGCTATTTCATAGGTCGCCTAATTCACCTGCCCCGCATCAATAACCAACGAAATCCCATTGATGAAACTGGCCGACGGACTACAAAGAAAGACCGCCGGGTCTGCCACCGCTTCCGGCAACGCCATGTGCTTTAACGGAGTCGTTCTCTCGATGACATGCTGGATCCCAGGAATGGGCTGCAGCATGAACACAATAGTCGACCCGCCTAAATGCTTCGATGGCAGTTTTGATCATGTTGTCCACGCTCGCTTCCTCGCTTGTGTCCACCTGGATGGTGATGATAGACCGCATATGTTAGCTTCTTCTTTGTCGGGATAGCTGCTTTACTGGAGTGTGGCTCCATGCATGTGAATGCGTCCGAGGAAGCATGCAGCTTCAGGTTCGTGCTCCAGGGCTTTGCCCAGGCATGATAAATGACTGAGGGGTCAGGCCTGTGGCTGACAGTCTTGTTTCCACGTATACAAGAGTACACAGGGCACATTCCACGTGCTGATTTGGAAGAGACGAGTTGACATCTCACATCGTCATGTGCTCCTGTCACCTTGCCGACTCGAAACATACAAAGCCACTACGGTTGGTATGTGGCTTTGAGGCTAAAAATGGATGCTAGCTGTGGTTTCTTTGTGGCCAGCGATGACGACCAGTTTCTTTTTTAGGCCTGTGTGGCTGGACCAGCCTTTGTCGGGCCTTTGCCATCGCCGTGAAAGGCGCTTTATGAGCTTCCACCACCATGTTACGGATTCGGGACAAGGGATGCCCGGCCCAGATCTCGAGAGGGTTTCGAGTCATTATCTCGACATTCGAACTGGCAACGACGGTGCATTATATATCCGGGTCAGTCCCTGATTCATCTCATCATAACTTGATTATCTTCAACGCAGACCATATCCATACCTTCACCAACCATGTCAGACTCTGAAATCAACAGTGCCCTCGCCCCGAGCTTCGAGCACCTTGAACTTGCCCCTTACCAGTTTGGCAGAGTTCCACCACACCTACAACTCCCGCAGGAGCTCATTGACCTGATCAACGAATACGTCACTGGAGGCAGGCCCGACAGACCGCACTACTTTGGTTCGGTGGACCCGGCGCTATGCCTTGTCAACAAGCAGTGGAATCGGATTTTTGCGCCTCTGCTCTACACGCAGTTTCAATACCACGGCAATGTCAACAAGCTGCACACACTCTGGAGGTTCCTCCGTACGCTCGTCGAGTCTCCCAGGCTCGCGGGCTACGTCCAGGAGCTCTGGCTCACCACCTCGGAGATCCTCGAGCCATTCCACCCGGCGGACACAGAGGAGGCCAACAAGTTTATCGCGCAATATTTCCAGATGCCTATTCCGGACGACTTGACAATCGACCATCCGCCGGCGGATGAAAGGTTGAGAGCCTTCTGGACTAGATTTTGGAAGGCCGCTTATGGCCGATGCCTCTATCACCAGAATCAGACGTGGATCACCGATACACTGCAGCGCGCGATAGCCGACGACCGCGCTTGCACCAGGGCAACAACGGCAACAGGACCCTCGCTGAATACCATAGAGGCTTGAGCGTGGGGGAACGAGAAAGGGCGTACCTGGACCCACTAACCGCCCTTGTCATCGGCCACTGCCCGAATCTGCGACGGCTCAGCTACGATATCTTGAATGTCTCGGGCGATACACCCGATGCCTGGGACAGAATGGTCAGCTGTGCCACTGGATTCCACACGACGGCCTGGACGCTCCGCAGGCGAGGCGAAGAAACCCCAATCAAGCCGCTGCAGAAGCTGCAAGTTCTTCGCCTCGCCGGGGCCCGATACAGATCGGATTTCAACAGCCCGGGCGCGGGACAGGCGCGTCGGGTCAACGCCTATGCATGGGAATGGTGTAATTACTTCAACTTACCACACGTGCAAGAGTTGACTGTTCTCAACGAGGCCACCACCGCCCTGCTGTCGACCCCTCAACATCGCGCACGGGCAATCGAGCGGCTGACCATACACGGCACCTACCTCTACCGCAGCAAGATCATCTTCGACTATACCCGAAACCTTCGCCAGCTGAGTCTGAAGCTCATGAACGAGTTCGCCAGTAGAAACGGACACAATGGGGATCCGAACGGACCACGGGTCTGGAAAGAAGCCTGGGAAATGCTCCGTCGTTTCAAGGACACGCTTGAGTATCTCGACCTCTACCAGCCGCCGTTCAATATGAAACCCGGGGCCCCAGCCTTGTTCGATAATTCTTGCGCGGGCAGGTACGGTCGCGAGCTGATGCCATTCTGCCCTCCCCTGGCCGAGTTCAAGAATCTGCGCCAACTCAACCTCCCCCCGCTGGGACTTCACGGATACCAATGCGACCACCCCGACGGCCAGAAATTCCGAAACCACTTCCCGCCGAACCTGGAGTCTATTGGAATCTACACTGACCCCGGGAAGTGGGTCCAGCAGTACTTTTACTACCTCGACACGGAGCTTGAAGGGATCGCCCTGGAGGGATCGCGAGCCGGGGGCAGGCTGCAGGCGGTGGTCTGCGACTCTACACATGCTGGAAGGATCGACACGCACGGGTTGCAGGCGGCTTGTGCGGCCAATGGCATCTTCTACAGCGGTGAGGGAGATAAATATCTATCCTACTGCGGTAGGGAGAGCTTTTGGAGGGACATCATTGATTCGGAGCTGTGCGGTGACCCAAAGGAGCGCTTTGAGAAGCGAGACCCGGGTCGCGTGATTCCGCGGGGGATGGTGGTGAATGATATTCCAGGGCGGTTGCGTGAGGAGGTTCCATTTTATTGGTAGGTTGTCTTGTTGAAAGGGGAGTCAAGTTTGGGATACCATTTGTACACTTTAAGGCTTTCGATTCTACTCGAGTACTTACTAGGCATGGCAAGAGAAGTTGAACTCAGCCATCTCGCTACATCTAGACAAACGCCCCGACCATAGCCCAGTGGATCTATTCGACCCCAAGAAAACAAGCCCTCTAGTCAACACCATGGGTGAAGCCCAATCCCATGGGGAGGATTACACTCGCCACGCACATCAACCCTCGTTGCAAGATTCTGCATAGCTGGATTCACTCCCGGTACGTTTAATCCTTATGGCCAATAAGACCGAACTGCCGCCTCTTGAATAGCCGATAGGAGAGCCCTACGACATGTGCTTCCGAACCCGGAAGAGGCACGAGGCTCGGAGAATCATCCATGCTCAAGGGAAGGAAAAGCAAACCCGAAAACCATTATTCACCTCAGCAGCTCTGGTGCCCTCGGGCTAATTCGGGGACGTTGCCCACCCCGACCTTTGCACCCTGAGGCGCACCTCCGCCACGCTCCACCATTTTCTCTCGGCATTCTAGAAGACAGGCCACCCCATTATTCGGCAAAGAAAATGATATTCCTCAGTGGCCCCTCAATAATTTCTTGGCAGACCCCAACCAGCTCTTCCTGCTCACGCCCTCATTCCCAGCCGCATCCAGCCTTCGCAACCGCCATAGCATCGCCAACACACTGGCAACATAGACCGCCTCCGCTCTGGGATCAGTCCCCGGCGACAACAGCAATACACCCTCACTGTACGCCTGTGAGAGCGAGAGGCCCAATCCAACGTGGTGGTAGATGGCTTCTATCGTCGCGCCACTAAGTCCAGGCTCCCCGCCGTATTGCTCTGAGAGGGCAGACGGGCCAAACGCCGAGCGGGTCAGGGTATACCGCAGGGGTCCATCTTCTACTGGGTGAATTTCCCAGCGGAGCTGCGCGAGGCTGGAGCCGGATGAGAGGGGATAGTGGAAGTATGGATGGGAGATTGTGCCGAACTGGGAGCGTGAGGGTGCGATCGGGTATGTTGTTTCCAGGGAGATGGGAGTGGTTTCGCCCGCGACGCTGAGAGTGATTTCTTCTTCGTTTGCGCTCCTGGTGTCGACCCCATTAGTCGTACGAATCGTATCTTGGCCAGGCAAGAACAGAACTCTGGATACAGAATGAGAAAACTCACAGTTCAACTTCAACATCCCCATTCTGCCCCAGCAGACCACGACGCCTAACCCTCGCAGTAACCCCGTCCCCACGGATATTCAGAAAATCTACCAGATACGCCACAACCCCATCATCGCCTCCATCTCCACCGGGCTTTGCCATAATCCCCAACGCAACCGTATACTTCCCGGACCCCATGGCCGTATCGCCCACGACATCCACATATCGCGAGCTAACATCGTACAGAGGGAGATGAGGTGTCTGAAAATCGTGCCGGGGGATATACAGCACACGCGAGAGGTGCTGAGGTGTTGTACTGAGTTTCCGCCCGAGCGCGCGTGCGGTTCCGTCTGCGCCCCGGCGGGCGTCTGCTTCGGCTGCGGCGGTTTCCCAGGACATTTTTCGTCTTGTGGAGAGGATTTCAAGATGGGGCTCGTAGGTTGTGACGTGCCGGTTTGGCTGATCTGAGATGGGGCGCTTCGTGGTTGCTTTATATCGATAATGATCACTCCTCACACGGGACCCCTGCGAAACAAGCCCTGGGAAAGTGTGGGGCGCAGTCTGTTGCCCATGCTCAGCCCCCACATGCGAGAGGCGGAGTCCGCCACTGGCGCCAATCGCGCACGATGATACGATGTTTTCGAGATCGGGCTGGCTGTGTCTGTATTAGCCTGAGATGGCGAGTGGGGATGATACTGAGTGTCCTGTTAGTCTCGCGGTCTTCACCCTCAGGCAGGCTCGCTGACGCTCTATCTGGCGGACTTTTGGCTCGACGCGACGTGGAGTTTGACGTGCTCTGTCAGGGGTCCCGAGGTTGTTGTCTGCTTTTTCTTTTCGACTACTAAAGACATGGCATTTTGCGCCTTTCTATGGTATCTGCAGCACTGCAGCTTTGCCCTCACTTTTTGTAACCATTTTCACGACAAATCCTATTGCTGGTAGGACTATCCTCATATTATCGAGTCGGTCCAACGGCTGATCGTATCGCGCGGAAATGTACTAGACGGGATACCAAGGTGAATACCCTCCAGGACACTGTACATTATATCCGGCTCTCGCCGAGCAACAGTTTCATCTCCCCCAGTCTCGAGTCTTGACGGGTGTGTTCGTGAGATACGTTGTCAGTATTTTTCTGGATATCAGCTTGGAGATATGACCAGGTTTGTTTGTTGTTAGGCGGAGTGCGGTATATATATCCTGATAGGCACCTCGATGTTACTCATCCTCCTGTTGCCCAGCCTTGTTGAACGGAACAATTTCTCGCAGGGAAATCTGCAATGTCCCTGAAACGAGTACACCAAACAAGGAAATTGCTTAGACAGCACGCATATGTCCCAACATCGACGATTATGTCTCGGGTGGTCTCAGGTGGTCAGCTCACAATCGATCCCGTTTGCGAATTATGCAGTCGAGGAGCTCGTCGGGGGGGGCCCAGGATGCAGGGCTCTTTGAAAGTGGCCATGTTGATGCGGAGTAGTGTGTCTCCAGGATTCGTGGGTGGCATCCCGGATTTGCAGAGGCTTGTCTTGGCCCCTGTCTCTAGAGATGGATCCCATCGGTGCCTGGAAGGACTCAGGTGGAGATCAGAGTGCTAAACTACACATGGTTTGTGCATCCGAGGACAGAAAGGGATGACGAAATAAGCGGCATGACCTTAACTACGAGTACTGTGGATCTGGTATCAGATGATAACGCTAACTCTGCAATTGTTATGGTTAGCAGTCCTTGTGTAGGACCAAGAGCTGAGCATGGCATAACCTCAATGGGCAGATTGCGCCACGTAGACAGGATACAGCATACACAATAGGAGGCCCTAGGGCGTTTTTAGATACAGAAATAGATGATCCAACATATCTAAACAATCACCTGCAATCTTGTTTATACTCACGTTCACTAAAGAGTATTTAAGAATGAAAGAAGTACAGGAAGACATGAACAGTTAGAGCCTCATCCAGTCTCTGTGTACGTAACCCACTGTATCCCCGGCCTCTAATATCTCATGACGGCCTGCTGCGCCTCGGGAGCCATGAGGCGCTAGTTTTAGACTGTCGCCTGGCTGCATTCAACCGTTTATATGGATCTCTTCAACCCCGCTTCCTCTCTCCGTCTGACTGATTTTTCACTAAACTTGGCGTTCGCCACAACAATAGAGATTCTTAGCCCTTCCACAACTCAAACCATGTCAGGGCAAACACTCAGCATTGACATCTGGCGTCTCACCCTCGAGCAGGTCGAGAGGGAAGACCTCTACGAACTCTGCCTAACCTCCAAAATCTTCAATTCCGTCGCAACCCCCCTGCTCTATCGCACTATCCCCCTCGTCGCCCTCGAGCCAGACCCACTGGGAACCCTACCATGGCACAAGCGAGAGGAGCCCATTTTCACATCCAAGGGGTTCCCGCTCAGACGACAGTGGCACCTTCTCTCGCGGCTCGAGGACGAGCGTAACGACACGCTGAGGAACTACGTGCAGGAGCTGGATCTCTCTACTACTTTTTGTCCTGGGCAGCTCGATCACCGGTTCTTGAAACACCTGCTTGAAAATGATCGGCTCCCGAAATTGATCGGGCGACTGCCGAATCTCCGCAGGGTCACGCTCGATGTGGAAGAGCTTCAAACCGAGGACGTCATTCGTGCAATAGCACAGCATCCCAGGAACCCAGAGCTGAGTCTGCGGACCTACATTAACGGCGACAAGACGTTTTACACTCAAGCGCAAGCAGCCCGACCCCTCCCCTGCGTAACAAGTCTCCAAGTCTCCGTAAGCCCCTTCGACCAGCGCAACGCCGAAAACCAGTATGTCCTCGCCGCCCAAAGGCTCATATTCAACTGCCCGAACCTGCGCGCGTTGTCACTCACGCTCTGGTGGCAATACGGCGGCTGTGTCATCTCCATGCCACGATACCCGATCACGACTTCGTTCCAGTTTACGGGCGACGAAGTCTTCCCACCCATCGAGTCGCTCGCCCTCGATGGATATGGGGATAGGTTGAGCGAGGGCGAGTGGACGCACTGGCGCGATCGGCTCAACTGGTCGAAGCTGTCGAGCCTTACGCTGGGGCCGCAGGATGCCTCTGGGATTTTGGACCGCGTTGCGGGGTACGCGAGGGCGCTTACGTCGCTCGGGGTCAGTGCGTATGTAGATGAGAGGGGTCAGAATCGCGCGGGGCTTGAGGCGCTTCTGCAGGCCTTTGGGTCGTTGAAGACGCTCAAGCTTGACGGGTATATTTGTTCTGTTAGGGCAATTGCTCAGCATAAGGATTTGGAAGAGCTTTGGTTACATGAGGATGAGTCGGCTGCGGCTGGGAGGGAGCGGATGGTCTTAACGGTGGCTGATCTTGAGTATCTCGATAATGAGTGCCCGAGATTAAAGACGTTGAAAGTCGATATCAAGCGCAGCGACGATAAACTGGTAAGCTGACGCCGGAATTTATCCATCCCGCTCGTATTAACAATGACTAGCCCACGGACGTCCTGTCAAAGCTTGCAACTGGGTTCAAGAACCTACAATCGCTCTCGCTCCACTTTGAGCTCGGCCTCCCAGACACAAAACACCCTATAACCCCAACAATAAACTACGCCTCCATCCGCAGCATCGCGCAATCCTTCTTCACCGAGCGCAAACAAGCCGGCCTCAACACGGACACATTCACCCTCACCCTCTGGGCCGGAAGTTCCCACCGCCGGTGGCCGCAATGGGAACCACGCTACGTGTCCTTCGAAAAGCTGTATACCGCGACGTACGAGATCCGCCTCCCGGCGGGGAAAGACAGCGGCGAGGTGGATGTGCGGCACTTGGAGAAGGAGGAGCTGGACTCCCTGGAATCCAGGCCCAGTCAGAGGAAGCGCAATGGTCTTGGGGTCTTTGGGAATCAGGTGTTTTGGGTTATGGAGCTTCGCAAGCGGGTTGAGGCTGCGGTTGAGGGGCCGCCGAGGGAGTAGGTTACCGTTAAACTGAAGGGTACTTGATGCGTTTAGACTGGTCACGTACACAGGCCTCTTGCGGTTATCAAGGGCTCGCCATTCGGAAAGTAGTGATCTAAGAGCCGCACGAAGTAGAGAAGGGGCACGTTCAGCTTGGCCGGGTATGCCGGAGTATTCTAGAGCCGAAATTGGAAGGGGACAGCGTTCCCAAGGCTCGCTATGTTCATCATCCAATGCCCAAGTATGGCATAAAAGACGTCTAGCGGCTGCTCTTGCGCTACCTCGATGCTGGAGATTCAGTGACAGTCTTCTGTGTGTTTTTCTCAGCTCCAAGCCGTTCTGACTTGGCGATAACAAATATCAATAGATGGTAATGACAGGCAGAGCGGCACATCGCGCCCCATATAACCCCCAACCCAACCGCGCTCATAACATGTACGACCGACCCCTGGGCACTAGACCAGCACCCTATTTAATCTCCCGAAACGCACCCAACTCATCAAACACCCTCCCAAACACGCCCCCATGCCAGTCTCTCACCTCCTCCCACTCCTCCGGGTGCAAGCAAACCTGCGCGAACCGCAACCAACCCCCTACAATAAAATCCGCATGACACGCCTTTGCGCCCAGAATAAACGGACCAGAGGTATCCCTATTAAAGACCCGCGCAAGATCCCCGAGCGCCGTCTTGAACGACTCCATAATCGCCCGCCGGGGTTCTCCCTCGACTTTGAAGGCGTCGAAACTAGGCATCGACGCGCGGCGCGCGAATTCCGCCTTGGTGATTTCGGCCGTCTCGGGGACAAATTTCATTCCGTAGGCCATGAGCAGTGTATGTGCTGTAAAGGCTGCGTCGACGTGGCGGTTGAAGTGCGCGTAGGGCACGTACTTTGGTTGCGATGCTGCGGCGCTGATACCGGAGAGCGGGACGAGGATGTCTGTATCCTTGTAGCTGTACTCGAGCAGAAACTCCATGTTCTCCTCCGGGAGGAGGCGGCCCCTGCCGGAATGAGGATACTTTTCATCGAGATAAATCGCGATATCAAGTGAGTCTCCGATCTTCTCGCCGGTCTCCTCGTTAACAAGGATTGGCAGCGTATGGAAGTCCGTCCCGTCGGCGAATTGGCGGCCGGCGGGGACGCCGAGGCCAATTCGGGTTTTGGTGATGTCCGGCAAGTCAATCCAGGTTGTTTTGAAAGGGACCGACTTGAAGTTCAGCGCCTGGCGCGCTTTCCAGGGGTTCGGGGCGCAGGAGCTGGTTGTTATGGGCGGGGCCATTTTGATGTCGTAGAGGGTGAGTGCGGGGTTCGATGGTTGGGAGGACATTTTGGTTCCCAGGGTTGGTTTGCTTGATTTAGATGTAGTCTTGAAAAGAATCAATTGGTGTAGATACCTTGTGATATCTGTAGACTGGTAGGACAGAAGTTGTGGGTTGCAATGGCAGGTACCGACGATCGCTTCCAAGCTCAGCCGTTCAGCTCTGGAGGGGTAACGAGGGGTACTACATCACGTGCAGTCAACTCAACTGAGTGGGCCCTTCCAGCCTCCAGCTGCATGTCTTGGATCTTTACATTGACAGAGTGTCTCGGAACAAAACGTAGAAATCATTCTAGAACACCATGTCTCGTCTTACTTTATGATATCTATACTTTGTATGCGGAGGCCAGTGAGAATCATCCATTGGCACGCTAGCCGAAGCCTAAAGATGACGTGACGCCAGCCATGGATTAGCAGCATCCGATGTATATCCGAGCCGATTAATGATCTGCAAATCCCATATCAATCTGTGATTGGCTGAGGTTTCCGAAATCTGCTTTTGCCCTCGCGAGTTTCTAGCCATCATTTTTGTTTAAATACATATACTATTGCATAATAACTTTCTTAACCCCTGCTATCATGCAGCAGCTTTTTAAGAATCAACCGCTTTTTCCCTTTGTCTTTTACACTTTGGTATTAGAACCTCATTATGTATTTACAATCAGGCGTTCTATAGTATGTAGTATATCACCTTAGCTGGTGTACCGGGCCCGCGGCAGGTTGACAAATAACGGGATCTACTAAAACTTCAACATGCTTTCACCTACCAGGAAGATTATTCCCGCAAATGGTCACCATCGCTCGAATCTCAGACTCGGCTTGCGCCTGAGAAACCTCTCCACAATGACTACAGCTACGAACACGCATACGACTACGACTACGACGCTCCTTCGTGTACTACTAGAGTCTCATTATCGTCCACAGCCTTTTTTTGGATTATTTACGTATAGTCTCAGAGGTTAGCATCAAGGCTTCGCAAGATAAAGCGGTCACCCTGCGTATGTACAAGCTTGATCACTGGGACTCTTACACCCATGCTAATTACAGGATACCCAGCGGATCACCAGAGTGGAAGCGTGTCTTTCTGTGGACTGCCTACCTCCCGCACGAAATAACCTTTGAGACAGAATTTGGGGGAATTCGGTATGTTCCGAACCCGCTACACTCAAATGGTCCAATCATGCCAGATGTACGTAAGGAAAATGCAAATCCTCGTCCAGCGACACCTCAACGAAAGACACACCACAATAGAGGACTCGTTGGTCTGTTGGACATTTGTTACTGAGTAAGGACATGACGATGCACCATCTTCTGCCTACGACCCCATTATCCACAAATCCGTGGCCAGCACCCTTATCCCTCACCAAGTGGATCAATGCCAATCAACGGAATACGGCTCTCCACAGCCTCCTTCCCCAGCCAAATAAAAGGATACATCTTCCTAGCACACAACCGAAGGCCATCGGCAGTCCAAATTTGAACCATGTGACAGGTTTTAAGAGGGCAGAACCTGGCACGACTATCGCACTACCACCTCCATTTATGGTTGGCTTGGGCCTGTTGCTCATTGAGTGGGTAAATGCATCAACGGCCTCCATAATGATTTCCACTGTCAATCCAGGTTGACTCAGAAATGGTGAATGGCTCGTTTGCAGCTCTCGATGCTCCACACTAGCCCCCATTCCTCTTGCCATGCCAACTGACATGCGCTGAGCCAGAACTGGCAATCCCCGGTCCTCCACAGTTCCAATATACCAAGACGGCACGTCTTTCCAACCGGCATAAGTGTATTCGCCGCCTTCGAATAAGACCTTCAGACTCTGACTCGTAAGGTGAGAAATCCAGTACGTTGCCTCTTCCTCTGGCAGATCGTGGTAGAACATTTCCCGTGGGGAAGCAACAAGCTCAGCGTAACCGGTTTGGTCATTCACACGCCAGGCAGGCGGCGGGCGACCGAAGAATGGATCCATAAAGGACAGCCCAGTCAAGGTAAACCCAGAGGCTATGAGGATCAGCCCAATGACGTACCCTGTTTGACTGGTATCAGCGTCCTTTGGCTTTGCGAAGCCTTTAATAGCGCTGTTGCCCACCAATCCGCCGTATGAGTGCGCAACAACAACGACATTGCGCCCGTTCCTTGTCTCGGCGGAAATCGCATCCCGAGTTGCGTCGAGATCATCTTTGAAAGTCGCTTCAGGATTAAAAGCTGTTGAGGGAAGAGCCACTCTGACACATCTAAAATTGGGCTCCAGGAGCTTAATGATTGGGTCATAGCACATGATTGTTAGTCTGAGAAAAGGTGAACAGAAGGGCGAGGGGATAGATAATACCGGGGTAATCAAATGACGTATAAACTTCCGAGACATTTGTGTTTCCATAATCCGTAGAATGGGAAGGAGCTCACTACGGAGGATGGTGTCGTTGGTCGGGACAGTTGTGTTGAACATCGATAGCTTGACGTGCGGAAATGTGGTGTCCGTCGGTATACCAAGTTTGAAACTCGCAAAGACAGTGGTTCTGGGCTTGTATTCAAGGAGTCCGGTGAAAGGGGTATCCCCAGAGCTGCGGCATAAATGTTAGTCAAGGCCATGGGAGGCAAAATGTCTGGGTTCCTGTCTTACCACTTCCACTGGGTAATACACGGAGTCGTAGTCCACCAGAGAGTCGAGATATAGGAATTCAGGTACGATTTGATACGGTGAGCGCGCGACTCGAGACCAGGATACACGCAGACGCGCCCTTCGCAACTCAATCCAGGATATTCCATGTCGTACTCGCGCCCCGCCCGGCGGGCGTCATCAATGTATTACTTGAAGGCCTCATCAAGTCCGGGCAGTAGATGGCGGGGATAGAGTGTGAAGAATGCCGGTCCGTGGCCTTTGAGCTCGATCTCGCCCATGTCCAGTTTTTCAAAGCGAATACCGAGCTGGGGAAGTTCCTCGACAGGTATCACAGCAGATTCGTGCTTTGCTATGCATTGAGTGAGAGGGCTGAGGGCTTCGCTTGACGAAACACGTTTGGTTGATTCAAATAGAAGCCTCATCTTGACTGTGGACTCAAAGAGCTGTTTAACACGAACAAAGCACGAGATGGAGGAAGCTGTGATTAAGAGACAGAGAGAAGATGAGTGTGAGAAGGAAGGAGAGAAGAGAGAAACCTGGTGTTTGTCAAGATCAACAATGGAAGCGAGGCCGCTGAGTCATCCACCCCAAACAGGAGTGAATGAATCAAGCAAAGAGTTCAACTCTACCAGTTTAGGTTAAAACGAGGCACAGCACTAGAGAAGCAAAGACTACTCTTAAAACTATGCCAGCGATGTTGTCCAGAACTAGCCTGCTTTGGATTAGTACTCTTAAAGTTCCACATGTGTACCTTTTACAGTGTACCATCTTCGGGTGATTATCCATTGTTCCACAATGTAACACAGCTCGCTTGAGGTTCTTTAGAAGTAAAAGAACTGCATGACAAGCCTAGTGGCCCTTGTATACCTCATTGAGGGTAGTCCCCTTTTTGATAAAGCGCCTTGTATCTTCCTTTGGCCCTTTTCCTTGTGTCACACTTTTGTCAACCCAATTCAGGATATCCTCGTTGTATATAAAGGATCTAATATCGCTGTTCTAATGTATAAGAGCCCATATACCTTACTACGAAGTCATAATTAAACATGACTCCACTTCAGAGAGTACCAGAAACAATCGCCGCCTGGAACGTTGCTGTTGAACAGCGTCGCTTGCAAGGCAAAACCATTCACGGAGGTGCGCTGGCTTCAGCTTCTAAAATTGGCGATGAGCAATTTCTGCTCCTAAGGGTCATGTGGAACACCCATCAGAAGGCTGACCCGCTCAAGAAGGCCTTGGGCGAATGGATCGGAAAGGCGAACGCCAAATTGGAGGCCGGCACATGCTGGCAAACCATCTCGGCGGACTTCCCAAGAAACAAAACCCCGGAGGAACTTTCGCGCTGGTGCGCCACTATCAGGATGAAGTGTGCAGCAGAGAGTTGGAGTTTAAACCCAACTGCCTCGACACGCCGGTCGCAATGCGCACTCGTTCTCACACAACATCAGGTCTGGAGTCTCAGTTTAGAAGCCTTTCGGTTGAGGACTCTCCAACCAGGTCCAGGTCAACCGGCCTCTCCACAAGCTTAGTCCCCATGACTCCTCTAAACCAGAGCTCTGCGTACGCCCCTTCATACGGGACTCCAGGTTACGGTGATGAGGGAACCCCGTCTCCATTGCAGATCTTGTCTCCCGGCCCCGAGGAGCTGCACCACGTCATGTACCCGCCGACTAAGGATGAGCAAATAGTCAACACCGCATTGGTGCTTCTTCTCAATGCGCTAGCCATGTATCAAAATCTTAACGTTTCCTGGACGATGCATCGTATCCCTCTGCGGGCCATCTTTGACCCCTATAGCTTCGAAGCAAGGACCGATGGGTACCTTAGTGACGGCCAAGGGAATTCTCAGGTGCTTATTGAGGTGAAACCTGTGAGGAGAGAGGATAAATTAGCGCCAATTCGCATGCAGGAGAGCGCTCAGATGGTGGCTTGGATCAAGGCATACGAAGATGGTGTTCAAGGCCCACGCAAAATGTATGATCGCCCGTTTCCCCCGTTCCCTTTACCACCCCGTCTTCTTCCCCCTTTACCGGAGTCCAAAGTACAAGACTAACAAAAGATTATCTATAGGCGCTTTATTATTTCCCAAGTCCGACACGAGATCTTCATCACGCTTGCAGAGTACAAGACCGAGTATGTTAACTATCTACAGGGTGTGAGCGACGCGAGCGGCAACATATCACTAATGGCGATGCACGAATACGGTCCGTGGGACACTCGCAGTGCGGCCCATATGTACGACTTGGGATTGATTCTGTTGGCGATATCCCTTCAGGCAGATGCGGAGGTATGGAGGTAATCCTTGTGACAGGTGTACAAACTAGATTGCAGTGACAGACACTGACAACCCCATCAACAACAAGTGTGATAATTCCACTTCCTTTTACCATCGGGCGCATCAGGTTTCTCTCCTAGGGAAACCTATGAAAAAACAGGGGAAAAGGAGAGAAAAAGCGGTTAGCAATTAGAATAATCAACCTCAGGTTAACTTAATCTAGACAGAGTTTCACTTCACATACCAGTTTAAATAAATAACTAAACCTTGAAAGTCCCACCCTCTTGATACTAAACTTTGTTTCAAGCTGTCCTGTACACTTGGTATATATTATCCCAACATGAGTCTCTGAATATCCATTCCTATATTATATGGCCGGAGAGGTGGGTTGGCGATCCACATAGGTTGCAAGGGAGATGAAATTTCTATAGAAGAAAGATAGTGAACCCAACCTTAAATTTCTGCAGTGTAGTCCAATATTAAGATCACGTTCACTCACCACTATTCTGCGAAAGCTGGGTTGAAAAAGCTATAATTTGCTTGACCGAGTGTGGACTGCTGGTCTGCATCCATGGAGGGCTGAATCACCTTTTGTAAAGGCTTGAGCTCGACATATAATCTGAATCAAGCATGTTTCTCACCTTTAATAGACCTAGCTGACACCAGAGCCTCCACCAGGTGCCCTGAGAGAATGCTGCAGAAGCTCGACCCCCTCTGGATAATCACCAATTCGTCCTTCACTATCGTCATCCCATAGAGCCGCGAGAACCTGACGCTCGCCTACCCACGGCTGTCTTGAATGTTGGACCGCGTAGTTCTAGCAGGGATTAGCCCGATTTTTCAGATTTTCCTTCAAAGCACGAGTTGATCCACGTACATCCAGAATCACCAAATCACCCTCTTCCCATTCAACATTGACAGCTCCGTCTTGCGCAATATCCAGCAGCGTATCTAGATCGTCTACGTGGATCGGGGATCCGTCACCGAATTGCGGTGGTGGATGGTATGATCCGTCGTCACCGCGAAATGGAGGCCTAGTAGCTCCATGGTGTCGACTACGGCCCCAAGCGGATGTTATGTTGCCGAAGAACACTGCAAGACCATTGGGATTATGAATGCGGATTGCTAGAAATTGAGTTTTAGAGGTTGTCCACATTATACACCATTGATTGAGAAACGAACTTACCAGGAACCACATGTGTGACACTCAAACTCCCATCCTCATGCCACTCAAACCGCTCACTATGCCGCCTGACCTCGGCCTCGACTTTCTTTCTAAATGTCTCCGCATCATCCCCATCGGTAACATGCTCCCCATACGCACCCCGAATACTATTCCCCGTATTCGAAACGAGCACCTCCGCCGTATACCTATAAGTATACTTCGCACCCAACCTCCTCAACTCCTCCAAGAACCGCGGCTTAACCTCCCCAAGGCGATGCGCAATGTAAATACCCGACGTAATCGGCGTTGCCCCTCCGCGCTCAGGAACCCTCAGCGCGCAAAACGTCAACCAGGCCGGGTTGATCGTCGACCAGCCGTACTCATTGTGTGGCCAGATGGGGAGCTCGGGCGGGCCCTCGTTCGCGGTCTTGACGTTCGGTGCGAGGACGGTCCGGAGCGGGGGCCGGCCGACTTCGGTGTGTGGTTGGAGACCCAGGGCGTGCGCGACGGCGCTATAGTCGTCGGGTGTTTTGATGGGGAGGCCGCGGATGAGGAGGGCGCCGGCGTGGTGTTTGGCGAGGGTGCGCAGGTTGCCGGTTGTTGCAAGGGCTTGGGTTGTGGCGATGGCTTCAGCGATGGTTTTTGTATTTGCTGCGTGGAGTGCGCCGGGGAAGGGGGCGCTCCAGGCGAGGCCGAAGTCTTTGGTGTCTTTTTGGCCGGCGAATGTGAAGGGTTCGAGTAACGTATTTGACGATTCCTTTGTCGATGTTAACACGGACGTCTTGGTCATGGAACTGAAGCCGTTCGTTTGGTCTAGAGTTGCTGGAGCCATTTTCTACTAATTAATGGATCGAGAAATACGCGCAGGGCGATCTGGAGAGGCACGGATAAGGCAACCAGACAGTATACAATGGACCGTGTTTCAGGTCTTATAGAATATGCCCCGACAATCTGTATCAGTTCTCGGCCGAATAAAGGGCAATGTTGAGTTGGAGAAGGCGGAAATCACGCCATTTACATCGCATAGTTAGGGTGAGAACCTCGTTCATCAGTCTCCAATTCGCGAACAGGCTCCTATATAACGTGCTTGCCAAGTGCTACGGATCCAATGATACGCCCGCAACTCGGAGGGTTTTCATGGCCACGAGTCAGGACCCCGGGATTCGAAGCTTATCCCTCCGGGCATATATAATTTCTGTCGAAAGAAATTGGGATCTTGCAATTCTCTCGCAAACTTACCAGACCCAGTGGCAGACTCTTGAGCCTACCAAAGGGAAAAAAGAGGAAATTGTGGCAAAATGGGCAACGCAAATCCCGCACTTGACGCAGAGCTCGAGGTGCACGATGGCGATCACACGGGCAAGGACGCACCGTTCTACCGGCGCGTTCTATTCCAGGCGACCGTGGTGGGAATCTGCGCATTCCTCGCCCCGGGCCTCTGGAATGCAATGCAGTCGACTGGTGCAGGTGGACAACAGTCTCCGTACCTTGTCATGTGAGTGGAATCATCGAACAAGTAGTAGGTCACACTGACTGATGAACCGAAAAGGGCCGCAAACGCGATTCTCTACAGCATCATGGTCTTGACATGCACGCTCGGCCCTCTTGTTGCAAATCGGGTCGGTCTGAAAAATGCAATGATCTTCGGGACGACTGGGTACGCTCTATACGCCGCTGCACTGTACACGAACAATCGGTTCGGCAATGAGTGGTTTGTGTATCTTGGAGCCACTGCGTGCGGGATCACCGCGGGAGTGTTCTGGTCTGCGGAGGGTGCGATCATGATTAGCTGTAAGGTGGCCAGGAAGAATGCGGACTGGAAGAATTCGCTGACTTGGGCAGACCCGCCGGAGTCGCAACGGGGTCGGTATTTGGCATATTGGTTGGCCTATCGAAATGTACCGCAACACACCCTGATCTTTATTGCTTCCAATGGCCAACTGATATACTGACATGGTATAGGGCGGCTCAATTATCGGTGGTATTATCAATCTTGCATTCAGTCAGTACTGTTCCCCCACCTCATCCCATCCTTCTACTAAATGTAACGACATAGACTACTCGGGAAAGACAACAGGAAAGCTCGACTGGAGGACCTACCTTGTTTTCGTCGCTTTACGTACGTCCGCCTGTCTTACGATCGATCTTGGACCTCTGTACTAACGAAGCAGAATGTCTCGCACCCTTCGTTGGGTATCTCCTGTCCCCACCAGACAAGGTAGCTCGAAGCGACGGGCAAAAGGTAAAGACGGCAGAAAAGGTCCGAACACTCCAGGAGCTGAAGGAGGTCCTCAAAATCCTTATTCGCAAGGACTTTCTCCTAATGTATGCAATCCGTCCTCTCCCAAATGACTCCATCTATCTATACATACTTACCTGTCAGCAACAGGCTCCCCTTCTTCTTCTACGTAACGTTTCTCCTCTCCTACGCAGGCTCCTACCTCACCCTGTACTTCAGCGTCCGCGCCCGCGCCCTCGCATCCCTAATCTCCGCGCTCGGCCAAATCACGGCCAATTTCTTCTTCGGCACGCTTCTCGACTGGCAGCGGCTAACACTGAACCAGCGCGCTCGGTACTCGTACATCTTCATGATGGCGCTCTTTGGCGGGACGTGGATTTGGGGGACTGTTATCCAGCACGAGTATGGGCTAAATCCGCCGAAGCTGGATTGGGCGGATAGCGGGTTTGGGAGGGGGTGGGCGTTTTATATTCTGATGCAGGTGAATTTGTGCGTATCTCCGCATCTCTTTCTTGCACTCATCTCGTCATTGGGTTCAATGTGTGCTGTGCTGACTGACTGGATTCAGTGCCCTTGCATACAACTACGGCTACTGGCTCGCGGGATATGTCGCCAGGGGACCGGCGGAGATTATCCGACTAACGTCTACCGTTCGTGCCGTGGAAGCAGCGGGCGGAGCTGTTGCCGCGGGAATCAGTTCTACCTCTGCACCAGTGAGTACCTTTTGCCATCAAGTCTTCTTAGTCTGTGGTCTGACTCCGTGCTATAGCTCATCGCGGCTCTGGGTGTGAATTTCGGTCTGTGGGGCCTGGCGGTCATTCCGACTTACTTTGTCGCGAGGAAGATTGGACTGGCTCGAAAGGGAGATGTCGATGAGGGGAGTGATATCTCGACATCAAAGAATAAGGAAAATGGGGTCTAATATAGAGACTATTTGTTGATGCATGCATATAGGTCATGTATGTGGACAGCTGAATGACATGAAGTACGATGAAAAGAATACTTATCGATCAACGAGTCGGATATCCTTGCTATTTGTCTTCGACTGATGAAAATGATCACCGGCTCGCCAAGCACCAGTGTTATCAAAGTCATACTAGCAAATCGGTGTGAGCATAGAACTCGCCCCGAGATGCAAGACTAAGAACCTAGAAAAACCTGTGGACGTACGGCCAACCGGACTCTCGGACTAAACCCATCCCTTCTGTGATACTTCCCAACCACCACCCTATCGCTTACAGATACCGCATAAGAAACTCATACAACCTCTCATTCTCATATCCCACCTTATCATCAAAAAGATGATCCTCCCCATGCACCCTCTCATATCCAACAGTCAATCCACAACCCACCATAGCCCCAACAACCTCATCCGCCTGTTCTACTCCAACAGCGGAATCCGCGTCGCTGTGGATGATATATGCCGGCGGAAGCCCGTGTTTCTGGATGTTTCGCGAGACGCGATACGGAGCTGAAGCACTGGCGTCATTCGAAGCGATTCCTAGGAGCTGTCCAAGGGTCGCGGTGCGGAGCATGTAGTTGTACATGTATCCCCGTGGATCAGCAGGGGATCGTCCAGAGCTCGTTGTGGCAGGTGCGGTGCGGTCAAGGTAGCGAGACATCTCCTCCTCTGATGCTGCGTGTTTTCCGTCTGGGATAGGTTGGGGCGTTGTGAAGAAGCTGCCTAATGGATCGGTAATGGGACAAATTGGCACGATAACCTTGGGCTTCGGCTCGACGTATAGACCCGCGAGGAGAGCGAGGTAACCGCCCGCTGAACTACCGGATACAGCGAGACGAGATACGTCGGCCTTGTCACCGAGGATAGAGGGTAGCTCCGTGCGAATAAACGCGATGCAGTCCCGGACATCATCGAGGATTTCCGCAACGCCGACCTGCGGAGCTAGACGGTAGTCCGCGGAGATGGCGATGTAGTTGTATTTCTCGACGCCGGCGCGCATGTGCGGCGCGATGGAGTCGCGACGGCCTTGGCTAAAGCAGACACGTTAATAGTTGGATTTAGCTAATGGGAGAGCGAACGCAGAATACATACAGGAGGCCTCCTCCATGGAACCAGAGCAGGATTGGGGCTTTGTGCGCGTTTTCCGGGAGGTAGATGTCCATGGGGATTGAGACGGACCCGATGGTCTTGTACGTGATCGTTTTTGTTGGAGTAATGGAGGCCATGGTTTCTGGGTGTAGGTATCAAATGAGCACGAGGGAGCTGAGGATGTTTGGAGTCTGGGGTTGAAGTGAAGTGTGTTGACGTTGTGGTGGGATTTTAAAAGTAAGACCCACCCCCGCTGCGGGGAGGGTTTGTGTGACGGTGTTCTCATTGGCTGGTTTACCACTACCGGGAGATGATGATATGGAACAGGCATTACTCTGTAGTTAGGGCGGCACAGTTAACGCATTCAAAGGTTGGTTTAGTTTAGTGACTGTGCCATGGGAGACTATCATCTACCTGTCTTAGAAGGAACTATAAGCCCGACTAAATACTACACCTCCCGCCCCTCGATGTTGGATTTGTGCGGCTTTCAAATCCCCTTGATGCGTACTCGGAGTAGCTCTGCAATAAACAACTAAGACTCTTCGTCCTTAGCTACGTGTCCGTCAACCAGAGGCAGCAGTACGTGCATACGAGGCATCCAATCCAATAATATGATCGAATCGAGCTGTCGCGGCCGAGTCGGCGAAACCTAAACGAATACCAATCTTCCCACTGGTGGAGAGCCGGTACCCAGTCAAGTTGTTGAGAGCTTGCCCTGCCGTGCGCGCGTCTTCAAACTTGGCAACCGATAGAGTGGCGTCCACCTGATTGAGTCCCTTATAACCAGGCTGGGATAGAAAGAGATTGCTGAGTTCCTCAACCGAGGTATCGAATGGGACATTCCCGACATAGAGAGTATCAGAAGGGGGGTTGTATCTACTGTTCTCGTCCGTGCTCATCGCCAACTCGATGCAAAAGTCCCTCCAGTCGTCCAGATTGGGGCCTTCCTCGGTCAGTGGGAACTTTTCCCGTATCTTCTCTTCCACCGACGTGCCGTACTTTTCTCGAAACTCGGCCTTGATATTTATAAAGTGCTGGGGTGTCCAGTGGAATCTGACGAGGTAAAAGGTGACCAAATTGCAATGGCGTTTCTCCAACACATGAAACAACGATATGGCGTCGCGCTTCGCTCGGTTTGCTGCGCCAGAGATTACGTATGCCAAAACATGGCTCTGTTATAACGATTACTATAAGCCGAGGCAGTTGATTCAAGGGGTTACATACCGCATCGTCGCCAGTATATTGCCATAGATCTTGCACGAAATCCGAACCATACCGGTCTTTGTAGCCCTGCCAAACTGATCGAAGATGTGATCTGTTCCGAGCAAGAATAATGGGCATAACCTTCCTTGCTAGTTCGAACCGGTCATCCAGAGCCGCATTTATGTCTTCTATATCTTTGGCGACCATGTCGGGACTAGCGGAATCTTGATTCCCTTCAACGGCAAGAAGGGCGGCCTCGCGGTAGATGGCAAGCTTGACTCTATTCCTGATAAATTCCTCCAGGCTGTTCATGTACCTCTTACTCTTAAAGGTCTGTTTTATTGCCTTGATCTCGGTGGCGTCACGATCAAAAAGAGGCCCAATGAAGAACGCCTCGTGCGTGTACCCGGTCTCGGAATCGTCACAAAAGGCAGTGATCCAGAAGACCTCGGATTGCCACCGGCCAAGTGCTGTTAGATAACACGCATCGCCAAACGGGTCCTTGCCCAGTTTGCGGCGAATGTGCTTTGCCACGTTGACACCTTTCCCGCCGCTCTGGACGAGCTTTTTATATTCAGTACGGAGATTGAGAATCGCATCGTGATCCATCAGAGGAAGAAATCGCAGGAAAGGCGCCCGATCGGCAACAGTCGTTGGACTAAGAGCCTTGCTAATCGCAAGGGCGATGTCTGCGACTAGCCAGTTAGGCCAGTGGGCGTTGCCTGTCTCGCCCTCACCTTGGGCAGCATCGCCTCTTGGCCCAGGTCCCTCCTCTTCCTCTCCCTCATCTAGGGCCGATCCAGGTCCATCTCCCAGACCACTTGAGGCGCTCGAGCCTCCAGTTTCATCTGTAGGCATTATTTGCCTCAGGGCTTCGAAGTGGGAATTTAGCTCGTCAGAAGAACCACTTGACCCATCTTCTGGTACTTCCCAGTCGGGGGCGCTGCTGAACGAAGGCACAGAGAGACGGGATTCGCCAGAGCTCATATCAACTCGGCCGGAAGCGCTGGCTCCGTCACTGGCATCCTCGTCGCCTACTGACCGTGGCAGGGAGAACGCAGCTATTCTGTGAAGGTGCGATGCGATGTGGAAGGGGCTAACAGCGACTTCGATACAAAACGGGCAGTCGCGCGCCACAGCTGGGGCACTATCTTGGGAAGGCCCGGAATCGCAACTTCCGTCGCTGTGAGCATTCCCGCCATGATTGTAGACTTCGTGATTAATCCAATCGCTCAGGCTGTCATACGGCTGGTCTGGTGTTTTGCAGTGCTGGTAGGTGCATATATATGGTCGGAGATCTCGCAGGATATGGGTTCTTGCTGGAGTAAGCTGTCTCTGATCTCTCCACGCTCTGAGGAAGATGCATACTCACTCCCAGTTCTTTTGATTCGCCAGCTTCTGCGGACATATTGTGAAGCAGTACGGGCATTCGAACTCCTTTACCTCGGGTCCAATTTGCGGCGGAGGCGGTAGAGAGACTGAATCTGTGTCGTGATCATCCCCGCTAGGCAGGAAGGAAACCGCTGAGATTACAGACATTGCATCATCATCCAGCTTTACCTTGTCTGCATTGAGCCACGTTGCAGTTGATGGCTGGGACGGTGCGAAGCTGATTGGCTCCATTCCAGGCACTGTCAGATGCTGTTGTTGCTCCTTTATTTCTGGCCGATTTATCTCGTCATCTTCATCGACGAGGTCCGCCATGGACAATCGCTCAAAAGCCTCTCTGCGCCTCTTCCAGTATCGAAACTGCTGTCTCCGGCGGGTATTGGCCTTTGCAAGCCGGGGTATAAGGTAATGGTCTTCAGAATGGGAAGCGTTATAACTGTGAAACAGGTCCTTGATATATCGATAGTCCAGCAGTGCGAATTGTTCAATCAACTCGATCCCAGTGTCCTTGTCGACTTCACGATAGCCGAGAGATCTGGAGCCCGCGAGCCGCATTGCTGGATTACGAATCTTGAAAGCTAGACGGTATAGCTTGTCCACAGTCGCAGTGGCGTTGTCTGTCAGCAGCTCGAAGAGTGGCTTCTCCTGATACGATGACACGTCCTCTTCTTCAGAGTCATCGGAAACGTCATCATCTGCGGGACACTCATCCCTTTTGATGACTTTGAACACTAACGACGATGTTAGCGGCGCCTTCCCAGCTGACGGTTAGCATAATCCACACTTGCCTTGGGTGAGAAGCTTGGCCAAATCCCTCAGCAGACTCAGGCTATGATCGAACACTAACTGCGCATCTCGGAATCGGTAGTCGAGGGAGCTATGGCCACCAGTAAATAGACCCAGGTTGCGTGCCCATAGCTCAAACCGCTGCATTTCGTGGTCGAGTTTCGCCCATTTGGCCTCATTTATGGCTTGCGATGTCTGTAGCCTCACGAAGTGGCTCCTGATGTCCTGTCCGACCGAGGCAAGCGTGTCGTTTGGCGCGTCCATGATCGAAAGAGGGCTTGTAGTAACCGACGGGATTTCCTCCTGTCGTGGAAAATTCAAAATTTGTTCCTTTGTTCAGCAACCTGAAGGTAACTCCCCGGATGATAAAACACTGCTTATCCGATTGACGTTGATCTCAGAGTGGCCGAGATGCGGCTGTAAGCGCGCCACGTCAGTGACCAGGGTCTGGTTTGCTCCGACTCAACCCCGCTTCTCAGCTCCAATCTCACCCGATCTCAAAGACTTCTCCGGTCAATCGTCTTGCTGTCACGTCGCACATGTCTGGAGTTGAGGTGGCCGGCCTCATTCTTGGGGCAATACCAATCGTGGTAGCTGCGCTGAAGACCTACAAAGAGACGAAGCAACGCTACATCTGGTTCATGAGCAAGGAGGCTTACATCGACCGATTGATCCAGTCTCTCAACGAACAAGTCTATTTTATCAAATCAGATGTTGAAGTCGCACTGAGATCGACGGACCTTGAACCAGAGAGCATCAAGTCTATCCTGACGGGCCCAGATTTGAGTCCTTGGAACGACCATGAGGTGGCAGACGCGATACGGGAGTATTTGGGCGAGGGATTCGAGCTGTACTTGGATGCGCTCGGGCGCTGCCAGGCCACGATATGCACCATCATCGCCAGCCTGAATGGCCTTGTTTCGGGGACGAGCAAAGTATGTGTGCCGACGCAGACATCCATCCCCCTAAGAGCCACTAACAAGCGAATTCATAGATCGTCCCTGCGGACCTCGTGGCGATCATTAAAAATATCTCGAGACCAAATGGCGAGTTCGAATTTCGCAAGAAGATCAAGTTCGCGCTACAGAAAGAGGACATTGACGCACAAATAAAGGAGCTCGAAGCAACCACGAAGATCCTTAGTCGTATTAACAAACAAAGCACCAGAAAGGAAGCAGTGAGCCTTCAAGCTAGCTCTCGAGCTATTACCAAGTTTGCCTCTACCCTTGCCACGATCCGCGACTCTGCGCAACGCTTGTATTCAGCGATATCTCGAGGATATCTACACACGTGTCATGACCAACACGAGGTTCAGCTCTACCTGCAGACGCGATCGACTTTGATACAGGGGACAAAGCCAAAGACCCTCAAGAAGTCCTCACTGGGCTTTGAGGTGGCCTTCTGCGTTGCGGTGGATGCGGGCTCGAATCACGATGCATGGAGCTACAAGACCGAGATACAAGTTACCGAAAGAGAAGATGTAGAGGACGGTGGAAATAGGTAGGCAATTCCATGTGCTACTGATGTCATTATTGTGACTTACATCTTCGTCAAGGCCCCCAAGCTCAAGCCCTCTTGAACCAAATGCGAAGCCTGCTATCACGTTCAGCCTAACAGACCAAGCGACCAAGACTACCGCCGCGCGCAACGATATCCACGATCTCTGTTCTCTATTGCATTCTACAAGTAAAGGAGTTACTGTGCTTGATATACGACTATTCGGCAATGGAAAGCTCTGTTCAGTTGACAGCCCAGCAACCACGACGACAATTAGTACTACGCGAGTTCCACACCCCAAGTCATTTGTGACTCTTACGGAGCTCATCAGCGGTGCACACCCAACTGTTCCTGATCTCAACCATCGGATAGCCCTATCTTACAACGTTGTGTCGGCGGTAATGCAGCTTCACTCGACCTCATGGCTCACTCTCCCACTTGCCAGCTCTTCCATTCATTTTATCCCCGAGCCGCTCAAGACTCACAAACAACCAGGTCGGAAACAAAAGTACCTCCCATTCATCAAAGCCGTCTTTGAAAGCTGCACCACGCCTTGTACGACATGCCACTACAGCACCAGAGACTCAATGCTCGAACTCGGTATCCTCCTCTTCGAACTTTGGCACGCCCAATCAATCGAGGTTTTCGCGGCCGACAATGGGCTCAAGCTCACCAAGAGCTTTGGTTCCAGATACGAGGTCGCTCAGAAATGGATTGCACATAGCGAAGACGAAGGAGACATGATGCCATTCTATCTGGAAGCCGCAACGCGCTGCATCGAGTGCACGTTCACTACTGCGACGGCGAAACCGGATTGGAACGACTTTACCTTTCAGAAGTCTGTCTGTCAGTATGTTCTCAAGCCGCTACTGGATATATGTCCGGCGAAATATCGATAATGGGCGGGAGCATTACTTGGAGACGTGGTTGGAATGACTTGACTGGACCATGCTTCTGGCTCTACCTGACGTGGCTGCACTGTGCTACTATTGGGCGACCATGAAGTGTCTATATTCACCACGATGATCCAGATATTGGATGCGAGGCGATTTGACAAGGACGCCTTGTGATACTGCTCCAAGCCCTTCAGTACCTATACCAGTCTGTGGCCGGTGTATGTTCTCTCTGTCTCGAATATTCCCCTTAGGATCAACTCTGCTACCTCGTCAGCTGGGAGAACGACGGGCGGTTTGGTGGCAAGACCCACCCCATTCATTAAGCCGACTGAGTTGGTGGTGATGGAGTCGACGGGCATACAATTACGAAACGCTGTTCTTGCCCTGGGAGGCTGACGGCTCTGCCTATGGGACAAGGCGGGATATATGCCATTGTCAATCTCGCTGGGTTTCATAGGACTATGTGCGTTGGTCAGCTCCTATAGGGTTCCAGACGCCAAGGTTATATCCAAGCTAATAAGGCAAGCGACGATTTAGTTAGATCTAGCAAGATTAGTCACTCGGTAGCTTCACGATATTTGACCCTGGACACAGTCTTCATATCGCCATTGTTGTTCACTGGCACTTGCCAACCCGGATTAGGTCCATGGTTCTTTCTATTGTCCTATTGGCGGGAGCTACCGATATATGACTTTTGATAGATCTCGCAACCTTGAGGAGGCGTCTTGTGCCCAATCACCTACCGGGTGGAGCCGTCTCGCAAAATACATCTGGCAGTCTGCGTGCTTCCCAAAGACCCTTCCTTATAGACAAGAAAACAGAGAAGAATACTGTACATATAGCACGCTCATTAGAGGCGTATGCGCGCGCCTTGTAACAGAGCGCTATACGGCTCCAGGAGAGAACTCAGCCATGACCAAAGAAGATGCATTTAGATGTGTAGAGATCTATAGGAATAATAGAGCTACCTAGCTAGGGAATCACTAGATATATCTAAATAATATAAAGAAGACATGTGTGCTAGAACCTTCCGTGGAAGACAAAGGAGTGATACGTGGGCTTCCAACAACATCTGAATGCATGCATATTCTATGGTCATGGCTGAGTTCTCTCCTAGAGCCGTAGCGCGCTCCGTCAATATCACCCTTTGCAACTCATCAACCGACCGTTTCGAGGGTTTATGGTACTCGGTAAATCTGCCCATGGTGTTCTCCTTCTTTTTGCCCGTCGACACTAATTTTACTACTTGAGGAATGTTCTAAACCCTCCTTGAGTATAGTATATCCTCACCTAGTATGGAATTGATAATGGCAGCTTTGGATAAAGGACAACGACTACCTCCTCGTGCAAGTCGATCACCATGTGCGCAGGAATTTCAAAACCAACGAGTGACTTCGAAAAGGACTTGCAATACCCAACAGATTCCGGAATACTATCTCAAGGGCGGATGAAAATAACGCCAAACGTGTCACCATAGAGTAACTCATACCTCATTCTTGCTCTTGCCATATTCAGGTAGAGCCCATTTTACCATCCATTCCGACTCGAGGATCTGCTGCGTATTCGGACGATTCTCGGGTCTGAATGAGAGCATTGGCCGTAGCATGTCGAAGATAGCGGCCCTCTCCCTTGCATCAAACAACTGCATCCCGCTATCTTGCCTGGGCTGTTGCACACTATCCTCGAATCTATCGGCCCAAGATCGGAAAGGGTTGCAGTTCATTGGCATGCCATCCTCGGAAAATTTATCGTGTCGAGCCTCCCATTTGCTCCACCACCCCGGTGGCAGAACGCCAAGGGTATCGACCTGCTCACAGGTTATGTCGTCCTCGGTCGCGAGAAATCCTTCGAACAATGGCCGCTGAGCAATAATAGACCATATGGTACAGGCGAGAGTCCAGATGTCCGATGGAAACGACAAAGGCCTATTTGGTTCAAACCGAGCCTCCGGGGGGCGGATAACCAGGGGCGTGCGAGATTCGTATTTCAGTTCCTTTGGGTACGAAAAGGCTTCGCCAAAGTCTGAAAGCAAGATCCGGGCCTCTGCAGGCGTGATTTTCTCGCTTGCTTCCCCCAGCCATATAGATGCAATGCCGTGGGATGGAACCCCAGGAGGAAGTGGCTGACCGTCGAGATGAACCACTGGGTCAAGCTCCGGGGCTCCATACTTCTCATACAATTCCTCAATTGGGATCTGATCAAAAGTTGGGCGCACTTTGATAAGAATATTGCCAAGGTGCAGATCTCCATGGACTATCCCTTGGGCATGGACATAATCCACAGCAAGGACAAGTTGCGCAGCCAATGAGCGGGCGACATCAAGCTGGAATAAGCGGATCCACGAACCGTCTTTCAGCTGGGAGAGGCTAGCCCTCGCTGGTGCGGTAACATAGCAAGCGTGACTGCCATTTGGACCATGAATGGTAAACCTGTCTAGGATGGAGGGGACCATCGCCTTCGCACGATTGCGGGCTGGAGAACAGGGAGGACGTCCGAGGGTGGATATAATGTCGACTTCCTTTGGGTTTGAGTTTGCTGTGCAGACTTTCAGTGCAACGTATTTATTGGACTGTTCATCACGGGCCAGTCATGTAGTTGAATAGGAGCCATATCCCAGCTTATGGATAACGCGATATCGACAATGAAAGTAGTCTCCAATCTGTACAGGGTGATAGCCCCCTTGTCGATAATTTTCAAGCCTTTCGACGCCCTCAAGCGGTTCATATAGGAGACGGGTGTTGAGATCGTTATTGGTCTCCATCGAGTTGAATGTGGTCATGGTGAACGCGCAACAAGCTCGTTTGCGATGAAGTAGTGGTATGCGCCCCTTGTGGACAGGGTAATTAATCTGGCACCACATATATTTTGGGCGCAACGACCGAGTGGCTAATAACGACAATTTACTCATTGCCGTACCATGTGGAGAGTTTACGCAAAAGAGGTCTTGACAAAGGAGATGAGAATATCTATTCACAGTCCTATAGGTGGGATGGGACAAGCCAGCCAGCCAATCACAACGGGGAGTTGTTATGAATCATGTCCCAACATACGCTAACCAGCTTTGACAATGTTGTGAATAATGATTCGGCGGAGCGGTGTGTCCGGCCCCAATATTAGACGCACAGACACATTTATTATTATCAATAACCGCCAGGATTCAATACTATTATCACATTACGCATGCTGCGTGATCTCCAGGAGACGGAACAGACTGCAAGACATAAGATTGCCTTTGCTGGTGTCAACATGCGTGGGTACCTAACAGCCGTTATTCAGCCCCTGGGGCAGCGAGTAATGATAGATATCTCTTGATGCTTGTCTTCCCCGTCTCACAATTAATGATGCCTCCAGTTAATTCAAGAGACCCTAGCCCGTTCTCTCATCTATAAATCATGAGCTGAGGATAACCGACCATTTGTTCCATATATTTTGCCTCTCATTATAAACAAGCACATACGACCACAGGGTGTGGAGAACAGGGCTTCCCGTCCGCTCAGCCGTACTTAAGCCACACGCCGGTAGGTTAGTAGTATGGTGGGTGACCACATGCGAATCCCTACTGTTGTATGTTTTTTTTTAATTGATTTGCTTTATCTTGTTGGCTCTAACGCCGGTGCTGCCCTACCTTTAGTCCTTCGCTTGAAGGGTCTGAAGCCCCCTAAAGTTCACCCACCAAGCCTCCACTACTAACGTGGCCTTTAAAAGCGTGAGGAAGTTTTCTAGGCCGCTAACTATCTCGCATTTATTAACCCTTACCCATCCAGTCTCTTGTTGTCTCTATATACTTTAGGACACCTGTCTTACTAAACCTAATTCCATCCCTAATCATTCTAGCAACCCCCTTTATAGCTAGAAACGCAAGCGCTATTCCTCCTCTATTATAGCCCGCAAGTACGTACTGACCCGCCGTCCCTAGGACCTTGCTGATATGCGGCATGCCGTCTTTGGTTATACCTTAGACTAGGTAATAGCTATTAGAATTAAGATCCCCTATTATAAGAGATAGAGTAGGATATTTTAGAGCAACTTACTCCCTATCTAAACCTTCTCTATAACAGCACTACTCTCCTCCTAACCCTAGAAATGCCTCTACATGAGACTATTAAAGTAATGCCTTGCTAGCTTAATAAGAGTTAAGTTATTAAAGATATCATACTATAGCTTGTAGTGATTATAGTATACTTCCTTTCCTCCTCTAATAACTATACCACCATCCAGTCGCGGATTTAAGTAATCAACGCGATTAGACGCGTACTAGATATTAGACGTGTTAGAGAGGTACGGTACATAGTAATTAGGTAGGATAGTAATATATAATGCCATGGCTTTTACAGGGGTAATAATATTATAGTATTAGGGGAGGAGGCTAGCCGTATAGCCATTTATTACAAGGATAATAGTTAAGGTTTTAATATTACCTTATAAGGTTTTTATCATGTAGTGTTCTTCCTAGTTACTAATTTACTTAGTAACCTATATCTTGATAGCTATTACTAGTATATTTATTTATAGATTTACGTGTCCTATACACAAGACTCGTTCTAGTAGCTAGGTCACAAATTTATAGGGCTATAGTAAGATAATAGGTGTACTAAGGGCTATCTTTATGCCATAAAGTAAGGTTATCTATGCCTAAACCATTAGTAATTAAGACCCTTAAAGATCTTAATAATCTAAAAATCAAGGGCGTATACCCTCTCTATAATCCCTCTATCCCTATCCCCTATAATACACCCTATATCCTCTATAAGTGGAAACCCATCCCCTCTTAACTTTTCATACTCCTCCCTTATAGCGTTTACATTATCCTTATTAAGACACACATCTAGACTCCTCTGCAGCTCTACTTTAGCTATAATCCTATCTTTCTTAATAACATCCTTAATAGCGTAGATATTCTCTCGTATAAACTACATAATTTCCCCTATAACGGCATAGCCATATACCTAGATAAGTTCGTTAATAGTTAATAGAAGTTTCTTAATATAGCTACTATTTTAACCTGTTACGCCTAAGCACACTATGCGGCCTTTAAGGAGGAGGATTAATAGTGATGGCATTTCTACTCCTCTTTGACCTTGGTGCAAGGGTGGTGCGGTGTCATTGAGATTATAATTACAATTAGCTAGTTTATAGGTCTTAGTGAGGTGGTATACCATGGACACACCAGCAATTCTAGTGCCAATTATGACAATATCAGCATGGGAAGGGAGCTCGGGGGTTAAGTAGTGATTATCTAGCTAGTGTGGTTTACTAAGCTAGTATAAGGTAGTAGGGTTTGGGACAGGGATAATATTCTATAATATCTTTAATTTAGCTAGGGCGTTCTGGTGAATTCTATTAATATAGTCTAATATTATTCACATAGATACTATTCAGACGCATAGTGGCTACTACTTATATCTTAAACATGTAGAGGAGAGAAGGTGTAGTAATAAGTAAAGAAGAAAATAAGGAAGCTCTAGTAGGCACCACATTATATTACTTAATAGCTAAATTAGAGTTATCCCTAAAACATGGATTAAGAAGACTAATTAGTCTATCTTAAATATACTCGCACGTTATCTCTACCATAAACTTAGTTAAAGCACTAATAAGGAGGGGAAGCAGCTAACCACTATTAGTGATAAAAAATAAAGGATATAGTACCTAGGCAGGTAACTATATTATACACTCTAGAGTATCTAGACCCTTAGTAAATAGAATAGTCCCTACTAAATAATAGGACCTATTCCAGGGTAAATAGCCCCTATAACTACGTTATTATCTTTCTATGCTAAGAAAAGCTTACCATGCCTGTTCTAGGTCTTATTCCTTTACATAGTCCACGTGCCTAGCTAGTCTAGCGCGATCATCCCACTAGGGTTTTAATGTAATAGCCATGAGTATAGAAGACATTTAGTAAGAGTATAAAGTGTCTTATCTATAAGAGATAGAGAATAGTACTCTACTATTAATAAAAAGTTCAACACTAGGTATAGAATCTTAACTAGGTAGGAGGCTAAGCTAGATAGGGGTTAAAGTTTCTAGTAACACATTAATAGCTTCTTCTTAAAACTAAATTAGATAATACATAGATTCTATGTTTAACAAGAGTAAGTAATACATATTTAATTTTTTTTATATTCTTAGCACTAGAACTTACTAGGTAGTTAGGAGAAGGCGTGATAGGAGAGCTAACAAACTATCTTATAAAAACTAGTAGTAAGGCTCATAATTAGCCTCCAAGTACAGAGTAAACAGCACGATATTAGCCAGGCGGGTTTCGCAATGTCCATGCTGAGATAAGCACTAACGTGGGACTCAGTCGATTTCGACCAAACACGCAGTGGTCAGGGAAACTAGCTGTCAAGCTCCTGAATCTTGACAAATGGTCACGGCAGTATCAGCCAACATGCAGAGCAATTAAACTCCCCAGCGAAAAATTGTCCGCAAGGGAACACGAAGCTGCTGGAATGGAGGCGTCGCAAAGTCAAGTGTCTCCCATCTACGGATAATATCTTGATCTGTGATCCATGAGTCCCCATAATAACCCCGCTAAGCAGTTAGCTAGAGCATAGTTAAAAAGCATAGTGCCAATCCCTCGCCAATAGTATCTCAACCCTAGACTATGATTCAAGAATCCGCAACGCATGTTCTTTTACAAGCCTAAATAAATTATGCGTAGTTCGACTTAGCTTTACCTCGAGGACATAGTCCTCGGCGACCTCAAAGAAAACCCTCACCTAACTAGGATGCTCCTCTATAAAGACTAGAGCCTCCGCGATCCGCTTCTTAGTTATTAAAAACGACCCCCCCTATATATACCACGAAATATATAGCGTAATAGTCATATATAGTACATACCTAGTCCACATGCACTGCAAGGGAACGGGCATACATAGAATTAAAACAACCAGGCCAATGGCATAGTTAATGCCAAAGGCAATTACTATAGTAATTTAAACAAGTTTATTCTAGCACTAGCGCTTCAGGTACCTTTAGTAGTAGAAAAATAGTTAGATAATCTAGATAGGTCCTTTAATAATTTAGAGGCCCTGGCTATTTTCAAGGTAGAAAAAGGCTATTTATAGGTTATCTTCTTATTCTTGGCTATCTCCTTCTGCAAGTAGCTCGGGTGCGAAGGGGCTTCAGGGCACGGCGAAGCATACTTAGATAAGTTTTAGAAGGAGAGGGGCTAGCCATAAGACCATCCATACAGATTTCCAGACTATAATTATAATAATAGATACCGCGATCCCAGTGATTTCTAATGTGATGATTGCGACTAATGTGTAAAGGATAACTGTATTAATATCACCTTTAATCAGAGTGGACTTTTCCATCCCAGTGTTACTCTTGGCGTCAGTTATACAGAGATGACTGACGAGGGTCATTGGCGCGTAATGTGGATCGCATCATGTTCACTGGAAACTTCTTCAATAGCCAAGCACCCGTATTTATGACCCCTCTCCACTGATATATGCGGTCAAGCACCTCGTCTAGTTCGAAATGGCACTGGGAGCTGAAGTCACTCCGTCAATCTCTGGCCTGGGTCCGGTTGGTTCCCACTGCCATCAGCCCAAGAGTCCATGGCCCGGACGAGGGTATATCGAGCAAGAGTTGGTGGATGGTCTTCGGATATGAAACTTCCAGTCCGGCACATAGTTGCCTCTCCTCATTGGCCGCCGCAATCAGAGCTATGAGCTGCGTCGCAAAACTGAGCAAAGACCAAGGTTTGGAGATACAGGATGAGGCTAACGCACAAGATGTCACATTACCAAGGAGGGGCTATCCAAAACGAACACTTCGCCACTTGATTATTTATTGCGTTCGTATATTCCTTCGCCAGGTGGAACGAGAGTTGACTTGCCGTAGTAGTTCTAGTATGGTAATGTAGCATACAAAAAAAAAAACATATGCAATGAGGCCTCGGTTCCTAGATGCGAACCACCGAGAGCACCAGGGGCTATCTATTTAAGATTATTATCTTTTAAGCATCCCATTCCAGACCTCGATGCCCTTCTTTGATCTATCGCCCACGTTCCCGGACTTGGACTTAGGCAGCCATGTTCGCCCTCCTCTTTTCATTCTTTCAGAAGCCTGCACCACCGCTTCCCGAAGGCTAGGTTCAGAAATGGAATCATCGATACCATCGCGCGTATTACGTGGAGATAAACAGGAAGATGGCAGTGGGAAGCCCTAACCATTACATGGGAGCAGAGAAACCCTACCTTCTCTTAGTAGGCAGCTTGGGCCCTAAACCTCACCCTAATCCTAATACTATCCCTGCAGCAGCGGCTAACAACCCATCCTTTTAGGTCACGCGTGCGACAAACGTCCTAAGTCGCTAAGAGAAGACCCACCCATGGAGCGGACTGCTAGTAAGTGGCGTACAATAAGCTAAATGGGCGCTAGGGTTCTAGCCAACAAGTGCGAAGCACGGCGAGAGGGATGTGTATAGGCCGCGCCGGATAACGAGATTGACCAAGTGGATCGGATCATTTAGTGCTTTGGGACACTGGAGAGACTGGGATAATTGATACTAGATAATATCAAACACGGGCCGGAACCACCAGCATCCAGATGGAACTGGTCACTGCAAACTCTTGTCGTCTACAATCCAATCATTGTCACACCGCATACGCCCCACAGCGGTTAGGCTGATCAGGATCCCTATCCGATAAATCATGGATACAGATTGGTTGAAAACGCAGGATCTAAACCCCGGTAAAGAATGACTCGCCCTAAAATAATCTCGTGTAATCTCAAGGGTTCCATTCAATCATGGACCGGCACAGCCCGCCCTCTCTCCTCTGGTCATTACGCCTTCCCATTACAGTGCAAGCGATGTCGCTCCCGACCTCACGTCATGCGCCAGACTGGCCTCCATGAAACGTGCTTTCGCTTGGCCAGGTTTGTCGTTTAGGTCGCGGACATCACCACCTGTTGGATTTGGAAACTCCCCTCTTTCATTTCAGATATCACCTAAAACATAAAGGGTATAGTCTAGAATGGCTCAGCCCCCTATGATGATTCTGTTGTATCGCTTGTACTTGGCTAGATATGGCAACAGACTCCCATCCCTAAGAGAGAAGAGCCCTACCCTGAATGCAGTCTACTTTGCGCCATTTTAATATAACATGGACACCGTCCACCGCGAAACTATTATTACAGAAAGCCACTATAATTTATTGTAAGACCCTCACCATATATATATATAGGATAGTTAGAACTTCGCGGGCTGAGTCAGCCCCTGGCTGACTCAGCACATGGAAGGATAGTTATCCTCCCTTCGCGAAGGCAGGGACTTCGTAACTCAGCGTTAATCTACAACACTAACCTGACTATTGATTCACGCATTAATTATATCTTTAATACCTCTTATCAAGTGTCTTTACATCCTTTCACACTTATCACAACCCCTTTAGGCCTCAGGTCCTTATATTTATCATTTCATCCATCTCAGGCCCTCTACATCCCCCAACACACCTTCCAGCAAGCTGTATTAATTAATAGAACACGTTCTATCAACATTTTACTTGCTTGAAACACAGTCAGGTATGACCTATTAGGAGGATCTACTGTAATTATAAAAAAGCAAGTCCCTTGTTAGTAAGTAAGTAGTGTTTTAAATTCTTTGTCTTAGTATTTGAGCTTGCTAATTTAAGGCAAGCATGACAAGCTGTTCGCTTGGATATATTAGAAAAAACTTTAGTTGCGCATCCAGGGTCCTGTGATGGTCTAGAACATGGAGGTGAGATACTCCATGTGCTTCCGCGCTGCCGGGGTTGCTGCATAGCTGACCAATAGAGAAACAACAGGTGGAGTCGGAGATCTCAGTGGGCCCCGCCAGACGATGAAATTGAGTTCGTGGACAGGACCATGTGGATAATACGAGCGATTAGTTCAGTTGTCAGAGAAGAGACAATCCGCCTCACTCATGGCTCAACCTCAGGAACATCGCCGAGAATCCACCAATAAGGTCTGTAAAGCCCCGCTGAATCTTAATCGACCTTGGCGTGAGTCAAACAGCACCTGCACCGCAGCCTGAAGTCCTTTTTTCTGGCTTGAACCTGCGGCGCATCCCGGGGAGTCTTGAGTCGTACTCAGTTCTGGTTGATCCAATCAGAGCGTATGTATAGAGCTGCCCCACTCCATCATGTGAGAGGGGTCAAATCATCTTAAATATCGCCTACGCGATAAATTCCGAGACGCTGTCTTACTTCTGGGCCACCCTATACTTAGTCCTCATTTAACTGAAAATGGATTCCGATATGTCGTCCATCGCCGACCAAATCGCCGCCCTCAAGGGCGAAGCCGTGCCCCCATCTCTTCACAACTTCGTCACCGTTCGCTGCCTCATCCGGGGCATTCGGTACCACGATGGGTTCGCCAAAGAGCTTCACAACAACCCCGAGCAGCCAATGATTACCCGCGCTCTCAACACCCGTGCAATAATGAGCAATAGGGTACCCTTGATGTCCCAGGAACAATTCCCATATTGTTTCTGGCACCCTGATGTGCCTAGCGAGGAGACCCTGAAGCAGCTCTTAGCGGCGTACCCGGATAATGCTTTATTACGCTACCAAGTGGGTCGCGCTTGTGCAGCTGGAGGCTACTTTAATCTTTATGCCGAGCTTTGCCTCCTTCCGGACGTTGCCATTGCCGAAGAGGCTCGTGATAACCAGGCAGGCCACGTTATCTACGAGACAATAATGAAAGCGCCTGTTCGATACGCCTACATGGATGACTACAATCGCTGTTTACGATCAGAGCCACTTGCGGGCGCGTATCTAAATGGGTACACTTGCGTCCGTTCAATACTGGACCAGAAACTGCCTATTGGCCCAACTCCATACTCCCCAGTAATCCACAATCGTGTGTTTGATATCACTGAAGATTGGTCCCTTGACATAGGTGGAGTTGAACCACATGCTCGAGCTATAGACCCGCAGACAGTGGCCCTCCTCCATAGCCCGCTCCCAGCGGACCTGCCCACAGTTGACAAGGACCTGCTAATCCTTATGGCTGCCTGGTCAGGCAATATTGATCGATATGTCCGACTTCGACGGCCAAGCAAAATTGAGGGCGAGCTACCATGCATCGTCCGGGGCATCCACCACTACCCTCTTTTTGCCAAGTGGTGGTTCACACAGTCAAACACAGACCCACGGATCCGACAAGCCGTTCACGCCCGCTGTATCATGAACAATGATCTCTCGTGGCTTAATGAGTTACTACCAGACTCGGGCCTCCCTGATGATTCTATTTGGTATCCACAGCCTGCGGATGAAGCAACATACCGCGAACTTCTACGACAGCGTCCCGTAATGCTCTATACTATTGCACGCGCCTGTATTTGTGCCGATTACGAGAACCTCTTTACGAGTCTTGATATTGTTCCAAATATGCACCTATACAGGGATGCTATGACGAGCAGGAATAAGCGTTATCTCAAGTATCTGGAGCTCAAGGCTCTCGAGCACGGCATCCAGTTGGATCTTCTGCCCCTGCCGGACGAGGAAGATTGCGCCGGGCCCCAGCCATATGCCATGCTCAAACAGGAGATCCACTCGCATAACAGCGGAACACAGTGCATGATTTTGCAGCGCGAAATTACCCTGGACCATATAGGCTTTCGGCCGGAAGAGCTGGCGACCACAGCATCAATAGTTGGGCAGGTCTTACTTCATGCATGCATAGCTGATCCAGGGATACGACCCCAGCCGCCATATGACTCGCTCAATCTCAAAGAGCTGTACGAAGCTCCACCGGAAGATCGGGAACTGGTTGGACTATGGCCGCCACGCGGGGGTTATTCGAGTCGTGGCCGTGGCCGGGGGCGAGGGCATCGGCGAAAAGATGGGTTGTAACTAAGATGTAGCGAACTTAGCTAGACGTGGGGGATTAATAGCGACTAATGGAAGGGCCACCAAGGCGCAGTGCTACATGCCTTGAGACCTTAATTATGTATCACTGCTTGACCTATGTCGACTAGTATTTAGTAACACATATGTAGCAGCAAACAGGACTATCACTATTATATTCCTTCAAAATCCGATCGTAAGTTCGTTCGAGCATGAGGAGTACTCAAATGCCCCCATGCACGAGGCTTTCCACCTATTTGGGCGTAATGGCCTGGCCTGGTCCAAGAATGTAGCTACTGCAAGGTTCCAAATTCCTTTCCAAATACTGATGGAGCCCTTACATTTTGGCTCAACTGCAGTCTCAAGACCCACCGATTTAACGCCGCCCTGTACTGTATGATCTCAAGTATATCTTATCAGATCAGCTGCAGGCATGTTATAATTTGTCATCTGAGCTATGGGTGGTTTAGAAAGCTAGGTAAGGTCTGCTGTTGGACACCATGTTCATGACGTCATTGCAAAGGATGCAAGAAGTCCACAGTACCCATATGTTGATGGCAAACTGCTTCTACTCGAAGATAACATCCAGTTTGTCTTACACAATCTTGGAATTATTCTGTATTAGATGCAAGCTCCATTGCCTCTTGAAGAAGTGTTTGGCGGCGCCGAATCTCCTGCGTATGATGTTTGACCCCCTTTGGAGAAGTCTCTAAGATGGCAAAATTGTTTGAGGCTACTGCTCACGCGCGCATTCGACAGTGCCATGGAAAAGGTTGCTGCGCCTAGAGCCCGGTTTGACACAATAGAGCGTACTATGCATGGCCCGCCGTTTGATTAACAGGAAGAGCAACCCTACTAAAAGAAACATAAAGCGCGACGCCGACAAGCTTTTCTGCGCAGCCACCAGAGGGGTTGAATAAAGCTGAGTTTGAGGGAGTACCAGAGAACAAGTCATATGCGTGAACTGCATCCCTGAGCAAGAAGTATATCCGCCACGTACTTACCGCTATGGGTTCGCCGGCAGTTCGCGGAGCAAGACCGGCCGGTTCATTGATTGTATGTAGCTTGCGGTTTTCTAAACTGGCGTAGACGTCAATGCTACCAGATAGACCGATGTATTAGTTGAGACCGCCAGCCCCGTCATGAATAGAGCAAACAGCTGTAGTGACGATTGTGAAACTTTTGAACTAGAGCTACAGTTGCATTGACCTTCAAGGACGTTAATTTTTTAGATATTAGTCCTCAGAACTTGGCTGATAGCGTGAGCAACATATTGGACATTGCTCTCATTTAAACCACAAACACTCATTCGCCCGGATGGCAACAGATAAACATGGAACTCGCCTCGCAGTCGAGCAACCTGCCCTTTGTCAAACCCCGTATATGTAAACATTCCAGTCTCCGTCTCAAGACGCGACCAATCTAGTCCTGTCTCACCCTCCAACCTGCGCCTCAGTTCCCGTCTCATCTTCCGAATCCGTGAACTCATCGTTTCCAAATCCCTCTCCCACTGAGCCCTCAACGCCGAATCACCAAGTACGGTTTCAACAATCCTCGAGCCGAATTGGGGCGGATTAGAATATTCCGCCCGAGCAATGGCCATCAGTTCACCGCAAGCACCCTGCGCTGAAAGATGCGGCGGTACGACAAGATGCAAGGCACCTACACGCTCCCCGTATAGGCCAAAATTCTTAGAGAAAGACTGCGCCACGCACATACTCATACCGCGATGCGGATGCGCCATCTTGGTTTTATTGGTGAGCAAGATATTCTCTGCGAAGTGCCGAACCGCCCATGCGTCGCCATTGACATCACCAGTAGCGAAGCCCTGATATGCACTATCAAAGACAACGAAGAGATTCTTTCGCCGGACAAGGTCGGCGACCTGCATCCATTGAGCTTGGGATAGGTCCACTCCCGTGGGGTTATGCGCGCACGCCTGCAGGATAACAACATCGCTGGTCTCGGCGATGTTCTCCAGGGTATCCAGCATACCAGTGAAATCCACTGTCTTTGTGGCCAGGGAATAGTACGGGTATTCTGCAACGGGGACCCCGGCCATCTCCCATATTGATTTGTGGTTGATCCACGTCTGGGCAGGGATGAGAACGCGGGCTGGGCGGAGGTGGCGGGCCAGGAAGGTGGCTGCGAGATGGTTTGCTCCCGTCCCGGAGACAGTTTGAATCGATGCGGCGTTGTCTTCAAGTCTGGACAGGAGGCTTCGTCCGAAGACGAGCTCCTTTGCTAGGTTGATGAAAGTTGGCGAGCCTGCTATAGCTGAGTATTCGTGGGTGATATCGCTCAGGATCTTTTTCGCCTATATGGACCGATTTGGCATGTTAGTCATTAGTGTTCTTCTTAAAATTACTGCAGGTGCCATAACATGTACCTCTCTCACACTTGGCAAGACCCAAGGGTTCCCATATTCATCACGATATGTGCCGGCAATCAGAGAAACTTTCCTTGGGTGATGGTCGGCCTCGAAATCGGCCATCAGAGTAAATGCAGGATCCGCAGGAGGGATTGAGAGGTCAAGATACTGGTTTTGCATTCTTGCAAATCTTAGGACAGTTTTGACAAGCGAGGAGAAAATCTCATCCCAAGTTATTGAAGATCGAGGATGATACTTGATTACACAACATAATCGTGTAAGGAGGTTATTTGTACAACTTAAATTAGTCTTCAATCGCCGAGTGAGAAATTTCGGCGTCTTGAGCATTTTCACCGAACCCACTGCCACGGCGTGTTGAACTTTTTCACCGAGCCCCACTGCCACGGCGTGCTGAGCTACTTCACCGAGCCCACTGCCACGGCGTGTTGATTGTCCTCGTCAACCACCGCTGCCAGGGGAGTTGAATAGATATTTTCGCCGACACTAGTCACTAATGTTCCTTGTTATTTGAACTTAAGTCACATATATTAGTAGCCTAAACAGCCATGGATGCACGTACCACGCCTCTTACTCCATTTTTATCATCCGGCTATCTGTCGATCGAGCCTCGAAATCCCAAAATGAGCGAACCCAGCATACTGGACCGACTCCTGGCCCTTGACACCAACACAGTCTCGGACGCCCTAGACTTCCTCGAGCTCAAGGGAGCCAGCTACGACGTCAAACCGCTCTGGGACTGCCCCAAAATTGTTGGCCGCGCCAGCACAGTGAAGGTTGGCACCAAGCAGGAGAGTGCGCCTCCGACAGTTCATCTTATTTCTCCAGTCGTCGACGCAATAACAACAAACGACCGCATTCTCGTCATTGCCGGGGGCACCGACGGTGTCTCCTGCTGGGGCGACATCCTCGCCAATGCCGCACAAATGAAACAAATCCGGGGAACCATTATCGACGGAATGTGCCGGGATATTGACGGCAGCCGCGAGATCGGATATCCCGTCTACGGACGTGGCGTAACCATGGTCAGTGCACGAAACCGGATAGTGCAGATAGAATCTGGATCGCCTATTCAGTTTCGCGATGGCGGAGTCACTGTGAACGAAGATGACTATGTCATTGCCGATCGATGCGGGACTGTCTTCATCCCCGCTCAGCGCATACTGGAGGTGGTCGAACTGGGAGAGCGGATTGACCAGCGGCAAGCACTTATGGTCCAGGACGTGCGAACAGGCAAGCCAGTGTCTGAGGTTATGCATGACACCAAATTTGAAGCCATTCACCCACAACAAAAAAAGACACCATCGCCCGATGCACCCGCAGGGTCTTGTAGTCGCAACCGCAATTCCAAAAAAGCGTCTGCCGAAGACCAGGAGCTGTCAGCGCTGTTTGCTGATTTGGACACGCCAGCGGTCTCGGATGCCCTGGACAAACTCGGGATTCATGGGCAGCCATTGAATATCATGCCGTTGGCGAATTACAGCAAGGTAACGGTTGGGCCGGCCTTCACGGTGACTTACCTCCCCGCCGGTAACCCACCGGGAAGCGTTGGTGATTTCATTGATGATGTTGCGGTGGGCGATATTATAGTTATTGATAATAACGGCCGCGTGGATTGCACTGTTTGGGGTGATATCATGACTCAGTACGCTGGACTACGTGGGATTGCCGGGACAGTGATAGATGGTGTGTGCCGCGATGTAAATCGCGCAATCAATGACGGCTACCCACTCTTCACTGCTGGTCGCTGGATGCGGACCGGTAAGGATCGAGTGCAGGTAGGGGCGGTAAATCAGCCGGTTAGTATTGGCAAGGTGCGGGTATGCCCTCGTGATATTGTGGTTGCCGATGCAAACGGCGTGGTTATCGTTCCTCGGGAACGGGCCCGTGATGTCGCTGAGATCGCACGAAAGATCGAGAAGAGCGAAGAGAGCATTAGAGAGCTGATTGCCAGGGGCGCCACTATTGCTCAGGCGAGAAAGGATCTGGGGTACCATACGCTACAGCGCAAGAGTTAGAAGTATCTCCTTGGCCTATAAGAAGAATAGTCAATAACTAGTCAATAAACACCCTTCCTCTTCCTACTATAAGTCACCAAATGTGTACTGATTTCGGGCTGCAGACTCTATATCATCGATCCGTAAGACATCATGAGCGCGCTACTCGCAACTCAGCCATGTACCAATTCTGAAGCGCCCGGATATCATAGCTCATGGCTACTGTGTCAAAGACTTCAAGGTGCTCCTTGCACGAGGGACCGTCATTTGATAACCGAGCGATCCATTTGCCATGCCGCCTGGCTGTCGCCACAATCTTCTCAATAGCCTGAACAAATTCAGGTTCATCCCCCTTTGCAGGAACATACCCTAGTACCGACAGAGCAAGATCGTTCGGCCCGATGAAAATCATATCTTCCAACAAATCATTGGATTAGCGCGGAGAATCCATAGAATACCGGGTAAAATATCACTAACCAACGCCAGGTACAGCACAGATAGCGTCGATGTTCTCAACCCCGGCCTTTGTTTCGATTTGAAGACAGGTAATGAGTGTTTCATTGGCGGTTTTTAGGTATGTCGGGAGGTCGATGCCGTGCGTCAGCGCTGGAAACGCGGATCCCTGGCCGCGAGTCCCATGAGGCGGGAATTTTGCATGGGAAACAACGGCTTTTGCTTCTTCAGCGGTGTTGATTTGGGGGATGACGATACCGCTGGGAGAGTAATTTATGGTGAATAACTGGAATGGAATGACCTGGCCAGGACTGAATGGTACTCACTGCGCACCGGCATCCAAAGCTCTTTTTATCAGGTCTGAGTGCGTCATTCTAAGCCGGACGAGTGGCGAAACGCCCAGGGCCGCTATGGCGGCTGTGGAACTGTGCATGGAATCGTCACTGATGTAGCCATGCTCGCAGTCAATGATGATGGCCTTATGATCTTGTGAGTTAGTCGGGAATGGTACAAAAAGGGATAAGAAAGAGAAAATCTTCGTAGGGAGACTGGACGGTGCTGACATCGATGCCGGTTTGTGCTACCACCTGAGCTGTTCGGAAGGATGGGAGACCCAGGAAGGTCATAATAGGCTTTTTGTTGGCGCGTAGAGCATTAAGCAGGCGCAACTGACGCTGGTGAGCTAAGCTCACAGTGGCTGCTTGGTACATCTTGCGTTGATTGGATCGTTCGTAACCTAATCTACCGAAAGAAATGTACTCAAAAGCATTTGGCAATATTGAGTGACTTCTGGCTGATTGCCGACATATAAAGCAATGACCATAGCAGTCGTTCACATGGCCGTCGGCAAAAAAAAGCATCTCCCGAGCAAATAAAGGTGGCGTAAATTACCAGTACAATTCTCTTGCTTTGAATTTTTTGAAATATCTTCTAGCGTGTCAAGCATAATACATAACGGCAAGAATATGGTGGCATTCTACCACTGATCTACGCCAGACTTCTATTCTATCCAATCGCAATAGCTCCTTTAATTGATTCTCTCCAGAAATTTCGCAATGCGGCGCCACATCTCAACTGGGTTCGAATACATAGGAAAGTGGCCGCTCTGTGGAATAAGCGCCAGCTCCACGCCCCCCTCTTGCAACCGATCCAGGTACGACAACCCACGGTTCTCCTCCCCAAACATGAACATTTTAGGACACTGCAGCCCGAGGAATATTCCTAGTAGGTCCTCATTGTCGGATAGTTGTACCATAGATTCGAAGATCGGACGCACAACATCAGCATTTACTCGTGCGCGCAAAGTACTAGCGTACAATGGACTGGCGAAAGACTTAGTCTGCCGGGTGCGATCGATGAATGTATCAAAAAATGCCTCCGGGTCTTCGGAGGGAAAATCAAAGATTTGCCGGCTGAGAAAGCAATCCTCTGGCGCGAGATTGCCTTTAATATCCACGAAGCTCAAGACTTGGTTGGGTTGTTGATTCGCAAGAAGGAGCGCGGTGAGTCCGCCCATCGAGTGACCCATCAGGTGAAACTTGGTTATTCGGAAGTGTGCAAGGACCGCAGTTGCAGTTGCAGTAAGAAATGCGATATCTATGGCGGAATAATCGTCACTAGAGGAGTGGCCGCAGCCTGGTGCGTCGAAGGCGATATATCCATATTGTTGCAGGGCTGGGTTAATAATAACGTCGGCCAAATCTTCTTTGCATGAGCCAAAACCATGCAAGAACAGGATTGGAGGACGGCCATTAAGTTTGTAGATTGTTGAGAGGTTGAGGTTCACGCCCTCGACTTGAAGTGAGACCGTCGTGTACGTGAGGGCCATTTTGAACAATAACTTGAGTTATGGTGAGAATGAGAAAGAATGAGTATTAAAACTCTCGCAAGAAGAACCATGCATTTTTCAAGGAGTTTTGCTCGTCGGCGAGTTGAGTCCTTAAGCCGACCGAACCAGAAATAGTTACAGAAAATAATTATTTACCGAATTTCAGTAATACTCGGCGCTGTTTTCGGCGGAAAGTGGCGAGTCCCCGACAGAATTTCGGGCAACTGGCCACCCTGCTGTCATCACCTCTTTTTGATCGCAACACTCAGACACACTCTCTGGTAGCTCTTCTTATCACGCCGATCAGAAAAGAAAGCAAGATGCCAAATAGACCAGGGACTAGGGTATCAAAGAGCGTTGCGTGAGCCTCCTTTGCGTCTTGTAATAATTGCCACTGACCAATCTAGCTGTCGAAGATGCCACGAGAGAAAGGTCAAGTGCTCAGGAGATGTCCCATGCACCGGTTGTCGCTATGCAAATAAGGCAGGCGAATGCATTTATCCACAAAAGTCGCGTCGTGTGAAGATCAGCGAGCAGTGAGTGCAAGTCCAACAGCTCTCTCTCTCTCCTTCTCTCTCTCTCTCTCTGTGTGCCAAACCTCCACTAACTACGCACAGGTTCATCGAGGATCTCGTTTCTGAGAACCAGCGATTGCGCACATTGTCGTCACTCACTCCAACTGAAGAGTGTGGAGCAAAGGAAAAGAGCCCTGTTGCCGCTGGTGCTTCCTGGTTTGTCAACGCAGATGCGCTCCAACCCCCTATCTTAGTCGCCGAAGCCTCCGACTCGGCGTTCGCAACACGGTTTCGACAGGCCATGTCTAATTCCCAACATGGCCATTTGCCTCGAGTAGACTTTCCCAGTGACGAACAGCTACTGGCTCTCTCGGATATTGGATGCCCGTGGCCCACCCCAGCTCGTGCACGGCTTCTTGTCCGGGCTGCTGTGAATGGTCTTGGTCGCTGCTATCATGTTGCACGCCGCAGTACGATCTTCAATGAACTTGAACAAAGTAATCAGGATCACTCCCTGGTTCCTCTGTTAAGCAAGTGTAAGCTATGGGTGATGTTTGCAATCGGCGAGTTGTATACAACAAGGACGTCGACATTGACAAAAGGCTTCCCTGGCCTTCATTACTTTTGCAAAGCAATGAACTTTCTCCGCATCATAAGCGAAAGACCGAATGTTGACATGATCGAGATTCAATTACTTCTGGTTTGGTTGTTCCTTCTTCTTTTCATGACATTGCTGATTCAATTCCAGTCATTCTACTCACTCTTCCTTAACCGACGGCATGCTGCTTATAGTCTGGCAGGCTCTGCCGTGCGGCAGGCAATTATAATGGGGCTGCACCTCAATATACCCGCATCCCAAATGAGCGACGTGGGGGAACGCGAGCATCGCAACCGTATCTGGTGGACAGCCTACACATTTGACCGCATGTGGGCAGTAAAACTTGGCTACCCGTCTGCTATCCAAGATGGAAAAGTTGAAGTGGATCTCCCATGTAACCCAGTTGGTCTGGATAATGCTGCTGTATTGGACTTCCCGGACTGTGCATATTTTGTCGCCAGGATTCGTCTCGCCCGTCTATCCGACCGGGTAATAAATTCAATTTATGGTCACAAGGCGCTCGAATCATCGTTATCTAGCCGGGTTCAAGATGCCTTTGGTGACCTTCGACAGTGGTTGAAGGAGCTCCCACCATCTCTTCAGATCGATTCAAGCGACGAAGGCGAGCTGGATCCCAAGGCTAGGTCATTACACCTACTATTTAACCAGGTATGTCTTTCTACGAATAGTACTCAGATTGGTCGTTCTCCACTAATAGAACTACAAGCTGGGTATCCTCGCCACCCGGCCGATCCTGCTCCGTGTTTTCCGAGCGCACCTTGAAGCATATAAACAACAGCCCAGCACTACGCCGACCATCCCTACTTCCGCCACTACTTTAGCAGAGACATGTGTTCGTTTTGCTCGACATTCGTCTTCCCTTCTGGTCGATAGCTGGACCGACAGTACATTTATGGTCTTTGATTTCTTCTATACCCAGTATCTGTTTTCGGCAGCCACGATTCTGGGCATTTCAACCCTCTTGGACAGCAGAGACCGCCAGAGTGACAGAGAACAGTATGAATTATTGGCAAGCTTTCTTCTCCAACTACGCGACAATGGCAACTACGCCGCTGCCGAGTTCTATCAGCACATTGAAGCGGCCACGAACTTGATGCAGGCAACACAGGCGCGGTTGCAACTCAACGCCCGGTATGCGAACGCAACCGCACCGCCCCAGGATTCTATAAGTGCTCCAACTGTGAATACAGTTGGTCTGGAACGAAAATCGCCACCACTATGTGATTCTATGACTGCTGGAATGGCGCTCTCCGAGCCTCTTTTGCGGGAGCTGCTAGAGCAGCCTCTTTCGGACCTTGAGTTTATTGACTCCTCGATGTACTTGGATGAGCAACAATGCTTTTATTGGCCGGCTATTGGTACCGAAAGTGGTACGGGTGTTTGATACCATCATGCAGGAATGACTATTTCTTGTGGCGAGAGTGGCTTAGGCGTTCCTGAAGACTAGCGAGTAGTCGTGACTTCTACGGATGAACCGCAGGCGTGGACGGTTTCTGTTTATGGGGCCAAGGGGCTTGGGGTTAAGGCTGTGCCGATTACCACCGGTGTGGAGATGTTGGCGACGGGGAGAGAGACGTCCGGGGCGACTGCGACTGCGACGGGGACGGAGGGGGTGGTTTCGGCGGAGGAGACGGGGTCTGGTTTAGATTCAAATTCGGGCTCAGACGCAGACTCAGACTCTGGGTCAGGGTCGTCAAAGGCTAAGATCGCCGGGCCCGTCGTTAGCGGTCTCGCAGCAATCGCATTGATCATTAGCGCGGTTTGGTTCTTTCAAAGACGACATCGACAGAGGCGTGACGCGGCGGACACTGGGGTGTTCATCGCCGAATTGCCGGAAAAAGGAGTCGACAAGGGAGAACTACCCGCGAGAGAACCAGCCGCCGTAGAGCTGTCTGCTGCTAAGGAACAGAATCAGGTCCATGAGCTCGCGTGAGAAAGCAGCGCGTGAGGCTCACGACTACTGTATCCAAGGAGATGCGGTCAAGTTGCTCTGTGATGATAGGTTTATGATACCTATTGTATAGAAGGCCTACACTTTATGATGTGAATCGTAGCGTCGGATCCTAAATATCTTACTGTTAATGTCGTGATAGCGGACGAGGTCTTAATAGAGGGTAGAAGAAGGGTGTACTGTATTCAGCGCCTCTCTGTCGTTAAACGTTTAGTCATTGATATCTTATTCAAGAATCAAGACGGCACGAGTATACATGTGTACGGTTTGTAATAGGGATGTAAGTAAATTTTTAAAGGCACTATTTACTGATAGTAGAGAGATTCAACCCCCGGCTTAAAACAAGGACAAAGGGAAAAAAAAGTTCGCCCACCAATTTCGGAAATAGAATGCGATAACTTAGATCTAGAAAGCTATAGAAGGAACCTTGCTCTCCAACACTCTCCCACACGGTCCCACCGGACCCCAACAGACCCCAACGGACGGGGAGGAACCTCCACAAACTCCAGCCCACACCCGGATTCGGCAGGGAACTGTCGTTTCGTAGCGACTTGTCTACCTCAATATATAGTTTTCAGTACAGGTAGACTGACTAGAATATAGTCTTACTCAATGAGCGGCGAGATGCATCTCCAAGACCCCAGTCTCCTCCAGGGAGTCACGCTCTCAACAGAGACGAAGCCGTCTGGTGCTACCTTCGAAGTCCTTAGAAAGTTTCCTCATACACCCGCACAGTCATATTATACACCAACTAATAAAAGTCCAGACCCCGCAACATTAGCCCTGATTGCTCTCGTCCCCGAAAACACCGCAAGCGACTGCGAATCTGCGATAAAGCAAGCCCTCCCCGCCCTAAAGTCGCTCGCAGCCCTCACTCCACGAGTGCGCTCCTTCCTCCTGTCCGGATGGCACGCTCTTGTCCTCTCGCATCCACAGATCTAACCGCAATTATGACTGCTGAAAACGGGAAACCCACCCTCGAGGCCCGCGGCGAAATCTCCCACGCCGCCGAATTCCTACACTGGTTTGCTGGCGAAGCGCAGCGGATTAATGGCTCCGTGATCCCATCTGCGTCAGCAGACACGGGCACGCGAGTCATGACGATCAACCAACCCGTCGGGCTAGTTGGCATATTTAAACCCTGGAACTTCCCCGCCGCAATGGTGACGCGCAAAGTCGGCGCGGCCCTCGCGGCGGGATGTCCTGTGATCCTGAAACCAGCCGCCGAAACGCCGCTGACGGCTATCGCGCTCGCGAATCTTGCGCTGCGGGCCGGGTTTCCCGTGGGCTCGTTCTCCGTCATTACCACCGGTTCGATGTCGAATACGGTCGCCGTCGGCGAAGTCCTCATTACACACCCCAGTATTCGCAAATTCTCATTCACGGGCTCGACGGGCGTAGGTAAGATGCTTGCGGTGCGGTGTATGGGGAGCATGAAGCGAGTGAGTATGGAGCTTGGCGGGAATGCTCCTGTGATTGATTGTCTTCGACGATGCGGATGTGGATAAAGCTGTGGAGGGGATTATGACGGCGAAGTTTCGCCTCTCGGGGTAGACGTGTGTTTGTGCTAATCGCGTGTATATTTAGGCGGGGATTCATGATCAGGTTGTGAGGGGGCTTGTGGAGAGGGTAGGGAGGGATTTGGTTTCGGGGAGGGGGTGTGAGGAGGGGAACACGATGGGCCCGTTGATTTCGGCTCGCGCGGCGGAAAAGGTGCGGACTCATGTGGAGGATGCGCTTGTGAGGGGCGCAAGGGCTCTCACGGGTGGAAGTGTAGCAAGCAAGTTAGGCGAGTCGTTTTTCGAGCCGACGGTCGTGGTGGACGTACCTGCTGACGCGCTGTGTATGCGCGAGGAGACATTTGGGCCGTTGCTTCCCGTCGTGAAATTCCACGAGGAGAGCGAGGCGGTGGAGCTCACGAATAGGGTTGTGGTTGGGCTGGCTTGGTACATCTTTACGGAGAGTATGTCGCGCACTACGCGGGTGAGCGAGGCTCTTGAGGTTGGCATGGTGCGTCTGTTTCCCTTTCCGATACTATTAGTCGGGTCTGTACTAATTTGTTCTGTCTAGGTTGGGGTCAACACAGGTAAGATCAGTGACCTGGCGGTGCCGTTCGGTGGAGTCAAAGAGAGTGGGCTCGGCCGAGAGGTATGTCTGTCCTCCATTCTTTAATCCAGGAGCCTTTACTAATACCTCAGGGCTCCTCGCTGGGCATCCACGAATACCTCGAAGTGAAAAGCATTACCATCAACACGGCCCCATAGGCGTCTAGACTAGATAAATCATCATGGGCATTTCAAGAGCTCTATTCTACATCGCTCCCAGAAAAATACACTCCTTGTGCCCCTAATACCACTGCGCATCATGCGCAAGCACAACATCCACCGTACCCGCCACAAATCCCTCATTGCGAACCTTTTATATAACCCGTAGTGTCTCCTCCGCAAGCGCCTTATTAGCATGAATGCAAACATTCGCCTCATTCTCCTCCCACTCCGCCATCCCCGTCTCCCCACTCAGTAGACGTGGGTGGTGGCACGCATCTCCGGTGAAGTAGACTCAGTGATCATCTCAAACGCGTAAGAGAACATTCAAGTGCCTAATGAGATGGCCGGGGCTATCAATGATGTAGAGGGAGCCATCAGCGAAGAGGTCGATGGCGTTGGGGAATGGGGTGAGGGGATGCCAGGTCAGGGTTAGGGTTAAGATTGGACTGTTGGTTATACTACGGAGAGTTAGAGATGCTGTCACCAAGGTATTAGACATCATCGACCGGAGTTGTGATTGTAGTAGCAGGAGGAAGCTCAACCGTCCTCCCTGCCAGCAACAAATCCCTCTCGAAATGCGCTGCGGAGTGATAGCTCATCCCATTCTATAACAACTTTTCCATTCCATGCCCAACAATGAACGTCGCCTCCGTGAACGCCGACGGCGTCCCAACACGGTCATAATGCACATGGCTCAGAATAACGGCATTAATTTCACTTGGGCTCATTCCACCAAGACGGAGCGAATCACAGATGTCGGTAGCTGTGTGGATCGGCTGACGAGTGAGCAGGTGTGGCTGGATGGGGGCCGGGTAATCGTCTAGGTTTCGGCGGATGCCGAGGTCAAGACAATTTTCTCGCCATCAGGGTGTTGAAGGAGGAAGGACATGGAGGGAACCAGGAGGTGCTCGGGGCTGTGCTGCTTGTCTGCGCAGAAGAAGCGCGTGGGGAGGGTGAGAAAGCCCGAGGGGGAGAGGGAGAGTTTGATCAGGGGGGTCATGAAGGAAAATTTCAATTATGCATTCTTTCTTTCGCAAGAGGGGTGTAAATACAACTATAACCCATCTTTATACTCTCTCCAACCTAATGCCCATTTACGCCATTGGTACCCTCCTGCCCTTCCCCCTCCCCCTCAATCCATTTATAAATAATCTTACAATCCATCCCCCTGAACCGCTTCTCCCCCGCCACAACCCTATATGCCTCCAACGTCGGCCTCCCCAAAAGCATCTTAACTCCCCACTCCTCCCCACTCTTAACCACCAACTCCAACACGCCCAGACGCATCTCGATCACAAACCCCGGCTTATACCCGCTACTCGCGGTCGATCCGGGAGTAAGCCCGGGGACAGGGTTATTGACTTTCGTGTTGAAGCTCATCCGAACTCGCGTTTAGGACTTCGTTGAATTTGTACGGGTCGAGTCCGGCGCGGATGCCCATGTTGATAGTTTCGGCGGTGGCGATGGTTGTTATGCTGGAGAGGTAGTTGTTGAGGAGTTTGGTTTTGAGGCCCGTTCCGGCTGCGCCGGAGTGGAAGATTGAGGATTCTTTGCCCATGTTGCGTAGGATTGAGAGGGTTCGTGCGTAAAGGGAGGTTCGACAGCCTACCATGAAGGAGAGGGTGCCTTTTTCAGAGCCCATGGAGCCACCCTGCGCGATTTCAATTAGAGAATGTCGTTTATATGTAATCTTGCCGGGAGGAGGAAAATTGATAGAGTGGATGGAGTTGACGTACCGAGCACGGCGCATCAACAAACTCGCCAAACCCGCCATCCGCGACCAACTTCGCGATCTCGCCCGAGACACCGCGTCAGTGGTGCTCAGCTCGAGGTACAGAACCAAGCCTCAATCCTTGGCTGCAAGCAGCCCCGTCTCGGGGTTTAGAAAGACCTCGCGCACGTGAGGGGCTTTAGGGACTGAGGTAAGGACGACGTCCTAGTAAAGCACCTCGTCAGGCTATACTCCACACCTCAGAGAACATAAGGCAGAAAGAGAAAAGCTAAAAGGGGGTCACGTTACATACACAAACCTCCCCGATCTCCTCCGGATCTTTCGCAATAAGGACCTCCCTCGAGCCCGTCCCAAACTCGCGCTTGAATTTCTCTGACCTCACTGTTGACGTCGTAGATGTACAGCGTGTCGGAGTTGGGGATCTTCGCGCGCAGGTTCTTGGCCATCCCGTGGCCCATCTGGCCGAGGCCGATGAAGCCGTATGTTGTGTGAGTTGGAGTTGGTTCGGTCATAGTGGTGGACGAATAAAGGATGTGCGATTCGATTTCAAGTTGGTGGATACAGTCCGGGAGCGGGATATCGACCACTCGTGGGCGCACATTGCGGGCGAGCCAGATAAGAGGAGAAAAGTATTGCGGTTTAGAGTTACAAAAGTGTATTATTAGATCGAAGCTGCGATTGACCCAGCTATTGTTCAATTCGCACGTTCTATCTTCATGGACCCGTATTCCACCTGGACTCTGCTGGGGCCTGGCTTATGGACGGTCTCAGCCAGGGAAGTTAGGAAAGAAGATGAATGGCAGCTGGGCTACGAGTCAACCCATGGTTCAATTCGGGCAGAGGCACAAGGTAAGAATTGCCCAAGTATTTTGAATATGTCCCCATCGCGTTTGTTGGAGAACAAAATACCAGTTCTGGGCCCGAGGCTGCCAATTAGGCACAATGACTATAGGACATACCCATTCAGTCAGAGGCTCTCTCTCCAGACCTCCCAGTGGGCTCGACCCTTGCTTGTTTTTGGTTCGTCTGGCCTCTTGATCGCCAGACCATCATCCGGGGACTACCTGGGGCCCGTTTCGAAACATACAAACCAACCACCACTACCACCAAAGCAAAATGACAGAGACCCGCCCCTGTGTAAGAGTACCAACAGCGTCAATAAGCACCAAAGCAGGTAAACTACAAATCATCAGTTCCTGAATCTTTATTCAGTTGGACGGCTCAAAAGAAGAAAGACAAAGTCGGGGTATATCCGTATGTTTTGCTCCTGGTACAGGGGTGTTAGACAGAGCAGACTACAATCACTGTGCGAGGACTCTAGATCTGGTTTTGGGCTGAAATTGGAACTTCCTATGATAAATACCAAAAGGAAGAAAAAGTAATAGTCATTGGTACCATGAGAGATGGCCGGAATCCAAGGATGTAAATAATATACCCGCAACATTGTCTTGTGATCACACCTGTTCTTGGAGGCCGAAAAGTCATCCTATCCTAGTCTTCATCGTCAGAATAATCAGAGTCTTCAGAACCTTGAGCGTCTGAAGAATATACAGTAATCTCGGAATCCTCGGAATCCTCAGAGTCTTCAGAGTCTTCAGAGCCATCATTATCCGTAGAATCATCAACAATCCCACCTTCCCCCTGAACGACTCCAATACCCTGGCAGTAGCATAGTGGCCGTTTGCGCGTGCCATCCGAAGAGCGTTATCATATTGCCTTCTACCAAACTTACCCTGTATCAAGGCGCCGTGCTCGAGGAGTAGGTGAACCATATCAATCCGACCACGTTCCGCGGCACCCTCAAGGGCTGTTCTTCCCTCGCATTCCGCACGCGGGGCATTTACATCCGCTCCACGCCGAATCAATTCACAAGAAAGTGGTAGATAGCCTTTGATCGCCGCGAGTTGCAACGCAGTCGCACCTGCATATTTGGCAGGTTGGCCATTAACATTGGCTCCATGACTGAGCAAGATGGATATCAGCTCCCAATTTCCCTTTTCGACAGCATGCTGCAATGCCGTACGGCCACGGGCGCCTCTTGCACAGTGGTTGATATTGATGTCTCCAAATTCAAGAAGCCTCCTAACTACAGGAACATTTTGCTTCTTCACCGCGGCTTCGAGCGCTGTACAGATCTCGAGACTCTCATCGTTGGGCTTATCCTCAAACCAAATTACCCCAGGGCCACACTCATCAAGCGTTATTTCTTCATTGATGCTTGGGCTCAGTTGGAGAAGCCTCTCAACCAGGCCATCTCCGTGAGAATGGATAGTCAGCGCCAAGGCGCGACCAACCAGTTCTGAACTCCAGTGACAGAGACTCGATTGTGTTACGGCCTCAAGATCCAATGCGTCGCCTCCTGCCGCTACTATCTCCAAGGCTGAACGGGGGTTGTGCACATTGGTGAACAGGCGCACATCGCGGCCGAGCGGTCGACTCCAGCCCGCTCGCCAAGGGTACATAGGAACGCCCGCAGGATCTGCGCCATTTGAGAGGAGAAGCTGCAACAGATCCAATCTCTGGCCAAACCCTGCGAGTGCTACTCCACTAGGCGCACATCCCTGAAAGTCTACTAATAGGCATCGAAGCACGTCAATGTTTCCCTGCTCGTTTTGGACATGGTGCACGGCCTCAACAAGCTCGAGGTCTGACACCCTTGACCCGCGACGCATAAGTTCCTCGACCATCGAGAGGTAACCATTCCTAGCCGCGATACTAAGGGGCGTTCGCCTGGTATACAGCTTGCTATCAAGGATGCGGGCATCCCGATTAATGAGCCACCACGCCAACTGAAGGCTCCCGTCGTCCAATGCTCTTACCAGGATTGAAGCTCCTGATGTTCCCAAGACACATCCGAGAATTCCAGCTTTGTCTAGATAGGTTGCAGTGGTCACATCTTTGATTTGTGAGACCTTAGCTTTGCCTATATTCACACCAGCCGCTAATAGTTGGCCAACCAACGCGTGATTAGCTTCCATAATAGCCACAGCGAGCATTTCTGCAGACCATTCAGTAAAATGATCCTTAGACTGAGGAGTCAGCATTATCATTTGATCGACAATGCTGATGGGGGGATGGTATGTCGACAAGGACTTGACCAGTGTTTGCTGTTCGCGATATGATAACGGCCTGTAAATGCGAGCACCATTCTCAATCAGAATCCTGCAGGCTTCCAGGTTGGAATGCGCTACAGCACGTTCGATTGGAGTCCAGCGACAGCCATTAACTGTTTCGACAGTCACACCCGCGTCGATCAGGGGTTGAAGAATGTTCGTCCGGCTCAGTTCAACGGCAATCAGAAGAGGAGAAAGGTAGCTTGACAGATCAGCTTGTGCCTTCGGGTATACGAGATCTGGACAATTTTGTAGGACCCGTTCAATCACTTCCATTCTTCCAGACTTTGCCGCTGCGCCCAGTAGTGTGGTTTGGCCTTTGACAATACTGTACTTCTCAATCTCCTCATAGTATAATCCAAGCAGTCTGTTGCAAGACTTCAAAAGGTCATCGAAGAGTTCTATATCAACCACACTGGCAGCAGCCGCTACACATTCGAGGTCGATAACAGCCCCATGTCTGCGGAGCACACCAATTACCCCGGTATTATTCTTGCGGATAGCATGCAGCAAGGCGGTCTCTCCCCTACGCGCCAAATTGACACAAGCACCGAAGGAGATGAGCAGTTCGCATAGTTCTACGCCCTTGTCGTTGTCGACATTGGCAGCCCACGCTAAAGGGGTAATCGTGTTCTCGACTGTTTCAATGGCCCTGTTCGCATCCACCCCGGCTTCCAGAAAACCATTCACGATCCTCGTGTCCACCAATCGTATCGCGCTTGCGAAGAGTTTCTCAGTGATAGCTTCGGCCGTCGGCTCTTTACTAGCGAGAAGGGCTTTCAAATGGCTCACACTGTGCCAGCGGAGGCTTCGAACCATCTTTAACAGGCGATTATCTTGCGCTGCAATCGTCTCGATGGAGATATGTGTATCATGGAAGGCAAGACTGTTGGACAGCAGGTAGAGCTCCAACTTCAAGTGGTTTGTCTCAAGAGCTTGGTGTTGTCCGTCGTGCTCTTCTGGCATGATGACACTCAATGCAGCGCTTATACGCGAGTCAACGCTCGTATCCAGCGCAAAAGAGTGGTTCTGCGTTGGTACCACACAGTGCAGACGCTTCATCACTGCGGCCCTCTCAATAGGAGACATGGCACCCACATCGCGGGATAGCGTAGTCTGACGCAGTAAAGATGCATCTTATGCCATGAATCAGCACACTTTATCGTCTTGACTGCGGGTCTTCGTACCTTGATTCTGTCCATTTAAGATGCCTGCGAACCGCGACCAGGGAATCGAAGGCAACAAGATCGAATGCAGAGGTTCAAAGTACTCTTGAAGAACGAGATTCGATCCCGGCGGAGATGGGGTCCGCAAGATCACCCCGTCCTGCGGCGGCGGGGAAGGGGCTGCCTGACCCGTTAGCTCCTGCCCATGTCGATATCAGCCGATGAAAACGATGAAGTCTTACCACTCAATGACGAGAACCGGTCGAATGTCGACAGGAAGGCCTTGCCGTATTGTGCCTTTCGATATTTATTTGCAGGGACCACAACACCGTCGACAGAAACCTCCGTCTCTTTTCCATACACCCGCTTCCTCTTTTCAACTCGCTTTGCGATGTCGTGCCAGTTGATGCCTCGTGGCAGGGTTTGCTTCTTTCTCAGACCCCATTTCTTGAATTTTCTGTCGTATTGCGATTCCCTAATATATCGTCAGATGAGCTGTGACGATGGAGAGGAGAAAGGGCAGTACGGCTTACGATTTGTGAAATCCTTTGCTGGCCATGTATTTGGCGACCTCCTTCAACGTCTTATCTTCGTCTATGTAGAGACGGTCGATCTCCGCCTTATGGGTTTCCCACTCGTTGTCAGCCATGCCTCCGATAATCTGTGCGCGCGTGTGTGAGTGAAAAATCATGGGCAGTTCTACCGGTCGCTTTTAAGACACCTGGCTGACGGGCAGCGAAGCCTCCTTGAGGCTGGGCAGGGCGTCTCACTGCGCGGCGGCCCTCATCCTATTGGCCCATTCCCAATCTCGATCATGCACCACCTCTGTCGGTCAGTATTGCTTTTTCTTCGACCCGGCCTTCTTGGCGTGGCTGGCGGCTGGAGCCCCTCGCCCTTTGCCTTCTGTACAACCAAGATGAGGCATCAGCACATCGCTAGGCTGGACACTGCGAATCGATACGTTCTTCTCCGGTATACAAGTCTGGTTTGACGAATCTCAAAGGCTTAGCAGCCTGGCCACGAACGTCATCTTTGAAGGCTTATGTACTTTTTTTCAAATCCATACAGGTGTTTTCCGACGGGATTTTGAGGAATAGCTGCCCTCGAGTGTGAGGAGGACTTTGACGATTAGCTGTTACACCGAGACGTTGCGTGCCGGTAGGAGAAGGGTGCTTGGTAGGGGTTAAAACTTAGGACCTGGCATTATCCCCTGCTCTAGATGCGAAGGCGCGATGCGAGCAAAGGCGCTAATTAAAGAGCTGGAACGGAAACAAAGAAAGTGATAGTGATAGGGAATTCCTCAAGAAGGTTTGCTATTTCGTGCTAGTGTGCTCCAGCTTACAGCTGGCTGCAGACCGCTGGGGGACTTCCGAGCCAATTTCGTGCTGCTTTCTATTGGCTCATTCCCACTCTCGCTCCCCACATAAGGTGCCCAAAGTCCGGAATCGAGGTATAGGGAGGGCGGACCCCGAGGAGCAAAACAGTAATGTTTAGCACGACTAAACAGCATATATAGCTACTGATTTCTCTTCTTCAGCACGTTTCTTACCAGCTCCATCGGCCAACTCTCTCAGCACCACAACCACTCTACCTTTGCTTGACCCTCTCCTGCTTTCTTTTCGTTGCTCATCTACTATGGACTGGCCACCTACCGGCTATAAAGCCTCAGGTCTGAGGGCCGACTTGACCATGGATGACCTGGTCGCACTTGAGGGCACCGAACCTGATGACTGACAACATATGCTCTCTACCCATAGCAATGAGGTTCCCATCTGGGGCCCTGCATCTCTTGACCCCTGCATGTTTGACTCGGGAGCGAATGCGAACCCAATGCCGGAAGCATCTCGGTTTGCTGTTCAACCAGACCTAGCCATGCAGTTTCCTGTCAACCAATATGCTATCGCCTTCTCGAACGACCCTGACAAGAGCATACCCGCAGGCACGGTTTGGGAGCACCGCCCCTCCGCCACGTCTCCTCTCATGGCGCAAAACCACCATTATGTGAATCCGCCAAGGTCAGGCAGCACGATCAACACCGGCGGTGCGGGAATGCTCCCCCGGCATGACGGACAGACCGCAAGCCCAGCGGGCGAGGGCGGTCTTTTAATGTAAGTCACCATGTGCCTGCCCCGCTCTGCTTTCATCCGTACTATGGACCCTCATTAATGGTACACGCAGTATGCCACCGGAGCCGCAGGTTTTCAAATGCCAATGGAAAGGCTGTTTGAGCCTCAACGACTTCCGCCGAGAGGCAGACCTCCTTCGCCATCTGAAGACGATACACATCTCGCCAGAAGCTTACCCATGTCTTCTCAATAACTGCAACAAGGTCTTTGGACGGAAGGATCATTTACAGCAGCATCAGAGACGCCGCCATCGCGATGCTCTCGCCATGGAATGTGCGGCTTGAACAGGCAGCACAGATGCCCTGGAAGGTCTAGTCTAGTTGCTTTGGCTTGGCGTATGTGAAAGGTGTTGTCTGGGGTTTTTTGTGAAAATGAATGGTTAAGTTGGTCCTGTTGCTAGGTTCTTTTCGGGTTACATAGTGTTTGTTGGTACCGTTTTAGCCATGTTAATGTCCTGTTTTTCTTCTATTTTGTCTGTTCCCCTTCGACCGACTATGTGTTCATCGATATAGAGAGTATTTGAGTCGGAAGTCAAAGTCTGCTTATTTCCAACCATGAGTCTTCCTGAACGGAAGCCAACATTTCTCTGATGCCACTAGGTGATTGAGGAACTAAAAGCGCTATGACGCCAATCGCATAGAGGTTGCAGCAGCGACATCCGGAATCTAAAGGAAATGATATTGCAAGCTTATATCCAAAGCCAAATGCAAGCAAATGATCTAACACCCCCTAAAGTACAGTAGAACTAACTGTATGGCAAAGGAGCATGGAACGGTATCAAGCCCTCATTAAGACAACACACGTACTGCAGTATCTTCTCTAGGGCAGAAAGATGTCGTCCATACAGGGACGGGATGTTCTCGCACACTGTTGCTGCTTCTATAGCCGTTGTGGTCGGTCTCGCGCAATTCAACACGACTCTGCAATTTAGATACCCGGCGATTCATCGATTTCTCGGGAGACTGTATGGGCTATGTGCTGTGATTATCTCATGGTCTTCTAGGCCCTTTCTGGCTGATGCTATGCCAAAGAACGAGGTTCTCTCCGGGGACAAGTTTGCATGTTTGCTATCGCCCCTATCAATTGGTGTCCTGGCAACAATGAGCTGCGCTGTCTACGCCATTTGGAACCGCGAGGTTGGCTCGCACAGAGAGTTTATGGTTCTAGACTACGCTTTCATGCTATCGGCCCCGCTTCGGAGAGTCAAGTGGGTGATACTTCGTAAGTTTTATGTTGAAACAAAGGCCGTCCTTAACTTATATTCAGCCATATTCATCGCGCCATTCTTAGCTGTTGCCTCGATATTTTACTTTCGTCAGCAAAACTCGCGCCCAGCCAATTCGCTCCTCCTCAGCTCGAACTTTTAGCTTGCAGCAATAGTGTCCGGGCAGGTGGGCGTTTTTTTTTTCTGATGGCCAAAGGTCCAAGGTTCAACTGAGGATCTCATCCGGAAGCCTTATGGCTAGCGGTAGGGCCTCCGGTGGCCTGCTATCTGGCACTATTCTCAGCGCTCGCCCGTGCTGCAAGACGTCGCTGTAACACTGGTTCCTATACAGCGTGGAAAACTTATCAGAATGGGCTCATTAGCGCACCTACGTGGTGTGTGGTTACGCTGTTTATCGCTCGTGTTGTCATGGGCTGCTCCGAAGAAAGTCTGGGGATAATCACCACTGTCAGAGGCGTTACCTAAGGGTTGTTTGCCTCGTTCTTTGTTTGTGTGTTCACTATTTCGAGGTTTGGTGGCCCGAACAGTCAGATTATCAAGGATTATTAAGGTGGTGCTCGGATAAGACCGGTACCTTGACGCAGAACAAGATGACCGTTGTGACTAGCACCTTTGGCGATGATGAGTTCGACGACAAGAACCAGACAGGCAAGGAACGCCGTTCCGTTGCTTTCGCCAGTGACCTCTCGGCCGAGGACAAGCGGATGATCATTGAGTCTGTTGCAATCAACTCGACCGCGTTCGAAATTGTCAGCCAATGAATCCACTACGCCAAAGCCTATCACTTTGGCGGCTATGGAGAAACAATGGGCTGGAATAGTTAGGGCCAGGAATATAATGCCAATGAGAACGATCATAGTCATCCGAGCGGTTGGCTATGGCAGATATGAGAGAGGACTTGGACAACATAACGAGCTATGAGGACCTTCAGGCGTACTGCAATGAGCGGACCAGAGATGAGGGCGAGCCAGTCACACCAGTAGTAGTTGCGGGGCGCTCTGGACCAGCATTCGCTGTGCATCCTTGGAGAACGGATTATTGACCATCTGTCTGTTACTTTCTTTCATCACGGTCCTGATCTGGGCTGCGTTCGGAGTCGACTCGTTTAGAGGCTCCGCAGGCTCGTTTATGCCGGCAACCAACCAATCTAGTCCTCTGCGGTGACCTGAACCACAAATTGGCGCCATTTTTATCTGGATTTTGTCTAAAGGTACCTACCTAGGGTAGCGATGCGGCAGATCATTACCTGTTGGACTAATCGCCAGGTTCTACTCTTGCTAGTAATATCTGGGCTGTGCGCAGACACCAAGAGGCTCACTTTACGACTGGATGTTGCGTTCTGAGAGTTCATAGGCGGCGGCGAGTTGGAGAGGCGGGCGCCCCATGTTCGAATGTCTTTGAATAGTGAACAAGTCTATGGCTCTTATAGTTTGTGGCTTAGCGTGCAATTAATGCCGAGGAAGTTGGGATTTATGATGATTTATCGACTCAGGCCCTATTGGTGACCCACTTGTACAGCCTCTAGCTGCATAACGCGTTGTGGGGTCGGTCCAAGCGCTATGCCAATCAGGGCCACATATTCAGCTCCTCGAGTTTTATTTCCCCAGGTTTTACGAGTGTATACGGCAAATTCCCTTCCGCTGCGATTTATGCAGGCCTGAGGCAGATTCCAATGGAAACTCACATGCCTCTTTCAATCTTGAATTCTTCTTATTAAATACCTCCCCCCTTCCCCTCTGGCTCATCTTCTACCCCACAGATTCCTTCCTTCGAACACGCCACGATGGCTGAGGCAACACCACCTTTGCAGTTCAAAGCAACCTGGATCGGCACCAGCATGATCCTCTTTGACGACGGCGTCACCAGTGTGCTCATCGACGGCTTCTTCACCCGACCCAGCTTCATCTCCACCATTTTCTGGAAGGTCAGCTCCGACGAGGCCATCGTCACCCGGTGCCTGGAAAAAGCCGGAATCGCCAATCAACTGCAGGCCGTCTTCGTCGCCCACTCACACCACGACCACGTTCTCGATTCGCCCACCATCTGCGCAAGGACTGGAGCCAAGCTTGTTGGGTCCGAGTCCACGCGTCTTGTCGGCGAAGGCTACGGGCTCCCGCAGGACCAAAACATTATTGTTAGTGATGGCGACGTCCTCCAGTTCGGCGCCTTCCGCATTACCATCTTCGAGGGCCTGCATTCGCTCGGGGATCTTTGCCCCGGCGAATTAACAGAGCCGCTCAGCGGTCCATGTAGATACACGGCCTTTAAGACGGACAAGTGCTATTCATACCTGATTGAGCATGGCGCCGAGCGCGTGTTTGTCCATCCCAGCGCCAACTTTGTCCCCGGAAAGTTTCGAGATCTCAGGTGTGGGACTGTCTTTCTTTCCACGGGAACCCTAGGGAAACAGCCTGTCGAGTTTCGGGACCAGTACTGGGACGAGACGGTCGGGATGATGGAGCCGAAAAGGGTTATCCCCATCCATTGGGATGCTTTTTGGACGCCGATAGATAGTCCAGGTCCAGTGGCGCCTCTTCCTTGGCCGTTTGACAAATGGGCGGTGACGACCGCGTGGATGGAGGAGAGAGGCGCCGCTGCAGGCGTCGAGATTTATCTGCCGAAGCTCTGGGAAGAGTTTGTTTTTGGCTAGAATGGAATATTCACTTGGATGGCAACAGGCCATGAGGGAAGGTTTGCTATGTTGTTGGAAATTCTATTATCACATTGGTTCAGCAGAGACGTTTTCTTTCTATCTCTGTACAGTTGTCAACGTTTACTACTTTTACTACCTACTAATATTCCTGGGAAATTATATCCCGCTCTTTTATACTTCCTCGAGAATCGGTTCAAAGACCAGATACTCCAGGATCGCCTGCGCTGCCGAAGCCAACTCGGCGGAGTAGATTGCGAGATCTTCGGCACAGTAGTCGCCGCATCTTCTTCGTTGGGCATTGGCTCCCTCTTACACCATGTTAGCGCAAATGGATGAATGGCAAAGTCAAGCTATAGCGTTTGAGGATGCAAGACGCGACACTTATATTACACCGCAACTGGGCAGAGATATATACTCCTCTGTCTAATGCAGTGTGCGTTTGGTCGGGGCGGCATAATCCACCTGCCCACTGCTGCAATGAGGAGAACTATTTATGACTCGGACTAGCAGGATATCTATATACTCTATCCCAGCAATGCACGACCCGCACCACGAAAGTTGGTTGGTTGGATTGCAACATGCCCGGCCGCGTCTAATATCTCCCTCGCACGGTGGAAGCATACCTACCCAGCTAGTGCTGATACGCCAATGAGGGAGACAGAACTCAAGACACCAAGCAGGGAATTCCGCCAATGCCCCGTCTTCCCAGACAACGGCCTGGATGGTGCAAATCGGGACCATAATGGTCAGAACAAAAGATGCCATCTGGCAGTCATTATTGTTTTCCCCATCACACGTCTAGCGTGTCTCGATCCCAAATGAGGCATGTGTAAATTTCGTACTGGAATTCTTGAAATCTCAGCGCTCTATAAATTATAAATCTATATAGTCTGCCCCTGGGGAGCGCATAAACTGCGTCGCACGTTATTTAATTCCGAACTTATCCTGCCTCTGCTCACTAGCCAGTACTTTCACTCCTGCATCCCGATAAATCCCATCGAAACCTCCCACAGCTTCCTTTGTTTCTCAGGGCTATATGCATGCAGAAAACACCCCGGAGCCCACTGTCCCTCCTTTTCATCGCAGGCCTTGGGCAATCTGCACATCCTCAAGGAAAACCCCACCTCTTCCCTTGAGCGCCCTCGAAACATCCCCCTGCTGCACACTCTTAAACTGCGGACCTACTGCTGGATCATCAGAGAGTCCCTTCTTCTCCTCGCCGCTCATATGCTGCAGTAACCCCGTCTGGATACCTCCAGGCTGCACGCTGAATGCCCAAATCGCCTGTCCGCTACACCGTCTGTCACACATTTACTCTGCCCGACCGCGGCCCATTTGTCGTACGTACCATTTTTAAAGTTGATGTTGTCGAATTGTGCTTCCGAGTAGCGGTGGGTGATTGACGAGAGTAGGATTCCTCGTCAAGGGGGGCTTGCTCCTGATGTACGGAGTGGTAGCAGCAACAGCGCCAGCAAGGAAGGCAGGACGCAGTAGCACGAAAAAGCAGGAAATGGCATGGATAGTCTGTCCCGAATTGGAGGTCGAATACATCCTTTGTGTCGCCCTTGGGGGCAGCCATGATACCTGCGTTGCCGATGAAGATATTCAGCGTCTCTCTCAGAGACAGAACAGGACGCTCGAAGAGAGTTTATACCACATAAGATCACCGGGGTAGATTGCTTGTGGTATGAGTTCATTGCTGCTGAGATCCGACGCATTCCGTAACGGCCAGGGGATGACCAGTCACGAGATATGTTCTCGAAAGCCGTGGTTCAAGGGTCCATACATGGTGCCCTAACCTGCAGAGGTCAGCTTTTAGCCCACCAAGTTCGCAGATCGCAGAATCGGCAAGCGGAGTTTGGGTGCTTATGCGGGTCCCGAATCCGATCGGTGACTTCTGTGAACTCAACTTTCTCATTGAAGTTGTGGGAAATCTTTCCGAATAAAAGGCGCGGATACTTTGGGCCAGTTGCGGTCGGGCTCAAGGGACTCGGACAGGTTAGCCTTGCGGTAGGCCGTTGTTATTATGATAAGTGGGTAGAACTCCAGGGATCTGCCGGTAGTTGCTACCTATACATACTTGGGGTGATTCGAAAACCATTGGTTAAACCAAATTCCGACGGCTCACATCGCTCGTCCGGTAGATGCTCGGGGTCGTGTCGGGGTCGTGTAGGGGTCGTGTATCTGACCGCGAGGGCATGTATGAGCAGATACCAGTACGCAAGACAAAGATGCTCTTGGATGAGTCCGACCACAAAAGCCAGAGCCCGGACATGGTATATTCAACGCCAATCGACAAAGTAACTCGCTATAACACGCTAAACGAAATCCAACACGCTCGCTAAATATGCAAAACCTGCAGCCCACCAGTCGGCGCGATATACGTCTGCGCCCCATCAAGCAACACCTCATCCCACAGATCCTCCGCCGGCGTTTCCCCGGGCTGATTCGTATAGAAGAACTCGCCGAGCAATGCTCTCACCTCGCCCCACTCCCGTACCCCCAGCAGCGTGGCTGTTTCCGCGAGGCGGGTGACGAACCACGGATACACGGGGTACGCTCTCGCCGCCATGCCGCCCATGAACAAGATCCAGAAGATGAGGTCTGGTGCAAGCGCTTGGAAGAAGGGGAGCTGCTGTACAAGACTTGCTTTCAGGGGGCCCACGAGGCGGCCCATAATGGGTAGTTTGCCCAGATGCCAGACGCGCGTGTTGAGGTATATAAGCAGGCTCAGCCGCAGCGGTTCGTTCAGGCTATCGCCCGTCGGAAATGACAGCGAGTGGAGCTGGTGCTCCGTGCAGACAAGGAGGTCGTTATCCGTCGGCGTGCCGAGCTCCGGGTGTATGCGGGCCGATTCAAAATACAGTATGATCCGCCGGCAGATCTCGACGGAGGCTTGGAGTTGCATGTCGATGTCGGCGAACCAGGGTCCGCTGGTGAAGCGTCTTCCGAGCGTTGTGAGGGCGAGAGGGGGCTCGTAGGCTTGGTCGAGGGATAGGACGTTGGATTCGTGGATGATTCCGCTGCGGAAGCGTGGGGACATGGGGAAGATTGGGCGGGATTGGCGGACGGAGGCGCCTTTGACGTCGCATCTATGTTTTGTTAGAGGAAAGGGGCGAAGGGGTGGATTAGGGCTGGGCGTACTGGTATAGTCTGGATAGGGTCATGTGTGCTAGGGAGTCGAGACCGCCGATCAGGTCGACGAGTCGTTTCAGACCCTTTAGATGTGCTTCGACGGCCTCAAGGTTTGCCATGCTAGCCTAGCTCAAGTGTCAGTGTTTGTTTTTGTCAAAGCAAGGAATTCAAACCTCAATTGTGATAAAGCACGCAATGGTGATGATTGTCGGTTGAGTGACTGCCCTCTTCGGGTCCTGTAGCAGATTATTCAAATGCTTGAGAGCATTGCCTTGAAGCCGCCAGGAGTCCTTGGTGTGAAACTCGGTGCGTTCAGCAGAGACACCATTTTTCGATCCAAGGACTGTGAGATGCTTGGCACTGAAGTATAGAAGTATATTGAGCAATGCCGGTATCGTAATTGCATTCTTCCACAGGAAGACACCCATCGATAGCCCGTTGAGGGGGTATGCAGCTGCAGTACCGTGGATCCTAACTGGTAGTAGGGTTAGTTCGGGCCATCCGATCTGCTGCTGAGAAGTTAGGGTAAGGGAGCAGATCGCCACATACAGTAATCCAGATACATGTGCATCGTACTCGTCATGTCTATCGAGTAGCAATTGAACGGGTCCATGAAACCCTGACTCAGATACGGCATCAACGACCAGGCCTCGGCCATGGCAATCGCCTCTTCCGGGCTTGGACGAGTAATATCCTCTTCCTGGCCCTCTTGCCCATCATCAATAGCACGCTGTATAGTTCCAGATCTTTCCAGCGCCAAACTGGGCTTCGGCGGCGCTGCTGGAGGCGGCGGCTTCGTAGCCTTCAGCCGCTCTATCGACGCCTTCTTCCTCTCCTCGTGGATCTTCTTGACAACAAACGCCTGTTTCTGCTTCCGCACCGTCGATCCTTTCCCGTCGTCGGCCTGGGAGTCAATCCACAGAAAGGTCTTGCTCTTCGCCTCGGAGCGGGCCGTTTTCGTTCTGTGTGGGAGGGGCAGCGTCTGCGTCGGCGAGGAAGAGGAGGAGTAGGATACGGCCGACTCTGGCGATGAGGGGTCCGATGTTGTCGACCAGGCGGACGGGGAGCTTGATGCTGAGCTCACTATGGGCGCCATGCTTGCTGGATTGTCTGAATAGGGCACGATTTGCTCAATATCGCTCTCCTCCAAGTGCAGGCGACGTTTTCGACGCTTGTCCCTCAATCGTCTATCGCGTCCCCATCACGTGATATCGAGTAGCAAATCAGGGTGTTGCGGCGGATTGCTTTGTCAGAAATTGCTAAGTTTAAATTAGCTGGATGCACCAGTCCTGTTCGAGGGTGTGCAGGCTCAAAGCTGAGAGGTCGGGGGGATTTCGTGGAGTCGGCTGGATTCTCCCTCGCTGTGGTTGTTCTGGCTTCCAAGTCGTGTTGTCGAGAACCCGAGTGTTTTGATCGTTGCGAGAGCCCTAACAATAATGTGAGTAAAGAATCAGTATCCTCAGCACCACAGTATAGGCAGTGCCTCCCTCTCCCTTGGTTCTCTTACCCTTTGCTTTGGGAGTCGAGTTGGAGTCGTCGCCGCGTGTCCGCTCATTTCCCCCGTGAACTGCGCCATGGGTTATTCAGCAATGACTGTACACCACTAGTGTGAAACATGCACAGATAGGGAAAAAGTGATACCGCACTTTGAGCGCCAGCGATCAATTGTATTGGCTCCTGGTAGAAGGGGGAGGGGTCGAATATGTCATCGCCCAAATTAAGTACATGTCGTAACAATGGATTGACAAAAGAGACTTTTTTCGCTTCGCTCAGGCAGACGCCAAGAAGGGCTGGAAAGAAAAAAAAGATAAGGAAAGAAAAAAAATAGGAGAGGAAGAGTCTATATCGCTAAAGCGCAGCAGCAAGAATGGACAGCAACAACAACAACAACAGCAGCAGCAGAGGCGATCATCTCAAAAGGCGATCATCGCTGCGAAGGGTTATGGGGCGTTGTTGTTGACTGTGCCGGGACGACGAGAGCGTGCAGGCAGCCTAGCAATTCGTCCAATGGGGCAGCAGCAGTGGCAGCAGGTGCTGACTCGGGGGTGACTGAGCCAGAGCCAGAAGAGAGTCCGAGAGAGTCGCCAGCGAGCAGGGTCGCGAGAGACTGGGCGCCGTTTGGTCGTTGCAGGAGGCCAACCATGAGGCGCCATCGCTTGCGGAGGTCTTCGATTTCACCCTTCAGGCTCTCCTTTTCGCGGAGCAGCTGCGAGGCTTCGTCACACTTGTGGCGGAATTCCTCGGAAAGCTCCTTGTGCTGCTTCTCGAGGTTGACGGCCTTTTGCTCAAGGGACTGCTGGCGCTCTTCCTTGCGCTCGCGGAATCGCCGCTGCGCTTGGCGGTTTTGCATTCGGCGCTTGACCTGTTTGGTACCCATGTTAGCGTCTTGGTCAGGGATTAGAGAAGATGAGAGACTCATCGTACACTTTGAGTGGTATGCTTGGGCATTGTCGGGTCAGCAGAGTATGATTGCGAGCCGTCACTCTCATGCTGAGAGTCACAGTCGGAGAGGAGTGTGGGCGTGACAGGAGAAGAGCTCGCGCTCGGGAAAGTGGGGCTCTGGTTGAGCATTTGCGAGGCACTGGTTGGTTGTGGCATCTTGCCAAAGTTTGTCTCGATGTGCATGAGTGGCTGGATGGCGTGGTTGGTGGTGGTGGTGGTGGTGGCGTGGGCGTTGTCTGGATAAGCAGCGGAAAACAGGTCAAAGTCTTGATAACCGCTCATGTTGTTCTGCGAGAACGAGTCAGCGCGATGCCCTCCGTTAAGTACCTGCTCCCCGCGGTTGAACTTACTAATCGGTCTCGGAAATACAATGGCGCCTCGCTGTCGGGGTCCAATGGCATGATGAGGGGGAGCGACTGGAAGTAGCTGGGGCTTGTTGGTTGGGAGTAGGAGTAGGCGTCCATTGTATATTGATCTTGTTGCTGCTGCGGTGGCGGATCTTGATAAGATGAGATGAAGATCGATCGTGAGCGACGAGCTGAGCTGCTGTGAGAAGCTTGGCTTGAGTGATGCTGTTGATGATTCTTCCTCTCGACCGGGGTGAGTGGCGACTCTTAAATCTCATGAGGCGATTCAACCATCCATCCCAGCGTCGCAGCATCCTCACTCGGCAACGAAAGGATGCAAGAGCTGGTAGCCCCTGTTTGGGAATAGTCCAGCCCTGCACCGGAAGCTTCTTCTGCTGCTCTGTGACCTCATCCACAAACGAGACGGCACTTTGGTAGCCCCCGAAAGGGGAAAGCGCCAGAATCGAGGTCAGGCACGGGGATCCACATTGAATCTCGACTCTGCTCGTTGAGAGGGAAGAACTGAAGAAGGGGCATCGTGCCCGGACTTCTGATTTCCACCCAATGAGACGGCAAGCTTGGTTTGTCCTTGAAGGGATTAGCAACTGCTGCCCCGGTGGCAGCCAATGACAGGAGGCAGTGTGAAACCCTGATTGGGGATAGTCGCTGCTGACTGTCACTATAAAGTGGATCTCTTTGGTGACAAGTAATTCCTGACTAAGTTCAATAATCACCCACTCGATATTCGACCTGGCAAGGAAATTGATTCCAGCCGCCCTGATACTCGAATTGGTGCAATCGTCGAGCCTCCTGACGGCACCTGCCGAAGATCTTGGTGTTGCACTCAGCTCTCGTTGAGGGATTGGCCCTCACGCAAATTTTTTCCCACCAATCCTTGCACGCGTCGCGGACTTGGTCATTGTCACTAAACCCATTACAGTCAAACCAACTCGCATTCTCCTTTGCTCAAAGCTGTCCTGAAGAATTTATCATGTACCCACACTATAAGCTCGCGGGCGGTCCGGATGTTTATCTTCAAGGAAATCATCAAGTTGTCACTCGAGCTGCCATCTGCTCCGTGAAGCCAACAGACCTTCCTGCTCTGACCACAGTTTCCACCTGCCACATGACTGGTAAACGGACCCCATCAACCTTCCTCCGCCTCTCAGTCACACACTGATAGTTCCTCTGGACCATTATTTACCTGCCATCTGTAAATAATAGATCTTGTTAGCGATCAGAGTCCAGAGGGCCCAACCCGCCAACAAGACGTATCCTTTCTCCTCCAACCCACCATTCCCAAATAGGGTCTACCAGACTGTCATGGCACCTGGCACTTGCACTTGGGCCTGGGCACTCCGCTATGGAGAACGGATTCTTTCTCCCTCGCTTCTCACAAACCCACTATTCCCTATCAGGGCATATCAACTTAGTCCAGTGATGCTGTAGCCGCTCAGCCTGCCACTTAGCACCTGCACGATCCCACCACCGTCACCACCCGGGCAACACTGTGGACCGTGCTAGACGTCTCCATAGAAGCCGTGGAAGGATTCGAATGTTCCATGGCTAAACCCTTTCGAGGTTTACCAACTCGCTTTCTGAGTGGTTGGACGGTGCATACTGGGTCCACACGAAGGATTCCTCCAACCGCCAGCGCTTCTTCTAATTTCCGGAGCTGTTTTTCCGACTTCAGGCTCTTCTCGCAGCGTTGCAGCCGCACTCTTGGTGCTACCTTGCTACGGTGACATGCTTTGTTTTAGTATTCTACGCTAGTGGGGCACTATGAGTTTGTCAGTGATGAGATTTTCTGCTCTATCTAGACGACTGATCAACGGATGCATCGCTGGTAGCGTGATCGCCCGGCACAACGTGCGTGGTTTATGTGGTTCTGAGGGTCTGGAATTCTCTACACCATAGCGGGTGGTGCCCATGACTCTGCCAACAACTATCTAGAGCTTATCTCGACAGGGAGGTTGTCACAAACAGGCCAACCTACCAGCCAGCACGGATCTGGATACAAGAGAGTCAATCCACCTCGTCGAGAAGCAAAATAGCCCGCCCATCACCGCTTCAACACTCGAACACTCTTTAGACCATAAATCTGCTCATTTTATACATAATGACCTACTCAATTCTCAACAGGAGGTGAATGGCGACCATACAACAATTATCAATCTCTGCCAGATAGACGGTGAAGAGATTTCGGCTTTGTCAAGCATCACATATCATCCCGACAGCAACGCCCGCTCTAGGCCTTGGAATACAAGCTTTTGGCTAAATGCTTGCTATCAGCCCAGGTTACATGGGCTGTGCACACTGCAGAATTTGCCACCTGGTTCCTGCACAGCCCGTCTTATCTATCCCTCTATACTTGTTTCGAGACGGACAGAACGCTCGTAGACTTGTCTTGCTGTAGTCCGGGAAGATCTGGAAGTGACTACAAACTTGCTTATCCTTAATAATCTGGATCAGATTGCAAGGAACCTCGGAAGAAGCATTTGTGCTTGATAAGTTAGTGTTTGTTGGTTCAAGATTGGGGTGTGGGCGTAGGACGTGTTGCTTCCCCCGATATATATCTTGGTGCAGGGGCCCTGACTTGGCCACTTCTTTGCTACTGAAGGGACCCAAAGGGTCCGTTTGTATTCCATCTCCAGAAAGCTACAGTCTTTCACAAACACATAAGTTGCCCCCTTATATCAAGGGGAAATGCTTGATTCTCTACATACGGAGCTGGGGATGCGGATCTGTTGTGGAGGATCAACACGTGACCTCGCCTCCCACGCTGAAGGTGCCTCAGGCACCTACGTCAACGCCTTATCTCGTTAGCTCCTACTTTTTTTCACCTATTAGATAGTCGGTGCTATCTCTACCGAGGCGAGTGGTGTCGGACCTTCGGGGTTTCGGATTCCGCGCTGACAAGCGCCTGGAGTGGATTAAACCCCCAATTCGCAAACCTTCGTGGGCAGTAAACCATCACGTCTAGGCTCACCTGCGGGTTTGGAAGTGTCTACGCATTATAACCGCCCGAGGCATATTTCCGTCGTAGGATTTTAATCTCGACCTGTCCTCCCATGTGTTCGGGATAGCCGTCCCATTACTTGTTGGTTGAGGCCGTAAGTCTGTCGGGCGGGTTCTGTTGCAGACAACACCATGTGGTAGCAAGGGTTTGCTCTGGGCATGTGCAGCTGTCTGTTTACAGGTCTTCCAAGTACCATATTGACCGATTCCATATTGTGTTATATCCATAATCTTTTGACGATCTAATCCAATACTAGCCGTCCATAGACTTGGTCTCGTCCATCTCCTCCACCCACTCACCGACCTTTTCGCAAGCCTCGTGCGGCTGCCGCTTATATCGTAACAGGAAGCCCTGTACCTCTGCGACACTGAATCTTCCTTGGGGTATGCGCTTCGAGAAGCTATCCGCCAGAGCCTCCAGCTCGGCCCCTGTCGGCAGGTTTCCCTTGTTTTGCACTTCTATCTTCTCGTTATCTTTTTCAGTCTCAACTGGCGACTCCGACCATGCCACATCAAGCGGCGTATCGCGGTAGATGCTTAGAAACAAACTCCAGAGCTCCTCATGGCTCGGCAGCTCAAACCGAATATGCAGGTCCACACGGCCCGGTCGGATGAGCGCGCGGTCGAGATCCTGTGGGTTGTTGGTGGTCATGATGAGGATGCGGCCTTCGTGGGCGGCGACGCCGTCGATGGCGTTCAGGAGGCCGGCGAGAGAAATTGCTGGTGCGGTTTGCGAGGTGAGGGTGTTGAGAAGCGCTCGGTCTCGGTCTCGTTCTCTCTCGCGGTCTCTGTCTCTCGCTTTCTCTCTGTCACCCTCCCCTCTCCCCCCACGATCCCGATCTCGATCATGACGCTCCCTCGTGCGTTGCACATTCGCCGTCTCTTCCCTCTTCAGTCCCGCCCCATCCATATCCTCCAACAACACCACACACCTCGCCGGCACCTCCGAAAACAACCTCATAAAGTGCGGCTCCGTCATCGTTGGATCCTTCAAACTCAAGACATAGATATCCAGCCCAAACACCCCCGCAATCGCCGACGCAAGACTTGTCTTGCCCGTCCCCGGCGGGCCCGAGAACAGGTACCCGCGCCGATAGGGGATCCCATGGTTCGCGTACCACCGCCGCGTAGCCGGGTGCAGGTACTCGTTGATATCGCGTAGGATCCTCTCCTTCTTGCTCCGCTGCAGGATGACCGTTGCGATGTCCCGTGGCGGCCGCGACGCGACCGCCGACCAGCGCAGCATCTCCCGGTTCCCGGGGCGGGTGCGGTAGATGGTCAGGCTGGAGACGGCGACTCGGCGGGCGTGCCCCCGGGCTTCGTCTAGCAGCTCCTTCAGCGGGGCCAGCGAGAGGCTCAAGCATTGTAGTGTGAGCTGCGGGCTGCTCTCGATCAACCCGGAGCTGGATCCCTGTCCAGCTCGGCCGATATTCTCGGGGCTCGACGGGCTATGCTTGAAATAGATCCACCGCGACCTGAAGCGGAACAGCCGCGACCCCTGAAACGGCTTCAGTTCGATGACGGATGTGTCGTCCGCCTCGCGGTAGTTCATCAGCTGCCCGCTCTCCATCTTCGGTGGCGGGGGCGGCGGTGGCGGTGGTCCCCAACCCCCTTTTTCCACCTGCTTCCCCCACTTGGCCCTTCCAGGACCCCCGGTGAACGCATGGATATCCTGATTCTCCGTTTCGGCGAGCACGCTGAGGAAATTCCGCTCGGCAAAGACGGTGTCATTCAGCCAGCGCACAACCTCCGCATACAGCGGATCCTCCGACTGCACGACGACCGTCGCCAGACAGCTCTTCTCCGCGTATCTGTACAGCACATTCCCCACGGAGCGGAGCGACGTGACCAGCCCGAGAAGCAGCAGGCCGAGGTTGATCCACGGCATCGGGTCGAAGTTGAGCGTGCTCCGGACGTGCTCGAGCAGCGGGGCTATAGGCCCCGCACCTAAGGGTACTGGAGTTGAGCGCATCCTTTGGTTGAGTCTATATGCTTATACGGTAGATTGTGGAGATGGGGTGAGATGAGCTGCTGGGAAACAGGCACGTAGTTATGCAATGGGCTTAGTAAGCGGGTGTTTTACGCGTCAGCACGACGCCGCTTTTCTGGTAGGCAGCAATCAACAGGGATATGCAGGGAAGCAGAAAGCTTGTCGCAGATCTATTGTGGAGATACTCCGTCGTGGGATTGATATTGGCTAGCACGTCTCTTCTCTTACATCCAGACTACAACCTATACAGAATGTCCTGCGGAGCTCCCAATCCCAGCTGCGGACGCACAGCCTGCTGCTCTTCCAGGCATACATATCCTATGGAAGCACCTTATTGCGGAAACTCGCTAGTCTAGGCAAAATGATTGTCGTGGTTACTGAGGGCCCGCAGGATGCTCAGGAGTGGACGATTGTTCATTTGGGCATTGCCCCCTATATTGACTGCCTCGGGACCACCAACAAGTTCGGGGCCACGAAGACGACGGGCTTGTTCTCTCTGGTTTTGACGCACCTGGAGATATCGCGTATATTGGCGACAACTTGAAAGGGGATATTGAACCTGCTACCTACTGAAGAGGGTATTCATTGAGAGCAAACAGATTGATTGGTGGATTAGTACCTTCCTTACTAACCTACCCATGATTGATGATTAAGCTTATAAATCATACACATTGTTGAAAATGATCAAGGGTAAATTGAAAATGCATCAGAACTTAGAGCATTTCAACAATTTTTCTATACGGATCTAACCCAGGCCACGTATCCTCGTTCCACGAATCCAGCTGCAGAGCCTCACGCGGACATGTTGGATGATGAATTGGGCTGATTGCATGCTCACCCTTGCCATTTTTGGCGGGCTGAGCGGGCTTGCGGACTGGGCCGTGGGGCGGGCCGCTGTCGCTGTTATCGCTTACCCCTCGCTCTTTTCCCGCAAACAATCAATGGGCAGACAACTTGTCATGTTCGCTTACCACCATGTTTAATTATGATGCGTTGCATCACTTTAGAGGTAGCAGAACAATTTCGGTTGATACACCAGGCGTGTGAGACTCGATGGAGGAGAAGGACTTGGTCTGCGAACGAGTCTATCAATCCGCAGCCTTGCGCTTACCTCGCACGTCGCGAAGCTGGGGAATCCTAGCAAAGAGGGACGCGTTAATGATTGGATGAGTTGGATGTTGCTTCGTACTACAGAGTCAGCCGCAATCGTGACTTTGAGGCTGAGGGCTTAGCGCCGAACACGACAGGACACGAGACGAGACGGGCGCATAAATTCCAGCGACTCCCCCACGTCCGCGAATCCATTCTCCCACGCCCACATGGCTGTCACTCTGTCCACGCGAGACGTGACCCAACCCAGAACCCGTCCAGAATGACCGAGGAATCCAAACCCACGGGCCCGGCATCGGTGCAGGAGATCTGGGACAAGACCATCGTGCGGTTCCAGCAGCGCACGGGCCAGAGGCTCGATGGGGTCGCGCGGACCCCCGAGGACCTGCGACGAGCGCTGGACGCCCACTATGCCGCGCAGGAAGATGACCCGGACACGTCCAAGGCGAAGGCGATTGGGTTTCGGATGATTCATTGTATCCAGCTGCTCGGGGGGATTGCGGCCGAGGGCGCGTCGATGGTGAGAAACAATCTACCATTCTCGCCACGAGACAATTTTGATAAATGAACAGGTCTTTGGCCCCGCTAACCTCTGCTTCAACGCCCTCTCCTTCCTCCTCGACATCCCCAAAAAGGTCGCCGAGTTCCACGGCGAGATCAACGCCATCTTCGCCGAGGTCGGCCCCGCCCTGGCCCAATTCCGCATCTACCAGCGCATGGAAGAAAACACTCGCGTCGACGAGGCCCTACGAACCTCCATCGACCAGGTCATGACGAGCTTCGTCGACATTTGCGCGAATTGCATCAACATTCACCGCGAGGGCCGGTGGAAGAGCTTCAAGCGGAATGCGAAGCGGGTTCTGCTAGATGAGGGGTCTGTTCGCGAGGAGCTGGAAAATTTCAAAAAGCTTACGCAGGATCAGATGAATGTGCAGGCGACGCTGACGCTGGAGGTTGCGCTGGAGACGAATGTTGGGGTTGCGTTTATCAAGACGTCGGTTGGCGAGATTGATTCGGCGACCAGGGTCATCAAGACGGATGTGACGGGGTTGGTCGAAGCGGAGCATAAGCGCGGGTTGAACGATGCGAGGAAGAAGAACCTCGATGCCATCAAGGAGAAGCTGGGCCAGAAGGAGGAGGATGTTGCGACCGTGGTGGATGCGCGGGACAACATGTGGAAGACGTCGGTCAAGGGCAGCGGCAAGTGGCTCAACGAGCTTGATGCATACACCCAGTGGCTCGATCGGAGCAGCAGCGCAGCAGATCCGCTGCTCATCCTGACCGGAGAACCAGGGACAGGGAAATCGTTCATCGTCTCTGCCATCGCGCAGGACGTCAAGGCCCGCAACTCGGCGACCAAGGCCGAGCGCGGCCTGCTGGGGTACTACTCATTCTCGATCGCGACCAAAACCGACAGTGACCGCAACCGGCCGGAGACGGCGCTCAAGTCGATTTGCATGCAAATGGCGGAGCAGGACGCCGTCTATGCAAAGCATGTCGCGGGCGTGTGCGGCGAGGCGGGCAAGGACAAGAACTACTTCAAGGACGCTTCTTGCCAGGTTCTTTGGACGACTCTGGGCATTGGCGCTCCGGCGAGGAACGCCATGCATTATATCCTGCTCGACTCGGTAAGTCTTCTCAGTGCGGAGGAGCTGGAACGGCTGCTCGAGGCGATCCAGCAGGGTCCCGTTGCTTCGGACGGGGAAAAGGCGAACCCGGTTCGTGTGCTCATCAGTGGTGAACCGTCGAGCTTCGACGAGGAGTGGTTGAGTTCGGTGTCGGCCAAGAGTATTGACATCACTCAATACAACGACGACGACATCAGCGCGTTCGTCGTGGAGGAGCTGAAAAAGGCCGACCTGTTCCAGGGATCCGATCAAGACTCGCAGCGGAGGCGAAAGACGGTCAAAGAGCGCCTGCTGAAGCGATCCAACAACTGCTACGCAACGGTGCAGCAGGATCTGGGCAAGATCAAAGCCATCGTCGCCTCGAGCGGGACAGAGGACGAGCTCAACCGGGTCCTGCAGGAATCCAGCACAGACCCCAAAGCGCTGGTCCGGTCGGAGCTGGAGACGCTCGAGGCGGTGCTGAACCCCCGCGAGCTCGAAGAAGTGCACGAGCTGCTCATCTGGACCGTCGCGGGGTTCGGTCGGTTCAACCTCGACGAACTGGCCGCAGCGCTGTACATGCGCTTCAAGTCTGTTTCGCTCCAGCCGCTGGCGCAGAAGATCACCGGCAAATACTCCAAGATCTTCACATTGACCTACGGCGGGAAATTCATCGCGCTCAGAGACCACGTCGAGGAATGCGTCGTCGCCGACCGAGTGCGCCCGCGGCAGTCGGTCGACGATCCCAAAATCACCGCGACCATCACCATCACCAACGGCGACATCAAGGCGGTCCAGCGCTTCTTTTGGGACCTGACACACCACTCGTCGTTTGCCAACGGCTTCCAGTTCCGGCCGGACGCGGACCTGTCCCAGACGGCCAACCGAAAAATCCAGATCTACCGGATCGACGCCCATTTCGAGATTGTGAAAAAGGCATTCGACTACTTCCTCATGCCCAACGGCGAGGACAAGCAAAAAGGCGAGCTCTCCGGAAAGTATCTGATGATGTGTCTCCCGGACCATCTCAAGGCACTCTACGAAGCCGAGGGGCTGGATGAGCTTTCCCTGGCGGACAAGCAGTACATCGGCTCGCACGTGTACGACATGTTCAACGAAGGCGACCTCGTCGAGACCAACTGGGAGATCTGTCCGTGGTCAATTTGGTACAAGTCGGATGACGAGATGGGCATCTTCTGGAACTGGCTCGACGATCCGGTGGCGATTGCGCGGTTGGGAGCACGCGATAAACGCTGGCTTGCGGAGATCAAAAAAGGCAAGAATCGGAACCGCAGCCTGCTCACTCCGATCATGACCATGATTGCGCGCAACTGGCTGCAGGCGACCGAATGGGAGATCTCGAGACCCTCGGACTGGCTGACGGGGTTCCTTCAGTTGGTGCGTTGTATCTTTCTCCCCTTCTCTTCCCCCGTGTATACTCCTCCGCTGGATTGTACAACTGACCACGCGTTCACTTTGTGTAGGGCGCTCCACAAGCCAAGGAAAAGACCGACGCCAACGGAGAACCAGAAGCGGAGGCGCAGCAGTCCGTCGAGGAAACACCCGACGACGGCGAGATATACATCACGGCAAACGACAACGTCGTAGAGAAAGTGCTCAAAGCCGAAAAATGGGCAAAGCAGGCACTGGGCGTGACAGAAATCGATGCTACCTGGTGCATCCGCCTCGGCCAGACGTATCGAGACTTGCGCGAGTCGGAGGCTGCCTCGGAGCAGTATGAAAAGGTACTGCGGTTTACACATTCCGTTCAAAAACATATTAGAGGACCAATTCTGACACATTTTCTTCCAGGCCGCTGCGATCCTCCAAGGCCAGGATCCCATCGACAAGGATCGACTCGCGGGCGTGTTTCACGCGCTGGGGGACCTCCAGAACGAGCCCAAGGACGCGCTGCCGTACTACAAGCAGGCATACGAGCAGAACGACTCGAATGTGGATATCCTCTACGCCCTCGCCACACGCTCCGCTTCCAAGGGGATAACAGAAGAGGCATCCTCGATCATCCAAAAGGCTGCGACCCAGACAGTCCCAGGCACGGATTCCTCGCTACTTGTCTCGATGCTGAAAAAGACCGTCCGCGATCAAGCGTGGGACGACATGCTCGCGATATTTACAGTGTTCCTATCTCTCATAGAATCCTCTCCTGACATCTGGCCAACTCTAAACACGGAGCTGGAAAATGCAATCGACAAATACCGTGCGGAGAATGAACTCAAGGAGCTCGCGACGTTCCACCTCCTGCAAGGAGCCGCACTCTACTATCTCCGCCAGGAGATCCCAGAGGACCTAGAGCAGGCAGCCACCTCCTGGCGCGCGGGTCTGGCCACTGTGCGCGAAGAAGTCGGCTTTGAAGAAAACGACCAGCTCGTGTACGTTGAACAGCACTGCCTCAGCTCGCTGGGTCGGCTGTACGTCGAAGGCATAATCCAGGAACGGGACTCGGACCCGCAGTCGGGTTTCCAGGAACTGCAACAGGCACACGAGTCCGAGAGAGCGTCCCGGGCCGTCACGGCTCTGCTGGCGTCTCTGTGCGCACTGACTGGACAGCGGGATAAAGCGCGTGAGGTCCTGCGAGCCGATATGGTTACTGCGTTTAACATTCTTGTCGACGACGAAGCTGGAAATGACTGGGAGGGCTTTGCGTCGATCCGGCATCTCCTCGCGCACACGGGGGACTTTGAGAATGCTTACAAGGCTTGTATGTTGTTCCCGGGGCAGTGGTTCAATCTCGATGTTCTCAAGGCGCTGCTGGACGATGAAGAACCCGCCTTCGAAGCCGCCAGCGCGCAGCTGGTAGAATTCTTCGAAAAGGAGTGCCATCCAGAGGAAACACACGAGGACCGGTTCAGCAAAACCTCAACCGAAGTCGAGCGCCTTCTCGCCGCAGCGGAACCCGACAGCAGCGAGCACGCCGCGTGGACGGGCATCTCCAAGCTCCTAAGCGGATACCGCCATCTCAACGATAACTCGTTCTTCTGCAACTGGTGCAGGAAGCCGTATGACTTTGACAAGGGGTTCAACGCTTGCAAATACTGCTACGATATGGACCTCTGTGATAAGTGCTTGGGTGACTTGCGCCCTGGAACGCCGGGTGCACCGTATGTATGCAGTAAGTTGCACGACTGGATTCACCTGGAGCCGTGGGATACGCGCAGCTATGTTCGGGCGTGGAAAAGGGTGGTGCCTGTTATTGCCGAGAATGGGGTTGAGCGGTTGGTTCCCGTGTCCAAGTGGTTGGGGGATTTGTGTGATGAGTGGGGGTTGGCCAAGGCAGATTGGGACTTTGAGTAGCTACTCGCGCAAGATGAGGACACGGGAAGATGGCGAGAACCGGAGAGTACTCAACGTCTACCGCAATTTAGTACGCAGCTTTTAGCATGAGATCGAATTTCATGCAGGGTAAAATCTAGCCCAACCACATGTCTTGATTTATTACCCATGGATTCTAAGATACGATCAAGCTTCCTTTCTAGGAGACTTACGTTACAAATCATAACGTAATAAGAAGACTTGCATGTTTGATTATAAATATATATTCTCCTGCATAGGATCCATTGGACCCTTGTAAATTTTGGCAATCCTCGGCAGCTTTTTCGAGCGCTTTAGGTAGTATTTGACGGCGCAGATACTCATCTAGCTTTAGACTAATAAAGGCTGAAAGTTCGGATAACACGCATTGTATAGGCTATATAAAAGGACAATAAAGGAAAAACAGAAGTGGTCAAGAATGCAACTTGACGCTGGCAGCCGGCGCACCAATCATGAATGCAGGTATGAGCGACTCCTCTAACCCCCGCCTCATTTAAGCGCCCATCGCAATTGTTGCAACAAGACTCCCAGCAACGAAAGCCTCGTGATACCTCCTCCAAAAGGATTCCACAAGAATGGCAAAACCACTCGGAAAGCTGTAGGTAGAAAACCCTGCAACAGTCGCGCCCAGCTCATCCCCACAGGACCCTCAGCGCGGGAATCGCACGCATAAACGTTGGGCCCGAGGAGACCCCCTTTGACGTCCACGTAGAGCTCCTCTGCGACAACTCCCCTTACTTCAACAACGTCTACAAAGACCGCACCGACTCCGCCATCTGCGACATTCCGATCAGCCTACCAGACGTCGACCCAGATGTCTTCGCCAAAACAATCAGCTGGATGTATCGCGGCCAGCTAAGCGCCGACCTATACGACGTAACGAAGCTCGTCTCCCTCTTCGAGCTCTGGGTTCTCGCCGAGAAACTGGAGATTCCGGCGCTGCAAGACGAAACAATCACCGCTTGCAAGTGCCGCGTCGACAGCTCCCCCCCAAACGCGTCCGTCAGCACGCGGACGATCGAGTACGTCTACGCCAACACAAAGCCCGGTTCCCCACCGCGCCGCCTCCTCGTCGACATCTGGGTGTGGCGCTGGCCTTGGCAGAAATTCAGCTGTCGCAAGGCGGATCTCCCGCGCGAGTTCCTTGAGGATTTGTGTGAGGTAATCTTCGCGAGGGTGAATGTGAATCTCTCTTGGGTTCAGAGCCCGCTTCCCAAGTTGGCGAAGGAGTATTATGTTGGCTGGACCCCACCAGCGCCGGACCCAATAAGGTTCCCAGCGCCGGCGTCACCACCATCGCAAGATAGCAATGCTCTACAGGTTCCGACAAGGGCGCAGATGGCTATGAGAGAGATAAAGAGCCCCTCATCGCAGTTAAGTGAGTCCTCTCGGGAGACTCCGGCTCAGCCCGAGGCAGATGGTTCTGCTGCTGTGGAGGTGGACGGGAAGATGGCAGACGGCGCGCCTACAGCTCCCAACCAGGATCCGTGGAAAAAGGGAGGTGGTCCGGAGGCGGGCTTATGAGGTCAATGGGCATGTATGATTAGCGTATGAAGAGAATTTCTATGTGGAGCATCGCCTTTAGGTGAGCTGGAGATCTCTATTTTCTTTTGAAAGTACTGACTCTACGATGCATCTCTTGGTGGTCAAAATGATGCACACTAGAGTAGCACTGTATGCTACCAAAGACTTTGATCTACGTCTCAAATGGCAACCCACATTGTTCCCTGACCAACCCAAAGATGCTCAACAAACTGGCGGCAGAGCCATAGCTCTCCCTGACCCGGTCACCCTGGTCCGCAACCGTGCTCAACAAGTCCAGCTGAGCGCCACTTTTGCCTGCAATGTCCTTCAAATGCGTACTCTCCTTATTCCACAGTGTAATTGGGACGCTTGGCTAGAAAAAAGCAAGTGGTGTTTGTTAACAAGGAGGTCTTGACCAGCTTTGTGGAGACGCCATGGATAGTCATACCTTGTCGGTTTTGTGATACTCCCCGGAGCGTAACCCCTGTAGCTGTCCCACCGCAGCCCCTTGCAAGACAACCCCGACAAATTCCTCGAGAGCCTCCGGGGGCAGACCAACGACCTCGGAGAATGCATCCGCCTCCGCCAGGGTAGCAATTGCCGAGAAGCGGATGAAGTTGCCGAGGAGCTTTAGCATAAAGGCATGGGCGCAGGGTTTGTCTGGGAGGGAGATTAGTTGTCCGCAAATTCTGTAGAGCTTCATTAGTACAAAAACCTTGAACGGGAGATGGAAGTGCCTCTACGTGCGGCTAGCTGGTTCGACTTACACTCCGATGGTGAATGGTCTAAACTTGGATATCGCAGCCGAAGGTCCGGCTAGGACGAGTGTGACCTGTCGGTTTTTCGCTAGTGGAACACCACCGAAGACTAGATAGAACGGTGTTACCATAATGCAACACCACCTCGAGTGCTAACGCGGTGGATATCTGAACTTACTCGGGCTCCCCACATACTCCGCGCCCAATTTGTGGAGTCTCTCGGCTTCAGCGGACGCCGTGTCCGGATGGATCGTGGAGAGGTCTACAAATAACTTTCCCGATACTGCTGCACTGGCCTTGCTTACTATCTCGCTAAACACCTCTTTGACTGCGGCATCGTCACTCAAGCAAACGCATATTATATCGCTGTTGTTGACTGCATCTGCGAGAGAGGACACAGCCTCGATATTCTCCACCTGGGCCGCAAGTTCCTCGCCCGCCGAACGTGTTCTGTTCCATGCGCTTACTCGAGTTGATTTCGGACCGTACCGTGCGAGGTTCTCGCAGAGAACCTGGTGTAGCACACGAGTTAGGGCTAGGGGCAGTCTTAACGCCGGGTGTTACACGGACTTACCTTGCCGATATTCCCAAGGCCGATCCAAGCAATTCGGGACATCTCAGAGGTCTATGAATAAAATACAGAAGGGATGTAGAGGTTGAGGAGTCTGGGGTTCCCGCACAATGCGAGTTATAACTGAGAGGTTTGTCTTACCGGGGCACACTAGCGGGCTGGATGATCGGACAACATCCTTCAAGCGAGAACAGACCCCAGCTGACTTTACCAGCAATAATTAGGGCTGACGGCAAACCTAAAAGTATTAGACAATTGCATAAAGTAGCTGCTTGCGATGGCCGTTCTGTGAAGCTCATTACCAAGCATCCAGCCAGGAGGTGTCATGCAGCCTTCGTCACCGACGGAATTAGTGCTGATTCCAACCCGATGAGCCGCATGGGGTTGTGCAAGTACGGAGTTAGGACAAGCAGATGGAGTGTGCTGACATGCGTATATCCCTCATTACGTCCTATCTCTGCTATGCACCATCTCCTGATCCCCGACGGTGTGTAACCTTGTTTTGACTGGGTGGGACCTTTTCCGTTGACTCTGTAAGGCCTGACACTCAGCCTCACATTCATCCATCCATGTCACGACGTGTGGCCTGCTAGAATCATACCCCGCATGCTTATAAAGACGGAATTCGGGGTGTCCGAGTTCAGCTCAGTGCTGTGTCACCGTGACCGGGCGCTGAGGCCTGGCTAACAAACTGCACAAACAGTAATCTGCAGGTATCTTTCCGGAGGATGACGCCAACCTCGCAGAAGTATAGTAGATCCACTGGTCAATCAAATTCCCAGGCTCTGCAAACGTACTCCGGGCTCAACGAGGTCGGTGCAACAACTCTTCGATCTTCCAGCTTATAAGCAGGGTAGCCCTGGAGCGGTGACCCTATCAGTCAATTGAGCACACCAAAACGTACTTTATCCATCAGCCATCTTCTACCTGAAAATGGCTTCCCCATCTGTTCTTACACCAAATGCATTTCCCACCTTCCCTCTGCCACCAACGGTCATCACAAGCCCACCTACATCTGTTGAAGCCGTTCAAAAAACTGAGCTCGATGCATCGAAGCTGACCTACACCTTTATTACCGTCCCATCGCCAATTCCAGACGAAGTCTCAGCCAGCCGCAGCGACGTAACCATCGCCACCGACCACATGATCACAGCAACCTGGGACGTTTCAACGGGCTGGGCCGCCCCCGAGCTAAAACCCTACGGGGCCTTCCAGCTGTCCCCGGCGGCCTCCTGTCTCCACTACGCAACCGAGTGCTTCGAGGGCCTGAAGGTCTACCGTGGCTTCGATGGCAAACTCCGCATCTTCCGACCAGAGCATAACTGCACGCGCATGCGCCTCTCTGCACGCCGCGTCTCGCTTCCCCCCTTTGACCCCATCGAGCTCCAGAAGCTGATCGCCGTCCTCATATCCATCGACTGCCCCCGCTGGCTGCCAAAGACCCGCGCCGGCAGCTTCCTGTACATCCGCCCAACCATGATAGGCACCCATGCGCAGCTGGGCATCCAAGCACCCAAGGCAGCTCTGCTCTACATAATGCTCGCCTTCATCCCGCGGCTGGATAGTCCCGTTGGCGGGATGCGCCTGCTCACTTCGCCGCAGGATACAATCCGCTCGTGGGTCGGCGGATTCGGATACGCAAAGGTCGGTGCGAATTACGGGCCGGCACTTGCCGCCGGGCAAGGGGCGCAGCGGGAGGGGTTCCACCAGACGCTGTGGCTGTATGGGGATGGCGAGTGTACGGAGGCCGGGGGGAGCAATTTCTTCATTGTTTGGCGGCGGGAGGATGGGAGGATGGAGGTGCTTACTGCGCCGTTGGATGATGGGATTATCCTTGATGGGGTTACGCGGCGGTCGGTGATTGATGGGCTGAGGGGGGGCGTTGCTGGGGATGTCGAGGTTACCGAGCGCAAGTATTCCATTCAGGAGGTGCTGGAGGCGAGCGCTCAGGGGAGGATTCTCGAGGCGTTTGTCACGGGGACTGCGGTACGTACAATCTTCCCTTTCTTGGTTTGTTGTTTGTGATTGGGTGCGTACAGCTGATTCACTATAGTACTTTATCTGTCCCGTGTCACTAATTCAACACAATGGGAAGAAGATTCACATCCCGATGGGCGATGAGGGGAAGCCGGGGGATATTACTGGGCGAGTCAAGGGGTGGATTTACGACATCATGTATGGGCGGCAGCAACATCCGTGGGGGGTGGTGATCCCCGACGGTCAATCCATGTGAGACTGTACGTGTGAGGTAGGCAGCACAGCCCCATCTCAACTCGCGGTTCTGTATCTGCTAGTTCCGTTGAGCCTTTAATGCAAATGAGTTATCATTCATCCTTATTATCCATCGTGTTAGTGCCACTCGTTATGGGCACCTTGCTAGTATCCAGCGAGTCCATGACGTACGAATCAGTGTGTAAATCATGCCAACTGATAGACATTTCTCTTTTACCTGTCCATGCGCCCCGGGACTGTGCCAAGATGCAACTGGCATAGGTATTCCTAAGCAGTAGGCAACGACATCGGAGTACGATTCAGCTCGAAGAATCGCTCGAGAAGACCATGGTCTAGACCCCTTCCTAAAATGCACTGACTCTAGAGTGAATGAGGCCATCAACGGTGTAACAAGCGTGATGACCAAGGTCAGCCAGCCTTTCTCTTTGCACACAACACGGTGCCGAGTACCTCAGCCGTCCGATCTACGGGAATGCGAAATGCGAATAGGGCGCAGGATCAGCTGAAGACTCTAGGTCCGCGTATGTGCGGATGCGGGAGCCGGCGCGACGGGCCGATTCAGCTCGGCCGCTCAGGGCCTGGCCCTGCGAACTGCGAAGAGGAGGATCGAGGATCTGCTACCCTGCAGCTGAGGGAGTGGACGCAGGTGCGGATGCAGGCGCGGGGCACACGGACGTATGCAACTAACCTAATGCGGTGGGGCAAACAAATATCTAATGGATCAAGGTTCTTCACCGAGATCTCCAAGTGGAAATAACATGGGAAGCTTTAATATCTATAAGCCCTACATACTTGGCTTTGTCACCCTGCAGAGTCAGTTGCAATCCTCGTGCCTTGGCGCGTATGGGTTGCCTCGATAACTACACAGGGCAACGACCGACTTTGTATCTGTTGCCTGCTTGTTCGAGAGCTGAGAGGCGTGCCAATCGCTCCAGTAGCGTGCAAGTGGAAGTTGCTTTGCGCTGGCTGACAATCATGGGCCCCTGGAATAGTCGTAGTGATTCGTACGTTAAGAAGACACTCTAGATGTGTACTCGACAAAACCATATACTCGCCTCTTCCGTCACAGATTGCGCTTCTAATACCACAACAACCCGAGCCACCTCCATGAAAGTCCTCATCATCGGCGCCGGCCTCGGTGGCCTAACCGCTGCACTTGATTTTGCGCAGCACGGCCATGAAGTCGTGGTCCTCGAGCGACGAAAAGAACTGTCGCCGCAGGGCGGCAGCATCATGATCAGATCGGGTGCGTGCAGTACGCTTCATACTCTGGGGCTGGAGGCAGATCTAGAAGCCATGTCAGATCGTGTACCAACTACACTGGTGCGAGACATGACGACTGGTGAGGTCATTAAACGGTATCCCGTTGAGGTGTCGGATACCCCGGCTTGGGGCACCACGAGACTGGACCTGATGCACCTGCTCTATAGAAAGGCTGTCGAAGCTGGGGTAGATGTGCGATTTGGCTACTTTGTCGCGGATGTTCTCGACGAGCCAGGAACGGAGCGCCCATTTGCCGAGCTGGACGAAGGCACACACATCGGTGCGGACCTTATCCTGGTTGCCGATGGCATTAAATCGCGCCTGCGTGACCGGGTCCTATCGCTCGTTCCTGGGTCCTACGAACCCATTGTGAGCGACACGACGTTCTACGGCTTAAACGTTGTGGTCTCCGACCTCAAGACACACGAGGGGACCGCACGGCTCACGGGGCAAACCGACGTCAACATCTGGAAGGGCGAGCCAGGTTACGTTGTGACTCGGCACAACTCGAAAACAAAACACGTCTCATTCCTCTACGGGGTGCAGTCTGCGACAGACCAAAAGGAGCTGTGGGATGAAGATGGCGATATCGAACATGTCCGACGGATCTTCAGCGGCTCCTGCAGCGAGTTGGCAGTTCCCCTGCAGTTCGCGCAAAACTGCGATCGATGGAGACTAGCAGAGATGCCACGCCTACCAACATGGAGAACCGACACCGGACGCGTGATTCTACTTGGAGATTCTGCGCATGCCATGCACCCAAATGCCGGCCAGGGGTACTCGCAGATTGTGGAAGATATCGCCGTGCTGAGCTTTCTCATCCACAACGACGATATAAGCTCGAAGCCACTGCGGGAAATAACAAAGATCTGGCAGGATATTCGGAAACCGCGTGTGGAACGCATATCCAACTTCTCGAATTGGAAAACACAATGGTTCTCGGGCGAACGTGCTGTTTTTACGCAAGCAGGAGACTGGGGCGAGGATGCTACGAGTTTGAGGGAGATATTTCCAGACATGCATGCTCCATTTGACAGCTCGGCTTTTTTGAAATGGGTCCTCGATTTTGATGCCGCCGTGGAGGTAATTAGTCCGAATGCCTCTCATCTTTTATTCCAACGCTGACCTGTTCAATAGGCAAGGAAGTATCTGGAGCGGCATGGTATCGTGTCGCAGAAGGAGGGTTGACCGTACTGATCCATCATGAACTGTGGGAGAAGCTACCAAATATATTTCATGTTATCGCTTGGTAGAAATCGTGTAGTCTTCAGAGTTCCCTAGGAGCCTGGGTTTATCAGGCAGTCAACAGGACTATGTGCCATGTGTTTCCCAGAGGAAGGCGTTCCAGTATCATACGAGTCTCGTATTCATTCCGCAGTTATGCACTTTGTTCTCTAAAGCTACATACAATGTACCGTCCCTCCGCAGTCCATAGTGACCATCCTGCAATTACCAAGGCTTCTGCGCCAAAAGCATGATCGGAGACCAGTGATAAACCGCCCCTGTCTTCGTAGCATCAATCAACCTGTACAAACAATTCTCGGCCTCTTCACGCGGCGGAAGAGACGCAGACTGCGCCCCATAAGCGCTTGCGATAAGCTCAGCATGAGCAGACAGATGCGTCTTTGTCACGAGTGGGAGCATCGAGGTGGGAAACGAACCCGTCTTAAACTCGACAACATCCAGGCCTTCCTTCTCTGCGTTCTTGTCTAACTCCGGAATCCATCTGGAGTCGAACCGACATTAGTTCAGTTTGTGTCCTGTTTGCATAGGAGGATGGGAGGGGTCGTCCTAACTTACGAGAAATCAAGATTGAAACTCTCGTAAATCGACAGCGCAACGGGTAGGAAAGCCTCTGCGTGCTCTCCCTTGTCGAAAGGCTTTCGTGGATCGGATTCGTCCCACTGGAGGTAGCCGCCGGGTTCTGCATAACAATGAGACCAGTTGGCAACTCGTATATTAGAAAGTATACGAGAAGAACAAAAACTTACTTAGTAGCCTCATTGCGCCTTGAATCAACTTGCTCGGATCGCTCCCTGTAACAACGCAGCACCACAGTCGCAAGTGAACGACATCATACTTGCCAACAAGCTCCTCCGGCACATCACCGAACGAGTCCATGACGCCGAATCTTATATTGCTGGGTAACAACGAATGATGCGGGAACAGGTTGTCGGAGATGTCGAACCCGTCGAACAGAATGCTTGAGGGCAATTGTGGTGCGAGTTCCAAAAGCCATATTCTAAGACGTTTAGCCAAACCACAATGGCTGTTCAATAACGGAGGACCACTCTTACCCCGTTCCAGTTCCGATTTCGGCGATCTTCATGTCCGGGTGGATGGGGATTGCGGGATGCAGCACGTAGCCATTGTGCATCCTGAATAAGTGGTGCTGGCAATCGAGTCTGCCGCAAGTTAGTAATGGGATTTCTGCTTCTACATCACCATGTGTTGTTTTGACCTTAGCGACCCGTGTAGATCCCGCGCCAGGACATAGTTATCTTTGTGTTCCATGGTGAGAGTTGTCTGATAGTAATGGGATGGTGATGGGTGGGAGAAAATATAGTTCGGCTGCGAGTTTACCACCAATCCAACATTTGGATCATATCTTATATCGGCCAGCTTATCGAGAAACAGCAGGATGACGGCAACCTGGATCGGCGCTCGGCATGTTTGCTGGTACAAAGGTCCCGGCCAGTCGTTCAGTCTGACCCTGCATGCACGCCGGACGACACTTGGAAGTCTGTAATCACTTGATAACACTGCACCTGAGGATCGTGAGAACGTAGATCACTTGGGAAACTGCAGGAAAGGATCCTTCCCCTTGCTCGCACACACTGCACGGTCCTGACCTTGATCTACCAACCCCACTTCAGCTGACGCCTCATAGTTCCGTGCTTAAGCGCGACTATACGTACAGGGCTACTTTCCAACAGACGCCGCCTACTCTCCCGAAACCGTACACCAGCTCGGCGCGGGCGAGGCTGAGGTTTGGACGCTCTGTGACCCCCTGCGGCTGCGGGTGCGGGTTCTAGCGGGAGGCCCCACGTTGGCCCCCACTGCTGACCCAGATCGCTAAATTAGGCAGTATGATTTGAACGTGGCGCCCGGCAGGCCCGCAGGCTGTGGGCTCCCAGTCACACACTTCCCCCACGGCCGTAATTATCGTCAAGAGTTCAGGCACCCTTGGTACAGAAAGCTAACGTTTCGTCATTCCATTGCTTGGCTCTTGCATTGATATCACATTGTTCATTATTTCACCCTCACGCCCACATGAGGCAGTTCTCGTTTCAGGGCTACTACTAACCCGCCAGGTACTGTTTTAGGGAAGGTGATGCTACACATTGTAAGATGGCAAAGAGGCATACATAAAGGTTTCTTGTAGCAGGGCAGAGTGTACAGTGCGTTATTACCTAGTAACAGCGAAAGAGTGGCCTCATTACGCTTTCTAACCGTGGGTTTATTGAACCTGTAACCTATTTTGAGAAATCCAGTCATGAGAGCAGTTCACATTCACTGGAGACATGAAACAGTATGGTACTCGAGGAGATATCACTAATTTTAACAAATGAGATTGATGAATTCTACTGCTCCTCCACACCTCCCTCCTAATAGTGCTACTGAATCCAATCGCTTCTGAGACTGTATCAAGTAGACTTTTTGTTCAACAGATCCCCAACCGTATCAACCAACGTTGTCTCCAAGTCATGATATTTTAGACCTAGAATCTCCGCCGCCTTGGAGCCATCCGCGAGATATGTCTCAACGCGGGTCCCCGGCTCACCCTTGGGGACCATGCCCTTCAACTCTGGAAACCTCCTCCGGATAATATCGCAGGCATCCTGAAACAGGAACTGCCCGCCAGCGACAATGAACCGCTGATTCGCTGCCTTCTCCTCCACATATGCCTTCAAATGCGCCTCTGCCACATCTTTAACATTGGCAAACGCGGCGAAATCGTTGGCAGGCACCGCCTCTCTCCGTGACCCATTAATCAGATTCCAAATCACCTCTGTGGACTCGTTCAGCTTCCCTAAGCCATCGTCAATTGTGGGCCCGAAAATCCACGGCGGGCAGATTGTAGCCACGCTAAACTTGGGCTTTGCGTCTGCGACCCAATCCCAAAGCCCGCGCTCGGCAAGCGACTTTGACGCGCAATATGCCATTGCAACATCTGTAGTGGCCTTTGCCATTTAATATGTACACGGATTCCAGTCTGCCTCTGTATAGCGATACCCCGGGCGGAGCCCCTGATCGAGATCAAGCATCGAGGCGAACGACGATGTGACAACAACCCGCTGGAAAGACCCTTCCATCAGATATAAATATATGCAGCCGCACTTTGGATACGTGATCAAGTGGCTCTCCGAACTCGGCAAAGCAGCAGAGCTGGAGGCTCTCCTGAAATATGCGGATAATCACTTCTCGCCTACCTGGGAGAAGGGGGGTTCTGTACTATCCGCGTCATGACCAGGTTACTAATGAACGTGGCGAGTGGAGGTTCGTTGACCCGTTTACTGGGAACGCAGCTATCGGCTACGCGAGGCTCAATGTAGAAGACGGGCAGAAGAAAATGTGGGAGAGGCCGTGGACTCGTGCGTCTCTAGCTGAGCGGCCTTGGGTTGATCGGCTGGACTATTCTCAGGGGGTAGACTGTTTGCGGGGCTGGTGGGCGGATGAGGAGCAGGCAATGGTGATCACGCTTCGATCGTGGGATCGCGCGGAACACACCCTTGATTTTCGTGTTGAGGGTCTTTTCAGGGGACGCTGGCGAGTGTATGAAGACGGCTCCTTTGTGAGCGAGCGTCGGCTCTCGGATAGGGGGTCCGTTGACGTTTCAGTCACTGTGCGTTCGGATCAGGAGGTCGATATTGTGGTACTCCGGCTGATGTGAGGGAGATTATACACCGTGTATAGTTAGCATGGCTGAACGGCAGCGTGTATGTTAGTCTAGTTATCAGGGCATGAGATGGCTGTTGGGAACCCTTGCGGAGTCAGAACCCACACCTAAGCGCCTTTTGGCTGCAGTGTTCCACTTGACGCCCTGCTTTGCGGGTGGGGTTTTTGACAGTCCGACGGTGGAGAGGCTGCAGTATGATGTCATCGACTTGGACCCGCGCCAAAATCTTACTTCCTCTTTTGGTATTAAGGCTGCAGGGCTGACTCACTCCTCAGCCATTTAGCCGCATCACCTCTGACGACCAACTAGCCACTTACGAATACGCCTACAAGCGTATTTGGGGACCTGCCACAAGGTTGCATAATTTGAAATCAATTCATCAACAGGAACCCTTGTAGTATCAAGACACGCGGTTATAAACCTACTTTCTCTGCACACTCGAGGAACAGCTAGACAGAGCCTGACTTGGCCGAAACAAATCATCCAGCATGGCTACCTTCTCCCCAGCAACCCACAGACACTCCTACAAGGCGATTGACCCCAACCGCCCGGCTTTAAGTCAGAAGGGCCGCACTGTCGTCGTGACAGGGGGCTCGACCGGAATCGGTTATGCCATTGCACGAGCGTTCGCTCAAGCCAGCGCGGACCGGGTAATTATCCTTGGACGCCGAGCAGAGACTGTTAACAATGCCGTTGATTCTCTACGCACCGTGCTCCCGTCTTCTTTCCAGGGTGAAGTCCAAGGTCGCGTCGTGAACATTGCCTCTATGGAAAGTATTGATGCTTTTTGGGATAAGCTCCATGAGGATAATATCAACGTCGACGTCGTCGTGCTTAATGCCGCAAGCTTCTCCAAGGTTGCTCCTGTCCTTGAACTAGGAGTCGAAACTCTTCTCCAGGATTATCAGGTCAATGTGCTAGCCGGGTATCGATTTGCTCAGAGATTGTCGAAGCAGAACCTAGGAGTCAAAAAGGTATGATATCAACTGCTGTTGGTTCCCGACTCACCGTGTGTCGGAAAAACCTCCGGACTTGCAGCTAACCTGGTCAACACAAAATTAGTACCTCCTCAATGTTTCTACGATCGCAATTCATAAACCGGACCTCGCGCCTGCCAATCTGAATTATGGCGCCAGCAAGAACGCGGCCGCCTTGCTTCTACAGCTAATGGCCAGAAATGTGCCGGACCATGAGATCCAGATCATAAGCTTTCATCCAGGAGCTGTTCTGACGGAGACCGCACGAGCCCATGGATATGATGAGAATACTCTACCTTGGGACGATGGTAAGTTTGTTCACATACCAACTCTTCCTGGCCACTACTCTAGATCGTAGTATATAGATATTATGCATTCATTCTTGCTAACCGTCTTACCTGTCATATAGTGGACGTCCCAGGTCACTTTGCGGTGTGGGCAGCGTCTGACGAAGCGAAATTTCTACATGGGCGGTTCGTGCACGCCACGTGGGATGTCACTGATCTTCAGGCCGGGGAGGCAAAGGCATTGATTAATGGAGATCCTGATTTCCTCAAGATTGGTGTCAAGGGGTTATAGTGTCTAGGTTCGGATCTTTATAGAATCCAAGAGCGCAACTTGGTCCCAGGGCCGGAGGCCTTTTTCCAGTTAGTCCATGCGAGATACACCTCGACTCAGGGAATTTCTATATGCCACCACATACGGAACGGTATTGCTTAAGCAAACCATTGTTCATAAATAATGCATAGCGATGCTGATTTCAGCTGTGTAGTACTGTGTACAACAGGACTAAGAGCGGGAGTTACAGATGCGTTTATCTACTGCTTGTACGGGAATAATTCCCCAAGGGCACTTACCTACTACTCGGCAGGTTGGCTATGGCAACTTGAGCAATCATGTCGCTGAGAAGAATGGTCCTGTCAGCCTCGGTTCTGGAGTTGACCCTTGACAACCCTGCCCTTATTAATGCGGCTGCAGAAGTCCTGCGAATGGGTTTTTTTGTCTCATTAAGTAATACATAAGCCAGATTATACAACGTTTCTATCCCTGTATTCCGAAGACTAGTGAAGGAGTGACGTTCTTTGGACAATTTTGGCTCATACTTCAGCACCCATGGCCGCCGCCTTGGGAATCCGTCCTGTTCAAGCAGACCACCATGATTTCTGGAGTACTCTGCGGTCTCAGTGGTCTTTTGGAGTGACTCTCAGCAAGGGAAGTTGCACTGCACGACGGTGTATGCGGGGTCCTACAGTAGAGTTTAGTCCCCTAGAAGGTTGTAAAAGAATACCAGGAAAGAACTCACAAAGCCAAGAGTGCGCTTGCTGCAGCCACTCTGGTAGTACCACTGGTCAGTGGCAAGGTAGTGGAAGTTGATATTGCGTACATTCGCATGGCCAATCTGTTTCGAGTTTTAGTTAGTTAGCTCGAGACACGAGGGACCATCCATCCCCCTGGGACATGGGTGGAAATGGAAGCTCAACTCACCGAGTCAGCCCAGTACAAGAGCTCCGTCCCATATGTCGTATGGAAGTCGCCATAAAAGCCTGGGCTTTGCGGTTCGACCTTGCCGCTGACGACGATGCTTTCACAGTCTCCATTGGTGATCGTGACGCCCGCACCAGAACCATCAACGTCGCCAGTGATGGGGTTTCCAAATGCTCCAGCTACCGTGATAACAGAGCAGATATGGGCGCCTGGGATCTGACAACCAAATACAGCGGCCGTGGCAGACTGGAGAATAGGAGCCATGGCGGCAAGGGAGAAGTAAACGGTGTTTTTGGCCAGCATTGCGAAGTTCAACCACTATGTCTTTCAGCTGAACCGCGGGATAACTGATGAGATGAAAATGAGTGAAGAAAAACGACGGACAGACGGGGAATTTATAGACCGGCTCGATGGACCTATCGCCTCTCCGACTCTCAAGCAGTATATAGCAGCTGAGACATTCATATCCTCGTTAATAGACGTAAATAGGTAGCCCCACAAGCCTGGCTCTTTTGGGTTCTTTGGGATAGTTGAATTCAATGGTGGATTCAGTGGCCGACTGAAGCTCTTCTGCCTCAAAGTCGTCATTATGATACCACCGTGAAGACATGTCCAAAATGCTTTCATGTTCAAGCGTATGTATGTTGTTTGATTGACTTTCGATATAGGGGTGAATTGCTTCTCTACTATCCAGACTTGCACGTCTCAGCAATTTGCCCAGGTGGTGCCCACGCTATACCTGTGCGGAGGTCGCCTCCCCTCAGGGCCTCAGCTGCAGGATCCTACCCCTAAATAGGTTTGATCAGCAAACTTCGGGCAGAAACGAAGTTCCCCTGTCCTCATTGAGTAATCCGGGGGCCGCCCCCTTGTTCAATGAATAGCTCCGCAACGGTTCGCCGATCTTTGCTAATTATTAGCATTCGTAGAGGATACCATGGATGGGGCCGGATCATTTTCAAACTAGTCCAAAGCCGGAAGTATGTAGTTGTGACATGCATTGTGAAGTAGCTTTTCCGCAGCCATTAGTGAGCAGTGGCAACAACTCAGCCTCCTCCAACAGCCCCCGGTCCGCATGTGGGGGTTTCCAGTACCAACATTGCCCTCCCGGCTATGTGTTCTGCGGATCAGGCTTGCCTCCCTGGACTACTTCCCCTTTCAGCTCTTGGCGCCATAGTATGAACAAGCACTTAACTACCCTAACATCCAGATCTTCTCCGACGGCTAGTGCCCACAGTCGACTGAGGCATTCATCGAAACTATCTTGGGCATAGGGGGCTATTCTAGCGCCTTCCTTGTCCCAAACTGGAGGGAGGGCTCGCGTGAGTTGTCCACGGGTCTGACTCGCGTTAACATCTGTACCCGCGCGGATTCCACCAACGCTTCCAAGCTGAACCTCAGGGATCATGCAGGAGAGCGCCCTCTAGAGAGCTCGATAAGATTCAGCTTTGTGGTTAGGACCTAGTGCGCAAGGCTTTTCCTTCCTCTATGAATTAGTTATGTGCCCGGTGTATAATCTCAGTCCTTAGGATCCGAATAGTACCACTTGCTACTTCCTAGAGTCGTGATCTATCGTGGTGCTGCGTGCGTTGTTAGACTAGGTGGAGGAGGCGGGTGCCATGGGCGTTCTGGAGGACGCGTGTCTTGAATACTGTCTATCTCGCACGGGGTTGACAAGTGTATTCCTCAACTTCTTGTCGTTCCCCTTAGCGCTGATTAGTGCTTTATAGTCATGCAGGATCTATTACCAGAATACTATGGTTTCCTGCTTATACCATCCCCTCTTCCATCCTCTATACATTCGTTTTCGCATATCCACTTATGACCTTTGTGACAATTGATACATATGAAACCACCTTGTTCGTTGTTTATTAGACCCAATAACATATCCAGATCACGCCTATATATCCAAGTAGACTTGAGCAGCTGATGCGCTGTCACCGTAGAGGCCCCTCCGCGTTCCTTTGGCCCCCCGAGATTTTCACCATAATTGACCAGCGGCGACGGTTTCTGGGACAGGGGATGTCCAGGCAGTACTTTTATCGCTAAGTCAACGGCGGTATCATCCACCTGGATAAGATTTTAGTTCTAAACTTTCCGGAACAGCTAGTGCTGAAGCCCGGAAATGTTAGGTGAGGCCATCAGTCGCATAATCATGTTTCGCCGTGCAATACAGCTAGGACTTCATTTCATTCAGCATCCACTCGGTCATTTAGTTAATATTCCGATATTCCCAATTTGATTTAGTCATTTACCGCTATATTTTATGTATTTAGTAGTATATCTCAGCTAGGAAGAAGGGGGTGCACCTCCACACAAGCAGGCACGCAGCAAAGTTCCCATACGAGTCAAATCGACATCATGTTATTAACTCTGTAAATTACTAATAATGGCTGACACAGAGCCAGTCAGCACCGCTAATGCACGCCCCGTTGTCAACCTTGGCTCTACCGCTACTCCAACTCACTGAAACACCGATGGGCCGACAAATACCCAAACATCCCACCTCTGGACGACCACCTCCCACCTCGCAACAGTCGTCCGTGTGAAGAAAGCTACAATGGCCACTGTCCACGAAACAGCAGCAAGCGCCGTGCAAGCGCGCAACCGGATCTCCCCGCACATCTACAAGACCCCGCTCATCCCCGCGCGATCGCAAGAAAATTCCACCAAACCCAGTACAGGAACGCGAATCCTTTTCAAGGCCGAGAACTTCCAACGAACAGGCTCCTTCAAGCTCCGTGGCGCCATGTCCAAACTGTCCGCCTTCTCCGGGAGCGGCAACAAACTCATCACCGCGTCGTCTGGTAACCATGGCATCGCCGCTGCCTGCGCGGCTCAGACGCTCGGAAGGGACCTTACTGTCGTTCTCCCGGAGAATGTTGTCCCCGCTAAGCTTCAGAAGATCAAATCGTATGGTGTGCCTGTCATTCTGCACGGGAGGGAGACTGGTCTTGCGGAGCAGCATGCTCAACGCCTCGCGGGCTCGGGGTTGTACAGCTACGTCTCGCCCTACAATGACCCCGACATCATCGCGGGGCAGGGGACGATAGCGCTTGAGTTGCTGGAACAGTGCGAGCCGGGTGTCACCGTTGACAACATCTTCATTGCGATGGGTGGCGGCGGACTAATCAGCGGGATCGGAAGCGTCATGAAAGCCTTTAATCCGCGTACGAAAATCTGGGGAGTCGCAGCGGAAAACTCCAAGGCACTTGCGGCGTCTATTGCCGCGGGGCGGGTCGCTGAAGTCGAGCATCGCGATACTCTGGCTGATGCTGTTGCGGGGGGGATGGACGCGGACTCGGTCACGCTGCCGCTCGCGATGGCTGTTGTTGATGAGACGGTCGAGTGTAATGAGGATGAGATTCGGGAGGCAATTCGGGTGCTTGCGTTCGAGGAGAATATGATCGTTGAGGGATCTGCTGCTCTCGCGTTCGCCGGGTTCAGGAAGGTGTTGGACCTTGTTCAGGGAGAGACTAGTGTGGTTGTCCTTTGTGGTGCCAATTATGACCGGGATAGCATCAAGGGTGTCCTTCTCGATATTTAAAGACCTCCGAGCCCGAGGATCGAGAGATAGATGCTTAAAACCCTGAAGATTACAGAAGAGTAACAGGACTGCCACCCCTCTGCAGTAGCATTGGGCTTGAAAGTTTACTTTTGATTGTGTCATTGAGTGGCTATCATGTCCAAGTACCATGCACCATGAGGTCTGCGCTCCGCCCACCATAAGGAATAACTCTTAATGTGCTAAAATAAACAATAGAATAGTTTGTTATAAACCAGTAATTCAGCCAAATGTAATATTTCATGTTCGATGAGCACTGAGAACTATACTAGACAACAGGAACAGCTATTTTCCAGCAATCCTCCAGTGCCTGTTCTAGGGGGCTGAAACTGAATTTCGGGAGAAGTGTACAAGGCAAAAGGCAAAAAATGAAAGAATATTGACCAGGTTAGCCAAGGCAGAGGAGAGTACGTTGCTGCAGCCCAAGGCCCTTGAACGGAGTCTGTCTGGCTAAGGAAAAGGATATGCTGAATCAGGAAGCTAACCTATAAGTCTCCGTACCAGAAACAACAGACTAAGCTCCCTCCTTCGCATGACGAGAACGAGATAGACCAAAATCAAAGTCCAGGCCTTTCCCATAGAACCCCGTCTGCAACCTTTCGAGTCTACAGCCTAGCAAGTCATAAGGACACTGGCCGCTCCATTCCCCAGGTAAAACGTCCCATCCGCCTTGTTCGCAGTCGCAATGCAAGTGTACGTCGGGTATGGAGAACCCCAAGTGCCGGCCTTCCACTTGATGGAGTCTGACAGATGATGCACGGTAGCATGGCCATGGCAATCAGCATTCTCCCAGAACTTGAACGTGCATTTTTCGTTCCACCATGCATCGGGCGATTGGTCTACGGCACCGGCGCGGGCACCGTAGGTGAACGCGTCAAAGTTCTTGCATTGGCCGCTCCAGACCCAGCCAGATTGGCCCTCGGGGCGCCAGCTGTCGCTGCAGGAGCCGGAGCCGTAGAGGTCGAGCCAGACGCCGGTTGAGCGTTTCTCGAGAATCGAGGCGTCGGCGTCGGTGGCGTTGACGTTGAGCGAGGAGGCTTCGACTGCGGCTTCGGCGGCGGGAACTTCGGGGGTTGGGCTGGCGAGGCCGAGGGTGGCGAGGACACCAAGAGAGAGGAGGATATTCTTTGCGAGCATTTTCGTAGGCTATTCTAGTGTTAGTTCAATGGCATGACTTGGTATGAAGGGAGAGGAACATACTAGATGCGGAGACGTCCTTGAAAGTCTTTGACAGTGAATCGAGATGTGGGCGTGGAGATGATGTGGGACGGTTGTAAGGGGAGATAGCTATATTTATATTTATGTAGCTAAATAACACCAGTACTAAAGAGGGGGTGGCATCGAATAATCAATTAAGGCGACCATTTCTCTTCATCAGGCCGAGGCATGCGAATTGATCCACAACCTCAGTACTATTTGGGGGTAATTCATCACTTTCAATCAGGAGATCCGGTCTCGACTCTATTGTTTGGCCCCATTTATCTCAGTTTTGGGGTATGGATTGTCGAGTATCAGTAATCCCTATATCAAAAGGCCCCTGGATTGCCACTTCCCGGCCTAGATTCGTGAGTAATCCCAATTTTGGCTCGGGAGAGGCAATTTATTAATCTATTAAGGGATCCTCAGAGACAGGGGGAATTCCATAGGTTATTTATCCTTGAATTATGCTGCTGGCGCCCCATTTAGATATCTTAAGTGACTTTTATAGACACAGACAAGAGGGAATAGACATGGATAGAAATGACCACTACCTAAGTGCAGAGCTACCGTAGTTGGGCGAAAGCAGAAGATTGACTCGTAGTCTAAGGTAATAGAGTAAAATGTTTAATGCCCGCAAGGTCTTTAGGATACGGGTAAATTGCTTGCTCACCGACGGCTTGGAGGCCATACCCTGAAATAAGACCCTGCCAAGCGGGGCCAGCCATTGCTTCGCCCCTGTAAGCCTTAAGGTAGTATCGCTTCCACGGCTATTGCAGCTTGCTGTTAAGCTAGGCCCCTGCCTCTGGAGTCCCTTTTAAGGAGAAATATCGGCTCTTCAGAGGCACCTCCGACGAGTATTCCAAGGACAAAGCACGTTGCTGGTTCTCCTAGAGAATTCCCTTATGGTCCTCTTGGACCTTCAATCGTGCGTGGAAGATAAGGAAGCTGACAAGCTACAAGGCATGCTTTGTCAGGTGGTTCAGTACTGCCCTCCTGAGTCTGTCCTGCCGGGCAGAATCAACATTTTACTTTGTCGGCAGCCGAAAAATGGCTCCTATGTCTCAGCTGCTGGCCTGAATCTTGCCACTCTCTCGGATTAGATTGGCTGTCGTAGATATGGATGTCCAACAATCAAAACTGTGCGTGGCGAAGTCTGACTTTCCCGTTGCCAGCGCAGGAGAAACTTATCAATCTAATCCCATGCCATTAAGGTAGCAGGCCCCTCACGCTTCAACCGACGGATAAGTTGAGCTGAACATGTATTAATAATTTTGTTGAGACCACCCTGACTTGACGCACCAGGGCACCATTCGAAGACACCAATTTGAAAGATACCAGCAACCTCTTGAGTATCTTAGACTAAGAACAAATATAACAAAATGCAACAGTAGGGATTCGCATGTGGCCATCCACCATACTGCTAACCGGCGGGTGGCTTATGCATGGCCAAAAGGTGGGTGGGTGCAGCCCTGGGTGAGCTTAGGGTGAGGCCGCTTTATAGTGGCACGACTTTGGTGAATATGGGGCGAGTTAGGTAAATATGTAATGGACAGGCTTACCCTGTGCTTCACTGCCTCGCGTGACATGCCTAACCAATTAATTGGCTAAACTCTAATATCTACTATTACCTAGTATTCCCTTTAAGAAACTACTCCTGATCTACTGTTCTAGATGCTATAGATGGGAGGTCTCGCCCTACATGGAGTGGAATGCCATGCCTGGTTTATAGAGAATCTAAAGACTATAGTGTAGTAGCTTAAATTATAGTATTAGGTTACTACGAGGATAGTTCTTAGTAGGTTCTTTTATGCAGAATGACCTGGATGGGCTGGCAAGAAGGCTATAGAGAAGGAGCTTAAGGGGGAAGCTATGCTAGAGGCCTATGAATGGCTTTATGATACCCTGGTTATATTTATCTGCTAGAAACTGCTCGGGCGTTCTCCAGTGGAGGAAGTAATAAGATTCTATACTCTTTTATTGGCTAATTGTTGGTCCTAGTGAAACTACCAATGAACCCAACCGCTCGACAAAACCCCCTGTAGGTTGTACAGCTAAATTGAAGAGGCTATCCTTGAATCTCACAGACCTCTATAACCATGACAATAGCAATAGTTTAAACAAAGTCATTAAACAAAGTCGCTAAATAAAGGTTAATATTTATCTAATAACCTCTCTCTAATAACCCCTTTTTAGTGGACTTAACCAAGCAGCTGCTCCTTCCTATTTAGGAGGCAGTCAGGTAGTAAGGGTCTAATAATAATTCTACTAGCAGATTTCACTATATACAGCACCCATACAACTTTTGTCGCGTTTGGACGCCGTAGAGCGGTTAGGTACGCGGTGTACAACAAGCTTACGGTTAAAAACCCTTTTTATCCTTTTGTCCAGATCCTCCTCCGTAAAGAGTTAGATATTAGATATGGATATTTTAGATCTTCTTATAGGTAGTAAAGGACGGGCTGGCCCTCTTCTATATTTATCGACTCCTTAGCATGAGGCAGACACTGATCACGTCCTCTATGTAACGATGCGCTTTGGGCGAGCAACTTTGTCTGGGTTGTACAGAAAAAAGAAATCGAGAGCAACAGGCTTCTCAATGCGACCTTGATAAGTAAGCCAAGAAATAGCCCTCTAGCTTTGGCTTCGCCTTCTACAATAAATGCAATCAATCTACGGTGGAAAGCTACAACCAATCAAAGCGTTCACGTCCTTGCATTTGTAATTTAATTATAACCTGCACCCCACTCCTGAATATTAACTGAAGTAGTTTGCCATCAAGGGTTCCTTTTCCTTGGACCCACCCCTCGAGCCCTGTCATGGGCACTCGCATGAGTTATGTCTCGGATTTTCTGCTTGATGTGAGTGGCACTGTAGGCGCGGCGTCATTTGCCCCTAGGTATCTGATATGTCAACAGTGCACTTACAACCGTCCATAACAACGGTTCCAGGTAATGGCACCAAAGATGTACGACGAGCATTTGCCACAGGCATTCGATTCTACACCCGCAGGAGGCGACCGGCATAAAGTTGGTGATAGCATGAATATCCGCGAATGACTGTTAGGGAGTCGCGCGAATGGCTCCGTATTATCCAAATACCCCTCACAAAGGGATCCAAACACAATCGCTCCTGTGGCAAGTAACGGTGGCTAAGGTCAGCCTGTCGTGTTGACCAAGACAGTGGCGGTTACCGAGGTCGCACTAGTTGACCTGCTACGAGTGCCTCCGACTGTCTCGGGGAGTGTGATCAAGCGGTACGTGATACGCCAGCTATTCCAAACTGACCTTGTCATGTCGCAATGCGGGAGCATTACCGTCGGGGAGAGACCGGACAAGCTTGCAATACCTTCGGCCTACCGCGCAGCCTAGATACCTCCATTTATCCCCGCACTTCTTCCCCGCAGTCTAACCCCAAGACATGAAGAAGATTCACCCTCATCGTGGTTGGCAGGTTCACCACCGCCTTGCCCAAAATCGAGGTAGGTGATAGGCCGAGGGTACCTTAGGTGCGGAGCGGGGCCTGGTGCATCTCCAAGGCAGATCTCGTCGGAATGAACCGATCCATCCCCGGACAAACTCGTTCTGGCAGATGTGAGACCCCCTGTATGGTATGGATCCTAGCCTCCCCAAGCTGATTGGCGATGCGGGGAAAATGATGGGTGGGTATCCGCGTATATAACGATACCGACCCTGGATGGATCCTTGCATCCATATTACCAAGTTTCTCCGCCGTTACTGCAGTGCACTACCTGATTCCGATTTTATTACAACTTCTGGACGACAATTAGCAAGGGCCTTGACACCATTTCTGTTCCGCCGTCCTGTACAATGGAAGAAAAACACACCTTTGCCAGCACGATCCACCAGGACAATGTTGACGAGGAGACTTCAGTTAACCAAGGACTCGCCGCGAGCGCACAGCGCAAGTTGGACTTGCGGCTGATGCCGATTCTGACCCTGGTGTATCTGTTCGCCTTCATTGATAGATCCAATGCCGGGAATGCAAGGGTCCTTGGTGCGTTTGTCTTGTTTTGGGAGGTCGACGATCGACTCCTACGCCACAGGTTCCGCCTAACCATTCACGTTAGGAATGAGCGAGGATCTGCATCTTGATGCGTATCGGTTCAACATTGCCCTCAGCTGTTTCTATGTTCCATACATCCTGTTTGAAATGTGAGTCCATCCTTGCCGCTGTTGCGACCACCATTCGGAATCGCTGACCCAGGGCCTCGCCCTGGTGACCGTACAGACCCGCAAACATCGTCTGCAAGATTGTTGGGCCTAAAATATGGAGTGCGTAACTTCATTATACGTGTGGCTGTACGGCGACTAATTGTACCCCGGTAGTTCCATTCCTGACATTTAGCTTTGGGGTCATTGTCATGGGCATGGCATCCGTGCAGTCATACCATGGTTTTCTAGCCGCTAGAACCTGTCTAGGTCTTGCTGAAGCAGGTATGTTACATGAAGGTTGAGGTTATGTCTTTGACATGGCGAGGATTGACTAACCACACCGTGTGGTTAGGCATTATGCCAGGAATTACCTATTGTCTGTCCTGCTTGTAAGGCTACACCCCCGTATCCAAGCAAGGAAAAGACTCCTCTGACATCACGGTAATTACCTTAGTTATCGAAGACGTGAACTTGTCAGCCGGGTTGGCATTTACTCCAGCGTAGCATCACTCAGGTGCACCCCCTCCCCCCACCACCACCAGCGGACAATCGTATCTCTCTTGGACCATAGCTGACACCAGCCAGTGGAGCATTTGGAGGCTTGCTCGCGACAGCATTTGCAAAGGTTCCCGCATGGGGTATCATACACACTTGGCGCAACATATTCTTCTTCGAGGGGATCATCTCCATGCTAATCGCAGTGTTGGCCTACTTCCTTATCCCCGCGTCCGTCGAGAAAGCGCCCTTCCTAACCCCCGCCGAAAAAGAGGTGACGACACGGCGGCTTGTGCAAGACCTAGGCGCTGGCCACGTTGAGGACTCGGTTCTCCGATACCTCCGTCGTGCCGTCCTCAACCTCAACACGATCCTCCTCGCCCTCGCCTCACTCTGCAGTCTGCTAACCATGAACTCGATGGCGCTATTCATGCCCTCAATCCTCAACGCCATGGGTTACAGCGGCATCCATAGCCAACTCCTTTCTGTGCCGCCCTACTTCTGGGCCGCGGTCGTCTGCGTCACCGTAACGACCCTTTCTGGACGCACACACAAACGCGGGGTGTGGATCGCCGGCCTGATGCCCATTACGGCAACGGGCTTCATCTTCCTACTGGCCTCAACCCGCACCGCAGTCCGGTACTTTGCAATCTTCCTCTGCCTCACTGGCGCATTCACCGTCTCACCCATGTTCGTCGCCTGGTGCATGGACAACACCGCGGGCCACATGACGCGGGCGATTGCTGCCGGGGCCGTCGTCGGATTCGGGAATATCGGCGGGCTGCTTGCCGCGTGGGCGTATGTGCTGCCCGATGCGCCCCGGTATGTCAAGGGCCATGCGCTCAATCTGGGGTTCTCTGCGTTCTGTGTCGTGGTTGTTTGCGGCGCCATGTGGAACCTGCATCGCGAGAATAGGCTCAAGGCTGCCGGGAGGCGGGACGCTAGAGTCGCTGGGAAGTCGCCGGAAGCGATTCTCGATCTGGGGCATACCCATCCCGAGTTTTACTTTACCCTGTAGGGCATTAATGTGGTGATGTGGCAGTTACCGTAGTGTCCGGGCAGCTTGGGACGCGTTTGCTTCCGGCTTGCCGCTCATGTATCTTGCAATGAATTCCGGGATTAAATCCACCACTGAGCAATGTGTCGTCTGCGGAAAATCAAGGAACTCCCTGCTAAGACAGCGCGAAAACTCGCGCAAGTTGAAACATTCCACGTTTGTGAGTCACAGACAGTGACACTAAAATTTTCAAGGTAAGAGCCTTCTCTGAAAATTTGTTTAGACGTTAAAGAACAATGATCAGGGGATTTATATAACTTTCAGGCTCATACGTGAAGGGAGTATCGACTCTTGAGAGAAGTAACTTTAGCAAGCCAAATATGTATATCTGGAGAGGAGGAATACACCCTGACATGGCGCTACAAAGTAGTAGACAGTAGATAAAACAGCAATTCGATTCAGTCGTTGCCCTTCCTCCGGCGAAAAGCCTCATCAATCTCCTTCTCGGTATCATACCCATACGCCCACATTTGAGTCGCCGGGTCACTCCACTGGTTCGGGCTGTGTGAGAATGGGATCCCCTGCGTCTCTGGCCTCATAGCCTCGTCGCGCGCCTGCTGCAGCGGCCCATCGGGAAAGTGCCACAGCTGTCCATTAAGCAAACTTGCGCCCTGCATCATTCTTGTTCGTCCTGCGCGGACTTCCTCGAAGACTTCCAGGGCCTGTGCGATATCAGTCTTGGATGAGATATTGCCTAGGGCGCGCGCTAATGCAACGCCGTCCTCGACTGCCATTGCGGCACCTATTTAGACCGTTAGCGCACACTGGGACTTGGAAGCAATAATTGTACAGGAGGATCCTCGCCCACCTTGTGACATGTACGGCAGCATCGCATGCGCAGCGTCTCCCAGGACAACGACATTTCCCGAGAACCACTTGGAGAGCGGGGTACTGCTGACCAAGGGCCACTTGGTCGTCTTTTTGATCATGCCGATGGTTTTTGTTAATCTGAATGGGCAGGCATGGTTAGCTTGCAGCCAGCTTCCTCGTTTCTCCATACACCACCTACCGAGGATCCCAACCGGTAAACTCGCGTCGCATATCCTCCAAAGCAGTCCTTTGGTCCCACGTTGCCGGGTCCCGGGGGTCCCAATGGGAAAGAACCATGTTAAAAGACTTTCCCGTCCCTATCGTGTATGTCATCACATGTCGCTTGTCCCCGATCCTAACAGAAAAAGGAAAGGAAAAATCAGTATTATAGTATGCCCTCAAACCGGGGTGGATTCACAACCATATATTGAGGGCCGGCTTCTCCAGCAGCCACGCCGTGTCGGGGTCTTCCTTCAAAAGGCCAACGTCGACAGTTGCACGGTAAGCAGCAAACCCCAGTGTTTCCACTGGCTTCTCTGAACCCTTGTCAACTAGCGATCGAGCCAGCGACTTGATTCCTGTCCGTTGTGGTTGAATCTCAGCTGGCTGCTAGAACAGTTGGGGATGGATGCTTGCAAACTCACCATCCGCTGCCACGACAAGGTCTGCTTCAAAGCACTCGCCCGATTCAAGCTGGATTCCGGGCCCGCTCAGATCATAGTCGACAGCCTTGCACCCGAGCTTAATCTCGATCCCCAGATCGCGGGCGCGCTGGACTAGAGCCGAATGAAAATCCGCTCGGTGAATGACATAGTACGGGGCATCGAACGTCTGGCGGAAGCCAGGGATTAGCTGCGTGTATCCAATGGGCTGTCCATTCTCCCACCGACGAAAGGTCATGCCTTCCGGCTCGGTTGCGCATTTTGCGAGATATGGGCCAACGCCCAGCTTGATCAGTAGACGCGCGGAATTTGGAGGGATTTGGATCCCTGCGCCGACCTAGAAGCAATCAGCGTCATGTTATCCATTTCGGGAGAAGCAAATCCAATAGTCCGGGGTACTGTACTTCTCCAAGCTCTGGCGCTTGTTCGTAGATGGTCACTTGGTGTCCTTGTGTGGCGAGGGCGATGGCAGTTGATAATCCCCCAAGCCCCGCTCCAACGATGATGATCTTCAAGGTGATTTGGCCGGGAGAATTGGCCTCTGCAGCACTGAATCGTTTCAGAAACTGGAGACAATTGCTCGGGTATGTTGTTCTCTACTATTCGTCAGTGTGTGCAATTTTGCCTGTAGGGTCGAGGAAGGTACGGACCTGCAGAGCAGACAGTGGCAGGTTGGTGCCAGCCATGTTTGGTTGCTATTTAAGGATTCCTGCGTTAATTCCAAGTACCAATACCAGCAAGAGCCGAGATACCCAACTTAATATAGCGAGGGCAATGGCCAACGAATCGAGTCGACCAAGTCGGATTCGGAACCGTTTCCGGGGGTGCCGATGTCTCCCCGAAGCGCTCTGATTGGAGGAGGGCTCAGTCTACATAAAAGACCAGAACCTGCTCCCGACTCGGACTGGGTAAACTACTTGATTTGAGTGAGGTACATTACGGTCAAGTACAATCAGAATGGCAGCTACGCAGGAGCAACTACAGAACGGTGGCTCGACAGAGCTCTTGCTCAAGAGCCTGGAAGGCAGCAACACACTGCCCCTCTGGACGCAAATGACTCGCCTAAACCCCCCGGAGCCGAATCCAACGGCGGTGCCCTTCATCTGGAAGTATCGGTCCATCCGCCCGAGCCTACTGCGTGCAGGCGAGCTCATCACGGAAAAGCAAGCTGAACGACGGGTCCTTATGCTCATTAATCCAACTAGAGGTACGTTAGCAGAATGAGAGCCGTCGACGAGATTATGTATTCTTACTTGACAAGAGGCACCATACACAACAGACACGCTATATGCAGGCCTTCAACTCGTGATGCCTAATGAGACTGCCCCCGCCCACAGGCACACGGCTTTCGCAATGCGCTTCATCATCGAAGGCAACGGCGGGTTTACTGCGGTGCACGGTCGGCGCATTCAGATGCAGCAGGGCGATGTGATTCTCACGCCAACGTGGAACTACCACGACCATGGGAAGGACGGCTCTGGCCCCATGATTTGGCTGGACGGGTTGGATCTTCCAAACTTTCGGCACTTCCCAGTTCACTTTGTGCAGCATTTCAATGAGTCTCGGTACCCAGCGGAGGACGTGGACAGCGACGGATCGCCCTTGGTTTTCCCCTGGAAGACCATGAAAGCATTGTTGGATGAGGCTCCGGGAGATTGGGCAGTGAAGAGATACCTGCGGTCTGGGCAGCGAGAGGGTATGTCTTTCCAAAACCGGATTGCCGCGTTTTTCGCAGTCTTGAAACTGACGTGTATGGCTTGTTTTATTCGCAGTGAGTCGCGTACTTGGAGGTTGTGCGGAGAGGCTACATGGCGGGTGTGCATCTGCTCCGCGCCGTGAAACAACATCTGCAGTGTACCACGTCATTTCAGGAAGTGGTCATTCCGTAGTTGGAGAAGAGACTCTTGAGTGGACAAAGGGTGACACGTTCTGCGTGCCTTCTTGGTACAGATACCAGCATTACGCGGCCGCAGGGGAGACGGTGTACCTGTATCGATTTGATGACAGACCCATGATTGAGGCGTTGGGATTCTACCGCTCCGAGGAGACGGACGTCGAGTCGCTCGTCTCAGAGTAAGCGGAATTTTAGTTATGCAGGCAATGAATACACCTATTAGTAAGCTATGCTGTACAAGTCTTTCCGGTCCTTCCCCGGCCAGTTGCCACCCACTCCCCGACCTAAATTCCCCAAAATCCCGCTTCCCGACAACACCCCGCCTCTGCCAACGGAGTCTTCCTCAAGAGGTTATTGCCACACCATACAATATTCCTCAAGCCGGCCGTATGGAGTCGCGGCCCCGAGAGGAATCTCCCCGCCCACCTCCAGCAGTCAAGCGCCGCCGGGTTGCTCTCGCCTGTGATTCTTGCAGGCTCCGAAAATCACGCGTACATATTCACCCGTAGCCTCCCCAGACGGGATTTTCTCAATTAATATTTGCAGTGCGATAGTACTCGGCCTCAGTGCTCCTCGTGTATCGAACTGGGCTTCGAATGTGTCTACAGGCCCCCAGCGACCGCCACAAATATCATTGTTCAAAAGGAGTACGTGGTGAGCCCCAGACCCCAATTCTCTTCGTGCAGACTCCTGACCCGGTATAGTTACCTACAATCCCTTGAGTCACGCGTTCATCAACTGGAGGACTCGTTATCAACCGTCAAGGATGATCTGAACCGGTTATCGTCTCGTGTTTCTCAAGGGGGTGGTTCGGACACAATCTCTTCAGAGCTTGACCAGCATGCGCGGCAAATCACTCCGCTCCGTGACCTTGCTGGCACAGAGGACTCGGTGGATGCGATGGGTACCATTACTCTGGCAGACGAAGAAGATTCTGGGTTCTTTGGTATAGCCCGTGCGACATCCGTTTCAGTTCCGCTCGCTAACTCCACAAGGGCCTTCATCAAATGTCGCGTTTACGCGTCACTTGTGCAGAGCCATTGGGAGCTGTGCAACGCTTAACGGAGCTCCTACAGGGCTACTTGCAGATACACCGGCGTATGACGGCGGCTTTGTCAGTGCCTCCCGACCCCCTTCACCTCCTGGACCGATCGATAGCCTCCGGTTTGACCAGCGCGGAAAGGATATCTTCAAACTACCACCGCCATCGGAGACCCTCAGCCTCATCAAGCAGTATTTCACCAACACCGGCCTTCTTTTCCCGTACATACACCCCCCCACCTTTCTCCAGACCTACGAGGAGATGGTACGGGACAACTTCAAAAGAGTGCGCCGGACGTGGCTTGGCCTATTGAACATTATTTTGGCCATGGTTACAATCACAGCCAGTCCCTATGATGCTCCGGCCAATACGAGGGTCACTGACTCTGACGTATTCTACCAACGAAGTCTGGGGCTCTGTCGGGATGAGATTCTGCGTGGAACTACGCTAGAAGTCGGTGGGTCCCCGCCTAGATCTACTATCAGGCCCCTTGCATAAGACTATCTGACCCAATCTAGTACAATACCTACTCCTTATGGGACAATATCTGCAAGGGACACAGAAGTCGGTCCAGGCGTGGACAGTGCATGGTCTAGCCGTCAAGGCTGCTCTACAGCTGGGACTACACTCTAAAGATGCTTCCCGGGCATTTTCCCGTCTAGACAAAGAGACAAGGCTGCGCACGTGGTTTGGCTGTGTGCTGTTGGACAGGTCAGTTGGCAAGCCACAAAGCTAATCACACTGGCTGACAGTTGATTATTTCCAGAACCTTGAGTATGACATTTGGCCGCCCGGCCGCCATTCCAAACAGCTATGTTAAACTCGACCTGCCAGCCGGGGTTATCTTGGTAGACGCGTCTACGGTAGTCGACGATCAGACTTCTTCTCTCAGCCTATCGTTATATAATGCAACCATGTGCGTCATCATTGCTACACCCCCACACCAGGTCTAACATAAACACAGAACGCTGTACAGTCAAATTGCAAAAGCCATTGATCTCCTATACGGCCAAAACGTAGGATGTGACCCTCCAGCGAGCGTCAGCGAGATAATCGCACATGTCTTTTCTCTCGAGCAGGATCTCTTCTCCTGGGAAAGGTCGCTACCTGATCCTCTGAGGTTAATCAACCTCGATCAGATGCAAGATCTCCGTAATACCATAACATCAGATTTCGACTTTGTCGCCCTCAGATTCCGCATTATCCTCACACTTCGGTATTCGAATTTCCGCGTGCTTTTGCATCGCCCAGTTCTCGTGAGGTTTATAGATTCGTGTGGCCGATTGCAATCGGATCCACAACAGCTACAGCTACTACAACAGCTCGGCCTAAACAGCATCCAGATTTCGATGGACTCCACCATGCAGATTATTGACCTTATACATGACATTGTTCATCGCACCCACTACCAGCATAAGCTTCTTGGCGCATGGTGGTTTTCGCTCTACTATAGTATGTCTACCCAGTTTCACTTCCTCCACCCTTTTTATCCTCCATGCTGACTGTTGCACGAACTAGCGTTCAATGCCGCCCTCGTCATACTCGGTATACTCATAGTCTGCCGTGAGGGAGGCATGGCTGCTCAGTTTGTCGGCGCGGTGGCAGATAAGATCAGGATGTATCCCTTCCGTGCAGCTTTGGCTTTGTCCAAGCTCGATAGCGGTAATCGCATGGTGATTCGGTGCCGCGTTTACCTCGAGAGGCTTATCAGCACCTCGGGTCTTTACAGTAAGCAAGCCAGCCCACTTATCTATCATCCCCCGCCCCCACGGGTCTTCCAAGCGCGAACTATCGGCCTAACAAAACCCATAGGTATCGAAGAGCTTAGTTCAGGCATTTCCAGTGGCTCATCTCTAGAATTTCCATTCCCGCCTCCGGCTGACCTTGACATCTCTCCATTAGGGGTGGAATTCGGAGAGTTTATGCTTGATGGGAACTTGTTTGCCTCGATTAACCCGCCCGCCGCATAGACTTGCGTCTGAATCTTCGTCCGCACAACTGTATACCGTGCTATTATCTAACCCAGTGGCCGAGCGTCGCGGGTTCGAAGTCAGGAGAGGCACAAGAATATATATTGTGGCTGCACCCCGATTGAATGGAAAGTGGGGGGAGATAAGCGAGATGTAGAAGCTCTCACAATATTCCAGCCGAGCGCAGTTCTGCACTTTGTATAATAGTCACGGCGTTTAGGTATAACTTCTGCCGGCAGACGGAGACAATGAAGATCACCCAGCCAATCGTAGCCTGGAGCCTAGGATAGCCCGCGAGCCAGTTCAAGATGGTCGACGGCATGGGGCCTGGTCTGTTTTGGGTCGGCCTGCGTTGAGCAGCTCAGGCTCAAGCGCCGCTGGTCTTCTAGGTACCGCTGGTCTTCTAGGCAGGAGGAGGTTTGCAACCGGTGTTCTTATACGGTCGAGGTTCGCCGCATCTAGAGGTCATCAGCCGTATTACCTGAATTTCAAGCCACTGCCGGGGAACGCAACTGGAATGTGTGCCTGCAAGATCTTGTTAAGAAATCTATTCCAGGGTCCTCATTGGTTCTAGGTTCCCTTTTGGTGTTGAACATTACACGGCAACATTTTGGCCCCACTGAGGACACCGGAGGCGACCCGCCGGCTGGCCCGTTCTCTCCCCGGCGCATTGCATAAGGATCACCGAAGCCTTCAAGAACCCCTCCGCCTCGATCCGAGAAATCGTAAACGTTACCGACAGTACAACCTGGAAGGCAGTCATCATGAATCTTCCCTGGAAACGCCTCATCCGCTTTCAGACCACCGACGGCCGGATTCTCCGCGGTGAGCCACTTGTCGCAGCCGACGTTGACATTGGCTTCATCACTGCGGCAGATCAAGTCCAGGCGCGTGTTCTCGCTGGAGATGATATCTACGATACGACAGGCAGGACGAGGCTTACAGACGAGGTTGTCGATGTCAAGAGGGTCCTGGCTCCTCTTGCCAAGGAGGAGGTTCCGATTCTGCGTTGTGTTGGGTTGAATTATGCCAAGCATAGTATGTTGCACTCTCGATACCCCACTTTGCTTTCTCCATTAGGCAGGCATCGATTTGCGTCGGAGGGTGGGAAGGACGTGCTGCTCTGAGACATGATTTTTTAACTGGACCAGTTCGCGAAGCTGGGCGCAAGCCGCCTCCATTCCCCTTTATCTTCTTCAAGCCGAATACAACTGTTCACGACCATGGCGCCCCCGTGGTAATCCCTAGGATCGCGCAGGACGACCAGGCGGACTATGAAGGTGAACTCGTACGTGGTCCCTTTTTACCCTCATCATGCCTGCACTCGCTCACCAGGCTGCCCATCCCTCAGTGCATGGTAATTGGTAAAGACGCCAAAGACGTCCCCGTCTCCGAAGCCCTTTCCTACGTCGCCGCATACACCGCCGGAAATGACATCTCGTCCCGCAAGCTGCAGCGAGACCCCGCGTTCGCCGGCGTCGTTCCACAGTGGGGGTTCTCCAAGGGGTTTGACACGTACGCCCCGCTGGGCCCGTGCCTCGTCGCTGCGTCGGAAATCCCTGATCCGAGGCAGCTGCACCTCCGCACAACGGTGGACGGCGAGGTGAGGCAAGACGAGAGCGTTTCGGATTTGCTTTTCGACTGTGCGTATCTGGTCTCATACCTGTCGCAGGGGACAACGCTGCAGAAGGGGAGCGTCATCATGTCTGGGACGCCTGGGGGTGAGTCTTTGGTTCCCTCCCCCTTTGGGCTGTATGCATCGGAGATTCGAGCCGTGCTAACATGTTTCAGGCGTTGGTGCTGGTTTGAAGCCACCAAAGTACCTCGTACCGGGGACGCAGATGGATGTTTGGATATCCAGGATAGGGACGCTGAGGAACGGCGTGGTCTTTGCTTGAATTGCCCTGGGCCTGGTGGAAAGAGGAGATTGAAGTCTATAGATTCTTTTCGCCTTAGAAATGGACTTGTAGCAGAACAGAAAAGTAATATAGTAGCGAAGTGTTCCGAAGGCTTGATGGTCGTCGACAAAAGCCTTGACATTCACACCGCCATTGCTCAGTAGAGTCGATGCGCCCACAGGTTGTTCAGTCTTCTCAATAAGCTAGACCATCTTTACTGTGGGCTGGCATCCAACCTGGAAGAACAAAGGAATCCACGCGACAGGAGTCTATAATTATAATGTTTCTTGCATATAAAAGCAATCCGTAGAAGAAAGCTATTCCCGTTCAGGATTTCGAAAAGGTGACAGAGACGTATTTAAATGGCGCGTGTGTAAAGACTGTTAATTACAGCAATAAAAATATAACAACACGTCATCTATATAGGGTGTGCTTTCCTACGATAAACAGCAACCGATCCAAACTGCACCTCAAGCGGTGCCCCTTTGCAAACATGAAGATTGCACATATCCAACCTTATCTGCGGCTCAGACTAATATGGCACTCCTTGGTCTTCACAAAAAAACCCTCGCGGAGTTGTGTGTCACCGACTGGGACTCGTTCAATATGGAAGAGCTTGAATAACGCCGCCAGGGTTTTGAACATCTCCATCCACGCAAAGCTAACCACCCGTTAGTATGATTGCGTATTGCAAAGAAGATGTTGAGCGAATGGGGAACGTACTTTCGGCCAATGCAGGCACGAGGACCGACGGAGAATGGCACAAAGGAGTCCAGTAGTTTCCCAGAGTCCTCCGCAAGCCACCTCTCGTAGTTGAAGGTATCGGCATCCTGAAGCGAGAACATGGGTAAGCAAGTCTCCCTTTCCACGAGGGCGGGCATTGAAGAGTCTCGAACCTGGAATGCACGGGAACTATGGTGAACGCTGAATGTTGGCACGCTGACTTGCGTCTTTGACCTGTTAGCATTGATTCACTATTGTACGGGACTGGACACAAAGCATACACCCTCTGGTAGAAACCTCCCTGCGACCATCTTGCCACCCTTTGGCGTGACCCTCTCAAGCCCAGTGGCGCTTGTCGGGCGGAACCGCATCGTCTCTCGGACCACGGCATTAAGCACGGGGAGATACTCAATCGTCTTGAAATCCGGAACCCAGCTGGGTGACATCTCACCCGGAAACGCCGCATCCAGCTCCGCCTGCAGCCGCCGCTGTACCGCCTCGTCCCGAGAGACAATGTCCACGACATTGGTCATGCTCGTGCTAGTCGTGTCGCTGCCCCCGACAATAAACGAAATCGACTCGGCGATAATTTCTTTTTCATCGAGGGGACTCCCCGTGTCCGGGTCCTTCGCGTTGAAAAGCAAGCTCAGCAGGTCCTTGCGCGAAGTCGCCTGGTCACGTCGGTTGAAGTAGGCCTTTGTCCCGATCGCGGCGAGGGCCTGTGTTCCTCGCATTCCCTGAGACCAGAACGGGTCCAGCGGAAATATCTTGATGAATTCCCTGATTAGCCGTGGAAGGTGGCCGAGTGCATTCAGCGCTTCGCCGCGGGCATCGACTGCGTCGATGAGGTTGAGGTAATCTTGTCCTCGATCCAGGAAGCCGAATGATTCCCCGAATGCAAAATTACCTGCGTAGTCATAGTGCGTTTGAATCGCAGCAGATATACCAAGGACAGGGACATACCTATGGCGTCAAATGCAAGGAAATTGGCTAGTGGGATAGGTCAGCCTTCTGGCGTTCGCGTTTTCAGTAAAAAGGTAGCTGTAACGCACAGTATTCATTAAAGTCTAGTTTGGTTGTGCCTTCGGACGTTTTCACTCGCTCGTTAATCAAGTCTATGAGTTTCCGAATATTCCTGCTCATGTGCGGCTCAAAGTCCTGCAGGCCTCTTGCTGAAAAGGCCGGGCTGACAATCTTCTTTTTCCGCTGATGGACTTTAGGGTCCCGAGTGTTGAAAAGGACCGGTTCAACCTGATGAAAGGGTGAAACAGACCCGATGTTAGTTTTAACGCCACCAAGGCTTTAGCTCTTTATTCTATACATAGGCAGGACAACTTATCTTCATAAAAGGGGCCCTTCAGGAACCCGGTCTTGTGGCCATAAATCTCCTGCACAGCTTTTGGATCCGCAATAGAGATGTGGTTGGGCGAAATCCGGACAAAGTCTCCATATTTCTTGTGCAAGTCACTGACAGCCTGGGATCTTTGGCCTTTGCGACATTGCATCACTATCCACAATGGTGATAGCCTCGCAACAAGCGGGCCGGGATATCCGCGTAAGGGCGATAGCAATAGACAATAGATTACCCAAGAGACAGTCTTTCGCGCAGGACAGAACCAAAGTCAGCTGCCGCAGAAAAATATGGCAGGGAGTGAACATACAGTGCAAGCTAGGACAGTGCCAGCTACAAGAGCTGGGTTGTCTGCCCAGCATAAGTATTGCGCCTTCGTAATCATGGTTGCCCTGTCAATTTGCGCCCAGAATTTTGACAATGAGGTATGTGCTTCTTTTTTGGTGTTGAAGTTTGAGAGATATGATGTCAACATATACAACTGGGGAGGGGCCGGATGCCCACAGCTACCCCCGCACGCTTCTTCCTAGCCCTTAATCTCAGTCGGGGAACAGCCAGCGTTGCAGTGGGGATATCTCGGGGCAGTCGCGGCATTCTGACCTGACATGGCCGTGAGAGGACTCAATAACGTCCAGAACTGAGGAGGCCGGAATCAGAAGCCGAAGCATCCGACGTTTCCCCGTCTACTCTCTGGGGCACAAAGATTACCAAACTCCCACATTAATCCGGGAATGCAGGGAAAGAAAAGCACTGTTTTGGCATGACACCCAGTTAAAGTTTGCAACTGGTCTGCGTTTAATAGACCAAGGTAGGTAGGTGTATGCTGGTGGAGACCAGTTGAAGCGTAATGCCTGCTAAAGCCGTCAGGGTGTAATCCCGCCAGTGTATCTGCTCGTCTGTTGACCAAAAATGTGTTGGCTACGAGATATTATTCGGAATCATTGCTAGTTTGCTTGTTATAACAGCTTCTTAGCCGTGTCGAAGGTTGTTACTGTCTTACATTATATCACATCATAATTAATACTGTTGTTGAAAACTAGACCCACAGCTTCTAGTATTAACGTCACCACGACCAACTATACAATAACGAACATTACGATAAGAAAATATCCCAGTGCCCTCTACATTGCCGTCACATTGTAGCTCATGCGCCCTTCTTGTCCTGCCTCTCGATATCAAAATCCTTTAGGGTCGAGCCAGCAGCCCCTTCCTTTTCGCCCAGCATGCTGTGAAACGGACACCCCGGAATGTCCTTCTTATGGCGAGCGATAAACCAGGGAGCAAATGCAGCATCCTGTTTACGGCGCGCGGCCACATTCTCCCTTTTCTCCGTGGCCGTCCTCTTTTCCTGCTGTTCCCAGTAGGACTCTGTTGGATCTGGCGCAAACATCCCCACCAGCCATAAAACCTTGCCGAGGATGAAGGTAATGAGGAAGGATAGGACCGGATGGACAGGCTGAATCTGGCATGCTCTTAGCGTGGCGGGAAGTGACAGAGCAATAGGGATCCTGCGGCTTAGCCAACGCAGGCTCGGCGGAAGTAGCTAAACGCCAATTAGTCAAAGCATGCCTCTGCAATGAATTTTGCTCGCCCCGGGCCAACTCTCGTATTGGATTTGATGCTGAGATGGTACGCCCAGCCTACTACTGTACTTAGAAGCTAGAGCGGCTAGAACAGCATGGAATCGAAAAGACCTGCCTCCGTCCTGGAATATGTATTTAGTGCGGGTGCTGGTACTGCATACTAACTAAACAGCCCGTAAATTTACAATTATGTCTTTCGGCTGGCTTCCCAATCCCCTCATCATCCGCATCGCGGGCTATCTGGACCAGCACGATCTCAGCGTTCTGGCCAGAGTAAATCGCCACCTACGCCGTATCCTCCTCATTTATCTTTATCATCTTGATTTCAAACAAGAGTCTTTTTTAGCCCTTCACCACTACTGCCGAAATGGTTATATCAACGGCCTGGTGGACCTATTCATATCTATAAATACCATGCCTAGGGCATACCAACTGTCTTGGGATGGTAAGCTGGCGCCCTTTCTCAAACACTCGAACATGATACTTTTCGGACACGAAGAAGGAATCAACCCCATGCACGAAGCCATCGAAAATGGTCACCGCGATGTTGTCGACTTCTTACTCCGAAGGGGCTTCAACGCTAACTGCCGCCAAGGCGGGTTCACGGGGCTTGAGGTAGCCGCCGGGAAAGGCCATCTGGAAATTGTCAAGGTGCTCCTGGAGGCTGGTGCGGATATCACTCGTGGATCCGGCTTTGGTGGAGCCCTCTGGAGTGCTGTTTACCATGACCAGGAACTTGTGGCGGCCTTTCTACTGACAGAGCTCAAGACTCGACGTGCTGCTGGGAAAGAGAACGACCCACCGGCGATGCTGACTATCCGGCGGGCATTAGATTCGGCTGTACGGAGTAAGAATACACGAATGGTTGAGATGTTGTTGGAAGAGGTTGGGCCGGTGGACTTTGAAGGTGACCTTGGAGAGACCCCGCTTCTGGTTGCGGTCTGGTCGAAGACGGTGGACGTTGTCAGGATATTGTTGCGGAAGGGCGCGGACCCTAACAAGGACCTGGCCCAGTGGCCCAGACCCTTGACAGTTGCGGCGCAGAGGGGCTTGGTTGATATTACAGGAGCGTTGTTAGATGCTGGAGCGGATCCGGAAGCCCTTGATGGCACTGGCCGAACCCCGCTGTCCCATGCCGCAGAGGAAGGACATGTGGAAGTTGTCCGGCTCCTACTCAGGTATGGAGCAGATATCTCCCTGCGAGACTCGGGTCGGAGATGGAGTGCCCTCGAGTGGGCTATTTTTGAAAAGAAATCTAAGGTTGTGGATATTCTACGACCCCTCTATGCAGAGACTGGTGATGCGCTAGCTAGTTGACCACGAAGGGTCCTTGGATGGGAGATCTGGAATCACCTACCCAGGACGCTAGTTGTTCTTTCAGTGATCCCAGAGTAACCTTTAAACTAGCATAATCACTGGACTCTGCCAATGTCAAGCAGCTCCAAGACCCTGGAATTATACTGCAACAATTCTCGCTTCCGGGGATCACGCGCAGCAGACCAAGGAGCTAGCAAAGACCCTCTCAAGCCTGCTTCCGCGCTGGTCGACGCCCACGTTAAATCGAGTCGGGAACAGGGTTGAGCCCCTAAGAGGGTTTGTCGCAAATATCGCCGTTGATATTACTCCGCGCTATAGTTCGTGGGCCCATTTTCCTGATCAAAAATACCACCTCGCTTACAGCATTGAAGAAAAACACTTTTTTGCCCAGCAGCTGGGCCGTCTTTCAGTCGAGAGTATTCCAGGCCTTGGCTCTGGGGTTCTTCTTCATATCCTCCGGAGTCTCAAGGCAGTTAATAGTTCCAGCAGAGGGTTCTTTTCTTCTCCGTCTCCGCTTGCGTGCATGACTAGTGTGTAGGTAATTCGAGGGTCTTCCAGAATGTTGATTCTCCAGCCTACCATTCTGTACAATGAGATGGTCCACTAGCTACCGGATAATGGACACCGTGAGCTCGTAGAGGGATATGATCAGTCGATCCTCGCAGCTGCTCTCGGATCCATCGAAATTTCGAAGTCGCCTCTTCCATGGGAGATACATGTTTGTTTCCGAGCTTGCATCGAACCAGATTAAGTTAGTGCCGGAGCCCTGAGACAGCTTAACTTACGCAAGGTCATTATTCGTACTTTATTGTCCTGCTTACAGTCTGCGTGAGAGAATCAAGGCTAATATCGCTTCTAAGTGCAAAAGACAAGAAATTTGTAGAGTCTTACTCTTATATCCACTCAGAGTCCTACACTATGCCTTTTGATTGGTCACGAACCTGCTTTGGCTTTATAGAAATGCTACCTGTTTGTCGCATTGCCCGTCGGGGATCTCTTAACTGTTGATTATATTCATGGTCCCATAGTGTGAGTTTTGGATATCTCAAAACCCATCCTGGGTGTGTATTGGAGACTGTACACAGTGCGTTTAAGATTTTTCTTCCTTGATATGGACCTAGTACCTAGTCTACCTCGGCAGTACGACACGTCTACCTTTAAGACTCTCAATCTGAGTGCTGGCGCGATCTGATTGAATGCCCAACATGTAGAGTACTGGACTGGAACATTCTCCTATCTCGTAAAATAAAGTGGACCGATACCAATTATCATTCTATCCTTATGGTGTGGGCCAAGGTTGTGTTGATAGCACTATCAGAGACTTGATCTTGGAGAAAAGACGCTGAGCTCTCAGGATGCGCTAAATTCTGGGTACGCTAGTGCACAGTCTGTCTGATTCGGTCTTTACCCTGTAAAGTTTTGTCCTACTAATATAGCGCTTTGAAGTACAAACTAACTCATCCCAACCAGGCCTGCAGCTGAAGCCACGCCAACAAGGTAGCCCAAGTTTACAGATGATGTGTATGTTCGCTGCACCCTTCGTTCAGTCTCTTTCTTTGTTTTGGCATCTCGCAAGCATTCTGCTCTATTCCAAGGTAGGTTTCCTTTCGTCAGGACTTCACAGATTATAGCTGGCTTCCAAAGCGTATGCTCACGCGACTGGAGCTAGAAATCCCTCGCTCTCCCCTTACCACACTTTCGCAATATCCAGCAAGTAGAGTGCCTCGCTATTTCCAGTGGCTAACAGAGGCGTGGGAATCTTCCTATGGTACCTTTATACTTTATTCAATCTCACAGGTTACGCTGCTTATCATGGGTTCGTTCAGGTGAACATATCACGCTGCACAGGCTCGCATCAATTCCATGGGCTGTTGTTCCTCTCTTATAGCGAATTACTAGCATGATTGCACATAGGGCTTACATTAAGTACAGTATACTAGCAGCTGGGTGAGGCACATGTGCGTATCTATGGTATTTATTACTAAGCTGTGCGTGGAAAGGTCGCACAGAGGGCTAGTTATTAGGGATGAAGATCCATAGCTCCATGGTACATACATATACACTAGAGTCAGCCATCAACAAGGTCTATCTTGTCTTCAGACTTTTGTTTTCCAGGAGTCCGCTAGACGCGTGAGATTCATGATACATGACGCGCACTCCAGCGGGATATCTCGCTAGCTGTTGCCACTGATCATTAGGGTTCCGCTCCTCCGAATGTATTTCCAGGCTCCACTTCTCCAGATATCTAGAACACATAGCAACCTAGTACAAGCAGTTGCACTATGTCAACACCTTTCCAAAGCAAAGGGACGCTTCATTATCCCGATACGCCCCAAACTTCTTCACAGGCACATACCCCTCCCTCGTATAGAACCGAATAGCCGCCGTCAACAGGTTCCCCGTCTCGAGTACAACTCTGATCCAACCATTCTCCCTCGCTCGATCCTCCAACGCGCTCAATATAGCCTTGGCAGCGTTCCAAGGATGTCCGCGGTAGGCCCTATGGACGTACATGCGCTTGATCTCCACGTCGCCCGGGGTATCATCTGACTGCGGTAAGGCGCGCAGGGCACCGCATGCGATCGGCAGAGGCTTTCCATGTTGAGCTGAATTGATCGGGAGAATGTATGCAATAAGAAACACGGAAATGTCTTCTGCGGATGGCGGGATCCCGGGCTCGCCGCCGTTGGGCAAGCCGAAGACGGCGTTGATCTCTTCGCGTTGCATATGGCGGAGGAGTTGGCTGTCTGGGTGGGTCCAGTCCACTTGCGCGATTTGGATCCGTGGTATCGGGGATCCAGTCGTAGCCATCTGAGTTCTATGTTTTGGGTGAATGCTTAGGTGTCGAAAGATTCGCGGATCTGAAGGCTAGAGAATACGAATGGGTCACCTGTTTTATATGGCGAGACCGGCGGTACCTTAGCAGCTCGCATTATTAATGTGAGTCAGAGGGCAGCGTGGCGTTATCTAAAAACGCTAGTGGGACCCCAAGATCTAGGTTTCTCTCCAACGCCCACAATATATTTACGGCCCTTCGTGCCAGATCCGTAGCTGGGGCGCCATAGGCCTTGCAGTACTCAATCTCTCTAAACGAAGTGCGCCAATACTGCCACCATTCAAGGGTAAGCCCGCAATTTGGAGGCGCCACTAAGGGGGCGACCAAATCTACTTTAACAATATTATACTGAAACGTCATGTTAATCATGTTAAAGAGATTAGGCCTAGTCTATGTAATGTACCAGGCCACTCCAAGTAATTCCTTGTTAGTTCAGCGATGGGGGTTGCCAGGTAGGCCCTTTAATTTAACCTTAAGTAGCTCGTGAAGCGTTATAATAGTAAATACTAGAGGGGAGGAGGGCGTTAAGTATATGCCAAGACAAGTAAAGGGCGTGAAGATTAAACAGTTTGCACTAGTCCACCATTTGCCCTAGTTACCCTGATCGTGTTGATCAGCAATAATGCATTACAGGGCAGCTGTGGACACTCACATGCATGCTAATCCTTATCTACTGGATCTTGGAGGGTTACAAATGCTGGTTCATGTACCCACTGTCTTCTGCCTGGAAATAAATTTGAATCGGTGAGTTGTTCTGCCAGTCATGCTAGTTTGATATGACCCTCATGGCCATATGGAATCTGAACTGCGATAAGTAGTACGAACGCGGTGAAATGATACATGTGATATGTGGGCCCAAGATGAGCTGCGTATTCGGGTAGGCTAAAACCGTCCGCTATGTGTAAAACGGCAAGCCCAATATCCGTTTTACGTCGAGGTAGCTAAGCAGCTCATTAAGTAAAGCTTTGGCATGGGACAACTAGTCTGGGGGCGGCGGTTCTTCTTGAGTCTCACGGGGGAAAAGACGATGGCGTATTCTCCTAAGTCGGCTCATGGTAGCCTGGCGTAGGTTTCGGTGTACTAGCCTTTTTCCAGATGCGGGGCTAAGTTCAGGAGAGGGATCACCTCGGCGGCTGTGCGTGATCTTGGTGTTGAGATGGCGAATGGAGGGAGGTGACTTTTGTTGGTTTCTAGCGGTGGGTGGTGATAGACATGCGGGGTGCGATGGCCGTTTTGAGGCTTGATGCAAGGTTGATCGACCGCTAATTTGGTTCGATATTATGACTCGCGAGACTAATGAGAAACTTTGGCAATTGCCTTGACATACTCAGAGGAAATCGCGCCCTTATTTAATCCCTTTAGTTATGAGTGGAGCGCTTTTACTCAAGACTGCAATGTTGGAAGACGTGAATTATACCCTTCAGAATCTCACACCACAAAACAAGACGAGGGGTCGCGATTTTTATAAGCATAACCTTGGAAGTAGCGGCTACTAGGCAGCCGCTAAACTTTTAGGGCTTATTTTCGCCCTTAATTTCCCACTGACTGTGTTTTCCACGAGGCCCGCCATGCCCTGACCAGCCGCTGGATTCCCGCTAACAGGGATCGGGGATAACTGTAAGACCGAACGGGTGGAAGATCGATGGGAGGGGGGACATACGAGGCAAGATGTGGAGGGAAGACGTTGACTAGATAATAGATGAGACTCGAGGAAGCTCATTGGAGGTTATTTGGGCTAGGGCACCTATCATTGTATCATGGTTCGCCCAAACGATAACTTTTTTGGGACAGGAACAGCCGAGATTGCTACCATTATTCCTCCCAGCGGCTCGCATACGACTAATTCATCCAGTTCATGTCGCTGAAACTGCGTCCGGCGTTACCGTCGTAATAACAAACTCAGCCTCCAGCCCATAATGATCCGTCACCCAGACATCCTCCTCCTCTTCCTCCTCCTCCTCATTATCCTCAAACTCCCCTCCACTACCCACCCCACCCTCACTCTCAGCATCACCATCCCCTCCAACCCTCACCCGAACTCCAACCCCAATCCTCCCCAACTTTTCCACCTCAGCGCCCCCACAAAAAAGCACCTTATCCAGCCTCGCATCCGGAAACCTCCCCACCAACCACCCTGTATTCTGCTTGCCCCACGTATACGACTCTTCCGTCTCCTCCACTCCGCCGAGGACAAGGAATGCATCGCGCAGACCGCAGGACTCGGGGAGGGCCAAGTCCTCCGGCGCGAATGCATTTAGGTCGCCCGCTAAAATCGCAGCGTGCGGGGAGGGGAGACCGGACTCGTCGAGCCCGTGCATGAACCGCGATGCGAGATGCATCTGCACGGGACGTCTGGGTGTCCCCGAGGCGAGGCTTTCGAGGTGTGTGTTGCACAGGCGGAGTATCCTCTCTTCTCCCCCTCCACCACCAGTAGCACTGGTACTAGTAGTCGAAGACCACTCCAATCCGATATCAACAAACAACCCATCCCGCCGCATATACGAAACCGCATACGGAACGCGAAAAACACGCTTAATATCCAGCCGTCGATCAATCAGCGTCGTCGTCCCATAACTCGACATCCGCCAACGCGCGGGCGAGAGATCGGTTATGTAGAAGTTGTCGCGGATCCAGGGTGTTGACTGGATTACGTCGAGGGTGGAGGGGGTCATTTCTTGAAAGAGGATTACTGTTGCGCTAGTCGTTGTGGTGTTGTTGTGGGAGGTGAGGATGGTGTGGAGGTGGTGCAGGGCGGCGGTCATGCGTTGGACTGGATAGGGGACTTGGAAGTCGATGTTCCAGGTTAGGAGGTGGAGGGTGGGGTTTGGTTGTGTTTGGGGATGCTCCTGCTGGTGGTGATGGTTGGGGTTGATACCCGCGGATGAAGAGACGGGGCGCCATTGCGGGGGAACTGCGGCTGGGTGGAAATAGTAGAAGGGCTGGAGGTTTGGTCGGTCGGGGGTGAGGGAGTGGGTGCTGATATTTAGAAAGAAAGGCGATGCCATTGCAGCTGAAAAGCAGAACGGACTAGAAACATGGAGTGGTGAATGGCGAGGAAAGTAAGGAGGCGGAGGTCAACAGAAGAGAAAGATGGTTGTATTTATGTGTTGATTGTTCTAACCCAACATGAGCTGGTTTGATGTGTAGACTGACTCATGAATACGAGGCCAATGCGGTGTCAGGCTTGAGCTCATGAGGCTCTGTTGGCTATTGACGAGAAATAATTCCCAACGGGCTCAACTTCGAAACATCAAAAGATACAAATGGGGCGTAGATGATGCTGCCGTTTTCCTTGGCAGCTTCATTGCAACGAAAGTGCATACGCTAGTGCGCCAAAATAGTTTCGCATGACTGAATCTGATGGATTGGTAGAATAGGAGTACTTGAATTCTATAGTAGGGTCTACACAAGGTGAAGTAGTATGATGGGCGAAATATTTATGTACAAACTAGATAGTAAATAGGTACAGCCGAAAGGAGATTCGATCGAGATGGTCATTCTCATTGTAGTCACATCCACCCGTCATCTGAATCCAACCCAAAGCCCGTTCCATTCAAGCCCCCGAGGATAATAGCAGAGCCGTACAGCTCCGCGAGAGACGTTTGACCCATCGAGTCCAGGCCAATCATTCAAGTGATACTCTCATAGGTATGCAAAGCAACACATTCTTTCCCCACCATCTCCCTAAGCGTTTTTTCACTCTTCACGCGCAGGACTGGAACAAAATCAAATTAATTCTGCACGCTGTCATAGTCATTTCCAGAACTTTCCTCCACACTATCGCCAAAAACAGGATTTGGGTGCTGGATAGTAAATGTGGTGACAGGTTTAACCTTCTGGACAGACACGCTGCTAAGTCTCCATGCGGAATGGAGGCAATTAACAAGCTGGTCTTTGCTGAGGTTGGCCAAGAAGCTTTTGAATTGTGGGAGCTTCACGAACCAACAGCTGGTATACGTGAGTAGAATCAATTCCTTGAGCGAACGGATATTGTCTGCAGTCAGACTCTCCCCTTGGTTACCCTCGCCCCGCGCGTCTAGCTTGGCCTGTGATTCGTGTATGGGCCCAGGACCTGTACAAATGCAGCCGGCATCCAAGCGAAGGTCCAGTCGTCGTCATAATGATCATCGTCACCATCATCGATCAGTACCACCTGGAGGATCGATTCCATGTCGCTTTCCTCGGAGGAGCTGATATTTTGGCCTAGCTTGGTACTCGGCTGAGCATCCTCCAAGTCAAGCTCAGAGATCCGCTGGGCCCGGTTAATGTCGCGGTGGCCAGATCGATACTCACGGTATCAGTACTGTACAGGAGGGGTGCGCTGCCTCTGCCGTGTTTCTCGGTCTGTCGCTGAGTTTGACTCTGGCTCTGGTCGTGGTCAGTTTTGGACAAAGGTGCTGATTTAGGGTCCGGCACCGACTTAGGTTCACATTCCTCCTCCTTCTCGTCGTCATCGGATGATCAGTCTCGGATTCAGACTTGAGTCTATGCTCAGCCGCAGAGCAGGGTCCCTCAATGCTTCTGATTAGGGCCTCAATAACAGTAAAAGAATTTCGTGTTGTGATTACTGGTTAGTCAATAACAGTAGCAATGGGCTGACTGTAAGTATATGGAGAGATATACTACAAGATCTGAATCCAACTTGAAATGGGGTCTCCTCACTGTGTTTTGGACGTAGAATGGTTGAGGAGAATGAATTGAAAGAATTTTATAATAAAACACATCCGCTTTACTAGTGTTTGTCAAGTACGTTTCCTCGGCCACCACAGTAGCCATATATGATATACAGCTTTGAACGCGGCCACATCAAGAGAGTATTGGAGATTTTTGTTCGCGATATATACGTGAATGAAGACAAGATCTTCCTGGAACTGGGGCGCAAGGAGACCTCTGGATGTGTAGTGGATATATATTACTAAAGAGTAGGGCACATATACCTCGTAAATTATAGATCTAGCCTCCTCCTTACTCCGCTGTAGCGGATAATATATGTTAGCCTAATCTAGAATTACCCTCTCCTTCCAGTGTTTTTGGTTGATGAAATCGAGCGATCGCTTAATAGAAGAACCTTTCTTATTGGATGGGTCCTGGCGCTAATGTTGGCGCCTAGAGACGCGATGGTCTGTTGTTGCAGGGGATCGAGGCCGCCTCTGCTTGTGCTGTCAAGAATGACCGTCCTCTTTGCCGTACGGAAATGAACGTGCGTCTGCATTAATTTTAGGCGCATACAATTATCGTATTTTCTACAGCGAATATATTGACATTTGGCGCGCAGAGATTGAGCGAACGCGGGCTGACGCGTCTGGGGCTGCGCCACAACAACCCCGCCTGAGAGTCGACGGCGAGGCTCTGCTGAATCCGAGACACCGTGTTTGAATCCACGAGAATATTTCGATCAGAAAGTGAAGGCACCTTGCCAGGTACAGGATTCAGACTCTCATGCGTTTTTGCCAGCTGCCAATAAGTTAAGCATGAACTATCCCGAGGACGAGGATGGTGCCTCCCCAGCCCTTTTGCCCACGAAAGTTGGCAACGGACCGATTCCCCGCTTCGCAGAGCCGGAAGAAAAAGCGATGCCGATGCATGTCCTCCCGTCCTTGAATCAATCACGGTTATTCATATGTCAGCACCAAGGTTGTGAGGAAGCTTTCACGAATAGAGATCAACTGCGGCGGCACGGGTCGTTTCATGCGGGAGAAAGGCAGCATGTATGTTGGGTCCCTGGATGCCACAGGGCCTTTACGAGAAGCGATGACCTACGCGCGCACACAAAGACACATGGACGGCGAGGTGGGCGAAACCGCTATGTTGCGACATATGACGTAACTAGCGATGCCTATGACCCGAGCTATAGAGGAGAGCTGACTGCAGACGGGTGGCCGATTTCCAAACCCACAAGCAACAATAATAATGGTACATTCATGAGCCCATCCGGGGAACAGGCAAAGAGTGGGCGGCGTGATGAGGATAAACCTGTAGGCAAAGTGTTTGCCCAGCTACATGACGAGCTCACCTCCTTGTCACCCGCAGCGTACGAAAATCTTCGCCGTGTGGCCGCTCAATTTATCCAGAAAACCACACCAGAAGATATAGCCAAGATCAAAGTGGACCTCGCGAATATGAGTCGGGTGCAGAGGAGTTTCCTTAGAGTATTGGAGCAGAAGTTTGCGGAATTGCGAGCAGTCAACGAGGGAATCTCTGTCGATGGCAGAGGACCTGTAACGTCCTCGCCTGTTTGTTCTGAAGCTCATAGGGAACAGGACACTCCGACCGAGCAGGTCGATTCCATGCAAGGCGCGAATACATTTGACATACCTCTCCCCGGGACCAATTTTCAACGACCGCCTCTACCACCGCTCCCACACTTCCCACCCGATACTCGGCCAGTTGTTCACCCCGCAACGGTCACTGATTCTGGATATGCCTCCCTACGACCTCAAAAGTTCACGGCAGGAGGAGTAGAGCGGTTGGCCTCGGCCAACCCCTCGAATGGCCACGTCGCGACCCCTTCAGAGGCGATACGATCCGAGCGAGTGGGGGATTCTGTTTTTGAGGAGACCGAGACAGCAGACGACGATACGAGGAGCATTTATTCTGTGATGACGAACCTTGGAACTTCCACAATTGATGGGTACGTGGCGGTGCTTGCCGAGGAGTTGGCTAGGATGATCCTCCTCCACGAACCGACCACGGATGCTATGGAGAGGATATATGACTGCCTTCCACACTTGCTAACAGCTCTGTCCCTGAACATCGGCACTGAAAGGTTTTCACGTATGCATTGGGAAGTTATGGTTTTCATTCACAAATATCGCAGGTAGGACATGCATTTCTCTCAACAAAAGCGCCAGGTTAACCGCTTCGTGTTATCTAGAGATATAGCGAGCACTGTCAGAGATATTATTTCTGAAGACCGTTCAGAGCATAACAAACGAGACGCCTCTGAAGGAATGACCCTACAGGAAAAAATGGCTAGGTGGATGCTCAACAGCGAGGAGGATGGAGCCACTGCTTTGGCAATACCCGACCTGGCGCATCCCAGCGACTACAGTGAGCCGGATAGTGAGCACAATGCGGCGTTACCAGCAATTCAGGCGTATAGGGATATGATCCAATCCGCGCCGTCGTATGCTAAACTTCTAGTGGACCTCCGCCGTGAGATGACCATACAGCCATCGAATCCAGACGTCCTGGCTGAAATGCACAACCGAGTCATTGCAATGCTACCCCAGTCGCGAAGGATCAGTAGGCGGGGTCCACCAGAGACCTTCTGCATGACATTCAACGTGGACTGGGATCCATTGGCGTTTGTTCGAGAGCAAGAGTACGAGGAGGATCCGGAGATTGCGATTAGAGATGCGATCGTAGTCACAGGCGGCATAGCAACAGCGCAGGCAACGACCTGCGTCGAATATCTGCAGCAGACATGGCCCTCGCTTGGAGAGCAAATCCTCAACCTGATTGGAAAGGCCTTACGGCCTCCTTACACATCCCGTATTGCTCTGATCAAAGCTATGTTGAGCATGTAAGGCTAATGAACAATTTCACAGTGACATCAAATCGTACTCCAGCCATCTGCGTCTCCCTCGTGGCAGGCACAATAAGCACGCCGCACTATCTACAGGTCACCGTGGCTGGCCACGCGAGCTGGATTGCTGAAATCGCCCAGATCACGGCGTGGATGGGCTCTGCCCTACGGTCATCCACAACTTCAGATGGCATTCAACTGTGTAGTCCTGCAATCGGACAAGATCCAGGGGACCCTACCTCTCATGGATTGACATGTAGAATCTCATACTCTATGGAGAGCCAGCCAAGAGATCAGATATCCCTGAATGGTAAGTGCTGGCATGGCCTGTTCAGAGCCCCCGTGATTGCCAAAGGGTTCCCAATCTCTCGCAGACCAGCATCCCGTCCTGGATTGGAGATACCACTGGGTATGATGGCAACTCTCACAGCCACGACGCATCTTAATTCCTTCAATGGGAAATGGGTTATCAAAGGCTTCTCAACAATGCTTCTACCGACACACTACGAGAAGGATATCATGATGTGGCATTTATTATACGACGCAGAGGGGGAGCGGATCTCTTACACTCAAGGTATACAGTTGTCCGCGGTCGAAACACATATTTCCAGCTTTCAGACTGCTCGTCATATCCTAGGGTGGTGTTCTCGGAGTAGGCTATATGCAGGTTTGATTCCCCCTTTGGCTCATCACATCGTGTCCGTGTTAATAGCCACTCAGGGTCCCATGACGCGTCTTACAACGTGCAGCCTTCACGGCTTCCCGGGGTCCCCGAAAACTCCCCGTTATACAATACCTCGATCTCAATGGGTCAGATCATAACTCGAGGACCATCGTTTTGTCTGGGCAAAAAAGACGTTCCAGTACACGTCACGCGCAACGGGTATGCACGCAAACTGAAGTGGATATCCAAGAAGTTCGTGGTGCTCTGGGATGAGGAAGATCAGCGTGGATGGCTGATAAATGGTACAAGTGCACTTCTGCATCTTGTTCGAACAGCGCTTTACCGTGATAAAGCGGGCGAGCTGTCATCGCTGATAGCTTTCGATCCGGCCAAACTGGAATACGCGCGCCCTTACCAGCCAGAATCCGCAGCCTGGGTGCTCTCGAATAAGGCCAACTTGACGCAGAGGATTTATGCTGGTGATGATGAACTCCCGACACACTTCCAAAACTATGTCACTGGCTTCTACGACGTCTTGGAGAAGATGATCGACCATCAGATGTACACTTCCAACGCAAATGAGAGCCCAGATGCGTACACATCTAGGTCGCAACTCAAAGGCTGGGACTTTGATGACTTGGCCAGCGAGCGTGATCCCATTTATCCTCGAGTGTCGCAGTTGGATCGCGCTGGAAGGTCCTGGGCGGACCTTATCAAGTCAATACACGCAATTACGCTGTTTGGCTGCAAGTTTGGAGATATCATCCCGGTCAACAGAACGCAAATGCACAAAGTGGTCTACACTACCTACCGGGCAATCATACCTGGCTGTTTCCCGCGGGGATCTGATGGAGATCATGACAGCCTGCCGAGGAGACCCGTCCTCTGCGCTGGTCCGTCTGACAGACTCAGTGATATGGCATATCCCGGAAGGATCATCGGCTACATGCAAGTGTAGCAGGGGCGAGCGTAATGGCCCTCGAATCTTGTTCAAGTATTATTACCGGCCAGTATTGCACATAAGATGGTTGAAAACGGGTCGAGTCTCGCGGGCAACGACACCGAAGGCGCGGTTATCTTTGGTTATAACTCAGAACAACCGTGGTACTGGCCGGATTGTGGAGAGCCATCGCAGTCACTCCGCCTCGTGAATTATTGGCAGGAGAAGTCGATGGCATCCCCATCGCATGACAGTGGTATTGGGCAAAGTGTGTCTTCATCGGTTGTACCAGATGACGATAGGGCGGTTTGTGTGGCCAAGGAGGAACACATTCCACAAATACATTCCGATCCAATTCTCGAGACTATCCCCGCCAGCCAGATCCAGCAGATACCGAAGCAGGCGTATACCTACCGGGCTACGCGGGACTATGCAGTCGCCGTTATTTGCGCACTACATAAAGAGCTCAAGGCAGTCCGGATGCTGTTCGATGAGACCCATGACAGCCCTGAAGTCCCACATAGCGATCCGAACCATTATGTCTTTGGTGGTATGGCCAAGCACAATGTTGTAGCCACCTGCCTACCGGACGGCGAGTATGGAACAAACACTGCTGCTGATGTCGCAGCCAACATGAAGCGGAGTTTCCCAAGGCTCAGGTTCTGTCTATTGGTTGGCATAGGAGGGGGAGTTCCTGCAAAGCATGACATCCGACTCGGTGATGTTGTCGTCAGCACCCCTGGCGGCGCGAGTGTTGGCGTTCTCCCATATGATACCATCAAGACACTGGAGGATGGCACTTTCCAGATAAATGGATATTTGCATCCTTCTCCACGGTGCCTCAGATCTGCTCTCAGCGAGATACAGTCTGACCCCCGCATTGGTAATGAGCCGCTGGCCACATATTTACAGCAGATCGCGGACTCCGATTGTCAGTATAGCCACCCGGGAGAGCACAATGATACTTTATTCAGTCCCGATTACGCGCATTTGGAGACACCCAGGACTGAAACATGCGAAGGCTGCGACAGCGCCAAAGTCCAGATTCGACCTCCAAGAGGCTCAAGTCAACCACAAATCCACTACGGCCTTGTTGCATCGGGAAACCAAGTCATGAGGAGCGCAACCACGCGAGACAAACTTGGGGCGCAGTATGGCATCATGTGTTTTGAAATGGAGGCAGCCGGAATTATGAACATCCTCTCATGCCTTGTGATACGCGGCATCTGCGACTACTGTGATTCACACAAGAATAAGCATTGGCAGAAGTACGCCGCTGCCACAGCCGCTGCTTTTGCAAAGCTTCTTCTGTCTCGCGTACGCTCGGACGCAGAAGGCTCGCAATTAAGCTCTTTGCCAACGTGTACTAGCTTGGGATTCCATGATCAAAGCTATGGCAAGCGACGAGGGTTGCCCATTGAAAAGGAAGTCTTGCATGAGCGTCCGGCCAAACGACGGCGAGCGAATGAATGAGGATTGCTATGCCGTGTTGCCGACCATCATCCCGTCCGCTAGATATAGGGCAAAGCTGTTTCATGTGCGTCGTACACACCGAACCCTTGACCGATAGACCAGGGTCGTTGTTGGGTATTATGCATGTTTCTGTCCATGTTGATTTAGCTGGTACATATCCTGGATATCAAAAAGAAAAAGAAAGCGAGCTTGCTTGAATTACTAGACGTACACCAGATATATCCAGATAAGACATCACTTATCCATTTTATTCTATATGTTACCCACAGGCCAAGTCGGGGTTATCATAATTTGGCACTAGATGTAGTGTATACTGGTAAAGGGTACGGTCACAACTGTATGTCGGCATCCTATCACACCCATCCTCTACCAAACCGCCAGCGCAAACTCCCGCGGTCCCCGTATCCCACTTATCCTCTGCGAGTACCTCGAACCACTTGAGCTTGCACGTAAATTGATCCATACGTACTAAACCCGGCGTACTAGCCTCGCGCCACGCCGAATACATCCGAGACTGTCTTAATAGATCGGCCTTTCGGGGGTAGAGGGACACTTCCCATTCCCCAACTCTGTTATCCAGTCGAGCCAACTGGCGTTGCGTCTTCGTGTCGACGAATTGGAAAATGTCTCTTGCGATTGATTCATTAAGCCACGGCTCCCACTCGGGTGTTGAGATTCGATGAGATGGGTTGTTTAGCTCTAGATAGGTGAGGCTTGGGAAGCTGGCTATAGGGCGCAGATACTCGTATGGCTTGGGATGTGATTAGTGCGCATTTCCGTCCCGATTTCAGCTTTGCCCTGTTCTAGTCACTTACAATCTTATCAATAGTGGCAGTGGCGGCGGGGAACTATCCAGCCTCCATTCGCGAGCGGCGACTTGCCTTAAGATCAATTTGTGCAAGTTGGGAAGAGAGAGGATTGCCTCTCCTAGTGCGTCAAGGAGGGCTTGGTCAAGTGCTCTGGGTGCGCAGGTTATACTCAGCGATTTGATGTAAGAGGCGCCGGTGAGCCGGGATTCGCCGACAAGGGGTTGTGGTGTGCCTTCATACTAGCACTGAGGTTGGGTTTGTCTATCGTGCAGGATCTGAAATAGCTGTGGAGGGAATGGGACGCCGCGCCATCTGCCCACGTTAGTGTTGAGGTAGCGTAGGGGCTCATTATTCCAAACCTGATGACCTCTAGACTTTCCGCATTCTCCACCAGTCTCTGAACAGAGGTGGTGTACTTCCCCTCCCCGTAACCAGGGCCGTAAGATACAATCAGTTCGCGGATATGATGGTAGGCCGTCTGACCAATATCTGCCTCAAGCAGTGGATGCAGCCTAGTGAGCTTGGTTGATTCTGGTTTTCTGGGCGCCGAACTGTGCTGAAGCATGGCCGGAGACCCGACAGGGAATAACGGAACGGCCCATTTGTGGGTAGAGAGCGCGTACTTCTGAAGCGATCCGGGCAACTACACACATCAAAGCCACTGGCAACCTTGGTATTTAGCACAGGAACTTATACGTCAACCACCTACATGACGAGGCGATCGTCCCGAGGCACTCCTAGAGCCACTAGCAGGCGATAGATGGTAGTATCCGATGTCTTATTGAACGTGGTATAGTATGTAGAACCGCCAGCCCCATTCTTACTAGACTTAAGAATACCCATGATAACTAAGCGAGGTATAAATGCCCTGTTAATCAAATTTGCTGAATACATATTTATTGCGAGCCTTTCCAAGTTGCATTGTTCTGCTTTGACACCAAGTTTACCAGCACACGCCGAAGGCCCTAGGCCGTCGAGGCATCCTTCATATCATACACCATCCGCCCCTGGTACCACGTCTGGCAAACGACCGCCTCAAGAAGTCTATCCGGCGCCCAATGCATATCCACAACAACAAAATCAGCACTCAACCCCGGCCTCAGCGCGCCAGTCCACGAGTCCGCGAACCGCGCGTAGGCCGCGCCCTTGGTAGCAGCCGTCATACCCTCTACCAGACTAATGGCAAACTCCGGGTTCACTGTATGTCCCGTCTCCGGCTCGAGCGCCGAGCGCCTCGTGGTCGCATTGTAGAGGTTGGGAAAGGGAAAGTGACGCGCTGTCGGGGCATCTGTTCCGATTGCAAGCGGCGCACCCCCATCCAGAAACTCCTTGTATGCAAATGCGCGCTTACAGCGCTCGGGGCCGATCAGGCTGGGCCATGCCTTGAAGAGGGCGGGGTCGGAGTGGACGGGCTGCACGGAGGCAGTGATGCCCAGTTGGCCTAGGCGCTTTGCGTCTTCCGAGTTGGCCAGCTCGAGATGCTCGATTCTGTGTCTGCGGCCTGGAGTGCCGACTTCAGAGAGGACGTTGATTGCTTGGTTGATGGCCTTGTCGCCGATGGCGTGGATGGCGCACTGGAGCCCCGCCGAGTCCGCGCGCTGGGCTACCTCGCGTAGCATGTCTGTTGGCCAGATGGGGTCGCCTGCGTGCGACCTGCCATTGTACGGGTGGGACAAAGCTGCTGTGCACCCATCAGCCGTCCCATCGCAGATGAGCTTGATTCCCGCAATGCAGAACGCTGAGTCCTTGAATTTCTGTCGGAGGTGGATTGCTCGATCCACGTGCTGGAGGTTGGTTTGCTGGTTTTCTGAAAATGGCACGAGCCAGTGTGCTGCAATATGGAATGGAAACTGTTTATCACGGCGGAACTGGTCAAGTAGCTCCCACGTATGTTCGTTCATAGCCATGTCCACGACGCCAGTGTAGCCAGACGCCGTATAAGAAGTGACAGCCGCTTGCAACGCGGCTGCTTTATCCTGCGCCGTGTAGGTGCTCTCGAGATGGGGCCACACGAGGTCTACCAGTGCAGACTCGTCTAAGAGCCCCGACGCTCTCCCATTTTCATCCCGGTGGATTGTTCCACCAGGCGGTTCGGGGGCCGAGTGAACATGCATCTCGTCCAGAGCAGCAGAGTTGCACCACACCGAATGGAGATCAAACGAGTCGATGAAAATCGGGCGCGGATCAAGATCGTCTAGCATGCTGGCGAGGGCGATGCCCTTGGTTGAAGACTGGATCCAGCCCTGGCACAGAATGCGTGGGACAGAAGGGTTTTCCTTTGCGTATGAGGAGATCGTCTCTCGGACCTGTTCGAGCGAGGTGCAGTTGATTAAATTCACTTTCTGCAGGGAATGACCATATTTCAGGATGTGCACGTGGGCATCGATGAATCCAGGGAGGACAATGCGGTTCTCCAGGTCGATGATCGTTGAATCATGAGGGATCTTAGTGTCATCAAGGTTTCCAACAAAGGAAATCCGGCCATTCTTAACGATCATTCCACTGGTAAACTCGCTCCCAGGTTCAGCGGAGGATTGGGATGGCGCAAAAATGCGGCCATTCCGGAAGACAGACGTCATTCTGGATAAGATAAGATGGCGAGAGTTATCTGGCGCAAGTCCAGACGGCTGGAACTGTCGAAAGTATTTAACGAATGTGGGAGCTGTAAAATAAAAGCAAAGTCCTCATACTCCTCGAGCTTGCCTTCGGGGCATTGGAGCAGTCCTATCAGGGCCAGATTTGGGGTCATGTAGGAGTGTTTCATGTCAGCCGCTAATGCTGCAACTAGTAATGATCCCATGGGGCACGCGTTACCCGAGCCCTTCCCCACTGGAACCGTACTGTATTACTGAAATGCGCAATACCCTCGATTGTTTCTCCCTGGACTTTGCGTGTACCTTCCTTTTCCAGAATGGCTGTATCGTCATGAGTGAATCGTGACTGGCTCCAGATACAAACATTGATGCCGTGATGAATTACTATAGAGGTGTAAACTGATAAGAACCGTGTCTCAGGCTATCCCCAACCTGGACAGTAATGTCAGTATACAAGAAAGCAACACGCCCGGGAGATTGTTCTTAGAGGCAAAGACAGCTTTTGACCTCCTCGCTACCGATTTGCCTTTTTCTTTACCCAAGCCAGAGATCCTACTACCATCACAGCGATGTCGTCTGTCAGCCCGGATATCGACCCCGCCTGGCCCCCAGGAACAGTCCGGCTCGAGGGTGAGTAGCTGACCGCTGCAACCCTCCCCTCAACTAACAATGTATCATGACCAGATCTTTCCGAGTCGCAAGTGATCCTCGAACCGAAACCTAGCAGAGATCCGAATGACCCTCTGGTCAGTGTCACAAGCAACCCAGGTTGCACAACAGCGATACTGATATTGCCTTGTCAACCAGAACTGGCCACAATGGAGGAAACACTTGAACTTTGGCCTTGTGTCATACTATGTGGTAATGGTCATGGCATTGTGAGTACAGTCACTCTGGCTACGTCGAGATGGTGCTAAAATGCATAGGATCAATGTCACGACGGTTACATGGGGTCCCCTGAACTCCGAACTCGGCTTTAGCTTTGCACTGCTGAACGACAGCTACGCGGCCGGTTGCGGAGCACTCGCAATCGGGGGGGTGATGCTGATTCCGTTCGCTTTGAAGTTCGGCCGACGCCCGGTCTACGTCCTGAGCACCGCGTTCCAGTGCGGGATCAGCATCTGGCAGGCACGTATGCAGAACGTCGCGGATCTGATGCTGGTCAATATACTGAGCTGCATAGTGGGAGCGCTCTCTGAGGTGATGGTTCAAATGACGGTCGCTGATGTCTACTTTGTGCACGAGCGAGGGCTGATGAATACGGTCTATTACTGGTTTATGACTGTTGGTGTCTCCCTGGCGCCGCTGGCCGGGGGTTACATTACGAGTGCCCAGGGCTGGCGCTGGGTGTGGTGGTGGATGGCCATTTTGTTGGGAGGAGGACTCTTGGCCTTTGTCTTTTTTTACGAGGAGACCATGTTCAATGGCCCGGTCATTGATGGTGTCCCGGTCACTACCGAGGCAGCTACGCGACAACACTCTTCGAAGGAAAGGCGCGGGGACCCCGTTCCGGAAGTTATCGATGCGGCGAAAAGGGACACACTCCCCTATGAAGCTGTCGAGATTGACGGCTCTATCCCGACGAAAAGCTACCGCCAAAAGCTGGCACTATGGACTACCTCTTCACTCCCTTTCAGTCGCGTCGTGAAACACACCTATCAGCCAATCCTAATCATGTTCAGCATCCCCGCAGTCTTCTACATGGCGCTTGAATACGGTGTCATGACCGCCTGTACCACAGTCCCAGTGACGACCCTTTCGTCCGTCATGACGCTGCCGCCGTACAACTTCGGCTCCTCCCAGATCGGACTCATGGGGCTCGCACCGTTCACTGGCGGCTGCCTCTCGGCCATCCTCGCCGGCCCACTCAGCGATAGGGCCGTCCTGTATCTGGCTAAGCGGAACCGCGGCATCTTTGAGCCAGAGATGCGCCTGTGGCTCTGCCTCGCGTTCGTCCCGTGTGTCCCCGCCGGACTCTTCATGTTCGGCATCGGCCTCGACGCGGGCTCCCACTGGCTTCTCCCCGCGTTTGCCCTGGGATTGACGTCCTTTGGGGTTGTCCCAGCGAGTAGTGCCGCACTCACTTATTTGACAGATGCATATACAGATGTGTGTGAATCCTGCCACCCTTGCTTGCCCTCTATATATACCCGTATAGTGAGAGAAAGAGAGAGAGAGGCAAAAGACCCGTCGCTAACTGCTCTCATCTAGATAATAGCAGATTCGATCGTCGCCGTGACATTTACTCGAAACGTCATTTCCACAATTCTTGTCTTCGCGCTCCAGCCATGGGTCGACCGCGTCGGCCTGAAGTGGTTTTACGTCACGTTCGGGCTCATCACGCTCGTTGTGATGATGGGCAACCTGCTGTTTGTTTATTTTGGGAAGAGCTTCCGGGTCAGGTCGGCGGGGAGATACGGCCGTTTTGCTCGGCAGTTGGGTATCTGAGATTCAAGGCTCGTTGTAATGACTAGGCGAACAATATTTTTCTTGGGTATGGGTTGCGCAGATCTACCAGCAAGCCTCGTATTGAAATGCTGTTTCAAGAGCAGAGGGTTTCTTCTGCACAGGCCCGTATACTAGGTACGCAAATAGTACTTGGAGTACATGGCCTAAGATTCTTATCTGACCAATGGCGTCGTTTTGCGCGATTGTTTCCCCATTGCGTAAGGAACGGCGGCCTCCAGAGCTCCACTTGGGGGCTCCAGGCGTTCAAAGTGCAGGGCTACTTCGTGTGGGGTACGCCACTCTTATCTGCAGTGCTGCACTTTAGTCATATTGTAGGACACTTGTCAAACAAAAACGACGAGGCAAATGACCAACGTGTCCGCGCTATCGGGTTACAGACGGAACAGGACGCTGATACTGGAAGGGATACAGAAATCAATGTGTCATACGTACCCAAGAGCCCTATTTAGTAGTGCTATCACTAGGCGGGGACTTCCGTACCGACTCACTCTCTCATGATGGATTACCCCGCAACATGGCCGCCAACCTCGCCATCGTCCCATTCCGCGTCGCCTCGCGAAATGCCTCCACCCGAGACAACAGAAGGCCCCGGTCTCGTTGGCGCGAGGCGAACCGCACCAATACATAAATAGGCCATCCGTAGTATTCTGCGTAGTAGTCCGTAGCTGGTTGGAGGAGGCTGACGAGCCGGACACCCTCTGACACGAGGCTGGGGATGTTGAATGGAGTCTGCATGCTGTTGTGATGGTGGCCGTTGTGAGTGGCACGCAGCATGTCGGCGAGCAGGATTTCGGCTGCGATTATGTAGAGCGTTGGGCCGAGGAATGCCGGGTTGTTGCTAGAGGTTGTACCAGCCCCAACTGCAGTATTAGCGGTATCCGGGAACCCGGTCAAAGATAGTCCCTTCTGATACAGGGAGCGGTATTGGGATAATTGTGCCTTGAGCTCTTGACATGGTTGCAAACGACCATCGTCGTCTGCGCGGCGCAACTCGTACGCCCGATGCATTAGCGAGATCTCCCGCACGAGCACGAACAGTCCCGGTGGCGCACCCAGAACAGGAGAGTCCGGGTGCCCCAATGTATCTGCGCGACTTGGCATGGTATCCAGAGCACCCTGCGCGAGCTGTATCGCGGGATTGAGATTCGCCGTCTGTTGCTCGGGTAGAGGGTTGAATGGGACACTCGTTGCGGCGTGGAATATGAAGCCTTCCATCACGACATGGCGGAGTCTATCATCATCCCCAGAGGAGCCTCGACCACCCGCTCCAGACAACTCAGACTGAACCATCTGGGCGAGCCCGGATAAATGCGCGCCCACTCCGCTAGATGGCCCTGGTCTGGACCGCTATCCCACTCGTCCCAGCATCAGTCAAGCCTACCACCAGAGCGCTCCGCGGAATGTGTCTGGGAACGTACCTCGAATATACACAGGATAAGAACCGTAGAGGCAATTGCTGTGCTGTGTCTCCTCGAGTCGGCGCCGCCAAGCGCCTCGCGCAGTCCCGTTAAGGCGCGCACGTAATTCCTTGCTGATAAGCGGTGGAAATACTCTCGGGCGGCAGCATTGGAAGCGGGGTACTCGGCTCCGCACGAGGCCAACAGGGCATGCATGTAAAACGGCGTATGCATTGCCATGGCCATCGATTGCTGATAGCAAGATTCGACTACTGGCGCCGAAGCCATGGGCCGGAACAGCTCGCGGAGCCATTTACTGCGTACAAGGTCGAAGATCGGCCGGCTGCCAGTACAGAGGGCCAGCGCTCCGGTTTCACAAGGTACCGTCCGGGGTAGAGTCGGTCTAGCAGGCTCTTCTTTAGGAGGACCTGTCTGATCCGGAGGGTTGTGGCCGTGGGACATGCTCGCACTCTGACTGCTGATTATGTATGGTGGAGTTAAACATGTCGTTGGGGACGATGGTAGCTCCTGTGAGGCCTCTGCGTCATGGGAGGTAACCAGCAAGGTGTCCTGTGCGGACTGCAGCCGTGTTGGCGCGTAGAGATTTGATTGAGGATCATCCAAGGCCGGATTATGTGCTGTATCATGACTTACAAGCCCCGAGGGCCATATACATGTGAGCCACCTCCGATCACAATTCCGGCACGTGCCTTGTTGCTCGTCGCACTTCTTTCGTCTTTTGCGGCCTGCGGTATCTCATTAGCCCATCGTTATCAACCAGATCTGTCATTGGCCATGAAAGATGTCGCATCAGCGATTGATAGATATTGGAATGAGTCCATACATGTCATACACCCCGTCTTGGTTCTGAGGTGCGCAGGGGCCCTGCGGGGGCGGCGATATGATTTAGGAGTCGATGGCATTAGCTCTGGCGTAGGACTTGTCTCCTCTCGTGCTTGGTAGAGTATAGACTGGACGAGCGAGTCGAACTGCAGTGCTGTGTGGAATGTTTGATTGCAGTCCTGCGGGGAATGCCACGTTTTCCGCGTCATGGGACCTCCTGACTCCAATTCCATCCCTAGACATTTACCCCACAATCGCTTATCTTTAAGGTAGTACTATCCGACCAATGGTGTCACTTTGCGCCCTTCAACTTTCGAGCCTGGTTGTATACGTCCTTGCACCTGCAGTGGGTTAACTAGGCCGTCTTCCACACATGGCCGAGACTAAATACACACTCAGCTCGTACTATCCGTTCCCTTATCGGTGAGTTACATAAACTTCTATATATACATTGTTCGTTACTACCAGCTCGAAGTTACTCGCTAATCTTCCAGGGCAAAAACTCCCTGTGTGGAGCAGTGAAGGACGCCACCTGCCAGGGGCACCGCACGTACTGCAAGTGGCCGAATAGTACGGTCCGGGCATAACCTCTGCAAGGTCTGCACTGCGTCCTGATCACGAACCGCATCCCCAAACTGTGGAACGATCAAGCCTCCGTTGACAAAGTAATAGTTGACATAGTTGGTCGCGGGCTCCTCATACGTCAACGGACCAAGGGCTTCAGGATCGGGTTCGTCTATCGTATGAACCTCGAAGCGCCGGCCCTTTGCATCGACCGACTGCGCGAGGATATCCCTGATTTCTTCATAGACCTCAATCCACGGCTTCGGTGCCGAGGGGTGCGGGCGCGAGAGAACAACAACGCCGGGACGCACAAAGTTGACCTCGGCGTCCGCATGGACATCCGTGACATCAAGCCCCTTCCGACCAGGAAACCATATGATCTTCTCGACTCCCAGGAGACGACTGAGTTCGGCTTCAATTTCCGAGCGTGAGAGACCGGGATTGCGATTCTCATTAATGATGCTGCTCTCCGTCGCGAGTAGAGTGCCCTCGCCATCCACGACCAGCGCGCCACCCTCCAGGCAAATCTTCGACTCAACAGGGGTTACGGGAGACGGAGATGTATCCGACTCAATAACCCGCTTCGCAAAAGTAGAGTTCTCCTCTAGCTCCGCAGGGCTCATCACCGGCCAATCCCGACCGTCTGCCGCGCGATGCGCGTCTGCAACTTCCTCCTTTCGACCCCATTCGGAAAAGCCAAAGTTGATTGCGAACCGGCGGTGTCGGTTGGATTCGTCCGCCGCGCGCACATACACGGGCCCAGTGTCGCGGACCCAGAGGTGGTTCGTGGGAAATGGAATAATGGACACGTTGGAGATGTTGCCCTTGGATTTGGCGATGGCTTCGTGGACTAGCGACTGTGCATTGGTGACATCTTCGGGGCGGGCGTAGAGACGGACGGGTTCGAATGCTGAGACTACCCCGGCGAGGGCTGCGATCTCACTGCAGGCGAGTTTGTAGTACTCCCGGGCGATGGACTGTTTGGATGGGAATCCTAGAATCGTGGCAATGTGACGCGAATACCCGGCAGGGTACATGTATCGAGCAGCCGAGGTGCTGGCCATGGTCACGGCGGGGGATGATCAATGTGCTGGACAGCAAACTGAAGACAGGGTGTACTTTCCTGGTCTTATTGGGATGTCTCGAATTTAGTCGTCGGGGTCAAGAATGGTATTTGTAATGACTCCCCCGATAGGAGTTCAGGTTAACGCAAGGACCTGCCTTGATGGGCGTAGTGACCCCGGATCCCGAGGATGCCGGGTGGGGCACGAGATCAACCAATGGGGCCCTCTAGCTATACGCACTAGCCTAGTCTTATACATCGTGTTGGAAGACACACAGGCCCCTCGCAAGGCGATATGAACAAGAGCGCTAGAAGGAGAATGTGGTCGTTGCGATGAAGTTGCGAAGTACATTCAAAGTCTGGTTCATTTCTTAACCTCGTTATAACCACCGACCATAACGTTACCAGGGATGCGATAGCTGCGGAATCTTTCTATTTGTCGTCGAGCAACCCACTTGTGGGCGGACGACTTCAAGGGCGCTTTCCGCTCGCTAGATCGGTGACGCCCTCTGTTCATGAGTATGAGGAGTCTAGCTACAGGATCGAGTTTCGTCGTCGGGGTTGAAGAATGGTATTTGTAAATGACTACCCAGGGAGGAGTTCAGGTGGATAGCATCTGCTTATGACCATATAGCGATCTACATCGTCAACATCTCTGGGTATGTACAAACCTGATCGACCGACGTTGACTTGGAAACGCCTGCCCCGACAGGGTTCTGTGGTAGCTATTGGATCCGCCTCAATCTAGACGAGGGCCACTAGGCAATTCTCAATCTATTATCAATACGTTTTATCCATTCCTTGCACATCTTACTTTTCAGGGAAATGCAGGCTATATACTGAGCATTTTGTGATTAAATAACGTGAAACGAAGTGATAGTCCAATATAGTCTTTTCATCCTATTGTCATGAAATTCAAGGTCCATCTTTCCGGACTCGCCAACGCACGTGGGCTCATGTAGCAAATCCTTGTAACTCTGGTAGACTAGCCACACCAGCCTTTATAACATGAACGGCCTGGAAGGATATGCCGTCTGCTATCTGAGCGAAACTAGATCATCTGGTACAGCGACATTACAACGTCTGACAGAGATCTAATTAATAGTATTGAATCTATACAATCATTTATATTTTATTTAATTCAATATAGTTTATCTAATTTAAATGCTTTTAAAGATATTAAAAAGGTTATTCCTTATTCTACTATGCGTCAATTAGGTAAGTTCGTGCTATGGTGCTGAGAGTGTATCGGCTGCTGCCTAAAATTATATCGTATACGATGTGTCACAGCGGATGTGGCGGATCGCCTGATTACGCTAATTAGGGCCTGGCTGAGCAAGCTCAGCAGTGATAGCCTTTTCGGTTGTAGCTTCGTGCCTTGCCTAATTCGGACGTCTGTTACACGATGAGTATAAAGTTAATAGGTTGTAAAAGATTTACAGTTTCAACAATAACCAAACAACTTTTTTTTTTTTAGTATTTATAGTAATATGCCCTACCCATAACAACCAACGCCGTTTAAAGCAGCCCCAGTTTAGTGTTTACTGTTTTTTCAAGTTTCCACCCCCCTTATAATTCAAACCATGATCGACTATCATCCTCCGCACATAGGAATCTCTCAATAGAATACATCGCCGCCAATATCGTCTCCGAGTCTTAGTGAGACACTGGGCTCTTAGGCCTCGAAGTCCGCATCGCATTCGGATCCGCCTCCTTCCCCGCATCCTCAACCAGAGCCTGGATGCGCGGATGCGACGGACGGCGCGTCAGAGTCTGCGCCGTACGCGCCGCGACCGTTGCTGGACGAGCGGCACCGGCACCGGCATTGGCATTGGAATTGCCCTGTCTAGCCTGGGATTGGGACTGGGACTGGGACTGGGGCTGGGACTGGGACTGTTGAGAGTTGTTGGAAGACATGTCGACTGGCTTGATTGAATTGGTCGGTCGATTGTTCGGGGGAAAGGACTATATAAGCTAACGGACTGGTTTGAAGCTCGTTGTCTTTATAGCGCTTCTGCTTGAGAGGATGATGAGGATGATGGCGAGGACATGGTCGATGGGGTGACTCGAGGGCTTTTTATATTTACGGCTCTCGGCTGGAACAAAGTATTTTGGAGTGAAAGGGGTCATTGTTTCCCAATCGTTTGTTTAGCATCTGTCGAATGCCTGGACAATGAAGAAGTCGAGGGACGAATCCTTTGTTGGTGTTGGATGCATTGTGGTGACAACAAAGGGTGAGTGATTGATAATGCATTCTGACTCTCATGTTCAAAGAATGCAGAGTATGAATCTTCATAACGGGGTTAAGTGTAGACTATGCGATGTGGCTTTGTTGGTATGATTTACTTTCTTTCATCATCTACGCTTGTTCTCGACATAGATGTGAGGATAGTTATAGTGTAATCAAGGTCAATGCGCCGAGTGTATGAAAGCTTAGTATACATTGTGAGACAGAGTAGGTTATATGTGAAGCGATCCAGAAAAAGCAAGGCGGGATAGTTTGGTGTGAGGAGAAACATCGGCAGGTCAGGCAAAGTCAGAATATCCCATGTGCACTTCGACTCCCACGCTCCAGATCACTGTAACTAGTTTAGCGAAACGCATTGGCGGGGGCGGTTGCATACGGAGAGACAATTAGAGGCTCTGTCTTATGCTTTGGCTTTGATATCAGCGTCATCGGGTACCGTGTCCCCACCCGGTGTTTCTTGCGATTGTGATTGTCGCTGCACCTGCGCATATAGCCTCCTTATAAACGCCTCCGATTCAGCGGCGTACTTACAGCGCGCCCTAACCGCCGCGCCATACTTGTAAAACAGAAACGGAAACGGAGCACACGCCAGAGCCAAGAACGCCGGGATGGAAGACGCCCAGTGGATTCCCAACGCCTCATACGTGTACGAGGTAAACAAAGGAAACGCTGCGCCGAACAGAGAGCGCAGCACTGAATTCGCCGCCAGCACTGATGCAGCATAGAATGTATATGCGTCGATCAGGTAGTTCAGGATCCCGAGGACGATAAGCACCAGACCGAAGCCAAAGGGGGCACCGGCTGCAGTGCAAGCCATAAAGTGAATGGATGGAGAGTTTGTCCATGCGAACCAGACAAGACCAATTGGGATTGTGATTGATGCGAGGATGCAGGGTGGTAGCCGGGACTCGGGGGATGGGGCGCCCCCATGTCGAGACTCGGTCTTGATGTAACGGATGTTGTTGTCAATAATGGTGTAGGCGACTGCCAGCAACATGCCCACCACAATGGCAAGAAATGGGAGGGCGCCTACGCCTTGATTCCACCCTCGGCCCTGCTGGAACACAATTGGATACGCAGCGAAGAGCATAAAAAGTGTTCCGTAAAGGATGGCCATGTAGACTGATAATAGGAAGACAATAGGTTCCCGAAACAGGAGAACCCACGGGCGAGATAATGCAACTTTGAATGAGGTTTTGAGGCTGACTGCTTTCTGGTCAATATCGGCTTGGGTGCGATGGGTCCTTCCAGTCATGGTGGACAGTTTGGCCGCACGATGGCATAAAAGCACGGGGGCGTAGGTTTCTGGGATCAGCAGAGCGCCTACAATCCAGACAAGCCCGGAAAAGGCCCCGAGGAGGCCCATGACCCAGCGCCAGCCGGCTTTCAAACCCAAGAACCCACCAGCAATAGGACCGATGACGGGACCTGCGACACCACGATTAGTTTACCCGACTAGCCATGGGACCGAGACAAGGGATAGCGTACCCAAAAATGGTGCAGCCGCAAATATACTCATGGCGATCGCTCGCTCCTTTGTTGGGAACATGTCTGCAATCACCCCTCCTGCGTTGGTTAGCGGTGATGATCCAAATGCGCCGGCGAAGAATCTCAAGACTAGAAGTGTCCAGCTATTCTGAGCACCGGCGGCAGCACAATTGAATGCGGTCAACGCGCAGTATGTGGTGATGAAGAGGATCTGCCGGCCGAACATTTCACTGAGCGGCGCCCATAAAAGAGGCCCTGGATATCATGCAGTCAGCTAGGCGTTTGCAAATGTCGCAAGTTGCCAGCGGGCGGATACTTTACCTATCGCGAAGCTCACAACAAACAGTGAAACCCCCAGCGTTGCAATCTCGGTGCTGATGTGAAATTCTTCGATGATCTGTGTGATGCCACCCGAATATGCCGAAGAATCAAGTGAGACTGCCAATGTCGCCAAGGCCATTACAATCGTAATGGACCATTTCTTCCCTGGACTGAAGCGCATGGGATCGCGAGGGTCATCCGGGATCCATGTTACCACATATGGGTCTTCCTCAGTGCCAGAGCCGGGGTACGAATAGTCAATGATTTCCTGCGTTACGATGCCTTGCTCGACGACCAGTCGCCAGTAGGGAATATGGGTGCCTGGGGGCGATTCGCTGCTTTTCGCCATGGGGGAGAAGTTGTCTGGTGCTGGATTATCTTGTGGCAAAGAACTGGTGCTGAATAGATATGAATCATATTCTGCAAGGTAATGCATACAATTAGTTGGGCAGGGTTATAAATGATCTGGTAACTTTCTGAGCGGGCTGGTGCCGCTCGGATCATCGCTCGGACGGTCATGCGGATGGTGGTTCGGGGTTACCGCACAGCACCGAGAGCTGCTTGAAGAGGTGATTGCAATACTCCAGGCCCATAGCAAGCCATCTTGTATCTGATTGGAGAGTGAGTGGAGCAAGTGTTGGCTGATTAACGCCGTTAACTCCTTCCTGCGCCGGTCGCTCCTGGACTCTTTGTTCTCTTCTTCCTTCCCATCTCCATCTCTCAACAACTCCAAAGCAATGTCAGCAGAGCTCCTGGCTAAACAGCGCCGGCGGAGAGACAAGCCGCAGCTATCCTGCAATCCCTGTCGCAAGCGAAAGTACTCGCCCTTGGCCCCCACTATATCCCACCACCCAAAAATCAAGCACAACAGTAGAACACGACTGATTTGACCTCGATCAAATAGAGTACGATGTGATCGGAGCATACCCTGTCAGACATGCGTGAGCCGCGGAGAACACGACATCTGCGTCTATGGGCCTCATCCTCCTGCTGTTTCCCGAATACATCAATCCGACCATGACTACAAGCACCCTCGTCGTGATCGTTTAGTCATCCATGAAGACGTCGTCCCCATACCAGATCCGCATTTAAATGAAGTCTCTGCAGAACAGAACCCAGCGATAGCCGGTGCGGCAGATTTGGTTGGCGGCGAGAATTGGCCAGATATCGAGAATATAGTATGATCACCGCGTTTTCTTGACGCACCACTACTGATTTACCAATCGACATATAGTTCCCAAGTGGCGAGCGGACAGCTGAAGAGCAATCGTCCCACTTACCTCAATTGCTGCTCGGGCTACGCAAGGGTACCACTGTCAAAAGTCTGCTGGCATCGGTTCCCCAAAGGCGCAAGTTGACCGGTTGGTCTCCAAGTACTTCAACTCGTTGGATCTGGCAGTATGTAAGAATTGAGCCTGTTCGTGTCCTCCAACCGGAGCACAGAGCTAATGCACTACTGTATATCACAGGGGTCAGTCACCCGCCAACGTTTCAAGACCAAGTATATCTACCCTTCCGAGGTTTGCTAGTCACTATTACTGATACAGGCTGAACAGTATGACCGATTTTGGGAAGACCAAACCTCAGCAATGCCGAACTGGCTCAGCATCCTGTTTAGTATCATGTGCCTGGCCACCGATCTTATGCTGCACTCCGGCCAGCCGCTACCTTTGACGGACTCGACGGGGCAACAATCGGTGATTACCTTTCGAAAGTGTAGTGCGCAATGTCTGTTGTTGAGTAATTATACCAGACCTACCACCCATACAGTCGATGCGTTGCTGTTGTATTTCTACACTGAACTCCTACACTTGCACGACACAGACTTTGGGCTGCACCTTGTCCTCACAATGATGATCCGAGTGGCGATGAAAATGAACTATCACCGCGATTCATCTCACGGTCCAGAAATCTCCATCTTTACCGGCGAGATGCGACGGCGAGTGTGGGCTCTCTTGGTTCAGCTCGACATCCTCGTGTCTCTTCAGGTTGGCCTCCCGCGGATCATCGACGAGCGAGATTGCGACACAAAGGCTCCGCGCAACATCCCCGCCGAGGAGTTGCATCCCGATATGACTACATTGCCTGCTTCCCGATCAGAATCGGGCAGCGCACCTGGATCATATATGCGGGCGAGATCCAGCTTGATCTCCGTGCTAGGACAAATCCACGACCAGCTCACATCCGTTCATCCTCTAGATTACAAGACCGTCGTTCAGCTCGATGAGATGCTGAACGCGCAACACAAGGCACTGCCCCAGGGCCTTCAAGTACACAAGTCCCCTCGGGTGACGGACTCTTCGGCGGCTGTAATGAGAAGCCTATCATTGGACCTCTTGTTTCAAAAGTCCCGATGCGTCCTGCATCAGCGGTACATGACGCCTCAAAATCGACTGTCGTTGGAGACATGTATCGACGCCGCCCCGGCGATTATTCGTCATCAGTCATATGTATATCGCGAAACCCAGTCCGGGGTACTCCTGAGCGGTCATCTGTGGAAAATCACGTATCTAGCCACATACGACTTTCTTCTCGGCAGCATGCTTCTGTGTTTCGGACTGCAAGCAGGAGTCAATGTGACAGGTGATAGGTCGTATGACGGGCGCCAGGAGGCCATGCGAAGCGCGCTGCAGGAGTCATACAGTATATGGACGGCATGGTATGGCGAATTGAAGGGGTCGGAGCAAGTACTCGAGACTGTCAAGCGTATGCTGGACCGTGTCAAGGGCGGCGACAAGTCATCACCCGGGGATGATATTCAGAATCATAGCCTGACGACTGCATCCGGCTCTGAGTTGTTGGGTATGTGGTTAACAGTGCGAACCAACCCTTGAAGGTGGCTAATTGTTTCCAAATACAGGCCTGGGAACAGCGCCGGGTGATGTATATTTTCCTTTCACATCAGCTCCCGAAGCATCACAGACCGCAGGACTGCAGCCTCCAGCTTATTCGCTACATGATAGCCCAGAGGACAGACTGCCCGCTTCTCCTGCTGGCCCCATCGATCCCATGGATGGCTTTGATTGGGTAAGTTCCAATTACCATCTCGCTGCCGTGCCGAACTAACTCGATATACTACCTCAGGCTGCATGGGACAATCATCTACAAGAGAACGGGGTTTACTCGCAGCTCTCGGCGAGAGATATGGTCTTTTAAAGCGCCAACGGCGACGTCAGATAGAGTCTAATGTGCCACATTTTAACCACGAGTCAAGTATTACAGCCCACACAGCCAGAATAGTATCGCCAGCCTGCTATGTCTTGCCCGGGATAAGCAAAAGCCCTCATTTGGTTTGCCCGGGAACACAGGTCTTCCACAGGACCATCGCTCAAGCTTGGGACCGTGCTACGGACACTGTTTATTTCTGCAGCCGCGTCGACTAAACCACCACCAATTGATACTACTAATCAGGCTTGCCAGTTCCTGACGAGTCTTTTATACCTTCGAGTACGCCATGGAGTGATTCCAACTAAGCAGAGCTTGCAATCAAAGTTTCTACGAATTCGAAGTTTATAATGAACTCTGTTACACAATTGTATTGCAAACTAAATGCTGTAACGAATGAATGATATAAAAAGAATGTGAAACCAACAAACCACCCATTTTTTTTGATGATTCTATATTTCGACCTGTTGTTGGATTTTCAATTTCCCTGCGTTCAAATCATCTTCCCCTCAAACTTCCCCCGTGTAGACAACAACTGTTTTGCGTATGCGGAATCAGCGACGACCATGGTAACTCCCCGCAACCGAATGTGAATCATCCGGCACAATCGTGCGATCATCATCATCATACCCACCATACTGCAAGCCAGCATACTGGGACCCACCATGCCTCGAAGTACCCTGAGTATACCCCGACGCAACCGAGCGCCCATCATCATACCCATGCCCATACCCCCCAGCACCGTCCGTAATCCGGCGCGCACTGGAGCTCCCACCGGCACCACCGTACATACCGCGGAAGGCCTCGTCCTCGCGCACGCGCGCCGCACACGCCAGGCGATCTGCTTCATCGCGCAACGCGCGATGAAGCCGGTCAGCCATGTCTTGCCTATACAGCGAGCCGCGGTTGGGTTCGCCGTTGCCGCCGCCGTTGCCACCCATGTATTGGCGGTTGTACGGCTGCATTTCGGATGAGTAGTGGGAATGGGAACGCGCTTGGGTGTGTGCGTTGCTCACGGCGCTGCGGTGCATGTCTGATGCGTGCGTGCGCATCGTGCCTGCGTGGCTGGGTGCGTAGCTTGGAGCGTGGGAGCGGGATGGGGCGTTGGAGTGGGCGTAGCTGCCGGCTTGCGAGGCCGGGTGGTCGTACTGGGACTGAGAGCGAGAGGCGTGCGAGGTGTGAGAAGCGCGGGAGGAGTGGGAGACGTGGGAAGGGGCCTCGGAGATGATTGTTTCGGCGTAGCCGCCGCCGGAGGGACGGCCGGCTTCGGTGGGGAAGTAGTATGGTTGAGGAGGGGCCATTTTGATTGTATTAATTGATTGATGAGGGAGTGGTGGATTGGTTGGTTTGGTAAGTTGGTGGAAGTTTGTAGTTACTTTTTAGTGGAGTGGGTTGTTTGTTGGAAGAAAGTACTGGGAAAGTCGATTATGCTGTCTAAGCTGATCGGCTTTGTAGTGCTTTCCTGATGAGGAGGTTGGTGATGAGGAGAAGCAGATTTTGTGGAATTCGAGACGGGTAATATAGCATTATGGATAAAGAACGCTGGTTAGCAGGCGTCTGCCATTGATAATGCTTTGTTCTAGCCAGATCAGTGGTCTTGACAATGGAGGCAAGGCGTTGATAATGCTTTGTTGACGCCCAGCTCAAGGGTCCACTAAAGCACGAGGTGACTAAAGGTCTTTGCGTTTTGCTTTGTATACAGGTGTCCCTTTTCTTATGCCCGGTTCAAAGGGCCTTGACTTCGTGCTACCTCGAGTATCGGGTTCTTTCTAGCGGCGGAGCACAGGAAGATGTTTCAGTCTTCACCTTCCTTCGAAGCTGTTTTATCTACCCTGGGATTAATCAAAAGCATTTTCTGCAGCTCCCCAACGTGTACTCCAAACGGTCATTCTCCCCAGTTTTAGTGCTTTTATGCTGTAGATTTCTTTAGACCATAAGCTACACGTTCTGGAACCGAGTAATATCCTTTCTTTATCTCTCTCGCAAAGCCATAACTTAATCTCGGCGACCTCACTTGTTGGCCCCGCATGGGATAAAGCCCATGGCTATTCTCAAAGAGATTTTTTCCTTGACAGTCTACACCACCGATACATCTATGTGGAAGACCCCTTGCCATCCGAGGTCGCATCGTGGCTCATATACGGCGATTCGGAAATGGCTGCGTACCTATTACTGCTCATGCCCGGTCGCCAAACCTTGGGTCCCTTCTTTCACTATTGGGCTCCACCGAGCGGTAGATATGCCAGTCATCAATGGAGACCGATATAGTAACCTAATCTACCCTGAAGGTTGTCGATACGGAATCTCAGAGGCCCGTCGCCAGGAGCCAATAAGCTTGCTGACACACCAGCCTCATTCACCATGGCGGCTTCGATTGAAAAAGTGCTCTACCCGATAGAATATTCCTTCAGACCAGAAGCTCGCCTGCGCTTTACGGTTTGTGCATCACCTAGCAATATCCAGACGGCAACACTCCTGAGCAGAATATACCCAAGTGGCGAGTGATAACTTGGCACAGGGTATCAACATTGTCAATGGTAGCCTTCCTCGCGGAAGAGCTGCTCACAAGATACCGCAGGAGAAGAAACGTTACTTGTCTAGCTGCCGCCGGGATCTCTTGCTTCATCTTAACCTTAGTTACCTGTTTATCCGCACCGCCCGCGGCATTCGTAGAAACAGGGTTCATCATCCAAAACAGACTCCGGTTCCTCTGACCAAGGATCTCACCGATTATGTCTCCATTCTGCGTCTTCCAGCAGTCAGTCAAGTCTATTAGGGCGACGAGCCCGGGGTAGGATGGGAATGTCACCGGCAGAGCGGTATACTGTGTCATCGGAAAGTTGGTAGAATTCGCATGGTACCTTGGCTTCTATAGTAAGAGCCTTCTATTCCAGTCCTTAGAACAAGGAATCCATATCATACTAATTACTGTGTCTGAAGTTACCAAAGCGCCAACTCAGGAAACAAGAACATATCTGCCCCTGCTCTCTAGGATATCAACACCCTGTCTGTACCTGTAACCTCCACACCGCAGCCCCGAAAGCAAATCGAGCCACCCCTCCCCCGAAGGAGAATCACGCCCTTAGTCAAACAACCTGAGACGTTGTCCCCCGCCCATCCAAAAACCGCTCCAACTCACGCACCGGCTCCAGCGAAGGCGGATTCGGCACTTTGCGCCTCCACACCTCCTTCCCATCCTCGTACACCACAAACGTTGGCCACCACACGACCTCTGCCGCCTGCTGGATCGTTGTCCCTGGTTCGACGAGCCCGTTTACCTGCATGTACTCTCAGTCAGTGGCTGGGAACCGAACTAGTCTAAAGGGTCTAGTATGGTATGGTATCTCCCACGAGTGATTCGCCACGGACCTTAAAGAACCGCACGGCGGCATTGTTCTCGCGCGCTGCAATCTGCTCGTAGATGGGCGCTACGACCTGGTGGGTGTCAGTTTGGTTAGTGACCCGTGGTTCTATTTAGCAGGTTCGGGACAAGGATTTATTTTGCTCAGTTCACTTACCTTGCATGGCGGACACTGCGTTGAATAAAAATCGATAACCACAAGGCCCGGCTTGAGTAACTCGGTGGCGTAGTCGTCCAGACTGGTCAGTTCGAGTACTTGTGGCATCTTGGAAGATTGCGTGCGTCTGGTTGTGAGGGGAGCGGGATAGCCAAGGTACAGCGACAAGTCGAGCTTATGAACGGCCATGGGCGCTGGTTGATCACGCCTGCCGGCCAGCTTGAGCCCGCCCAGTGCCCACCGGGTCCGGCGGGGGAAGGATGCTGGCGTCAGTGCTGTGGAGCATGGCGCAATTGGAGAATCTGTCGTTGGAGATTTAGCTCGAGTTCTCGAACCGCCCGGGGCTAACAGGGACTCCATTTCGGTCCGTTGGCCCTGAGCCATGGATGTTCCAGTCACTGTGGGATTCCTTCTATCATGACTACTGATCTTGGCTGAGTCAAACACCGTTTAGTACTTTGGTATCCTATTAATGTTGATTTCTCGCGTGCTAGCCATGCATCCAATGGCATTGAATTAATCGATTGTATTCGTTCGGATGGCCACTACAGTGAGTCCATGGACCTTCATACTATTACATCATCTCACATTCAGTCAACGGTTCCTCTTCTAGATCGCCCGCTCCCCAACGGCGACGGCGACGTCCTTTTCATACTGCAGTTCACCATCAACCGCCGGATTCCTCCTCTCGCCCGAATTCGGCTCAATCCCCAACTTCGCAGCTTCCTCCGGTGTAAACGTGCCAAACTAAACCAACTCGTTAGACCAGTTCCCCTTCATAAGCATCAAAGCGCATAGAACGGAGAGACACTTACCGAGTCATACTCATCAACCTGCCCCAACCCCACCGGCGGAAACGCCACACTCAGCCCCCAATGTGCCAGAAAGGAGATCACATACCCGGTGATAAACCCCGTCCAATACGTTTCAACAAGACCCTGCGGTACGAAATTGGCTGGATCGACACTCGCCATGCCGCCGATTGTCGGCGCCCAGCCTAGGATCCAGGCGACGTATGCTCGGAAATTTATCCCGCGCGTAAAGTAGTATATCCCCCTGGGGCTCGGGTGGTAGAGGTCGCTTAATTTGACTTTTTGTCTGCGGACGAGGTAGTAGTCGGCTGTGAAGACGCCCATCAGCGGGCCCAGGATGACTGTTTTGTCTCGATTAGCATTCCGATCTTGCTCGGAGGTACACGTAGGCGGAAAGGAAGGAAGGGGGTGACGTACTCCCAAAACTGTTCAAGGCCGCCGTAAAACTGGCAGCCTTTGCAATGATATACCACGGGTTCAACGCAACCGAGACCGCCGCAATCAGATACGACCCGCGCCGAATATTGATGTATTTCGGCGCCAGCCCTGCAAAGTCCATGCCCCCCGAAACCCCATTCTCGACAGAGTTCAAGCCGAGAACATTAAGCAGCAGGCCCAAGGCCGTAAAGAACGCTGCGGCACGCATCGCAGGCCGGTCATACTCGCGATCCAGCCACACCTGCACGATCGTCGGTGGATTCCAGAGACCCAGTTCCGTCACGTCGCCGTAGAGTTTCCCCGCGGCGGATGTGCCCAGGATTCCAAAGACGGGGACGATGGTTCCGAAGAAGAGGACGCCAAACGCCTGGCCCTTGATCTGGGCCCGCGGGTTGCGCGCGAAGCGTGAAAAGTCCGTTTGGCTAGTCATGCCCACGGCGTTGCCGCCGAGGAGGGTTGTTATTCCGCGGATGAAAGCCCAGGCGAGGTCATGGCCTGGGGATGCGCTTGCGGAGGTGGAGATGTACGAGCCTGCGCCCTTGGCGGCGGCCATGAGGCCGATGGAGAGGCCGAAGATGGAGAGCGTGCTGGCGATTATGGCGATACGGAGGGGGCGGCGCAGCTTGTCGGGGGGTAGATATAGAAGAGGGAGAGCGATGATGTTGTAGATGATGAAGCCGGTGAATTGCTTTGTGGTCATCGAGGCGGAGGCAGGGAGGGTGTTGGGGAGGTTCTGGTAGGTCGGGAAGATGGTGGAGAGAATGGCGCTGACGAGGAGGCCGCCAGTGAAGGACTGGACTCCGTACCACACTACAATCTTTAGATATAAGTGTATGCAAGTTTGTTCTGGGACATACCGCAGGTCACCCCGACACGAAGCACAATGGGCAGCACCGACCCCCAAATGCCAAACGTGTACCGCGCTTGGATGGTGAATGAAATGTGCCATACACCACCAATCCTGCAAAAGGTCGAAGTCAGTACTCTTATCTTCATATAGTGTTCTCGAAGCAGTAGTGACTCGCCATCCTAGACTGAGCACGACCAGGTACTGCAACACGCGAGCAATGATCGTACAGACAATAGCCTGCCAGACATTAAGCCCAAAGGAGAGCAGCGACGACGTAGCCTGCCATCCATAGATGGTGAGAAAGACGGTGCTCCATAGATTGACAAAGTCAAAGTCCGCCCACTGCCTTCGGTCCGGCGGCAGAGGGACGAGATCGCAGTTCTGCCACCTGTCGGGGGGGATGTCGTTATCTCCCTGCTGCAGCTGCACCACCCGCTTGACCTTTTGAAGCACACCCATTGTGTATCGCAAAACGCGAGCTATCCTACCAATATTTCTACAGCTCCAGCCATACTTTTAAGTGCTTTGGGATGCTTTTCCTTTGGTATGGGATCTTGTTGGCGATTATGTCGTGCTAGCACGCCATGCACCGGCGCAGCCCTAAGTGGGACGATTTGGAGTAGATGCGGTCCACAGTCAATCTCGCATGACTCCGATCCGGCGGGCCTGTCAGAAACGGTGCACTTAAGAGCGAAGCGACGGTCAGTAGATTCTCTGCCAAACAAGTGGCTCACTCACACGCTCTGGCCACAAACCATGACCGCCGATTCGCCCCCAAAGCAAACCCGCCTCCGAATCGGAGTCGATGTCGGAGGTACGACCCCATCCCCATTCACGTGTCCTGCTCCAAACTAAGGCGAATGCAGGAACAAATACCGATGCCGTGGTTCTGGATCCGACGAAGCATGCTACTCCAACTCGTGGCGTGCTCGCGTCATACAAGACCCAACGACATCAGACACCACGATTGCCGTGGAATCCGCTATCCGGGAGGTAATAGCCCGCGCCAAAGTAGAGCCCACAGCCATCTCCTCCGTCACCATTGGGACGACTGCGTTTCTCAATGCGGTGATTGAGCGGGAGCGCAGCCGACTCAGCCAGGTCGCGGTTCTGCGCTTGTCGAAGAGTTTCCTACGCGATGTTAGGCCGTTTAGTGACTGGCCGATGGATCTTGCTGAGGCTATTCGGGGGTATGTCGGGTATGTAGATGGTGGATTGCATATTGATGGCTCGGAGGAAGCACCTATCGTTGAGGAGCAGGTTGTGGCTCAGTGTCGTGAGATTCGGGAGCGCGGGCTGTCGACTGTTGTCATTGCAGGGGTCTACTCACCCATTGACCAGGAGTTCCATCAGGAGGACCGAGTGCGCGATATTGTGGCTTGCGAAATCCCCGGTGCCGATATCGTGTGTTCGCACAAAGTCGCAAATATCGGTCAGTTCCTCGCCACCTCGAATCCATCATCGCTTTGGCATGTACTGACTGGCTCTGCAGGCTTCCTTGAGCGCGAGAACGCCTCAATCATCAACGCTGCCATTCTCCGCTTCGCCCGCCAGACCATACGCGGCTTTCAAGCGGCCATCCAGAAGCTGGATCTCCCCAGCCACTGTCCCTTGTACCTAACGCAGAATGACGGGACGCTTCTGGACGCTGCATCTGCGGCGCGTGTTCCGATCCGCACGTTCTCTTCCGGCGTGACCAACTCCATGCGGGGGGCAGCCTACCTCTCTGGTCTGGCCTCGGGCTCGGAGGAACAAGAAGGGTCGGGCGAATCCGCCATCGTCGTGGATATTGGAGGGACAACTACGGATGTAGGCGTTATGCTTCCTTCTGGCTTGCCACGGCAAGCGTCAGCGTATGTCTCGGTTGCGGGGGTCAAGGTGAATTACTCGCTGCCCCATTTGCACTCCATAGGCCTCGGAGGTGGCTCCATCATCAAGAAAAATGACAACGGCGACGGTGTCATACTTGGTCCAGAATCGGCGGGGCACGAGCTACACCTGTCACTGGCATTTGGGGGGTCTGTTGCAACAGCAACAGATGTCGCCGTGGCTGCTGGCCTTGCGAGAGTCGGTACTCGTCCTGTGGCGTCCGAGAATCTGGATAAAGGGTTTGTCAGTGATACCCTCGCGCGTGTCAAAGCCATGCTCGAGGAAGCAATCGACACCGTTAAGACATCCCCAGACCCCATGCCCGTCTTCCTCACTGGTGGTGGGTCTGTCCTCGCGCCAGAGAATATCGAGGGTGCATCGACGATCATACGACCACCCTTCCACGACGTCGCGAATGCAGTCGGAGCCGCGTGTTCCAAGGTAGGTAGCACGATTGACATTATCCAGAACACATCCGAGCGGACTATGGCCGAAGCGACAGAGGACGCGAAACGCATGGCGATCGAAAAGGTTGTCTCCGCTGGTGCACTACAGGAAACGGTCTATATCGCCAGAGTCGACGTTATGCCCATCCCGTACCTTGATAACCAGGTTCGTTCGGTTGCGACAGCCATTGGGGACCTTGATATTTCCCGTCTCCGTCCAAGTATCCCACAAGCCGTGGAGGACGACGATGAGGAAACGCATTCCGCCTCACCATCAGCCATCCCCATTCCAGACGCAAGATCAGGCCCTAGTATTGCAGAAGCAAAAGAGGACCACTGGACCTACCGTCCCAAGGTCCAGCGAAACCCCACCACTGGAATACCAGAATGGCACATCAGCACGACAGACCTCGAATACATCGCCGACGGCTGCTACCTGCTCGGCTGCGGCGGGGGCGGGAACCCTGAGGCTGGAAAGCTGCAGCTCCGAGACATGCTCAGCAACGGACACGGCGTGCGGGTCATAGACGCACAGTCTCTCGATCCCGCCAGTGTCGTATACTGGGGCGGGCGCATGGGCTCGCCAGCCGCAATCTCAGAACGCCTGCAGGCACACGAGACGGTTCTTGCCATGCGTGCGCTAGCGTCGCATCTCCGCCACACCAATAGTGAAAACGACGGGACACCCATGGACGCAAAATGGCCCTCGAGATCGGCGGCTCAAACGGACTGGAGCCATTTCTCTGCGGTTCAACCCGTTTCTTCGACCGGCCCGTGGTAGATGGAGACTTTATGGGCCGTGCGAATCCCATGTGCTGGCAGACGACGCTTACAGTGCATCGCCCCGGCGAGTTCGTTCCCTGTGCAATTGACTCGGGTGCTGGACGGACAATGGTCATGACAGCGGCGCCGCGCGATGAAGCTGTTGACAAGCCCCTGAGAGGCGCTATTGCGGAGATGGGGTCCCTGGTGGGACTGGCGCCGCGGCCGACGACTGGCGAGGCCGTACAGAATGTTGGTGTGCTGCGTAGTGTATCACTGGCGTGGAGAATTGGGAGGGCGATGGCGAGGGCAGAAGGGTATGCTGATGGGGCGCCGGATGCGATTGTGAAGGAAGTTGGGGGTGTCGGGAGCGCAAAGGTCCTGTTTCGGGGGAAGGTGGCCGGAGTGGATCGCACGCTGAGGAAGGGGCTATCGGTGGGGGTGTTGCGGATTGTTGCGGATACGTCTCAAGCCAGGGCAGCTGGTTCTGATGAAGAGACGGTCGGCGAGTTGAGGATTCCCTTTATCAATGAGAACATCCTGGCAGAGCATGTGGCGTCGGATGGGACGACCAAAGTAATCGCAACGGTGCCTGATCTGATTTGCCTGATCGACCGCGACACTGGACGCGCAGTTGGAGTCCCAGAGTATTGATACGGCTGCCATGTTGTTGTGTTGGGGATTGCCTGCTCGCCACGCTGGACAGAGACTCCCAGGGGCCTGGACGTTGGTGGTCCCAAGGGGTATGGCTACGACCTCGAATACACGCCTCTTGGGAAGTATAGTGAGCCACGCAGTGTTATTGACGAGTTTCTCCAGAGGGGAGTAGCATGATTAGGAGGGACCTGCCAAAAATAATTTAAAGTGCTAATGGATTCCTCCAATAAAGTCTACACAGCAAGGTGTCGATGGTAATTTTGAAGATGGGCTGGAGGGGTTGTCGGCGAATCATGGCGTTCAAATCCTCTCTGCCTGAATGGTGCATAGACCATCCTCCGGGAAGCATACAGATCAAGACGCGGTTTCGACGTTCGGGATCAACTCGGCGTCTAAGTTTGAGCACCCACTGCCAACTACTCTTACACTGCTCTTTTTGAAACGTTCTCAGGCCCCCCTGGGACATGATTCTTCGGCGCCTAAAGTCATGCCACCATGGCCACCGTGAGCCAGGAGAAAGTCTATATATCAACGAAGAATCCACCTTTATATCAATCCTGGTGTGTGCGTGAGACTAACAAGCGATGGTGGGGTTCGACCAGGGTTTCCGTTAATTGTTAAGTCTCCTGGGCCAGCGATGTATTCAGCTTATTCTTGGTATCGGCATGCTTGAGCGACAAGGGAAGTAAATCTGTCAGGCTCGTCTCCCCCCTACAATAGCTATCAATTTATTTCTTCAAATAAAGTGACCTAATATTGCAAAACGTTTTCAAGCCCTCCACACCCCATTCACAGCCAATTCCACTGTCTTTATATCCGCCAAAAGGTACCTTGGGGTCAATCTTGGTATGTGCGTTGATCCAAACACTGCCTGCATCAATTCTTTCTGCGATTTTTCCAGCCTTCTGGTGATCAGATGACCAGATTGATGCCCCTAATCCCACATTACTTGCGTTCACTCTCGATATGACGTCGTCCAGCTCTGTCCAAGATAACAAAGGCACCACGGGTCCTAAAAAGGTTCTTAACACTTATTCATGGACCCAGGATCCCCCAGGGAATCCATCAGAAAAGAAAATTCTTTCAAGGGAAGGATGACTTACCAAAGGGTTCTTCCTGGACAATTCGCGATTTTTCAGGCGGATTACTGACCACGGTTGGCTTGATGAAATAACCGGAGCTTGGAAGGTTGTGTGATCCGCTAATCATTGTATAACCGTTTTGATTGATATCATCCAGTAAACTCTGCACTCGGTAATATTGTAGTTGGTTTTGGACTGGACCCATAAAGGCGTCCTCATCACCATTCACTTTCAATGTGTTTAAGAACTCAATCATTTTGGTCCGAAATTCGTCGTAAATGGCTGAATGAACGTAGATTCTCTTGATGGCAATACAGATCTTTGAAAACAGAATCAATGGCCTGCCGAGAGCAAGGACAAAAGAAGATAAAAACTTACCTGCCCCGAGTTGAGAAATGCTAGCGATACAATAGCTGGAACAGCGGATTTCAGGTCCGCATCCTCGCAGACAATCGCGGCATCATTTCCTCCTCTAGAAAGCAAATTAGGGATTGTGAGACCAAACTATCTTGCTCACAGGGCAACTCACAGTTCTAGGGTTACTCTGGTCAAATTGTGGCTGGCGCTCTCCATAACCCTTTTCCCAGTCGCAGTCGACCCTGTAAAGCTGATTTTATTCACTCCCGGGTGGGCGGTTAACCATGGTCCCAGATTATCATCCCCACTTAGCCCTTGAACAACTCCAGGTGAAAAGAAGCTCTGGGCCAATTCTGCGAGCTTGAGACCGCAATATGGGGTAAAAGGCGAAGGCTTCATGATCACCGAATTGCCCGTCATCAGCGCTGGGCCCAACTTGCCGCACGCTAACATGACAGGGTAATTCCATGGCACAATAGCAACCACGACACCAAGGGGTCTGAACTGTACCACCACTCGAGACTCGTCATCTTCTTTAATAACTTCATCATGAAGCTCTAAGCTAGCGATATCACGGAGCCAGTGGACGCCGTTGTCGATTTCCATGCGGGCAAAGTGAAGCTTGAGGCGAATCAATTATTAGTAAAGCTCACTTTGCTCCATTAAGTCTTGTTTCTAGAAAACTTGTAACGTACCGGTTTACCTTGCTCTTGCCTTAGTAGTCTTGTAAAGCCTTCCTTTTCTTGCTCAAGAGCATTAGCGAAGCCCAAGCCGGCGGCACGTCTTTCGCTCCACGAAGTTGCCGCCCATGCCGGGAAGGCAGCTTTAGCAAATTCGACAGCTGCCTCCACATCTATAGAGGAAGATACAGGTACCTCTGCGTTGAGTTCTTCTGTTACTGGGTTGGGACTCTGGCGCGTTGCGGTGGTCTGCCTAAGCTCGCCGTTAATCACGTTGTAGAATTTCTCAAATTTAATGGGCTTGTGCTTGTGTGCAGCCATTTTGCTATTCAAGAGATGATGTTATGAAAGTCAAGGGCAAAGGAATCTTGATCTGATACTCTTCCATAGCGTGACCTGGATGGGAAGAAGGGCGGAACCAAATAACAGAGTGACAAACCTCCAGTCCGTGCTGTGTGGGGTATACCGGGAGTTACATAAACAGCCGTTGCCCGCAGATGTCGGTTACCGGTCCGAGGCATTCGGCTCAAAATCAGCCTGACACATTCGCGCTGCAGCTTGCGGATCCGCATGGCCTGGGAGGAGGATTCCATCTTCGCAAAACACCCCGATTGATCCTCCCTTATCTGTCAAGAATATGGCTTGTCATCGAAACTTTCAGTTACTGAGTGCTGTGGGCTATGTACTGCGGCTGGCGAGTTGATGCTGCAGGTCTTTGCAGTCCGGGATGGTTTTATGTTGATTGGACTTGTGACCTTCTGTAGAATATGTACGCAAACGACATATCAAAGAGTCTGGCTAACGCTGAATATTCTTAAAGATCGCGCTCTTATGTTTTACTTGAAGGACTCACTCGCCAACGCATGATAGTCGTGTTAAGCTATGGATGACTAGTGAAGTCTGGCCGCCTTGCTTGAGTCCTCTGCGTCTATTCCCACGTCAAAACCGGCTTCACCACTGCTCCCTTCTTGAGTTGCGCAACCGCTTCTTCGTAATCTGTGATCTAAGTGATGGATTGAATATATCAGATTTATGAGATCCCGAAGACTGAGCAAGAAAACGAAAATCTATGCAAGGGGGTTTGTTCACCAACCTTGTAGTACTGAACTAATTTATCGATTGGAAATAGGCCTTCTCGGTACCATGTGATCATTTGCGGAATAGACTGTCCATAGAGTTAGCATAATCCAGTGATGTTGTATGCAATCGATTGAGAAAAAAACCTGACCTTGGACGGGATACAATCCCCTTCAATGCAACCAATGATCAAATGACCCTTCTAAAAATGAGTTAACGACCGCAGGTTCACCCCCCAAGTTATAAGTTGTACCACGCATTCATCAACAAGACTTACATTTATATGTGTTATCACGTTTAAAGGTAGCTTGTATCCCAGGGGAGGGACGCCAATAAGCACAAGTTTACCACGTTGTTGCATAGATTCAAGTGCTTCCTCGAGAACGGCAGGCGCACCTGCTGTATCGATTACTATCGATGGCCCACCAGGAGTCAAACTTTGAACGGCGTCACTAAGCGCTCTGGACCCCAGGGTGGCTGTATTGATAGTGTGATTTGCTCCAAAAGCAGTGGCTTCCTGAAGCCGAGAGTCAACCCTGTCGACCGCAATGATCATGGCACAGTTCCGAATCTTCGCTGCCTGTATGCGAGGTTTTGATTAGCATTCAATTTAGGAGTAGGACGAAGATACCAAACAGAGCCAAACTTACCATGAGTGCTCCCATCCCAACAGCGCCGAGGCCAATAATCATCACAGAATCACTAGGTCCAGCGTTCGAAGTGTTGCAAACAGCGCCCATCCCAGTTTGGAATCCACACCCCAACGGTGCGAAGAGTTTGAGCTCCGTCTCATCTTGAAGCAATCCTCTAACATTCACAATGCTTTTTTCGCTGACGACACTATAGCGTGAAAAGCTAGACTGACCGAAAAATCTTGAGTGTATCGCCTCCCCTGTTCGGCTGAGAGTCATTGAAGTTGATTGATCAACATAATTCTCAACAGCAAAGGAATCACAGTACGCAGGATGTGAGTTGCAGCACTGATTGCATGAAGAGCATGAGTGATATGACATCAAGACCGGATCGTCAACGCTGATGTTTTTGGTGTTTGGGCCAATGGCCCGCACAATTCCGGAACCTGTTATCCAGTTAGCACATATAGCAGTGAGGGGTTAGCTCTGGCTAGACCATTCCAGACCTTCATGCCCAACAACTTTTGGATAAGAAATTCCAAAGGTACCAGCAGGCACGGCTGATAGCAGAATATCAGTGTGGCATATCCCTGTCGCGCATATCTCTACCAGAACTTCACCCTCACCAGGATCACCAACGCTCACATCCTGGAGCGACCAGTTTGTATGTAGGGGTTGCATCGGCTCCAACGCCACGATTGCTTTTGTGAGCTTCATAGTCTCCGAGTTGTTTTGGTGATTCTTCTTTGGACGTATGGGCTATTTCCACGCTGGAATGGAACTCCTCACCCTGAAAACAACCCCGATATCTATTTGTTCTCGGTAAAAAGTTCCGGCAATCGTCTTTATTTTACCCGAGGTAGTCTTGCTGCGGGGACTGCAACCTAAATCCAAGACAATCTATTCAGCCAATGCTTGCAAATATAATGGTGCATTTTAAATTATGGTAAAATCAATAACTCCCACACAAGTCATACACTATTGAGCTAGATTATGGGCGTAGATATACCTAGTTCATGTATAAACCCTCTTCTCGCTCTCAAGTTGGTAGAACATGCCATGGTTAAATATGATGAAATAAAGAGAACTTTGGTTGGCTTGCCAATTTAAGAGCATCATTCATCGTAGACTATAGCGTAGGCACAAAAACTAATAACAGATGCCATTTCACCTAACCAGCCCCTTGATGTGTGAGGATTTATTTATTGCTCGGCTATATTGCTGCTCCTGTTTCTCCTCGAGCTGAGCAAGAACCTCACAGTTCAAGCCCTGTTCTTCTTTCTTTCCTGGAACACAAGCTGCAGAGGCGCAGTGACAAGCGTAAAAGTGTCTTGTTTGCCGCTCATGAATGCGTCCTCTGTCTGGCCCTTTGCAAACTTGACATCATACCTCGACAGTATCTCCGCGGTGACTCGGCGGATCTCCATCAAACCAAGCTGCTTCCCAACGCAGGAGTAGGGGCCTATCGAGAACAATAAGCAAAGCGACTAGTCTAGCTCGTTATAAGAGGTATCATGTCTTACCGGCATTAAAAGGAATGAATGCGGATGAGTCCTTGACTAGTTCGGGCTCTGAGATCCATCTCTCAGGAAGAAACTCATTAGGTCGTACAAAAACACGTTCATCTACCGGATTATGGAAATCATAAGTGGGTTAAATAAGGAGTACCGCAGAATCTGTGGCTTACCTCGAAAGAGAGTATGCGTGGGCACACACACGATGACATCTCCTGGGATATACTTGTTGCCAATCTGTATACCTTCTGGCGGTGTCATGCGTTGGGTTCCAGACGGCACAGCTGGATGGATTCGGAGTGTTTCATTAATTAACGCGTCAAATAACTTGAGTTTGGTTAACTTCTCGTAGGACAGGTCTTGAAGAGCATCTAGCTCGTCCTGGAGCTTTCTTTGCCAGGCGTGGTCGTTCGCGAGATGGAAAAATAGATTCGTCAAAGTTGCAGCGGTAGTGTCGCTACGAAAATATCGCAGTTAGCCATTATTCCCTACTGTAAAACAACACCAAATCAGTAGTACGTGAAAACGCTACCTTCCTGCAACAATAATAAGATAGGCATCACCATGTAGGTCAAGAATCTCCCTTCCATTTTGGGGTCCTTGCTGAAAAGCTTTGAGAAGCCAGGAAAACACGTCTGGAAGTTCCGGGTGGTTCTATTCCGCAATATAAGTTTCTGTTCGCTAGAACAATAATGTAACTCACCTTCATTCGCTGTGCGACGCGTTCGCCGACAAATTCCCAAAACTTAAGATATTCGCTGTTCAGGATGGGCACACGCTTGAAAAAGGGAAATAGCCAGGTTAAATGGCTAAAGAGACCGATGCTCTTCATATCTGCGTGCAATTTCTTCAGGATATATGCATCTTTCCCATCAATAAGCATGTTAAAAGATTCTCCAAAGGCCAGGTCGCCCATGACATCAAAGCTGTAATAATTGAACCAATCCGCGACGTTAAGCGGCCGATCGAGATTTTTACCGATCACACTGATCAGTTGGTCCGAATAGCGCGAGACACGAGGTTCGTAGTCCCGCAATGCTGTAGCATTACCCGATTAGATTGGACCCCTTCCGTTGCTGAGAGGAGTCTGCTCGCGCTCACCTTTGGAGCTAAAACCTTGATCCCAGACCTTTCTTCTGCGAGCGTGCGCCTTCTTCTCACGTTCCATCTGCAGGGACACCCGTGGCTCCAAAATAGTGTACCATGGGCCCTTGCTCACCTTCGCCTGGCCGCTGTAGAGGGCTTGGACAGCCTGAGGATCGGCAATCGACAGCTCCGTCGGGCCTAAAATTCGACCACAGTATTTAGCCGCCGCCTTCTCAAAATGGGTGCCTGGCGGCGAAGTGGACATACCAAGGCGCACATAATCACCATATTGTTGATGCATCTTTTGCACTTCTTCATACAAGTGCAGCTTTTTGGCGGATAGCGCGGTCACGTAGAGATTTGATAGCTTTGCCCAGAAAGGGCCAGGGAATCCAGAAAGGCGATGCCAGAACGCGCGATAGAATATTATGCTCGAGTATATACCTAGGACGTGGCAACCAAGTAACTTAATAGGCGAGATTCCAGGGAGGGGGTTAAACCGATCCAACGAAATGGCTAGCACGAACGCAAGCGCATAGACCATGACGATGAGTGGAGCCTTGAGATCCCACTCGCCGATGCGGAACAGAAAAAGATGAATGCATATCCCACTAGCACCTGAAAGTGTAAGTTGCGCTTCCATGGTGCTATGGACTCAAGCAGAAGCCAGACAAATAAAGTAAGGTGTTTGGTAACTCTATTCTGGCAAAGGTATGTGGACGCCGGTGTATCCTTTATTGAAAATAGCAGTCTTGAACTCACCGATATGGCCCATTGAGACCCATTTTAGCCACTGGTAATCTTTTCCGAGGGTCCGGGCGAGTCCTCAAAAAGCGGGCAAGCTGAGTTGTTTTGAGTGGGCCTCGGCAATCGCGCGATTACTAGGTACTCCGTACCCCGCATCCTATTCTGTCCCATGAGAGGTCAGATGTGATCCACCCGATTTCTGGTTCATGGCTTACTGGTGGCTTCCCCAGCTTTCCTTTGCCGAATACCAGGCTAATTCGGGGTTTCGGGATCACCCCGAATCCGAATTTTAAGCCCGCGCAAGGAGAATCTATTGTAATCTCACCTCTTGGCCCATGTCGGGTTTTGGAAGAAATCCCCCTCCTTCGCCCCATCCGACCATTAAGAAAAAACTGCTGCTACCCTGGAAAACAGTCAACGTCGTTTTTGCTTGCTTTCTTCGAATTCTTGGAGGCATAAATTAAATGCCCACTGCAACATGAACCAGACGCCTGGGACCGGTGACATTCACCAAAATAAACCAAGCCGGTTGAACAGAGCACGCATTGCATGTCTGTACTGCCGAAGACGCAAAGTCCGTTGTGATTTAGTAGTGGAAGGGCACATGTGTACTAATTGCCGCCTCGATGGGCTACGATGTTCACCGGAGTTGAAAACCCCTTCTGCAAAGTCTCCGACGGCTTTGGGGAGAGCTGGCATGCCTTCCGACTCCGGTAAGGTAGTGTTGCCGAGAGCTCAACTGAGCAACCGGATTACTAAACGGACGACTTCATCTTCCACGCCTGCTCGAATGAGCTGTGAACGACGTGATGCTCCTGCAGAAAACCTTAGTTTCGGTATTTATAGCCGCTGACTTTCAGACGCGTCCTAACAGATGTTGACAGGAAATAAGACGAGCACGTGTCAGATAGGCTCGATGATGCTCGTGCCCTTCTCATACTTTCCCTACCTGAGCATTCAAAACCTCTGCAAGCTGCCCCCTGCAGATGTAGCCTACCTGGAGTCGCAACGGTCGTTTGACGTTCCAGTAGGAGATTTCCTCGATAGGCTAATCTCTCATTATTTTCTTTCCGTACATCCCTGCCTCCCGATCATCAATGAGGCGGAATTCTGGGAAATGTACAGAAAAGGTGTCACAAGCTCATCATGCTCCCTGCTTGTTTTCCAGGCCATGCTCTTCGCGGCTAGCAGTGTATGTTTGTTCCATCTCGATGCAGCAGCAACGCTTTACTCGAGATTCTGATTGGGCTTTAGTACATTCCCCTAAATGAGGCAAAAGCTGGGGGTGCAGAATCCATCCTACGCATGAGAGATTCATTTTACCGGCGGGCCAAGGTGAGTCGGACTCTCAACCAGTGGTGCAAGTAAGATTCTAAATAATCGGACAGCTCCTATACGACTTTCGTCTCGAGGACGATTGTCTTCAGCTATGTCAGGCAGCGATATTGCTGTCCTACCATTGCTCAAGCGAGGATCGGTTGAGTAACGCATCATGGCTTGCACTTGCCATTGATCATGCGCGCACATTGAACGCCCATCACTACTATCGCGATTCCTCTCAGGCCTATGCATCTCCGACAACGTTGAAGCGACTGTGGTGGTGTATCGTCATCCGTGATAGACTGGTTGCTTTGGGAATGCGTCGGTCGCTCCAGATCCCGCCCGCTCTTTTTGATCCATTTTCATGGGCCCCTCTGCAACTAGAGGATTTCGAAGACGAGATCCACGCGTCAGAGGTCTATGACCCGGACACCAAAACCCAGCTTTGTGGAATCCTTACAAGCCTGTGCCATCTAGCCGTGGCAATGACAATGCTGCTCACCACCCTCTATCCTGATAGTGGTTATAAGGGGGTCGCGACAGATCATAGACTTCTGCTGACTAGGGCGGGTGACATCAAAGCACGGCTGAACTATTGGGAAGAAATAATATGGTCTTACTTTCTCCACAAACTGCTGATAGCAATCCGGCTGTGAAGTTCTATCAACAATTGATTTTTTTGTACTGCGAGTATGAACCAAGCTTTCCATTACCATAGAAACTACTTGCTAACCGCTCCTCTTATATTCAGGTCCGCACGTTTAACACTATATCATCAACTCGCTTTCTTGTTCAGCATCCACAAGGAACAGGAAAATACTTCATCATGTGCCTTGGAAGTGACAGAAAGAGACCAACCGAATCTCCTTGACGCCCTTTCTACTATTAATGAACGAGTCCGGCGCTTCGTGACAGATGGTACAGCTGGTCGGCTACCAATTAGTGTTGTGGCATACACTATTGTCCCCCAGATACTGTTGAATATTGGCCTGAGGCTCTCCTGCAATGTGACAGAACGGCGCCGCCAGGAACAAATACTACGGTTCTACCATGAGCTGTCACGCCTGTATAACCTCCGCTACGATGTTGCTTATGTGTCATCCTGGGTTCAACAAACAATTTACATGTTCGAGTCTTCAGCATCTCCTGTCGAAATGCCCTCTAGGGCTCCAGAACGGGAGTCTGGACCTGTGACTCAAATGCCCAAGGCCTTGAACCATAAACAGAGATTCCTCCATCTCTTGAAAAGCCAACCTTGGGTTTATTTTCGGCTGGTTTCTCTGGTTGATTACTCTATGTCCACCGGTCGGCGTGTCCTCGAGCAACGTCATCCGCCAAAGATCTTGCCTTTGCCTGGGATGCGTTATCCACGTCAGATTGCACAGTGGCCCTCTTTTCCCGATCCAGGTACTCATTTGCTGCCGAACAACGAATCTGAAATCCAAGAGGACTCGCGATCTTTCTCTGCCTCAGCTTCAGTGGGAATTGAAGGTGAAATCGAGTGCGCACAATCGAAAGATCCTTTACCAAATGCCGCAGAGCTCTTTGGTTTAGGGCGTCCTTTACAAGACTTTTGGGGCAGCCAGTCCTTCGGCCTTCCACCAACCAGCACACCCGACAACCCATTCTCTGTCGTGGCACCCGCCTATTTGGTGGCTAATGATTCGCTTTCGCGGCATGGAATCTCGATCACAGATTCTAGTGGTGTTCTTAATCGCACAGGTTCATGCGAATTAGACGATCTCTGGGTTGATTTAGGTTTGCTAGGAGAATGATAAATGCGGTGATTTTTGATAACAAAATAAAGGCTATGTGATAATGTACGATAATTACATTGATCGGAATAAACAAATGCGCTAGATACGAGTTTCCGCGGCCTTATTTTATATTTTACTGGGGATGCACGTACTAAGGACATTGTCCCTTTCAAAGCTTCATCATAAGTTTTCCACCGTCCCACAGTCCAAAATTACAGCCATTTAATATCTCTACTGTGGTGACAGTTGGGTACAGAAGGGGATGTCCACCGCGGGGTTGCGTCATCATCATCAAGCCGTGCCACGGATGTCAGGATTTTCTGCTTGCCCCATGGGCCTTCGTACTCCGTCAACAGCTCCGAACTCTCATTGACCAGAGTTGGAAGATCCTTCTTCCAGCCATCGATGACTTGAATCATGATCTCAGACACAGATTGACCCGGTGTTGACGGCACAAATCCGGATCGTTTGACGGTTTCCGCAACCACACTAGGTGGATATAATCTGATCTCCCTCTCCAGAGAAATTGTGTCAGCGGCGACCAAGGAGGTGACTACGTGGAATGAACCTCCTTTTAGGGCTCGATCACGGATGGCCACCATAGCTCCGAGTGCACCGACGACACCAGCGGTCATATCAGAGACTGGAAGGGGCGGAAGAACACTGTGACCCGGTTCAGGTCCCAAAGACCTACCAATAACATAGGATGTTCCACTTGCTGCATCTCCAATTCGTTGCCAGCCGGACCGCTCGGCAAATGGGCCATCCGGACCGTAACAACTTTCGTCAACATACACAATGCCTTTGCTTCTCTTCGCCGCGAGCTTGAGCATGGTACTAAGGCCAAGGCCTCGTCGTTCCAGCGACCCATAGCGGTAACCTTGAATGAAAACGTCCACATCCGAAATGAGTTCGCGCAGACGAGCCATATCTTCAGCTTTATCAATGTCAAGGTCAATAGTCCGCTTTCCAGCATTCAGAGTCAGTTGTAGGACCTTGAAATAGTTGTTAGCCAGAGATCCTTTCTGTGGGCAGATGGATGAACTGTTAAGCAACTCACGTTGAGATCTGCAAGTTTACTGCAATTGACTCTTCTAACATCGGCACCATACGAAGCGAGCGTCACACCAACGGTAGCACCGGGGTTTCCAATTGCAGAGATCGCAAGAGATGGCACATGTGTTATCACGAAGCATGCAGGAACACAAGGATTTGTCAATGTTGATACCGTCCGCTGTCAGTTTTTCTATGAACCACAAGGAGATCTGTACCTCAACAGCGATGTTAGCGCAATGATAGGTGATGTTGTTGTTAAGAACGAGGGTCAAGACCGGTAAGGCACAACACCATGTTTTCTTTTATCTGTTTCGCAACTCTAATTATTGTCAGAGTTCGCGTTTCTGGAATCAAGGGCGCTCCCCCTCCATTGACTACTAAGCTCGCGGTCTTTTAAGAAGGAGGTTATGAGGCCGAGGTGCTACTGAACGCGACTGGCTATGCTACTTCAGAGAAATGGGATCTAATCGAGAAGCAAGTGCGCTACTTTCTGCCCAAATCCGATCTCAAACAGCTGGAGACTTTAGAGTTTCAGAGGTAAACAATGCCGAATTTCTAAACTGTCGAAAGTAGGAAGATAACACTTGATAGGGTCGGGGTCCCTGCAGCTAATCCCGACAGCCAACTTGAAAGTACGTTGTATATGCGGGTCTTTATTGCCACCCGATCAAAAGAAGCAGTAGCAGCTGTAACAAGCGTCTTTAGGAAGATATCCCTAAAGCATTTCTCAGGTATGTTATATACAGTCTATATTATGCTGCCTTCAAATCTGTTGACTTTAAAGGTTTTCATTCTTCACTTAACAACTATATAGCGTCACCAAGACCTTTCCTTGCATATTATCCCGCGTTGGTAATGCAGTCATCAATTAAGGAAACTATCAACTTTGTGGATAAATCCACTAAAATTAGATCTTTTGATACTGGCCACCATCCCAAATTTGGATCTCTTGGTCCACGTCACAGTTTTGACGCTCAAGTTGAAAGGGCTTTTGATGGACCTAGCATCCAGATTTAACTTGGCGATATTGCTCTTGCCAGGTCCGGTGACAAGGGCTCGAACCTTAACTTTGGCCTTTTTGCTCACGACTTAGCTCATTGGGAATGGCTGCAGTCTTACGTGACCATCGACCGTATGCGCCTGCTTCTTGGAGCAGACTGGAAGGACATTTTCTTCATTGAACGTGTGGAGTTTCCGGACATCCATGCCGTCCATTTTGTCATATACGCCATCCTTGGCCGTGGAGTAACGTAATTCACGGTCGGTCCGATCACCCACCAAAAATCATCGCGCGTTCAACGCGTAATTATTCAACCACCAACCATGCCACGAAAACCGCGTCAATCTCGTCGATGTTTAGCTGAGCAAGAGGGGAGGATTCAACTTGCAATACAAGCTTTAAAAAAGAGCGAAATTCCAAGTATTCATTAAGTAATAGAAGTTTTTAATATACCCTACACAACACTCCGCGATCGCATCTATGGGCATGAATTTCAAGTAGAACATTATAACTACTCATTCCAACTCTCTAAATCTCAGGAAGAGGTATTAGTTAAATAGATATTATCTAGAGATTAACAAGGAGTCGCTCCTAGGGTCTTATATATATAGTAAATAGCATATCTTCTCCTCTAAGTTAATTTAACAACGCCCCCTAAGCTACTTGGGTAGAACTAGGTTACTAGCTTTATTAAGCACCATGAAAGTATTAAAAGTTAATTTACGCGCAAGTATAACTATTAGCGCGCCCTCTACGAGGATCCTAAGGCTATAAAGTAGTAGTTTAACACTCTAGAGGCCTTACAAAAGGAGAATAGCATATAATATAAAGATATCTATAACTTTAACAAAACTAGCTTTACTATGGGCCTAATTACAACCTTATAGATTATTACAAGGGCTAAGATACTTAGGAAGCCTTATCTTATTTAGCCATGCTAGCGCGAATAGGTCACTATAATTAAATATATTAGGTTAGAGGGATATGTTATTTCACCTACTATAATCTTTAAAGGGAAGGTCTATATTAAAGGATAGTTTAAAGAACTAGGTCTCCTAGGTGACTAGAGGATTAAATTAAGCATGAATAGATAGACTACTAATAAGATAATCCTCTAGTAGCTTTAGAAGTGCTTTATTCCTTATATAACTAAGTATATAATTAGAAGTTATTAACTACCTATTCTAGATAGTCATGAGAGTCATTTAACCCCTAAATTTAATAAGGTTTATAGAGATAATAAGATTATCTATATCTACATGCCTACGTATTCATCACACCTACTTTAACCACTAGATGTTGGTTGCTTTGGGCTATTAAAGCGAGCTTATAGAGGCCTAATTAAAGTAAAGATACGCCTGGGCTTCTACTATATTAATAAACATAACTTCCTAAAGGCCTATCCTAAAGCTCATGATAAGGTCTTTACTATTTAGAACACCTAGAGCGGCTTTCACGCGGCTAGGATAGTACCTTATAATCCTAAAGAGGTCCTAAAGTAATTTAATTATTTAGTATCTACGCCTACCCCCCCCTCCTAGCTAGGGGGGTGCCTTAACCTCTTCCTCTACACTTGCCACGCCTTATATAGCTTAATAGCTACATAAGAAAGCTTCTTCTATTAAGAAGCTACTTTTAAAGCGGTCCTAGAGTCCTTTTAGCCCTTCTAAACGTGCTTTAGATAAGCTTATAAAGGGTTACAAGCTAGCTATCTACAATGCTACATTTACGCTAAAGGAATTAAATGATCTCCGCGCAGAAAGTTAAGTTCAAGCACTTAAAAAGAGTTAATTAAAACGCAAGATGGCCCCTATACAAGGCCTCTAAGTGCAAGAAGCAAGGGACCTTATTTTATTAAGAAATAAGTAATTAAATTAGGAAGATAGTAGTGACGAGGAAGCTAATTAAACTACTCCACCAACTTTAGAACCCTGAAAGCGTGCCCCACCGACCTGTTCTGAATGTAATATTCAGGGGCATACTAGAACTAGATGTCCTAATCGTCGCGCGACTTAGTCTACTGTATTTAATTAAGAATTGGGTTGTTGGGAATAGCTTCAAGTTCGATGGGTAGAAATATATTTTGGTGGGTGATCAGACCGACCGTGAATTACGTTAAGCAGTTCAAGCCGACTAGATGGCTTTGGAAAAGGATTTGCGGATTATATTCGAGATAAAGTGGTTGATTTTCCATCCAGCCTGCTCTAGTGGGTAATGAGCCACATCTGTACACAAATTATGCTTTCATGCTTACCCATCAATCCTGTCCTACGAAGTCTGTAGATTGTACCCACAACAGTCAAAGTTCAATGCAATCAATTGATATTAATCTGCCTAGTAAAACAGTTCCTGCAATCCTTCATAACTCTGAAGGACAAGGTTTCTTTTTTCACTTCACCAGCTCACAATGCGGAACAGGCACTCCGTCACCAGGCTACAATCGGAGCTTGGGGTTTATATTTTTTTTTTTTTTTTTTTTTTCAGAAAAATCGGCGGAGAACCTTCTACATACTTTGATTACTTGCCTGCAATACCGTAACACTGTACTAGACTGAAGACTCAAGCGTAATATCTTGCAAAACATGTTTCTCTATAGAATTCTCATACCGGGTGAAAATCACACCTGCCACCCAAGTCAATTCAACAGCCATATTGCGGCATCACAACTAATTGATAACAGGGGCATTCAATGCCCTATTATGCCAGTCCGCAGGGCGGGGAATAATTCAACCCTTCTTGAAACATAACGAACAGCCGGATCGCCACTGGTAGTGTCTAGGGCGGAAAAGTCCACGGCATTGATTTCCCAGGGACCGAGGGTATTTTTGCTTCCGGATTTACATAAAAAAAAAATAATTTGATGGCGGAGGCGTGTGCGGACCCGCATCTGGACTACTTTTTGAAGGACTTCATTGCGGGGTCAGGCTGTGTACGGACTGAGGGTTTGTTGACATCCGAGCTATGGAAGAAGGGTCCATTTAAGTGATCGAGGTGCTTTAGATGCGAGAGAACATTAGATACTGCCTTCCTCGGAGTGCTTTCACTATTTCAGACTCCGTCTTTCACCTATAACAAGACCAAGAAATACTTCTTGCTATCAAGCAATAGCAATGCCTGCGTTAGTCCTCCTTGGTTCATCACTGAATGACCATATGACAGAGTTGCTTATCAGCCCTGCAGCACCCCAGAGAAAAGTTTTCTGGACTTGGTCCAGCGATCGGACACGGATATTTTTACCGAAGCTGAACTTGAGGCTGTATATAACAAGCTAGGCCCCGTGAAATCTCAAATTGTGACTGGGGAGTGGAAAGGAGGAAGTTTCAACACCGGTCATCCAGCCGACGCTCAGCTCCGGGGTATGAATTGGGTTGGTAAAACATTCCATTCAACCGAGTCGGTTGATCCAATTATTATTGAAAAGGATGGACAAAGGGTTTGGGACGAGAAATGGGGACATGCTCGCGTAGGTCATTTCAGAGCTCTCCAAGGTACAGGTCAAGACTGGGACTGACCACACAAAGTTGCGACAAGTTGAGTTCCGTGGTGTTCTGTCTACTGCCATGATCTATGACGATCACGCGATTATCGATCATTTTCGCTATGTCAATGATCATTTGATAGCCGGGGCGATGGACACCAGCACTTTTGGCAATGCTGGAACCTACTACTTCTACCTGTTCAAATAGATATCAAGGAACGAGCTAGCTTCGTTTGCTTCCCTTGAATCTAGTTCATCCTTTGGTTAATGTTCTGGAACCGAAAATGTCCTTTCTACATGGGTCAGTACATGTCCCTGTCAATAAGTGAAAAGCATGTCGGTGTAGAAAATTGCCACAACACGGGCTACGTTTCTTGTAGGCGTTTCGGCTATCTATTGGATGAATCAAACAAGATAGCAGCCAAGGAATAGTTCTCTGAGAGGTTACCTGACCGAAAATATTCGTATGAATAGGAAGACATCGCGTTATGGAAATTTTTCTTTCCGAGATGATTCCACTTCGAACTCCTTTTCAGGTCTCAGATGTCCTCGTGGTAAGCTGTGAGGTATGCCAGATGGCATATCTTGCCAATTCCAAACTAGAGGGGCAAATAGTGGAGGCAGCGCTGTTGCGTCAATAGTTCCGCCCTGTGCCACCAATGACATCGGCCAGAAGGCCGGATCATTAGAGGTTTCTGTATATCCTGGATCTATGCTTCCAGGTACATAGATCCCTTCTTCTCGACTCTGCTCTTGTGGGCCGGGTGCAGGTTGCTCATACACCGACAAGCATGCCCAAGATCCATTCCCGGATGGACCCCGGAAATCAAGGAGCTACAGATGCGAGCGCGTAGGCTGCGACGGCGGTACCAGGATCTCCGCACGGAAGCGGCCTGGGAGGAATACAGAGCCGCCCGCAACTTCAAAGGTCGCCTGATCAAGGAACTGCTGCGAAGAAACCATCGAGAACGGGTCCGCGACGCCAGTGGATCGGTTCAAGGCTCGCCAGATGAGCGAAAGCCGAGAACAGCGCCAGTCATTCCCTCCGCCACTCCGAGACGGCCAAGGGCCAATGAAAACGGAGGTGAGGGACAAGATACAGCTTCTTAAAGAAAGTTTCTTCCCATAAACTAAAAACACAGACCTCTTGGGCATACAAGATCACACGTACCCCACCCTATTAAATAGCCACCGTTCACGGAACAGGAGACACGAACAATAATATTAATAGTAACAACATAAAAAGCCTCAGGGCCCGATGGGGTACCTAACCTCGTGCTAAAGATTCTGGGAGATGTCCTTACATATTTATTTAGATCAGGGATCAAAAGAGATATATCCTATGTGGTTAGATGAAGATTGACTTGAATGACCCCGCTGCACTCACATTTAGTAATTATCTGCCGTGGGACCACTTGCTTTCTTGCAAAGCCTTATGATTGGGACGAGTGGAATTACATTGTAAAGTTCACATGGCCCTCAGATTAGTGGACGAGAGAGGGAAAGCTGCTGGAGTTAGCGTCGAAACGCCGTGTTAAAGGTATTGCCCAAGTCATCTACTATCAGGATGTGATCATTGGCGGAGATCTGGTTACGATGGGCAGTTTGTGACGTAGTCTCAAATTTGTCTGATTATTTCTCAGTTTTACTTCTATTTGTCCTGGTAGCCATCCCACCCGGAGGGTCAGGTGAAATATGGCTACTATAGATGGCTCTCTTACCCAGAGCCAATTTTTTAATTGTTTTTTTTTCCAAGTCTAGATGTGGCTATTTCTGTTCGTGTTGGGCTGCCCGAACTGCTACAGCGTTTTTGCACACGCAAGGCAACGTGAGTGACGTGACTTGTTGCCCGGGGATCCTTGTTTCCAATAATTCCTTTGGCCTGCCCTTATTATAGCGCATAACACCTACGTTCACGAGGCCATCAAACTGGGCCGTAGATTATGGGAACCCTTCATGCACTCGTAATTAGGCATTAATGGTACCTTGGTGCCGCTATATAAATGCTTGATTCCATAATCCAAAAACTAGTCATTGCTAGACCTTTTAGGAGACTTTCCCTAGTAGATTATAAATAAAGAATAGTAAAAGCATGGTAAGCAAAAGTCGCACTATAATAATATATTTTATCTCTAGGACCTCGTGAAAAGCTAGTTGTAGACTAACAACTCTAGTAGGGTTCCTGATGATAGGTGGGAGATAATAGATAAGAGGAATAGGGAGCTGTACTATGAGATCTACATTAACATAAGGAGCGAAGAGCTCGATTTAGGACGCAGCGAGACGGAAATGGCTGTTTCAACCAGCACAAGACAAACTCAATTTAAAGGAATTTCGGTGTCATGTCATTTAATGGCTATTTATCGTGCATTTGTGAGTGTAAACAAGAGTATCTCTGTGCGAGGCGCTTGTACGAGAGAGGAGACCGAGTACACAGCGTGGGAATGCATGCACCTCCTCCTCCACCCGATGCGCAACGATCATACTATACTGTCCAACCCAGGTACCACGGGTTCTAAACCTCGTGATTTTGCGCTATTGTCGAGGGGGCTCGAACTCGGCAACCCCGAAGTCGCAAGTCCGGTTCGCATACATACAAACATTAGGTACCGCTGCACTGGGACGTCGAGCGGAGGAATCGAAGCCAGTCGATGGACTAGGCGTAACTACCCACCTAGGTAAGGTTCAGCCAGGTGTGCCAGTCAAACCAGTCGGAGATGCCCGCCCACTTTCCAACAAGGCACAGTTTAGAGCCTCGCGAAACCACCTACGCCCCGCTGAGCCTCAGGGCGCCAGAATACCCGCCAATCGCGAGGCTGAATTGGGAGGTATGATAATCTTAAATCGGCCCAGGTGCCATGTTTGGGGATACAGATCTAAATTTGCCTCTTAACATCCGGAGTATTGAAACAATAAGCTCCGATAACACCCCCGCAGTGCAAGCTACATGTTTGTCCTACCATCCTTCATCGCCCAAACCCTCGACAAGAGCAGACTCCTCACCCAGAGTCCAACATGGGGAAACTACGCACTCTTGACCGTAATGCTTGAAGCTCTTATGGTTTCCTGAAAAACGACTCAAGTCCCCGACCAGTAAGTCAAGCTATACCCCGCGAACCGCAGGGATACCAAGCATAGTCGTGTTCAGCCTCAAAGCTTATCCCCACCTCCTCCCGCAAGAACAACCTCCTTGAGCAACTGCAGTCCCTCCTTTGCAAAAGCAACCATATTCGCTGCCCGGTCCGCACTCCCCGTGTTGCTCTCGCGCGTCTCCGTTCCAGCCGGACCTGCTACTGCGAGTGCTACGTAGCCACTATGATTGAGGACATGTTAACAGTACATCCTGTATCTTTTTCTCTCTTCTCCAAAAAGAAAAAAAAAAAGAAAAATACTCCCTTCTTTGAGTATCTATATCAAAAAGGATAAAAGAAATAGAAGAGATATATACTCACGGCGTCCGATTCCTCGTCGTCCCCCCCGTCGGCCCGGCCGTCCCACTCTCGCTGACAGCATACGTCGACCCGAGCGTGCGGCGCGTGTTCTCGGCTAATCCTGCGACAATCTCGGGGGTGGGACCAGAGTAGTTTTTGATGTGTTCTTGCGTCCAGCCCGCGAAGGCGAGACGGGATTCGAGGGTGTAGACCTGTTGTTGCATGCATTAGCTTGAGATGCGTCGATATAGGAGAGCAAAAAAAAAAAAAAAAAAAAAAAAGAGAACAATAAGTCCAAAGTGTAGCAATAGTGAATGGACTCATAACCAATTGAACGGTGTATTCTAGAGTCGCAGTTGGGGGGGGAGGGTTTACCGTCAATCCACCTTTATACACAGCCGACGCCCCCGGGACGGAGAGGAGGGAGGCGGAGATAAGACCACCAGCAGCCTAGATGACATCCGGAATCAGCGCCATGAACTTTCATCCATCTAGCATTACCCCCAAGTATTTATCACCAACGCCAGGGGATGCCCGGAGCTGATTCTAGCTGGATAACCGAAATGGAGCCGTACCGTCTCAGCAACAGAAACGGTCTGCTTCCGGGCCTTGAGGAGCTCGACGAGCTCCTGGGCGAGTGGTTGGAGGCTTCGCGGAGGGAATTCGGCCATTGTGCTTTCTTAATGAGTTCTTGGCTTCTTTCTTGAGAGTTTGACAAGGTAGTTGGGTTGAAGCGCGGGGATGATGTGTGGTGAGGGGTCAAGACTGCAAGGGTGGGTATCGGGTCAGGTGACATCATACAGTACGTTCGACACAATCAGTATGATCTAGAAACTGATTGTAGGAGATACAGCCAGTGAACATGGCTGGATGGTGGTTTTTCATGTTTTGAAATATTGACCTGAACTTGGTTTGTGTCTAAATGGACAATACTAGAGTATGGTTGATCTTTGGATATACGCAAATAAATCTCGCTTCAGTCCAAGGAGACGCTCTTCCTAGCAATGCATCAACCCTAGAAAACCGAGCACATCACGCCTGTACACTCGTACTATTCACCCCCCACCCATTGACCCCCGAATACGCCGCAAGCGGCGTCGTCCCATGCAACACCCCATAATGCGTCCTCCCACCATCACACAGAGCCCCTTTCCTGGCCTCGCCCTCCCGTCTATCCCCCCTCGCACACTCATCCTGCAGCAACGCCGCAATACTCATGCCGACCTCCCTCCCCTCAAACAACGCCCCGTGCAAGAACCCAAAATACTGCGCGCTCGTCGCCTCCCCCGCGAACCACAGCCGCCCCACATTCGCCCGCAGGTTCTGGTGCATCTCCAGCGTGGTTCCCGCGGGCCAGTTCGAGTAGGATCCGTACGCCCAGGGCTCGGTCGACCAGCGCGGGTACGTGAATGCGACGGGGTCGGGGATTGTCATGCCGGGGAGCATCTGGCGGAGGACAGCCATGATCTCGGACTGGGTTTCGGAATCGGATTGGCGTTCCACGCGGTACGACTGACTTTCGACGACGGTCACGAAGAGGATGTGGCTCCCGGGGAGAAAGCCCTCTTTGGACAGCGATTGGAAGACCGGGTAGTACCCGCGCGATGTGGGTGAAGCGTACAGGAAGAACTCTGTGTCCGCTGGCCAGAATGTATACGGGAACTGCATGAAGATCTTGGTGTATGTCCCCATGGTGAACTTTTCGATCGCTGTGCGCTTCCACTCGGGCAGCTCTGGTTCGAAGCGCACGGCGTTGTTCTGCAGCACGCCGACGGAGAAGGTCGCGATGGCGTATGCGGCGCTGACGCACGAGCCGTCTGCGTTGCGGACCACGACGCCGTGCGCGCTGTACTCGATCTCCGTGACCTGCGTGTTGAGCCAGAGGCGCGGGTCGTCGGGTCCCAAGAGGAACGTGTCTGCTTCGCCGCGGATAATCGCGCTGTATCCGCGGCGGTCGAGGACGAGGTTATTCTGCGCACCGAACTGGTTGAACGTGAGGTTCTCGGCCGCGACGCCAAAGACGAAGGAGCTTGTTTCCGGGGCCGAGGCGCCTTCCCAGTCTATACTTTGAAAGTCAGTCCTCCTACGAAAAGTAAAAAGTGGTTAGGTAACTAGTATTGGGTAACTACTAGTGCGGACGGGCCCAGATGGCCTCGGGGGGTGAAGGTGAGATCCCCCAAGGTGATCCGAGTGCCCCGTCCGTCTCGCTGTGTAATGTAATGCCATACCCCAATTCCACCATTCCACTGCCTGCGCGGCCATGTCGTCCCTGCGCGGTCGCCAGCCCGCGAGCGCGAGGCCGCTGCGGGCCGTCATGTCTTGGAGGTTCGAGGTGAGGATGCGGCCGGCGTGGAGGGAGGCTTTTTCGCGGGCGAGGGCGTACTGCGCGAGCGTCGCTGTATAGTCTGCGTATCCGGTTTCGTCGTATGTCAGGATCGAGTCGTAGTTTGAGGGTGTGTTTGAGAGGTTGTGCTTCTTGGCCTGCGTAGCAGCCTGTTAGACTTGTTCATGTTGATGTTGATGTTGATGGTGGGGGCTGGAGATGATCAAGGACGGTGGCAAGTGTACCAATGCCCAAACAGGATTCTCGGCCGTTTCTGAGCCGAGACCTTGGATCTGCGGTTTCCGTTAGTACACAAAACCTTTACCATCGCGAACGACTTTTGATAGCTGTATATGTGACTGTGGCGTACCCAGTTCGCACCAAGCTCAATAACATACGGCTCCCCCTTTGGGTCCTGCCCGAACTCTGTATGCGTGACTCGGCCGCCGAGGGTATCTCTATACTCTAGAATGAGAAAGTCTGTAATCGACGCGTTGGCGAGTGTTTGCTAAGAGAACCATTAGTACGCTCCATACCTAGGTACCACTAGAGAACTTGAGGGTAGAAGCAGTCTAGGGCACGAACCGCAGCAGTGACACCGGCCATTCCCCCGCCGCTGCGCATGACATGGTTAGTCCTACACTTCGTTTCGAAAAGAGTATCGTAGAAGATGCTCGGTGGAGAGCGCACAGGATAGCTACGGTGGTCCGCGTACACGTCGGACCCTGCAACCTGGCCTGTGCGACATAGCCGGCGACCAGGCGGACGGATCCAGATGCAGAGAGGAGGAGAGGGAGGAAAGCGAGCGTTGCGAGATGCATGGGGTGCGATAACGATCAAAACAAAACACAAAACACACCCATCAAGGGCATGGCCGAAGCGCACAGACGACCTTAATATACCCCTCCCCTTGCAACTGCAGTGCAGTGCACATCTCTTTCATCCCATCGTCTTTCGCAGAGGATCATGATAAGGACCGGCGTGTGATCACCACAATGCTTGGCGTGTCCCAAAAAGCAAAACACGCAAGGGGGGTCACTTGCGTCTTGGGTCGCGCGGCCAATGGGGTGCGTTCCTGGTTTGCGGAAAAGGCAGGTCCAAGGACATGGCGTCACTGGGTTTTCTAAGGGATATTTCATTCGCTGTGGGAATGTCCACGATGCAGAGGGCCGGTAGGGAGCGTGGGATAAGAGTAGCGCAGGGCTACGAATGGGGTGTTCCCGGATGGACATGCCTGAATACGGTGCGGTGGGAAAAGCAAGTGCATCAGCGATTTGGGGTTTGATAAGGATTATGGTTGAGATAAAGGTCTGCGATCTAGTAGTCGTATTGTATATTCAGACTTGAAAGGTAGAAGAGATGAGTAGGGATTCGGCAGAACCACAAACATCATCCAGACACAGCCATCGCGTCCTCATGACAACTTGGGGGTAACTCGACAAACCTGCCGAGATCAACAAATGCACAAAACGCCGCAGATGAATCGCCAACCGCAAGAACCTGCCAAATTCGACATGGACGACGAAAAACGAAAATACTCCGAGTCCGAACCCCGACGCCATGCATAACAGTCAAACCCAACTCCAAAATGTTACAATCAATGAATCAATCAACAATCACTCATTGAACCTCATAAGCTTCCAGCGCTTTTTGAAGATCGTCCACGTTATCCTTGTACCCGTACGCATCCATGAGCTGCTGGTTCTTCCGGAGGCGCTCGGCTTCGGCGACTTGAGACGTGTCGTGGGTTTTGGAGATGTAGCTTGTTACGCCGTAGCCTGCGTTGTTAGTTTTGCGAATGAGTCGGTCGGAGAGGACAGAAGTACCGATTGCGATGGTTGCGAGGAGGGGAACGGACCTAGAGTGGCCACATTGTTAAGAGAGCGGTGCGACAAGGGAGGAGAATCAGGGGGGGAACGAGCGTACCAGCGCCCGAGGCGAACGGGTCGAAGAGGTGCAGCGCCCTTGAAGGGGGTTCGCTGCGGAGAGGGAGCAGATAGTTCAGGATGCATCGATTCGATAGTTATTGTTTCGTTGGAATTTCGTGTGAATTTCGTGTGAATATCGAAACCACGCTCAGATCGAGGGATGCGACGAATTTAAAGGAGATTCACTGATCCATGATGGCATGACCGGGATCATCTGATGCCCAATCCAGTTCCAGGTTTCGGCGTTCCCCCTCTTTTTGCTTCTTGCGTCACGGCGCGGCTGTGCACTTCGGCCTGGGGAAAGCTGGGGCAGGACCATGGGTCCGGCCGCCATTGGTCCGTGGGCCAGTCATGTTGTGAGTAGACTGCGAGCCAGCGACGGATTTCGGGCGAGGTAAAAGAATTTCCCGCGGATGCTTGACAGCTTTGGTCGGTCGGATGCGAGAATCGGAGGAATATGGGAGTGTGGCCTGAGGAATCAGGCAACAACTTTCTGAATGGCTCCACAGTAATTCGTCAGATCATGCAACAGGCGTTGTGTACTCGGCAAGTGATATCATAAGATTGGAAAAGCAATGACATATGACAAGTCTATAGCGGTAGGTAGGCCATGTCTGCAAAAAGCCCATGGAAGGGCGAGTTTAGGGAGTGATTTCAGATATAGATTTTGGATCCTGCTGGATACCTGCACCGACCGGTTATCGGCAGTAATAGCGCTGGGAAGCCGATGTCATATATTGAGTGGACGGACACTAGTATGACAAAAAGACGGTTGCTTGATTTTGAGACCAGCTCACAATTGTATCCGAGGTTTGGTAACATACGAACATTTTCTTTGGACTTCTACTTATATAGTACATTTCCAATCGCAAACAGCCTAGTCTATGGAACCCCCGGTCTCACTGCAGAGGGCCTGATAACTTCAAACCCCCTGTCCTGCGTCTTCCGCGGTTTCCTTCTCCACAGCCATCCCCACGGAGAACTACCCCTATGATCCGAAGGACTCTCATCGACCCTCTCATCGACCCTCCTAGTAGCCGTAGAAGCCTGCCGCCTTCCCCAACTATAATACTGATCCGACTCGCGCTGCGAATAATACTCTGAATTGTTCACAGCGCCTGAACTATCGGTACTCGTATCCAGTGACTGTAGTTCCACTGTATCGAGTCCGGACTCGGTCGAGTTGCTGTCTCGAGGAGCGTACCCTGGCCACAGGGGGTTCTCGCTACCGTATGACTTTTGAGACCGAGGGGCCCGGAACGAGGAGCTGGTTCTGGTGTTGGGGGCGTATTCTGCAGAAGCATGGCGGATGGATGATGACTCTCTGGTATGCGGGCGGGGCGGAGAGTCGGCTAGAGAGTGTGCTGGTTCATGGTTAGCTATACTCTACCTACAGTGATAGGCTCTGGCTGTGGTGAGGCTCCAAACTCACCATCCGGATCAAGCGCTGGAAAGCGCCCGAAAGAAACGCGCCTCGTTGATCTGTGCGCGAGCTGCTTGATGCCAAAGACCTTTATACGTGTTAATGACTGTCCACGTCTAGAGAGTTGCAAAAACAAAAGGGAGAGAAATAATGGCGTACCGGCGGCTTCGTCGTATCTTCTCGCTGCGAAACCTCCTCAACCAGGCCAAGCTGGTACAATACATAGCGCAGCGGCTCCCAGACACAGTCGACCACGAACCCAACGACAAGGACCATGGCATGCAGAACCAATATGGAATAAGCGACAATTGCCCTTTTCCGCTCAGAAGCCGCAACCTGGGCAAGGAAGACACAGCTCATGCAAACAGTAGCCAGCCTCGCAAGTGCAAAGAAGGTGTACCGCCATGACGATTTCGCAGTGAACCAATACCAGACCGCATGGCCAAGAACAAGCGCCTCGCACCCGATAAGAACGATCATCTGAGCGAGTCCAGATTGTTGTACGCCACCTATCGCAAGGCCGCGCATGAAGGGGGCGCCATATAACAGGGCCCAGCAGGTGATGTTGAGAGGAGGTCCTGGGGCGGAGGTATTAAAGAGGAAAGATAGCCGATTTGTCTTGACGAGGTGGCGAATAAGCAAGACGCGAAGAGCAGCCAGTACGGCGACGACGATCATGGCCATGGACGTGTGGCCTGGGTACCAGCGGGCGCTGTGTGCTTGGAAGAGGGAGAAGGAGATGAGCGGGTGCAGGGTGTAGTCGAGGACAAGGCGCGAGATGGTCCAGCCCGTCCGGCGGAGAAGGAAAGGCATTTCCGTCTGGAGGTAGGCCGTGGGTTGCAAATTGCCCGGAGATTGGTGTATCTGGCGCAGGTATCTATATCCGGATGCTCCCAGAATCGCCACGATCATACCAAGACCGACAAGAACCAGGTTGACCAGCGAGTTCGTCCACAGATCGCTCGTCGTCGTGCTCCCGAGATACTGCGCCATTTCTTCGATTCCGTAAGTCGCGTTCGCGCTATAAATGCCATCCTCAATACCAGGATAGGCAAACTGATGTGTGACAGGCCAGTTGCGGAATATCAGCGAGGACCAAGCCAGATGGCTAACGGCCGCGCGAAAGAAGCCAGGATACGGCAGAGTCAGACAGCCCGTGAGGAAGACGAATTGGATATAGTGCAGACACGGCCCGAGGCCTGGTAGAGAGGTGTCGGCTGGATCTTGCGAATTATTTTCGAGTTCGTACCGGAATGTGCGACTGCGGCGTTTCTGGTATCTTCGAACGGCGCCTGTGGCTATCCCGGACAGGATCATGACTGCCAATGGTACGCCCATGAGGGCTCCCGAGATTGATGGCCCAAAATCTGGAGTGATATGGGCTTGGAGACAAGCGATGTCAGTATCGTTGAGCCGTAATTTGATCTCTGTATCTAGGGTGCGGAAGCGGAACGTCTGGTCCAAAGCAAAGGACGCCTTGTATACCGCATATGTTCGTGCATCATATCTGGACGGTACAGTATTTCATAAGCGCAATTCTGCTAGCGTCCGCAGGGTAAGCTATCCACCCACCTCGGATTTTCCTTTGGTGACAGCGTTGGGCATGCTCCATCGATCCAGGACGGATTGCCATGTACGACCGAGCTTCCTAAGACTCGTGCATCGACCCCAAGTGCAGCGGACGCCCCATGCAATTCGTCGCAATCATCGTGTATGAAATCCCCCGCCATCTGAAGGAAGAGGGTGATGTTGCCATCTCCAAGGTCCAGGGACCCCCGTAGCGACCGAGGGTCGAATTGATATCCACTCAAAACATCGTCATCAAGATCACACGGCCAGCGACGGATAAAGGCACCGTGGGCGAATGTCAGCAGTAAAGGCAAGGCCACAGAGGCTTTGAAAAGCATTGGTCCGACAGTTACGCCAATTGAAAGCAGCTGCAAGTTACCAAACTGCCCACAATTCCCACGCATCGAGGGAAGATCGAGGCTTCATCACTTCTTAAAGGTGTGGCTCAAGAGTTTTGTGGCAGTGTCGGGAGTAAGCAAGAGTGGGTCGCGAAAATTGCAAAGTGGGCGCCTCTGAGGCGTATGATTGGTCAGCCCTGTAGCTCTCAATCTATACTTAGCACACTTAGCACACTTAGCACACTCGAAGAACTCGATTTCATTGGACTATCCCCATACTCCGTAAGGCAATTCTAAAGGTGGTTGTTGGTGCTGAAGGAATTCAAGGTTCTTGTGGAGATTGTCGAGCGCCCAGTCCTTTGCTCCTTCCCTAACAGTCCTGCCTAGGTAGTACTTGGTTTGGAGCCTCATATTGGCCAGGTAAACTTGCTACTGGGTACTGGGAGTGGTTCTCATATTGAGCATGTGCTACCATCTTGACTGACATAACATAATTTCACAGGTGGTCGCAATTATAAAGGAATGAGGGCTACAGCCTCCAAGCGGGAGTCCACAAGTTATGCCGTATCTCAGAAAACAAGTAAGAGCAGACTATCTTGTCCTAGAGCATGCTGCTCACAAACTCTGCTCTCCCCTCCTCGTGACGGACCACTTGATCCCCGCCGATTCCTTCCAACCCCGCAACAAACGCTGCCCACTGCTCATCCCCCAAAATCGGCGCCTTACAATACGCCCCGACCTCCTTTTCCAACCCCTCAATCACCTCACCCAGTCTTCCCAGCACCCTATCCATCGCCCCGCTCTCATTCCCAAACACTCCTCGAATATCCAGTCCCATGGTAGCCACATACCACCCCGGCGCCTGGAATAAGACGCCAGCTTCATACAGCGCTAGCAAGTCTCCATCAACACCCGCGGCGCGGGCAGCTTCGTACGCCATTCTGTGGCCGATGCTCTCGATTAGATGTTGGGCGTGTGGGAGGATAAGCTTGTTGTACTCCGCATCTCGGTGATTGCTGTTTATAGTGGCAAGGGTTGAGTTGCAGATGTTGAATGCTAGACCGGCTTCGTACTGTGCTAGTAAGCTTGAGGGTTCCGTTGGTTGCGGGAGGGTATATCGGTTCAGGAGGAGTTCGGTTGCGAGGCCTGTCATGGTAGAATTAGCAACGACAATCATCCCAAGAAGAATAGAAAGAAGAGACGCACGAATACAAAGAACAAGCACATCCCCCTCGGCAATCGAAATCCCTCGCGCCTCGAGCTGATTCTCAATGATATGATTATACTCGAAGAGACCCTGCGCTCCGCAGCGCTCACTCAGCGCAAATAGACTGCTCTGTGTCCCCTGTGTCAAAACAGCTTTGAATGTTGTGGCGATACCGTGTCGGATCGAGTAATCGATCGACTTATCCGTGAATAGCTTTGTACTCCAGTCTGCATACGCTTCCCAGACCGTAACTTGTGCGAGAGCGAAGAGGATGGGGCGTTGCTGTGTGCGGAAGGAGAGGATTGGCTTTGGCGCTGCACGACCGTCATAAGAGCCGCCGACTCGTCGACGGAGACTGTATCTTGCCGCGATGTAGGTGGCTCGTTTCAGGATGGGGATGAGTGTCGTTGTCAGCGCAAGTGTGCCCACGTGGACGCGCTGAATTGTCTCGTGAAAGTCTACGCGGGCATCCTCAATGGTTCCCAGGAGCGCGGTTGATGGAAGCCGGACGTGATTGAAAGTCGTGATGCAGTGGTCAAGAGGCTTTGAGCCGGTCCGGTGGGGGAGGAGTCTATTCGTCTGTTTAGCAAGATGTGAAGTAGGGCAGCGGATCAACGCTCAGTTCAAAGAAAGACATACTTGACAGAAACCCCCGTATTCATCGTATACCCATCATTAAGCCAAACAAGGAACGGACGAAGACCCTTGTCCTGTTCAGCCACAATCAGCCTTGCAATGACGATTGCAACGCGCGGAAAACCTGGTTGGGGTGATGTCGGGGGCATATATCTGGATTTCACCGGCATTAGCACGACCGACTACACGACGTGTACATAAGTGAATCATACTTAGCGGCCCCAGGATGCGGTGTGTGCAGCTCAAATCCCCCGTCAGGTTTCAATGTCGCGGTCATCTCGAGATTCCGCGCATCAAGACCGTGTCCGACTTCTGTGAGGAGGAATTGTGCCCTGCACATTTTCATTAGGTCTCACTCATACTACAACTACACATAACCCCACTGAAGATCACCAAAGCTGGATCGACTCACGAGACGTTAAAGTCAAGAATATCCGCCATAACCCCTTCCAAATCCGGCCTGTCAGGCAAAAAGCGTGCCAAGGTCCCAGCGGCAAGGTTATAATGGATCGTCAGCAGCGTAAAAGCCGCCATGTCATAGGGGTTTATGGGGTCTAGGTGGAGGGCCCAGAATTTGGGGGATAGGGACTGGACATCGGTTGTTGTCAGGCCTATACAAAGAAAGCATTCTATTAGCCATGTCGTGGTTTCTGGGGGATTGGGTAGGTAAGTGGAGGGGAGAAGGGAGTTGATGCATACCATACGCTCGTCCAATCTCGCGAGCGCGATTATAAGCAAGAATAATGCGCTCCTTTTGTGGAAGAGCGTCTGCACTCTGCTTGAAGACGTCCAGCTGGAGTAGTGGCTCGGTGAAAGGGGACATGGTGAGTATGCTCTCTCTCGCCAATCGAGTCGTACTGTATTCGATTCAATCCAATGCACATCTCGTCTTCAGGCAAAGAGCTAATCCCTGCTATATATACCCATCCGGTCGGGTCGAATAGTGGAGATGAAGCACGGTCCAATAATTGGGATAGGAGCCATGCTTTGATGGTCTGACGAGAAGCCAAGCAAGAGACCGTGTCATATCGTTTCGGATCTCAAGTACAACTCGACCAAGAGAGTCATCGACTCCAACTTATCGCCGTTTTCATCTACTTGTACCGAAACATGACTCTGTACCGACCAGCTGGTTAGGGCCGGCGGCCGCTAGTGGTCGTGCTGACAAGTAGCGCCAGCATAACACAACGGTATATGGGGTGGAGAACCCAGATGGCGCAGGTAAGCTCAAGTCAGCAATCGCCAGCAGGGCTCAGCGACGCCGTAGTCCATCAACTCGGCTTTCTCCGTGCTGTGCTGACTCTTCGTTGTCCGAGTCGGGGCTCCTTCGTCCCACAAAGCTTGATGTCGGCGCTAGCCACAATCTGAAAGTTTTGCGGCGCTAGACTCCGACATACCATTAGCAATGTCAAGTTCAGCCGGCCTGTGAAAATACGTAGAGCCACGTCCAGTCCCGGAATTGTGGCAAACCCAGGAGTTAATGGCTAATGCCGATCTGTAATGCGATACAGCTTAAGGTGGTGCAAGTTCTCCGAGCTGAAAACAAGCACCCCCGGCCGCTAGTGCATGTACCCTACCAGCGCATACAATACAGCGCGGCAAAACTCCAACACATATAAACCAAATTCATCCCTGATACACTCCCATACCCACCGCAAGTCCTCTCTCGGTTTTCTCGCTCATCTCCCGCAAGCAAAACGCCCAAGATGGCCGCCACACCCCCAGTCCCCACGATTATCTCCTCCCTGCCTGAGTTCCTCGAAGTTCGCGAATACGACTATGTGGTTGTCGGCGGCGGCGCCGCGGGTCTTGTCCTCGCCGCGCGGCTTTCCGAAGATCCCAATGTAACCGTCGCTGTCCTCGAGGCTGGCGATGCGCGCGTGGGTGATGCCAATATCGTGTCGCCCGTAGGAATGGCAGCTGTATTGGATAATCCGGACTATGATTGGTGTTTTCGATCGACGCCGCAGGTATACCCCCGTGCTACCCAGTTCAATCCTTCCGTTGTCTGGCAGAACCGCAGGAAATCTCTTCTGACACGATATGCGTGTTTAGCCAGGTAACAACGGAAAAGTGCACCACATCGCGCGCGGAAAGTGTCTTGGTGGCTCAAGCAGCATCAACTTCCTAGCGTACTGCCGCCCCTCGAGAGCCGACATCGACCGATGGGAAGAGCTCGGCAACAAAGGGTGGAACTGGGATGCTCTCTCACCGTACTATCGGCGAAGCCAGCGGATCGCGCAGGGGAGTTTACCTCTCCAGGGCTCACAGGAGAGCTTCGCACATGAACAGCAGTTCCACGGTGACGAGACGGGTGTTATCGCGACCTCATTTCCCTCGTGGAGGTTTCCCTTTGAGGATCCGCTGCTGAAGGCGCTGGATGAGGCTGCTGGTGGCCTGGCGAGGCCGGTTGATCCGTGGAGTGGTGATCATCTGGGGTTCTATGGGACGTTGTCGACGATTGATCGGACGGGGGAGAGGCCCGTGCGGTGTGATGCTGCCGCGGGGTATCTCAAGCTCATGGCAGATAGGTCGAATGTCAGGATCCTCACTAACGCCCTTGCGTGTCGGGTCATCCTCAGCGAGGAGGCGGAGGGGAGCCCCGATACGCCTATCGCACGCGGCGTGGTGTTCTCGTACCAGGAGCACATGTACCGTGTACTTGCAAAGAAGGATCTCATCCTCAGCTGCGGCAGTATCAAGTCTCCTCAACTGTTGGAGCTCTCGGGAATCGGCGACCCGGCTCTGCTCGAGGCCGCTGGGATCGAATGCCGTGTGCCACTGCCTGCTGTCGGACGCAATCTGCAAGAACATCCCATGACGTCTGTGACCTACGAACTCACCCCAGAGACGCACACCCTCGACACGCTCTTCGCTGACGCGACCCTCTTCGGCCAGTACTTGCAACAATACTTTACCGAAGGCGACGGCCCCGTTGGCGGGTGCATGAGCCTAACTGGTTTCCTGCCGTACGCGTCTCACGTCTCTGAGTTACGACTCGAACAAAGCCTGACCAGCGAAACCAAAAACAACATTGAATCCGAAGAAATCACCCGCACCCTCTCCCTCCTCCGCGACAAAGCCACTCCCAGCATGCAACTGACCTGTGTCCCCGCCAACTTCTCTCCAGAGACCGGGCACGCCCATCTTAACCAAGTCATGCCCGGCGCCCCCGCCGGCCGAGGCCCCTGCTACACAATCCTCATCGCCAACTCGTACCCGCTCTCCCGTGGAAACATCCACATCACCACCTCGGACCCCTTCGCGGCGCCGGGGATAGACCTCGGTATCCTGCGTCACGAGCTCGACGTCGATGTCCTGGCTGCGGGCGTGCTCTTTGCAGATAAAGTATTCCAGTCTGCGCACGTACGTGACAAGGTTGTTGCGCGGGTAAGTCCGCCTGCGTCGGTAAATTTGGATAGTTGGGAGGCGGTTAGGGGGTATGCGCGGGACCAGACGCTTGTGTTCAATCATTTGTTGGGGACATGTGCTATGGGCGAGGTGGTTGATGACCGGTTGGCAGTTAAGGGGGTACAGGGGTTGAGGGTTGTGGACGCGAGTGTGATTCCAAACCAGATGAGTGGGAACATCATTGCGACGGTTTATGCTTTGGCGGAGAGGGCGGCGGAGTTGATTAGGCAGTGAGATGTATAAATGGTTGGAAGAGTGCCTAAGTGATGCAGCTGTTTTTTAGCTATGCTTAAGCGAAGTTATTGAGATCTCAAGCATGACTCACACCACATGTAGCTTGTGATACGATCAGAGGATCAATGGACTTGAGCAGATGCCTCTGAAAGAAATTGGATGATATCCAACGATAATAGTCGTACGGATAAGCGTACCTAGCAGAGTAAAGATAATGGGGACAGTGAAGCCCAGCCACTGGTGGCGGTTGAATGTTTGCAATAGGTGATGCGCGTTCCTCCAAACAGTAACCAGGTTAGACGCGATCTCCCTTGCAGTGCTTCTAGCATCGACCTTGTCCCAATAGAATGAATAGAATCGTCCGCAAGCCTCCTCACTAACTGCACTAGTACCCAGTAGCAGCAGATGCAAGGCTGTCAAGCCCTCTGATGGATCATTAGTCAGGATGAATAATCACTCATAAGGTATGCTTGGCTGTGTAATATAAGTCAGGTGCGAGGCGTGAATTTGATTGGATAATCCTCTTGACATGGAACAGATGATATGAATTAGGCGGTGCTCGATAGAGAATGTGGTGGTTGAGACCAATCAGTGAATATGGGCTGGTTGCACGCTTCGAAGACCCCAGTTACCAACTACTACAAGGGTGTAGTAACACCTATTCCAGGAAGCTATCGAGCTACCCAAGATTGCTGAACAATGCTCAATAGACCGGGTAGTATCGCATTAAGCAAAGGAGCAAAAGGTGTTCGGCAACCACTTTCGAGAGAGTGAAGACAATCACTCACTCATCACTGCTGGCCTCGGCATAAACGAAAGACTGCGAAGCCAAAAGGTCACTTATTGCGTAACGATATCACATCTCGCCATACATCCTCTGCTGCACGGTCCGAAGCTCTCGAGACGTACAGAAACTGCTCGAGGAGTGGCTCCGTCTCATTCCAGTCGTTCACTCTCAAGGCAGCCGAGGCCTCCGCAAGGCTTTCGCAATACCAGCGATAAATCGCCGACCTCTTTCGAGCCCGAGCCGCCAGAGCTCCCGTGTATAAAATCCAAAAGAATAAGTCTGGGGCGACGGTCTGAAAAAGGTTTAGGCGGGTAACAAGGGAGCTCTTAAGGTTCTTCGCAATCGTATCCATGCATGGAAATACGCCAAACTTGCAGTAGCGAGTCATGGTCAAGACCAGTATTGACCGTCGGAGTGGTTCCCGGATATCGACTGGGCCAAGATGGTCATACGATAGAGATAGTAGGTACCGTTGCGCCAGCATCCAGGGGTCATTATCGCCATAGTTCACTATCTTTTCATTCTCCAGTCGCAGCTCATCGGTCTCGTAGTGGATGATTAGTCGACAGGCATTTTGTATCGTGTTTCTCAAGGGGCGATCAAGAAGCTTCGACCAGGCGGCATTGGAGAAACGGGATCCTAGTAGCTTAAATATCCCTCTTGGTATGCTGTCCGACTCGGGATCGTCTATGGGCGAAAAGGAAACGCGAATAACCGGATGCTCCATCGCCACGGCTGCCCATTTTTGCGAGACGGGCAGTCCTGGTGGGGTGCCCATCGTTATCGCACAAAGTATATCCACACTAGACACTCGATGGTTGGTACATAGCGTAGAGATAATGGGTGTGCAGAGCTTACCCCATCAAGAAGGCGATAGTGGGCAGGTCCAAGACATCGATACCGCCGATGCTCTGTAGAAAGTCGTTGAGTCCAGCAATATGTGCATCAATGGCCTCGAAATTCGCATTAGCGCCCTGAGTGAGTATTAGAGCAGTTCATCGAGTACTTCGTGAAAGGCACACCTCTATGCAAAGAAGATAAGCGATCATGACCACAATGGAAGTGACCTTGGAAGGCGACGGGGCTACCTCCGCCAAGCTTTCTTGGGTGATGCGTAGAATTTCGTGGCGGTACTCGAGCGATCGACGGATCTCCTGAATACTAGTATTCTTTCCGCTCTCCTCGTGCAGTAGATGGAAACGGTGGGATGCAGCCATGGAGAGCACGCCGAAATGGATGGCCGGCTGGGTCATGGCCTCCTGCCAGGACCATACACCCAGGATTGCCGGACTGTACGGTAAGCAACATCTGGCAGTATGTAGCACAACTATAGCCAATTAGACAAGTCAGACACAGCGAATTGTCACCTACAGTGCTGAAAATAAACATTAGTGGCGGGGTCCAAGGGCACGGCCATGGAAGAGAACGGGTCTAGTGCCCCAGATCCTAGCACAATATCGCTACCTAGTGACACAGCGGCTGCCGGTGCCTGCGAAGACGGGGGCTTGTTTTCTTTCAATGGCTGGAACTTTTTTGGGTTTACGGGGGTTGCTTCGAAAACAATCAGGCCCGTCACTGCCCCAGGGCATTTCTTGCCCAGTCGCACGCACTGAGAGCATTCTGGTGTCTTCTCATCGCACTGTATTGGTTAGTAACATTGCCCAATCATACTCGAGGGATTCACGCCGTGTCGTATAAATATACTACTGGCCAGGGATATCACTCGGTACCTTGATCCTCCTCTCACGGCATGTTCTACAGCCACGGCTTCTGCCAGATAACCGAGCCATGGAACGGGCTTGCAGATGAAGATCGGAACCAGCGATCGCTTGAGCCAAGCCGAGGGTATCTTTTGCGGTGGGGATGGGTGTCGGCCTTGCTGAATTATTCGGGGTTGACGGGCTAGCAGGGACGGTCTGCAACTTACACTTTGTCAGATCAGTTCGTGCCGCAAAACTTGCTCAACATGGTTAGCCATGTTTCCACGTGATGGGCGCGTTGTTGTTGGAGGAATTGGTTGGAATCATTGGCCGCTCCAGCTAAGCTCGTCGATTCCTGGTCTCGCCAACACGGATGACAGTCGAAGTCGGAAGGGCGAATTGCCCCACCCAGCACGATCCAGATGCCCCGCAAAGTTGTCATAGATGATAGAGCTCGGTACTCGTTGAAAGGCTTGGGCATCTATCCATAATGGAAGAAAACCGAAGCGACTAATGGTTTTTTGTTGTCTGAGAAAGCTCGCGGACACGACTTGCGCCGACAGCGAAACTTGAATGCAGGACGCTAAACCGCTTCTGGTACTGACAGAGTAGGTATCCGATGAACATTTCTAGATGCGCGTTTCTAAAAAACCTGGAGAGAAGACAATACAAGTAGAGAAAGAAAGAAAGCTAAGATTTATCAAGATAAAGCCTTGTGAAGAAATAGGACTGGTGGTAGAAGTTTGCTCCTCCCTTATATCCGACATATTATATAGAATATATAGTCTGCTTTGACCATCATTTACTTCAGCAATGCGAGCATTAGCTACCTACGATTTTCACCCTTACAGTCTAGAGGAGCTTCTATAGCTCTAAGTGTTTTGGTCGCTCTTCGCAAAGGGCATATCTTCATACTATGGTAAATAAATGGTTGGTTTCAACGGCATGACCGACAGATATGATTGCAACCTTAGAATCCAGGCGTCTTTACGACATGTCCTCCAGTCCAGATCTTTACCATGCAAAATAGCACGTCGCTTCAAAGAAGATCATCAAGTCCTGGTCCAAGTGCTCCGAGACTCCTCTTTTTTTTTTCCTTTTTTTTTGGAGAGAGAGAGGGAGGGAGAGAGAGAGAGAGAATATACTATATTGACAGTGCCCACTCCACTTTGCTAAGTCTCAGGTAAATGAACCCACCCTCGTTTCAGTCTCCGTCTCGTGGCCCCTGCACTATTTTCCCATCTTTCAACAACTACTTTCAATCGACCTGTAAATGACGCCGCGTGACTTGAGCGTATACGACTCAAGACTTTTATTTCTACTCGGGTTAAAGATCGAGTCTCGGAGGAGATGTTCATCCTGATTGCGCTCCTTGCCCTGTGGCTCTGAATATAGGAGGCTGACGGTTTCAGATGCCCCGTTCAACGTCCTTAATCAATCAATCTCATACGGAGGGATGAACTCCTAGATTGGCATCTCGGCTACGATGCTTGACTCCCTCATTCCACCAATAACAATGCACTATACCTGTCAAGCATGACAAGCATTCGGCATAATGAGCCGATCCATCCTTTCTCCATCGCTGCGTCTGCTCTATGAGTACGTACTCCCGCCATGACTCGCTGTCCCAGCAGCTGGAGTATAAAGCCCACTCAAACCTCATGATTTCTCTTTTTACCTTCGTTCCAGAGGCTTGGTCTTGCATTCATTCTTTTCTCTCTATCTTTCTGAATTATCCTTCCATTCTTTACCAAAATGAAGCGCTGCGCGCTCCTCCTTCCATTCGTTTCTCTTGCCCTTGGGTGCAACAATCCCAATGACTCTGCACACTCCTGTGCCTCGATCTACTCCGTCTCGTCCGTCGCAGCGGCCAGTTTCTGCGCTACTTTTACTGCAAGCACTGTGTCTGAGACTACGGGCGTGCCGGACGCGCTCCTTTCCAACTGCGACTACAAGGTCAAACATCTCTCCAGCGCATGTAGCTGTCTTGAGACTGCTCCGACTACTGCCACTGCCACTGCAACTGCTGTCGTAACAAGCAGCATTGCCCCCTCAACTACCGCAGAGCTGTCTACTGCCCCCGTATCCACCATCTCTTCTGCTACCTATATTGCAAGCTCACCTGCAACCTTCAAGACTACCATAAAAAGCACGACAGCCACCGCGCCCTCGACCACCGAGGCGCCAACCACCGAGGCCGCAACCAATACCGCTTCATCTGCCATCGGCAACGGCGGGACGACCTGCACAGTCACTGAGTACGCCTCCATCTCTTCTGCCGTCGAATCATGCACCAACATTCTCCTCTCGGACATCTACGCACCTCCGTCTAGCACCATCGACCTGCAGAATCTGCAGACTGGGGCTGCGGTTATCTTTGCTGGGACTACGGTAAACCCCACTCATTTCAAACTACCTTAGGTGTCTTTGAATGCTGTGGCTAACCGCACTACTAGACCTTCGGCGACACCCCAGACAGCGACTTCGACCCCATTGTCATCTCCGGCACGGGGGTTACTATCACGGGGACAGATGATCATGTCATTGACGGCAATGGGCAGGCGTACTGGGATGGTCAGGGGTCTAATGGCGGTTCGGATAAGTAACTATCCCCCTTTCTCTTTCCCTCTCACTCTCACTCTCACCCGCCTCCTCATCACGTAAACGTACTAACAAACCAAAAGACCAAACCACTTCATCGTCGCAAAGCACATCTACAGCTCAACCATAACCTCCCTAAACATAATAAACTACCCAGTCCACTGCTTCAGCATCGAAAACACCGAGGACCTGGTTCTATCCCACATAACACTGAACAACACAGCCGGCGACGCCCCCAACGCCGCGAGTGACGGCGATCCCGCTGCCCACAACACCGACGGCTTCGACATCAAGTCGTCTACAAACCTCACCCTCACCGACTCGTCCGTGTACAACCAAGACGACTGCGTGGCCGTAACCTCGGGGACATCGATTACAGTCTCGAACATGTTTTGCTCGGGCGGACATGGATTGAGTATCGGGTCGATCGGCGGGAAGAGCGATAATGATGTTTCGGGCGTGACGTTCGCAAACTCGACGGTGGTCGATTCGCAGAATGGGTGTCGGATTAAGACGAATGAGGGGGAGACGGGGTCTGTAAAGGATATTCGGTATGAGGGGATTGTGCTCGAGGGGATTAGTAAGTATGGGATTGTGGTGCAGCAGGATTATTTGAATGGGGGCCCGACGGGTGAACCGAGTAATGGGGTTGAGATCTCGGGTGTGAGCTTTGTGGATGTTACGGGGACGATGAGTGGTGGGAAGGATTATTATATTCTGTGTGGGGATGGAAGCTGTGAAGATTTTGAGTTTGAGGGTGTTGATATTACTGGGGGGAGTGGGGATAGTTGTAACTATCCGGACTCGGGATGTCCTTGAGGGGTTCTTTGGCTCTCGGAGAGTTATGGTTTTGATGTGGTAGAAAATTGGATAGGAGGACATTGAGCGATATTAGGTGTTGGCTTGTATGTAGTGAAGTTGAAGTACCATTCTAGTGGTGCACCTGCCCGTCTACCGTCTAAGAATATATACTGAATAGAGTCGATCAACTGCCCTGGTTCTGGGGAGCAGCAGGCGCCGGACCTTCGGGTGTCACGTAGGCCTGTCATGATTAGCTACTTATGTCCGTGCTCGTCAAAGTAGAAGTAGCGTACCTTGGTCATACCACCATCAACAACAAAGTCCGAGCCGTTAACGAAGCTGCTCTCATCACTAGCTAGAAAAACGACCGCATGCGCCTGCTCAATAGCCTCGCCAAAACGTCCGGTAGGGAAATGCACCTCACGCCGGTGGCGCTTGGCCTGGTCGTCGCCGAGCCAGTCTTGCAGGAGAGGAGTGCTATACTCGTTAGCTAATTTCAAGATTTGGAACGGAATGGACGTAGCATACTTCAACGGCGCAGGACACAACGCATTGAACCTGAATCCCTCGCGCGCATGCACAATCGCCAATTCCCTCGTCAACGCCAAAACAGCTCCCTTGCTAGCGGTGTATGCCAACTGCGGCGTTGCACTACCGACAAGCGCAACCACACTGGCCGTGTTGATGATACTGCCGCGACTCTTCTTGTGCCGTCTCAACGACAGCACAGCATGCTTGCACCCGAACCATACACCCTTTACGTTGATGTTGTGCGTCAAGTCCCAGATCTTCTCGGGAGTGTCGACGGCGTCCGCGTCGTCGGCATGCATAATACCGGCGTTGTTGAAGATGACGTCCGTACCACCCCAGCTATCCTGTGACTCGATCATGGCTTGCACATCGGACTCCTTGGAGACGTCGCACTTGATTGTCTCGACGCGGGGGGCGCTAGGGACGAGCTCCTTCACCTTGGCGAGGGCTTTCTCGAGAGCTGGGACGGAGATATCGGCCATGAGGACGTTGGCGCCTTCGCGGGCAAAGAGGATACTAGTTTCAAGCCCAATGCCGCTGTTCCTGTCAGTCTAGGGCTTATCTCGAAGTTTGGGTGTGCGTATGGGTAGTTGACTCACCCAGCGGCGCCGGTGATGATGGCATTCTTGCCTTGGAGACGGCCTCGGGGGGTTGCCATTGCTGCGGAGAGATTTGCAATGCTGTTGAGAGTATATATTAAGAGTTTGCGAGTTGTTGAAACAGAAGGCGAGGAATTGTCGAGGAATGAAGGAGGAAAGTTGGAGCTCGACTTGAGACAGGGATGATGTGGCTGCGGGGCACGCGGACTCTACTTATCTAAAGTGGAGATAAGCTCCAACTCGCCCACAACGCCGCGCGATGGTCTGGTGACTCTTGTTCCATTCCACATCTCTTGCGCTGATCCTCGTGTCTGTTAGTAATGTCAATTCCCATTATCCTGATAGCAAGTGCTTACCAGTCTGACAGGTTCCTTGACCTCCTTCGCTCAAGTTTCGGTCGTTCGTTCTAATCCAGCCTGCCCTCCGACTCCGCTGATAAGCCACCTTGGCCGCACCCCTCGCCGAGCTGCCTTCCTCCAAACACGTCACATCACCAGTAATCACGGCACATACCGTCGCTCTCTACATCTCTACCACATATCAAAACCTCCACTATGTCCGAACCAGAGCTCACTCCCTCAAACGTCTCCGAGATCCTCAAAAATGACACACGGGTAAAGCTCGCTGGTGTCGACGCGGATGGCATGCTCCGCGGCAAACTCGTCTCGAAGAAGAAGTTCCTCTCCGTCGTCGAAGACGGCTTCGGCTTCTGCTCCGTCATTTTTGGCTGGGACATGCACGACCGCACATACTTTCGCGAGCTGGGGATCAGCAACAAGGAAAACGGGTACCGGGATATCCTTGCGAAGCCCGATCTCACGAGTTTCAGGCGGATTCCCTGGGAGGACAATGTGCCGTTTTTCCTGGTGAGCTTTTATGATCCGGATACAAAGGAGCCGCTCTTTGCGTGTCCGCGCGGGTTGCTGAGGGAGGCGCTGAAGGGGCCGGAGAAGGAGGGGTTCAGGGCTATGGCGGGAGGTGAGTGGTGCTTCATTGATTTGCGGAATTGGTTGTCGCGATGGGATAGACTGACTCAGTTGATGTAGCGGAGTATGAGTTTTATCAGTTTGCTACGCCGAATCGCAAGGCGTCGTCTACAGCTGCGTTTTTGAAGGAGAATCCGGTCGAGGCGCTGCCGTCGCTCACAGAGGGGATGTTTGGGTACAGCTTGACGCGTCCGATCCACAACCAGGAGTACTATTACGGCGTCTTCGATGCGTGTGAGCAGTTCAACTGCGAGATTGAGGGGTGGCACACCGAGAGCGGACCGGGTGTTTATGAGGCTGTGAGTGACTACAGTCGAAGGAACCGTCGTGCCATCAATGCTGACTGACGGAATCAGGCATTACAATTCGGCGAGGCCAAGGGAATGGCTGACAGGGCGAATCTTTTCAAGTGAGTCCTCTGGTTGGCTTTGCGCTAGCTTGCTCATGGTGTTTAGATACGTCGTCAAGTCTATCGGCACGAAACACGGCATCACACCTAGTTTTATGGCCAAGCCGCGCGAAGGCTTACCGGGTAATAGCGGCCATATGCACATCTCACTTGTGAACAGCGACGGCACGAATGCGTTTTACCGCTCCGAACCAGACCCCAACCCTCCATATCCCGACGTGGCTCACCTGTCCGACCTTGGCCGATACTTCCTCGCGGGTATTTTGACAGGTCTCCCGGATATTATGCCGATGTTTGCGCCAACAGTCAACTCCTACAAGCGCTTAGTGGAAAACTTCTGGGCGCCAGTTACAGTATCCTGGGGTTTGGAGCATCGGGCCGCATCTATCCGCCTCATTACGCCGCCTACTGCCAGCGCAAAGGCTACCCGGCTTGAGGTCCGAGTCCCAGGTGCAGACTCTAACCCCCACTTTGTGCTGGCGGCGATCATCGCATTGGGCTGGCGGGGTGTGGAGAAGAAGCTCGAGATCCCGGTTCCCCCGCTCTCAAAGGGTGAGGATATGGGCGGTTCGGGCGATGAGGGAGTCCGACTGGCAAAGAACCTGGGGGCTGCAGTCGCCACATTTACACGCAAAGACAGTGTCGCACGGGAGGTCTTTGGTGATGCGTTCGTAGATCACTTTGGGGGTACTCGAGAGCACGAACTGCGCTTGTGGGAGGAAGCCGTTACCGACTGGTAAGTCATCGAGATCTTTTGTGAGCCGCATCCTGGGTTTTTGCTGACTTGTCATAGGGAGGTGAGGCGGTATATTGAAACGGTCTAGACGACCGGTAACATATTTGATCGACCTTGGGAGACTATCGGTTGACCCGTTGAATCCCGATCTTGTGTCAGAACTCGGGAGCGACCCGGAAGCTAGAGTTCTGATAGTGATATCACATGCTTGCTGTGGTTATGATGGCTTTCGTATACCTGAGCTTTCACATGCGATGGCGCTGCTATTGGGCGATTGTGACGTTGATTGTATAGAGTATACCACCTATCGATCGTATTTTGGCAGTTATCTGTGAATCCAACTCGAACATAAATTCCGAAGACTTCAGAGGATCGTATAGAGATCAAAATCGTGCGGAAAATGCCGGCTTGAGCAGCAGGGCGCGGATACTGACCATTCGTCCGTGAGGTGAGCAACCGCGGCTGTTGGAGCTGGAGCTTCGGGCGTGCGGGGAGATCTTCCACTCTTCCACTGCCACTTCCACCTGCCCATCCTCGGCACTTGCTCGTAGCTGTCGAGCTCCCGTATAGCTCAGCTTCGAGCTCTCCGACTGCGATTTCGCGACGGCTCAATCGCGCGTAAACAGCTCCCACTAATACTTATAACACAAAGAATCAACAATCGGGCGAGAGCTTATCGGGCGACGGCGTCTGCCGTGTGTATTTATTGTAGGCCGAAAGGCAGCCTCCGCAATCGGCCGAGTTGCTGGGCGCTGGCACGTGACTTTTCCGTGGAAAAGTCCCGTGATCGGTCTCTCAAACGGGCGCGATCCGTTCATCCTGACGCTCGACGCCTCCTGGACAGCTTCGTGAATGGCCCAATTCCTATCGTCCCTGCTCCATCGCTTCCTGACTTCTCCGTCCTCCATGGATCCAGTGCAAGCGCCTCCCAATCAGCGTCCGATGATGGACCGCGGTTGTTCGTCGCTCTCTGACGTCGACTGCAGCGAGCTCCTGCCGAAATGACTGTTATCGATCGGGCTCTCCATACTTATAAGAAGTCTGGTCTAGGCTTTCCCCCGGATCCTGGTTTGCTTTCTTTTCTCGAACCTCTGACCTAAACTTATCTGAATTCTTGCTCTCAGAAGATAAGTAACCATGTCTCAAATCGATGCACAGCTCAAGGACGTTGCCATCCTCGGCAACGTGAGCAACGAAGCTCGCAAGATCCTCACAAAGGAGGCTTGCGCTTTCCTCGCCATCCTACATCGCACATTCAACCCTACCCGCAAAGCTCTGCTGCAGCGCCGCATTGACCGCCAGGCCGAGATTGACAAGGGCCATCTCCCCGACTTCCTCCCAGAGACCAAGCACATCCGTGATGACCCCTCATGGAAGGGTGCTCCCCCAGCGCCTGGTCTGGTCGACCGCCGCGTCGAGATTACTGGTCCTACCGATCGGAAGATGGTTGTCAATGCTTTGAACTCGGATGTGTGGACCTACATGGCTGATTTCGAGGGTACGCTCTTTTCATAGTGCCAATTGACTTTGCGCATACTAACAGCTTCAAGACTCTAGCGCCCCAACCTGGGAGAACATGATTAATGGCCAGATCAACTTGTACGATGCTATCCGTCGCCAGGTCGACTTCAAGCAGGGCAACAAGGAGTACAAGCTCCGCACAGACCGTGTGCTCCCGACCCTGATTGCTCGCGCTCGTGGCTGGCACCTCGAGGAGAAGCACTTCACCGTTAACGGCGAGGCCATCTCCGGCAGTCTGTTCGACTTTGGTCTGTACTTCTTCCACAACGCCAAGGAGTTGGTGGCCCGCGGGTTCGGCCCTTACTTCTACCTTCCCAAGATGGAGTCCCACCTCGAGGCAAGACTCTGGAACGACGCCTTCAACCTTGCTCAGGACTACGTTGGCCTGCCCCGCGGCACCATCCGTGGTACCGTGCTGATTGAGACCATCACCGCCGCTTTTGAGATGGAAGAGGTACGCTCGTTCCTACTCTTCTTCGTGAACCCGACTGATTGTGTAGATCATCTACGAACTCCGCGACCACAGCTCCGGTCTTAACTGCGGCCGTTGGGATTACATCTTCTCCTTCATCAAGAAGTTCCGCCAGCACCCCAACTTCGTCCTCCCCGACCGCTCCGACGTCACCATGACCGTTCCCTTCATGGACGCCTACGTCAAGCTCTTGATTAAGACCTGCCACAAGCGTGGTGTCCACGCCATGGTACGCTCCATCTCCTTCCGGAAAATGATATCAAACTAACGTCCACAAGGGTGGAATGGCCGCCCAGATTCCCATTAAAGACAACGCCGAGGCCAACGAGAAGGCCATGGAGAACGTTCGCGCTGACAAGCTCCGCGAGGTCCGTGCAGGCCACGACGGTACATGGGTGGCCCACCCCACCCTCGCAGCCATCGCGTCCGACATCTTCAACAAGTACATGCCCACCCCTAACCAGATGCACATCCGCCGCGAGGATGTCCACGTTACTGCCAACGACCTCCTTAACACCAACGTCCCCGGCAAGATCACCGAGGACGGCATCCGCAAGAACCTGAACATTGGTCTTTCCTACATGGAGGGCTGGCTCCGTGGTGTCGGCTGCATTCCCATCAACTACCTCATGGTACACTTCCTCACCTATAACACCAGATATTGAACGCAGTATACTGACAATTATACAGGAGGACGCCGCCACCGCCGAAGTCTCCCGCAGCCAGCTCTGGCAATGGGTCCGCCACGGCGTGACCACATCCGAGGGCAAGAAGGTCGACAAGGCCTACGCTCTCCGCCTCCTCCAGGAGCAGGCCGACACCCTAGCCTCCAAAGGCCCCAAGGGCAACAAGTTCCAGCTCGCAGCCCGCTACTTTGCTGGCCAGGTGACTGGAGAAGACTACGCCGATTTCCTGACGAGTCTGCTGTACAATGAGATTTCGACTCCGGGGGCTGCGTCGAAACTCTAAATAATGACTTTTCTTCTTTTCCCTTTTTCTTTCTTTGAATTGTGTATGTTAGATTATGATCGCTTATGATTCCAATCCTGTTGTATTGCTTTTCTTTTATGGTGAAATGAAATTCGAGCCAAACAACTGAGCTTTTTCTGTTCTTCTCAAAACTGTCTATTCCAGATATGCACATTGCAATGTTTGCTAAGCTCCAGGCTATACTTATTTACATGTATGTATGTATGTATGTATATGATGCAGTCTATATGCAATCCAGATTGTCCCCGTCCACCTCGTGACCAAACCACAGACACCGTATTCTTCTCAGGTCACCAGAAAAACGAAACCAACTCGTCTTCCAGATCAGACCTGAAAAGTCTTCCCCAACGGCAAATCTCGACTACTATGACCCACCCAAATATAAAACTCGCCCTGGTCGCGCGGAAGGACCCAATTCTGTTCACGCACGGACCAGTAACTCAGGTCCTTCCGTGACAGCGTAAGCGACACAGCGCCCTTCTGGCCCGCTTCCAGTGCGATCTTGGTGAAGTTGCGGAGGACGCGGTCGGGGAAGTCGATTTTCTCTGCAGCGGCTACTCTGGAAACCAGAGATCGGGGGGCCTTGGGGTTTGTGTTTGTGTTTGAAGTCGAGGTGGGGAGGGATTCAGTTACGCTATCCGGGAACGAGACGTAGACTTGGACGACTGTTGAGCCAGGGCGTTTCCCCGTGTTTGCGACGGAGAGGTCGATGCGTGCGATTTCTTCGTAGAGTGATGGGTTCCCACCGGCGCCGCCACCTGCGTCTGAGGGTTTGGTGCGGCGAGGTGGTTTGTCCTTTTCGGGTTCTGTGTCTGGGTTCGGTGGTGGTGGGGTTGTTGCGTCGAGGGTTGGTAGGTATGGGTATATGTATTTTTCGAGGACGCGGAAGCCCGGTGGGAAGAGGACGGAGTCGTTAGCTGGGGGTGGGTTCGGATCGTATTTAGGCGGGGAGATTTCGTTCTCGGGACGGGCAACTGGGAGGCGGGATAGCTTGCGCTTGTGTAGAGGTGTGATCTTTAGGTCGGTGAGTTCCCAGTTTGTGTACGAGAGGCCGTAGCCGAACTCGTAGCGCGGAGTTATGTTGTGGCGGTCGAAGTAGCGATGGTCAATGTAGAGGGCATCGGCGAAATCGACTTGTGGCACTGGCGCATTGGGTTCGTACAGGACTTGCGCGCCGGGGCCGTAGTCTTCGAGTAATTTGCCGACAGTGTAGGGGAGTCGGCCCGTGGCGTCGAGTTGACCGAAGAGGATGTCAACGATCGCATTGCCGCTTTCTTGGCCTGGGAGATGGGCGAAGAGAACGGCCTGAACGCCAGGTAGGTCGATCCAGGATTCGACGATCACAGGACCGACAGCGTGCACGACCACGACAGTTGGCCCGCCGCAGTTTTTGGCGACAGTCTCAATGAGGGTGTCTCCTCCTTTCTGGAGGAAGAGGTTGTTTCGGTCACCGTGGATGCCGCCGGCGGAGATGTATCCTTCGCCGGAGTCGGCGTTGGCGAAGACCAAGCACAGGTCTTTGTCGGAAGTATCTGCTGGCATCACGGCGTTGCGGAGGTAGGGAGTCAACTCCACATTGCTATTCCACGCGTTCTGGAGCGCGTCAATCGGGCTGACTAGGTATGGAAACTCAACGGCGCCGCTACCCCAGCCCATCGCTAGAGTCCCGGAGTTGCATCCACGGTCCTTGCAGACGTTAGGGCCCTCTGCGGGCCCAGCATCGTCTCCATAAACGCCGACGCGATACGGCCGGTCTGCATTGGCTTTTGGCTCTCGCGATAGAGGTAAGAAACCGTCAACATTCTTGACCAAGACAATACCCTCCGTGGCGACCTTCCGCGCTATGATCGAATGAGCGTCCTCCCCGATGCCCTGCGCATCAATGAATTTGTTTACAAGAGCAGCTGACTCGTCACCCGGACTTCCGGGGTACAGAAGGCCGTATTCATCATCGGTCCACGATGAGAAGTTCGGGCCACCTTCGCCCTCTGGCGCCGGGCGCTCCCAGGAATCTTGGCCTAGCTGATACCAAGCGGCCACGATACGAGTCACCATATCGTTGACCCGTTCCATCGGTACCGACGTATTCAATGCCGAGCGAGTGAGTTCGGAGCCCCACAATGATCTGCCATCGGCCCAGTACAAACCATCGCCAGGCATACTCATATCCAGGCCACTCAAAGCACTATTCACGCCTGAGCGCTGCGCGAGCCAGTCGGACTGAACGAACCCTTGAAACCCCAGCTCATCCTTGAGGATCCCATTTAGCAGCTTGCTGTTTTCACAGGCATGGCTGTTGTTCACCTGGTTATACGCGCACATCACGCTAGCAACATCCGCACGGATACTCTCAGCAAAGGGCCAGAGGAACACCTCATGCAATGCCCGGTCTCCGATGTTTGAAGACACAGCGTATGGAATGCCCCACTCATTAGGCTGGCGGAAGTGCTCCTGTTCGTTCATCACGTAGTGTTTCGCTGTAGCCATGACCCCGTTGCTCTGAATGCCGCGGATGGTCTCCGCAGCTGCAACAGCTTGCAAAACAGGGTCCGAGCCGAAACCCTCCCAGTTGAGACCGCCAGCGGGCATCATACCGAGAGGGCCCATAGACGGCCCGAGTATCACATTCACTCCTTTCAGACGAGCTTCGAGGCCAATTGCGGCGCCGCGCTGGCGCATGAGGTCTCGATTCCACGTGGCGCCTGTGGTTATACCTGCGGGAAATGCGGAGATGCGGTCTGCGAAACGGATGCCAAGCGGGCCATCTTGGAGGCACAGCGAAGGGAATCCGACGCGTTTGGCGGGACCTATATAGCAATTGTGAGTCGGCGTGTATATAATATACTTCAGTGGGCAGCCTCACCCGTGTTCCCAACGCACATGCCCATCATCCAACCCGTCCCCGTTGTGATATTGATCTTCTCAATCAATGTCATCCGCTCGACGAGTTTCGCAGCTTTCTCATAGCTCTCAGCCCAGCTCTTGAGCGTCCCGCCCTTGGGCGTGGGGAAATACGAGTCCGACCCGGGCATATCCTATCCAACCAAGTCAGCTTCACGCCCATCACACCACCAGAGCTTCGCGAATAAATCACAACGCACATATTCCTCCCAAATATCCCCCTTTGACCACGTATATTTCAAAAATCCCCCAACCAGCACCGCCAGCGCAAGAATGACGACGACCAGCGTCCACCACCAAGCTTTCGAATAGTAAACCGCGCGCCAACCTCCGCGCTGCGCCAGCGCCGCCTTCCTCTTCCTCGCCTCCGCGAGCTTCCGACGCTCGGCCGCCTTGCCGCCCCCGTAAAGATCCAAATCGTCTATGTCATGGTCGTTCGATGTGGAGAGCAGGTGCTGCTCGTCGGAGGTCAGGGTATCCAGGTAGGCTTCGTAATCGGCGGATTTGCGGGCGGCGACGGCATCGTATTCTTTCGCAGCCTGGGAACTGGAAGTGGCGCGGTCGATCTGGCGGAGACGGTATGCGCTCTCGTCGTCGGAGGAGAGCTGCCAGTCTTCCTCTGGAATAGAGTTGTGGATTGGGGTGTAGCTCTTAGGCATTGTGCCTTATTGGAAGAACGAGGGGCGCATTGGGTGAATTAAGAAGAACAAAACAAGGGACTCGTAGATTCTGGTCCCGAAAAGAAGAACAAATAAAAAACGGGTGAAATGAGTGACAGAGGCTTGAGGGGAGGAAAGGAGAAGCGTGGAGGTCAGACAACAAAAGACGGAGCTGTCTGCGTCAGCTGCACGTGCCGCCTTCTGCTTCCAGTCAACACCATGCCAATCGGATCGCCTCGGGTAAATGTTTATCTAGGCGTTCTAAATACTAGACGTTATGAAGAATAGATTTATGACCTGTAAGCTTGACATCTCTAGGGCTACGCTGGCGAAGTAGAATGGTGCCAAAACAGAGAAATATATTTCCGCAGACGAAGCAATCAAGTATCAGAGCAAGCAAGTCTATAGGATATATAAGACTAACAGAAGAAAAGCAAACACCGTCTATCCCAAGCATTAGGTAAAGTCATTATGCAATCATCCAAGAAACAACAAAAGGGAACTAGCTTATTCGGCCTCATCGTCGGTATCAACGGGCTTGGGTGTGCCCTTGGGACTGTTAAGCCACTCAATGTGACGAAGACGGCGACGAGCCTCTCGCTCCTTGACCTGGGCACGGGTCATCTTCTTCTTCTTGCGAGCGCGGAACTTGAGCTCGCCCTGATCCTCAGCGCCGGAGTTGGCGGCAGAAGCAGCAGCAGAAGCAGCAGCGCTGTTGACGACGGAGCTGGCGGCCGTACTACCAGGCTGAGGAGAGCTAGCGGCGCTGTCCTCGAACCGGTCCAGCGCGATGGCAGTGTTGGTGCGAGCGGTGATGCGACCGTCGGCAATGTGCAGCTGCTCAGGGCAAAGAGCGCCGACGAACTCCTCGTTGTGAGAAATCATGACTACACCACCCTTGAAGTCGCGAATGGCCACGGCGAGACCACCGAGCGAGTCACGGTCCAAGAAGTTAGTAGGCTCGTCCAGCACGAGCAAGTGCGGGTTGTTCCACATGGCACCGGCAAGGACGACCTTGACCTTTTGGCCACCGGAAAGACCGGAGATCTCGTTGTGCATAGCGATTTCAGGGTCGAGACCGATGTCTTCAAAATGTTTGGCGATAGTCTTGGGCTCGAGAATGCGGAAGCCGAGACCTTCACGAGAAGCCTCGTGGTCGTCGAACTCCTGGATCATCTTGAAGAAGCCGAGCTCGAGGAGGGTCTCTCGGGAGATCATGGTGTTGTGCTTGGGAAGGAGACCGACCCATTTACTGTGTTATGTTAGTATTGATCGAACAAACTCGGTGGAAATGAACATACACTTCGTATTGGAAGGTCTTCTTGTACTTTTGCCGACCGATCAAGGCTTCGATACGGCGGGGGCCGCGGCCATCACCGAGATCGACGGGCTTCTCCATCTGGGCCTTGTCCTCTTCGGTGAGGATACGGGTTTGCTTGAGGAAGACCTCACGGTCATCTCCATTGGCATAACGCCACATCAGGTATTGAGTAGGAGTCTTTTCGAGGTGCATCTCAACGTGCTCCAGAGCGTGCTGCTTGATGTAACCGATACGCAGGTTGGGGTGCTTCTCAACCTTTCCGGTCTGGGGGATGGTTTCACCGGTCAACATCTTGATGAAGGTGGATTTACCAGCACCGTTTCCTCCGATAATGGCGACACGGGACGACAAGCTAAGCGACAAAGAAGCATCGGTCAAAGATGGCTTGCTGGCGCCGGGATAGGTGTAAGAGCAGTTGGTCATGCGGAGGATCGAGCGAGTGTTCGACTTGATACCAGAGAGAATACCGGGAGGAGGGAACCTGAACTGGATGTTGCTGGCGGACAGGGTGTAGTAGCTCTTGCCTTCGGGCTTCACCTTGACGAAGTCGGCCAAGTTTCCCTTGTAGCAAACGAGCTTCTTCTGCTCATAGTGGTAGATGTCTGTGCAGACTTCATCAAGGAAACCGGAGTCGTGACTGACGATCAAACTGGTGATCTGATCGTGCTTCTTCAAGTATTCCTGCAACCACTTGACGTTGGCAACATCCAAGTGGTTAGTAGGTTCGTCCAGCAGGAGTACATCGGCCTTTTGGAGCATGGCACGGGCCAGAGCGAGCTTCATCTTCCATCCACCAGAGAGGGAGCCGACGCGCTGCGACTGGCGACCCTCTGGACCATCAGTGAAACCGAACTCGAGCAAAACATTGCGAATGTGCTCCTCGCCCTCGGCGGCAATCTTGGGGTCCTTTTGCACGAACTCGAAGATGCTCAAATCGGCATCTTCGCCCTGGTTGTGTTCGACGAAGCAGGTACGGACCTGGTCTGGGGGAGGGAAGCCCTCGAGCTTGTCGTTGGCAATGCTGCGCATGAGGGTCGACTTTCCAGCACCGTTGCGTCCACAGAGACCGTAGCGGTGTCCCTTCAGAAGGCGGAGGTTTGTATGGGAGAGCAGAAGCATACCACCATAAGCGAGTGAGAAGTTGGCGTTGACGATTACGACCTCGTTAGGGTCATCCTGAACAGGCTTGCCGAACTTGCGGTGGTCCTCTTCGATGAAATGGGCCTGGACGGCGGCTGCAACTTCATCGTGCTTGTCTTCGGCCAGAAGACCGCGCAGATAGGGAGCAATGCAGTTGGTGATGCGGTCGTGCATGCGGCAGTTGACGTCCTCACGAACCATCTCAGCGACATAAGTCTTGCCGAGCTCGAAGAGAGTTGTAGCATCAGGTCGCGCGAGGCCACCAGCCTCTTGAATCTTAGCATTGAGGATGGTGAGAACCTCATCTGGGGTAGTTTTGGCGATGGAGCCGGCTGCGACGTCCTTGTCCGCCATGGCCTTCTCCATGACATCCATGGCGCGAGTGGCGAGTTCTCGAACCTCGGGCAGAGAGGCGCGGTCCTTGACACCCTGGACACCGGGCTTGAGCTTGGGCAGGAAAGTACGGGCTTCGGCGGGATCGTGCACAAGCTTGGTCAAATTCTCGACAACCACGACTGTTTGTCGGAGAGTCTCCTGGGGGGTGGTGGGGGAGTTGAGCGAGCGCTCCAGCAGAGGAGTAAGAAGAGCCAGAACGGGAGATGTAACAATAGCAACAAAGGTGGTCTGGGACAAGGCATGGATGGCCTTTTGCAGGGTCTGCTCTGAGGGCTGCTCCATGGTCTTGATGAGCAGGGGAATGCGGGGTTCGACATCATCGTTCGAAAGAAGAGTAGTGACGGCAGTCATGGCCTTGCAGGCGCGCTTCACTACTTCGTTCTTCAAGTCGTGCATACCGGACTCCACGAGCGGGATAAGGTCCTTCAGGGTCTTGCCCATGGCCTCGCGCAGCAGATCCTTCTCGCGCTCTTGTTCCTGAGTTCCGGTACCCATCTGTGCTTCGGAAGCCATCTTCTCGATGAGAGCGTAGGCTCCAACAAATCCCTGCCACTTGCCGGACCCGCGGCTCAGATAGCTGGAGAGGGCAGGGAGTAGAGCGTTGACCTTTGCCTCAGGCTTGAGGGCACCGTAGAGCGCATCGATGGCGTACTGGGCAGCATCGCGTACGACAGCACCCTTGTCGGCCAGCGCATCGAGAGCCAGACCGATAACACCACCATCTTGCAGCAGGAATACGACTTCGCTCAGAGGGTGTGCTGTGGGGAAGCGCTCGAGGAGAGCGCCGAGGATAAGCATCGCACTCTCGCGTTTGGCGCCATTTTTCTTATCGGTGGCGGCTTTCTTGATATCGGGAAGCAGTGTAGTGTAGGTCTGGAAGGAAAAGGGGCCAACACTCTGAATAAGGAGATTCGTCAAGGCATAAGAGGCATCAAGCGACTGCTGAGAGGTTTCCGCGTTGAAAATGGTATTCAGGAGGGAGGAAATCTCTTGCGTAGTGGGGGCCACGGTCGAGGGCGTTTTTGCGACGATGGTAGGCATGGCTGGTGTAGTTTCGAGATGCGGCATTCTCTAAATCTGGTCTATTCTATCGATCTGTTCTGTCAGCTTGTCAAATCTCACTCTCACGGGAGGCGGGCTGCCCATACATGATGATCTGGCTCGGTCAAAACTTTTGTGAGGGTATCAAACGGAAATAAAATCGAAAAAGATGACAATAGAAAAGAGACCAGACAGAATTAAAACGACCAACAGACAGAAGGAAACCAGATCCCAAGATGCTGGGAGAAAAGTGCGTGTGAGACGAAAATGAGTTTGATGGAGGGGAATTTTTCCAGCGATAAAGAAATTTGTGGCCTCAGGCAAAAGAGATTAAATTATCGGCCAATCAAGGCAGAAGAGAAGAAAACTCTGAAGCCGCCAATCAAGGATTCGAGCAGCAGAGTGTGGCGGATCTTGGGCCGCTCCGTGGCTGTGCCCTGCTGCCTTATTTGAGCATTCTTGGTGCCTCAGCTTGCAGGCATCAAGTACCCCGTTATGGGTCTTCCGCTTTCAGCTACCCCGCACGCCAAGACTGCCTCTGTCCCTCTCGCTCTCCTCCCTACGGTCATCGAGTCCCAAGGACGTCGGCTTTTTATTGTGCTCTTGGATAATTCTAATGGTGACTCTATCTCTTAAGCTACATAGACTCATATTATCTTGCCAGTAGCAGACTTTCTTGTAATGGTGTCTGTCAACGACGCTCCATCTATACGCCGACGCTACCCCGTACTCCAGTTACCGAGCCCTCCTCATGTGATAACCGAGCAGCGTACGGAGTACAACAAAAAAAGATCGTGTCAAGCAGAGGGGGCTTTCCAAGAATAATATGAGAGAGAAATATAAAATTCCGTAGATCCGTGAATTTACCACCGAATCGAATCTCTCCGTAAATCGGACGCCGCTTGAGGGAGCTCATGTGTGCCGGGGCTGCCTCGGCCATTTGCATTCCCAACCTTGACTCCGCGGCCAACCGGACCGCCGCATTTCCTCTCCCGAGCTGCTTCACTTCGTCTCATCCTGGCTCTTTTCTCTTCCTTCCTTCTTCTTGATTTTTTCTCTTCAGAGCTCGAATCCTCTCCTCTCCTCCCCTCTACTCTCAATTGAAACCTCTCTGACCGATAACTACACATCAAGATGGCTCTCCCTCTCCGCACCGCCCGCCACGCCTCCAGGCTAGCACAGGTACGTCATTTTCGCGGTCAACGAATTTGACTTGGCAATTCCACGGCTCGCAACTAAACATTCCAACTTAGATCGTCTCCCGCCGCGGATATGCCACCGCCGAACCAGACCTCAAAACCGCCCTCAAGGCCGTCATCCCCGCCAAGCGGGAGCTTCTGGCCGAGGTGAAGAAGCAGGGCGACGAGGTCATTGGCGAGGTCAAGGTCTCCAACGTGATCGGTGGCATGCGCGGTCTCAAGAGCATGCTCTGGGAGGGCTCCGTGCTCGACGCCGACGAGGGCATCCGCTTCCACGGCAAGACCATCAAGGATTGCCAAAAGGAGCTCCCCAAGGGCCCCACCGGCACCGAGATGCTCCCCGAGGCCATGTTCTGGCTACTCCTGACGGGCCAGGTGCCCTCAACCAGCCAGGTCCGCGCCTTTTCTCGCCAGCTGGCCGAGGAATCGCACCTCCCCGACCACATCCTCGACCTCGTCAAGTCGTTCCCGCGCAACATGCACCCAATGACCCAAATCTCGGTTATCGTCGCCGCCCTCAACACCGAGTCCAAGTTCGCCAAGCTCTATGAAAAGGGCCTGAACAAGGCCGACTACTGGGAGCCGACCTTTGACGACTCGATCGCCCTCCTCGCCAAGATCCCCCGGGTCGCGGCCCTGGTCTTCCGCCCCGACGAAGTCGACCTCGTCGGTAGGCAGCAGCTCGACCCAGCCCAGGACTGGTCCTACAACTTCGCCGAGCTCCTCGGCAAGGGCGGCTCCAAGAACGGCGACTTCCACGACCTCCTCCGCCTCTACCTCGCCCTGCACGGCGACCACGAGGGCGGCAACGTCTCCGCGCACGCTACTCACCTCGTCGGCAGCGCCCTCAGCGACCCCTACCTCAGCTACTCCGCCGGTCTGCTCGGTCTCGCGGGCCCGCTCCATGGCCTCGCGGCCCAGGAGGTCCTCCGCTGGATCCTTGCCATGCAGGACAAAATCGGCACCAAGTTCACCGACGAGGACGTCCGCACTTATCTGTGGGATACCCTCAAGTCCGGCCGTGTCGTCCCCGGCTACGGCCACGGAGTCCTCCGCAAACCCGACCCGCGCTTCCAGGCTCTCATGGACTTTGCCGCGACGCGGCCAGACGTCCTCGCCAACCCGGTCTTCCAGCTCGTCAAGAAGAACTCTGAAATCGCCCCCGGTGTCCTCACCGAGCACGGAAAGGTATGTCATTCCCCTTCGAGCTCTGCCGCTTACCCTTTCTTATCGTGTTCTATTCCCGCATACTAATATTGGACGAACAGACAAAGAACCCCCACCCCAACGTCGACGCCGCCTCCGGCGTGCTCTTCCACCACTACGGCTTCCAGCAGCCGCTCTACTACACCGTGACCTTCGGCGTCAGCCGTGCGATCGGACCGCTCGTGCAATTGATCTGGGACCGTGCGCTGGGTCTGCCAATTGAGCGGCCGAAGAGCATCAACCTGCTCGGTTTGAAAAAGTAAAAGCCCATACCATTTTTTTCCCGCACATACCATGTTTTGTTACGTAGCACGCTATTGTTTTTAGTTCTAGATAGATCATAGAGTCTATACCCGTGGAGATATTGCGTGTAAGCTTTGAAGTGCTGATTGCGATATAAGTACATCAACCTATATACAGCTCGCTCTAAGCCCGGAATCCACCTTACGTATACCCTTTATACAGATAGGTAAGAGGGTCTACAACCTAACCCTCCCCCCAACAATCCCCTCCCACTCCCCCTTCCCAAAAGGCACATACTCCCCAGCATCAGGCGTCAACCAGAAAAACCTATCCGCCTCACCCCTGGGTACCTTCCTCCCAACCATCTCCGGATCAACCCCTTCCTCGCGCAGCAAAACCTTCCCCTGTTTATGGTTATCCGTGTGCGTCGAGTTCTGCACGATGCGCAGGAACACGGGGACGGCGTATTTGGGCAGACGGGCGCGCACGAACCGCGCGAGGTCTTTTAGTTCGGCCTCGCTGGCTCCCGGGCGGAGCTGGATTGCCGCGCAGCCGGCGCGGCCTTCGTGGTTGGGGACGCTGACGCCGTAGACGTTTGCTTCGAGGATGGGTGGGTATGTGCCGAGGGTTTCGGAGACTTCTGCTGTTGCGCTGTTCACTCTTCGTCAGCATGATCTCTAGGGTGTGGTGATGTTGAGAGAAGAAGAAAAGACAGGGGAAAAGGGTTGACATACACATTCTCACTCTTCCACCTGAAGGTATCGCCCAAGCGATCGAGGAAGTACCACCGTCCATCATCCTGTCTGCGCAACGCATCGCCCGACCGATAGTACAAATCGCCCTTCTTGAACACGTTCCTTAGGAACTTTTTATTCGTCGCGTCCTCATTTTCCCAATACCCCTGGAACGCCTCTTTCCCGGGGACGTTCACCAGTATCTCTCCACCAACTTCATACGGCGCCCGAACGACGAACCCAGTCTCGGGATCCCGCAGTACATCACCCGTATTTGGATCGATTGCCACAGGGACATACGTGTTGTTCATGAGCATTCTGAAGATAAGCCCATGGTGTCCGACGCTACCAGCTGTGAATGGACCCTTGTTATAATTGAATAGCGCAAAGATCCCCTCCGTGCTGTTGAAGAACTCGCCCACCTCGGGGACGTTGAACCGCTCGCGGAACCGCTCCCAGATGTCCGGCCGCAGACCGTTTCCGTACATTAGCCGCACACGATGATCCTTGTCCGAGGGAGACGGCGGCGCGGCGAGGAGGTATCTTGCTGCCTCGCCGACGTATACGAAGGCTGTGGCGTCCGAGTCCCGAATGTCCGTCCAAAACTGGCGCACACTGAACTTGCGGCCGATGGCGATGGATATCCCCGTTGTTAGGCAGATGATTAGCGCCATGGCCGAGGTACCGTGGTATAGCGGCATGCAGGAGTACCAGCGGTCGCCGTCGGGGCCATCCGTGTCGTTCATGCCGTCCCGGCGGAGAATGAGTGATTGATAGAGGCGGGACATGGTGAATGCGCAGCCCTTGGGGAGGCCTGTTGTTCCGGAAGTGTAGAGCAGGATGGACGGGTATTCGCCTGGTGTCCCGAGGACGAGTTTTCCGTCCTCGGGGATAGATGTTGGGAATGTAGTAATGACCCCGTCGCGGAACGCAGCGTCGATCACAACAGTCTCCATCTTTAATTCATTCTCAATCACTCCGCGCCGCTCCTCGACCCGTCCCACACACCCCTCCTCATCATCAACAAGAACTACTTTGGCCCCTGCAATTCGTAAACAATGCACCAGCGCATCCCCGGTAAGGTTATAATTGATGGCCGCAGGCGCACACCCAATCGCCCACAGCCCGAGCCACGCAAAGATAAACTCGGGTCTATTCTGCAGGTACAGTGCGACGAGCTCGCCCTTCTGCACGTCCTTGGAGCGGAAGTAGTTCGCGTACTGCAGCGCACGGTCGCGGGTCTCAATGTACGTATATGTGCCCTCGCGGGACCAGATTGCGAGCATAGACGGGTACTTGCGGACGGTAGCGTCGAAGGTCAGCCAGGCGCTCAATTCGCCGCTGGCGGCGGCGGCATCGTGGCGACGGAATGCGCGCGAGGTGACAAAGAGGCCCTGTAGGTCTTTTGTTAGATGGTATTTGGCGTTGAGGTAGGCGGCTAGGGTTAGGCCTGCGGCGGTTGCTGCAACGGATTGTTAGCATACAGCTTTACATATAAGATTGAGGAGTATAGGACATACCGAGAGCCATTTTGCCTGTTACAGCTCGTGAATTGAGGGTGTTCAGAGGGGAGAAACGGTATATGAGGAGAGGCGAGGGGTTTAGCCGTTATCCGTTCCTCATCCTCGGTTCGTCCCCGCATTTCAGAGCGAGTGAGGGGGCGATCGTCCCTCTTGTGATTAGACGGTGTTTATTGGGTGGATGGGCTTTTTTCGCTGTTCTGGAGATTGGAATATAACGCACGGGGGGTTCAAATGGCGACATTGTAGTTGTTTGCTTTTGATGCAGGTGTTCGGTGAACGAGGTTTGGTTGTTGGATCGGGGAGATCTCGAATGACTGCAGTGGTATCCAAGTATTCTTATAGTATGGGGAGGGGCTCGAATGGATATTTCTCTCCTCCATAATAATAATAACAACACCAGATCGTACTCTCATCGTCGAGATGTTCAAGAAAGAGTTAGGAAGAAGAGACGGTGAGGCCGGGGCGGGTTTTTCAAGGCAATCAGCCAAAAACAACAAAAAGCAAAAAGGAAAGGTGAAAAAAAAAAAGTAAGAAAAGCAAAAATAGGCACCTCTTTGCTTTCTCTTCATCTCAATTTTCCTTCACCAGTCGTTATTCATCCACAAACCAGCTATGAATTTTGATACTAGCATGGCCTCTAGTCGTTGCACATAGATCTCGTCCAGCTCTCAATCAACAACCAGCCTATGAAGGAGCAATCCATCGACTATTTGCTGTACATGCCTTTCCACAACCACCACTGGAAACTAATACAGCTCTCAACACTTTGTCACCTGTCATCCACGCAACAGACACTCCGCGGATATCGAGCTTGGAACCATCCTATTCTCTTCTCATCTGCATGTATAATCTTCCGCCTGCTCAAGGTGCTTTCTAAGTGTCTTTTCAGCGTTTCCCTCGCCATCTGGTCCGCCCCGGACGACGAGAGCTCACAGTAGGCCAGGCCCTTCTCGGTACCCCAGCTGGCACCCACTGTCGTCAAAAGCAGCGGAGTGTTCCCCTTGAAATCTCTGGCCTCGGTATCTGCTCCGCGCCTAGCAAGTATCTCAATGAGGTTTCGACTACCTGTATCTCTGATAACATTGTACGCGGCATAATGCAGTGCTTCCAGGTCTACTGTATCTCAAGATAAACATATCCGGACAGACCCGTCACTCTTTTTCATACGGGCAGTGGGGTTGACAGTGGCTTGGCTTGGCTTGATCCGCAGCTGTGCTGGTTCCGATATGAGCCCTAGTTATCATCGACCTACCCCATGTTGTACGAAATATTCGCCCTCGAGGTATGTATTCAGTTGCATGCTTCGTATTATGATCATTCATTTCTTTCTCGTTGTCTCATTGCAGCTACAATAGTTAGGAATGGTAGCATGCCCCAGGGATGCACCTTCTTCGCGTATTCTCTTGACCATCTGCAGGATGAAACACATAAATTGCAAGGGGAGCTCCATCAACATCGCCACACAGAGTATATCCTCATATCGTATCTATCGTTAATATGCGTAATACAAGACCGACTCGTCGTTGTTCTGGCGAATTTTGCGGTTCGCACGGATGAGCCACCACTTCATGATCCAAGCACATGTCGCGCAAGCAATGGAGAATGCAGCACTGGAGGACATTGCGATAGTGTAGCGAGGCTCGTCGGATTCAGGCCAGAGGTACTATAGTACGAAGAGCTGTTAGTAATGCCATCTTAACGGAACGAGTCGATCGTGACGAAGGGGTAGAAGGGGGAATGTTGAGATGGAAGATAGTTGCATACCGGAGTCCAAATAAAGGAGGCGTTTGCGATCGTGTTGACGATGGCAAGTGCAGAAGCCTTTTTCTCTTTGGTTTGACCACAAGTACTCGAGACCCAACCAAGGATGATTGAGTTGACTAGTAGACTTTGTTAGTATTGGAGGGAATGCGGGGGCTTGAACATACCAGCATAGGTCCCTATCGCAAAAACACACATGGCAAAGTATCTCGCACCCGTGTTTAGAGTGGCGCACCCGAGAACAAAACCAAAGACTGCAATTGCCTTGGCCACAGTGATGTGCCAGGTACGTTCATTGACACGACCGGAGTTCCAGGACCAGATCACAGCAATTGCACCAGCAATGAGATAGGGCGGGCAGGTAAGCACAAGTGTAATGGTAGTGGAGAAGCCAAGCGTCTCAACGGCCGTGGGGAAGAAGTTCTTGAACCCATTCGCAGCTAGATGCATGTGCTGCATAAAAGCAAAGAGCCAGACGCGCATGTCCTTTGCAGCTTCCTTGAGGCCAGCCCACGAGCTGCTCTGGTGGCGAGCACCGACAGTATCTGCTAGAATCCGGTCGTGGGCGAGTTGGCGCTCCTCGTGAGTGAGCCAACGGGTGTGCAGGGGGTCGTCTGGGAGTGTAAAGACAGAGCAGACGGCAACAAGGAATGTGACCGCTCCTTGGAGAATAAAGAGCCACTGCCAGCCTGTGAGGCCGCTGAGGTCGTCCATACCGTGGAAGATGCCAGCGGCAATCAGACCCGCAAACGCAGTGGCCAGAATGTTGCCACTGTACAGGATACTGATCCTAGTAGCGATCTCCTTTCTAGTGTAGAAAATCGAAAGCATATACAGTGCGCCAGGGTAGTAGGGGGCTTCAGTGACTCCCAGGAAGAAGCGGACTAGGAGAAGTCCGGTGAAGTCCTTGGCTAGAGCAGTGAGCGCACTGACGATGGCCCATAGAGCCATGCATCCCGCCATATAGTATGATGGTCTCAGCCGTGTGATCAACATGTCTGTCTGGTTAGTTGAATAATGCATTGTGGGCGGGTAACATACTGCTAGGAACCTGGCCGAGGAGGTAACCAACGAAGAGGATGGAAACACAGGTCTGATACTGAGACGACGACAGGTTCAGATCCTCTTCGAGGTCATTCAGCCTTGCCAGGGCAATGGCATTGCGGTCAAGATAGTTCAGCCAGTACATGCCCCACAAGGTAGGCATGATCCAGAGATCAAGCTTGCGCACGAGACGGATCTCAGCTGGATCAGTCTTCTTGCGGGCACCTGAATAATCTCCGGCCTGCTGCTGCTTCTCCTGATCAATGGTGTCCTCCCGGTGCAGAGCTTCGGGCTTCTCATCGCCGATCTCCTGGGAAACTTTCTTCTCGGTCATGGTTGCGGTTCAAAACAGAATGAATTAGAAGGAGACGGGTGCTGGGATCAACAGCTCATGGCCACGCGAAGAGCCCTTTATACCCATCAATCGCACATCAGCGACATCGTGACAAGAGGGGCCGATCTACCCCAGACAACACGCCCCGCGCAATGCGACTTTCCCCGGATCGGCAAGAACACTTGCGGGATTAAAGGTAGAATTCGGAGAAATGGAGTCACGGTGATATGTCAAAGTTTGGATGTCGCCATGCCGAGATCTTCCAAGGCCGCCCAGCGCACACGATACGACGCAAGGAGCACCAAGGAGAACTAGGCGCTTGGGAAGGAGGGGAAGCATCAATTTAAGGGTTTAGTGCCACGAAGGCCCAAGACGGCTTTTGGACCCTGTTTGGACGGTCTGGAGCAGATCTCCGCTGTCCAAGCCCGCACAGCCCCCCCGTCCCCACGCTTGGCTCGCGGTCACCCCGAGACAAATGCCAGGCGGAGAAGCAGCGGGGAAGACATGTCCGTCGCGGGGAATGTAAAGTCCGCTGATAAGCTATATTTTCTCCTTGTCCTCGTGATATATTAACCTTGTTTCGCTGTGTGGCGGCACGCCAATTTTGCCCAATGTCTTGGGCCCAACCAGCACCGTACAGCCAAGCTGGCTTACGACAACATTTGTTTATCGCCTCAAGCTGACCCCGGGAGAATTTCGGCACAGGTGGGCAGCTTATGTTTTGAAACCGCTCGTTGACGTTCTTGGTATGGGGTATTCGTGCTCGATGGGCCCACCATATACGAAGGCTGGAACGTGGAAGGCTGCAGTGCCTGCGGATGAAATCGGGGCACTTAAAGTCAAAGCATTGGCAACGGCGAAAGTCCGGCTATTTGGTGGTCTGTCAGCTTCAAATCCCTCATAGAAATGGCTGGCAATATCCCGCAACTCGCAGTCCAAGACAAGACGCCGCTCACAGCCAAGAGAACCCTATTCCGCCCCCTGCGAGAGTAGTGAAATTCCGACTAGCAGCCCGATGCTCATTGGTCAACTGCAACCTTGGTATCAGAGAAGTGAGGAGTAACATGACAGACCGCTGTCTGCTTCTCATCTCCGGCCGACAATCGGTACCCCCACGCCACGCCGATGTTGTCTTTCGAGACCCATAATCGGAGGGAATGCGTGTCTGGGAGCTGGGGGTGAATCGGAGATCAGTTTTCAAAGCCTTCTGTCATGCCTGCGCGAGTCATACCGTCAAATGACTTTTCTGAGACCGCATTGCCGTGGAGGTACTCTTACCTTGGCTGGGCACTATCTGCAACATCGTCACCCCATACGAAAATGTCCCGGATGACCGTGTGGATACAAATGTCATACCTGTCAAAGAGAGAAGCAGGTAAGTTGGCACCTGAAGTAATGAGAAGCGGGGAGGTAGATGAGAGAATCAACCCGGTATTCAGCTGAGCGAGTCGCGTTGAGCTGGATTGTGTTGCATTTGCATAGAAAGACTGGCCAGGATCAGGTGACCATGTCTACTCTGCTCCTCATTTTACCTCGCCCAACGCCTTGACAACTCCCCCAAGCTAAGGTGTTCAGGGAAGTCCTGCCACTCGCACGGCAATAAGCTCGCAATCCCCGACCTCAGCGCGTACTCCTCTCCTGTTCTGAAACCCGCCGCTGAAGAATCCTCTGATACTACTACAACTTCTGAGCTTGCAACAGAATCCATGAGCCGCAATGTATACCGAACAAAGACAGGCTCTTGTCGCCGTACCAAATTCCCCGTGGCCACGCCTATCGCTATTCCAGCCGTCTCACATCCATCCCGACCCTCAACCTCGTTCACATAAACATCCGTTCCGATGGTAAACTACCCTCCTAGCAGCGGCCTCAAACAATCAGCGGCTCATGCAGCTTTAGCTTGTGTTGTCAGCTTGAGGTCTGCCTAGATGTTTCGTCGATGGAGATACTGCGTCCCGACGGTACCGCATCCAACTAGATTGGGAACCTCAACGTTCCTCTCTGGCTCGAGGCTGGCGAGGGTGCTCTCAAGGTAGGGGATATTCCGCGCACAGGGACCCCAGCGAGCATATAACGAGGTCCTGGTCCATCCGCAACCGCGGCTGATATTGGTGCCTTGGTCCTTAGGGATATGTGGCTAGTTTCAGACGTTCTATAGCTTCCGCGCAAGGGAGCATTCCAAGAACGTTCCCTTTTTCTGAAAATGACACAGGATCTGTATCTCGCTGCCGAAGAGCTGCATAATCACACTCTATGGAGGAATCGCCATTTCTATCGCTAACAAGGAACATCTCGTGATAGTATACACTACTCGCTACTGTGTTTCTGCATAGAAAAAGACATAGTTCTGTCTAGAAGAAGAAGAATAATAATAATCAATCACTCGTACATACTTGAAACCGAAGTGCCAGAAAGAGAGTGCTTAACTAGCCAATGGGCCATATTGCGGGTTCTCTGATGCGGCAAGGTTGCGACTTTTCTACCTCGTGTTTGCCTGGGTGTCTTGCGTAATACTCTGACAGTTATACCGTATGCTACGAAGCAATGGGAGGATTGGCTAGCACTGGAGTTATTGCCAATCCAAGGCCAGTGATTTTTTCGTTATCGTAAACAATATGCAGTCCTACAGCCCGGTGTCCACGTGGCACCCTCCGGCCTGTTATGTTGGAAACATATCGGCCGTCAATGACCAAGGCCGGGGTGCGAGCTTTTGTTGTGATGAACTTTGTCCAAGCATGCTAAGTTAGCCACAGTCTTAACAAGATCTAAAAGTGGATAGGACATGGAATAGAGAATAGACTTGCCTGAATTCCAATCAACTTTTGAGGAGTTGTACTTTCGGAAGTGTTTTCAAACAAGCAACGAATATCGCCAATATTTTCTTGTCCAGCAACGTCGAAGCGCACCTTCTTGATCCAAACAGGCTTCTGGGTCCTATGACCCATCCATTGCCGAAATCCATTGGCAAACTGAAATATTAGATGGCAGATTTCTCGTGTATCCTGGAAAAAAATTGCTATGACCGAAGAAAGCTGTCGAAACACGATGTCGACGTAGACAGCTGGGTTCCTCAGAAGAGGTGGCCTGAAAGGATAGAGCTTTCCCTCGTGTGTTTTACCAATTGCTGGTGAGACACGAATGAAAGAAGGCAAGTATGTGGGTAGATGGTAACCCCAATTCCAGCGGGTGTGAATGTTGAGACTGGAAATTCCAATCACATTTTTGTCCCGCTGGTGGGTTGGTTATAATGCCAAATGTGAGAAACCGGGTTTTCTATCGAAGCAAGGATTAGTAATATGTCCAAGCAAATTGTCACTCGTCTAGGAGTGACTGACTTGTGCGTGTGCTGCAATTCCGACAATCGTGTTCAGCCAACCATTTCCAGGCCAAAAGACATGAACCAGGTCATTGTCGTCTAGTTGCCCGAGACCATACAGCCCAGAAGTGGTCCAATAGTGTAGCCCCCTGACGCTTTGAGGCTTCTTATCTGTTGCCGTGCTTTGACCCAACGAGAGGATAAACCCACAAATAGTGGTCTCTTTGGGGATCACAAGTTCCTGAGCCTTTTCGGTACGCCAGCCAATCAACTGACTTTTTGCCACTTGAATCCACTGGATTCCATGGATTGAGCCATCTGATTCTGTAAAGATCCTCAGAGTGCCTGGAAGATCTGAGCAGAAGTAGATCTCTGACAGATCTCGGCGGCTTTCAGGACGTTCGTGCCACTCTCGACTAGTATCTCCAGGCAAAGGGTTGATGGATGCCAGACGAAAGTCTGCTCTCTTTCGCAACTCTGCATACCTCGAACCGTCACTACCTAATTTACCTCCAATCTGCTCCAGGATCGCTTCGCAGCACTTCCATATCCGACAGCGATTCTTGAGTCCCAGCCAATCCTCGGCGCCTCTCCAAGGCCAATGGTCATGGTCATGACAGCGTTCGAAACATCGCCGGGCTTTGCGCGGAGGCTCTTCGAAACACGGGCATTGCAATCTGGATCTGGAAGCAATGTCCCTGGCAAGACTTTTGTAGTCTATAGATCGCTGTCCCTCCTTTTTGAGTAAGGACAGCTCTTTCCAGAAGCCAGTTCCTTCGACCCACGGAGTCTCATGGTAGATTCTCGATTCCAGAAAGGTATTCGGAAACCCGTTGGTTATACCAGCAAAGCGTTGGCTAGCGTTGATAAGAGACTTGACATCGCTTGAAGGCAGCAGTTCCATGATCATAATACATATTTCAGCTGGTAAGTTTGAAAATGGATCGCGGGGAGGAGTAGTTGCAGCCACGAACAGCTGTGAGAAGTCTGGTTTCAATTCAGGGTCGGCGACAAGTGGCTGCAGCATTTTCTTTCAGCAGTTTGCCTACTTTTTCTTGCATTCTAGCTGCACATACCTCGTGATTCCACCTCAAGAATTGCGGCCAAGGCTGAGGAACATCAACATAGTCACCATATAATCTGCTATCCCTCCATTCAATCATGTCATCTCCCTCAAATTCCAAATGCTCCTTGCATAGCCAGATACAGCCTTCGGAGAGGCAAGTGTTCATTTGCTTGTCCTGCACCTGTCGTTTGGTAAACAAGGTGAAGTAAGTTCCAACAAGCAGCATGGGCAAGGAATCCGTCTTCATTAGCTCGCAGAGACTTGGACTCTCCGGGTAGCATAAGAACTCTTTTGGTTTCATTATATCGGCCCTTTAATTTGACTATTCGTTAGCAAGCAACCAAGAGGTATAGATACCAGGAATATTCTAGGGTCACTCACAACTTTAGTCAAGTAAGCGCCACCTTCTTCTGTTGGCCCATCTTGTGCGTCTGAGACCGCCGAGTTGGTTTCTGGATTGAGAAAATTCCTGCTTCGAAGCATTTGAACACTGTCAAGCCACTAGTGTACCAAGAATCGATTAGAGGCTCAGTGTAGAGCTCGTCGTAAGGAGAACAACCTTACCCGGATAGCACGCTCAGATATAACACCACCGTGAAGCCCGTAATGTATCGTACACATTTCATCATGTCGATCCAGAGCTTCCAAACTATCATCATCGGGGTCATAATCAGAATCACCCGGTCTAGAGCAGTCACAGTCATCACTATAAAGGAGCCGCCCATAATCTCCCTTTTCTGAGGTTGAGCGTTGGCGGAGACCATAACAGTCAAGTGGGCCACCGCAAATGTTGCAGACATTCGCCCTGTCTCTTCCCATAGTGATAAGTCTGGGTAGATGGGGACAAGGCAGAATATGTTGGATAGAATTGATGGATCGAGCAGAAGGTTGCAGAAGAAAGGTTTGTGCGTCTGGGATAAGCGAGAGTAAGTGAAGTGAGCGGAATAGAGGGGATTTCTGAAGATAGTTCAGGTCAAATCAATCTTTCAAGTTGGCGGTCAACAGAGGGATTTTTACTTGCCTGCTGGTGAAAGAAGTAGCAGAAAGGTTTTTGTTTCTGTGCATCGGCCAGATCCAGGAATCTTGAGCCAACCACCATTGCAGGGATTCTTCTTGCTTCCTGTTGTCTTTCCCCGATCTCTCTTGTCTCCTGGTTTTTGACACTTGAATAAAATCAAATCAAATAAAGTCCCTGAACTCTCTCTTTGGAATAAGGGACTCGTGCACCCCCTTCGCGCTCACACCGGTTGACTTCCACGACCAAGCAGTATCTCTGCCGGAAGCGTTCTCGACACTTTCAAGGACGTTTGCCACGTACTGTCCAATTGTTGGAAGAAACTTGTAAAAGTGAAATGATCCCCCAACGGCAAAGTACAGATTCTCCAACCGGGGATCAGCGTGCCTATCTATCAACGGGTGCTGGCTGTCAGAGATAGAGTCCCAGCACAGTCGATAGTAATCCGGCTTGCGCTCTCCATCCAACAGCTGGGGAAGACGCGCTCGAACAGCTGCGACCAAGTCCTCCTGAAGACCACGAGGGGCATCAAGTTGGTCTTCTATGGGCACGGAGATCTCATGGCCCGATGCTGTCTGGATCGTGTTTTTAAAGGAAGTCGTGCTCGTGAACTTCAAGATACCGTTTGATGTCGGAGGTATGATCTCGCCTACAACGCATGAATAAGGAACTGACGTGTGATGACCTTGACAGGGAATTGCATACCTTGTCCTCCATATACCAGCACCGGGAGTTTCGAGTATCCCTCCTCCTCTTCCTCCGAAAGCTGAAAATGGGCCACACAGACACCAGCAGCATAGACCTGCCTCTCCACTCTCTGAGCATCCGGCATACCCAGCTCATCCTCCAAGGACGACATAAGCTTGCTCGTCCAAGCACCAGTCGCCAGCAGAACCCTATCCGCCCGAAACACCGTTCCATCTTCGGTTTCAACACCCTGCACGCCGTTTCCATCTCCAGGGAACACAAGACGCTTCGCCTCCACCGCCTCATACCTCACACCCAGCCTGATAGCCTCCTGAAGCATGATCCCGAGCGCCCTCCCAGCCTCAACCCACCCGGCCGACTTGTTGAAATAATACGATCCAAACCGCTCACAATCCGTGCGCTGCAGAACCCCACCCCAAGCGCCCCGAACCTTCTCTTCCTCCATATCAATAATAACACCATCATACCCTCCGTTGCGGAAATTCTCCCTGATACGAGTGGGGACATCACTACCCATTTCGTCCATAGCGATCCACCCGGACTGGTGGTATATGCCCGCGTCGCGGAAGAATGGGAGTGTTTTCCATGCTTCGATCGCCTCAAAGCCTAATTCCATGTACAGAGGGCTAGAGTAGTCTGCCCGGACTATCTTGTTGAGGTCGGCTGATGCGCCAAGGTTGTTGTTTGATGGAGGGGTAGCTCGGTCTAGGAGGGTAATATTTGAAGGGTCCGGGGATCGTAGCGCGAGGTGGTAGGCTGTGCTGACGCCGAAGATGCCTGCGCCGACGATGAGGGTTGTTTTACCTTCCATTTTATTTACAGGTTGATGGATTTCGATGAATTCGGGGGTTGGTGTTGGGGAAGGTGCGGGACCGGTGATACCAACGAAGGTGGCAGTCCTTCTGTACTACTTGAGCTCTTAGATCAGTATTCCATGAGAGGCTCAAAGACAATAGATGCGGTAAAGAATATAGAGAAAGAGAGGTAGTTTGTAACAAACTCAGAAACAAACCAAGAATCAGACAGACGGTAATAATGACTCAAATATTGACCGCCTGATGCGTTTCTTCATACCCCTCCCCCACTTGTGGCGTCTGCATCTCTATCCCTCTTCATTCGATAACCCATCCCCACTCTACTATGTCTCAACCCAGTACAACAGCCGATCCCCCCCGTACTGACGGCTTCCTCATCGAGTACGCCTTTCTACCACGCTTCCCCTATCCACGAGATGCCTCTGATTTGCCAGCCTGGCAGGAGATGGTCCGCAGCCAAGTCTCTGACGACGAATATCTGGTTTCCAAGCGCATATACGAAGAGCTCACCGTTCCCTTATCCTGGCCGGTCCCTCCCCGCCACGTATACCGTGTTCTTGCCGCCTTCCGCAGAAAGGCACACAAGGATGCTCGCGTGGCAGGCTTCACGGCTGAGCTCGTACAATTTCACGGGTATGTGGGGCAGATAATATTGGAACTGAGGGCGGCCGAGTATGATTATTTGAAAGATGAAGAAACCGTGAGGGAATTGGAGATGGAGTCTTTAGGGTTTCCAAGTCGGATTCGCGCGGGTGAGGAGGGGAATGTTGTGGCCGATGACGAAAGCGAGGGCGAGGACACTATCCATGAGCGTTTCGGGTGCTATGATTGGGACGATTATGGCAAACCCGTATACTGTTCATTAATGGACCGCTTGGGGTTGAGAGACGATGAAGACACCGACGGCAGTGATATGGACAGCAATATGAACCGCAATATGGACACCGATATGGAAAGCGATGTTGAGGGCAATATTGAGAGTGACATGGAAAACGATGCCCCAGCGGCTAAGAGGAGGCGGATAGAAGGGGACTGCTCCATTTGCTTTAGCCCTCTCAAGGCGGATCGCACGCCTGAGCAAGTTGACTTTTGCGTGCTAATGTGGGAGACATGCTGGCTCGGCCGTGAGAATGCAGATAGCAACGAGAACGAGCAGAGTCAAGAGGGCCATGACGAAGACGAAGATCACGGCAAAGAGCCCAGCCAAGTGGCCGAAGGCGAAGACGAAGGCGACAATGACAATGACGGCTACGATGACAACGACGACGGGTTAGTCTGGTGTCGTGCTTCCTGCGGTATCAACTACCACTTTGATTGCTTCAGGAGATGGGTTCCTCAATTTGAATTCAGGCGCCATGTCACTTATCCTTCATGTCGAAGACGCTGGTCTGATTGAGTCGTTTTATGCGCCTGGCAGAAGCCAGAGGTCTATTATGAGACCCTTAGTAGTATGCGTTAGATGAACACAATCTAATCATCCTCAACCGAAGAATGGAAAGCCATATTAACTCTGCTTTTGTCGGTAGGAGCTATGTTACTAGCATAACTTAAACATATCAAAGTCGAGCCGCGTTCTTTTTCGTCTGATGCAGCCACTTCTGTATAGTCTCTATGAGGCCATCAATCTCCTCCATCGTATTTCCCGCATGGAGACAAACCCGTACGCGCTCTTTCCCTGCTGGGACCGTTGGCGGCATTATTGCGCGAACGATATACCCCTCCTGTTGGCAAACACTAGCAAGCTCACGGGGAACGTGGCTCCGGAGTGAAAATATTGGTGAATTTGTGAAATGGTCTATTTCGAGCACCGCGGGTCCCCAAGCACTAAGGCTTTCCAACCGACTCCGGAAATATATGATCAACTGACCGAGCCTGCGTTGTAGCTAGAAGGTCATCAGCAAGCTATCCCATTTTGATGTGAGATGGAGTACATACCTGGACAGTCTCGCCTTCGGCTAGTATCTCATAGGCACTGCGAATGGAAGCAAGAAAGGGAAATCCTAAGGCAGTAGTGTAGATCAAGGTGCGGGCGTAATTGATGAGGTAGTCTCTGGTATCTGAGCAACATAGTACAATTGCTAAAAGACCAATTAATCCTGTTCCCAGGCGAAGAAGCTTCATCATACCTCCATGACTGGCCAATGCCTTTCCGAATGTATGCATCCGAATAAAGATACGGTCCTCCACTCCTAATTGCTGGACGACCCCAGCACCTCGCGGACCGAAAACGCCGGTCGCATGGGCTTCATCCACAATGAAGTGTCCATTCTTGCATGGGAGGAGCCTTTCAGAGACTTCAAGAAAATCCCCAATTGGAGCAACGTCTCCATCCATACTGTAGACAGATTCAACGACAATAAAGACGTTTCGATGGCCATCACGTAGTTGTGGATCCGACGATATCTCCGCTTGAAGAACGGCTTCCAGGGCTTCCGGGGAACTGTGAGAGAACTTAACCCGCTTCCCAGCTCGAGACAGCCGCATTCCTTCATGCGCGCTGGCGTGGATGAGCTCATCGTATACGATTAAGTCTCCAGGCTGTGGAATGGTTGACAGAACGCCCACATTCGCGTCGAACCCAGAATTGAACAGAAGACCACTAGGGGCATTGTGAAATTCTGCGATATATTTCTCCAGATTTTCTGCATACGCTGAATTGCCATCTAAAAGCCGAGACCCTCCGCTAGCGAACGGATGTAGTGGCGGGGCTTGTTGAAGATGATCCAGAAACCGCGCACGGAGTACTGGTGAGGTTGACAGCGATAAGAAGTCATTTGAAGAGAAGTCAACAGAGGATGAAGGCAACACCGTGAGTTTTCGACGACATAGCTTGGTTTCTCGTTGATGCAGAGCCTGGCGCAGTGAGTCACGAAGGCATTTTGGAGAGGAGGCGCCCATCTGGTTCAATTACCGACAGGATGTTGTAGCGCTGGCAAGGGTTAATAACTTGATCAGAGCGATGAAAGCAAAAGTGTGAGGGTATGGTTGTCCTGGCAAGGTTCAAGCTGTCATTAATATTGTTTGACTATCCAACACACCACTTAAGGCTAAGAGATTGTGGAAGATTGTCAACTATCACCAAGTGGGATAGACCGAAAATCGGCGACAGGATTCCTGCAGCGCCGGTGCCTGAGTTATTGCGCTGGCTTTGAGTTTTGACGGCGTTTCTGTCCCGCCATGTCCTGCTACGTATCGAACCGGACTCTGCTTCGGGTCTGTTGGGATCAACCGGTGGGGGCATGGAGCCGGAGGGTCAGCCTGGAGAGCATCGCTGGTTGCCGTTGGAAAACTGAGCAACCTGCCGGCTGACACTTATTTACAGCCGATGTCTATCTGGGGCCTCGGCCATCGTTCTGATCGCTCGCCTTGGATGACAAGGATTTGATCGTTCCTTTCCACGGTGCAGACTAACCCAGATCCTTCAACCCAAAACCTCGCGTCGCGTCAATCGGCTGCCGTCAAACATTCCCGGTCGCCAATCGGTCGTGTGTGCCCCTGCTATAACAATAATCGCGACCCTATAATGTATTAGGGTTTTCGTGTGCTGCTGGTTGAGCTCAGGAAACCGAACTCTCAGTCATGGCGCCCGTGGGTGCCGCGCTATGGCGCTCCCTCCGCGCCCACCAGGTATACGGTGCGAACACAGATGTGGGCAAAACTATTGTGTCGACGATTCTTTGTAATGCCGTCAGCCGACGGAAATCCGAGGCGAAATCAGCATTTCTGAAGCCGGTGTCGACAGGGCCATTGGATGAGGCAGATGACAGGTAAGATCGGAATTTTGGTGGGAGAAACACTCGACTGAACGCGTGACCTCAGGCATCTACAACGCCATGCACCCAACACCCTGACAAAATGTCTCTACCAGTTCGACGAGCCAGTCAGCCCGCACATTGCAGCTCAGCAAAAGAACTTTGTGGTACGCCACTCGGCTTGTCTTGATCACTTGTTGGAAGAACACACATTGACCGGAACAGATTCCTCGCGACGATGAGATCCTCTCCTCCGTCCAGAAGACTCTTTCCAGCTGGGCGGACAACGGAGTTTCGTTTGCTTTGGTAGAGACAGCTGGTGGTGTTCATTCTCCAGGGCCCAATGGAAATTCTCAGGCAGACCTCTATCGTCCTCTCCGGTTACCCATTGTCCTGGTCGCCGACTCTCGCTTGGGCGGAATTTCCTCGTCCATATCTGCCTACGAAAGTCTCTTGATCCGCGGCTACGATGTCCACTCTGTTCTGCTGTTCAGAGACGATTACTATCAGAATCACGAATATCTGGGCAATTATTTCCGAAACAAGAACATTCCGTTGATCCCATTGCCTCCGCCGCCCGCGCGCCCACCTACACACGAACCTAACTCGCGGGAGCGAGACCAGGAAGCCTTGAACAGTTACTATGACACGGTTTCCAAGACTACAGATGTTGCCTCACTAATAGAAGAGTTGAACATCAAGAACAAGCAGCGAATTGACTCTTTGGAAGAGATGGCTAGTCGAGCACAGAAGACGATCTGGTATCCGTTCACGCAACACCATGGGATGGCGGCAAAGGATATTACTCCAATTGACTCGGCGTATGATGATTTCTTCCAGACCTATACTACACCAGAGACCCCAGATAAACAGAGCGGACTCCAAGCCACTTTTGACGGATCTGCTTCATGGTGGACCCAAGGCCTTGGTCACGGAAACCCGGGGCTTGCTCTATCTGCTGCCTATGCCGCTGGTCGCTACGGGCATGTTATGTTCCCTGGAAATGTACACGAGCCGGCTTTGTCGTTGGCGGAACAACTACTTCAAACTGTGGGCAACCCTCGCCTACAGAGAGTCTTCTACACGGACAACGGGTCTACGGGAATGGAGGTCGCTCTGAAAATGGGTCTCCGTGCTTCCTGCGACCGATACGGCTGGGATGCGACCAAAGAGCAGATCAATATCCTGGGCCTAAAGGGAAGCTATCACGGTGACACAATCGGGGTAATGGATTGCTCAGAGCCGTCGACTTACAACCAGAGAGTCGAATGGTATCGCGGTCGGGGACACTGGTTTGATTTCCCGCTGGTGAAAATGTCCAAGGGAGTATGGAAGGTTGAGATTCCAGAGATTCTGAAGGAATCTTTGGGAGCAGATCAGGAGTTCTCATCTCTGGGATCTGTTTTCGACGTGGAAAGAAGGGCCCGTTCCGAGGCTGGAGAACGCTACAAAAAGTACATCCTTGGCACCATCCAGCATCTGGTTCTTCAGGAAGGAAGGAAATTCGGCGCCCTTATCATGGAACCCATCATTCTTGGGGCTGGTGGGATGTTGTTCTGGTGAGTATAACTCGAAGATTGAACCCACTACACGCACGAAAAACTAACGAATCGCCTCAGCGACCCCCTCTTTCAACGCTGCCTTGCAGATGTTGTCCGCAGCAACCCACAGCTGTTTAACCGAGCTAATCCTGCAGAAAAGTCTCCACAAAATGATTTCTCTTGGTCTGGCCTTCCTGTTGTTTTTGACGAGGTTTTCACTGGTCTCTATCGCCTTGGCCGGAAATCCTCTGCGTCATTCCTCGGCATCAACCCCGATATCGCCGTCAACGCAAAGCTTCTCACCGGGGGTCTCGTCCCCCTTTGCACTACGCTAGCGAGCGAAGAGATTTTCAATGCTTTCTCGAGCCCCGAGAAGAAGGATGCACTCTTACACGGCCACAGCTATACTGCCCATGCGGTTGGGTGTCAAGTGGCAGTCGATTCCCTACAAGCTATGAACCGAATGGACAAAGATGGAAGTTGGAACGAGTTCAAGAACGATTGGAAACAATCCTCGACGAACAATGAAATCCGACCGCAGGAGGTCTGGAGCGTGTGGTCCCACGGTCTTGTTAACGACCTATCTCACGCAGAATCGGTCGATGGCGTCTTCGCCATTGGGACTGTTCTTAGCATCTCGCTCAAGGACGCACAAGGGGCAGGTGAGCTTCCGGAATATTCTCTCTAAATCCTTTCGCCGATTCCAACCGGCTAACATGTGACATCTCCACTGCACAGGCTACAATTCCACGGCGGCTAAGGGACTCCAGGCGAGGTTAGCCGCTGGCGGACCGCAATTCAACGTGCACTCCAGGGTCCTCGGCAATGTGCTCTACTTAATGTCCAGTGTTACTTCGAAGAAAGACACACTGCGAGGCATTGAGGGCCTGCTGCGCGCGGCGCTCCTATAGTAAACCTTCTATAGTAGACCTTAAAGACATCTCTACGAAGTAAATGAATTCAAAAATCGTGGACAGACCTTGTTCGGCAACTATAACCAATAGTCTTCAACAACAAGGTAGTGCCCCGCGGGGAGCACATTGCGCCTCACCGAACGCCGGTAAACAAGGGCGGAATCGGACAAACGGAACGAACCCACTCAATCTTGCTCAGAGCCACGGTCGCAGAAGATTGGACTCACCGAGGTACAGACTGCTCTCTCGCCTTGGTTCTGGAATCTCTGGTAGAATCTCGATCCTCTGTCATGATCCATGGAGGTAGCAGTAGTGCCCCGCCATTCATAGGAAACCCGGGTGTATCTACTCCGGAGACAGCCTTTCTTGACTTTGCGAGTCTCCCGCGGATCTGCGCGTTAGTCACAAACACGCGTCTTTTATTCGGTCAATCAGAACTCAGAGAGTAAGATCAGGCACTCTTCGTATCTGAGTGGCCGGGACAGTTCTCCATGTGGAAATACCGGTCCACTTTCGTCAGGCCCAAGCCTTGACGATGATGGTCTGCAGCGTTGAACCACCTCACCCATGCGTTGGGGCCAACAGTCTGGCCGCAACAGGACGGCCAACTCGGCCAATCTGCAGGAGCTGAGCGACCGAACTCAATTCGTCGTCGTTGAACTTTGAAAACGCCCACATTTTGATGACGACCTGTGGCCTTTCTACAGCCTTTCTCTTTCCCCTTGACTTGGCCCATGCTCCCAATTTCCCCTCCCGCCGCATTTGTTTGCTTCGTCCCCTCTCTGTGACTAACACTCCCCCAAGCAACTCACCACTGGAACCATCATGTCTATCCAATTTTCACGGACCCTTCCTAGGGCCATTTCAATAAGATCATATGGCACTGTTCAGTCCTCTCACACGGCTGCCTCCTTTGCGAGCAAGATTCCTCCTGCTCTCCGAGAAGCAACCGCGGCCACTGCCCCGCGCACCAACTGGACCCGAGATGAGATCCAGCAGATTTACGAGACGCCCTTGAACCAATTAACCTATGCTGCCGTACGTCACGTCTCACCGACCCTTATGTGATTTCGCGCCCAATATGACAGTAATATGTACTAATTGATTCTATACAGGCAGCTGTCCACCGTCGTTTCCATGACCCAAGTGCGATCCAAATGTGTACGCTCATGAACATCAAGACCGGCGGATGCAGTGAAGATTGCTCCTACTGTGCCCAATCATCTCGATACAGTACTGGTCTCAAGGCCACAAAAATGAGTCCTGTTGACGACGTTCTCAAGGCCGCTAGAATCGCCAAAGCGAACGGTAGTACCCGTTTCTGCATGGGAGCCGCCTGGCGTGACATGAGAGGCCGCAAGACTAGTTTGAAGAACGTCAAGCAGATGGTTTCCGGCGTCCGAGAGATGGGAATGGAAGTCTGTGTAACACTGGGCATGATCGATGAGAACCAAGCGAAGGAGCTGAAGGACGCAGGCCTGACAGCATACAACCACAACCTGGACACCTCCCGCGAGTTTTACCCCAGCATCATCACAACCCGATCGTACGATGAGCGTCTACAAACCCTGTCACACGTACGGGATGCCGGTATCAACGTCTGCTCTGGTGGTATCCTAGGTCTAGGAGAGGCGGACTCTGACCGTATCGGTCTCCTTCACACTGTTTCCTCGCTACCCTCGCACCCAGAGTCTTTCCCGGTGAACGCCCTAGTCCCCATCAAAGGTACTCCACTTGGAGACCGGAAGGTGATCCCCTTTGATAAGCTCCTGCGCACTGTCGCAACGGCCCGAATCGTCCTTCCCGCCACGATTGTCCGTCTCGCTGCCGGCCGCATCTCTCTTACAGAGGAACAGCAGGTCCAATGCTTCATGGCAGGTGCCAATGCCGTGTTTACGGGCGAGAAGATGCTGACGACTGACTGCAACGGATGGGACGAAGATCGCGTGATGTTCGAGCGATGGGGCTTCTACCCCATGCGCAGCTTCGAGAAGGAGACCAGCGCCGTCACCCCGCAGCAGGAAGTCGAGCCTGTCGCACAGGAGTCCGAGAAGGTATTATCAGCTGCGCCGGCCGCGAGCGCCTTATGATAGGGCTGCAGAGACTACCCCACCACCCAAACCAGGTTGATCCGCTATCGCTCCGCATGAGTCACTGAGAAGGGCTAGAGCGCTGTTGGGCTCAGTGCAACTATATCCGCATCAATGAAATTGCTTTACGAGCATGTAGCTATATCCTCCGGCTCCTTGGCGGGAGCTCATATGTGCAAGTCAAAGCACGATAATTCTTCGTAAAGCTGCTGCCTAGATGGTTATGCATTTTTTACTTCTTCTCATCGTCTATATAAACCCGCCTTGGGTCCCCTGTTTGGTGAATACATTGTCCTTGCGTGTCTACGCTCGTAACCTACAAAATATCTGGCATGCTGGATCCGGCTGTTTTCACCATGCTCCAGCCACTCTTCCCTTTTTCGACTGGCTGCAATGCCCAGCGGAGGGTCCTGTCGTGGGGTCCCACGTCCACGTCCACTTCCCATTTGGGGTGTCGTGATGCTATTGGCCGGACAAATCACTCATACAACGCGTATTGGGGATATATGAGACCTCATTCTTCCCCCCACTTCCTACCATTTTCTCACTCCCGCATTTGCGTCGACGTTGCTACTTACACGATTTCATTTAAGTCCGGCAAAAAAAAGGAATACTGTGAAGACTACAACAAGCGCAGGAACTAAGGTATGTTCAATGCATATGGTATTTGCCAAGTCTAACAACATCATTATTATGTCCAGCATCAATCATGTCAATCTATCTGCAAAGGTCATTACGACGTGTCAAAAGGGCAAGAAGGAAAAAAGTGTTTCACGGCCGTGGAAGGTCACACGACTTTCTCGGACCTTCGCGAGGCGAGGATTGGCACTGAGCGTCGTGAATTGACAGTCATCAGTCCTGGGATGGTCATCTGGCCTTGGTGTTTCGATGCCAAGGGCGAATGAGTGTTTTTGAGGGTATGGGTTACCACGCGGCGCTCAAACCATGGATCCTTCCACCTTCATGTCACCAGTTGCCTGAGTGTCACTGCGGCTCATGGTGGTGTACCGGCTGAAATCTTGGGGGCCACGGTAGACATTGCCAGTGTCCTTGTTACGGACAGACTCGCGTCGGAAGTAGATGCGCTTACACCACTTCCAGAGCTCCACGCCGGCGAAGAAGAGAATGGCCTCCACGATAACGACACCCCATTCCCAGGAGATTCCAGTGTGCTTGAAAACGACATCATTGATGACAGGGATGTAGAGCGCAGGGAAAGTCGTAACGAAACCAAGCATAACACCGCAGAAGAGGAACTTGTTGCGCCAGACGTCATGCATCCACTGGGTGAAGTACCTCTTGGAGCCAGGCTGCATGCGGAAGAAACTACGGCGCATGTTGATCATCTCCCAGGCGAGGAATAGGGCGAACCATGTCATGCAGACGAAAGTAGTGGCGCGGGCACGGAACACGGTGTCACACTCAGCGCTGTAGTTGGCGTTGCAACCGGATGCGAGGTTTCCATCGCCCCAGACGTACAGGACGAGCGAGAAGGCAGAAAGACAGAGGGCGGCCATCCAGACTCCGTACACGATCGTGTCGACGATGATTTCCCATGTGAAGATACCTTGTTTCTGTCGATGGTGTTAGCTTGGGACACTGTCAGATCCTCAGGAGAGGTGCTACGTACGCTTTGCGGGGGTCGGTCCATGATATCTGGAGCGGCAATCTCCATTCCCAATCCCATATCAGGCATACCAGAGGTAATCATAATGATCCACAGAATCTCAACAGGCGCAATGGGGAAGACGGACTGCCCGTTTTCATCCTTGAAGACGAGACCGATGAGGAGGGTGAGCGCAAGACCAACGTTTTCCGCGAGAAGGTGCAGGACGAATTTCTGAATGTTATCAAAGATACGGCGGCCCTCCTCAATACCGTTGATAATTGAGGCAAAGTTGTCATCAGTCAAGACAAGCTCAGAAGCATCCTTAGCCACATCAGATCCTGCCTCTCCCATTGCAATTCCAACATCTGCCCGCTTCAAGGAGGGAGAGTCGTTGACACCGTCTCCCGTCATGGCAGCGTAGCGGCCGCGTCGGTGAAGAGCATCAATCATTCGAACCTTGGTGTTTGGTGCGCATCGAGCGATCACTAGGGGAAGTGTGGGCAGAGCATCAATCTCGTCGTCGGTCAGTTTGTCAAATTGGCTGGCAGTCATGACCATTGCGTCTGCGACGTCCTTGGCAACTTCATTCATGTTGGCAGGGATAATTCCAACCTGGGCTGCGATGGCTCTCGCTGTACCAGGGTGATCACCAGTAACCATATGGACGGAAATTCCAGCGCGGTAACACTCTTCGATAGCACCAGCAGTCTCCGGACGAGGGGGGTCGTAAAGACCGATCAAACCGCAGAAAACGAGGTCCTTCTCGACAGTGTCACGGGAGGGAATCTCTTCACCTTCAGCGAATGTGCTGTGGTCCTCGCGGCATGCGAGGCACAGAACCCGGAGACCTTCCTTGGCGAGGGCTTCCATATTCTGGAGGATTTCATTCTTGAGGTCATCGTTTAAGGCAGTAGGGGCTTCGCCGGCAGTCCATATGACAGATGTGCAAGATTCGAGGACGCGTTCCACAGCACCCTTGGTGAAGACCATTTGGCGGCCACCCTTCTCGGAGCCTCCGTCGCGGGCAAAGATCACCGACATCTTCTTCACAGTCGAGTCAAAGGGGTACTCAGCCTTCTGTTTCCAGATGGCGTTCTCACCCTTTGTCCAGCGTTCGCGGCCCCAGTTAAAGCGAGTTGCGAAGACCTGAATCGCGATATCGGTTGGCTCTCCACGAGTTTGCCATTCGTTGTTTTCAGACTGGTGCACGTGGGCGAGGTTTGCCATGGAAGCGACGTTAAGATAGTCCTCCAGAACCTTGTTGTCCTTGATCAGGTCCTGGGGGTTCGCAGGGTCACCCTGCATATCACGGTGGAGCTTCATAGGGGCATCGGGCAAGAGGCTAACGTCACCCTCAGTAGGGTTCGATGCATCATTGGTGGCCCCGACCGAATACGTTCCCAGAGATGGAATCCACGCCCTCTTAACGACCATCTTTCCTTGGGTGAGCGTTCCAGTCTTGTCTGAGCAGATGTTAGTCACAGCCCCAAGAGCTTCGAGGGAGTCAAGACGTCGGACAATGACATGTCTTTCAACCATTTGCTTTGTTCCCACCGCCATGGTAATAGTCAACACCACAACCAAGCAAGCTGGAATCATCGCAAGACCAGTGGCAACTGCATAAATAATGACCTCCTTTTCGCTGCTGAAATCGTTGACAGCCATGACGATAATCGCGAACACAACAGCGATACCAAAGAGAAGCAGGGCGAGCTTGGAAAGCTTGCGTTGCAAGGGGGTTCCGACATTAATACCCAAGAATCGACCAACAGCGTCGGTGCAGGTCAAAGTCCAAGCTTGCACATACCAGCGCTTCTTGGTCTCGCCTTCGGGACCACGCTTGACGGGGCGTCTCTTAGAGTCACCCGCACGGAGGGCTGCAGCAATAGCACCAATCTCGGTCTTCATTCCAGTGCCAACGACAACTCCACGAGCGCGTCCGCGGGTAACGGTTGAGGAGCTGTATGCAATGTTCAGGCGATCTCCAGGTCCGGTATCATGGTCAAAGGTGACATCGACCTCTTTCTGTACTGGGAGCGACTCTCCGGTCAACAGAGCCTCGTCGGTTTCAAAGTTCATGGCATCGACAAGTCTAGTCATCTGGGTTAGTCATGTTTATCTCAAACCTCCTTCCTAGGGCAACGTACCTAACATCTGCCGGGACAGTGTCGCCGACTTTCAGTTCAATCATGTCTCCGGGAACGATTTCGACAGCGGGAATGGTGTTTGTTTTACCGTCGCGCGTAGCGACACCAGTGGGCGAACTCAGAGAGCGGAGGGAGTCCATTGTCTTCTCCGCGGCATAATCCTGATACACACCCACCACGATATTGAGTCCAATAACGGCTGCGATAACACCACCTTCGATCCAAGACTGGATACCGAAACTGACAGCCATTGCAATAATGAGGACCTACATGCGACAAGAGCCATTGTGTTAGTCAACGGTCAACAAGCGAAAGACGGTCTAGTCTAAAGAAAACAACTAACCAGCATCATTGCATTGGCAATCTGTCTAATAACGATTTTGACAAGAGACACGCCCTCACCACCTTCCAGTTCATTGGGTCCGAACTCTCCGAGGCGCTTCTTCGCCTCGGCGGTGGTCAGGCCCTCCTCGGGGTCTACCTTGAGCTCATTGAGGATGGCCTCGTACGTGAGAGTGTGAGCGGGTTGGGAGAGGGGCTGGACGTGCCCGGGCTGGGCTTCGGTCTTCTCTCCCATGTCGAAGAGTTGTTGTGTAGTTGTTGTTGTTGTGTTGGGGGGTTAGTTGGTTGTTGTTGACAGCTTCTTCTACTATGGTAAAGTCTCTTTAGGGAGGCTCCATATAGATTGTGTCGTCCAGAGAATGTGAGTCCATACACGGGAAAGACCCTTGGCCGACTCGAGTACTGATTGAGAGAAGCTTGAAATCTAGATTCTTTCTTCAAAAGAGGTTCTCCGAAGAGGGCGATAGGACTCTATTTAACTCTAAATCGGTTATGACGACAGTCACAATGGCGGGCCTGGGGCGATATAGACCTCCACCATCCAACCCGGATCCGAGCAATGCCAAGCGCCAATGATAAGCGCCATGGCTTGGTGTCTTGGCCAGCAACCCTGGATTGGAGCAAGTCGGCCTTGTGCTTTGGTTGGCGACGATGACGCATACGACTCTCGCGAGCCACGTGAGGGTCGCTAACTCTTGGCAGATGCGCCGTCGGGCGAACCAGCGGCGACTGCAGGGCCACTACGAATGCTCATTGGCTGCTAGGGGCTCTGGACCCAGCGGAGCGCCAAGCCAGCCCGGAGCGCGGGAGCCTTGGCCAACGGCGCAACAGTCGGCAACACTGGGATTGCACTTCCCGCCTGGGATTGGCGCCTGCTCTTGGAAACAACTTGGCAGACTGCAGCCCTGAGGGGCTCGAGGACAGGTGGCGAGTCTAAAATCAGCCCAGTAGCCCTTCAAAATGGCCCTGCATCCCAGGAGACGCTTTTCTGAATGGTTGTTGCCCCCCACTATCACCTCCGGCAGGTATTCGAGGCGTCTCGCATCGCCAGTCTCGACCCGTCAGATGTGAACGCTGTCGCAGTCTAGCCGATTTATCCGACTAACCCCCCACGTTGCATCGCGCCATATCATTGGACATGTCACTTTGCTAGTGCCCAGTCGTTTTCGTATTTGGCACGCCCGTCGTCTCCGGACTATGGCGGGCAATCCGACCAGCAAAAATCTAATCGCCGTTGTTATTGGAGCTGTGATCCTATTTGGCGCTATTAGCATAATTCCGATGTACGTTTTTTCTTTATCGCTGTGGTCCTTTTTTTATTTACTTTTTTCCCTATCTTCACGCTAATGGAACCCGCCTAACCCCCCTCCCCTCCCCCTCCTCCACTTGGGCCAGCACCGACCCCTCCTGCTGCCCACCATCCCTGCACACATCCCTGCTGCACCTCAGAATATTCCATGGATTTCGATTCCTGGGCGAGATTATCGGAACTGATCACATCATCCCTACCCCGTACCCCTACTCCAGAAGCACGCGACACAGGAAGATCCGATTGTTAACCCAGATCAAACATGCAGCGTCATTATGCGATGTCACCGTCGCAGAGCAGCAGCGAGACATGCAAACGAGCTTCGTTGTCTCGAGGTCAATGGCACTATTCGCCAGGTCAGCGTGCAAAGATGGCTGGACCAACAACAAACAACGGCGAGAGCAACATCCGAGAACCTTGAACGATACGCAGGCGAATCATGGTAAGTTGGTTGCCCATCCATTTTCCTCTTTCATTTGCAGTCTTTCCTCCGTCTCGTCTCTGCCTGAGGACCCGCGTTCGGCTCAGCCTTGGCCGCCCCCATAACAAGATGCGTCGACAGGGCTGGCTTTAGTGCGTCTTGGCGGCCTCTGTCGTTCCCATTGATCCCCTCCTTCTCAGCGCTGATCCACGCCAACGAAAGCGAAAAGAAAAATTGGAGGGATGAGAATATTGAGTTAACGAACTTTGGTCCGACATCCAGCCCCATCTGTCTCATGTCCCTCTTTGCGCCGTCCGCGTTATCGCTCTCCGGCTCCACCATACACAACCCGCAAGATCGCAGCAATCATACCCTGCCTCTCCCCTCACCCCCGGAAGCAGCCCACGTTTCACATCCCGATCAATGCACGACAACAGCAGCAACAACGAGAGCGAGAACAGACGACGACCGCACCCGGCCTCCACGTCTTTCAGGTCGAAGAAGACCTGCAGATGAAGAGGACGAAGAAGAGCGCGCCAACCTGAGCTCAAGTGGTGTGCTGATCCTCAACCGATGCACCCACGCCTTCCACACCCGCTGCCTTGAATCATGGTTCGAGTATGGCCAGTACAGATGCCCAATCTGCGCGGACGTCCTCATCACTCCCGAATAATGATCACCGATCACTGAATCTCCCATTCCTCCTCTTCTTAGCCCCCCACATAACGTACATATGGAGTAAGTATGTACGAGCTGTCTACGGGCTCGCATAACGTCGCAGTCGCTGTCGGAGTCGGAGTTCTGATCATTAACTCCTCCGTGTGTAAACTAGCTATTTCTTATCTAGTTCCAAATATGAGAATGGGCCCGGTCCCGGCCTTTGCTGGTCCCGGCCTTGGCATTCCGTCGCCATTACGTTTTCGTTTCAGGGATTGTCTAAGGGGGCAATCCGAGGGGGCTGGCCGGGGTGTTGGGGTGTTAAGGCAACGACTTTTTTTTTTTTCTCAATATCTTGTTGAGAAACAGATGTTATATTCAGGCCGCTATTGTGGTCTCGACGAAAAGGTACAAACTTACGTATGAGGCAGAGCAGATCACTATCAATCCAGTTCAGGCCCAGGTTCCAACTTTCCTCGTCCGGTTTTTGCTCCAGTTCTGTCAGCCAAGACAGCCCGGCAATCCATGGATACAACGACATCATTGTGCCTTATGGAGTGTCTTAGCTAGTCTCACCCCACAGTCACGGGTTACATTAGGCTCTGTTAGTTATTTTGGTTGGTTGGCAGGAGTGTTACGGGTTGACCTACCAGATCATCGGCTACTATTTTTCTGGGAATATGATTTTCTTGCCCGAGTTTTTCGTTCTATATTTCTATTTTCGTTTGATTTTTGATTTTTGCCTTCCCGAGTGTCCGTGTTTGCGCCCCGAGGAGAGAGCAGGATTATTGCTTCGGAGTACGTATGGGCTTTTCTTAGATGCCCCGACCCCGGGCCGGTCAACCGTTTACAATTGACTGTGGTTGGGCGTAGGCGTAGACTGGCTGGAAGGACCCTGTGCTTCCACTGTGTGAAGATATTTCGTAGTAGTATGAGGCCTACACTCTATATGCTTATCCCCTGGTTCTCCCGTTTGCCTACCTAGCCTAGCTTCGCAAGCCTTGTGTTTGGAGAATAAAGAATGAACCGAATGGGCTGGTTGGGGATCTGGTGCCAAAGTCTGGAGTCTGGAACCCGTTGGGCGTGGGGGAGAACGCGATCGGGGATGCTTTCCTTGAAAATCGAAGATCTTTTGATTCGATGAAATAGAATGAAGATTGAGAAAGTTGTATGCAGGGTAAAGGGATAAGAATCCCTATTTCAATTCCGACTGGATTCATATGGGGTTGAGTTATATTTGCTTGTTTGCGGAGAGACCAGGTTAGGTAAAGTGGTGGATATGCAGGAAAAGTATTCCTGCTCAGTCAGTCGGGTGATGACTTTCTCGAGACTGACTAGCGGTAACGAATTGATGCTGAAGTTGCCTTTTCTTACTGTTGCTTCCTGTTGCTTCAAATTGCTTAAGAGGTTGGTTTTGCCGGTGGAGCTTGCATATTGGTGGCCCGTCGGGGGCTGCGTAGATGGAAGGTGAAGCGTAGCCGGGCGACTGCTGCAGGTTCAGTTGGATCGGGTCCACTGCTGGCAGTCGAGACAGCAAACCTGGAGTAAGGCTCCCCGATATCCATTCCAATACCGGCGTCCCACGTTCAGTCCCTGACCGCATTTTCAACGGGCGTACCAATCGCGATACATTATTCCATCAGACTGCAGATCATGCATGAGGGGTTTTCTTCAATGTTTGCTTTTTTCTGCCTCTTCCAGATCCCTATGCTTGGGCCTACGAGCTGCAGTTGAAGTTATGCATCGTCAATGCATTGTGCACAGACGCCTCAGGTCAGATGCAAACAGGTTTCACCAAGAACCAAGGCCAGGTCAGATTTTGGGTTGAATTTGCCCCAATGAACTGATCAATTGCGGAGGTATATGTGATTGCGTCCGAGCTCCTGCAGCCGCCGCGTATTGACACCCAATCCGAGCCCTAGAAATGTCGCTGTGCCGTCCGAGCTTGCAGTTCCCGCGACAAGAGACGCCAAGATATGCGGAGGATCAGGTGCTGTGCTGTCCTTGGATAGAGTTTCAAGGCGAGTTCTAGATTTATGAAGCAGAGAAACAGCCGCGTCAAGCGATAGCGACAGTGCGAGATGGAAGCATTCATGATTGAAATTTCTTCATCGACCAGCACGGCTGCAGATTATTTCGAAAGCAGGGGTAGAAATCCTGGAAGAGGCTCTCTGTGCTGGGTAGTTGATGCCCGATGATGAGTCTCAATCACGAGGCGTTGAACGTCTGCAATACCACTCACTCCAACTCAGAAGAGAGGAAGTCTGGCCCGATATTCACATTCTGTATTCTTCAGCACGGGCTTCCCATTGCAGCCGAAGGTGCAGGTGAATGTGAGGTGTTCTATAGCTGGATGAAGGACCGGTGGGAGGAAGGTCGAGGCGTGTGCCGTCTTTCAATCACCTCATTGAATTTGAGCTCGGTCATCGGCCAGGTCTCCTCCCAGAGGGCATGCATGTTCCATCAATCAAGCCGCGGCCAATTCCTCTTTCTCGTTGCTGTCTATCCACTCCTGTATCTGTTCAGCCGAACTGTTTACCTTCTGGAGTTCAATAGACCGAGATCGAATCCCATCGTACGACACAAGCGAGATAAGAACATCCGGCGGCCCGACCTATGAGAGGGTTCTGTTCAAGAAAGGACAGATAAGCGCTCGTTAGCGATGCTCCGCTATACATAGCGTCAATTGGGTCGCCCCGAATACCACATCGTTCTCATCTCTACGTCCCGCGTTGGAGAGAATTGCGTGATGGCGCAATTGGGGACTCTCCGCTGAGTGTCAATTGCCCAGGCGACGACTCTTGGTACTCCGGTGAGTTGTGAGTTGGAGGCGAAAGTAAAATGCCATGAACATGGAGAGTCATGGCAGTGGGGCCGCTTGAGACTGATACTCAAAGCGATTGTCCAAGACTCTTAGTGAGGTTAGTGTTAACTTTGCCCCGCGATACCACATTATTTCCGGCTTCGTGGTGGTCTGGGAAGGCTAGCTGTCAGACACCCCGCTATCATGAATAGAGCTGACGAAACAGGGTGCTTAGGAGACACACGCGGATACAGTCAGACATAACATCGACACGCAATACCGCGAGAACCGCGCGTATCACATGGGCTCGTTGATGGAATATTCCAGAAAACCCAAGCGATGGCGAAAAAGTGCCAAGACTTTCCAAGGGCGGAATCTCGGAGACTTTCGTGATAACAGCCCGAAGGCGATCGCGAATAACCCGGCTCAAAGCGTTCTTGGGAACGAGATGGAGGAACGTACCAAAATAGTTCCAGCTGGGCGTCTTGGAGGACGGAGAGGACAGCTGAGATTCGCCCTCGAAACACCGGAATCAATAAAAATGTTCTTTTCTGACTCCCGGACGATGGGCCCACCTCGCCCTTCGCAACGCCTCCGCCTGGTTCTCAACCACTTTTCCCTGTCGTCGAATCGCATTGCTCAATTGAAACACGTGTGGTATATTGCGAGCGGCTGCGGGGATGAACGAGTGCAACGTTTCTTTTTTTCCGCTCAAGATAGTGATACGCTCAGCTTCTTGGCGTAGGCTGGCCTTGGTCTCGGCCGCTCTTCGTATTGCCCGTTTTAGAGTGCGTGCTGGGCCGTGGCTGCCTGGTCATCTTCTTAGCCTGAAGGACCGCTCGATCAGCTGCACGCTGCACGCAATGTTGATAAGCGGTTGAACCATTCGAAGTTTGATCTAGGATCCTCCCATCACGATGCGTCTGCAGGTCCCCCCGCGAAATGCCGAACGAACCTTGGAAGGAGGGTGGCGGGTGGCCGGTGTTCTTTTGATTGGGCAGTCAGATTAGATAAGCATAATCTTTGTGATTGGCTGGCGCAGAGGACAAGTCACGGGACCTGCCATTGCCCGTTTATTTCAGAGTCCCTGGCATCGACTGGGAGAAGGCTGGGATTTCTTCTGGAGGCTGCGAAAATGTGGATCGAATAAACTGGTCATGTATTGCTATTATTTGTCGTAATACTACTCATTGCGGAGTCATGAAAGACCAGAAGCGTTTTGGAAATGCCCAAGTAGGCAGCTCGTCTCCAAGTCGTACAACCTCGGAGATTCGGTGTTGTCACCAAACACGAACAACAGCACAATAATGCACCTCACAGCATCGCAACTCCGCTTCATCAAGAAGGTGCGGACCACTCTCCGAGAGTATGACGATGAGTTGCAAGCCATAAACTACAAGGTAAGTCGAGCTATTCGAATCTAGTACACGACGAAACTGACACACAAAGATATGGTCCAACCCGGAGGTCGGCTACAAGGAACATAAAGCTCATGACAACATCTGCAGTCTCTTCGATGGGCTCAAATCGAACGGTTATACTGTCAAGCGACACGTATACGGCTTAGAGACAGCGTTTGAGATTGACTACACGCATGGTAACGCAGCCAATGGCCGCGTCCTAGTCTTCAACGCAGAAATAGATGCGCTCCCAGGTATCGGCCACGCCTGCGGGCACAACCTCATCGCAACGAGTTCAATCGCCGCTTTTATCGCAACCTGCGAGGCGATGAAGTCACTGGCTTCCGCAGACCTAAACTACACCATCCGTCTCCTCGGCACGCCAGCAGAGGAGTCAGGGGGTGGGAAGATCCGGCTGCTAGATAATGGAGCATACAAGGATGTCGACGCCTGTCTAATGCTCCATCCTGCGCCTATGGCGCCCGACAGACCAGACCTCCTTAGTCTTGCAACTGCACCTGCAGGCGGGTTCCTCGCGAATGATAAAGTCAGGGTAACATATACTGGAAAGCCTGCTCACGCTGCCGCTGCACCATGGGAGGGAGTCAACGCCCTTGATGCCGTTGTCGCCGCATACGTGAATATCTCCCTCCTCAGACAGCAGATGCAGCCTACGCAGCGAGTCCATGGGATCATTGTCAACGGCGGCGACCGCCCGAACATCATCCCCTGGTCAGCGAGCGTGGACTATTACATCCGGTCACCAACACTGGCGTCACTGAAGCCACTAACCGAGAAAGTCGTGAAATGCTTTGAGGCCGCGGCGGTTGCGACGGGATGCGAGGTGGGTTTCGAATGGTTAGTCTCGCTACAAGGGATTCAGGGTGACCCCTCCATCTACTAGTCCGTCTAACATCCTGAACATCCAGGGGCCTTTCATACTCAGACCTCAAATCCAACACCCCCATATGTGAGAGCTACGTCTCCGTAATGCGTGCAATGGACCACCACGTCCTCTTCACCGCCCCGCCCGGCCAAACCGGCGGAGCCTCGACAGATATGGGTACGTTGCGGAGTTACCCCTCTCAAACGGTTTAGCCAACTACCTACTAGGATCATTCATCTAATAGTTACCACCCAGGAAACGTATCATATGCCCTCCCCGGATTCCACGGAATTTTTACCATTCCCGCGAAAGGCGGAAACCATACACCGGAGTTTGCAGAGGGAGCTAGAACGTTTGAGGCGTATAGGCGAGGCATGGATTGCGCGGCTGGTATGGCTGTCGTCGCATGTCATTTCCTGGAGAACGATGGGTTTGCGAAGCAGGTTAAGGATGATTTTTTGAGGGCTGAGGCTCTGACGATAGGTGGTAGTTGTTAGGTACCTCGTGCTGCGGGGGGCATTTCGCAGCGCCTTGTTTTGTAGCGAAGGAGAATGTGGAAACTTGGGCTGTTAAGTACAATGCATACTTGAAGCATATATATTTCTGTTGTAGGCAAGTTCTAGTATAGTGTCATAATCATGACATTGGCCACATTCCCATCCTTCCTAGTAGCAGCCCCGATATATTTGGATAGAGCACCTCTGAACCTCTAGGAACATTCTCAGCAGTCCTGTCTGTCGGCACCCGTAGGGATCTGGAGGTAGCTGCCCCTCCCGTTTGAACGGGTGCCCTACCTCGGGGTAAGGTCGATAGCGAGAAGGTTCTATAAACGGTTGAATTTACTAAGTAGCGGTGAACCAATAAACTTAAATAGCCAATACTGTCCGTCCATATCCAAAGGAACGGTCTCCGCCACTATAGGTCACCGCTAACCACCTTTATCACTCTAGCTAACTTCGAAGCTCGATATCACGAATGGGATTGAACATAACGAAAGCGATGCGGGCCAACCCTAGGAGCAACCCTATACCAAGCCAAACGCCCCCATCATTTTCTACCATCACCATTAAACTTAAGCACATCTAAAAGAGTTGTTGAACTTGCAGATGCGAGGGAATATCAAGAATGCATGGCCGGTTTAGCACATCCGGAGTAAAGTCTAGAAGAGTCATCTTATATTCTCAACCATGATACACGCTATACTGATATCTTATAGAACAGCAAATGACACGGCCAGTGACGACCTAAACAAAGAAACACGAATAAAGTTAAGAAATCTAGTTTTGGCTGACTTCAAGCCCCTAAGCGGTAGGAGCGATAATCGAGTCCTTGACGTAGAGGTCAACGTACTTGTCAACCTCGTAGGCCTCAAGAGCGGCCTTGTCGTTACCGAGATCGACGAGTTCCTTGAGACGGGCCTGGTCGAAGTGAGCCTTCAGGTGGCGCTGGTACTTGTCGAGGATCTCGGGCTTCGCCTCGCTGCGGCGCAGACGGTGGCCGAGGGGTGCCTCGACGACGACTTCGTCGAGAACGGTCCCGTCGTTGAGGGTGACGGTGAGGGCGTTGGGGATGGTGCGCTTGCTGGGGTCGTGGTAGTCCAGGGTGAACTTGGGGTCCTCGACACAGCGGATACGCTTGCGGAGGTCCTCAACAAGAGGGGAGGTTGCGGCCTCTGAGCCATCGGCGTAGTCTTCGGCGGTTAGGCGGTTGAAGGAGAGCATAGTAGCCACCATGTACTAGAACAATTAGTTAGTGTCTATCACCGCCAAAATGCTCCGGTGTTACCGTACCTGAACGCAATGGTCACGGTCTGCAAAGTTGTCCATGGCCTTGAACTGCTTGTCGATGATGCGAATGCAAGCTTCGTGAGTGCGGTTGGTGACCTCCTTGATGTCCGCGGCGGTCTTTCCGAGAGCCTTGAGCTTCTCGTTGATGATTTCGGCGGCCTCGATGGCGGTCTGAGAATGGAATTCGGCTGTTCAACTGTTAGCTTTATTCATGTGATTCTTCAAAGATTAAGCTTACCGGGGTAGGAGACCTTGAAGAGGACGTTCTCCATGACGTAGCTGCCGTACGGGCGCTGGAACTTGAACTTGTTGCCCTTGAACAGGACATCGTAGAAACCCCAGACAGGGGCGGAGAGAACAGTGTGAAGACCACCCTCACCCTTCTGGACCTTCAGAACCAAGTTGACAGCACGCTGGCAAGCGTCACCAGCAGCCCATGACTTCCTGGACATGGTGTTGGGGGAGTGTCTGTAGGTACGGAGACTCTGGCCGTCAACCCACGCCTGCGTGATGGCATCGGCGGTCTGCTTCTCGTTGAGGCCGAGAAGCTTCGAAACAACAGCAGTGGTAGCAACCTTGACCAGGACAACATGGTCCAGACCGACCTTGTTGAACGAGTTCTCCAAAGCCAGAACACCCTGGATTTCGTGGGCCTTGATCATAGCCTCCAAAACATCCTTGATTGTCAGGATCTTGCCACCAGCAATGTTTCCACCAGCGCGGTTGGTGCGAGAGATCCAGTCGGCGACAGCAAGAATACCACCCAGGTTGTCCGAGGGGTGACCCCACTCAGCGGCAAGCCAGCAGTCGTTGTAGTCGAGCCAACGGATCATAGCACCAATATTGAAGGCACCGTTCACGGGGTCAAGCTGGTAAGGTGTACCGGGCACGCGAGTACCGTTGGGGACAACCGTGCCCTCGACGACAGGGCCGAGGAGCTTGGTGCACTCCTTGAACTTCAGAGCTTCCAAACCACAGCCGAGGGTATCGAGAAGAACCAATCGGGCAGTGTCGAACTGCGATTGGAATTAGTATACTATCCCGTGCGTTCATAACTACAGGCAGAGCCCCATACCGCGAGGTCAGAGTCCACGTTGTAGTTGTGGATGTAGTCGGCCATGTCCTTGATCTCAGGATCGTAGCCCTTCTGGGCGGCAGCCGGGATCGGAGCGGCGGATTGCAAGGAGGCCATGGTTGAAAATCGAGAAACGCGAGGCAGAGCTGGTGAGGAGGAAAGTCTGGCGCTGTTCAGAGCGATGGGAGACGGGGAAGAAGAGGCCCGGGAGAGGGAAGCGATGCGGGACTGGAGATTGCGGGGAGCCCTGTGGGTCAGCCGTCTCAGCGATGAAGAGGCAGACATGATGAAGAAAAGGAGAGGCAGAGATGGAGAAAAGGTTGCAATACTCAATTAGAATTGAGAGAGAGGAGAGATCGCCTGGTCGGAAGGGAAAGATGAGAAGAAAAGAGGGAGTTCGGTCGAAGGCAGGAGTGAAAGGAGGAGGAGAGACGATCGGTCAAGCTGCTCCTCCCGCCGACTGGACCGAGGCCGCTTGTTTTTGTGACGCCTTTGGACCGGCCACTTTTAGCCGGGGTCCCCAACTGTTGCTCTGGCGGTTACACTCGGTGACTTGAGCATCCGATTTCGGAAAATAAATTGGTCTATCTCACCCTGATTCTCTTGTGTCTTATGAGCTATCTACCTGGAGATTATAGCGCTTTTCGGCCCTTCGTGAAAATATCCTCCTCCTCGAATTGTCCTTCCTGGACATTCCAGTTACCCCGCACGGGCACACCCCAGCCATCACTGCACATGAACCCCAATGCCATTGGCCTTCCCAAACATCGATATCGAATCCTAATCCTCTCCTGGGACGGAAACCTTATGCCTTGGAGACGCATTGAATACTTATCTAGTTGCCGTTCTCGTCAATTCCGATTCCGATCTTAATTCGCCGAGGATTCCACGGTCGGTCGGCATCCTGCGATCCCGCGGCTAACTGGCCCGACGAAAGTGTGCATGTGGTGACTGTTGGTCTGGAGACTGTCACGGATCCAAAGCTCTGGTCGACTCTCTCATCTCTTGTTCGTCAGTCTGCTGAAGAGATCTGATAATCTCCCCATATATCCCCTTGGCTAATAGAGGTGGCACGGCATTCCCGATCTGCTTGCGCACCTCTCTCGGCCCAAACCGAAAACTCAACGGAAACGTCTGAAGACATGCGAATTCGCGATTGGTGAAGCACCGGGTACCGGATGGATGATAGTTGTTCTCGCCTCCGCCGCATGTAATGGTCCTCGCCTGCTGATTTGCATCAAATGGAGGTCTATGTTTTTGTGCGCTACGAATCCTCGCACCTTCGATGTCATGGTCTGGAGTACCAGGTGGTATATTCGAGATCATTTGGTTGATGGTAGCTAAGTCGCGCAGGCCAGACCCTGGTATTCCATGTGTGGGCTTGGGCATCTGGGGTAGCGTTTCTCCCGGTCTACAGTACCCCAATTAGCAAAGCTGTTTGTATTCTGCTAAACAATATCCAGCACAAGAAGATCTATTACCTACCCTGCCGCAATAATGATTAGCCTCTTTCGTGACTGTGGCACCCCATACTCCATGCAGTTAAGGAGCGCCCACCGCACTGAGTACCCAATCTCAATGAAATCATGGATGACTCCATAGAAGGTCTCCTTATGCCGCTCAAAAAGACCGCTTGTTTCCTCCATTGTATGGACTCTAGGCTTTGCCTTGCGAATAAGATTTCCACACGAAAATATACAGGCTGAATTCGCATCGTCGTTTGCGCTCTCAATGGTGTGTGCTGGTGAAAATGTCTGGCATGGTGGAGACCCGTGGGTAACGTCGACCCTCAGGTACCCTTCATTGTTTGTCAGGAAGTTGAAGATATCGCTTGTCCAGCAATCGGCCCTGGGGAAATTCAAACGATAACTCTGAGCAGCATGACTCGAAATATCGAATGCCCATGTTGCTTCCAGCCCAGCTGCTTCAGCACCACAAGAAACGCCACCAGCCCCGCAAAATGCGTCTCCAAATGTGTATTTGCCGCTTCGCCTTTGCCCCTCGATTAGGTCGGGTTGCTGTTCATTTTCAATATCATCTAGTACAACAATTGGTGTTTGTGGAGCCTTTTCAGTGCCGAATGCTGCAGTTGGCCCACGCCATGATTGCCTTAGGATTGTTGGTTCAACCCGGTATCCAGGGTCAGCCTCACCGTAGCTGAGATATTCAACTGACGTGGCCCCAGATCTGCAATTCAGAATCTCCTTCAGACGGCAGAATAGATGGGCGGGACGTCGTGCTTTCTCATGATCGTTGCTAACATGGCAGTAGTTTGTGAAATGGAGCGGTATAAACTTTTTCACAAAGTCCAGGGCAACTTCAGAGGTTTCATTCTCAACCCACACTAACTCATTTTTCCAGACCGAGCCCTGCGGAATGTAGGTGCCTGCGTGATGCTTTGCTTTGAGTAATCGACGACCCCCAAGAGTTATCTGGCCATCCGACTCTCTCCAGATTGAGCTTATCCGGAGAAATGTGTTGTCAAGAAGCAGCTCCACTGACTGTCCTGGCATGTATACAATTCCACCCACGCAGACATCCTCCAGACGCGTTCTTGTAGGAGGCACGATTTGGTCTGGAGACTTTGCTTTCACGGAACGAAGCCAGTCCTCACGCAGTACTTCGAAACACTCGTCAGTCACATAGTCGCCTTCATGGAGATTCTCTTCACCAGTAAGGTCGATTATCTCTCTTGCCCCTGGAGGAAATGAACTGAAAGGGGTTATTGTTCGTGAATTTTCGCGCAGGAAGTATAGCCTGTCAGGGTCATTGTCGATGGAGAGACTGTCGATTGTAACGCTGCTTGCGTTGCTCTCCTCATACTCTTCAACGGAGTGACAGCCACCGTCAATCGAGTGATAGTGGCTGTTATCGCAGTGGTAGGGGCGGGGGTTGTTAACGGAGTGGTAGTGGCCGTCCATAATGTAGACCTCGAACAGATACAAGCTTGCAGAGTTGTAGCCAGTAGAGGTAAGACAACTTGGTGGTGGTTCGTTTGGGAGAGCGGGTGTTGAGTCAGTGCTGGCCAGGAAGATGTTGGAAACTAGGCAGGAAAGGTAAAGATGGAAGGCTACAACAACAGATAAATAGACAGAAACGTAGGCTACAGGGAGAGATATAGACAAGCAAGAGAAAGACAGGCGTTGTTTGTTCCAAGAAGGCTCTCTCGTTCATGGGGGGTGGGTCGGTCCCATTGAGTCTATAGCAGCTTCATCACAGAACTTATAGGAAGTGACAAGGTAAAAGAATAGAAACATATAACCTTCACTATATGAAGTAAGTCCTGAGCTAAAAACAAAATACAAATAGTAGCTCAAAGCCTGGAAATATCAACTTGTTGGAAAGTGAAGTTATAGTAAAGGCAAGCTAAAAGAGAGATGCCGCAACAAGGCCTGTCTGCCCCTGGCTCAACCCCATCTTGAACAGCAGCATCATTCTCTTAGCCTCAGCTTGCCTTTCTGCCTAATTGCTCAATAACCTCACCAACAACACAAGCTCAAGTCTTCCAGAATGGACCCTCTCTTGAAGGCGATGACTAAGCGTCCGATATTGTTCCGAAGCGCAGGGCTTTCCCTGGTCCGCCGAAATCAACGCGGCTTGTTGCGGTTTAGCGGAAAAAAATTCTTTGGAGAAGAATCGAATTGAAAAAGTTGAGGACGGCTTCTTCTCCTTCTTCCCCTCCTAAGACTCTTCTTAGCCATGTCCCCTCCTGCTCCTCCCATACCTCCGTGGTCCTGAGTCCTTGACCTTGGGTCTCATCCCTGTCCAGGTCCATTTATCCAGTGTTTATCGCTTGCTCCTGTTATGTCTTCATAGCAGTCGACTTCCGACCTCGCTCTCTTGATTCGCGCTTTTTTTTGCCCTCCATACCCCACCACACGGTGTGCTCAGGACTTACCCCTCTACCTCTCTCTTGCTGAGCATGTGAGTATCTCATTTTCGTTATAGCGTGCTGAATTTCATCCCTCTTTATGATGATTTTTCCGATTTTTTAAAGATGTTAGACTTCCTAAGCATTCTTGCGGACACTTTCCGGCCTGATCAAAACTTTTTTCGTTGGACTTTTAACCATATTGGCCTGAGCCCGTGGCATTTCCGCTGACTATCTTGCCGATTCACAGTGACTCTTACCATCCGACAAGATGTGTGGTATTATTGCCTTGATCCAGGCGAACCCGACCTCCTCCGCCGCCATCGACCTCCATGAAGCTCTATACCTCCTGCAACGTGAGTCGAAGATATAACAAGCCCTTTGCATCGGATGACAATGAACATACAGCTGACGGTGACATCAACAGATCGAGGTCAAGATGCTGCTGGTATTGCAACATGCGCGGCGGGCGGTCGCATCTTCCAGCTCAAGGCGAACGGAATGGCCGCAAAGGTCTTCTCAGATGGCGGTAGGGTGGCAGATCTCCCTGGATACATGGGTATCGGCCACCTGAGGTATCCCACTGCCGGTAGCAGTGCGAACGCCGAGGCCCAGCCTTTTTACGTCAATAGCCCGTACGGTATTTGCCTTGCTCACAACGGCAACCTGATCAACGCCCCCGAGCTGAAGAGATACCTCGATTTCGAGGCTCACCGTCACATCAACACCGACAGTGACAGCGAGTTGATGCTGAATGTCTTTGCTGACGAGTTGAGCGAAACCAAAAAGGCTCGTGTGAACCAGGAGGATGTTTTTGCTGCTCTGAGCAGAATGTACAACAGGTGTGAAGGTGGTTGGGCTTGTACCGCGATGCTTGCAGGTGAGTTTCTTCAGCCTCTCACAGATTCCATTAGCTAACATCCCTAGGTTTTGGTATCCTGGGTTTCCGTGACTCCTACGGTATCCGCCCGCTGGTCCTCGGCTCCCGACCCTCGCTTGACGGTCCGGGTACCGACTACATGATGGCTTCCGAGTCTGTTGCTCTGCATCAGCTCGGTTTCACCAACATGCGCGATATCAAACCCGGTGAGGCTGTTTTGATCGAGAAGGGCGGCCAGCCCGTCTTCCGTCAAGTGGCTCCTCGCAAGGCCTATGCTCCCGATATTTTTGAATACGTATACTTCGCTCGACCCGATTCCGTCATTGATGGCATCAGCGTCTACCGCAGTCGCCAACGTATGGGTGATCGCCTTGCCGCGAAAATCCTCTCGGCTCTTGGTCCGGAGGTTGTCAAGGACATTGATGTTGTCATCCCCATCCCCGAGACGTCGACAACGTCTGCTGCTGCCGTGGCCCGTTACCTCGACAAGCCCTACTGTCAGGGCTTCGTCAAGAACCGCTACGTCTTCCGCACCTTCATTATGCCGGAACAGAAAACCCGTCAGAAGGGTGTTCGTCGTAAGCTGAACGCTATGGAGACAGAGTTCAAGGACCGAAATGTCCTTCTCGTCGATGATAGTATTGTTCGGGGAACAACGAGTAGAGAGATCGTCACAATGGCTCGTGAAGCCGGGGCGAAGAAGGTCTACTTTGCCAGTTGCTCTCCTGCTATCACGTATGTCTGCCTAATAACTCTACTTGCGATGTCCCAAGCTAATCTCCTACAGTCATGCTCACATCTACGGTATTGATCTAGCCTCGCCCAACGAGCTTGTCGCTCACAACCGCAACGCCGAGACTATCGCTAAGCACATCGGCGCGGACAGCGTGATCTACCAGACACTGGACGACCTCAAGGGTGCATGCGCCGAAATCGCCCAAGAGAACGGGTTAGAAGAACCGCATAACTTCGAGGTCGGTGTTTTCTGCGGCGACTACATCACCCCCGTCTCAGACGGATACTTTGAGCACCTTGAGAAAATTCGAGGCGAAGGGCGAAAAATAAAAGCCGTGGATCGCGCCAAAGAAGCCGTGACCCACGGGTTCGCCAGCGAAAAGGATTTTCAAATCGCAGCCAACGGCGTGAAAATGGCCAATGGCGAGATCGTCCCAGCTGGTAACCCGGAGGAGTCAGAGGTGCCCCAAGTGGGAGTTTACGGCGCTCATAAATCCCCTCCCGTTGAGCAGGAGGAGCCTCCCAAGGTCAAGGATCGCATGGACATTAGCATCCATAACATGGCCGACCATCACTAGTTTTTATCTGTCTTACTTGGACATTTTCACCTACCTACCTACCCACCCCATTTATACGACTTTTGGAGTCTCGGAGTTAGTAAGAGCTAGACACAAGGATAAGGGAGGCCGTTCTGACGATTTTCCATTCTTACGACTGGCTTGCGGGCTGTACTTGCTATCATGTAAAGTATAATCTTTGATGTACATACGAGTCACGTATCTCCTCCATCATATAGAGCGAAATAGAGCTACACGAGTTGATGTCTGATCATGTGACAAATATTGGTCATTGCCAGTGTCATTCCTGATTGACCATCTACCTTCCTTCCATCAGCGTCTTGCGGTACCACAGCATGGAATCAAATCCCTAATCATTGGCTCTCGGGTTAAGAACGTTGTTTGCCTTTGGCCCTGCGTCATCGGCCTTTATCGACTTCGCATACCCGCCACCAACTCACCAGGAACGACCCTTTTAGCAACACGCTCAGCAGCGACCCAAAAGGCGGCTTCTCTCGCAGCCGGCTTAATCAAACCTCGCCCAAGATGCAAGATCCAGCGGTCCAGCCTTCTGGGAGGGTAACACGCTCGCGAACGGCACTGCAGAATGAGAGAACCTTACCACAACCTGAGGTCGCCGCAACAGCTCAAAAGAAGCCAAGCAAACAGCGCCAGAGCAATGTCACTGCCACAAGGAGCGATTTGACTGAGTTTCCCCATAATCTCGGATCGATACCAACTATCCCGAAGATAAACCCTACACCCAACAGCAAACTCAAAGCAGAGGTCAAAAAAGAGGATCTAGAGGACCTCGCAGACGAGCTTCAGAGTACCGTCGACAAAGCCACCACAACACTCTCAGAGCCTACGCCTTCGCTAGAGAAGAAAAAGAGAACTAAGAAAGCTAACACTTATGGCCTGACACCTGGGTCTACGCCCTTCCCTGACTGGGATCGTCCAACACCGGAAGAATGCGAAGAGGTCAACAGGCTCCTATCCAGCATCCATGGAAAGATCGTTCCCCCAACGACCATTCCCGAACCGTCTCTCACAGTTACGGGGTGTGGCGAGGTCCCGTCCGTGCTAGACGCCTTGATCCGGACTCTCCTCAGCGGCGCAACAACAGGCAAGAACTCGGCCATGGCATTTAACGGTCTCGTGCAGAAGTTCGGTATCCTCGAAGACGGCATCGGAAAAGGCAGCGTGAACTGGGACGCGGTGCGCCGAGCTCCACTAAAAGACGTCTTCGAAGCGATCAAATCCGGCGGGCTGGCGGATATCAAGAGCAAGAATCTCAAGGCGATTCTCGACATGGTCTACAAGGAGAACCAAGAACGACGAGATGCTCTAGTAAAAGAGGAGCCCTCAGTCTCTACACTGCCAGACACCACCAAATCGAAATCCGAAGGCGAAAAAGCATACGAGATTGCCTGCGCCGACCAACACTTCCTCTCACTCAACCACCTCCACAGTCTGAGCACGGAAGAGGTCATGACTGAGCTCGTAAAGTACCCTGGAATCGGGCCCAAGACCGCAGCGTGCGTTTTGCTCTTCTGTCTGCGACGCCCGTGCTTTGCGGTTGATACGCACATATTCCGCATCTGCAAGTGGCTGAGCTGGGTGCCACCGGACAAGGCGACAGAGATTACGGCATTCAGCCATCTCGAGGTCCGGATTCCGGATCATCTGAAGTATTCTCTCCATCAGCTGTTTATTCGCCATGGCAAGTCATGTCCTCGGTGTCGGGCTATCACCGGGCAGTCTTCTGCGGGTTGGGAGGAGGGATGTGTGATTGACCATCTTGTTACAAGGACGGGGAAGAGAAAAGGTGCGCCTGCTGGGAAGAGCAATGATAAAGGTGGGAAGAAGTCCAAGAAATAGAGTGCTGTTGGTGGGTCTGCGCTAGAAGTATGCATTCGATGGTGCTATGGGATTCTACTGGCGAAATATACCACAATCAATAGAGATAGATCGACATGTTATCGAAAGAGAAGATAAAATAATGAGAATCCTATGAGACTCATCATCTTTCTCGAAAAGAGCTGCTCAGAGACTCATACTCAAAAAAAGCTACCCCTGGCACGTGCCCGGCACATTGGAGCCGTAGATCAAAAAGATCGAACCACCTTCTGGATCTTCTGTCTTTTGTTTCCACACAACTCACCCAGCGCCGGCCGTCACGCAAAGCTCCCACGCTCAATACCTCCAGCGTACACGCCAAAATGGAGGCGCTGGTTCTCTACCTCCCTCCGGCCCTCCTCCCCCTCGTCGAGCAAACCGTGCAGCAGCTCCAGAATCAATGCCACACCTTCAGACTCGCCGTTCTGTCGCTCGCTGCCGTGCTTCTAGGCTACCTCTTCATTGCTGGTAGTAAAGAAGCTCCTGTCACATTCAACGTACCGCATCCGCCCGAGATTGAAGACAATTGGACTGGTACAAAATGGGAGGATTTGCCTAAGGGTAGTCAGGAGCGGAGGGTAATTGAGGGACAGATCTCGGGGGTGAGTTTTGTTTCTGGTTCCCTGGCGCGAGCACTGAAGGATCCTTCTCCAACTATCAGCTCCTTAAATTCTTTCAATCGCGTGTCTAGAGGTGGTGCTAATGTGACTTTTTTTAGCAATGGAACGAGAGCCTGATCATGAGCTACTGCCCCGCGGATGGACGTGTACTCGGTACTGGAATTAAGCCTGCGACTCCGGATGGTATTGATCGGGCCGTGCAAGCGGCACAGAAAGCCCAGGAACAATGGGCCCATACCAGTTTCGCTGAGAGGCGGAAAGTTCTCAAGGCTCTGCTAAAGTGGGTTGCTCCCGTACTCCGTTGCGGTACTTTTTACTGGACTGGGATTGACATTCGGTTTCCACAGATATGTTCTAGACCACCAAGACGAGATCGTTACCGCCTGCTGCTTGGACTCGGGAAAGACGAAAGTCGACGCATCTTTTGGAGAATCGCTCGTGACGGCGGAGAAGCTGAAATGGACAATCGATCACGGCGAGAAGGCGCTGGCTCCCGAGTCGCGACCTACGAATTTCCTCATGATGTACAAGAAGAACAAGGTCACCTACGAGCCTCTTGGTGTCGTGTCGGCATGTGTATCCTGGAACTACCCCTTCCACAACTTCATCTCTCCTGTGATCAGCGCGATCTTTGCGGGTAACGGAATTGTGGTCAAGCCATCCGAGCAGACCGCGTGGAGTTCCGCCTATTTCCTGGACATCATCAGGGGTGCTCTCGAGAGCTGCGGTCACTCTCGCGACCTTGTCCAGAGCGTTGTCTGCCTTCCCAAAGTTGCCGACGTGTTGACGTCCCACCCTGATATCGCTCAGATTACATTCATCGGCTCGAGACCCGTGGCTCACAAGGTCTGTGAATCCGCCGCAAAAGCCCTAACTCCAGTCACAGTCGAGTTGGGTGGAAAAGACCCAGCCGTCATCCTCGACGACAGCCGAACAGTCAGCGAAGTCTCATCCATCGCCTCGGTCCTCATGCGCGGCGTATTCCAGTCAGCAGGACAAAACTGCATCGGTGTCGAGCGTGTCATCGCGCTCCCCGGTGTCTACGACAAGCTCCTCGAAACCGTCTCCTCCCGTATCAAGACCCTCCGCCTAGGCTCCGTCCTCCTAGACACAAACCCAACAAACGAGAAACCAGGCGCCCCAGACGTCGGCGCCATGATCTCGCCAGCCTCCTTCTCCCGCCTCGAATCCCTCATCGCCGATGCAGTATCCCAAGGCGCCCGCCTCATTGCCGGCGGAAAACGCTACACCCACCCAACCCACCGCCTTGGCCACTACTTCACCCCGACCCTCCTCGCAGACGTAACGCCCTCTATGGAAATCGCACAAACCGAACTCTTCGGCCCGGTCTTCCTTCTAATGCGCGCTTCCTCCGTCCCCGACGCAATCTCCATCGCAAACTCCACCGAATACGCCCTCGGCGCCTCTGTCTTTGGCTACAACACCCCCGACGTCACCGCCTGCGTGAAAACAATCAAAGCAGGCATGGTATCCGTCAACGATTTCGGCTCGTATTATGCCGTCCAGCTCCCCTTCGGCGGCGTCAAGGGATCCGGGTACGGCCGGTTCGCTGGCGAAGAAGGTCTGCGTGGCGTGAGTAATATCAAGGCTGTTTGCGTGGATCGGTTCCCGAGACTTATGGCGACGAGAATCCCTCCGAGGGTGGATTATCCGATTTATAAAGGGGAGAAGGAGAAGGAGAATGGGCAGGGTGCTTGGGAGCTTTGTAAGGGGGTTGTCGAGACGGGGTATCAGATTACACTTGCGGGGAGGGTTAGAGGTATTGCGCGGTTGTTGGGAAATATGTAGCCTCGAAGGCCTCCCTCTGTATTTGACCCCTCACTATTTATCAGTTGTACGATAGTCCACGTAGATACATGTAAGTACGCTTAATTTACCAGACACATAATGACCATATATCATCACCTCACTGCTCAACATCGATATTATTACCACAAACCTACTTTTACCTAGTATTACGCCAAGGGCCCAAACACCAAGACCAAGCAAGCAAAGAAGAAAGGAGTAGTCTAGAGAAACAATTCTCAGGAAGAAGCATCTGTCTCCCAAATATCCACCCCTTCCAACAGCGCCAACGCCATTCCTCCAACCTGATGAGACACGATATGACAATGCAGCAGACTTGCAAACCTGCCCGAGACAAAATATCGTATCACCATCCAGCTCCCTTCCATCAGTCTAGAGTCGAAGAAGTTCATGACGAAGGTATCACGCAGCGCCGGCAGACTGCCATTCCGGCCAGATGCCGGCTCCGTAACGAACAGCTCGGGATGTTCAGCCGCTGCCTCAGCGACGGTCGTCCAGGTGAATTTCCCAACGCCGGAACCGAGGATATACGCTCTATTTCCGTGTTTGTGGATCGGGTGGGGCGGGTGAATGGGGTCGTGCTCGTTACCGACGATTTCGAGGATGATGTCGACCCATGTGTTGTTTGGTGTGGAGAGGGCGTACTTCTCGCCGACAACGGCGAGCGGGTCTTTCTCGTAGAGAAGGGGTCTTGTTTCTGTTTGCTCCGGTTCGTAGAGGACTTGGGAGCCTGGCTTGCCGAGGGACCACGAGTAGGAGTTGTTGGTGCGTGTCATGGAGGTGCGGAGTGTTGTGATTGGAATGTCGGTTGCGGAGGCTGGTGGGGGACTGGGCGCGTTGAAGGCTGGTAGGTTTTCAGTGAAGGAGAGCTCCCTGACAGAGGCCGATGTGTTGCCGCCGCCGTAGTTGATGTAGCCCTCTGTGTGTGGACCAATGATTGCCTTGGGGGCCGTGGTGTCGTGAGGATTGGCGTTGGCGTAGGAGAGAATTGCGTATGCGCTCATGACCTGGTCACCACCGTTATCTGCAACGCGAATAGCGTACTCTCCAGGGGTTTGGTCGAGCTTGATCATAACTGAATAGCGAGCGCCGTTGTAGACGCCCACCATCTCGACTTGTCGAGGCTCCACGAGTTGGCCATCAACTTCATAGACCCACATCGGGTGGTTGTCGACACTGAAGGTGAGGCCCTTTTGGGACGCGCCGCCGATGAAATTCAAACTTGCCCAACCGTTCTCTTCAGGGTTTACCGTGAAGATGGTGGTTCCGCCTTCCGAGGGAGTGCAGTTGAAGATGACCGGGCTGGGGAGAGCGGAGAGCTCCCAATTTCCGTGGTCGCCTTGCACGTTGTGGAGATCTGGTTGAAGGCAGCTGGTGGGTGTTTAGCATGGTAGTTGGTGAAAGGGTATTTAGAGAGGACTCACCCCTTCTCTGTCAGATGGGTGCCCTCGAGGACTGCCTCGATACCCTGGCCACCCTGTGCTTCGAGGTATTCCCATCCAGGGCAGTAGACTGAGCCCTGGCCATTGATAAGAAGGTTGTCCACACAGCTAGCATCCATTAGTCCCAGATCGGTTACATAAGAACCAAATCAACAGAAAATGGACGGCGCGTACAAAATATTGAGACCAGTCTCAATTTCAACGTTGTGGTACTCCGCTGACGTTAGATACGTCCAATCCGTAACAAGTATCAGATTCGGGTTATCCTCTGCAGCTTTGAGTTGTGCCAATTCCTTCTTGTCTTCCGTGATTACCGAGTAAGGCCGTGGAGCATATGGTTTGCGGCTGGCAATTGGTTAACATGCCACTTTCATTCTTGAATTGCGCCTTAGTCGCAGGCTCCTTGAGGCAAGCGTACCGGATATACAATGATCCAACCTGACCATCCTGCATGAGGCCCTTGTAATGCGAATGGTACCAGAAGGTTCCGGCAGGGTACGCCTTGAATTCGTACACAAATGTTTCTCCAGGTGCGATAGGCTCTTGTGATAGACCCGGAACACCGTCTGCCCACGGCGTGTCCTTCATCCTAATTTACCACTGTAAGCAGCTAACGAACACGGAGATATATTCAGTACACACTCAATGCCATGCCAATGAACAGTGGTATTGAAAGGCAGTTTATTGGTAACAATAACCTGTTAGCGTTAGTCAATATTTTCCCATTTGCATGCTCTTTCCCCCACTGGGCTACCGTACCTGAATATCGTCATCCTCATCCCACACCAGATCCGGACCGGGAAATTGCCCATTCGTAAAGATCAGTTCGCGCGGTTCTCCGCCATTCGGCGCCCCTGTTTCCCATGTGTATTCGAGAGTCTCGCGGACGAATTTGGCGGATGACATGCAAATGCAGAGCGAAAGCCCCTGGAGGAGGTGCGGGAGATACATGGCGGCGAAGTCAGCCCCAAGCCTGTGAGGAAGAAACGAAGCGACTGGAATTGGTATCAAGCTTGTGGTTTGTTTTGACGGCTCATCGATGTTATTATACTATGTCCAGGGACATTCCTGACGGTTTTTGTCGGAATGTTGACCGAGAGCCAACGGCCAAGACGTGGTACGAGCATTTCGTCGTGAATGCTGGCAAAGTTAAGCAGATAGATGAAAACGTTGAATTATACGGAGATGGTTTCCGATCTGCATCGTCACGGATAATTCGCAAGTATCTAACAGTATAGCAGAGATCGCGGGCAGGACTTTCTCTGGTTCCGGTGTCAGAAACTCCGAATGGCGCCGGTCAGGCCAAGCATTCCCAGGGGCACGGAACTAATGTATAGATGAGCATGGTCATAGCAAAGTTTAGCCTTTGTCCATACCCTCATCAGGCTTCGACGGCCCAGGTAACGGGGCCGTCGCACGGTGTCTCATCCGTCCATTTTTCCACCGCCTCCACCCCTAAAACCTCACGAAGATACCTTGTCGTCATTGGACACTGGGCATTGGAGCGACCCTTATAAAACATCGCTCCGCCTTCGGGGTCGGTGCCGACTGCCTTGACCCGCTGCGGTAGCTCGAGCATGAAATCCAGCAGCCAAGCGCCAAGTGGGCCGTCCAACTCCATCGCCCATTGTGTAATCTCCGAATCGTCAATGGGAACGGATTCAGCACTGGCGCGAAGTAAGAGCTGGAAAAACCCAGGGTCATGGCGCGCAACGCGGACAGCAGTGCGGAAATGCTCTGCTGGAAACGTGTATGGAAGGGGCGGGGCTACTTCTTCTAAGCGGAACGTCAACTCATCGATTTTGAGTAGAGTTGTGAGAGCGGCGGTATTGTGCGCTATCAAAGCTGTGTGAACGCCTTCTTGGAGGGCTTCGCGTGAGAATGATGGATTGATCCGTCGCCATTTACTGACTGCGTCGGTTATCCCCCCAGCAACTCGGAGAAGCTCAAGGTATCGGGTATGGGCTTCACTAAATCCTTCACCTGTGCCGCTGAGATATTTATCAGGTATCTTGAGAATTCCAAGTACTGGAACGTTCCACGTCGAGTAGGGCTCATTGCGTATGATGGTGACCTTTACCAAGGGTACAATCGACAGGGTGTGGCCCACCTCATCCTTATCTGTGCCCTCAAACGTGCGATCGTCTCCTTTCTGCGCAAGGAAGAGGTCGAGTTTCTCTTGCTCATCACTGGCCATATTGAACGGCTTCGAGACCCAATGCCGCAAAATCGTCAAGCGCATCAGATCCGGGAGCTGATCGACCACGCGCTCAAGCGTGCACCACCGGCACCGGAGGACCGACTCCTGGAACGATAATCTCTCCTCTAGGGTTAGAGGACAATAGTCAAATGGCCTCAGAAGCCGAAATATCTGTCTCTGGGCGGCTTTAGCACGGGCAGGTACTCGGTCCGTGTCTGACTCCGCTGGTGTCAATGAGGCATCATCCCAGAAAGCGAGCAGTGTCAAAGCTCTATAAATCCGCTCACTAGACATTGCCTGAGCGAGAAAGCGCGAGCTCCGAGGTAAATTGACATTTAGTGAGTATAGGAAGATCTTCTCAATCAACTCCACGGGAAGAGCCTCTAATCTAGATAGCTTGTTCCGAGGTTTCCGTGGTGGTGGTCGGGCCACGAGGAGGCGCGGTTGCTTGCGACCATTAGACTTGACGGGCCCTTGAGACTTAGGAGGCAGCATAGGCCGTCCACCCTTGGGGCCTGATGGTACAGGTTTGGGGACACCATCACTGGGTGACCAGGCTCTCTTTCTGCGTCCACGAACTCTGATAGGAGTAAGCATCCTTCGTTCCTACTCCTTTCGGGGCTTTCAAGGAATCAATTCGAGCATTGTTTTGATTTGAAGATGAAATATGGTCCACCACCGCAAGGAACAAAAGGTGCGTGTCCAATTGACGATGGGTTTTTCTCGAACACTGACAGTTGGAAAACAAAGATCTTGTCCAGAAAAGGAAACAGGGCTGATAGTCACGTGAAGTCCTTTTTTTCGAGACCTCGCTGCCCTAGCACTAGTCCACTTGGGGTGACGTTCTCTGACGTCATACATATCGACGCCTGTGAAGACGCCCAAGAACGTTATCTTGTTAAAATGCCGAAGATCAGCGCACTGTAAGGGCCTTGAGTGGCAAGAAACACTCCAACTCTTTTCTCGGCACTGACAGCCATGTCATGCGCGGATGGTTCCACAAAACCCTGCATGATTCGGTCAGAGACCCCAGGACCGGAAATGAAGGCGTCGCTATGACGGAATCGACAGTTCCTGGAGGTACAAGGGCGTTCCTTCCAACAGGTTCGCTATCAATTCGATTCTTCTCTCTGTCATTACGTGACTTGCAACGTCGTCATTCCGCTCTCATTTGTCTCAGCCCTTGCTTGTCTTTCCAACGACCTATTTCATCATACATCATTTTTCCCATGTAGGGCTATCTATATATATCGTTCCCTGGGGTGTACAACCTATATAATCCTCCACAGTCTCCATCCTACAATGCGTCCATTCAGTGACTACTCTACACATACACCTGCTTCTTCTTCGAGCTCATCGAACAACAACAACAACAACAACAACAACAACAACAACAACGCAAACAATTCTCAATCCTCGTCTTCGAGCAACAAGCCTCTGAAACAGACCAAATAAATCTCTGCCTACCACAACACAACAACCTTCAAAATGGGTGCCGTCTTTTCTTGCGTACGTTCCCCAACACAAACTCTCCATACTTCTAGCACATATCGAATCTAACAAGTTGCCTATAGATCAGAGACCTCTTCCGCTCCATCGGAGCCTGCATCATGGGCGTCGTCAACGCAATCGCCTCTGGCATCAAGGTCGTTATCAATGGTATCGTCTCGGTCCTCGGCGTCCTCGTCTCCTGCCTTACCTGCGGCTATGTCGGACGGAGGAGGAGGGCCTCTACACGCACGCATCACAGAACGAGAAGGGTCTACTAGTACTAGACTTCCACCGGAACAACGACTGATGACCTGATGATGCCCGTGCTCGTCTACTACTCTTCCTCATCCTCATAATGTTTCTTCTTCGACTCCACTTGCGCGATCCGCTTCCTTTTCCTTGTTTGTCATCTTAGCACAGTACCCCATTTGTTTTGTTCGTCGACACTGGTTGTCTTCTTGAGACGGGAAGGGACGTTTTGTACGATATGATATCCTCGACTGCCTTTCTTTTGTGGTCGTGTTACTAGTTCTTTTCGAATGAAGATATTGAATTCCATTAATCTTGCTCTCATCCAATATATCGTAGTCTAGACATAGATAGAATTCTAGACCCCAGATAAAGATAGACGTTACTGCGCCAACTTACTCCGGATAGTGGGCCTTTTGGCATTATGCGAACACCGAGCCAATTGAGCATTTGCTCGACCTACGGCATCTGCATCCTGGACAGGACTAGAATCACTACTTGGCGAAACTACAGGTCGATGCTGGAGAAAAGGGATGCCGAGTACACTTGTGCTGAAGGATTGGAAAGCGCATGGCCAGCCGAGTGGGACGCCAACCGGTTCAAGTGCTCCAGATCTTTAGCTCGTTGAGAACGAACCGGGTAGCGGCACGGTACGACAACAGAGGTGGTATGGGAATGGTAGGCTTCGGCCATCAATATTGGCTTTGGTTTTGCGAAGTATGTTCAGTCGTGGATTTGCGGATTATGCAGTTCGCAGATAGAACTGCTTCATGCAGCCAAAACCAAGCCAAACCATAGTTGTACCCAAGCCAGCCATGCCATACCATACCATCCTGTACCATGTCGCCTTTGTTCTTGTCGACCGACCGAGCAGGCAAGCCAGTGTACACAGTATCTCCCTCTCCATAGTCGGTGCCGAAATCGAAAAAAGGGAAGAAAATCAGGATGCGATTCGCGATATGAGATTCCCGAAACTCTATCAAACAGAAAGAAGTAGTAGCAAGGGTCCGAATAGCTCCACCATCATGAATATCATTTCAGTAGCAATGCAGTTTGTGGTTGCACGCCCATCGAATCGGTCGGTATCCGTCCTCGAGAATTCCCTCCCATACCCATAAGCGGTGGTAGTCGCATCCTGAAGAAAAAAAAAAGACCGGGCATCACATCACATCCAGCATTCTTCCCATTTTTGGTGCCCCCCAACGAACGTCGTAGATAGAGCGTTTATCGGAGACGGCGGGCCTCGCGTTCGGATTCGAGCAGGCAGAGGATGTCGTCGACGCGGACTGTAGGTTGGTCACTTGTCAGTACAGGCCCTTGATATGTTCCACTCGGATTCTGCTCGCTTGTCGGAGAAAGCGTTGTTTCCCATTCAAGTCGAAGATGTTGTAAACGTACCGGGTCCCTTGACGTTACGGATGATAGAACGGGTCTGGTCATCCATGAACTCAACGCGCACCTGGGTGACACCACCACGCGAACCTATAATTCAAGAGTTCATTAGCCTCTATTCCGCAAGAACCATCGCTACCGCCGTCGACAAAGACATTCCCGCCGGCATAGAAGCGTAGCGCAGCGCTCCGCCGCGTGCGTGTGTGCCGAAAAACCTCATCGCCGGCGACAGGAGCAAGAGAATAGATATTGCATACCAGTACGGCCGAGAACACGGGTCACCTTCACCAGCTTAGTGGGAGTCTTGGAGGCATCCATTTTGCAAGATGTGGAATCCGGAGAAAAAGCTGGATTTGTTGAACGAGGGGTGACGAGACGAGGTCGAAGAGGGATTGCAATGTCGTTGTCGGATTGCCCGCTTTGGTGGTGGAATTGTGGTGAAAATTGTTTTAGTGCGATTCGGGCAGGGTTTGGAAGGCGGAGCCCTCGGGTGAGCACGGGCAGCCTATCAGCGGGCGGGGAGACTGGCCGCGGCTTTTTGGTTTGACCAGCCTTTGATCGATCTATAACATTGAGAGTTTAAATGTTCAGAGGGTGAGATTGATTTTTCAAGTTGTTCGTATTATTACTTAGCTAGAGGTTTTCTCGACGTAAATGCTGGGCGTTTCATGCACGCGTTCTCTTCTCGGGGAGACATACCACACCTATTCTGCATCAGGAAAGGTACCTACCATATCATCAAGAGAAGGACACTGTTTAGAGACGGTTGTCCAATCAATAACTGCAGTATAACCGACGCTTGAACTGACCATCCAGACTTAGCTATATAATGATACGCTACATCTGACTTTGAAGAGCCAGAGCTCTTGTCAAATCTGCATAGGAAGATCTAGAGCCAGACCTGTAAATGAAACTCGACATGTACGAATATCAACAACGATATTTCTGAAGCTAATCAAGATAGTGAGTAGGCAGAGTGATAATTGATTCAGGATACGTTGTAATCCATGTGGAGCATGTATTTGTCCACCGAGCGCGTGACAGGCAAATGCAATATCAGATCAACCTAGTAGTGACCGGTTATCTTTACAGAAGCAAAGCTGACTTGAAAAATGGCATCTAAATTGAACAGGTTCTATACACAACCCGACAACGAATCACACTGCCAGGTATAGAGCTAAATACGCTTGACCGGAAGGAAATATTTGTCGTGTGATGACATTGGTCGAGGGATAAGGGTAACATAAAGTGATACAAGGAAATGTGCCAGTTTAGACAACGGACAGGTCGCCGAAGCGCTCCTACAAGTGTGTTAGTATGTTGTGCACAAGATAATGGGTATGGTTGCTGTCGAACCTTGTATCCAGCGGGCATCCATCGGCCCTTGGAGACGAGAGCGGCCGTCTTCTCGTCGATCTCGGGCTGGGCAGCAGCAATCTCGTCCTGGAGCAAATGTCAGATATTTGATCCGGCAAACTGAAAGTCCAATATTGGACGGTCCGTCGGATACGTACAACGGTGAGTTCGTCGAATGGCCGGGCGGTCTCGATGTTCTGGAGGGTCTTCTCGAGGTTGCGGAGTTCAGCCTCAACCTTGCCCTTGGTCTGCTCAGCGCTCTGGACAGCCTGGGCCTCGAAGGCATCAATGGCCTTCAGTTGACGGGCGACATCGTAGGAGGCGGGCTTGAAGGACTTGAAGTGATTCTCGATCTCGTTGACGATAGCCTGGTTCTTCAGGACGCTGCGGTAGTGGGCGAAGTCGACCTCCTGGGGTTGCTCGGAGAGGAGCTGAACCTTGCGGCGGGCCTCATCGTTACGCTTCTTGAAGGCCTGCAGGGAGGAGGCGGTTTGGCCGCGGAGGCCGAGAGAGCTGGAGACCTTGACCCAGTCGATCTTGAGAGCGGCGCTACGCTGTTCACAGGGCGGTTAGCGATCCAATTTTGCTCGCAATCTGCGGATACCAGATGGAGTAGTTCATGGGTGACATACGGCAGCCATTTTGAGCGGTGAGGTGGAGAGGGGGTGGTGTAAGAAGGCGGACGTGCAAAGCTGGACGTTGTTCGGCAACCTTAGGAAGGTTTGGAATGGGATCTCAATCACGTGATACCCAGTATTCCCGTGTTTCCGGATTGACACGAACGCCCTTCAAGTGCTATAGATAGTGTAGTCGATGCGGGTTTAGAAAAAGCTACAAGTGCGATTGCTTGCATTTGAAATCTGATATTGATGATGTCGCAAAAATTTGTTCATTGATTTTGCTTTTTGGACTAAATGATTTACACTATGAAGCCTGGCAAACCGGGCATCTGAGGAATATCAGTCTGATCTCAAACCCCAGAATCCATATGACCAACATGGACTAAATGCATTCAGCCATCAGTAGCGCGCATTAATTGGACCGAGCTCATATGCTGAGAGCCATGATAGAGTTGACGATATCGTTGTCGTTCTCCCGCAGAGCCTTGACGGCCTTCTTGCGAGAAACGTTGGCCTGTGCCATGACAAGCTCAATATCCTTGGGCTCGAGACCAGACTCGTCAACCTCCTCGCCGTCATCCTCTTCCTCCTCCTTCTTTGCTTCCGTCTCGGCGGCCTTGCCCTTGCCCTTGTCGTGCTCGTGGTCGTGGCCAGCGTGGTCGCCAGCAGCGGCCTCAGCGGCAGCGAGCTGCTGAGCGGCGGAAGCCTGGGCCTGGGAGTTCAGGTCCTCAATCTTGGCCTCACCAAAGATGCTGTTACATGCGTAAGTCATTGGGCTCAAGCTTGGCACTTCATTAGGGATTTGGCACGTACATCCAGGTGTTGCTGGAGGGGGAGCGGTAGACATCGGGCTGGTTGATGACGAACAGAATCTGTATACATGAGTTAGCTTGTTCCTCTTTCATCAATGACCCCTCCGAGGCGTTTCTTTGACTGATCGAGTCCAACGTCCATCTCGAGTGGAGTGCGGGGAAGGCGCATGCGTACGTTCTTGGGCCGGCGGAGAGTGACACGAGTGATACCGGGGACGTGCTTCAGGCCGAGCTTGCCAATGGCCTTGCGGGCCTTCTTCTCGTTGCGAGAGTGAATGGTGACGGCGGCACCACCGGGGATGGTGGGCTCCTCGCCAGCCTCGGACTCAGAGTCGCTGCCGGCATCTTCGACCTGGGTCTTGGGGACCTCATCGTCAGGGAGTTCTTCAATACGGGGATCGGCCATTTTGTGAGATAGGTGAGCCTAGATGGGCAGCAAGTTCAATGGTTAGCGAGCGAGTTGGTGACGTCCGAGGTGGTGGTGGTGCCGGGGTTGCTCGATTTTGGGCCTCTGATCGTCTAATATCGGTCGCCAGGTTCCCCCAAAGGCCCGGGAATTGGCCAGGTTCAATGGGAAATCCATCTTTTTGGCCACACATTTCATTTGGACATACCTAAGAGTAGGAGAGGGATTTGTTGAGGGAGAGGGTGGTTTTTGTCCTTGTTGCGGTTGGAAGGTCGCAAAGCTGTGTGATGCCGAAAATCGTTAGCGAGCTTATTGGAGGGACCCTCGCCCCGAGTCACAGAAGCGACGCAACGCCCATCATTACACCATACAAACTACCATAGTGCTACATTGCGCGATTACGCTTTTCTAGATGTTTCGATAATTGAGTTTTTAATATGTTCATTCACTAGTCAGGAACTAGCATTATTGGGCAATTGTTGTCGCCCGCAGAGGTACCTAGGCCCACAGATGTAGAAGAACAGATCCAGCAAATGCCAATGACATAACGTTACGGGAACCAACTGCTTGTCAGGATATCAAGTGTTCTTAAGTCATTTTTGAGCTGTCAATGATAATGCATACAGCGAATTTTTGCTGGAATAAAACCCTCAGCAATGTGAAAACCGTCCCAGATACCCCTTCACTCTATGCACCGAGCCTCATTAACCGTCTATGCCTTAGGAGCAGCCGCCCTGATCTTAGCGTGAGCCTTCTGGACCTCGAAGCGAGCCTGTGAATCACGAGTTAGCCTCTGTTGTATATCTCCTGCCCGCGCTCCAATCCCCATCGTAGAGCCACATGTATTCCATGTTTCCCCGGATTATGTTCGCATCGCACGTACCTGCTTCCTGAGTCTGAGGACCTTGAAGCGCTCGAAGTCGGTCAGGTTCTTCCGTCGGTTGTTGATCTCGGTCTTCTGGGCGATGCCGCTCTTGGCCCACTTGCCATCGATCTCGTTCTTCTCCCAAAGCTTCTTAACGGGGCCGGTTCCGGCGGCACGGGGGAGCTTGGGGATGACGAAGTGAGTGAGGGTGGCGTGGGAGAGGGGAAGGACGTGACGGGGAACAATCTTGTTCTCCTCGGTGGAAGGACCGTCGACCAAGACCTATTATCGCCGCTTCAAGTCAATATCACACGCTTTAAAGATCCTCCATTCGCAAGTCCCGTATAGGGCTCCCAATCGCAAAGAAAAAAACGTACACGCTTGTGGTCGACAATCTCGACGATGACGGCGAGCTTGCCGGTGAAGGGCCCGCGGCGGATCAGAACCACGCGGCCAACCTCAACGAGCTTCCATTGAGCGATCTTGACATCGATATCGGCCATGGCGAAGGCTTCCTAAATCGTGAAAAAAATGGACTTCTCAGTTGACAGATTCCAGGCGGACGATAGGGCGCATATAGACTCACGGTCGACAGATTCCGGGAGGACGGTGGTGGAAATTATTTGTCGAAAGGTCGGGGTTGTCGAAGTCGTCCGAAACGCACAAGTTCACGCTCGACTTGCTGGATCGCGAAATTCGGTGTTGCCCACAGACTCGCTTACCAGCCAGTAGCAGCTTCCTAATCAGAGTCTTTCGCGCTGTGCGGCTAGGGTTGGCTCCTGCCGCCAAAGCGGGCTTAGCGGCGGGTGTCCGCAACAATTGTTGTTCCGCTCCATCAGAGTTACTTTTAAAGCAACGATCATCACTTGTTTTTTTTTTTTTCTTCAGCCAAGCTTGCAGCTGTCAACACAACACTCTCAAGACTTCTTCGAGCTTCATGATGCTCTGTGATCTCCTCATATCAGAATGCTAACATCAGCTTTCTGCTCTCAGTCTCTGCTCACCTGGTATGTACACAGAAGGAATCCTCCCATTCTACTCCTTACATGATGCGGTAATTTGCGATTGACCCAGTGTCTGTGAAGCCCTCGCCGGGGTTTCTATACAGCACTGTCGCATGATATTCAATTTCTTACATATTCTGAAATTTTTGCAAATCCTCACTTTGATCTTGTCCAGCATTGTTTGATGTGTTTTGCTGACTTGCACAAGACTTACAGATCCAACGCAGCAACCCTCGAATCTTTCTCGGAGCAATCCGTTCCTATCGGTACGTTTATCTTCGTTTTCATGCACACCCCGTCCAATGATTACAACCTATCATGCCTAGATAGTAATTGATGCTTCGGCAATGATATTTCTCTTATCACCAAGATCTCTGAGGAACCTCACATTATATCTCTGTCACTCATCGCAGCATGTGAGAGTCATGGCTAACTGAGATATTAGGGACGACAATTCAACTTTTGAGATAGCCTAGATGGAACCCAATCCAATGTCAAATAATGCTTTTGAAACTTGATCTAGACCACGTAAATTCTCCGGCATCGTAAATTAGCAGCCGTGGGGGTGCGGAGAAAGAATCCGTGTGCCAGGCCACCAGAGTTCTAGACGCTACCCGTCTACCCAGCGTCCCAGATGATATCATTTGGCCGTTCAACACGTTGCGTGTTTACAACCGATAGCTTTCAGAGTCCTAGCCTCCTGCCTTACGTTGCACCGATGTGGGCTGGCGCACTTCATGTTTGGATGGCGAGGGCAAGTTGTAGAGCCTGTTATATTCTTGAGGGACCACCAAAACATCTATGCAGATCTATCAACGCCGCCAAAAGTTACCTCCGAGGTCATCAACGCATGAAATAACGTGAAGGCTATGCATTACTAGGTCTGAACTCTCTCCTCCCAACAGTGAGAGTGCTCGGGCTCCTGACGCCACATACCAGATTCAAGTACGAAAAGGACAGCCGAAACGACGAGGAGGGGGTGGAGCCCGGCTGTTCTTGCAGTGTTACAGCCCTTTGATGCACTGGATATATTTTGAGCATTCTCTCCCCCGCTGTCTCCTCCTCTACCTTCATCAACACATCACTGGAACCCTGTGATTCGCTACTATTGACAGCCACTGCGGCCTTCGTTACCGGCGCATCCCTCCGGCCAGCCATATTCGCCGTCCATATCGATAATTCGCGCGGTGGGATAAATACACCGGGGTTAGTAATATAGATATGCCTAATTTGAAGATTACTGTCGTCTTGGGGTGCTACTACAGTGGCTCTATCTCGTAATGGATCCCAGCTCACCATCTGTCTGAATACTAGCAGTGTAATCCGGAATGGGTAGACGTGAGTTATCTGTGATATGAAAGACGTTGAAATTGACCATGGACGAACAGGGCATCTCTCATTTTAACTGAAACTCGAGCTTCAACCTTCAGCTCTCTTGCCCTAAACCAACGCGTAACGCCAACACCACTGCAACGTCTTGGTCAGAAAAGATATATGAGCCATCTACACAACCCTAATCCTCACTTCCGCACGAACCTCCCTACTCAATTTCAACAGCTCCGCCCTCGATACTTTTGAAAAAACAACAAAATATGCAACCCACCCTGTAATCCCCTCCTCCGGGCCGGCAAACCTATCCCCTCTCTTCAGAAAACAAAACGACCTCGAAACATGCCTACCCAGATCGGGCCTCCGTTCTATCAGCTCAGCGCAAACATCATCCGAGTTGAAGACTCCGCCATGTGTCACGGGGATGAAAACCATCTTGCTCCAGTATTGTGGGCCCTGGAGAAAAGGATGCGAGAGGGATCGGATACGAGCGTGGTCTCTGAGGGCGGAGAGAAGACCAATGCCCCTGTAGTCGATTCCGTACGTGCTTTCGACTGCAGCGGTTTCTTGGATGCCCGGGGGCCGAGGGTTTATCTCGATTAGCCAGGCGGAAGGCTTTCCGTTTACTGGCGTGGAGCGGGGGACTAGGTCTGTGATGGGATTGGCAGTGGTATCTGAAGAAGAAGGGGAAGAAGAGATGACCCCATACTCCGCCGACGAGTTCTGCACGCGAGCTTCCAGGTGGAATATCCCCGTCTTGAGACCCAACCGAACTAGACTCCGATGCAGGGACTCGCGCAGAATCTTGATCTCCACAGGTGGGAGGTTTGAGGGGAGGACGTTGCCCAGTTCGACCAATGATGTTAGCGGTTGCTGTTGTTGCCGCGAATCTTCTTCCTCTCGTTCGCTACTGACATAGTTCGCATCCGCCGTCTTGGGGAAGTCATCCGAGACTTCACAGAAAAGGAGCTCACCCTCTGAGAGCACAAAGTTGATATCCACCTCAGGCCCATCGCAGTACGCCTCCAGGACGAATTCCACGCCGTGCCTATCTAGATTCACACTCCCGATTGCACTCGCTAGCTCCTCTGGGCTGTGGATCTTGAATACCCCCTCAGAGAGAAATCCTTTGCATGGCTTCACGATGAACGGATACTCGAGATCTCTGCGCTGCACAACATCAAGCGCCTCCTCGACGCTCCGAACGAGAAACGCCGGCCTGCCCTCGAATAATCCCGTGCGATACTTATCCGTCGCAATCTCGAACGCCTCAGCGGATGCAGTCAGAAGCCCTAATTGCTCTGCAGCCTGTGCAACAGGAACCTGGTACGAGTCGCAGAAGGTCACTAGTGCATCGACCTGGTGCCCAGATCGAGACAGGGCATCTAGAATGCGATCCTGGAGCAGAGATGGCGGTTCAAGTTGTATGGGGATGAAGTGTTCTCGCCAGTGCGCGTACTCTGATCCTTCGAGCCAGTGGCCGGCGACATCGAGGACTATCATGGAGATGTTTAGGGCGCGGGCAGCGGTGTAGATACTTGTTGCTGTGCCGCCGTGAGAGGGGCTGCTGCGGCCGTCTTCGACGATTGCGAGGGTACGGGGTGGCGGAGGAGAGTGCGTTAGCCAGGGAAAGGAGAGGCGGTTTGTGAGTTCGATGTCGAGGTTTTGGAATATGGACGCATAATCCGTGATATTCTCGTTGTATGAAGATAGTGGGCGCGGAAGGAGCCCGCCGACTGCGTTGGTGCAAATGACATGGAGAATATCCTCAAGGCTCAAATCAACAGGAAGAGGACGAAGCAGCTTCTCAGGCTCCGTGGGATGGAAAGAAACAGCTGAGTCCGCATCCACGATCTCAAGATCCACCATCCGCAGTGAGAAGATATCCGAGCGCACAGCGTACCCAGGTTTGGTAGGGAAGACAAAGCGAATTGCTGCGCTTCCTCCATTCGCAACTGTCTTAGTCGTCATGGGCCCCGCAGTAGCCTTCAGGGCCCGTTGGAAAAGAGCCAGCGCACGCGGGGAGAACCCCTGCTCAGACGTATTGAGTTTTGTCCATGGAGCGGCTCCTACAGCCGATTTGGGCTCCGTAGAGTACCAGAGCGAAGCCGATTCTTCAATGTTGTCAAATGCATCAGAACCCTGCGCCTCCCCGATGGTCGTCTTTGACTCCGACTCAGCTTGCAGGGTCACGATCACATCAACGCTCTGCCACCATTCTGTAGCTGACGACGCTCGCCACTGAAACTCGTAGTAAGCTGTGGATTCTTGTCAACTTTTGCATTTCCAGGGCTTGCAACTGAGATGAGATTGAAATGAGGAGATTGGAAGGTAGAAGGATACTACTAGTGATAGAGGGCTCGAGATTCGAGGATTTGATTGGGGCCATATCACACCTTCAACCGTGTCCCAACACGCCTTTACACGGCCGCTCTGCCCCATCAAGGGGATGGAGATACCGTACGCTGTTGGGTGAGGAGGAAAGAAGAATAACTCAAATGACAAGCGGGGTTGAGGACTCCTTTATATATACAAATATATGTTTATGTTTACCTAATAACACGCATCCATGGCATGGCTTCATTTTGTTGGTGTCTGTACTGGTCATAATCCTCAGTAGTACGAATGAGGTGCTTTAAACATGCCATCGCCCCTGTCACAGGGCGCGAAGTAGCGTCTTGATGTAACTCTATTCAAAACCAAATTTAAGTTGGCCCCATTTCATGGTCTAGCATCTAAGCCACTCGGGGGAGAGAGCAGCTCACTGTGGTCAATAGCAAGATGGTCAGTGCTAGAACCAAGGGTAAGCGTAGGGACATACCTACGTATACTATCAGAATGCTAGAAAGTGACCATAGGAGAGTATAGAAGATATGTTTTTTGATGATAAAGGATGACAAAAGGGTTGGATGCTCACTTTCATACATGTTGACATATGTTGGCTATATCTATATATTTGAGTCTCATAACCCTAACTGCGGTCTTCACTTTTTCTTATGACCAGTCAAATAGTATTATTAAGACTTTTAATTTGTTACCATAACGTACAGCACATTGCCAATTGACCAGGATACAATAATAGTCTGTCTTGCCCCATCTACTCCTTTCAAGTAGTACAAATTGGCCGTGTTGGTCCGTGGGTCTCGACTCCCAAGGAACTTGATACCTGAGCACAGCCAGCTGACGGTTGTTTGGGACAAATACTTATATTTATCTAACTTGTACATAGCGCACGAAGATAACCGCCAAGAGCAATCATCGGAAGAATCTACATTATGCTGATCTGTTTTTCATGAAGTCCGTGTATATCATTATGTGCATTCCACGGCAGCAAAAAGCTCATGACGAAGCTCCGCTGCTCAGGACACCCGTCACTGGCCCCTCACGGCTCAGAACCCACATGAAGATGAACTGGATGACGTAGGAGTAGACGAACAGGAACTGGGTGCGGCGGTTGCGCTGGGAGCGGGCCACGGTGTGCATTGACCCGGTGCGCATGGACGAGTCGCTTGTTGAGTCGGGGAGAAGAACGTATTTGAGAGAGCGGAGCTGCGAGCTAGGTTAGTATTGACTTCTTGATGGAGAGCTATGGGTATGTACCAGGAAGAAAGCGTTCGCGAGGAATGTGTAGATGAAAACTACCCATCCAATCCAGCCACTGGTTCCACGTCCGGGCGTCAAGACTTCAGAAGCAAGCAGGGTAATGATAATACCAACGAATTTGTAGCCAGAATAGGCCACGAGATCGAGCAGTTGGGAGTCATTGTTGATGCTAAGGATGTACATGGCTAGCTTGAGGCAGACGATCTCGAACAATATGACTGCGATGGCTGTGGTAGTGGTCGCTCCGAGGAGCTCGGGGTGAAAGTTTCCGCGGAAGCCTGCCAACATGGAGGAGAGCAGAATGTAGGTGACGAGCGCCATCACAGGGATGTACATGTCGGGTGAGTTGAGATCATCTCGCGGAGGCAAAAACATCGACGAATACTGCTGTTGCGATATCTGACCATCAGGCCCGGTGGAGGCGGTTGTGAGACGTGCCTGCTGGCGAGACCAGGGCTTGTGTCGCCAGGGGAAGAGCACAAGGCCCAGTTTATTGATCACGTAGGAATTGGAGACGTTGAAGTAGTGTTTCAAAGCCGGGATGGAGACATATCGGTTGAACTGTGAGTCGGGAAACAATTAGCTGGAAGACAAATTGTTGCTTCGTCAACTCTCTTACATTCTGTTCCATGTACTCCTGGCCAGCTGCCATCGCAGTCTTGCCCATATGAAGCCCCATCTGTGCCGTGGGGTCGTTGATGAAGCCGCCGAATCCAGGAGCATAAGTCCCACTGCCACCCTGAGCGGGGGCCGGCTGATATGGATTGCCATAGCCTGCTGACTGCGGCTGTTGAGATGTTGGGGGAGGAGGGGAGCGCATCATCGGGACGGTCGAGACATGCTGGGGGACAGGGTGGTGGAGCGGAGGTGAGTGTGCGGGAGGAGGTGCGAACGACTGGCGATACATAGTATCAGAATGTGAAGATTGGTCGAAGGGAAGGTAGGTTCGAGGTCGAAAAGAGCGTGTCGAGGTTGGATGGTAGGTAGAGTAGCCTGGACGGTGGGAGGTTGGAGGTGTTTACTCTACGTGGCTGAAGGCTCAAGGCGAATTTCCTGCCCGCCGGAGCTGACTTGGACTTGGATCTTCGCCGCCCACAAGAATTCCCCACTCCGATCAAGCTTGCGACAACAGCAGCACGTCTTTACAATACATTCTTCAAGATGCTTGAGGCTTTCGAGATATTAACTACGTCGGGCGTGGTCCTATGGTCCAAGTCGTACGCATCGGTCGGCTCCCACGTCGTCAACAGCTTGATCAACGACGTCTTCATTGAGGAAAAGGCGCAACTTCAGAACACTGCGACCGGTGCCTCGCCGATCTTCAAGAAGGAGAAATACACCCTGAAGTGGAGGAGATCTAAAGATTTCAATCTGATCTTTGTGGTTCGTGTCACTCGGCCTATTCTCACTCAGCCTGTTGCTGTTGCATGCTCACTGTTCAGCAGGCAGTTTACCAATCGCTTCTACATCTCGGATGGATCGATAAACTTCTGGACAACATCTCTACCATCTTTATCGACCTTTACAAGAACCAGCTCAAGAGCGAACGGGCCAGGATTGTCGAATACCCCTTCGACAAGTATTTTGACCAACAGGTGCGTGAGCTCGAGGACAATGCCACTGCCGGGCTAGTTTCCTCCGAGGCCGCAGGAGATGCAGAAGCAAGAAAAGACCCGTTGGCCTCATCTGATAATGGAGGTCCTCCACCACCACCCGTGCCTGGGCTTTTGAAAGGTATGCGCGATATTCACCTCGTTCGATACGCATATACTAAGTATTTACAGCGCAGTCTCAAGCTGCGCTCGGCGCGGTGACCTCTGATGAAGGTTCGCCGCCCCAAACTCCAGAAATTTCTAGAACATCTACACCTACCTCGGGCCATATCATCACCGGCAAGGCTGGGCCAGGTGGTCGGGCCTCCCGCCGTGCTCGCAAAGCCGCGAGCGCTAGCGCAACCACCTCTTCCGGTGACGAGAAGGCTCGGAAAGGAAAAACCCCAAAGGGTGGAAAGAAGGGGAGGAAATGGGATGCTGATGGTCTCGCGGATGAGGATGACGGAACGGTCCTCGATTATTCTGCGCCCGCGGGGCCAGAAGAAACCTCAGCGCCAGCAGTAGAAGCTGTGTCGGAAGACTCTTGGGGTCGCCGTACTGGAAAGGGCCAATTCGTCCTAAAGGACTTGGGAGATGAAGTCCACTCTATCCTGGAGAACGCAGATAGCGAAAAGGTCAAGTCCTCCACGCCGTCCAGTCTCGTGGGCTCAGGCTTCAGCGCGATCGGCGGGCTGCTGCGGAACATTGTCGGTGGCAAAGTTCTCACAGAAGCGGATTTGGAAAAGCCTCTAAAGGCCATGGAGGACCATTTGCTGAAGAAGAACATTGCGCGCGAAGCTGCTGTTCGGTTGTGTGAAGGAGTAAAGCAGGAGCTCGTCGGAAAGAAGACGGGCAACTTCCAGAGCGTGGACGCTTCGTTGAAGGCGGCAACGGAGTCCTCTCTCCGGAAGATCCTCACACCTACCTCCTCCCTTGATCTGCTACACGAGATTGACACTGTCACCAACCCGAAGAGCAAGCAGGCTACAACACGGCCATACGTGATCTCGATTGTCGGAGTCAACGGTGTCGGTAAATCAACGAATCTGGGCAAGATCTGCTACTTCCTCCTGCAGAACAACTACCGTGTCTTGATTGCAGCATGCGACACGTTTAGATCCGGTGCCGTCGAACAGCTTCGTGTTCATGTTCGAAATCTGAAAGAGCTTGCCGCTCGCGAGAGCGTCGGCGAGGTCGAGCTATACGAGAAGGGTTACGGCAAGGACGCCGCAAATGTCGCCAAGGATGCTGTTGAGTATGGCGCAGCCAACAAGTTCGACGTTGTCCTCATCGACACCGCCGGTCGACGTCACAATGACCAGCGCCTCATGTCCTCCCTGGAGAAATTCGCTAAATTCGCCAAGCCAGACAAGATCTTCATGGTCGGCGAGGCTCTCGTCGGTACAGACAGTGTGATGCAGGCGCGCAATTTCAACCAAGCCTTTGGCACCGGGAGAAACCTTGACGGGTTTATCATCAGCAAGTGCGATACAGTGGGCGATATGGTTGGTACTCTTGTGAGCATGGTGCATGCGACAGGAATCCCCATCGTTTTCTTGGGAGTCGGCCAGCATTACGGTGACTTGAGAGGACTGAGTGTTCCATGGGCAGTCAATCTGCTAATGAAATGATCTGAATGATTTGTAGCCATCTTAGCTTATCTGCATCTTGTCTTTTGAGTTTCTTAGCATAGAAGTGCGATCTGCATGCCATCTGCCAGTTGTCAGGCACCGAACAGTGATTGGACTTGCGAGGAGCTAGAGCATGCAAGGGCTTCTTGGGCTTGCTTCTTCATTATTGTCTCATATTCTACCAGCATGCCTCGACGAGAAATCCAGGGCAGCCAGACTCCAGAGTAATTACCCCGGAAGAGTAGTTGAAAATGACATCATCCGGGGTTCTTTGTTTCCAATCATTCGCAGGTGGCTCGAGAGCCTCATCTCGGCCACTCAAATTGCACATGTATATATTCCCAATCAGAACAATCTCATTATTCTAACTATCAGCTCCTCTACAGTCCTATCCTTCCAAGGCCATCGTGATCCCAGTTTTTCGACTCCACGTGACCCGGACGGAGCGCTTACATCATCGCCAGCCTCAATTTTGGCGATCGGAATCAAGGCCGAATCCAGCAGCTCGCGTGCCATCATCTCTTTCCAACTCCGTTGACCAAGCTACTGCTCCTTACGACATTCGAGATTGGCCAGATCTTATCAAGAACGACCATGCGAGTTGCACGCGATACTGCTATCACCCATTGACATCACCGAATCCTCACCCGATCTACCTTTATTCGCCGCACCATCCGCGAAGCAGCCGGGTCGCATTCATCATTCGAGAATCAAGCATAATCATCGATATCAACCACACTCATTTACGCGCTATATATAAACTAGACCCAAAATGAAGACGCCCGACCGGGAGCCCCTCCCCCGGCGTCGCTCTTCCACTCTACACTACCACACCTTCGACACACCCCCACCAAAATCCCGCGGCCGGCCAAACTCCGGACAGTCCATCTCGTCTGGCGAGGAACCGCGGCAACATCAGCATGACTCTCCCGACGAATCGGTGTCGCAGTCACCTTTGCCTAAAAAGCAGATGATGGTGCTCGCGATGATCGCATTGTGCGAGCAGACGTCCTTCAACTCGATCAGCCCTTACCTTCCGGACATGGCGTCTTCGTTCCCTGAGGTGAAGCCCGGTATGGTTGGCGTATACGTTGGCATGATTGGGACGGCATTTGCGGTAGCACAGCTGGTGACCAATTACTTTTGGGGCTGGCTGTCTGACCGGATTGGGCGGAAACCTGTTATTTTGCTGGGCACGGTGCTGACCGCGGTGTGTTTTGTCGCATTCGGTTTCTGTACTACCCTGTACCAGGCTGTCGCGGTGCAGGCCTTGATGGGTGTCGTCAATGGAAATCAGGGCCTGGTGTCTACCTGCCTTGGTGAGATTACTGACAAGAGCAATCAGTCGAAAGCTTTCACCTACCTACCTGTGCTCTATGGCGTCGGCGGCATCACCGGCCCTCTTCTTGGTGGTCTGTTAGTGATACGACGAAATCCGTTCAACAAAAGCGAGCCGAACCCATATCCGTATCTTGCGCCGAACTTGCTATCCGCTGCACTTCTACTCATTGACTTTGCTATATCTCTGTTCTTCCTTGAAGAGAGCCTAGAGGATGCCGAAACACTGCCCAAGTTTGGCAGAAAGATTCGGGACCTATTCGCCTGGCTTTGGCAGATTACCAGCAATGCACCTCGGCCGCGGAGCGTGCGACCTGGAGACCATCTCCCCTACCGCTTGATTCGAGAACATTCGGAAGACGGCGAGCATGACAGCGATCTGGATTCGGCTTCAGAAGTATCGGATGTACCCCATGGCCACGAATCCTTGACACGAAATGAATTGCTCAACCGAGATACGATCCTACTGCTCCTCACATATCTCATCTTTGCACTGTGCAATATCGCATTCAACGCTCTGTTCCCAATATTCTCCCAAGCGGCACCACCTATCGGACGTGGTCTTACGCCGTCCGAAATCGGCCTTGCACAAGGTTTCTCCGGCGTCGTAACCATCATATTTCAGATCTGCATCTTTGGCCAGCTGAGAAATAAGATGGGAAACCGATGGTCCTACCGAGCCGGCCTATTCGGCTTCGTCATTGCCTTCATCCTCATGCCCTTTATCGGGTACAAGGGCAACGACGCCAAAAAGAGCGGCGTAACCGGAAAAACAGCCCTTATGGCCGTGGAGTTGTGTGCCGCCCTGCTGGTCAAGACAGTCGCTGCAGTCGGTGGACTCACCAGCGCGCTTCTCTTAGTAAGCCAACCAAAAATACACTCCACACTTCCGTACAACTTCTAACTATCTAGATCACAAACTCCGCTCCTGACCACGCTGTTCTCGGCGCCCTCAACGGCCTCGCCCAAACCCTCTCCGCCGCCGGCCGCGCAGTCGGTCCCTTTCTCTCCGGGAGCCTCTTCTCCCTTGCAGCCCGTATTCAGCCAAAAGGCGAGGCAATTCCGTTCGGTGTCTTTGCCGCTGTCTCGCTTATCGGCTTCTTCCTCAGCTTCGGTATTCAAGGCCGCTCCCTGGAAGCTGAAGGATGGGAGAGTGATGAGAGTGCGAAGTCTGATGATGAGGAGTCTTGATGACCTCTCATTTGTAGAAAGAAAAAGCATATGCATACCATACTTTTCATTCTACCCCACTCAACTAGGGCTGGTCTGGTGTGGTATGCTTACGATGTGACGTCTGTTTCTTGATATTTGTATTAGAGCGCATAGCCAGCCAGTACAGGCGATGCATTTTTTCTTCTTCTTCTTAGTCCTACATTGTATATAGAGCCAATCGGGATGATAGAGTTTTCTTGTAAACCGATGAAGATATTTGGAGTCTCCCAATTCCCTTGAACAGTCCGAGCCACGAGCACTCGCCAGGCAACGTCGGACACGAGCAGTGGTGCCTGTTGCGAGTGGAGGCAGTCCCTGAACACTGGATCCAGACTGCAGAGGGCCCACTCTGGATAGTATGGACCACACAGCCGAGATTCGGAAATAGATAGATATAGATACTGTCCCATCGTGGGACGGACTCACCTTTCCGGGCTCGACTTATCATTTGCATTTCTTTTCTTCTCTTCGAGCTTTGGGGAGGCAGTAGATCTAGGGTTGACCGGGACTCACCATGGCACGACTTGAACACCTACCAACCGAGCTCTTCCAACGCATAGTCTGCGCCGTTCTAGACGATGTCTGGAACATCACTCACATGAACGAGTTTATCGCGTTGAGACGTGTCTGCCGTATGTCCCAGTCCGTCCCTTAGCATCACCAGCAGCATCGCTAACACAACGGGTCAGGCAAATTCAACGCCTGCATCCAACAGGAAATATCTCGCTTTCCCATCAATACCTTCGGCTGTTTACACTTCCCAGCAGCTACGAAGCTGAATCTCCTCCACCTTGTCCGTACCGAGGACACCGCCGACGGCAAACTGATGGTTCTTGCCATTACCAGAGCCGTCCAGGAAGCCGTATTAGCCAAAGCGCAAAGCAATATCGTCCCAGAGGACGTGAATTTAATCGAGCGCACTTGCGCACAGTATAGCCGCGCCATCACCACCGTCGTCTATCGCGGTTTCCGCTCCTTCTACCTAGACTTCCTCGCCGGCCGTGTCCGGGGCGTCCACGGAATCTTATATCAGCTCACATTCCAGCAGTCCGAGCCGCACGCGCTCGCTGTCCTCGGCGCCGCACAGGAAGGCGACGTTCCCATGCTCAAGCTGCTTCTCTCACGAAGCCGCTTCGATCCACCGCTGGGCCTCGTCGACACTTTCCTCGGCCCACTCATTCTAGCGATCCGCGGCGAACACATGGACGCCGTAAAATTCCTGCTCGCGAGATGGGATGCGCACGGCGATGTGGACCGCCCCGATGCGCCAAATGCCGAAGGCGATTGCCCAATCCACTGTGCTGCTCGGATCGGGAGCATTCCTCTCGTACAACTCTTCCTAGCGCGGATGGGCGGCAGGGCAGACTTGCTTGTCACCGTCCAGGCCTACCTGTCTCAACCGCTCTCGAACCAAGACACCACAAGGGCGTACCCTGGTATGACACCGCTTGACGTCGCGGCGTCAGCGGGGAAGCTGGATCTTGTGAAGTATCTCGCCGCGATACCGGGGGCGTGTAGGACGGGTGGTGGTGGGCTGGGCGCGTCTAGGAGGAGCACGATATACCACGCCGTGTGTAGCAAGAACATCGAGGTCATCGAGTTCCTCTTGGCGCAGCCCGAAACTGTCATCACGGCGTCTAATCCCCTTGATAGCCCGCTTGTTTTAGCAACGATATTCGGCAGGACGGATATCGTCAATATCCTCGTGGAGAAAGGTCGAGTTATCAGCGAGGTAGAACGTATGGCTACCTACCACACCTGTCTACTCTCCGCCGTGAGCAGGGGCAGCGCCGCGCTATTTGACTACTTCTTTTCGAAGAGGGGGATCCCGCTTGATGCGCGCCTCGGCGGCGAGGGTGACAACATCTCGCTACTTACGAACGCAGTTATAGCGGCGCAAGACGCGATGTTCGAGCGGCTGGTGGCCTGCGACGAGATTGGCGCCGATGCCCGGCAGGACGCGCTACTTGTCGCGGCGAGAATGGGCAAAGTGCAGATGCTGCGAATCCTGCTTGATGCTGGGAATCTGGGGCTCGAGTCGGTGCCGGAGTTTGGGCGCAATGCCATGTGGGCTGCTAGACGGCATTCGGATGTTGTTGAGATGTTTAGGAGGTATGGCATTATAGACGCTTCTGTTGATATAGGTATAGACGAATAAACAAGTGAGGAGAACCTTTTTCTCGGGGAGAATTCTGCTCACCTTAGATAAGGAGCCTGTTGATCTATATTGATGGCTAGGAGCATAGGAGTATCGCTTATATTCAGGGTGCACTAAGAACTATCTAACTATGGTATTCTGCTAACTACATAAATGCTCATACTAACGAGATCTTCCGGAAGCACAGCTTCCTATGCCCCCATCGGCATCCTAACGACGTGAAAGCAATTCGGATCAACGCACCATTATGTCCCATCTCACCTGGGCTGTTTTCCCTTATCAAAGCAGCCTTCCACGGAGAACCTCCACCTCTTTCATCCCATGCATGGGATGCATGGGTTGGAATCCAACCAACAACCCTATCCAAAACCAATTCACTTCCACACCCACTCAAAAACGTAAACGACAACTTCACCCAGATACCCCGAAGGTAGAAGACCCTGTGCGTACTCGATAAGCTCCTTGCTGGGGATGGTATTGACAACGCCATTGCCGTTTGTTTCTCGCCCGTTCGTCTCTTCTTGTGTACCGAAACTGGGACTGGTATCGGTAGCGGAAGGCATAGCACGCACAGCAGCGCGTTTCTCAACAAGGGCGCGGTGCATTTCTTTTCCTGGCTTGATGAAGAGGTATTTTTCTTTTTGGCTTTCTTTTGTGGCTTCGCCGTCTAGCTGGGATTGGGGTTGTGTGGTTATGGATGCGGAGGGTTCGGTTGTCAAGATCGTATCCGGCCGTGGTCCGAAGGGGAATGGGTCCAATCTCGTAGCCTGCGGCGTTGTGGTCGAAGGTGGTGAGGGCTTCTGCGCTGAGCGTGTATGCTGCGCCTGAGTTCCTGGGTTTTTAGGACGCGCGAGAGGCGTGTAGCAGATAAAGTCTTGGGACTGCGGCGAGAGCCATGATTGTCCGAGCTCGGCTGTCTTGGTCTCAGCCTGGGTATGCGTATGTTGCTGCTGTACAGCCGGCGCTTGTTTGGATCTCGACGACGTCGTCGGCCTCGAAATCGACAGCCTCCCTACCCCCTTCGAACTGGGCCTCGATGCTGAAGCCGCTTTCCTTCCCCCAGTACTAACAACCCGAAACTCAACATCCGCATCCGCCGAAAATAGCACGACGGTATTTACGTCCTTCTTGAGCTTCATCCGGAACGTCGTGAAATTCCTCGGGTCCAGGTAGAATGTGTAGCTGGTTGTTAGGGTTATGTTCTTCATACCCATGCTCATGCTCGTGCCCATACCACTGACGAGTCCTTCGGACTGGATGATTCTGGACAGGGCGGTCTCGCGCGCTGTGGGAGGGCATTTCGGTTTCACGGCGAGAGACTTCGACTGGCGGAGGGTTACGGAGGGGATGCATTGGTGTTTGTGGATTGTGAAGGAGGATGTGCGGCAGGTGTCCGTGCAGAAGGGGGTTATGTTGCAGGCTTGGTTTGTTAGTTCGCATCCCTTCATTTGTATAGAGAAGCCAGGTAGAAACTCACTGCTGCAGAGCGCGGTCGTGAGTGTTCCACAACCCTCGCAGGCTCTAGCCTCGTCAAGGCCCCATTCTCTCCTCTCTGAATTCAAGATATCCCGTCTTCGGTTGAGCTCCGCGATGCGTTTCTCAGCGTATCTAATCCTCTTCCTTGAGTGGTGGCCCTCCGGCGTCCGACTGGCCATATGCACAAGCTGCTTGTACGCTAGAATCGCCTTGTCCATATCATCAAGATGCTCCCTGGATACACACAGTGCGCTCAGAGCATCGAAAGTCTCGGGAGCTTCGGGTCCCTTGACCAGTAGAAAGTCCTCAACGAGACCTTCGAAAAGGGTTGCGGCGTCGCGGTTCAGACCGACGTCCATATATGACCGCCCGAGTCGGTGGATAACGCGGAGGCAATCTGTGTCGCGGGAGCGCTGGTACGCATCGATGATATCCACGATCTCGGGCGAAAAGTCAAAATTCTCGGAACTCTGTATGTAGCGCACAACAGCGTCGCGGGTTACAGGGTTCGCCAGCCCAAAAACGGTACGACAATGCGGAATCGTGCGGCCGCAGATCGCGCGGGATTCCTTCTTCAGGCCGCGCTTCTGATACAACAGGGAAAGTTTGTTCATAGCATTTAAGGTTGTCTCGTGCTGGATTCCAAAGACAGTGTCGAGCGCAGGGACGGCCTTTTCGAGGAGTAGCAGGGCGGCCTCGAGGTCGCCTAGCAGGACTTTTAGCGAGGCGAGGTTTTGCATGCTGCTCAGGGTTTCTGGAGCGTTGTGCCCGAGCGTCTTCAATCGGCCTGCGAATGAGCGCTCGTACAAGGCTGCTGCTTCGGTGGCGTAGCCGTCTTTTTCGCAGAGACTACCGAGGTCGTGGAGGACAGCAAAGTTCTTGGGGTGGTCGCGGCCAAGGACGCGTTTGTAGAGGCCTAGAGCTTCGAGATAGCATGCTTCTGATTCAGCAGCGAGGTCGAGATCACGATATGCTTGGCCTAGCGAGTGGAGAATCGCTGCACGGGTCTGTTTCTCAAGGTCGAGGGCTGGCGTATCATCGAGGATCTTCATGGCGTCGTGGAATTCCACCACCGCCCCCTGTGGGTTTCCCTGTCGTAGCAAGGCTTCAGCACGCAGTCTCGTCGTTAGAACGCGGGACCAAATAGCCGTTGAAGTGAGCTCATCCTTCATCTGCAGGAATAACCGGGCAATCTCATCAACTTGGAGGATCCGCTGGCGTCCAGAGGCATCGTGTACGATTGCTCCGCCCGAGAGATACTGCAGGTGGACGAAGATGCTCTGCGTCCCTCGCAATAGCGCCAGGTATTCGGCATCCTGCACAGTCGTCATGCTGTTGCTATGCGTTTTCGGGTTTGCGAGAGCCTCCTCTGACGACCCTGCACTATTCCCAGCTGCCCTGCTCTCGCTCCGGTACTTTGTGACAAAGGAGAATCGTATTGTGTTTGCTCGTTTCTTCAGTTTCTTCCCTCGACCCGATGTCGATGGTGATCGTGATACACCTACGCTTGCCAATTAGCCGTATTCTTTCCGGGAAAAAGATCGATAGTAATCACCAGTGACTTTGCGGCCAAATAATTTCTGGAAAAATGACTGCCTTTTTGACGCTCGTGGCGTCTCGTACCGGGAATCCCGGTTGTTCTCCATGAGCTCGCCTTCCGAGTCTGCCCCGTCACTTCGCTGATGTTGGCTCTCGTCGTCGCAGAGATCTGTCTTGTCGATTAAGACGGGACTACCGCCGACTGTTTTCGTTAGTTAAAGAACAGCTCCGAGATTCGAGGAACGCACCATCGGAGCAAAGGCTGACGTCTGAAAGAGCCATTCCTGCATCTGAGAGCGGCTGGTAGACCCCGTTCGGTGCATGTGCTACACACAAGTTAGCTTTCTATCTATAACCAAGCCAATCTTGAGAGTAGGAATACGTACCCCGTTCCAGGTCATACAATCCAGCAAAGCTGATAGCAAGCAGCTCCTCTTCATCGCCCTGCGACATTTCTTCATCTAATCAGCGCTCTCTTCCGCGTCACCTGGGTCGAGTCCTGAAGACATAGGAACGGAAGGTATACTTCTAAACGACCACGAATCTCTCAATTTCTTCGCCTTCTGCGCCAGCGATTGCTCGCCGTTCATATCAGCCATGGCAAACTTGGACGCCATCGAACTCTTTTGGACGAGACTAGGACTCCGGCTGTGTGTGGCGCTTTGTATCTCCTTATGGATGTCTCGATAGCTAGTGTCGTCTCGGGGGTCATTTAGAACTGGTTCGTATCTGAGACTGTTAGGGCATCCCATGACTGAGGGGGTCGAAGTGACTGACAGGATGTTACACTTTGAGCCACAGTGTGTGCAGTCTACAAAGCATGCTGTATCTAGACACGGTCAGAGGGTACAACAAGGGGGATAACAGCCATACTTCTTTGTCTCTCAATCGTCTCACCACCCTCACTCAAGGCAAAAGGCCTCTCGCATGCACTGCAGAAGAATCGAATCGGTCGCGAGTCAAGCGGGATTAGGCGTTTCTCCATGCGATAGCCCTTTGTAATCAATCTGCCCAGTTTAGTTCATCAGCTTCCGTACTATTCTTCGACCTGGAACAGACAAACCGGTCGCGCGTCATCACATATATCGCAACAGCCGTTCCAGCGCAGTATCTCGTTAGATAGTGTTGTTTCAGCTCATTCCTAGACTCGTCAGATAACCTTTCCCTGTAGAATAGGTATCGCATACCCCGAAGAAAAGACCGCATCGCAATCCGGGCATTTAACCTCCAGCGCACCGAGCGTTGCGCCGTCATCGTCACGAAACGGCGGAAATAGTCGCAGCGCCTCTTGAAAGTTCTCGACGGCCGGTGGTGAGTCGCGTGTCTCTAGCCTCGAAATTTTGTTAGATCGCTGGTCACTCGGTCCTCCTGCAGTGGAATAAGATGTGTAACAGAAAGCGCACCGCTCGTAAAGGACCTGCCAGCGATGGACAGCAACACATCTGAAGCCCGCAGTATCCTTGTTTTCCCTTCAAGTCGGTTCGATGTGCTTAGGATGAGCTCCTTCTCTAATTCTCCCTTCGCGTCGTCAAGGTGGTGTGTACTTTCCCTGCGCGAGTTGGAAGGTAACCGTCAGTCTCATCCAATAGGCCTCTTGCTTGGACAAACAAACACGCTGCAGCGCAGCCCAACCCACAACAACAATAACAAAACTCACTCACCTATCCCTCGACATTGTCGCGTAATGCGCGAATTCCACCGCCATCTCGCCGTCGCCATCAACTGTCGAGAAAGGCGAAGGAAAAGTGAGAAACAAAAACACCGCAGACAGTGCAGCCCAACAAAACCAGTCTTCACCTAACACAGAGCAACCAAAAAGATGCGATGCGTCACTTTCCTTTCCAATAAAGCTCAACGGACCTGCTGCCAGTGGCTCTGGCTCGCATATGTATTATGTACCAAACCCACTGCAGCGTGTCTCCCCATACATACAGATCAGCACAGCTGAAAGAGCGGGTCGTAACTATCAAACGGCGACCCTCTCACATACTTGCTTGGTTTCAAGGAGCGGCTTTCTCCCTCAATTGGTGATCGGCACTATCCTTGGATCGGTTCGGCTTGCCCCTCGCATCCCTGCGAACTTCGAGCAGTGAAGACGAGACGGAAGTTGGCGTTGGGTAGGTGGTGCGGATTGTTGAGCTTGGCTGGCTGAAGGGATCGATCGATCCTGATTATCGGTAAATCGTAAGCACACTATCTTATTCGTCCCTTGACGCTGATAGTTGAGCAATCCGTTTATCCTTCGCACAATGGCCATCTATCCCAGCGTCGCAAAATGTATCGCTCGTCGAACTCGAAAACAACCATCCTGGCCTCCCTCACCCCTTGCATCGAATAATCATCGCAACTTCGATTGGCGCTCCACACGTCATATTCGGTCCAATTATCGGGTATCGGCTGCAAACGCGGTAACAGTCTGATCATTGCTGATCCGCTGTTTGTGGTAGAAAAAGAAGAAAGGGAAACTTGTTCTTGGAAGGGATGAAGATGGTTGGTCAAACTTGGTGCGGGTTGACAGGTCACATGGGGACGAAATATTGCGTTCAAGAGATGCTTTTCCCTCTTTCAATTCTCAATCTTGGAGGATTGGGATTTCATGTAGCCTTACTACTGACTGTTTATTAGGTTGAACCACTGCCAGCCACAGCGGGATCAGCCTAGAAGACGCGAAGAAGGAGATCTCACCTGAGCCAGCGAACTCTAAGTCCCTTTATTTAAGACTACCCGGCCGGCCACACCTCACGTCTCGAAGGTATATATACGTGTAAACGCAAGGTAAAACCTGCTATCACTGATAGAGGCCTATGAATCGGGGGACAAGCTGACGACATTATAAGTCTACGTCTATTGCTTGTTGTAGCAGGTAAGGGAATACATATTTAGTACTTATATACATAGATATTGATTTGTAAACAGACTGTGAAAGTAGTCTGTACATGCTAGCAAGCTGGGAGTTTTTCTGGAGGTACAGCGACATAGTTAGCAGACACTACCATGCATAATCTGATACGCCCTGCATATATAGGATCATGGTAGGAATATGGATAGACTCACCACTAGAACAGTTACTATCCGTAAAATATCCATTGACATAGCAAGTCGTCCCATAAAGCGTGATCTGATCCCAGGAGCTGCCAGTAGTGAACTCCATGTCAGCACTTTCAGCCCCAATGTCTAGTAACCCAAAGAGAAAGAAAAGAGGCACGCACCAGTTCCCACTATAACAATCTCCCTTTGCCTTGCAGGCAAAGACATACTTGGTTCCCCGCTTCAGGCCGAAGATCTCCCCGGCATCGAGCGAGGGCTGGTACCGGCAGTTCACGTAGTGGTCGACATTGATGATCTTGCAGCTTTGGGCGGATTTGCGCTTCTCAAGGGTGATGTCGCTATCGGTGTTTAGGGGCTCTGCGGTTGGGGCTGCCAGGGACAGAGTGAGAAGGCCGAAAAGAAGGGCGAGGTGATTCATTGTGGGAAATAGGCAGGGTCGAGTCTGAAATTGAGGTAATATATCTGTATACAGATACTATAACAACGAGTAGAAGGCATACACTGAGTGGAGATATATTAGAAGCATAAGGTTCTCAGGGGGCTGGCTTTATATTATCCGACCAATCTCCCAGATTGCTATCTTGATCTCTCGAAGCCTGTATACTTGGGGATTAGCGAGACGACTGGAGAGTATCAACACGATCTCTCAGGCTATTTTGGGATCGTAACCCCTCCATCTGACAGCTGCTAAATTTATTCACGATGTTACATCGTTTCACTTGCATTAGAGCAGGAAAAGATATACTTCAGGATGAGTCTTGATTCGGCCAAGGCCTGTCCCTGCGTGGGGATATACGAGTCTCGCTTGTAGATCTTCGTATTCCTGGTTTGACGCTTGTTCATCCTTTCATGCACCTGAGATTATTTAATGCCGATTTTGAAGAGTAGGATGATACGACTGACAAATAAAGGTCGGAAGATGGCCGATTCGCAAAACCGGGGGTTGGTTAGCAATAGTTGTGTTGAGCGCTCAAGTACCCTCGGAGTAGTTATGCCCGCGCCATTGCCAACTGGCGCGGGGAGAAAAAAAGAAAACGAAACGTTGCCAATGAGCGTACTGATCAGGCCTCGTGTTCGAACCTGGCCACGCCAGTCTCAAACTGACCATCATCTCGCACTCGTATTAAAACATCCACTCCACCCGTCGCGACCGTCAGATCTCCCTCTCCATCTCGCTTTTTGACGCCAAATCCAGGGACTGAGACTAGCCACGCAGCCACTCCCGTTCTTCCTCTCCAACACGCCCGCCACCAGGACGGCGATTTCCAGATTTTGCAAGATCGACATTAAGCACTCGTATCTATTTCTGAAGATTACGAAGCTTCGTTTCGTCGGAGCGTTACTTTCAAGTCATGGCGCTGTCTCCGATCGCTAAGGCCACTTTGCAGGCGACGCTGATGAGCGCGGGGTCTAATGTGGTCGCACAGGCCATTACTTCGTATCGCGAAGAGGTTCGTTGTTTCACTGATTTCAATTTTCCGAGATTATCTGTTCGATCAGCTACTCTGGGGTAGCTCGAGCACTGGGGGTCAGTGTAGACAGGAGTGACTGACATCCATCGGCGCAGACTACGTGGAGGCGCACTCCAGCATAGTCTCTCGCCGGAAACTTATCATAGAAACCATTTGAGCTTGACTCTCAAGCTCTGTTCCAGTTTACAACGAGCGCGCTGATTCTGTCGCCTCTGTCATTCCTCTGGCTCGAGGGGTTGGAGTCGCGTTTCCCCAGCTTCATCAATGACAAACCGACAGCGACCGGAAAGGCAAAAACCAACAAGAAGAAGCCAAAGCTCAACGTGAGAAACACAGTGGCGAAAATTATTGTCGATCAGGTTATCGGCGGAGCATGGAATACCGTCGCCTTCATCGCGACGATGGGTTTGTTGCGGGGCCAGGACTATGAAGTCATCAAGGGCCAGATACAGAATGTACGTATTCCCAACGGGTTTTCTTGGCTGATGTGATGTTCGATTCTGTTCCAACCAAGCAACATCTAACTTACTGGCGTCGCTGACTGTATTATCGCGAATAGGACTTTTGGCCCATAATGCTGGCCGGGCTGAAATTGTGGCCCTTTGTCTCGATTTTGAACTTTACCGTTGTCCCCGCTGACAAGCGACTGCTTGTTGGAAGTCTGTTTGGTGTTGTCTGGGGGATTTATCTCAGCCTTATGGCAGCATAGGCCATATGCTGTAGCTCGACCGCGCTTATCGCGCCGAAGCACGGATGACGAAAGACATCACCTCATGGCCATATCTCATAGCCTTGGGGCCAAATTGCCTGCTAGAATGTACATACATACGTATGGGGCGAAGAAGAACGATCCCTGAGGTCAGACGCAGCGTGGATGAGCTATGCCGCCTTGTCTCCCCCGTCGCGAATCTAACACCGAGATATATCGGGGTCATCCGGGACTCCGGACAATCTGTGCTACACAAGCCAGTCCAGTCATTCCAATCGGATCAATACAATTGCCGAGCGAGCGCCGCTGAGTGAGAGTCGAAGAGTAATACCCCGTAGAGCCCTCCTAAGCCCTACTAAGCCCAAACTGCCCTGTCCGTCCATTTGAGACCCAGCAACGATGAGGTATCAAACCCAACCACATCCGGAACTCGCCATTACCTTCCTTCCAACAGAGGCATGGTGCGCGGTAGCGCTGCTAATTATGACATTTTCGCATCCTCATGTTTTGGCTCATCAAAAAAGGCTGACTCGGCACAGCCCCGGCTGCGCTCGCTGCGCTGGCGCTGTTCTAGCTTCTGGGGCCAAACTTGGCAACGCTAACCCCAGGCTGGTTATTTTGGGCGCCCTCCACGGTTTAAGCCACGAGGATTAGCCTCGATTCTTACCGGACTGGGGCTAGTTGGATTTGTGAATCATCGAGGTGGCCAATGGTAAGTAATACAAGGATGCGTGAAGACTGCGCCGGCGGCGGGCCCTGCGGCGGAATGTCGAATGTCGATCCACTTGGTCTCGTCGTGACTGATAGGAGGGTTCTTCACGGAGCAGGGAGCTGGCTGCAGGACGGGAGCTTCGAGCCGTATCCAAAAAAAGACTCGGGGGAGGTTGACGTTCGTGTTGAGAGTTTGAGTGTTGGGGAGTGGGAGATGGAATGTATGTAGATACGGAGGAGCATTTGGTCTTTTTGATCTTCTGACCACATGGAATGCATGGAGGAGCGACAATCTACTAAATGGGATGTATTTACTGCGTATTACTGTGCCAGTTGAGACCCGGACATACAGCCAAACTGCAAGGATCAACGGTTTCAAAAAAAGATCGGACATTCGGGCTTGGGGCTGCTTTCCATCACACAGTCGCTGGATTACGCTGGGTCTGGACTGGACAATCTGCTTTCTTTCTGATTATTAGAGGAATGGAGGATCCAGGATCCAGCTCAGCATGCTCAGCCTCTGTCGCTTTTTAGTTTTTTTCTTTCATAAAAAGTGAAAGACCCTGTCCACAAGACTCTTGGTGTTGTTCTTCTTTGTGTGATCGGTTTGTATACATACACCATCCCGTTTACTGTGCTGCTAAAAAAGGTCGGCTGCGCTGCGGTCTTTGTCCTACCCTTAGCTGCGCGTGAAAGGTGAAAGGCAATTTGATCACAAAGTCTGCTTTGTCTTGGACAAAAAAAGGTCGAGGCTTAGAGGCCATTTTGCTATTTTGGTATCGAGCCTGCATTGTCTCAGTGAGCGATGCTCTATTGAGCTTTCAGCGAGGATGAGTATAGCTTCATTGAGCGGCCGCGCGATGCAGCGCAAATCATACCCAGACAAGGAGCGCTCTATCTACGACAATGACCTATTTGTTTCGCCCATTTCTGAGCGGACACCATCATGGTCAGGGACTCGATGGACTCGATTCTTCCCTGAATTATCGTCGCATTTCTCGCTCATCTCTCCAGTTAGTACACACAACGACGACTATCACCAACACAACAACAATCGCCGGGGATCTGGTTCTTTGAGCTCGATCGCCAGCCACAGTCACAAGCGCCATAGCTCCTCAGACTCGGAGGATACCGAATCGAAAACAGGCCCGTCCTCGCTATGGTCGGACGAACTTGTTGATGACGCTTCGTCCTGTTACAGTCGCAGATCGTCCGTGACCAGTCTAGGCTCTGAGATCTCCGCCTCCGCATACAAGTCGCCCGACGCATTCTCCATCATCTCCCCCGCACGAGCAGGCGTGTTCGACGACTCGGCCTCCGCGTACCGGTCGAGGCCCAGCATGTCTTTGTCGAGGCGATCACCGTCATCGGCAGTCGAGTCGCGGGACAAACCGCTCCCCTGCGAACCCCCGATCCAAATGGCGCCGCTGTCCATTCGCCGAAAAAAAAGACAGCCTGCGACAATTCATGAAGATACCTTTGATGAGCCTGCCGAGTCGTCGCCGCCGGCACACAAGCAGGGCGAGGGTAGCAGTACCCACCAACCAACCCTGTCACAGGCTGCAGAGGAACTCGAGAACGCACTTGCTGGCCTTGTGGAACACAAAGACGACGAGGCCCTGCCACGTCTCGAGGCGCCACTGCAGGTAAGCAGAGGGAACATGGACATGATCGCCACGCGGCCTGCGCCCATCCCTCCCCTCGAGGTGCACAAGAGTATTCTTAAAGCGGGCAAGGCCTCTGCGGACGAGGAGGTGAGACACGCCAAGAAACCCCACAAAGTGTTCTCTTTCAGCGTGCCCGGCTTCAGCAGGAAACAGCATAGCCAGAACCATCGCCCGCATTTTCGCTCCCTCAGCGGCTCCAGCGTCACTGTGGGCCTCGAGCGCAGGGTCGCTCTTCAGGAGGCCGCCGCCGCAAGGGAAGCTGCAAAGAATAATGGCGATAAACAGGCAGCGTCGTCTGGGTTCCTCAGTCCACCGCTGCGCGCGCAGCGACCGGCGTCCGTCAGCAGCGAGCGGGAGCTGCGCTTGAAACTTCCCCGCCTTCAAACAAAGGATGTGCGCTCGTCGGGCGTGCTATTGAACAATCCCTCGAAACCTGTCCCCGTGGTTACTAGTCCTCCTGGTGCTGCTGCTGCACCAAATATTGTGCATCCTCTGCCAAAGCCGCGCAAAACATTCTCGTTCGAGCCCGCGGGCACGATGTCGAAAAACATATCGCAGCCTGTCGGCCCGTATTGCGAGATGGAGATGGACTCGGGCCCGATCGTCATTTACGAGCTCGACGCTGGTCCGGCCAAAGAGCCCGTATCGGCGCCGACCCCGTTTGTCCCGTCTGGCGAGATGCCTGACTCCATCCCAGATGATGTCGTCTACATGATTTTGCGACAGTGCAGCTCGCTACAAGATCTGTTCAACTTCGCCGTGATGAACCGGCAATTCTATCGTGTCTTTAAACTCCATGAGCTCGATCTTATTCAGGCTTCCGTCTTTGCCATGTCGCCGCCCGCTTGGGAACTTCGCGAGATGAGCCCGCCCTGGGACTGCGAGTGGCAGGTCCTGTTTGACCTTGACGCACCTGTTCCCGAGTACAACGCTGCTCTATACCTCGACCGCTACACCCGAGACTTGTATACGCTGGTCCGACTCAAGTCGCTCATCCTGGCTCGATGCGGGACATTCCTCCGCCCCGAAACAATCCGCGGCCTCGCAGGCCTAGACGACGCGCGCGCGAGCGAAATCGACAACGCCTTCTGGCGCATCTGGTCGTTCTGCCGGATCTTCGGGTGCGGAAAGGGCCGCGAGGGCGATGTTGTCGGGCAGCTGGATTGGTTGAATGGCGGTATCATGGCGAAGAATCAGCACGCTTCTGTCGCCATGTCGATCACCGAGCCGTTTGGTATGAACAATGTGCTCTTTGAGCCTCCGGAGGGCTTTGGGCGCGGGAACCATGGCGGACTGTCGCAGAGTCAGCTTTATGATATGACTGAGATCTGGACTTGTCTTGGGGTGCTTCTTCAGCCGATTCATGAAAAGTGCGCCGAGGCGCGCAAGGCGGGGATCTTCAAGGGTCATGATTGTCCGGAGAAGGATGCTGCTAAGGAGCAGGCAGTGCTTGGTAAGTTGTATCCACTTGTTTCCCTTTTGAGGCTCAACCCTAACAGTAGCAGAGGAATGGACCTCGTACATCCTCACCCTCGGCCCCTCCGCCGTCCTTGCCCTCGGCTCCATCGCAACAGTCGACAACGCCGACGAGATCTTCCAGCGCGCACAGAGCATGGGCCTCACAAAATGGGAACACGACCCAAGCCGCTCATTCTTCTTCCGCGAGGCCGTCTCAAAGGCCTACAAACCGCGCCATAACCCACACAAATCCCCACCTCTCGCCCAGTCTACCTCGAATTCCTCGCGATCTTCCCGCTCTAGCAGCGGTTCACCGACAAGCAGTATGATTGGCAAACCGCACCGCCGCAGACAAGCTGCGTACGCTGCACAACTCCGCAACCGCCGAATCCAGAACAAGGCTGAGATTGCTTACGCCGAGGAACGACCGATCTCGAGCTATGCGGAGATCATGAATCGTCTCGCGGGTAACCCCCCGAATCCGCAGTACTATCGCACGCCGTTGCCTCCTCCCCCGCCCCCTTCGATTCCTCCTCCACCGCCGCCTTCCATGCACCAGCCACCAAACAACCACACGCACCCACCCTCGCATAGCATCCAATCTCACATCCAACCTCAAAATTCAACTCACAACCCCCAGATCCCCTACCACAACCCGCAATCCTCTCCGCTACCACCGCCACCCGCGCAGTACAGACCCTACATCGCCCCAGTCCAGCCCCTCCGCTCACGCAACGCACACCCACCGCCTCAAATCCGCGACCCCGCCGACGCCGCAATCGACATGATGGTCCGGGAACTCGGCTTTGCAGAAGAAGATGCGAAGTGGGCGCTCAAGATCACAGACACAGGCGAAGGGATCAATCCCAATGCCGCGGTGTCTTTGCTCATTCAGGAGTATCAGCGCCAGAATCCGGATGGGTATTTGGTTCCGGCGCATGCGCAACAGGGGAGAGTCCCTGGGAGTCCTGCAGGTGCAAGTGGGAATGGAAATACGAGGAATAGTATTCTGGAATCCGTGCTGAATTCGAGGGAGGCAGTTGGGTCAGGCTGGAGATGGGCTTAATCTGGAGCTCCCTCCTCCTCGGCCTTTGCCACCCCAGCTTGATTCAACAGGACCTTCTCTGCTCCGAACGACTTATCTCTCATGTCCTGACGCTGACGTCGACATCCACGTTTACACCTGTCACTTCTTTTATACATTGGTCTAGATTTGATGTTAGCGCCTACGAGCTACTGAGCGATCTTGCGTTTCCTTAGTGTCCTTTTTCTTGTGTTTCTTTCTTTCTTTCTTTTTCTTTTCTTTTTTTTTTTGGCCTGTTTATTTCGCCGTTTTAGCCTCAGCCTTTTTGTTTCAGGACAGTTTGATACCCTCTAAACGTGCGCAGTCTGGCATAGCATATTTGTTTAGTTTCAGTTATAAGTGTCTATGAAAAGGGTTAGATAGTTTCTTGGTTTGGCCTAATTGATAATACAATTGTCTATACCATTATGATACGATCTCGCCTGGGATCCATGTTTCCCTGTCCTGTCCGCTTATTGAGAGTGACTCGGGGCTTGTCAGTTATTAGGGTCAAGATCTCGGCGTGCCCTTACATCCGTGCCACGACTCACTCACTACCCAACTCTGGCCTTACTATTGGTTTTAGCTCGGGCTCTGGCGATCTCAAGATCCAGGGCAATTGCATGCGAAATATGCACCTATAAAATCCCACCCCGTAATTGCAACATGTTCTCGCCCAGACTCGGGATCAATAGTCTGCTTCTGTGGCTGCAAACAACCCGCCAACGCACCAATCACCGCGCGTCACGACTGGACATCAACAATTGCAAGTATACTCCGAACTCCGCTCGATCACCCCGTCTAGATCGGATCAACACGAAGCTTTTCCTCCTCCAGCCTCTTTGGGCCCTGGTCGGGTCGGGGATTGAGAGCCACTGCAGGACGCAGGTACGCGGTCACACAAAAGCAAACATTGCTGCCTTTGTGGACCTGTACCTGATCTTTCGAGTCCTGAGTCTCGACCCCTTTACCCGTGCGAGCGAGATGGGGCATAAATAGTGATCAGCACCCGCCGGGCCCAACATGCGGTTTCGCTTTTGAGCTCGGTTTCCCAGTCACTCGTTTGCCTTTAGGACTCGCTGCCAACATGAAAAACGGCCTTTTGCTAGTGGCCGGGGGGCTACTCCCCCTCCTCCAGACATCTGCTAACCCTCTCCCGAATCCGAATCCCAGCATCCCCGACCTCCTCGACTCACTCCTGAACCCCAATCCAGGCCACGGTGGGTCAGATTCCATAACCCCGCCAGGCCCAGGCTACACTCTTACTTGGCACGACGAATTCACCTCTCCCTCATCTTCCTCCTCCGAATCAGGATCAGGATCAGGGTCGAATCACCTCCCCTCCTCCTCAAACTGGCTCTTCTCAACCGGAACCCAATACCCCGCCGGGGCACCAAACTGGGGCAACAACGAGCTGCAGTCCTACACCACCTCGCCGTCAAACATCCACCTCACAGCCCAGGGAACCCTCCTAATAACGCCCCTCCGCGACACCAATAACCACTGGACCTCCGCACGCATCGAAACCCGACGCACCTCCTTCGCCGCCCGCCGCTCTGGAAAACTCTACATCGAATCCCGCCTCCGCACAGGGTGCGCACCACCTTCCCAGCAGTCTGGAATCTGGCCTGCATTCTGGGCGCTCGGCGAGAGTTTCCGCGCCGACCCCACAGACTGGCCGATGGCCAGCGAGTGGGATTTCGTCGAGGTGATTAATGGCGAGCCCGCTGTGTACAATAACCTGCATTGCGGCGTGGATCGCGAGATGGGCGGCCCGTGTAATGAGTATACGGGGTTGACGAATGGGGGTGTGCGGTGGAGCGGGTGTGAGTGGCATACGGTTGGGTTTGAGGTTGATCGGGAGGTTGAGGGTGGTGAGTGGGAAGATGAGACGCTGACGTGGTTTCTGGATGGGGTTGAGAGTCATCGGGTTTCCGGGGCTGATGTTGGCGATGAAGGGGTTTGGGAGAGCATTGCGCATAGAGGGCACTTTTTGTTGCTGAATGTTGCTGTTGGAGGCAACTGGCCGGGGTATCCGGATGAGAAAACGGTTGATGGGGAGGAGGTCGCCATGGAGGTTGATTATGTGCGGGTTTGGAATGCGAATTGAGGATGGGGTCTTTTGTGAGGGTATGGGGATTTTCCGATGTTTTCTCTCGATGGATGGATTATGCTAGTATGGATACTAATTTGTATATAATATCTAATACCTAGTTAGTGCAAGGTTGGTTGGATTGTCGTTTATACTCCATGGATCGTCTGCCAAATTAGCCCTAACCTAGCTTGACTTGCTCTCTCGCACCCGATCTACCAAGCAAGACTCCCGCCCCCTCCAAGGCCCCTTTCGCCACCCCCTTCCCCGCAATCAAGTTCTCTACAGACTATAAAAAACGCATTAGCATGTCTCAATCCTAGTCAAAATAGTGCCATGACTCGGACTCACGCTGCTCCGCTTGCTCATACCGCGTGTTCATCCGGGGTTCTCTCCTTGCAGGGTATATCTCTTCCCCATGGTGTTTCTCGAGTTTGGCGTGTGCTTGGAGGAGGGATAATATGCGCGTTTGGACCTCTGGGCCATTAAATGAGGACAAGATCTCATTGTAGAGGGCAACAAATGAGGGCATGTCATACCTGCAGCTTCTCCATCGAGGGTCAAAAGCATAGATCCTGCGTCGCTGGCGGAAGTTAGTACGCATGCTTCTATCTGTTTCGTAAGTGGAAGGTTCCCAGATGCACATACTCTTCAGCTACTCCCTGATACTCTGCTCCCAGATCTTCAATCAGACCCTTCACGCTCTCTTCCACATCTTTTAGAAGACTCTGCGCTGCAGCATCTTTCGCATCTCTGTAGCTGTAAACATCATATCGGACAGCAGACTTGTTCTCGGTAGCGGGGAGGAACCGGATGAATAGCCAGCACTGCGAGCGCGGAATCGTGAAAAGAAATGTACTTGGGAAGAGGTGGGTTGATTCGGGTTGTTGGTGCTGCTGCTGTTGGAAGGAGATTGAGCTTAGGAGGCGCTGGACGTAGGAAGGTGTCTGCTGTTGCTGGTTCAATCCGAGAGAGGTTTCGAGGCGGGATTTATTCACTGCTTGGGGGGTCAGAGTTTCTTGCGTTCCTGAGAGATGCAGTAATAGTAGAGGGACAAACTCACATCCAACCTTCCAATTGAACCACCCGTCCTCCAAAACACTGCCTCCAACCCAGACACACCCAGCCTTAACCCCCTTTCCAATGCCCTCCATCTCCTTCATTTTCTCCCCATCACCATCCCCACCCAAGAAACCCCAAATAACCCCCCTCTCATCAACTCCTACCCTAATCTCAAACAACCCATTCTCCCCATCATCAAACCCCTCTACGCCCTTGAACTGCGGCGCACTAACCAACCTCCCCCTTGAATTATAGCTCCATCCATGATACCGGCAGCGAAGCACACTCGACGTCCCGAATTCGCGCGTCGCAACTGGATACGCTCTGTGTCTGCAGACGTTGTGAAAGCCGCGGATGCGCGTGTCTTTGTCGCGGATTAGGAGGAGTGCGTAGCTGGCTATGTTGAGGGTTTGGTAGGAGCCTGTTGTTGGAAAGTGGGATGTGTGGGATAAGGGGAGGGGAGTCTGGTTTTGTTGTTAGTTGTGGGTTGGCTGGTTTGGATATGGCGGAGGGAGGGGGGAGAAGCTGAGGATGGATGGATGGTTGCACGTACTTTGCTGAAAAGCGCGCGGCGCTCGAGGTCGAAAATTTGTTTTCCAGTTAGCCAGTTTGCGGGGAAGGGGGGCTCCTTTTTGACGGTGATGGAAGGGCACGGTTCATCCGGGTTTGTTGTGGCAGATTGGTTGGGTTTTGTGGTTGTGGTTGTTGTGTTACTACTAGTAAAGTTGGTACATGTTTTTGGCGACGCAGCGGGATATCTGAACTGCCTCGAGAGTCGATATAAGAACACAAGGCTAGTAAGGAACGCAATCAGCAGCGAGAAAGCAGTGGCCTGCATATTCCTTTTGCCGTTTCAAAAGGGTGAAGTATAGAAGTAGTAATATTCAGAACCCAACTGGCCAGCCCAAATGACACGGACATGGTCGAATTTAAGCATCGAGTCTACATTTCCTAAGAGCGCAATCATTGGTCAACACTTACAACGACAGTATCTTAGCACGATAACATCGTCACGGCTTCGGCTTGCCGAATCTGGTGCATTTTTCCACGATGCTCAACTTTAGACAATGAGCTGAGACTCGAAAAGATAGCCGGCCATTCTTATTGCTCGATTTAGTTGATATGGGTATTGATGTTGCACCCTAACGTGTGATAAGAATCTACGTTACTCCAAATATGATCTCTGATCTGATCCCTAGCCTGGTCCCCCGCGCCATGCCACGCGATTATCCTGGTCATGCGGCGGCCTGCACGCTTCCAACAGTTTCAGGTTTTTCGAGTTTCATCTTGGTCGGGGGTCTTTTGGCCCTATCCTCTGCGTGCTGCTGGCATACGAGTTCGAAGACCCGGTCTTGGTAGACTAGCTCGTGTCAACCGAACAGCTGACCTGCTCAAGTCACGAGAGAGGCACTCACATGAAACACCATTCTCCTTCTCCGGGTTCAGGATTCCCTCCCGATAAACGCCCTTTGTCAAATTCTCCTGTGCCTTCTCGCAGAGCTCATAATCCTCCATTGCGACCTGGCGAACAAACCGGAAGTACTCCTCGAATTTCTCCCCGGTCTCCATGTGGTAGTAATCGAATTCCATCCTGGTGACGTTTGGGTCTGCAGTTGGGCACACGCGGAAAGACGACATTCCGCCGCCGTAGACGTTCAGGGTGCAGATCGGGAAGAAGAAGAGGAAGAGCCCATCGTCGGGTTTCTTAGGGTCAGCGATGTGCTGCGAGAAGTTTCGGTGGTTGTGTACTTGGTAGAAGGTCGGTGGGTAGTAGACTGAGAATGACGGGTGAGTGTATTGACAGTGGAGGCATTCTTGGTAGCCGTCGACCCTGGCTGTTTTAGTTCTAAATTCTGAAAAGGGTGCAGCGGCCTACATTGTTTTCCAGTTGAAACGGCCTTCGTACTTGATGCTGCGCTTGTAAGGAAGCTTGGTAAAGTCTACCCGCTCAAGAAGTGGCTCGAGTTCTGGAAAGTACTCATGGAAGCTCGGGGAATCATCGGAGAGAGTTGTGAAGACGAGTCCGGTGGGCGTAACATGATGCCGTAGTGGTGTTTCCTAGACATTTAGCTTCTGTACATCTAGGAAAGGAAGCGACGTACAGTATCAGCGCAAACTACTTGAATCTCTTCAGACACAGGTAGATCAGACTCTCCAGAGCTCCTGACGGCCAGAATCGGCTGCTGAGCTATCTCATAGCTCACAGTCTCGCCAACAGTTATGAACCGTGTCAAAGGACCGAGCAGGTACCAGGACTGGACGGATCAGCGCAGCTCACTACCCTCACGGAAATAACAACCTTTAGAAAGACAGCCCGTCTTTCAAGCTGATAGAGCGACGGGCTACAGTACCAGGATGCTGGAAGCGTGCGTGCGAGCTCGGACATGGTCACTGTTGGGTTGACTCTGCTCCAAATGCTAGTCAAGAGCGGGCATGTCGACCTGCTTCTCACCGATATTTATGGTTTTCTTCACGGTCTCGCCAGCTGTAGCCATCGTCGATCCGGTCGTGGCACATGCAAAGGCTCGTGAGTCTCGTCCAATTGGCCAGGCATAGCGTTTCCTGAAGAGGTTATGAAATCCCGACCTCAATAGTATATCTTGATCACGGGAGCAAAAAGCGGTTTGGTGAGTTTGCTGAGGCAGCAGCTCGTCATCAGCTTGTCGGCTGCTGGTCCTTATATACATGCAGTCGTCGATTACATGCGGGGAGGGGAGCAGGGCTATACACAGGCCAGCCACCTCCATACCAACAGTCCATTTCGTGCAAGACAATAAGCTCAAGTGCCCACGAATAAACAGATGATATTTACTCGGCCTTAACCTGATCGAAACGTCTCGCGCATTATGTTCCTTGATTCGTGTTGCGATGATTGCTGTTGCCTGGATCTGGATCGGGGCTGTGGCGATTGCGTGGTGACAAACCCAACATATTTCTTGTCTTCATCTCCTCATCATGATCTTCTCATCTATTTCTGATCAGACGGGTCTTTTTTCTGCATCATCGCAGTTGTTGACATTTTGAGTGAAAGTTGGAAATCACATGGCTGGACCCCGCGACTGATTACTGGTGACGTCTCTCAATTCCGCTTTCTCCGCTTCACAGCTGCGGCGACTTCGAAAACTAACGCAACAGAGGGATGCGAGATTGGTTATAGCTTTCGCAAAAACAAGATCATCAAGATCGAGGTCCTGCAGGATGGCAGGCTCCAGCAAAGTCCAGTTCACCCCTCCTCCGTCTCCGCCGTCTCCGACCGCGTCTTTCTTCGATGTCAGCGATGAGGAGGAGGATGAGTACAACACCATCGCCCACGCAGCCGCCAAGAAGGGGGTGAGGCTTTTATATTCGAAAAGCAAGGTGAGTCACGACCGTCAGAATCATTCTGACCATTAAATTCTAACGATTTCATTTATCAGGTCTACGTTCACCCCACCCCTTCGGCGAAAGACAATATCCCCGGATTTATCGCCCTCGTTCAGCAAAAACCTGTCCTACCCCGAAACGATTTATCTTCTAAGACTGCCGACCTCTCCTCCTACCTCCTCGCCTGGGTCCCCGAGTCCGCCCTCGGCGATGCCTACAACACCTACGTCAAAGTCGATCTTGCGGAAGACGACTCGCCACCGCGCCAGAAATACCTCGTCCCTCCGCTCCCGGAAATGACTACATACAAAGACCCAGTGGGGCTCTACGCGTTCGCCGTGCCGCTTTCTCAGATATATTCTCTGCTTGTGCGACCTCCAAGCTTGGGCTGGTGGTTCGGGAGTCTCGTGATCAATACCCGGGCAGGTGACAGCTTTCCGGCGCTCTTCTTCCATGACAGCGAGTGCGAGTCTACGATTCTACAAAAGAAGAAGCGGACGAGGGAGACCTTTGACCCGTTTGGCGAGGATGGGAGCGTATTCTGGGGCGGAGATGAGGTTTTGCGGTGGCTTCGGCAGTATGTTGACGTGCAACGCTCGACTGTCGATAATACTGTTTATTTGATAAACCCGTCTGAGGAGGATCAAGTTTCCTTTGGAAACGCACAGATTGCAGATACATCTGTCGTAAGGTCTCCACCATCTGCCCCCGCGCAACAAGGACCCCCGCCGCATGATGCCGGGATGGATCCGTTCATGAAGGCGATCAAAGAAACAAGATGGAAGGTCCTCGAGCAGCTGAGCAAGATTACAACCTTTACCCGGCGCACCGCAAACGAGATCGCGGCCAACCCCGCCATCCCCCCGCAAGTCCGGCGTTTGCTCAAGACGCCCGAGATTCAAACGCTGCAAGAGGAGTTTGACAGCGCAAGAATATACCTCGCCCGGTGGGCAATGAGCATCTCAGAGCAAAGCGATCGAGAACGGAACCAGCGGATATACACTGCCAAGGATGTGCTCGAGATGGAGAACAGCTCCGTGGGCGATTTCGAGATTTTAGACCTGGAGACGGGGAACATGTCACTGAACGAGCGTCGCAAGACAGTTACTTTACAAGAGTGGGAGAGCTTCTTTGATCCGCAGACTGGACGGTTACAACTCACTGTTGATGAGGTTAAAGAAAGAATCTTCCATGGCGGCTTAGATCCGAACGACGGAGTCCGAAAGGAAGCGTGGCTCTACCTTCTTGGAGTCTATCCTTGGGACAGCAATAAAGACGAACGCCAGGCATTAATGAACTCGAGACGTGACGAGTATATCCGCCTAAAGGGTGCTTGGTGGGAAAGGATGGTCGAAGGCGACTCAACCGCTGACCAACAGGAGTGGTGGAAAGAACAGAGAAATAGAATAGGTTAGCAGCTGCATTGAGATCATCTCGGCTGACCACTGCTAACTCTGTCGCAGAGAAAGACGTCCACCGAACAGACCGGACAATATCACTGTTCGCCGGAGAAGATATCCCCCATCCAGACCCCGACTCTCCATTCGCAGACGTAGGAACAAACGTCCACCTCGAGCAAATGAAAGACATGCTCCTCACATACAACGAATACAACCCAGACCTCGGCTACGTGCAAGGAATGAGCGACCTCCTCGCGCCAATCTATGCCGTGATGCAAGACGACGCCGTCGCATTCTGGGCATTCGTCAAATTCATGAATAGAATGGTATTTCTACTCCTCCCTTTTCCTTGTCACTCTCGGCATCAAGCCCCATAATTAATACATATGATAAAGGAACGAAACTTTCTCCGCGACCAATCCGGCATGCGCGCTCAACTCCTAACCCTCGATCACCTCGTTCAACTCATGGACCCCCAACTCTACCTCCACCTCCAATTCGCCGACAGCACAAATTTCTTCTTCTTCTTTCGCATGCTGCTCGTCTGGTACAAGCGCGAATTTGAGTGGGCCGACATTCTCCGTCTGTGGGAGACGCTGTGGTCCGACTATTTAACGAGTAACTTCCACCTGTTCATTGCGCTAGCGATACTGGAGAAACACCGTGATGTTATCATGGATCATCTGAAGCAGTTTGATGAGGTTCTGAAGTATAGTATGTCGCACACTCTCCCGATAATATGTAGAGCGAAGCTAATGAACGCCAGTAAACGAACTCTCCAATACAATGACCCTCCTCCCGATCCTCACCCGTGCAGAATCCCTCTTCCACCGCTTCGAGCGCTCCATCCAGGCAATCGACAAAAAAGATAATTTCCCAACACCAGGTTCGGGTTCCGTGGCACAGCAACGCAAACCCATCACCGCCACACAGTCGTCTTCAGATTCAATACCCACCACTACGAACAACAGTGGTGCCAACGGCAAAGGCAAAGGGAAATCTCCCGAACGTCCGACGGGGACGAGTACAGCTATCATGGGTAGACCTGGCGCTGCTGGTACCGGTGCCGGTGCCGGGAAGCCGGATTCGAAGGTTATATCGCCTGAACTACGTGACTTGTTTAGGAGGGATGTTTTCTGGAATGAGGATGGGTCTGATGCTGGCCCTAGTGCTGGTGCTGGAACTGCAAGTGGCACTGATAGTACGTCACGAACGTAGTCTACCTAGCTAGCTACCTGTGTGAGGACTTGATGCACCATGTCGTGCTGGGACGAGGCGAGACGAGACGAGATGTCATGACATGATATGATATGATTTATTATGACCATTCTTCTCTATTCTCTAATCTACTCTATGTATTTGTTCTAGCTGGGATCATTGGGTTTGGGTTCGGGTGGGTTAAGGCGTTTTCATCGAGGTTTCTCTTTTTATGATCATCTCTGTTATCATTACCACTATCAGCCTTGACAGCGAGTCTACTTGATGTCCTTTGCTACTTGCCCACAAGTTCAGAATCCATCATCAAGATTAGGCAACTAGTTCCTACAGTCCGATGAATGGAGGACAAGGCAGTATAGATGAAAGAGGTAAAAACAACTTGGTAATCCCTATATACTCTAATCTAAAGATGCTATATGCAGAACAGAACACGGACAAACACTGGAACCGCAAGGAAGGACTAGGGACCAGCAAACCAACACCTGTAGAAACAGGAATATAAAAAAGCTAAACCAAAACCAAAACCAATAGTACCGAACCAAACCTTTATCAGAGGGTATCTTTCTGCGAAGAGGACCAAAAAAAAATTGATGAAGCGCCAAGATCCAAAAACAAGAATAATAGGTCCAGCAAGCCGGCCATGAATCAAAGCCAAAGTCGAATATGTCCAAATAGGTGTGGAAAAAGAACAATAACAATACCCTATCCATGTATGCCTGATCAAACGATGATGCACCCGCTAAGTAGCAATAAACAAGTAGATGGATGTAGACAGCGCTCAGTATGCAAATGCGAGGAATCAACAAAGCACGAATGATACTTTTTCAGGAGGAATCAATCGGCTCCCGAGAGAAGATAAGGGTCGAGATAGGTATAGTTGATGAGGGTTAGAGGAATCGGATTGACCTCGGGGGAGCTCATCGAAGGCCACGGAGAGCAACACGCTTGCTAGACCCAGCCTTGCCAATGTCGCTGATGCTGCGAGACTTGGGTAGCGTGGGGGTATTTCCCTCTGATTCGGCCTCAGGGGGCGGAATGCCGAGTTTGAACGGTCTCAGAGACGAGCTTCGCCGAGCTTGACCAAGAACATCTTCAACCCAGGCTTCACTCTCAGGACTGATCGTGGCATGTTTTGCGCGGGGTTTAGGCCCAGCAAGACCAAGGGGTATAGCCGGTGAAGCACCGACAGTTGATGGGGATCCATGGCGCATTTCGCTGACGGACGACATGGCGCCCGCAGAAATGTTCGAGGAAACGGATGGGCGCCTGTTTGGGAAGGCGGACGACATGGGAGAGAAGGACACGTTGAGGGCGTCTCCGGCGCTGGATGTACGGAAATCGGCAAAGTCGGAGACGTTTGAAGAGCGTCTGGTTTTTCGGACCGCTAGAGAAGACGCAGGGCGGTTGCTGAGGACCGAACGGGGTCGAGCAGGTACATGGCGTCCACTTCCTGATGGCACACGGCTTCCTGGTGGCGAGTATGACGGAGACTCCCGGGATGAAAGACCTTCAACTTCAACGCGGGGTGTCTCTGACACATGTCGGCGTCCGTGGTGGATAGCGTATTCACGCAAGTATTCAGCCAAGTCAGCCCATCCGCCACCGACTCGCACCATCACGCGTTCCCCGTTCTCGCCAACAGTGCGGACAAAGAGCTTGGTGGGAGCAGACTTCCCGCCGCGGTGGAGATGGTACAGCTTAACTGAGCTTTCCTCGGGGGCGTGTGAGTGTCTTCTGCGACTGATCGTGGGCCGCATAGTAAGGGATGGAGTCGGGGTGAAGCTTCGTGTCGGGGTTCCTTGAGGCGAATGTGACCGGAATCTCTCCCTTCGGAAGGGAAGCGAAGACGCCACGGACACTGCATCGTCGTCTTGGTCAGCTTGAACTAGGTGGATCCGCCCTGGAAGGGTGGTCAGGATAGAATTGATCTTTTCATCCATCTGGTCTTTAGGTCGAAGAAATCGTTTGGTCGGAGAGGATGGTCGCGACTGCGTGCCACTGCGCAATACGTTGGTCGAGGATCGCTCAGCTCCTCCGTTAGACTTATAAGGTCCGATGCTCTCCAGGCTAGGGTGAGCGGTCAGACGTTTCTTCAAGCGTCCCGTGGTCAAGTCGTTTGGCGGTTGCTGGCGCGAGGCATGGGTCCACTTATGATGATGCGCTTTCTTCGACTCGCTGGAAGCATCGGAGTCAGGCCCAGAGCTCTCTTCCCGAGTAGTTGCAAGGTGCGGATGGTCAAGGCGTCGAACATCGGCTGGTGTTGTCGCCGATTTGGACTTCTGACGCCTGGTTAGCGGTGGTTGTTTAGTATAGTCCGAGTTTTCAACAGGGTCCTCGCTAGACCCCGATTCGTAGTTCATCTCAATTCTCTCATTAATAAAACGTTGCAATGGCAGACTCAGAGCTCGATTGTGCGTGAAGACGTCTCTTGGGGACGGCTTCTGGGCGTCTAGATGAACGAGGCGGTCCTCGCGCAAAGTATGATCGTTGCGGCGGACAGGGGTAGGTCGATAGTCTGTTGGAAAGTTGGGCGGCGTCTCAAGAAGAAGCGGCGTACCATTCGATGAGGACGTTCGAGGTTCTGGAATTCCTGGACTAGAGACCAATGACGGGAAATCAGAAAGAGAACCGTCAGATCCGTTGGATGTTCGTCGACGGGGTTTTGAGTTGTGCTTGTCAAGGTCCAGACGGCCGGGACGCATCTTGGATAGTTTGATCGGGCTATCCAAAGGCTTCTTTGGCGTATTCCTGTCTTCTTGCTCTGGCTCCTCGGGTTGAGGCTGTTCGGCGGGTGGCTTGCCATTATCAATTGGTTTGAACAGGTTTGGGAGAGAAGCCACGGCATTACTGGGTGGAGTCATGCAGCGCTCGGGTATGGAAGAACGCTCAGGGGTAGAAGCACGCTTTGTTGATGCAGTCGCAAGCGCAGCACGAGGGATGCGGTCTTCAGTTGTCAGAGGCTGAGGGCCAGCTTCAATGACAGCAACCTTTTCAGGAGCCTGACTGGCTTCTGATGGCCCAATACTGGCTGAAGATGAAGCATTATCCTTAGTCACAGCAGGCTCGAGAGAAGGTTCAGCAGATAGTGACTTGGATTCTTCTTGCTCGTGTAGGGAAGACTTCTGTGATAGGGAGGGCTGTATGGAAGCAGGATCATTTGAGTCCTCCGCTTGCTGTGTAGGTACGACGCGTACGGAATCGATATCAGATTGCCTTTGCGTCTGCTCGAGCTCATCAATAGGCATAGATTCTACCGAGGTATTTATCTTCTCGATCTGCACAGGTTCCTTGGCGGAGACCGTATGCTCCACATGGTTCTCCGAGTTGATACTGTTCGGAAGCTGAGGCGTGTTTTTATTCGCAGGGCTGACGGGGGTCCTAGTCAACTCAGAGGAAGTCTCCTCATCAGGGAATTCAGGATGTGTCACCAGCTCCTCTGATAGAGAATCAACTTGAGGCTGCGGCAAGCTAACCTCTTCGTTCTCCGTTGCAACGTCAAAAGGACCCGAGGATGTATTCGCAGACGATTCTGGTTGAACCCGATCCGTGGAGAAAGGTGTATTAGGCTGTGCGGTCACAGAGCGAACCTCTTTGGGTAAGTCAGGAAGAACCGCCGCCTCTTGTGCTGGAGGAGCGATATGTGACTGCGGAACGCTAATCTGGTGGTTCTCTGCTACTTTTTGAATAATGCCTCGCGGTGAATCTCCAGACGGCTCCGGATGTCCTGACTCCACGATGGGAGACGAAACATGAGAGTGCGGGGTGCTGGTCTCATTTTCCACCGCTGCAACTGTCGCAATATCCCGCGGTAGACCTTCGGATATTTTTGCATGCACGTTCTCCACAGAAGATGTAGTAACAGGTTTCAAGGCGCTGATTACATGCTCTGCTGCAGATACTGGAACATCTTGTGCATTGACCCGAAGATCCGCATCGGTAGCTGCATCAAGTTGCATAGCCGGCACTGGGGTAGGAGCTTCGTGTGTTTCCACAGTATCGACTGGCAATGGCGAGTGGGACTCGAGCTGTTCAGTTTCAGCCGCCACAGTGCAGAATTCGTCGATTTCCGCAGCTGGCTGGGCTGCCGGTTCAAGCGGGCTTCCGATCTCTTCGACAATGGTTTCCATTGGGTGAGAGCGTCCTATTTGTATCGGGACAGGCCTGGTTTGTGATACAGGCTCCGGTGAGGTATCTCTTGCCTCTGGCTGCGCAAATGGTGTCTCGGCAGGTAGAGGGATGACGGTTTCAGAGGAAATATCCTTGACATCTTCCTCTTTGTCCAGTTCAGATTTGGCTGCCTCGACTTGCGGTTCGTCGTTCTCCCTGGAGCGGGCTGATAGCCGACGCCATTCGTTCTCAACAGTGCGCTTCTCAGCTTGCATGACCCAGGCGGCAAAATCCGCTTCGGTTGATTCAAGATCGTCGATCCAATGCTCAGGGAGAGAATCCTCGCGTCCGTCCAGCGAATCCAGAATACGGTCCATCCTTCGTCCGGCTGATAGCACATTTGACTCCAAAGTGGCCCGCTTAGCATGGTAATTAGTAATAGAATATAGAACATCTTGCTCTGTGGGAGGTTGTGAAGATGTCAACAGGTCCAGAGCAGAGTTCAGCTCCGACCTAGCAAACTGTAAGCTCTGGAGAAGCCCGGGTATTTGCCTAAGAACCAACAGTCGTACATCCCATGTCGAGAGCAAATTGTTCAATCTTGATAGAAGCGGCAGGGCTCGAAGAATAGTTGCTGTGATCACGGCAGTAAAGTCACTCAACTGAACATAGCTGAGTGGGGGAGGCACGGAGATGGTGCTGTTGGCTGACGAAGGCCGAGACCTCCCTGGAATGTGTGCGTTGAGAACGTGCTCCTTCAACTCTTCCACGTCCAAGCTCTCCATTCCGTCTCGGATTTCTTCAATGCGTTTCTCGTGTTCCTCAACAACAGATGCGGGGAGGCTTCCATAGTACCCGGACCTCTCCGCGTCGGTAGGAGGGACGAACCCCTTTCCCAAGTGAGCATCCGCTCGTTTCGGCCATTCCCACTTCTGTACCTCCCTATACCACTGACCAAGCTTCTGTGCAGCTACAGCAGCGCGTATACCGAGAGCCCGTTCTGTTGGGGAGGCTTGAGAGATGCTCTTGGAGAGGATATCGTGCGCAACCTTTTCGTTCTTCGGCACGGCGTCCGTGTTTGAAAGAGCTTGGAGAGTCGACTCTGGCGATAAATTTCCGAGGAGGGGATCTGAAACGTCATATTTGGGCACGGCCAGGCGATCTGAGGCTTTCTGGGGCAACGTGGGGGGTAGCTGAAACGGCCGACGGGGTGGGCTGAGGCGGCTGCTAGCCATGTCGAGGTCGGCCTTTTACGGCGTGATCGAAGGTGTTAGGGGGTTATCGGAGATCGGAATTCAATACTGAGGACTGATCGACGGAGGTCGCGCAGCGGAATCGAGAATAGGAGAAACGAAGCGTGGATGACGAACAAGCATGCTGTACGCGATCTCACCGAGAGTCCGTTGCTGGAGAGTCCGTTTAGCTAAGAGGGTGACCGAAGACGAGGTTTGAGGTTGAAGGAAGAGACGAGACTAAGCGCTGAATACAGCAATAATGAGAAGAAAATGTGTTGTTTGAGAAGCGGTCAATTGTGCAAGAACAGGTGAGGAGATGGAGTTGGAGATGGGCGATAGATCCAGTCTCGCAGAAACGCTGTCGGCGGACGATTGGATCAAGGGGAGGAACGAGCGTCAGAAATGAGTGGATGGGAGAAAGTGCAGCTCTGCTGTGTTTGACAGCGAGTGGAATCGCCCCGGAACTAAGAGTCTAAGAATAAGCAGCGCGGCCAATGACCAGAACACAGCGTGAAGCCGAATTGGTTGTTCTCGCGGTCCGCTCGTTTTTTTTTAACGCGTCGTCTGGTGGCCGCGCCAAAAGGGGCGATCCAAAAACAAGACTATTTGCCATTATATTGAACTAACCCTCTTGATGACTATTTGATTACTATTTTAATAAAGCTAACCGGCTATCCAGGGAGCGGGAAATCATCAAGGAAAAGAAGAGAAAAGGAAAACTTTTCAACCACCTGCAGCTAAGTTTGCTGCATTGTCAGCCATATTGGGTTTCGCGGGCGTCTACTGATCGACTCCATAAAGATGGCACCACCTTGTCGTGATCCTCTCGAACTCTCAAACCCTCCTTGCATACAATCAAAACAATAAACTCGCGCCGTTTGATCTTTGCATAGTCTCTCTGCAAGCAAGGTTACAGCAGGAACGCATTGTTTGTCCGATAAAAAGGATATACTCCTCTACTAAAAGCCCAGCACACAGCAAGGGACGCGTCGAAGGCTGGACAGCGGACAAACCAACAATGGGTGAAAACAAGGCATCTCTGTCCACCTGCACCCCCATGATAGCCAACATCTCGGAAACAACGGGCTCCGGAAATCAAGGCAGGAACTGGAGGATTTCCATAGCTTCATGGTGTGATGCTGCGAATCATTGATGCCATATAGTACTCCGTGGGAGCTGTTGAATGTTCCTCCCAGGTATACTTGCTAGCACGCGAGCTAACTGGTAGCATGAATTTTGTCCGTAGAGCTTGGTCGATGAAAATCATTAATTGTACAAAAGATCACACTTCACTTGACTGCTTCGGGCGATTAAGAGATATCCACTTATATCCATCAAGATCACTCTTTGAGTCTCAGTTTATCTCCTCCGTAGGTATCCGTAGGCACCACTGAAGCTCAACGGGAGCGTCTAATTTGCTTGTCTCGCTTCCCCACAGCGACCGGAGATCCAGATCTCGAAACGACCATCAACTCCAAGTCCAAAGTAACTTCATCCATCCCAGATCTACTCATAGTACAGATAATCCCAAATTACACAATGCAAATATGCGTTTCCGCACTGAAGTGGTCAACACCGCGACCTTTACTAGTACGTCCAGACCATTCTCTCCCAATCCTCCCTCCCATCAATAATTCCTGATGCTTCCATCGATACATGATCAAACACTAATATCAAGCCACAGAACTAATCGCATCCCTCTCCTCCCTCAGCAAGCTCTGCTGGATGCGTCTGGAGTCAAACACAATCCGCTTCACCATTATCCCCGACCAAGGAACACAAGTCTGGGCTCAATTGCCTATTGTACGTTTTTGGTCGCATCGCATCCATACTAACCCCCGTCACGTACTTCCGATTAGACTTTGGGAACCTAACAATATCACAGGAATCCATCTTTGAAGAAACAGATTACACCCTCGAATCCAACACGGGCGTAATCAACCTCGAAGTCCCGCTCCCCTCCCTGCACCGCGCGCTGCGCTCCGCCGCAGCCGCGAAATGGGTGCAGTTGCGGCTGACGCAGAAGGCCAAGGTGCCCCTGTTAGCATTGACCATCCGAGCAAAGTCCCGTACTAAACAGGGAAATTCTCTGGGGACGACATCTACTGTAAACGACGCCCAAGGTGAAGCTTTCGGCACAGCACCACCAGGAGACGGAGAAGAAGGAGCAGGGTTATTAAACACAGCCCGCGAAAGGGAAACATTCATCACTCAAGAAATCCCCGTAAAAGTGCTCCACGAAAGCGCAGTCGAGGGCCTCCACGAACCCCGATGCCGGGATCCGGACGTCCACATCGTCCTCCCAGACCTTTTCCAGCTAAAGAGTATCTCGGAGCGATTCACGAAGTTAGCAGCAGACTCGACGCCCAAGGCCGCCGCCGCCGCTGCCACGATGACTTCCTCCAACAACTTCATGGACCAAACCCTAGACTCTGGCTCAGGCACAGGCATAGGTACACGCGCCCCAGGCGTCTCCCCCAAGCTCGAACTCAGCGCAAACATGCACGGCTCGCTCCGGCTATCCATCGCTACCGACGCGCTCAAGATAAGCAGTGTCTGGAGTGACCTGGTGAATCCTGCCGTGGACCCGAGCCAGCTGTCGCAGACGCAGATTGAGCAGTTGCCTAGTGAGCGGATGAGGGCGCTCGGTGGGGATGATGAGGCGGGGTGGGCGAAGGTTAGGATCGATGGGAGGGATTGGGCGCGTGTTTTGAGTGTTGGGAGGATGAATCCGAAGGTTGTTGCTTGTAAGTTATTCCTCATTGTAAATGATGGTCGAAGTGGTGGTATGCAAAGGGAGGGGAGAGTTAACTGTGGACCTGACGCAGGTTTCATCCACGAGACGGCGCTGGTACTATACGTGTATCTCCCGGGGAGCTTGAATGGGGACGAGTCCTGTTTGACGGTGAGTTTACCTATCCGCCTATCCACTTACTCACCTGCCCATCTATCTTTCAAGCGCTATATCAATTGAGGATGAAGGCAGCTAACGGGGACAGTATTATATCAATTCCTACCTAACATAACCTAGCATAACCCTCAAATCTACAAACCTCCCATCCGGTCTGAAAGGAATAAAAAAAGTATAAATCTAAGTCATCAAGTGGTATTATTATATTAAGCACGTTACAGCAATCATGGTCCATGAAACAAGCAACAGGCGCAAGCAAGACAGGCAGGCAAAAGGTTCAACCTCTTGGGCCTGCCCGTCTCAGACCCACATCCCATCATCGTGGAAATAGACAAAGGAAAATAAAGAACAAAAGAAATGAAAACAATAAGAAAAGAAAAGAGGACATTAAAACAAGCTCATGAGAAGGGGAAGGGGGTTTTAAATGTACATGAACGAAGCAGAGGGGGAAATGCAAGGCAAAACAACGCAGCATCCTTACTATAGAATGCAAGTTGTGGTGTCGTCTGAGAATGCGAACGCCCGAAATGAGCTAAGCGAAGCGAAGCTGGCCAAATCCATGTTATAGGGATAAGGCATGCAAGATTTGAAAGCAGGTTCACAATGCAAGAATGGGTATACACTTCTCAATATGCAATGGTGAGATTGAATGAATCTCAGGGTATAAGAAGGCACGCTCTATTTGGCCATCACATCGACGTATCCACGGCCCTTCTTTCTGCCTCGGGCTGGGGCGCCCTTGCGTGCTACCGGCGCCCCAAGTAGATCGTCAATCGAGCTGGCGTGACTCAAAGAGGTAGAAGGCCTGGGAGGAGGGCCGGCAGAGCTTCCCGGGCGAGACGATGGAGTACCGCCCGTTGAGACTGCACCGGTGGAGACGGATCGTGCAGGCCCAAGAGAGGGAGTGGGTGGAAGGCCAAGCGAAGACGGCGCAGGGCTGCTCGACAGTGGAGGTGGAGGGGCACCCGCCGATGACGGGGGTCTGCTGCCGAGCGTTGGTACAGGTGGAGGAGGCATGCTGCTTCCGCTTGCACTTCTGCTGGGAGGAGCCGGGCCCTTTGGAGGCGGCGGCGTGGCACGAGCCTGTGTAGCGCTGTTGGGGTCCTTCTTGTTGACCCACTTCTTCAAATCCTTATCGTAGTAGAAAGAACTCTCCTCGCCGAGCTTTGCGCGGATAGGCTTTCCAGCGAGGTTGTTCTCCTCTTTGTTTCCGCCTTTCATCCATCCAAAGGAGAACCAACCGCCCTTGGCTGGCGCAGCTTTTTGGGCTGCAAAACAGATTAGGAACTATAGACTGGCATAACATGACGAATAACTTACCATCAGCCTCAGCCGCTTTTCTGAAAGCCTCATCTGCTTCACGATCCCTACGCGCCCGTTCGGCCTTCTTCAAAGCCTCAGCACGAGCGGCGAGCTCGTCTTCATCATCATCACCCATGGTCGGCTTGCGTGGCTTCTCCTCCCCTGACTCCTCAGCCACGTCGTCGGGGCCATTGATGACAGTAGACGGAGGCTCGTAGCCTGTGCTAGCAGCAGGAGGCATGTAACCGCCCACATCGCCTAGTTGTGGAGTGACTGTGGCCCCTGTATCATACGACTCGCCAAATGAGTCTTGTTGCACGTGAGGCTGGTAAGGCGAGTTATGGGCAAAAAACCCTTGAGGTGCAGCTGCCGGGGGAGGGTAGGTCTGCTGTGCCATGTCTTCATCAACAGGCGCGAGAGGCATGTATGAAGTCTGAGGAGGCGTGGTCTGATACCCCACAGATGGTGAGCTGTAGAACGGCCCGCCACTATACATAGGATTTTCAGATGGAGCAGATGAAGGAGCATACTCCTGGGATCCCCGTCGCTGACCATACGCAAATGACGCAGATCTCTGGGAGTCCAACGATGATCGTCCGCGACCTTGATCAGGTGACGAGTTGGGGGCATATTGGTTGTTGGGCTGGTAGCGCGAAGGTCCTGCATTGGGAATTGGCTGTGCCGCAGGCACCGGGTACTGGCCGTACAGGTCCGATACGGAGGGCGAGCGGCTAACGGTAGGTGTACCAGCAATTTTAGCAAATGGACCAATGTCCGCCTCGCCACCTTTGCCTGAGCCTGTAGAGGCAGCGTCGCTATCATCGCCGGCAACAAAGTTGCTGAACCTGTTCCACATAGAAGAAGAAACTTTTTCCATGCTGGGCTTTGAGATCCATGACCCTGCGTCGCCTGTCGTTTGCTTAAGACGCGCATTCAATTCGTCGACGCCAAAGAACAGGTACTGATGGTGGTATCCTGACGGCTTCGTGGTGGCTTTCAGTGTTGCTGCAATGGTATCGCAGTAATGCTGGGCTTCGGACTTTTGGCCACGATCCGTGAGTGTACAAGCGTGTATGAGTTTAAATGCAAGAAGATGAGGAAGAGTAGACGTCGGAGATGCCGCAAGGACAGAGGTAGCATATTCATATGCCTCGGTCAACAAAATAGCATCATCATCCAGGAGAGATGTGGGGGCAGAGTGCACATGATCGACACCGAGAAGGGCAATGCTTGCGTTCGGGTCATCTGGCCCACCAAATACCGATGCGCGCGAGAAGATAAGGCAGATATGCGCAGCCTCTATCCGACCATAGGATAACAGCAATCGACCCAGAGCAAGCAGCGCCTGGTGATCGCCGGTACTCCGGTTACTCAGAACCAAGCCCAGTGTATCCTTCCAAGACTCAAGGCCAGCAAGAGCGTCCTTAGAAGCACCCTGTCCATCGACCTTGTTTATCATCTTCAGACCTGCCCTGGCAGAGGGAGGAACAAGCTCATCGATACTCTCCTCAAAGTTGCCAGCGAAGATCTCGTACAGCGCAGCTAGCGATTCAGCATTGCCTGTAGCGGACCTAACTTCTCGCCGGACAAACTCCTGCACGACCTGCTTCCAAACAGCCTTATCCAGCGTGGATGCAATGATCATAGCATGGCCCCACAGGCGGTTATCTGCTGCACTCCACACGGCCTTTTCTCGCTCGCCAAGAAGTAGGCTGTTGTGAATAGTCCCCAAGGAGGTTGAGTCTGTTCCATCAGGTCGAGATGCGGTATCAAGTGCTTGGGGAGCAAAAGGCTGGAAAGAGTTGCCGTACGCAGAGTCTGATTCTGCGGTTTGCAAGTTCGGAAATAGTACACCAGTCAAAGCCTTTTGAAGCTCAGGCGAGCTTTGCACTCCGCCGTCATGCTCAACTAGCACGCGCACAATCTTCCAGAGAAGGGTCTTCTCGTCATGGCGCTTGTGAGAGTCAGGCAGGTTCTGGAGGCTTTCCGAAACACCCTCGTTCTCAAACGCAGCAATCTTGGAGGAAAGCCAAGAAATCAAATCCTTCTTCTTGGATTTATTCCGCAGAGGCCCCGGGTGTTGCACAATGCTTTCGGGGAAAGAAATCCAATCTTTGAACTGCGAGACCTTGATCTCACCGGGCGTGGGTTTAATCTTCGGCGTAGCTTGGCCCGCGCTGTATCGAGGAATGTGCTTGGGAAAGCAGGAGAGAACGGTACCGCCAAAGCCGAACTTGACTATCGGTACCCCCTTCCATCGCTGAAGCGGGTCGAGCTCCTGCCCGTCAAACGGCGGGATGAAGTCGAGAGACTGCGAAATTGCGCGTGTACGGCTAGCACTTTGCAGTGGTGCAGAAGTATTGGTGCCTTTTGTGGGTGAGCTAGGCGCATGAACGGATGCAGGTCTCTTATACGGGTCAATCGATGGTACAGATAGCCGTTTGGGTCCCGGCTGTTGCTGCGTCGGAGACCCTGTCTGTGATCTTCGAAGAGGAGGGGGGGCGAATGCTGCGCCCTCAGCAGGGTGGGGCGCGTATGGAGATGGGGCATTGTTAGCATGGGAAAGACGGCGGGTGAACTCTTCTACATATGACGGAGGAGCATAGGGGTTTCTGGGCGGAGATGTTTGCTGGGTTTCAGCGACAACAGGCGGATGTTGTGATGACCTAGGGGAAACGGGAGCCCCACCATCAACCTGGGGCTGTTGAGCATCAACAGGGAACGGTTCAGTAGCTGCGGGCTGATATGACGGCTTTTCCAGCACTTCTTGAGGTTGGTACGAAACCTTCTCATGGTGGGCTAGCGGACTCGACGTTCGTGGCTGGAAGGGCAAAGTAACTCCTTGTGCTGGAATAATAGCGGGTTGAGACACATAACGCTGGGGAGGAGGCGGTCCGGCTGTCGGTGGCGGAGCGGGGGAGTACCGAGGAGAAGCTGGGGGCTTGACTCCAGGTTGCAGCGTGGGCGGTTTCGGGGAATATCTCGACGCAACGCTAGGTACGACAGGAGCACTTTGAGAATGAGGAGCCAAGGTGTTAGCATACGGCGCCTGTCTCTCCGGCTGCTGCAGCTGATGTTGAACTACATCATCAGCAGGATGTGACTGGAAAGTGACCGGCTGAGCTGGTGGCAGGGGAGCTACCACGGGCCCCGTTGCGCTGGGGACCTGTGTGTATCGACCGCTTTGTGGTTGCGGCCGCGAGCGAGGTCGAACAGGTGGCAAAGGCAAATCTTCATAAAAGTTCTTTGGTGCAGGCGCAGGCGCAGCAGCGGCTGCCTTTGGCGGAGAGGTGGTGCCTAAAGGGGGAGTAGGCACTCCTGCTGATGGTTGTGGAGGTGGCACCGGAATGCTGCTGCTCCGAGGGGGTGGTGGTGTGGGCAAGCCCGGAGCCGGCGCGACAACCGGCTTGACTGCAGGCCTGCGACGCGGAGCAAGATCTTCGGGGAGATCATATGGGGACCGGTAACCTTCTTTAGATCGTTCCGCGAAACTTTCGGCCTTGGCTAGAGGGACAGGGGGTTCGGGCCGAGCCTGGAAATAATTTCCAGTGTAAACTCCACCGACCAAATCCGATGTAGACGGCTGGTGAGGAGTGTATGCGTTTTGCGGCGCCTTGGGTCTGCTCGCACTTTGCGGAGTCCCAAACGGACTGCCGAGGGTATGATCCACACCATCTCCATTGGCCATCTGAACGTGTTCCGCTGTCGTGTCATGGGCCTCGTCTTCCAAAAGCAAGTCATCATCATCGAGCTCCGCCTGCCACTTTGCAGCAAGGTCCTCTTCAACCGGAGCATCCACCGGAGCAACCTCTAGTTCGTCGTCGGAAAGTTCCGCCTGCCATTTCGCAGCCAAATCCTCCTCCGCTGGCGTCTCAGCCACCTTCTCGGGCGACTTCGATGCGGCAGCCGCCAGTATGTTATCAAACTCTTCGGCCGTGGGGGAAAGGGGGCTAGCCGGGTAGTGATCAGTAGCGTTAAGAGCATCCATCACTTGAGAGGTGCTCTTGCGGTGGATATGGAACGGTCCCTGGTGGTTGTCGTCCTCCGTCGCCGCCTTCTGCGCCGAGCTAAAGAACCCATCCTCCTCACCCTCATCGCCGTTGAAAACCGAATCAAGTTGTCCTTGAGGCGCGGATGGCTCAACCGGAGTCTCGACAGACTCATCCAACAAAGGCACGCCCTCCTCGTATCTCGAGTCCGCCTCCGGCGGGAAAAACATCGGCTTCGTCTGTGTCTTCAACTGGTCGAAAAAGTCGTCCTCCCCGTGCGTAACGCTCCTAGGACTACCCCAAAGGTCGTGGTTTGTAGCGGCGATCTCCCCGTTCACAGACGCAACTCGGTCCGTAGCATCATCGTGATTGGGCCAAACCGCGTGGTAGCCTCGGACAGCGTTGTCCGAGGTGTCCTGCTCATCCTGACGCTGCTGCGGCGTTGTTTCGGTTTCCGATACGTGGTTCCCATGCGTTGTGTGTAAGCCGTCGCCATTTTGAGCGGACTGCTCTACTTCAAAGGGGCTCTCCCCTTGACTGTCATGAGCCGTAGATAAGAACTCCGCGGCCTCTTCCCGGAACTCATCTCGCGTTTCGGCGTTGGTGAAACTATCATCAAATGTCGGCGGTACCTCCGCGGTCGTTTCGTGTGCGTTATACTCGGTATTCGATGCGTCAATCGCACTCGGAGTTGTTTCTTGGGAAGCTGGTTGAGAAGGGGTTAAGGAGTCGGCGGGCGGCGCGAGCTCAGTCGTCCTGACAACATCGTCATTGTTCTCTGATCGCAGCGCCGGGTTCCAGACGGGAGAAGCGTCGCTATGCTCCATGTTTGCGATATGCTAAATTTGCCCAACCGCGACTCCAAGGTTAGAACGCGCGAGACCGGAAGCTGACACGTCGTGCATTTCGGGGTACGGTACTCACTCAAGTTCCCGATCCTCGGGAGAACTGGGGAAAGTTCGCTCAGAAAGACGACAAATCTCGCGACATGAAAAAGAAAAGACGACGAAAAACGGGGGAAACCTATAGAAAGGGGCAGGATCGAAATTCCGAATCAGAAGATCATTACAAGAGATAAGGAGAAGGCCGAGACTTCATGATTGCGTGGCAAAAAGCAGCTTGTCCAGGATGCTCCTGACGCTGATGTGATCGATTTAGTGCCCAGAGCCCCGTTCCGGGGCGGCTTTTGCTGGCAGAACGCGGTCTATAGGGGCCACCTATCACTATCCACCGTCACGTGTAGTTCGTCAGAAAAGGGAACGCATCGTTATGCAGATCTATATATGAACATGATATAGAGCGGGAAAACAATGCTAAAGCAGAAGAATAGAGATACATGAGTACATGAGTTTCGTCGCCTAACCTCGCACCTTACGGTAGCTTGGCGGACTCCACGATTGCTTGATCAGCTTTCCAGCCCAGACAGGGATAATGGCAACAGCAGCCACAGCCGCGACACGCCAGACCCAGGCTACTGTAATCACATATTGCAGATCAAAGTACTCCCCGAGGAAGGGGATGCTAGCAGCGTAGACCAGTGCAGTGCCAAGGAGACAGAAGATCATCACCGGATGCCAGGTCGTTATTGCAATGGCCACCATGAGAAGTTCGTTGATGACAAGTGCCGTGAACGAGACGCTGATAAGTCGCGGCCCAGTGATGGTATCCAGGAGGACCTGGGATAGACCCTGGATAACGGCGCCTTGATAAACGGATACCAGAACCCAAGTGAAGAAAGATCGGTAGCTCAAGCTGCGACCTGTCTTGAGCTCCTTGTATAATTCTGGATAAAGGTTTGCCAGATGCTCATCAACGTCGCGGTCAAGGACGAGGGAAAATACAGGGGCATTTGTGTAGACAGTTGCGTACCCGACCATAAGCCAGTTGATAAATAAACCCTTCGGATCGAAGTGGCTTGCAATGCTGTACATGGTCTGACATGCACTAATGATCAGACCACGGTGCATGATAAACTGCGCCAGTTTGGCTGAGCGTTTGTAGGAGTTACGCCCATGCCAGACCAGCAGCTTCGTGATATGGTGAAACTGCGTGATACTGAAATCAGCAGCGAGAGACGCCTGACGACCCTCCTTTCCAACAATACCGATTCCCACATCAGCCGCTTGGATCATGGATACATCGTTGCCACCATCTCCAATGCAGCAGACACGTTTTTTGGTGTGATGGCGAATCAAATCAGCCACTTCAGCTTTCTGGGTCGGAGAGCAGCGACACGCGATTACAGCAGGCAGGAGAACGGCCACGGAAATGAATGGTGTTCGGAACTGATTGAGCATGAGAGCCAAGGATTCGCCGTCAATGAGCAAGCAGCAGTCGGTTTTGTTGCGTAGGAAGTCGAGGGTTTCTTGGGCAGCCGACTTGTCCTTGAGCTTGGCAACTGTGTGAATATACTGACCACGGGCCACGAGTTTGGCGGAAATGGCAACGCATCGCGCGGTCTCCACCTTGTCACCAGTCAACATCCAGATCTTGACGCCGGCATTGCGAAGAAGTTCAAGCGAAGGCTTAACGTCTCTTTGAAGACGGTCTTCCACACCCGTAACGCCGAGGAGCTCCAGGTCGTGCTCAAGATACTCACTGACAACCTTGGCCATTCCAATATCTCGTCCTTGAAGAGAAAGAGACGCCTGTTTGTACTTACTGGCGAACTCCTGATACTGCAGGGATGAGAGTCGTTTCCGTCCCACAACCAATGTTCGCAAGCCTTCCCGAGCCATGTTAGCCGTCTCCTCATCCAACCAGTCGTTGGCCGCAACAATCGAAGTCATGACCGTGTCTGCTCCCTTTTGGTAGAACCAGATTTCATCCTCCTCAGTTGGCGAGTCAAGGATGCCCTTTTCCGTCTCGAACTGCACGATGATTCCCATCCTCTTGCTTTCCGACGTGAATGGAAAGATATCGAGGATACGCACGCGCACAACAACATTGCCGGTGTCGGTCGACTCGAGGACTATCGTCTGGCGGTCACGATAAGAGACCTTCAGTCCGACTTCTTCTGTGTATCGTACAATTGCGATTTCGTCAGGCGATGAAGCTTGATAGCTTGTTACTTTAATACCATCCTCTTCGTCGACAGTGGGAGTGACATTGTGGCACAAGGCGAGAGCCAGCACGATATCCCTGACACGCGATCCAATTTCCCTTCTCGTGCGAGGAGCCGCTCCAAGACCTGCTTGGGTTCCAAATGCGGCGGAAGCGGTTGTCAGAGAATTCCCAGCGAAGCTTTGCCGGACAAATGAAGCCACTTCTTCCATTGCGTCATTCGCGTAAGAAACGGTGCCAACGTGGATCTTCTTCAGCTCCATTTCTATGTAACGTCAATCTCTGGATGCTGCAGATATCATGGGTTTAACTCACCATTTTGGGTCAAAGTGCCCGTTTTGTCTGAAAGAAGATACTCTATCCGCCCAAGGTCTTCAGGGATTGTGCTCGTCCGAACAACAGTGCCCGGGATATCTTTATCTCTCTCGATGAACCGGCCATAGACAGACTTCGCCATGTCTAGATTGACACGCAGACTCATGGGGATGATTGTCGAGAAGAGAATGAGGTAGATCATTATGGCGACGTACCACACTTTATCGTTCGTTGGTTGAAATCCTTCCAGAGCGACGAGAATAATTGACAGAGTCAACGTGAGGATACAAAGAATTTTCGTCAAGTTATTGATCTCATATTCCAGCAGTCCTACCTTGGACCGAGAAGGTGATGTAGAAAGAGCTGCCCTGGTTTGTGAACCAGTATAAATGATGGCGGCGTACGTGATTGTGTTCGAGGCCAGGACAGTGTTGGCCCAGGCGGTGTTATCGATGGAAAGTGGTGCTGAACTGTTCTGCGCGGCCTCGTTGTCATAATCACTTCTGTCATCCGTCTTATCCACATGAGGATCGTAGAAACCTGATGGTGGCATAAGCTCAATGTTGCCAACGAATTCGTTGACCCGTTTGTCTGGTCCACTTGCAGTGATCTTCAGCCTTGTGAAATCCGCAAGTGTGAGAGACTGGGACAGAGGAGATGGTAGACGCAGTTTCCAGTCCGTCTCACCGTCCAGCTGATCCGTCCGAATGAAAGTATCACTGGTAGAAGACGTATTGGCTTCATCTATGGTAGTGCTGGCTTCTAAATCCTGGTCAGGCGCAGCCGAAGACGATGCGTTGTTCGAACGGTCAATTTCTGCGGATCTCGCTCTCTCCATACTCTCTCGAGCCGCTGTAGCATCATTAGACACACTCTTCAGTATCACGACATCAGCGGGAAGACGCTGATTCTTTCTGACTTTCAAAACGTCGCCAACTTTCAGGTCTCGAGATTTCTTGACGATGACGGGTACGTTCTCGCCATGCGAATGCGTGTCCTCGGCGACCGGGAACGCCCTACTTCCACCGCTTTTATCCAAGGCAAGTACAGAGAACTCTTCCGCGTTCGCCTCTGCATCCCTCCTCCGCCTTGCAATATCATCCAACGCCTCCTTTCCCAAGGATATAGATACCACAAAAGCCAAAGGCGCAATATAAGTAGACATATAACCTATCCGCAGCACGGGTATAATCTGCGACAGCGCAACAAGCAGAAAATATATGTTGAAGAAGAAAGAGAATTCGTTGTAAAGCGTGCGGGGGAGGAAGCTCCAGGGTGTGTATTTCGCGTTCGAGACAACATTGGGCGGGTATTTCGCTCGTTGCGCTTGTCCAACGAGGACGTCTCTCGGAGGCTTGATCGCGTTCTCGTTGTTTCCACCCCTTGATGGACCGCCGGAGAGTCTGAACAAGGCACTCGGCTTCAACCAGCCCAGGCGTGATCTGCGTTGTGGCGTGCGTACACCGTCGGCGAGAGAGCGGGCGGAGCTCCTCCGGCGCTCAAGGAGAGGATCGTCATCGTCAGCGTAAGGACGAGAGCTTCCGTTAGAGTCTCGGAGTCCTCCCTCGTCATCACGATCGTCAAGTAGGCCAGCCGTGTCCTCCCCGTGTGTCCCCGACATACTCCGCTTCCATAGTCGATTTCCGGCGCCAACACGCAGATTTCGAAGTGCTATACCGGGACCATGGCTTCGTTGAGGGGTCGGTTCGTCTCTCGATAAGCGCGAGGCGTGAAATGCGGATGATGGATCCAACTCTTCCAGGTCAAGGTCATCGTCGGAGTCGATGCTGGTGCGGTCGTGAGGGTGTAGGTAATCGGAGGATGAAGGCATGATGTGTGCCAATGAAAGAAAAAAAACAGCGTGCAGAGACTCAGGCCCTCGTTTCTATTTGTAGGGAGCTAAGCGTAGGCTCCGGCGCCAGGGAATAAGTTGTCATGTCCTGTTTGTTGTCTTCACGCTGCGTTGAGTTCAGGGTGTCCCGACGGAACCATCGTTGTTATTGTGAGCTGAACGATATTTGGGCGGCGGCAGCGTTTTTGTGTAAAAACAGTAGCGCGAAGATCAATGCCAGACGCTGTCAGGGAGTGGATTCGTAAGTGTACACATAGACTGTCTGAGGTAGATAATCTCGCGGCCTATTTCCACTCTTCCTCGCAATGCCGTTGACACCGGATCCCTGATCACATGACAATGCTTCCATGCAATGTGATTTGTCTCCTTGTTTCAGGACGCCTCTTCTGTCACACATTACTCAAAGTAATCATTTATAGGATCTTTTGTAATCTCTAATAGGTTTGCTTAATTAGATTCTTATCTAGTACTAGTGCTTGGGGGCGGATCTTAACTTTTTGAAGCTTGGATATATATATCCGCTGGGAAGCGTTCAATTCCGACTACAGGGCGCACTTGTTTACCTCTACCTTGATAATTTGGTAGTGAAGATTTAAAATTATATTATTAACCATGAAGGCATGGAGAACCCAAAGAAATGTACTGAAACACAGACCATGCAACATGCCAAATGGCTTAAACCGCCCGCAGAAACAATGCTAAAGGCAAGGACTGTAGAATAAACAGAGGGCTTCCTGGTACTGGTGCTCCAAGCAAGAATTGCATAGCATCAAAGCCACAGTCCAGAGAATGAATGGGCCTCAAGAAATCGGCACAGCATGAAGATACAACACAAACCACCACAGTCCTCGAATCTGGCATCTCGACTCTTATCAACACCGAGACAACGACCGAGCAAGGACGTACCAGCGCCACAAAAAGCCACAGGTAACAAAACCGCTAACAAATGCATGACAAACGACGAGCATAAGAGCAGAGACTGTGCATTATCGCGTACGGCCCAGCGGATTCAACCCAACCGGCTTCCTCTGACTGGGATCAGAGAACTGCCCCGGGCTAGGCGATCGCCCACCTTGCAGTCTAGCACGCAGTCGATCCTGAGCAGATGAGGCCCTCTCCAGCGGCGACGAGGTAGACCCCGTAATGGACTGGTAGGACCCGGATCTTGAACCTGGAGCCGGCCTCGTGCTTACAGGATTCAGCGACGACGCCGACATGGAAGGCGAATGAGAAGAAGAGATAGAGGAAGCCTGACTGGGAAGTGACTGGTTCGACCCGGGATGTCCACGCCCTCGTCGCAAGCTGGAGGTTTGGGTAGGAGGTGCGGTGCCACCTGAGTCTCCCCACAGATCTCCGAGGCCGCCGCCCCGCCCTGAGGACATGGATGAGGAGGGGGAGACGGTGGATGTTGCGATTGTTCGTTGAGGCGCGTGCGAGCGCTCTTTAGGATTTGGCGGAAGCCATTGAGGAAAAGGCTGGCCCTTTTCGATGTAGTATGCGCGGAGGACGTTGGAGATGTGGGAGCAGTCTTCGTTATCCGGGTCGTCTGCTTCGTCGCCGGAGGTGATTGCTCTGCGGAGGGAGTTGAATCGGGTACCGAGATTTGAGATAGCCGAGGAGGAAGTTATAGACGAGAAATAGGAAGACATCTTGTCTGATGATTAGGTAGAACAGGTTGTGGGCGGAAATGTCTAAGAAGAAGGTTGGACGATCCACGGTGAATGGCGAGGCTCCTGTTTCAAGTCTCTGCACGTGATCGAGAAGCTCTATACAACATGTTTATCCTTTTTTTCAGATCAAATCAATGCACATTGAAAGAGGCGCTCACACTAATAACAATCATGTCCCACCTGCAGAGTCATGAAGAGGTAGCTATGTATATGCAACTGCTGGGTATGGTATGCCCAATGACAACGGCAGCGAACCAACTCAAAGAAAACCGAATAACGCCGAGCAAACACATTTAAGTCAAAGCCTTGCTTTTCTGTTACCCGTAGTCTACCCGCCGAAGGCCTATCAAGCCTTCTAAGCAAGAATGTTCTCCTTTCCGGCACCTTCAGTCTCATACTCGATCTCAACCCGGGGACCCTTCTTGCGGGGCTTCGGAGCGGGAGCAGTGAACTTCCTCTTGGAGCCAGGCTTCGGCTTCTTCTGCTCTTCTTCATCTTCGGAATCGCTCGCCTCATCGCTGTCCTCCTCGTCCTCATCGGAATAATCACTCGAGTCCGCAGACTCGCCACCGAGCCAATCCTCAAGATCTTCCAGATCCTCATCCTCCTCAAGGTCACTAACGTATTCAACCTCTCCAACACCCTCCTCCTCTTCTTCATCAAGCTCTTCCCCATCATCCATATCCTCATCGCGCTCACCCTCCCCAGACCTCTCTAGACCACGGAGCACCTTCTTCCAGATCCCCTCCTCAACATTCAATGGCCGGTCTCCATAAGCACCACTCCTCAACCTCTCAATAAGCTCCCTCTCAATCGCCCTCTCAACCTTGGCCGCCGACTCAGCCTTGCGCTCTCTCGTCTCCTCTCTCCGCCTAATCTTCGGCGCCAGTTTTGGCACAATCCTCTCACCCAGTCTCTCCTCCTCGCGTGCAAGCTTCTTCATCCGAATTGCCACCTGTGTCAGCCGTGTAAGACGCTGCTTGCACTTGTGGATCAGGAACTTGGGCCAGTAGATGAGCCGTGAGTCCACCTGCTCAAGGGCCTTGGCGTAGTTTGACGACAGACGGACTCGCTCCCAGAGCTTGCTGGGCATATGAGCGCGTTCGATTGTCTTCATGTAGAGATACATAGCGCCGGTCTCGGGATCGGACCGGATGGTGGCGTAGCGCGAATTTGCCAGTGGGCAGGATTGGCGATTGCAGAGGCCGGTCACGTTGTACTCATTGCGGCAGAAATTTTGGCCCTTGGTAGTTCTATAGAGTTGATACTATGGTTAGCCGGTTTTTTTTTTTTATAATGGAAGCGAGAAATGATCAAGTTGAACAACGTTGAGGGAAGAAAGCTGCTGGTATGGTACTCACTTGAGTTTATAAGAGCAGAATTGCTGGTTGATAACCTGCCAGACGATCTCGTCGGAAGACATATTGGCAAATAGCAGACTAGACCGACTTAACCAGAAAAACAATCCAACAGGGTTGGGGTAGTTATGTTCTTTGTCGAGGTGTTGCGGAAGCTGTCTGATTTTGGCCGCTAAGAGAAAAAAATGTTTCCGCCGAAAAAGGTCACGTGCTAACAAGTATTCTTATCGATAAGCCCCAGGAACAAATCCAGCCCCAATGATTGGAATACCAAATCTGGATGCGCAGGTGGTCGTAGTCGCCTTAGGGTTCCTCAGGAGTGTTGTCTTCATTAGGGTCATCAATATCTATCTAATAATGCGAGTTATGTCGTACCATTTCATCTAAGCCCCTTCCATTTGCAGCATGCCATCCCATTCTGTTCCGTTCGTTGCAGCCAGTTCGGCTTCTTCGGCCATTCCATTCAGGAGCTCGTCTCCGACGTAGCCCCACCCCATTGCTTCCAATTCTCGAACGAAAAAGTCTCGCTCTTCATCCTTGATTGCCGTACTGTCCTCGCCTCCCATTACATGCTTGTATCGCCGTAGATGCCACCAGTGAGTCAAACCACGGAGTGCCTGTTCCAAAGGCAGGGCTTCCTCGATTTCGGCATCGATGTCTGAGCCGGCTAGCCAGTCGTCCCGGAGTTCAGGGCGACAGTATAAGTAAATGGCCGTGATAACACGCATATTTCCCTGACGCCACTTGCGACCACAGTAGGGGACTTGTGATTTAAAGAGCTTGAGCGTGTAGAAGCGGAGATGAGGGTCGGGAATCTTCAGGCCTTTGCGAAGGATGGTACTAGACTTGTACTGGACCAAGAGGAGGCAGCGATGAGCTTTGTCGCGAGTGATTTTCTGCATGATGTGGAGGTAGTTGATGGCCGAGAAGAAGTTGCGGAAGGAGAATGTTGTGATGGGTTCATTAGGTGGTGGCGCCGTGGGGTAACCTAGTTCGTCGACCTCGGGTCGATGCGGACCTTCAGCGAATGCTTGAGCGGCTTCATCGAGAGGACCCGCGCCGGGCTGGTTGGGAACCGGCTCTTGTCTATGTCGAGAAATAGGGGGAGGGACTGCCTCATCCTCGCTGTCTTCCAAGTCCGTCGAAATATCCGGGGGTTGTTCCGAATGTATATGACAGAAATGGAAGAAACTAGGAGCGGTCAGTTGGTGTAAGAAGCTAGTCAGGTGTTTACATACCCTAACTCATCACGGTCCGTTCGTTGCGCCACCGCTTGGTCAACATCTTGATGCGCAAACATCTTCAGTATTAAAGGCAGATAGTTTGAATCGAGTAGAAGCTGTGTCATGTACTCGAATTTCAGAATGTCTATGGTTGATTAGTAGAAAATTTAGCAATTAAGAGACACTGAAACCTACGAGATCTCTTAAACCACTTGATCAAGAGCAAAAGAGATCCAGAGATGGCCTTCCCCGTGATCTCGCGTAGACGGATGTTGTCGAGTTCATCAATAGCAGCGTCACAGTTCAGATCCTCAAGGTCGTGAGTGAAGCTGGGTGCAACACCATTGGCGCCATTAAAACTTTCACTAAGGATATCGTTAGTGTCGAATGCGTGGTTGGAAGCAATGCCCTAGTATACCTTGTGGCACCACCATTTTGTCCATTACTCTGGTTGTTAACCAAGGCACTCACGTTCGTCAAGACAATCTTCAAGAAGACAATGACGACTGATTGGAGATGTACAAGAGCGTGGGTCTATAAATACTGGTAAGAAGAGATGCCATCGTAACGACGGGGAGAAACTCACATAGAAATCCTCAACGGCTTCCAATCGTTTCTGGATATCCTCGTTATTGGTTTCCTTTTCAACTGGCACGTCGGCTTTGCGTTGTTGCTCCCGCTGTAAAACGAGATCCTGCAACTTCTCGGCTATATCATCGCTGGTCCCCTCTGCGCCAGCAGCTGGATCACCCTCCGCATGCCAACCGCGGTCGTACTTCATGAAACACTCACGCTCCTCCCAAAGCTGCGTCAATGCCCTTGTCATTTTGACATGAGTTGAAAACAGCCTTCCGGCTTCGATGATAGACGCGGGAACATCACTCCCTTCCCACCTTTTCCCAACAAGCATGTCTTGTAGCTCCGTTGTACCTTTGCCTCCGAGGTCATTGCTGGAGTTATCCAGCGGTGGGTACATGAAAGGAAAGTTCTGATTTGTCTGATAGTTTTGCTTTTTTCCTGCCTTTCCGCCTGGGCCGATGGGGGAAGGCGGAGGTGATGGAGCAGGTGTTGCAATGTGAACTGACTGGTGTAGAATAGAACCATTCCCGCCAGCTACAGAAGGCCCAACCCCGGAAAAGAGACCGTTGGAGGAGTAAGACCTGCTGGGGTGCTGGGGTAAAGGAGGAAGGATGGAGTTATTTTCTAGTTCTAGAGGAATCACAGGTGGAGGCGGGTTGTACGCAGGGTATTTAGACGTGACCTCCTGTCGGAAATTGTGATAATCGAGGGGAGATGCGGTAAGAAAAGGTGTTCTCCTTGTTGGATCATTCTCCCCGGCATCGAAGGCTGGCTCCAATTCTTCCTTGGCTTGCTTTAGGCTGTCGCTATCTCCAAAGAAGAGAAGTATACACTTCCAAAACAGGAGAATGATCCTCGTAAGGGGGACGTTGGCCGAGTCATCCCATCGCAAACGAGCGATAATCTCAACCAGGAATACCATCAGGCCCGGCTCTAACGCCATGATGCCATCTTTCAGCGGAGTGTGCTTGCGGTCTTGAGCTTCTTGCTTGCGGGCCACCTCGACTATCATGTAAAATGCTGTCAAGACCAGGTTCGCCTCCCGCTCAGTAGCCGCGAGAGATGCAGGATTGGTCTTCTCGGGTGTGGTGGCCCCGAGTTCGGATGTCGTAGAGACACGAGCTTTTTCAAATGCCCGTAATAAGCACCCATATAATGATTGCAGCCCCACGCACTCCTGGACGAGGTAAGTGTTTTTCTCTATCCATAGAAGCTGCAAAGATTTGGACTTCACGGTCTCTGCAGCGCCCGAGGTGAAGCCATTAGGGAAATCTGGTGCGCTCTTTCCAGCAGTTGTGCCCCACAATCCAGTAACAGCGTAGCAGACAGTTTCCAGAGCCTCGATGCGAATCGTGATCTCACTATCCTGCGTATTATCAAGTACCTCGGTCAGGAAAGACTTTTGCATTTCCTTTGGGGCGTCAAGCCATGAGGTACGAGGAGAAAGAGAAGGCTGACCTTCACAGAATAAGTTCCACAAGTGCTCAAACGAGGACTTCATCCCAAGGAGCATGGATCTATCGCACTCGCTGTACTGGAACCACTCTTCAATTTCTTCATGAAACGGCTGAGCATCTGCATATTCGAATGCATAGGCCGGCTGTTCAACCTTCGGCATTTCATGGACCAGCTGCCGTAGTTGAGCTAAGCTCAGCGAGTCCGTGGATGGCTCTGGATTGCGCTGAACAGGAGCCGGGGGTGGAGGCTGAAGAGGGGGGGGCGGGGCCGCCGCATTCCGACGCAGTTCAGGGCGCCTGGATGGCGTTGTTATTTGCTCTGAAGGCTTGCTCTTTGAAGAGCTCGAGTCCTGAGCAGCTTGCTCTTGTCGTATGCCTTCTGCGACTTCTTCCATCATCTGATCATCTGGAACGGGGTTGATGTCGGTTCCAGTTTGATCGACTTCATCTGCCTTGACAATGTGATGATACTGCATGGTAGGATCGAGTGAAGGCGGAGCCTCGTCCATCATGAGGTCCCTTGGGCGTAGTACGGATTAGGAAATGGTGGAGTTGATATCAACAATCCAATGGGATCAAGAAGAGGAATAGACAAACATCAAAATAAAGGAAATGAAGAATGTGTCCTGCAGATTCACATAAATCAAAAGAAGAAGAGAAACATAGGGTTATGATATTGTCAATCCGCCAAGGGTACAGAATGCATGGCGGATTGGCTAAATTGTTCAACGTGAGATGAAGCCTTCCCCGGCTTTGCTGTCGATCGGCGGGCGAGATCGAGTCACGTGCAAGGCACCGTGCTTACTAAGCGAATTGATGCAGACCCCAAGCCTCCACCCTCCACCCCATCTTTATCGACCACTTGGATCTACGGAGTCTCAACGGGGTTTCTCCTTGCCAGGCCAGACTTTTTCATCATCTCCTGTTGTCTATTTAAATCTTACTTAATTAACTCAGTCCCTTCAGAACTATCTCCCCAGTATATCTTTGTTCATTGATAGCTCTGAGGTCGCTGGCTGGGCCATGATGAGTAGCGCTGAAAGTTGGGGGATAGATGAACTCATGAGCCCTCTTACACCCCTGCCTCCGCCCTCATCTGCTGTCCATTGATGAACTCACAGCGGCCAAACAGTTTCTCCCAATAGACTGCTTTTTCTGCATCAGTCTTGGCGTTCTTGTCGCCATCCTTGCTGACTGTGACTAGTTCTGAACCGTAAGGGCCACCGAACAATTGGATGGAAAGCTCATCAAACCAATCCTGTCCCGAGGTAGCCGTCGAGTACGCAGGCCGCCATAACCCAGTTCCATTGGTGCTTTCTCCAGGGCTGGCATTGTTCACGAATTCAATGATCGTCTTGCTGAAATCCTGAGCCAATGCAATATGTGGCTCTGAGTTATCAGTACCGCCACCTAGGTGATGATTATTGAAGAGGTACGGTATATCACTCAAATGCGCCACACGCCACATTGGCACGCCCATGGCCTCCCAGACCGGAATGTACAAAGTCTGATTGAACTCGTACAATCGGATTTGTGACGGCTTTCCGGGCCCATACCGGAGATATAGCCATGTGAACTCGAGGGCTGTGCAGGTAAACCAGATATCGCGGCTCATTTGCGCGGCTCGGTACCACTGCGGCGAGATTGGACCATCGTAATCGGCTCTAACCGAATGGACGAAATCCTCCAACGGATATAGCTCGAGCAGCTTTTGTTTCGTGTCATCGGAGAGATTGGATAGCCACAGCCCGAAACTTCCCAGGACTTCCTCGTCTGTCGACGTCGACGAGGGAACGTACCAAGCACCCTCATTTGTGACCCAGGATGCTATTATGGGAATACCTTTGGCGAACTTTCCGGCCCGCATCAGCTGGGATGGGCGATCTTGAAGGAAGTCATTGTCGATGGTAGGATAAAAAAACCCCTCGCCAAACGGTGGACGGGCAATGCGAGAGGCAGCAACCGAAAAATTGGTCAACCCTTCGAAGGGGATCTCGCGCAGACATCTCAAAGTTTGCAGGCCCTGATCATCGTCATCTTTGACGCAACCCACTTGTTTTGCAACAGTTGCCGTGTTGTTTGCAACCATGTCCGGGTGGCTGTTAAAGTTTACGCCTGGTCCTGCTGACATCATTCTAGACTCGATTAGTGACAGAAGAAAGAATCGGTGACAAGACTTACACTGCCTGTTGGAATGGGGCACCTTCAGCCCCTCCGAATGCGAGTAGTTGCAAGCCAATGTCGGACGATCCCACGCTTTGCCCAATGGCAGTAACTCAATGTGATCTCGTTAGAGAACTGCCGGCGAAGTTATGGATGATGGAGATTACCTTGATTAGGGTCACCACCGAATGACTCGATATTATCACGAACCCCTGATTGAAGCATTCGTAACTTGATATCAACTGTGTTGCAGGAATGTGCAGATGATACTTACATTCTAGGGCGGCACGTTGATCACGAAGCCCTGCATTTGTTTCTTTCCTCTCGACCAATTCTCTACTCGTTGCGAAACCGAATACTAAAGCATGATATCAACATGGATCGTTCCATAACCACGAATGGTCGTGTGCAAGTCTTACAGCCGAGGCGATAGTTGATCGCAACATAAATCAGTGGTGTCCCGTCAGTAGAGGCTTGCCCCACAAGACCATCGGGCTCATAAAGGATATCAGAGCCTGAACCAAGAGCATGGCCGCCTGTGCAACCCTTAGCCTTCTCCTCTATTAGATGACGATGGTTACGGACCTCCATGAAGCCACACTACAACCGGCAGCTGGGCGTTCTTCTGGGTACCCTTCGGTCTTGCAATCCGCAGGCTCAAACAATTCTCGCTGATATTGGTTACTCGGCTGGTGAATGGGAGTATATCCCCAGTTCCTTGCGGGCACCAGGCACCGGACTGTGTAGCATCAATGACGGAACCCTTTGCATGCTTGATCGGAACTGGCGGCGCAAATCGTCGCTTTCCCGTGGGTTCCTCCGCGTAGAATATATTCTGGAAATGCTCAACTGAGGCTGATCGACTACCAATGTACGTTATATCTCGGGCGGAATCGACAACTGTTGGTCGGGGAACGAGAAAGTCATTCAGTAACTGCTGGAAGTATACTGCGACAAGAGCCAACAGCAGGGCGACGCTGACTGCTGCGAGACGGCCGGCCATGTTGTCGCCGAAATGTTTGCCGTAAGCCTGGTCACAGTTTCGGTCTCCGAGAGATGAGGAGAAATGAGGTAATGAGGAGAGAGAGACGGATGAGTGGTACCTAGCGAGCGGGGTTGGGGGCTATTTTACGGTTGGCATAACTCAACGAGGCCTGCTATTCCTGGTTACAGTACAACCCGATCTTCATTCTTATACCTGTAGATCTTCAACGGCCCCTATACTAGGTACGCTTACGTTCGCTATAATCACGCTGCTGCTGCTATGCTGTCCAATCGCATTGTAGGCTTATCATCTCGAGTTGCCGTCCAGCTCCGGCGTTGCATTGCTTACGCCCGAGACGCCCGACACCGAGCCCGTTGCGTCTCTGATTCCTTAGAAAGTGCCTTATAGAAAGTGCCTTCAACATCAATCAATTGTTTCATATTGCACTTCAAACACTGCCTTGACGCCTATATCAGATTGGCAACACTCGTGCGAGCCATACTCATCCGTGAGCATCCACTTCCGAAGAGCTACCTAGGGCAAGCACTCACGTAAGGCGGCAACCAGTTTACAAGGTGCGTATTCGCTTTGATTTCATAGCTTGGCAAGGCAATCATTTCAACTTCCAATATACTAGACCTAGAGTGCGATGACACAGCGCGGCACCGAAGCATTACAGTGGCTCTCGGAAGAGTTGTTTCTCAGTGCTAACTGCCATCCATCTTATTGAATTGGATTGGCATCAGTCATAATTTATCGAATTATGCGCCAAAGAAAAAAAAAAAAAGAAAAAGAAAAAGAAAAAGAAGAAAAGAAAAGCCACTACGTTGGTGATGTATCTTATCTCAAGACTACTTACAATATAGTGTCCCATTAACGGGATAGAGCTAGGGCTGAGTATCAGATACCCTTTCTTTAGCACCATATCAACTCATTGGATAATCAATTATATCCACTGAATTGAATGCACCCTGTATGCTATCAAGCCTTGCACTCCGCAAAAGCGGCCGACTGCGAAAATCTACATGTTAAAGAGATGCTAGTGTGCTTCTGTCGGGTTATCTCTGTCAGATACTATAATATGTAGTATACATGCTCAAACCTCGCCTGCATTATTCAAAACACCGGTGGCGAAGCTCCCATCTTCATTTTCGATTTCTGCCACAGATAGAGCGAGTGTGAGGGCTGCTATCTTCAGAAGAGCGGAAAGGTAGAGTTGGAAGCGCGTCGCTGAGTAGCTGCTCGTATAGTCGCGAGATTGATATAGCTACAGTGGTTTGAAGCAGCGTCAACCGACAGAGAACGTAGGGCAACAACAAAACACCCAAATCGATAACCTGGACACCCTCGAGTATTTATGTTGGTATGTCGATTATGCAGACACCCGTTTGAAGCTACACAACCACAACCACATCCCCACCCATGACCCTGATCATGTTTACTCCATCCTACCATCTTGATTGGACGCTCGGAGGTTATCATGAATCTTGCTTGCAGCAGCCTGGACATATGTACCTCGATACACTCTCACAAGCTCAGTCCCCTCCACCACACTACCACCCGAACCCAACCCAGCTCCCGGCCGCCAAGGTCACATTCCAGAACAAGCATAGCACATCGCGCAGTATGGCCAGGTCCACGCCACACTAAACGATGCATGTATGCAGATAATACCATACCCTTGCCGATCCAGACCGCTCTCTGTATGTAGTCAGACTGCACCATGACATCGCTCTCCGGGGACTTGCCCTACCAGGACAGCCGGGGTATCCTTACTCCGATGGGAGGGGATACTCCGTCACCGTCACCTGCAACGCGAAGCCCGAGGTCTCGTGGCGAGGACAGCGAAAGGGGGAGTGACTGGCTGGTTGGAATTTGGTTTTGGGCCCAGATAAGGTTTTGTCCGAGGGTCGCTTTCTTATATTGGGGTTGTTCTGCACTTGGAGTTTGTTCTGGGGATTTTTGTTCTAACTCATCTCACCTCATCTACGACACCACTATATATGCCCGATAAAACGGCGAATTTACCACGCAAGGACGAGAATTAGGATACTTGCGAGTTTGAAGAACCTAACCTCCTAGCCATGTTCACAGCCTCCCGAAAACAAATCTACATTGCGCTTTCAAACCAAGATGACGACGAGGAGTCGCTCTTCGCGGGCCTGAGTCTGCCCTCAAAGTCAACGCTCTTCAGTAGCCTCTGCGTTGTCCTCGCTCTCCTCGCCTCCTTTATCGCTGGGACAATGTATACGCCGGCCCAATCATCTGGTTATAAATATGCACTTCACAGCAACGCAAACAGCGAAAGCGAGGAAGCGCCATCCCACCTGAACAGATTGGCGCACCGCATTCCGCTTCGCGCTATCGCTGGTGAGATTGTACCCAAGTCGCCCTGGTCGAGGGAGCCGGAGTCCAGGGTTCGCGAGGGGGAGGGGGTGTGGAGTGAGTTAATCCCTGGTATGGTTTCCTTTTTTTCTCTTTGTTCGCGAGGCTGAATGGGAGACAATACTAACGGCGCCCGTCGTCGCGAACACTAAAGCGGGGCTTGGCTATTTCACGGAATCGGTGGTGCCGAATGGGGATGACTCGACAGTGGTGATTCCGGCGGCGTTTCACCAGCTGCATTGTCTAAGGACTTTGCGGAGAGCCTACTATGCTCGGCGATGCGAGGATGGGACTGATGGCGGGAAGGCAGGAGAAGCTGCTGCTGTAGCACGGTGCTTTGATTATCTTGCTCAGAGCATTGTGTGTGAGGCGGATAGCACTGTTGAGCCGGTGCATTATGAGAGCGCGGGTGGGTTCCAGCGGCAGTGTTGGGATTTTGAGGCACTCACGGAGTATGTGCAGGACCGAAGGGTTTCGGGCGCAGAGGAGGCCTGATGATGAGAGAAGGGAGAAGAGGGCCTGAAGAGTGAGAAACTGGGATAACGCTTCATGAACCGAGAGACGAGACCATGGATAAGCGAAGTGATGTACTATTCGTTCCAGCAAATATGGGTATCCTAAATGGCAATGGCAATGGCAATAACAATCGCAAAGCAACGATCTAAGAGTACTGCATATCGCAACAAACGCATCCGTCAGTCAGCCTTGGACGACGAACGACCGCCGTTCTCGCTCCGCTTTGCTTTCCGCCGCGTCTCCCACCGCTGCCATCCAGCTTCGGCGAGATCTTCACTTACAACCAGGTCCCGTAGTCTGAAAAACCTCGCTGTCGAGTGATCCAACCCCCACTCAATCCAACCGTAGCTTCGCAGGAGCCCCGTAAACTGGAACCAGGCTAGAGCGAACACCACCCCAACAGCGCAGCCTGCGAGGACTTGGCGGGGGGTATGGTAGGTCAGGTAGATACGGCTGACGGCCACCGCAGTAGCAGCGAGTGCTATTCCCAGAGAGGCTATAGCTCTGGAAATCGGTCCCTGGTTGGCGGGGCTCGAAGACTGTCGAAATAGGAGGAAGAGGCCCATGTAGACGGCGAAGAAGGAGACGAATTGCGCGTGTGAGGAAGGCATGCCATAGCCTTTTCCAAACATTTCTATACAGCCGTTCGATTAGCCCGAGGTTCCAAAGTAGATAGTTTTCTTGATACATACGCTTCGGGCGCTCCTCTTTAATGATCCGCTTGAGGGCAAAGTTCAGGGCTTCACAGCCCAACTGTCCAGCAAACATCAGGCCCACCTCGACCTCTCGTGTTGCCCATACGAGGGTAACGTAAACAACACACAGTGCTTGAGGGACAAGGGCTAGCCAGGCGGATAGGTACGAAAGGTGGTCTTCGGGGTTCTATCCAGGCGCTCATGGTTAGCCAGCCTTGTTCTCTGGTTCTGCTCGGGTCCGAGTTGCGGACTCACATAGTGGACGTGCGTCAGAGATAACGATGCTAAAGGCTTCTCTTCTTCCATGTTTGCGTGATAGATATATCATAAGAATAAAGAATCTGAAGATATATGCCCAGCTCAGCAGTAGACAGCCCCGTCGGCTGTCGTCACTGCACTGCGGAGGGCTTGCGGAGATGTCATTGCGATAAGTAGTCCGGAGAGGGTTTGTCCGAGCCGAAGCGGTTGCCGTTTTAGTCCTGCCAAGACAGTAAGAGGTCAAAGCGGCGATAGAAATGAGGGGAAGTGGCGGCCTGAGGCCTGCAGCGATAACGCATTGATCGAGAAGAAGAAAAAAATTATGGCGATTCATGGATCTTCAAGATTATATTAAAGTCTAGAAATATCGTCAAGTGAGATTGCAACACGATGAAGGATCTGAGAGGATAATCTGCCATCCTGTTCACGACTGGGCACCAAAGACTGCCTGATGCCCATCTATACGTCCACCCCCACAATCCTCCCATCGTCGCATCTTCTTCTTCTCAGCTCTTCCGACTCCCATTAGTCTCTCTTCCTTTTCCTCCCTCTTCTTTTCGACCTGTATCTTGACTGCTCTCTTGAGTTCTGCATCGGCTTATCCTTCCCAACCTTCTTCCAGACGTATTCCGGGCCTAAAAACCATGACGCACTTTCTCTCTCCACGTCTGCATTCTACTTTCTCATTCCCATTCACACCAGCGTCCTCGGTTCCTTTCCAACTAGTCAGGCGGTTCTCATTGATTTCTCCCCGTTTCTCGCGGGCTGTTCGTATACCAAGTTTGCCGTCTCGAGTCGCAGCGTCACTACGTCCTTAATATCCCGATTCCTGATTCACACAAGACGCTCTGACCCACCTTTATACATTTCTTCACACTATTCGCCTCACTCTCCGCCACCGCAGGACTGTTTCTAGAAGTATTCGATTGAATAAATTTCGAATCTTTTTTTCCTATATTTTTTTTTTTTTCTGGAATCCACGGCTCGCTCCCGCCTCGCTCATCAAGTATATGACAAAGCATTATTTCGCCTTCCACCTACCAGTACTCGCCATTCTACAGAATACGAACGCAATAAGAGGGGGCAGATCTACGAAGTATAGAGGGACGATTTTCTTTTGGTATCAGCTTGGGTATATCTACATTATTGGAGTCTAATATGTTTGTACTGGTTGCTCATCGCTGATCAGCCCACCTCGCCACTCGCTGCTTTCGGCCCCAGCATCGTCAAGCACTCGCGATCCTCGACTACCGGTCCGTCCCTCTGGTCATGCGTGCCGTAATGGAGCCAGAGTCTCCTCTTGAAGATGAGCGATCGGAGGAGCTCTCATCTATTGCCGCAATATTTCCGGAAATCAATACCGATCCGTCGTCCCCCTATCGTGCCTCTTTGGGTATCCCGGTAAAGCCTACGGCGCCGTTGAATGTCTGCTTCTACCAGCACCCAGATGTCGGCTTCCCTGCGGTCCTCACGCCTCCGACCTCCCTCGATGCCAGTGAAGGTGGACTTGGATCGAAGGCCAAACTCGACGATGGTTCCACCGCGGATGCAGAGAAAGACGTGCATGTTCTTTCGCATCTACCGCCTCTCGGCCTTGAAATTGAACTGCCCGCGGGCTATCCTTCGGATAAACCTCCAATTTTCAAGATTAGTACGAATCCGCAATGGCTGCCTCTGTGGGCAGAGTCGAGGTTATTGGACGACGGCAAGCGTCTCTGGGAAGAAAGTGGCCGGTCTCTTGTTGTGTTCAGCTATATAGACCACCTTCAGCAATTAGCAGAAACGACGTTCGATATCGACGTTGATTCCGGTGGTGAAGTGCGACTTCCGCGTGAACTGAAGATTGCCCTACTGGACTTCAACAATAAGGCCGAGCGCGAGAAATTCGAGCAAGAAACCTTTGAGTGTGGAATCTGCCTGGAACCAAAGAAAGGAGCGAATTGCCATCGCCTGCTATCATGTTCGCACGTTTTCTGCGTACCCTGTCTACAAGACTTCTATAATACCTGCATTACAGAGGGAGACGTCGAAGGCGTAAAGTGCCTGGCTCCGGATTGCGGAAGAGAGCAACCTACACCTGGCATTACAAGCCAGAAGAGACGGCGCAAGCGAGATCGGACGCTGAGCCCATCGGAACTCCTGCAAATACCGTTGGAGCAAGAAACAGTTCAGCGATATGTCTTCTTGAAACGAAAGAAGAAGCTCGAAGCTGACAAGACCACCGTATATTGTCCGCGAAAATGGTGTCAAGGTGCTGCACGATCGAAGAAACATCCCAAACCCATTGATCCTATGGCGGATGACCTTGATGACTCGGATGAAGAAGAAGGCCTCGCGTTTGATCCTTTGGGGGAAGAGAGTCAATTACCACCCATGGCGGACCGTGTTGCTATCTGCGAAGACTGCAATTACGCATTCTGCTGCGTATGTAAGAAAGGCTGGCATGGAGAACTGGTACGGTGCTTTCCTAGACGAGAAGCAGAGCTATCAGCAGAAGAAAAGGCAACAGAGGAGTATCTCAAGTTATACACATCTGCGTGCCCAACGTGCGATGCCCCTTGCCAAAAACGCATGGGCTGCAATCACATGAAGTGTTTCAAATGCGACACTCACTTCTGCTATCTCTGCTCCAGCTGGCTCATGGAAGCAAACCCTTACCAGCATTTCAACGACCTTGCCAGCCCTTGTTTCAACCGACTTTGGGACCTGGAAGGTGGCGACGGCCTCAACCCCGAAGGCGCAGAAGCCCTACATCGCGTCCCGGATGATATCATCTTCGACGACAGCAGCGACGATGAAGAGATACCACCATGGGAAATGGACGAGGAAGAAAATGGGCCTCGAAATGGAAGACGGCCTCCTCCACCAGCTCCAATCCCACCCAGAGTTAATCAGGCTGGAGCCGGAAACCGCGCACTCGGCCGCAATGCCAATGGTCTCGACGCAGCTGTTCGTTCAGCTGCCGCAGAACGACAAGCCCAAGCTCGCGCAATGGCGGAGATTCGAGCAGGCAGGGACGCTGAACGCCCTGAACAGGCCGCTGCTCGCCGTGCCGGTCTTCAACGGTTCCTAGACCTCGTACAAAACGACCGAGAAGACGAGTGGGACAGCGATGAATTAGAAGAGGGCTTCTAATCTCTCTTCTTGCTCTTTACCTTCCATATGCATCACCTCACGTTCTACGATTGCTGCTTAGCGACTCACATCACACATATACCACTGCATCACACACATCGCATTGCATCTCATTAACAACAAAACTCACGATTTCACGACTCACATCATGACTGACTAAAAGATAAACGGGGCAACCCTTGATTCTGATGTATTTATGAAGGCTAGGGGCATGTATTTTCTTGTCTTTTGCATGTTGCACTCAGCGATTGCTTGCCAATCAATTTCTCTTCTTTTGCCCTACCATCTCGTTTCGCAGCGCCGTGATTGCTTTGAGAATCCTCGGAACTCATTTCCTTATCTTTCCTCCTGTACAAGATATCACAATGCTGTATTGTATTGGGATTGGTTGGTTGGGTTCCTCTGGCCCTGTCTTTTCTTATCTTTGGCTCTTTCTACCTAATACACAAGAAGAAGAGGGAAAGTGGGGACTGCATGTACAGCATAGTTGATTCTGTCCTCTTCAGCGGGTTGAGCTTCTGATTCAAAAATGCAATAGGTAGTTAGCCAGATAGTTTAGTTTGGATAGGCTTGCGCGTGGGTTGGACTTGCTAATATAAAACAGGGAGGGATGTTTATGTTTGCTCACAATGCTTATCCATTACTTGAAATATAGACTCGTTGCTTCACATGGTGGTGTCTTCTTGATATACTCGCATCATCCTTCTGCCTAGTCCCTAAGAGTAGATGAATGGGCTCAATCCATACTACACACCCTAGAAATAGCGCAATCTTCCATCAAAACGTTTCCCGAAATCACAAAAAGCCAACAACACAACGCCAGCAAACCCCGAAGCAAGCAAGTCAAAGAATTAAAAACTCATCTTCAGTCCAACCTACTCCACCACTACTACCATAACCACCAGCGCCGCCATTACTAGCCCCATGACCCCCCGCCTGCGCTCTCCCACCTACAGCATAACCACCTGAACCAAAAGCCGAATCCCACGTATACCAGAACTCATAGCTCATCACCGTATGGTCCTCAAACGTGAGGAAGAGCCGATACCGGCGTGAGGGGTTCCACCCGCGCCAGGGCTCTTCGGGCTGATATGCGCGTGTTGCGCGGGCGTGGCATTCGGGGAGGGTTAGGCGGGGTTGGGGACGGTTGTGAGGGTGGTTGTAGGAACGAGACTGAGGGTGAGGGTCAGGACTTCTCGGTTTGGGCCCCCGCGGGCTTCGTAAGCCCGGGCTCATGGTATGTGCAGTGTTGGTATTTGAAGCACCAGGCGTATTGGGTACATGCATATTCGAGTCCCTATACTGGAAACGGAGTTGTGCGTTGGCATCATCATCGGCAGCGTCCTGGCCGTCTCTTTGGATCCAAGCGACATCGGGCATAACCTCGAACCCCTGCATCGGGGCAACAGCCATTCCTAGCAGAGGGACAAGCGGTCGTTCACCGTACTTCTCCTGGCTCTCCAGCGGGACGATCCAATCGATGCGAAATGTAGGACCCGATGTTCGGGACTCGGTTAGGGCAATCACGGCGGCTCGGCCCTTCTGAGAGGCGGCGACGACGATGCCGTGCTCGGGGATGTACTGGACCATGTTGAAGCGGTCGAAGCCGCGGATTGAGGCGATGGGGTGGGTGAAGGGCTGGCGGAGGGGGCCACCGCAGACGACGGTGGGATTTGAGGCGAACGGGTGCGGAATTAGGCGGATGTCTGTGTGCGAGAAGTGGAGGATTGGGAAGGAGGAAGGGGTTGGGGCTAGAGTTTGAGTGGGTGGGTTAGCTTTGTTTCCCATACTTTGACGTTTCAGTGGTGATAGGGAGACGTACGGTCGAAGACGTGGTATGTGGCGGTTCCCGTTTCAAGTAGCTCCTCGCTGTCGGAGGGGTCGTCTGCGTCTGCATCTTCCATTCCCTCGTCCTGGAAGTAAGGGTCTTCTTCATCCGAATCATGGGCCAAGTTCTCACCGAGGAGTGCCTCGACTTCATAGACGTCACCACCGAGTGCTTCGAGGAGAGCAAACTGGAGGAATTCTGGCGTTGTCAGTGGCCCGTGGCCAGGAGGAATGGGAGTACCGGGGTCGTCATGTGCTTCGACCAGGGCGCGTATAAACTCGTTATGACTGGGAGCTTGCGTGCTACCTGTGTTGACACCCGAGTCAGAGGCGCTATCCTCACTCAAGCTGTCTGCGTGGAAGGACCCATTGACAGCTTGATGGCTGAAGGCGTCTGCGGACTCAGAGGGGCGCAAGTTCGGTATATTTGGAGTAGGTGCAGCTTGAGAATCACTTTTTGCTTGAGTGTCGCTGCCACTGATAAGACAGTCTGCTCCAAAAATATCAGGTAGGACCGTTTCCTCTTGCTCCGCTTTGACTGCAGGAGGGAAGTAGTTGTATACTCTTGACGCGTCAGGCACTCTACTGCTCAGTTTTGTTAGATCAAGAACGGCCTGTCCATCCCTTACACGCCTCTGCGGCTGGCCGCCACATGCTTCTTCCGTGGATTTGAGCAGATGAAAAGTCCGCGGGTCAAGGGCAATAACAGACCAGCCACGATCACTGCTAAACTAGTCAATACATGGCGATATACGCAAGACTGGATGAAACTTACTCATTGCGTAGTGTGTTTGGGAACGTCCTGAACGTGTCATCGTTGAAGTAATATATGTTGAATGGACCAAGACTATCCCAAACCTTCCAAACAAGGACTTTATTGTCAATATCCGTGCTGACCATCCACATCCCATTGGGGTCTAGGTCGCAGTTCAGGAAAGTGACGGACGGAATATTAGAAAAATGCCCTGTGTAGGTCAACTTGATATTCCGTGTGCGGTGCCTGTCCGGCATAAGCTGCCGTAGATGGCTAAATTGTTCACTGGACTTGATGTGTATCCAGGTGTGTCCATAGTCTGTGAACTCATCATCCCCATCGGGCTGTGGTACAACATCTTCACCGGCCCCTGGCACCGAACCCACGAGTGCGAAAGCGAAGACAGTAACAAGCCCCGTGTTGGCCGTCACTGCAATTAGTCGAGCGAACTTATGAATGGCGATGCCCCAAGCGCTGCTATCAACATATTCGAGAAAGAAAGGGTCCACATCGGCACCATCCAGAGGTTTGGTTTTCCCAGCTTCAGTAGCTCTTTTCAAGGACGAAAATATGGCTTCGACGCGATACCCGCATACATTTCCTGAATCTGTGACCAGGAGCAGGACTTCTTCGCGGCCGAGATCGTCCACAAGGATACTGTTGATATCATGGGGAAAACCGGGTTGGATGTACCCTTCACCACGGGGCTCTTTCATGACTGGCGTGATAATCATCTCCGGCTTGGGTCCTAGTGTCTGTAAGCCGCCCGCGGGTTCCCAGACATAGATTTGATGGCCGCAAGCGACGAAGAACAGGTTCCGTCGTCGGGAAAGTGCAGTCTGGATTTTTGTCAAAATGCTGATTCTACGTAGACCAGGACAAGGAAGTTACCAGATTACAGCGCCAACGAGAAATCCGTGGGCCGAGTGAATCATCTGCTCTGTTCCTGGTCAGTGCTTGCGCTTGCCAGGTGAGCGCAGCAAACATACATGGGGTACTGAGAAACATCAGTATATGAGCTATACTTCAGAACTCAAGAAGACAGGTAGAACGCATACTCACCCTTTCAGATCCTTTCTCGCAATTTAGCGCTCTAAGATGGAGTCCTTCACCGTAACGAGTCGTTGGGGCTGGCCCTCCTTGACTGCTGTCGTATGCCATCTTCCGTATATGTTAATCTTGGCCCGAGGTTCATCAGAGAAAGCAAAGCAAAAACATCCAGATATGGTACTAAGCCAAAAGTCTCCCGAATACGGACATGGAGGGTACTAGGTGATGTCGGAAGAGAGACACAATTATGGGGAATCCGGATGTCTATGCATCATATCCAAAATAGCATCGTTGAAAAGGGTGGTTGCAGCTGAGGGGCAAAACCTTCACACTCAAAATCATCTGATAGTAAGCATTTTCAGAATCGCAAGGCTGAGTAGCTGAAGAAAGAGCCTCATTTGAACACTATTTCGACGCCCATATCATCAAGTTGTTGTACAGAACAACCTTCCATGAAGTCACCCACAGCATGAGCCTTGCTGCCTCAGGCTTAAGCTCACGTGCCACATCCAGATCCCCACTAATTTTTCTGCCCATAATTACCGCTCACGGGGAAACCCAATCCTCAGCGAGAACTTCAGTCTCCCTTCTTCACCTTCTCCGTTCACCATCATCCTCATCCTGTCCATCATCATCATCCTGTAAATAAAGTACTTGCTTTCTGCTGATCTCGCCGCCAGTCCTGCCATTCCTGTGTTTTCATAGGACTCTCTGATTTCACCTTGTTGACTTCAGATTGGGCATGAACTCGTGACCAGGCCGCATGAGCTCTTACCACTTTACTCTCATCTTCTTATGATCATCATTCTCCCAGTTTTTACGCGAGTCAGGGCTGCTCACTACTTTCAAAGCCCGGGTGGGAGGGCTACTCGATTCTTCGAGGGTTCTCTTTTTAATCCAGCGAATGTTGCAATAACGCAATGACTACCACTTCTCCAAACCCGCCCTGGGTCTTGAAGAAGAAGGTTCTTGTTTATGCATTCGATCTCGATGTTTTTTGTGTTACTCGCCTTAGTATTGACCATGATCAGACTGCAAACCAAGGATCTATCTCCCTTTTGATTACGGCAGATCTCGCTAACTTGAACGGCAGATCAAAGGTGCTGACTTTGAACATCCCTCTAGAAACAGTCGAAAAATGTGGATTGGCTCGGCGAAGCAACGACGACCTCTGTCCACCCCGTTTGGTCCCCATGCTCCCGGCACCTGTCACCAATGTTTCGGCCGTCTCAACACTGAGTCTGAGCCTCGGTACGACCGGCACTGTTCTTTGTCCATCTGACATGGAGTCTTTAAGCCCAGCCACACCAGGAGACTTGAACTTTCACTCATTTGCAAAAATCTGTCAATCCAAATTTCTCCGTGTACACTTTTCTGGACGACAATTCGTGAATAGTGAACTTGATCAGCTGCAAAGTTTTTCCTCTGCCCTACGACAAAGAAGACTCCAGACAGTGTCTTATAACCATGCTCGCCATGGCGTGGTCCAGAAAGACTGGCGTGTCTTTCGTCTGTCGCCCGATCCACCCCCATATTGTCAGGAGCCCGTTCCCGAGCAGGTGAATCAGGTAGATCCACCCCTGTATTCTGAATCTGAGCAGAATGTTGGAAAACGGCGCAGAGGTATCTTCTCATCTTAGCGGCTTATGTGCTCTATCGTGCAATAGCTCAATAATAGTCTAGACCCACGGTCAATCTCACCTGACGTTGAAGGACGCAAAAGACTGCTCCTTCCATCCCCTCACCAAATAGGCTCTCCGACCGAAGTGAACACGCCGAGTACTCTCCCCGTGTCACCATCATCGATTCGCCCAACTTACTTTACGCGTGCAATCTCTCCTGGGCACACAGAGTGCAAGAGACTTGCGCTTCTTGAACATGAGCTCCGTGGTGTTTCCGATGACATGATTCGCGAACTATTGATTCGATCGGGACGTCAACATCTGCTGGCCATACCAAAAGACGGAGACCGCAACCTGCCATGCGAGTTTGAGCAAGTCAGCTCCTCCGAGGTCGAGATGATTGAACGCCGGCTCAAACGATATATCGATAGTGCCGTGAGCGAGTGTCGTGATCAGATCTATGATGTGTACACAACGAACGAAGCCGAATTCCGTGAACAGGTCGACGATGGTAACTCCGAGGTACGCAATACAGCCACTGAATGTATGAATGAATTGAAAGAGCAGGCGCAAGGGCACATGCTTGAGATAGAAGAACAAGCGCAACAGTACATGAAGGATATCGAGGATCAGGGAATCGAGGTTGAGATGTCTGCGAAGAAAAAGCTCGGGCGATTATTCAATGCTTCTGCTCAGTCCTTACTTGATAGCAAGTCAAGCCCTAGCCATCAGCTAGGTACTGATGCCAGGCGCAGTTCCATTTAAACTCAGTAATCGGCTTATATATTTTGGAATTGTCGTTGTGTAGTTTAGTTAGATTCTAGGTAGGTGGGTAAATCCTATAAACCGGAAATACTAATATAATGATAATAACATATGCACTTAAATACCCATGCAATTGAAAATGGGATTGATGATGTATTTATCTATCTTACGATAGATAGTTGAAAGGAGAGAAACCATCTGCGAGCTCGACTATCGGGAGGAACCAACTACATCCACGTGACCAACATAACAGGACAAAGGCAGTCAACCTAGCACAGTACCACTTAGTAATAACAAATCCCCAAACTCAGTCGACAACAATAATGATGTCCACTTGGCCTTGATTACAACCACGGCTGGTACCTCTCTAAGGGCTGGACCGACGCTAGCACGAGCCAAAAAAGGAAGCCGCGTTACCGGCTCTAACCACCAACCGTAATATCTTGCACAAGCTTCAAACTTTCCCCGAAGACAGCAGAGCAACAATCCGAATCGCCATACTTTTCTCAACTCAAAACCCTGTCGAAGGCTAAATTGGCCTGGCGTTGTTAAAATCCTACCATTGACACCATACCTTCGGTGATTTCGTCTGCTGCGCCGCATTCTCGAACCCGACTCACACGACGGCCGAAACTTTCCACCCGCCACAATGGCAGAGCCACCAGCGAAGCGCGCACGTCGTGTTAATAGTTCGGCCATGTGGGATACGGAAGAACGCAGGACACGATCGCCAGAGGCAGACTCAGCAGTAGACAAGGCTTCTCGGCGTGATACTCACATCGAGGACGGACGACGAGACGGCCACCGCGAAGACAGGAGATATCGATCTCGGTCTAGGGATAGGCGAGAGAAGCGGAGAGAGCGAAGTAGGTCTACGGACTATAGAGACCGCGACCGCGACCGTGACAGCGACAGACGAGACCGGATTAGAGATGGACGGGATGCCAGAGCTCGCGATAGGAGCACTAGTCGGGACAGATATAGCGAGCGTCGAGGTATGTATTCCACGTTGTTGAGATTATCGAATGTTGATCTGACTTCCTGGTCAGGCTATCCTTCAAAAGGCGACAGATATCGCGACCGTTCTCGATCCCCTATGCGTAACGGTACTAGAGAAAGAGCATCACCACCCCGCGGCTCAAGGAGCGACCGAAGAAATGATCGCAGAGATTACCGTGATAACGCAAATGGTGTATCCGATTCCAAATCACGAGCGGATCGCGGAAGGGACGACATAAAGATGGACATTGATGACGCCAATGAGGAGGATGATATTGAGGTGCTCATGCGGCGCAGCTTGGGCTTCTCCAAATTCAGAAGCACCAAAAACACAAAGGTTCCGGGGAATAACATTTACGGCGTGCGCAAGGAGAAGAAGACAGAATACAGACAGTATATGAACCGCCAGGGAGGATTCAACAGACCTCTTAGCCCTTCTCGGTGAAAAGAAAGGCCCTCCATTTCCTTTTGCGCTCTTCGATACAACAGCACAATATGCTTGTCGCATTTTTACCATTACCCGGGCAATTTTTCTGGACCGTTTATGCATCGTCGGAGTTGGAGCAGCTGCTTTCTTTATTTTTGATCCTTTTCTACCACCTTTCTGTATTTTTTTAAAGCTTTCAGATACTCTCAAATTTATTGATTGGCCACAAGCCAGCCATTCTGGTGCTGACAATCTAAACTCGTCCTGACATATTCCAATACCTGCGAGAGAGGCATCGGTCCTACTCCGAAGCTGTCGAGGGAGCGGAAAGCACATGACCAAGTGACGTATTTGCATATTTATCACCGTTCCTGGCCAACCCTGGCCCTGCAACATTCAGCATAACTTCACGGTGGCTTCCTTTTCAAGAGTTCTCGGATCTCGGATCGAGCAGTACGGAAAGATGTCTGTATCAAGTGACCGTCGCGAGATTGTTATTATAGGTATGAAAGTTACATTCCCTCATGTTACCCAGCACAATAAAAGGACATAAGGAAAGACCTTTCTAACCTATATCTTGCAGGTGGTGGCATCATTGGATGTTGCTCTGCCTATTACCTAACACGACATCCCTCTTTTGATCCCTCCCGACACTCGGTAACTCTTATCGAGGCGTCTGATATCGCTGGAGGAGCTTCAGGCAAAGCGGGCGGCCTTCTAGCGTTGTGGGCGTATCCAAGCAATATCGTCCCACTGAGCTACAAGCTTCATGCCGACCTAGCCAAGGAACACAATGGCAAGGACAGGTGGGGGTATCGAGAAACCGGCTGCGCACAATTGGTCGCACGAGGTCGCCCGCTCCATGAGAAGAAAGACACGGAGGACAAAACTGGCAGTTCTCTTTCGCTCCAGAAACGCAGCGCGACAGCTATGGACAAATTAAAAAAGGCCAAATTGCCCAAGGAATTGGACTGGATCGAGCCGGAGTTGGTAAGAGGTTATGAAAGTATGAGCGACCCAGGCGAGACCGCACAGGTTCACCCTTACCTCTTCACAACTTCCATCGCGAAACTCGCGCAGGAAAAAGGAGCAAAGATTACATTGGGGTCTGTCACAAACATCAGCTACGATGAGGATGCTGTCAATTCAGTCACATACACGGATAAAGAGACTGGTCAACAGGAAACTATTCCCGCAACCGATGTCGTGGTAGCAGCTGGCCCATGGACGAGTGCTGTCTTGCCTGAAGCCCCAATTTCTGCCATGCGTGCCCATAGTGTTGTAATACGGCCGACAAGACCGCCAAGCGCACATACGCTGTTCACCAACATCGAAATCCCCGCAAACTTCGACCCTGCCACCCCCTCTCGCCCAACCGTGGCAACACCAGAGATTTACGCTCGCCCTGATGATACGGTGTATGCATGTGGTGAGGGAGACCAAGTTGTTCCTCTTCCAAGTACGACTGCCGATGTCGAGGTAGATCAACAGCGCTGCCAGGATATCATCAACCAGGTTGGATCCGTTTCCGATACGATTCGGGATGGCGAGGTCCTTGCGCGTCAGGCTTGCTATTTGCCAAACGTAAGCTCTCCGCGCGGTGGCCCATTAGTTGGACACACCGGTAGAAAGGGGCTTTACCTTGCTGCTGGCCATACTTGCTGGGGTATCCAGAATGCGCCTGGCACAGGTAAGCTGATCAGCGAGTTTGTGTTTGACGGACGGGCGAAGAGTGCCAACGTTGGATCTTTGGACCCGAGAAACTTCCTATAAAACATAATTGAGCATTGTACATAGGACAGCAGTCAATGCATCCTACGTTGGAGATCAAGTGTACGGACACTGTAAATAATGAACAAGCTAACTAGTATCTATGACGCACGGACCAAGCAAGATGCGGAGCCAGCTCCTGCTGATGCCAGATAAGAAAGTAGTATGTACTCCGCAACTCCCGCCGGCGAGCCAAAGCACAAGAGCTGTCTATCCATTGAGCTCCTGTACGCTGCTTTGTCAACTGATGAAGCTCATATTTCTTTGATTCTAATGTCTTGTTCATAATGCACCTCTCCGTCAAATCCCTCATTGCGACACCGCTGTTCTACGCGGCCGCGGTACTCGCTAGTCAAGTACCAGATGATGCTTCGATTCCCGCCCACGAGGCCGCAAAGGCCAGCAACCAGTCTCTTCTCTGGGGCCCATACAAGCCGAATTTATACTTTGGCGTTCGGCCTCGAATCCCGAACAGTTTCTTCGCCGGTTTGATGTGGGCGAAGGTGGACAACTATGCTACAGCTCAAGAAAGTATACATGCGAACCCCGGCTGTTAGAACTTACCGGTATTGCTCGATGCTAACTGCATAAAAGACTTTAGACACACATGCGAACAAAATGAAGGAATGGCAGGGTATGGCTGGGACGAGTACGACGTTCGAAAGGGCGGCCGCGAGACAATCCACGACGCCGGAAACTCAATAGATCTTACAATTGACTTCATCAAGGTCCCCGGAGGACAACATGGCGGCAGCTGGGCTGCCAGGGTGAAGGGTGTTCCTCGCGACGACGCCGCAGCTGATCAGCCAACGACTGTTGTTTTCCACGCTGGATTAGAGGGACTCGGCAGTTTGGCTGTGTCGACGGAGAGTGACGATCCTCGTGGTATAGAAGGTGATGTTACAATTAAGGGATATACGTCTGAGCTTGGTGATTTTACGATTGATGTGACCACGGGACCGACGAGTAACGAGCATCCTGAACATGACCATCCATCGTATGAGGATAAGCCGTTGGATCGGTCATTGGTGACTAGTCTGGCTGTGAAACCGGAGCATATCTGGCAAACAAAGAGTTAGTCCTACTGAGCTGAAGCATTCCTTGAAAATTATACTAATGGCAGTTAGTGCTCCTGTTCTCGCAGATGAAGAAAGCGGTGGATGAGGCTATTGCGAAATACGGCACTGATAACCCGCCTCCACCGGCCCAGGTCTATACAATCGACAATCAGCCTGGCGAGGGCAATCTTCACCTGGTGCAAAAAGTCTTCACTGGTGCTTTTGAGGTATGCAGTGCATTGGCCTCCATTGACTGCTCGCTTACAAGTGATAGTTTGATATCTTATTCTCTTCCGGTTCTTCTCAGCGGCCTCTTACTTGTGAGTAATTACCGCGTTTAAACGAGCGCACGCAATACTAATACGTTGTTGTTAGCTGAGGCACTTACTCGGGAGATTGAAAGTGCTTCTGTCTCCTTCTCCGAGAGATTTAAGAAGATCCTTGCGCCCCAGGCGCCTTTCAATTCTGAGGAGTACCTTGGCTTCTCCAAATCTATGCTCTCCAACCTCATCGGCGGTATTGGATTCTTCCATGGTACCGATGTCGTAGACCGATCGGCCGCACCCGAGTATGAGGAGGAAAACGAAGGTTTCTGGGAGGAGACCGAAGAAGCTAGGGGGCGGGCACAACCTGTCCTTGAAGGGCCAAAGGACCTCTTTACTTGTGTTCCATCTCGACCATTCTTCCCTCGCGGTTTCCTTTGGGATGAGGGATTTCACTTGATTCCGATCCTTGATTGGGATCCAGATCTTGCGTGCGTCCCCTCACCTGCCTTCTCGCTTGCGTGGTTGTAATATGGTCCAGACTGGCTGACCCCCACAGGCTTGAGATTGTGAAGAGCTGGATAAACCTCATGGATGAAGACGGCTGGATTGCTCGGGAGCAGATTCTAGGCGCTGAGGCACGCAGCAAAGTTCCGCCGGAGTTCACAGTCCAATATCCCCACTACGCTAATCCTCCGACTCTCTTCATGGTGCTCGAAGCTTTCATTGACAAACTCGGAACCAAGGGATCTGCTGAGAAATATGCAGCAGACAACCAAGGCCTACACTCGGTCTATCTGACGCAAACAGAGCTGGGAGAGTCGTTTATCCGTTCCATATACCCGCTGCTCAAAAAACATTACTTCTGGTACAGGTCGACTCAAGGTGGCGACATCAAGTCCTACGACCGTGAGGCGTTCTCCACAAAGGAAGCATACCGCTGGCGTGGGCGCTCTGTTCAGCACATCTTGACATCTGGATTGGATGACTATCCTCGTGCCCAACCGCCGCACCCCGGTGAGCTTCATGTCGATCTGATTAGCTGGATGGGAATGATGACCCGAGCTCTTCGCCGTATTGCTGAAGTTCTTGGGGAGGCGGAAGATGCCGAAGAGTTCAAGAAGTACGAGACCGCAATCGAGCGGAACATAGACGACCTTCACTGGGATACGGATGCTAAGACTTACTGCGATGCCACAATTGATGACTATGAAGAGTCTGTCCATGTCTGCCATAAGGGCTATGTGTCCCTCATGCCCTTCTTGACAGGCATGGTGACACCAGATAGTCCCCGCTTGGAGGCTATTCTGGATTTGATTGAGGACCCAGAAGAGCTCTGGAGCGATTACGGCATTCGGAGTCTCAGTAAGCAGGATGAGTTCTATGGCACTGCTGAGAATTACTGGAGGAGCCCTGTGTGGATCAACATCAACTACCTAGCGCTCAAGAATCTCTACGTACGTGCCTCCGCGAATTAGAGACTCAATCTAATGCTAACCAACTTCATAGGATACCGCACTCGCACCCGGTCCTCAGCAGGCCCGTGCACGGACAACATATTCTAAGCTACGAAAAAACCTGGTTGAGAACGTGTTCCGCGAGTGGAAGAAGACTGGGTTCGCCTGGGAACAGTACAACCCAGAATCAGGCAAAGGGCAGCGCACGCAGCATTTCACCGGCTGGACCAGTCTAGTCGTGAAGATGATGTCCATGCCCGACTTTCCCGCCAGCGAGAGGAAGGGCCACGATGAGCTATAAGCCACACAAACGAATTTTGTATAAAACCGACCGAGCGTCGATAGAAAATAAAGAAGAGCTTGTAGTGTATATCGTATCATCCCAGAGACCCAACGCCAACCCTGTGCTTGTGTACCTAAAGAGCAGAGCTCAGTGTCGTCCGCTGTAAGAATCATCATCTGGTCTGCGAGGACGATCGCCGTGACGTCTACTGCCTCGGTCTCTATCGCTCCGCTCCCTGCTTCTTGACCGTGAGCGTCTCCGGCGGTGTTCACGCTCGCGCTCTCGGTCTCGGTCAGGCTCCCGATCTCGCGACCTTGATCTCGATCTGTGTCTATGACTTCGATGGCTTCTATGACCTCGATCGCGGTCCTCCCGATGCCTATGTCTGCGCTCCCGATCCCGATCCCTATCAGCCCTGTGCTCTCGCTCTCGATCCCGTCTCGGACTCCTTGAACGCTGAAGCCTTCGCTTCCTTCCATCCTTGGACCGTTCTAAAGCCCCATTAGCCCTCACATACCTTCAACCCCCCAGCCTCAATCAAAACCAAGCATTACTAACCTTTGACTCCCTGCCCCTGCATTTCCATCTTATTCCCCTCGCCCTCCCCATATGTTCCACCCATCGGCACAAAGTTCGCATTCTGGGACGGTAAAGGCAGCCCCAGCGCCCGCGCCATAGCCTCTTCCTCCACAGCCTTAACCCTCTGCCTTTCCTCGCGCTCGAGCCTCGCCTTCTCCTCCGGATCCTCGTCGCCACGCGTATACCATTGTAAATCTTTATTCTGCTGCCATCGGCCGACAGGCGCCATAACCGAGTGGCCGAGGTAGTTTTCGCGGTGCGAGGAATCTTTTACGTCGGACCATTTGAAGTCGCCGCGACCGCCACTGGATAGATAGGGTGAGGTTAGTTGGAAGACTGTGGGGGAGAAGAACGGGGATACGCACCGGCTGCCTTCTTTGCGGACGCCTGCGACAAGATCCATTTTGGTCGCAGTTGGTTTGAATAAGAGCTGGTAGTCAAGGTGATTGAATGAGAGCGTGGACTCATGCAACTCCGTCTTTTGAATTACACAAGCCATCCGGACGAGTTGCAGCCTTCCTTGTCCAAATGTAGTCTAAACATTAAAGTTCCTGCCCTCGATTTCTTTATAGAGACGCCTCTATAGCTCAGTGGTAGAGCGCTTGACTTGTAGCTTAGCGTGACATCAAGAGGTCCGTGGTTCAATCCCGCGTGGAGGCACTTCTTTTCTTTTTGTCTCCTTTCAACATCCTAAGTATTACCTTCAAGTGTTCAGGGGTCGTTTGCCAATAATGTATACGCCTCTATAGCTCAGTGGTAGAGCGCTTGACGTATGTTTTCTCTTCTAACATTTGTATCAAAAATTTACTAACACATAACTAGTTGTATGCGACATCAAGAGGTCCGTGGTTCAATCCCGCGTGGAGGCAACTTTTTTTCTACCATATCACGTCTTCACGAAAGACCGCCGGCCGACCTTGATAAGGATCTATCCTCTCGTTTGGAACCTCTTTGAATTTAACAACCTTTCCCCCTCCATGTGCGTCTAAACGGCAGCAGTTCGGATAATACAATCCCTTTACAATCCTCTTGAGATCCTTCCAGGTACCTTGGCTAGCCACTTGGTTTTTTTTTCCCGAATAGTACGGAGTCCTGAGTTTCCATGGCTTACCAGGAAATCTTGTTCAATATAAGTGAAGAAATTATAGTAGCAGGCCACCCATTGTTAAGAGTTGGACAAAGAAATGTGGCTATTCAATATGGTACTAGCCGGAAAGTGGAGCAATGGCTGATATGGACGTGTATGAACATTAACGAGTACTATGTTACAGTGCTATCAGGGATGTCCCGCAGAAGGTGGCAGATATAGCCAGGAACGAATCTGAAGCCTGTGAGGTAACAGGAAAACTTTGCAAATTTCCATCTCGTAACCAAGCGTGCCTGTTAACAAGCTTGGAGATGATATGTATATCACTCCATAGTTTGGAATTACTCGACTTCTTGGACCCTTCCCTGTACTCTATGGGTAATATCTTTGTTCACAACACGTTATCTACAGGTGCTAATTATGGGAGTTTCAATATATACATATATGTATATATATATATGAGAGAGTGTGTGAATTCGGCCTGGGACTTCAAGCGGCAACTCAGTGAATAATCATTGCAATGTTCGGTTGTACTCCATGTTAAACGTGCCAGGTCTTCCCTGTATGGGCGAGATGATATAGAACATAGGCAAACTCATATCCTTTTCCACAAGTTTCAACGCAAGAGCCAAAACTTGAAGAGTTAGGAGAAATAATGCGGTGCTTTATGCATCCACGTAGCATAACAGGCGAGTGGCCCGTCCCGCTGAGCCTCAGCCCCAGTCGGGAATGATCGGCGGATTTAGGAAATATTTTAATAATTCGCAGGCGAAAAGTCGAACCCCTCATGCGACCGTTGTAACGCCAATTGAAACCCCGCAGTGCTACTACTGATTCCCTCAAGTCGTCACAAAGTTTTGTTACGTTTCAGATTCTGGACAACAAACATGGCGTCCTCCAATATGTCGCACCGGCAAACTCATAATTTACTGCTGATTTCGAAGCTGTTGAGTCTCCGAGATACCGCGTCACCATTAACGCTATTACTGGATTCCCTGGAGCAACCCGCCACACCACTGATCAAGGAATATATCCGACGTGCTCGGGTAGGTTGCTCAAAATCTACTGAGGGGTATTTTTTTTTTTTTGCTGATTTGAGATAGCTCTCGAAAGTCCACGTTACCCTCATTGCATTCGAAACCCTCAAGCCATTCGACGGCGTCGACGCCTTTATCCCCGCTCGACGAAAAAGCCCATCGGAGATACTCAAGGAAGTCGGAGCTGTTGACAATGCAGTCTCCTCAAACAGCCCTAATCGCAGTACGCAAATTTACCCCTCCACGGCTATGAGAATCTCGAATCCAATTAACCACTACCATCGATGCAGGACGACTCATTCTAATCGACTCAATAAACCCACTCCTCCACTCAACACGCCTCGACCAGACGTTTCACCTTTCTACATTCCTCAGCTCATTCATCGTACCTTCCGGCCCAGCTACCCCCAAAATCGACTCCTCTCTCGTAATCACCTTCCATCAAGATGTCCCCGGCCGGCCTGCGCAATCACCATACACACCACCACCCCTAACAATCTTAACGTACCTTGCGACAACAGTCATCAAGCTCCACTCCTTCTCACACATCCTCGCTCAAAAGGCTGCGCGAGACCGCAGTCTCGTCCCGCCCGTTTTCGGTTTGGCTGAGGAGCAGGACGGCGTCCTTCTCGGACGACTGGATAAACCGATTGGGAAGGATTCGGCGGAGGGTGGGGTCGTTCTGGAGATGGAGTATAGGCGGAAGAGTGGAAGGGGTGTGCTGGAGTGGTATCTCCTGCCCCCGGCGTCGAGGTATCCGGCTACTCAGGTTAAGGAGGTTGTGACGCTCTTGGATGATCATCCGCTTTATCGGCCGCCTGAGGAAGTTGGGGTTGCGGATGGGGAGGAGGAGCCGGAGTCTACATTTGAGCTGAGGCTTACGGAGAGGCAGCGCAGGGATCGGGAGGGGGTTGTATTGCCGTATTTCGATGCGCAGCAGGGGAGTGGACCTGGGGAGGGTGGCCGTATCTTGTATGATATGGGAGAAGAAGATGATTTTGATGAGGAAGAGGATGAGATTTGAACCACTGGCCTCACAACTATTGATTGACCCTGTATCATGGCGAGTCCAGCTCATCAGCCAACATTTGTTGGGCGTACAAATCGCAACGGTGACTCATGATGGGTGTCCTGCAGCCATCAAAGACATTACTATGCATACAGATTACGGACGGATATTATGTGACATCGCTAAGCCGGACAGGTTTAGGCGAAACGCCACCAAATAAGGAAGATGAAGATAAACCCAACGCCAGCGAATGGCCCATACTGCGAAAAAGTCAGCCTAGCCATGATCAGACTTCTTCGACAAACTCACCTGCTTCAACAGCAGCTCCCAATTAATGCGTACGGCGGCCTTCCTGTACTTCTTACTGTCTTCGCGCAGACGGCCGGACAGTTCGCCCATACGCTCCAAACTATCGCCTCGGTATAGCAGGTCTTCAATGTTTTTTGTCATCACCTTCGTTACGTCACGGAGCTCATCGTTAAGACGGCCGAGGTTGGCCGACGCTCGACTATCCTGGTATGTTTTCTTGCTGCGCTGGATGAATGTGTCGAATTCCACAAACGCATATGGTCGTAGGCTGGGGGACAGGTATTGCGACTCGGAATAGGTATTCGTGAATTCGGTTGCGATGTCTGAGAGATAGGTGAAGGCAAGTTTGCGGGGGTATGAGCGATCGCATATACAGAGGAAGCAGACGTCATTTTGAATGAGATAGCTATTTTGATCAACTTATCAGTATTGTTCGTCGTATGACCTGTGGAGTGAAATGGGCTTACTGTAGGTTATACTGGCCTGACTCAATGCTCGCTTGCGGTGCTGAGTTGCGGTTCAAGCGGCGGAAAATCATCTTGACTTGGCCTTTGATCTCCGAGAGCTCTGTTTCGGCCTATTGAGAGATGAGTGAATCGAGCACATTAGGTCAAAGGTAGAATAGACCCGAAAAGGCACCAGCTCACCTGTTCATCGTCTACAGACGCTGCCAGCATAAGGCCTGCCTTTCAACATTAGCTCTACTTTACTTCACCAACACAACCATCCATTGCGTCTCACCGTCAAGCCTGGAAATCTGAGTAGACCTGACCATCCTGGCAGCCGTTTATCGCACAATATCTAACCCTTCAAAAGTTCGTTGACAAAGCAGATTTTGTCTGCACTTCTCGTGATTTCGCTGGGTTGTTGTCCTGACCTCTTCTCCAAGAGCTCCACGTCAAGCGATAACAATGGCCCGCGGACCCAAGGCGGTCTCTACTGGCAGTTCAACATGCCAGCCAGCTAGGTACGCGTTACACTATCTACCTACATCAGTGGCTTGATTAATGTGATAGCCTATCCCATGTAAGAACTTGCTAGACTATTACGAACTAACGAATATGTGTCAGAACTTGTCAGCCTTCTTCCGCTGAAGCAGCTGAGCCGAGTGATGCGTCAAAACGGCTCTCCGCAATGGACTCGACAAAAGCCAACCCGAAGAGAAATCCTAGGAGAGCCGCGAAGGATCGATGGGAGGAAGAAAAGCTCTTGACGAGTGACAAGTCTCAGTTTATTGATTTACCTCTAGTGGTGAGCTATACAGCCCAAACGCATTGAGCCGGACTATGTGCCGATATGTCCTAGGGCAACAATGCTGATGCTCGTCATTGATTAGAAACTACTTGCTCTACCCGAAGCCTGGGAGTGTCTTGAAGAAGACGAGAAGAAACAAATCCTAGATTTACTCCCTGCCGACACACATCCCAACCCCCATCTACCACCAGACGATCCAAATGCGAAGATCCCTCCTCTTCCCGAGTCCTTCGTGCGCTACGGTGAACATTGGCGCGATGCTATCCGTCACTTCCAATTAGATCTACAGAATGGACGCTATGATCCCCAGTGGGTTCGCGAGGCTGAAGAGGCCGTGCAGCAGAGGGCTGCCGGCAAGTTTGACAAGTTCAAAGAGCAAGAATTCGAGGAGTTCTGGGGACAGAAGCAGAAGATGGATAGAACCCTAACTGCTGGACAGAGCTCGGCAGTCAAGTTGAGCACACTCATCGAGCATGGGGTTGTCCGGAAGGGCGATATCTGGAAATGGTCCCGATCGTTTTCGAGGCCAAAAACGTTGGTTGAAAAAGAGGCTAGGGTATATTCCATCATCCCGCTTGACGCAAAGCCGTACTGACATATTCTCCAGATAATTGACATTGATGGCCATTCATTAACATTTGCTATCCCTCCGGGCCAGCGTGTCTTTCTCAATGCAGCACCGGCCCCGGATGAGACAAAAGCAGCTATAGTCGACGAGCCGGAATCGTCTCCAAAAGCGCCACCAATCCCCCCAATCAGTGACTGTTTTATGGTAGAAAAGGACGAAGCTTTAGACACAAAAGACGAACCGGAGGCTCCGCCATCGAGGAAACGAAGCGCTGAACCCGAAACCGAACCTCCTGCTAAAAGACCCCGGGAGCGCCCACCCAAGCAGCCACGGGCCACCGCAAAAAGCAAAGCTAATATTGCAGTTCAAACCATCAATCTCGACCCTGAAGGCGAACAAAGCCCCGCTATGCCACACGGCGAGGATCACGATGAACCAGCTCCGGAACTCCAGAACGGTAACCAAGAGCCCGCCGATGAAGTGATGACGGATCTCAATTCTGCAGAAAATGCAAACCATGAAGAATTGCCATCACCGTCCACGATAAATGGAGAGTCTGAAGAAATAATCGTCCCCAATATAACCCTCCCAACAGGACTAACATTGAAGATGTTGGAAGTCGACGGCCGCGTCAAACCTACCAACGGCAACGCCTGGAAAGAAATTCGATGTTTTAGAGATAACCAGGACATGGGCACCCTGTGGGAGGTCAGACAGGCCTGGTACGTGAAAACACAGATAAGATAAAGATTCGCCCGAGAACAAGAGAGACCAGAAGAGCATTTTTCACTCTATCTTTCCCTCTAGTTGTTCATCAACCCGCCTACATCTTATATTTTGCATTTTTCCCCTCTTGCATAGCCTAAAGCGTCTGAGCTACTTTCCTTGGAGCGAGCGGGTGAATCATCCATCATGGCCGTTGCTGGAATTTGAACCTTGTCAAACACTACCTACTCTACATTACCCGACCTGAACGATTCGCTGTTCTGTTGTACCGTTGTGTTGCATCAAAGGCCCCATTTACAGTCGGGTATTAAGGCATTATTTAGGTAGATAACTGGACAAGATATCTCAGAATGGATCATTATTAGTGCCAAAGGCCATATTCTCTTCCCTCGCAGCCCGGCTCTGCTCCGCGTCCGCGGCATAATCAACCGCAAAACTACACTGGATAAAATCCTCCAGCTCCTCACTAACAGTCTTTAGCTTCTCTTTGACACTCGCAACACCCTCTTGCCCAACAATATGCCTTGACGGCGGGTTCTCATGGCCCCCAATCGCCGTAATCGCGTAAACGGCCTCAGTAACCAGCACTTCCATGTGTGCGGAACTAAGCGGCGGATAGGTAGATATGAGATCTGGCACTGAGAAGGGGCCGTCTTCAGCGGACGTGGGTGTAGATGTGGGCTGACCTGAAGTCGGATTCTGGTTTGGATTCGGGTTCTCGGACCCATTTGCCCAGTTACTATTATTCTGCGTGTTTGGCAATCGGGGTACGAGGCGGTTGAGAATTCCTCGGAAGAGAGGCGCGGGGTTGATTCCTGGCGAGTAGGCTGGCACTATGGGCGGGACACTTGTGACGAGGTTGGTTAGAATGGGGATCTCGATGCTGCATTGGAAAATGGTGAGTTTTATGTTGAAGGGAGCGATTTCGTAGGCGAGGCTCTGTATAAGTTTCATGTGAGTATAGGTGATAGGAAATCGCTGTCGATGTGTTGACTTACATCGCAGAACCCTTCAAGCGCCCACCCTGCAGCGCAATACATCCCGAGCCCGGGAGTGCCGATGTGAGCAGCTGTGGCTTGTTAGGACGCATTCATCAAATAAGAAGGACACTGGCATACTGATTCCAGACACGATCATGACGTGTCCCGACTTCTGTCTCCGCATATGAGGCAGCGATGCCTTTATGATATTGAGTGGACCGAAGTAATTGATTTCGAACTGGTCTCGGACAAGATTCAGTGTCTGCTGAGAAGCTGCAAGCTCTTCCACTGTACCAATGAGAGCTGGAGATTGTTGATCAACATATATTCTGTCGAACAAGGTGCAACATAGAGTTTACCTTGACTGGTACAGCAGAGCAGAATGTCCATTCTCCCGAACGTCGCAACGGCTTCCGCAACTACTGCTTGACATTCACCCACTATTCTGCAGAGTGACCGTCAGCTAAAGGCATTCCCGCGTGTCACAAGCCTAGTCTCGAGTGTCCGCACCTTATATCCAACGGAACAGCCTTGAATCTATCCACCCATCCATCGTCGCGGTGACTCTCGATCTCAGCCAAAAAGGCTTCAAACATGTCCCGGCGGACCTCATCACGATCAAGAGTTGAGTATGCAAGACCGACCAAAGCACAGTCGCCATGTATGAGTATCTGTCGCGCAACCGAAATGCCAATGGGCGAATCCCCCGCGGTGATCACCCATACTCGAGGTCCCTTATGGGACGGGAATTGCGGGCGGGAGTAGTCGGGGGAGGGATTGTTCTCGGACATGAGGACAAGGGTGGCATTCAAGAGGCTAGCATATCCATTGCGCAGGAGGACACGCCCTGCGATTCGACTCCGAACAGCTGCTTTGTTGCGGACTTTCGGCAGGACGTGAAGCTGTCATTCCACAGGGGTCCCAGACTAGCCTCGCCGCGCCCAGCGGGAAAACTGCCGGGCGTCTGGACCGCCGTTGGCCGGGGCTAGTTTGGTCCGTCAAGCCGGAAGAGCACCCCACGACTCCAACTGCTTGCGCCATTTGTCCGTGCGTGGCCTCTTCTTTTCCTCCCGTTTGCTCATTCCCGCCGCGTTTCGACAATTGGGTTCATCATGCCTGAGCAGCGGCAACAGAGAGATGAGGGAGAGCAAGGCGTGCGTATACCCTTCGCTGTTGACAATGCTTACATCACTGACGTCTACCTTGCTAGTCCCTCATGAAATCTATCATACAGGGTGCGGCCATCTTCCTCGTGTCGCAGTGGGCTATCGGCCAGTTCTTCGGAAACAAGCAGAGCGCTGGATCTGGGTCTGGCGGGAAGCTGGGTGCCATTCCTGGCTTCGAAGACCGCACTCCCCGCGCTGAGATCGAAAGTTACAGCTCGATCCCGGACACGATCGCCCCCATCTGGCCGCCCAATAGCGACTTAGATATCAGCATCTACGTTTCTCCATCAATTGTGCTGCCTTCGCTCAAGTCGCTTCCTGCCGGCTCTCTTGTTTTGGAAGAGAAGAAATTCGGTCTTGGAAATTACAGTGATGTCAGGGAGGTTGACACCACCATCCAGGTGCCCAAGGAGGTCCAGCAGAATGGAACTCTCTGGGCGCACTTCTTGGTCGGACTGAGTGGACATCAACTGGATCCTACTGCCAAGGATTACAGCACCGATAGCGCTGTTCATTTCTTCCGGCCCCTCAATCAGTATCTGCCCAAGAGGAAGACCAAGAAGCTCAAAAAACTGCTCGCTTCTGATGAAGTCGAGGAGGAAGAAGACGACGGACTTCCCGATGTCTCAGTGGCGTCCTACTACCATCCCAATTTTACTGTCTCGGTGATTCCGGACTCTGCCAATATGAAGTACCGTCAGATTCACCCTGCTATTCGACGCCACACCCAGCTTGAGGCAACTGGTGCAAGAGACGCTTCGGGCCAGAATGGCTGGTACTATCCAATTGTCTACCTGAACACTTTCTGGCAGTTGAAGACACACATGCAGGAACTGAACTCCACTGTTGAAACTCTCCCTCTACGATTTACGCTGAACAACCTTCAGAACTGGAAGTTCTCCATGATCGCCAGTATCGATGACAATGCCAAGCAGACTGCTAAACAGGCTGCTTACGGACAGTCTACCCCGGGTGGTGGCGATGGCAGCGAGTTCGAGATGATCAAGGAAGTGCTCTTGGATACCAACATCTGGTTGCTCGGAACTACTGGGGTGGTCACAATATTGCACATGATCTTCGAAACTCTGGCCTTCAAGAACGACATCGTGAGTACATATTAACTTGCCTACTAATCGTGCGCTAACCTTCGCCCCCCTCAATAGTCTCACTGGCGCAAGAAAAAGGACGTTGTTGGAACCTCGGTTCGCACTATCCTCGCCAATGTCTTCATGCAGGGTGTCATCTTCCTGTACCTGGTGGATAACAGTGAGAACACTTCTTGGATGATTCTTGCCAGTCAAGGTTTTGGTATTGTTTTGGAAGCCTGGAAGATTACCAAAACTGTCGACGTCCGCCTGCGGCCTCCTCCAGCCAACTCGCTCCTCTCCTTCCTGCCTTATGTGATCGTATTTGAAGACAAGCACAAACTCACTGAGACTGAGAAGAAGACCCAGGAGTACGATGAGATTGCCTTCCGTTATCTCTACATCATCGCTGTGCCTCTCCTCGGCGCCTACGCCGTTTACAGCTTGATGTACAACACCCACAAATCGTGGTACTCTTATATCATTGAAACCCTTGTGGGCAGCGTGTATGCTTATGGTTTCTTGATGATGGTTCCTAGTTTGTATATTAACTACCGCTTGAAGGTTCGTACCTACCACCTACACAGCTTGACATGCGGCTAACAGGATGGTCCAGTCTGTTGCTCATATGCCTGGCAAAGCTATGACATACAAGTTCCTCAACACATTCATCGATGATCTTTTCGCGTTCACCGTCAAGATGCCCTGGCTCCACAGACTGGCAACCCTCCGTGACGATGTCATTTTCTTCATCTGGCTCTACCAGAGCTACAAGTACAAGGTTGACTATACCCGCGTTAACGAATTCGGACAGGGGGGCGACAGCGACGACGAGGAGGAGGGGGAGGAGGAGGAGGAGGCCAAGCCTGAGGGTGAGAAGCAGGCCGAAGACAAGGTTGAGACGGCCAAGGCGACCAAGGCGTCTGGTAAACAGGCCTCGCAGTCGTCGACCCGCAAGCGCAAGTGATCTTTCCTTTGCTTCCCTCGAACTCCGGCGTAGTTCTCTCTACACCGTTAACGTTGGCGATCGTCCTCACAGTCATCTGTTGGTTTCTATATATGGCCAGATAGTCTTTGATCGCAGATTGCGTCATCCCGCACTCATTTCGTGGAGTAGAAGAGTGCAGATTTTGAACAAGAGACGAGGCGGAGGAGAATACATATACATGCTCTTGTTTGATTTCTTGAACAGATGTAGGAATAAGTAGAAGATTCAAAGGAGCCCTCGACTCATGCTCCAGTATGTAGGGGACGATTATCGCTCCATTCGGTTAAGGCCGAGATCTGCCCGCAATCTCCCAAGCTTTAGAGCACCAGAACAACAACCATTAAGAACACTGCTCCATGGTTTCGGCGCTGATAACTAAAGAAAAGCTTGAGTCGCTTAGTAATGCGCCTGTGACTTCAACAACCGTGTTTCAACTAATTCAGCAGGATCGAACGTCGCGGTGGGTTGCGCAACTTGCGATTTGACGCGGCGCGTTTCTCGCCCGCACTTGTCCAGCCCATTATTGAGGATCCACGCCATACTTCTCCAGATCAGAATCGCGGATGCTGTAGTTCTCTTTTTACTTTCCCTATGACTCTGTGAGAATGTCTCTGGACGAGGAAATAGGTTGGTCGCTATTCCAGTCCAGCTCAGGCAGCTTCGCTAACGTGTGAACAGATGAAGTGCGGCCAAGCAACCTGCTAGATGCATTAAAGCACCTTGAAGCAGGTATGACCCTACCAGCCTATTAGTTGCGGATCAATAGCTAAGTGTCGACTCCAGTTGCCCTCGTGCCCGCCAGACAGCGCTATACAGACGCTGGACAGCTAGCGAAACAAATCGCCACGTTCGCGTACGAGGGCGGAGTGTCTCCCGCTGCGCTTGAGCGTCTGTTGAAGCTCCTTACGAGGAGTAATGCTTTAGATCAGGGAACTCTAACCACCCTGGTCAAGAACTTGTATCCATCTGAGAGAATCGCGTCTAAACTCGTCACGCAGGTCGTATGCTGTCTTGGCCCCACGAGGAACAAACCAAGTGCAGCGACCCAGGCGCTTTTGTTGCGATGGCTGATCCTCGTTTACGATCTTCTCGAAGATCGTTCTCACTTATCGAAGCTGTATGCAGTGCTATTCAACCATCTTGACATGCTCAGCTTGCGCAAACCGCTGTGCCACCTTCTCTCCTTTATAACGAGACGTAAGCATGTCAAGCCGTTCAGAATTCAGGCTCTGATGGAGCTTGTCGCTTCCTCTGGGGGGGATGATAGAGAGCTAATTTCCTTATTGAGAGTTTTCAAAAATTACTATCCGGATGTTATTGTGGGCGACCCTGGCAGGAAGGGCTTGTTCTTCAAGCATCCGGATCCCGAATGGGCAAGCCATGTGCGCCAGCTTCAGGAAGCGAATCTAGAGCATATCCAGGGGTCTCAGTCAACAAGTTTCCAAGTGGTGCACCGCGGGCTCGTGAAGAGGATTAAGGTGGAAACGATCGTTCCGGATGTGCAAACCTCGCGAGTTGCACATAACAGGACGTCATTGGAAGAGCTGCGCGGAGTTGATCATTTCATTGAGAGGCTTGAGAAGATTGAGCTGCCTAACCAGATCATCTCAATGATTGCGGATGGGCTGGCGCAGAAGTACATCTTTCTGGCCCAGCCTGAGCTTGCTAATCGGCGGCTGAATGACTGGTTGGAAAGCTTCTTGAGTGATCAGCTTGAGTATGCTCAAGGCTTTGATGACGAGGGTGTTGAAACGCTGGGTTATGTATTGGCCCTTGCTGTTAGTTACGCACGATACTCAAAGGTAAGATACACGGGCAGATTCTCTCTCTAAGCGTGCTAACGCTGGCTAGACAATCCCGGACGCGTTCATCTCGTTTCTAAAGTCCTATATACCAGTCTGGAACGGCGTTGACAACCGAGACCAAATACTTGAGCTGCTTGAATACCTTCCTATCAGCAATTATGACGTTCTACGAGCCGACATCCTAGCTCCTCTTGAAGCCGCATTTCTAGAGGATACAGCATCATCCAAAGCGGCCTTGCTCAATTTCTATTCATCTCTTATCCGCCAATGGGGTGTCAAATTGAGGGCAGCACCATTCACCTCGGAAAAATCACAGCCTCTTAGCCAGCTGATATCACACGCTGAACTTTTAGCCCTGGCTATCTTGGAAAGCCCGCCAGAGCAGCCGTCAGAACAGGACACAAACTACAGATCAAGCACCTTATCCGTGATAGCTTTCCACTTCATACTAGCAGACCTATTCTCCTATGCCTATCTAAACGGCAACATCCGAATCACCGTTCCCCTCGCTCCAACAGTCTACAGCCTTGTCTTCACCTCCATGAGCTCTGTCATCTCAGACATGAACTCCATCCTCGCAAGCTACAAATCTTCCTTCGAAGCGTCCATGACCTCCGAAGCCCTCCAGGGCTCAGAATCCTCGGATATGCTCTACTCGCAATCCCTCGTCGGCCAATTCAACGGTTACATAATGGACATTTGCAACCTCGTCTGGCGAAACCGCGCACTAAACGGCGAGGATCCCAACGCGCTAGGCTGTCTCATCCCGGTGGCAACAATCACCGCTCTCATGCAGTACATCCGTGACGTGAATGAGAGAAGTCGGAAACGAAATCGCGAGGCCGCGTTCTCGTATACGATTGCGTCAGTGTTTTCGTTGAGCCACCATGCCGCGCTGAGCAATATGTCTGCGTCTTGCTTTGCGGATCTCGAAAAGGACAGCGATCTTGCTGATGACAAGCCGAGGCTGAGAAAGCCGGTCACGCAGAAGGCGTTGAGCGCCTTGGAGAAGGATGGTGGGATCCAAATGACTTGGCAGGATTATAGAGTGCGCATGTTGGACTGGATGGAAGCGGCGGGCAGTAATGGGATTGCCGGATTGATGAGGACAACGATGAAGGCGCTGAGGAAGGAGTAAGGGAAGCGTGTCATCTGAACGTACTGGTGACACAATATATAAGTATCAATGAGTAAGACCGAGTCTTTCAAACTCTATGGTCTTCAAGAATCTAGATGCGCTAATGTACGCTTGACGGGGGTATTATACACAGGGTATGATGTTGTACACTTGCAGAAACAATGCTTCCAGTTCTCAGAACGTTTGTGTCGTGTTCAGATATATGTCACGGACGCTAGGCTCCTCATGGAGGGCCCCCAACAGGTCCTCAATATCTTGCGTCTGGGCCTCATCTTTCAGCTCAACCAATGTATCTTCATTGGGGGCCCAGATTATCTCCAGCTCCTCAATCGTCAATCCGACAGCCTTGCAAAGCGCCTCACCTACATCTTTCGTCTCAGTCGGCTCCGTGTAGACAACAACTCGCCCTTCTTCATCTGCCGTAATATCGGTGGCGCCCGCTTCAATAGCTTGGTCCAAGCACTCGTCCGCACTGACACCATCCTTCCTTTCAAAGACTACCTTTCCCTTTTTCTCAAACAGATATGCCGTCGGTGTAGCAGTGCCTCCAGCATCCTTAACAATGTGGCGCACATCCTGTAAACACCGGGCCTTGCTCTCCGTCTGGCATTCAATTACCGCTGCGACAGAATGTGGGAAGATCGCTTCGATTGTAACCGATTCCAGAGCTTCACCCGTGACACTCATGCCCTGGCCTCGAGCAATGGCTGCCTCGATGAGAGTTTTAGGGATTCCGGCGCGCTTCGCGTTTGCGAGGGCGAGCGCTAGACGGGGATTGAATTTGGGATCTGGGCCCCACACTATGCGGCGTTAGGAATGATGATGACTTGTCGAAAGAATACTATATTTTGCCTACTTTGTATAGAAGAGCTGATGGCCTTGGCCACAATCTGCCGCTCTTTGCTCTTCGCCTTGTCATTCTTTGCCTTGCCGTGCTTGATCTGCGACCACCGGTTGTGTCCCGCGGACCATGACGGGCAGCTTGTGAAACTGCGACATGTCTCCCGTCCAAATTTGCTAGCATTCGCGCGCTGCTGGACTAGCCTCCTGCTCACAATCGACGCCATTGCGAATGTTGTAATCGTACGATAATTTCAGACGAGAGCTTTCTCCTGTACCAAATGCGGAGCCGGACCGACGGTTTCTCCGCGGCCGCCCTCCCCCAGACTGACAGTGGACACGATTAAGGAGATCGCCAGCTGCCTTGTTCATAGATCTCTCGTCTTGATTCTAGCTCATTTATATTATCCAGGGCACCTCCGCATGGGTTGTATCCTCGGTGGTCAGTCGAAACCCGATGTCTTCAGCGGAAGTAGCCAGATCCTCCTCGGACAACAACAATACACCGAACAATGCGGCGGCCCCTCGTGCGGAGCTTGATATCACAAAGCTGCATGCGCTGCCCTCCGAACAGCAGGACCTCTACCTCCTAACTTTCACCTCCGACCTCGTGCAGCACATCTCGGCCCTCGACAAGGCGCAGGTATGCGCTCAGCAGAAATTCCTCAAGCAGGAGCTGTTCAAGGTCCTTACGCTCACATCCCCCGCTATCACGCGAGTTATCCGCAACAATCTCGGCCGGTGTTTTGGGGCTATTTTCACCAAGGGTGATCGAGGGATATTATTTGAGACGGTTACGGATTTGCTGGGGGTGTTGAATGCCGGGAAGAACGAGGCCGACCTTAGGACCAAGTTCGCTGCTGCTTATTGCTTGGGTGACGTCTTTGCTACTGCGGGGGAGAGTGTCTTTGCTCAGTCGGGAATCGTTGTCTCAAGCCTGCTGAAGCTCTTAAAGCCGTCGAGTAATCACACAGGATGTCGTGGGTCTGTCTTTTCTATTCTGCGCAAGGTAATCGGCGGTACTGGAGTCCCTGTGGATGAAGGAGCAGCGCGAGATATCTGGAAGCAGGCACGCAATGCTGCGACAAGTGACAAATCGACGTTTGTGCAGGTACACGCGTGTCGATGTCTCGAGCAATTGCTCCAGACGACTCCGTACTTCGATAACGCAAACGACTTTGAGACTCTCAAGGCAGTGGTATGGAAGGTCATCGATAGCCCGCTGGCGCCCGTCAGACATGCGATCGCTGCCTGCCTCGCGCGGGCATTGACGAAATTGCATGCGAAGGATGCTCGAGTTATGCCCGCTCCGAAGCCCAAGAAAGCGAAGAGACAGTCAAAAAAGCCAGGGCCTAGACCGGGAGAAGACGAGGATGAAGCCGAAGTCTCTGAGTCCTCGGTTCCTAAGAAATCAGAGGCCCGGTTGTACTTCCTGCTTCCTGATCTTCTCCGTCAACTCTCGTCGCAATATCTCCGAAGTACGACCTCTAACCGCGCCCGAGCGGGAATCGCCGTTTGCTATAAGCACGTCTTACGTATACTGGGGGATAAGATTGTTGAAGAGCGGTATGGACAGATTGCGAACCATCTATTGTTCGACCTCCTCAATCATCCCACGGTGACGTATAACCGGTTTCGGCTGCTCATGACGAGAAGAGTCGTTGGAAGCATCCTTGAGGAAACTGTCGGCCGCGACTCACTCCGGGAAAACAGTCAACTCACTGCAGCCAAATGGCTGATCAACGAGGTGCTAAAGGATTACCCGCAAGTCGTCCAGGAGCGCCCCGAGCCTAGCAAGTATACCCTTACTAGTGCTCTTAGTGCTCTAGCTTCGCTCATCTCGTCACTCGGGTCTGCGTTCGCTTCTCTGGCTGAAAGCTGCCGTGATGCATTGCTCCAGGTTCTCGCCCACCCCAGCTATACCGTCCAAATTCATGCCGCGCACTGTCTACGAACTTTTGTTCTTGCTTGCCCACATCAATTGCTATCATGCGTCACTATCTGTCTCAACAGTCTCAATAGAGAAGTCGCTCAGTTGTCAACTCCACGGCAATCACCGCGACGCTGTGTCGGTTACGCCAATGGAATGGCTGCAATGCTGAGTACATCTCGATTGCAACCGCTCTATGGTTCTGTGGAAATCTATTCCCGCGTCTTCACCCAAGCCACCGATCTTTTGAAAACAAGCAGCAACTCTGAGCTTCGGGCAGCCGGTACACAAATCCAAGTAGCATGGATTCTTATTGGAGGCTTGATGCCACTTGGACCTAGCTTTGTGAAAATCCACCTCTCTCAACTCATGCTTCTATGGAAGAACGCGCTACCCAAGCATCTAAGCCAAGAGAATTCGGCAAAAAAGAGCCTTTTGGAGACGAGTTTTTTAGCTCATGTCAGAGAATGTGCCCTTGGAGCCCTGCTCGCATTTATGGAGTTTAATGGTAAGATGATAACCGCGGATGGAGCGAGACGAATTGCCGCCATGCTGCAAAACACCGTTGAGTTTCTGGACGAGATCCCGCGGCAGAAGTCGGTAATGGATATATCACAGCGCCTGCACCCTTCGCTGCAGTTGCATGATATTGAGACCATGGTCCGGCGCCGTGTCCTTCAGTGCTTTGCCAAGCTTCTCTATGCGCACCCGCTCAGTCACGCAGATGTCATTTCTCAGTCTAGTCTTCTGAGTTTGGCGATTTCCTCCTTTGCCGACCCTGATGCTACGCAACCGAATCCGCTAGAGAGTTCGATTGCAGCGTCGACTGCACAGTTTGATAACCTCTGGGATTTGAGCGATAACTTCGGGTTCGGAGTTACGGGCCTGGCAAGGGATTATGTTCGCGCCACTTTCTCCGGTAAGCACGAGGGCGAAAGTGGCCCTGCCTGGTCTGCGCTTGAACCTGTGGACCGAGTCGTAGATGATGCTGTAAGTAAATCCCGGTAGCTTCGAGGAGTGGTAGTTAACAGGCACAGCTGAACTTCCCTATTTGTCAAGCCAGCGAACACGATTCTGTTCTGCTCTACTCTGCAAGACAGGGAGAACCTGTGTCCGCTGATCCACACTCTACTGGCGTTGTCAATTCCGCAATTGAATTATTCTCCGTGGCTCTTTCGCTACATGCGCCAAAGGTCCAGGAAAGCAGTGTTGAGCAGATCGCGACGTTCCTTTCTTCAACCGGTCTACAGCGCAACCCAGGACGCAAGGCAGCTATGATCGTCAATATATCTGTAGCATTACTCCACACTCTCAAGATCGCAGTGAGAGAAGGTGGCTCGTCGGCAGGGAAGCTAAGTCCCACGACGGAGAAAGTCTGCCAGGAGCTTATTCAGGTGTGTTTTGTTTCCTACTTCATAAGTTGAAGCTCCCTCTAATTATGCCAGAAATTCGTCACCGATCCTGATCCGATTGTCCGGACAGTTGGCGTGGAAACACTCGGACGTCTATGTGAGACTTCCGGAAACGCTTTCACTAATGCCCAAATAAACTGGCTCGTCGATACTATTGTCGAGAACAGAGAACCAAATGCTCGTGCTGGATGTGCCGCTGCATTGGGTTGCATTCATTCCCAAATCGGCGGCATGGCAGCTGGTCTGCACCTGAAGACAATTGTCGGCGTCCTGATGTCGCTCTGCAATGACCCTCACCCTGTCGTGCATTTCTGGGCACTAGGTGGTCTAGAAAGGGTAGCGAACTCCGCAGGCTTGACTTTCTCCCCATTTGTCTCGAGTACCCTCGGTATGCTAGCTCAGCTGTATAACTCAGACACCCATAACGAAGAGGCGGAAACCCTTGCGACGTCCAATATTGAGATGTCGTTCCTTACTCCTGTGGTAATTGGCCGTTGTGTTGATTCCCTGATCAATGTTCTTGGTCCAGATTTACAGGATATTGCCAAAACGCGAAATCTGATCCTCACGCTCCTCCGCCAGTTCCAGCTAGAAGAGAACCCGGCACTGATCACGGAGAGTTCAAGATGCTTAGATCACCTCTCGCTGTATGCACCGGGATACGTTGACTTCTCTGCATACGTGAAGCGCCTGCAGAATGAGCTTTCTGCTAGCGATCCGTCGATGAGGGACGTGGCCATTCGGGGCTTGACCAATCTGATGAAGCGAGATTCGGCCGCCGTAATCCAAGCAGCCTCTCCCACCCTAGAAGAAGAGATCTGGCTCGCATTTGATGACACACCCGATAATCCTATCTTGAAGAGCATGATCCGAGATTGGCTACAACAAACAGCTCTCACCGAAACGGAGCTGTGGATCCAACGCTGCCATAGTACACTGACAAAGACCCGTCTGAAAATTGAAGAACAGCTTCCTATCTCCGCATTGAAACCTACTGCCACTGACCTGCCGGATGACGAAGTTGCCGGGTTTGCGTCGGCAATTGCAGGCGCGGGCCAGGAAGATACTTCTGGCGATGCAGTCGCTGGTCAAGAGCTATTGAAATGGCAAACTCGAAACTTTGTCATGAGTTGCCTGAGTGAATTGCTGGATCTAGTTCAGGAGGCAATTCTGCCGGACCAGACGATTTCCGCTGAGCTGGCTCTCCAGCAGAAGGTCGGGGAGGTCGTGAGAATGGCGTTTTCAGCGTCCACTGCGAATGTGGTTGAGTTGCGTGTTTGGGGTCTTAAGATTCTTGATCAGATCTTGAAGGTATTTAGCCCTTTCGTCCCGTATCTTGTATGCTGTGTTGGTACCAATCGTGATTACAGATGTTTGGCAAGACGCCGGACCCAGATTTCGCAGAAGCTTCGCTTCTTGAACAATACCAGGCTCAGATCGGTTCAGCCCTTACACCAGCCTTCGCCGCAGATTCGTCACCAGAGCTTGCATCGGAAGCAATCAACGTCTCTGCCACATTCATTGCTACAGGGATAGTAACAAATGTAGAACGGATGGGCAGGATTCTGAAACTGCTAGTGCTTGGCCTCGAGAACTTCTCGGCAAAACCTGATACCACTGAGATTGGGGATCTCAAAGGTCTCAACTCGAATGCTAAGGTTATGGTCAAGATGGCCCTCTATGCGGCTTGGGCACGGCTTCAAATCGCAAGCATCGAGCACGAATATCTCAACGAGGTTGTCCAGCCGTATTTGTTGAAGCTTACCCCGTTGTGGTTGTCTTCTCTGCAGGAATATGCTCGACTCCGGTTTGAGCCGGATATTTCGGGCAGTCTGGGAACTGGACCGGAGAGTGGTGATTTGGATGAGGTTTATGCTGCTCTTAACCGGGAGACGCTTCTCAAGGTGCGACTCGGCAATTCAGGTTGTCTGCTGTGATACTAACGTGTGTGCAGTTCTATCAAGAGACCTGGTTGAGCCTTGTGAATGCTATTGCTGGGCTTGTAGAGAGGGATATCGACTTTGTCTTTGATGCTCTTGACGGCAAGACGCAGATTGAAGAATCTGAGAAGCCAAAAGAGGAGGAGGAAGATTCTCACAACGCAGAGCCCAAATCGGAGCCTAAAGGAAAAGGAGACGATATCAACTACCGCGACGAACCAGTTGCATTCTTCTTCGTGCTGTTTGGACTGGCTTTTGAAGCTCTTGTTGATCAGTCCACCTCAGCCTCTCAGAGGTTGGAGATTTTACAAGCGCTGAAGAGAATTTTGAGGCCAATTATCTCAGGAAACGCGATTTACCAAGATGCCATCTTTTCCGAGTCAATGGACACTTTCGATCGACTGGCCTTGACCGAAGGAACCGCTATCCAAAATGTGATTGTCGAGATCGCGCGGAATCTCGCGTTGGATCATCCCTCCGCCAAAGGTGGTGAAGACCGGAGCGACCATCTGTCCGATGATATTGAGCAGCTCTTTGAGTTAACAAGGAGCATCATTCTTGTCCTCGCCGGTCTGCTGCCTAATCTTCGAGAGTCAACTACTCTCGCACGCTTCAACGTGAGTTCAGACGACGCACTAGCGCTCATTCGCCTATCTCTCTCGTCTCTTGTCAACGTCGCATCTATATTCCCATCCATCATCCGAAACGACCTCAACGCATGCATACTACACATCTTTAGCACTATTCTCGCCACTGGCCTCTGCCAAGCAGAAGTTGTGCCTCAAGCCCTTCCAACATTCAAACACTTTACCCAAAGCATTAGCAACCAGCAAGACAGTCTAGAAAGCCAGAGTGTCGTGTCTCGGCAGCTCCGTGGCTGTCTCACGCGCTTCCTCACGACGCTCATGATCGCTCAGCGCCGAGAATCCGAATCATCCTTACCTTGTGCCAAAAACACTCTCCTGGCCATAACCATCCTCTTAACAACAGGCGGCCATCTTATCCCACCACACGATTATATACTTCCTCGGATTCTTAACGAATTTCTTGACTGCCTCCAAGACGTTGGTCTCGCCGGCGTCGCAGCAGGCTGCATCCGCTCAATACTCCTTTCACCGACTTCCAAGTCACCCACCGACGAGGTGATCGCCAGATACCTCACCCCGCGCCTCATCACCTTCCTCATAGGCATCCCGTCGGAGTCTGGAGACATCCCTAATGATCCCGAGAACTCGAGAACTGTCATTGCACGCACACTCGTTTCCTGTATTACAACGGCCAATACCCTCGCCGCGGAGGAAGCGCCTACGGCTATGTCCCTTGTCATGTCCTGCCTCCTCGCTCGGGCAAAACGCGAGGGCGAGTCCGTGCACAAGGAAACGGCGGTATACTTGCTCGAGCTTGCAAAGAGCAACCAGCAAATCTTCAGGGCGTTGGTGGCGTCCATGAACGTGGAACAAAAAGGTCTCCTTGAGGGCATTCTCCGCAGTGTCAACGTGGGTGCTGGCACTGGGGTGGATCACGAGGAAAGTACGCAGGCAGCTGGACAGCAGAGTATGCCCAGTATCGCCTTGAGGTTTGATCTGTAATGGCCTCTTCGCTTTTCTTATGTTTATACCATGATTAATTCATTATATATACATTCTTTTCCACTTTGGCCCCCATTGTTAGTCACCGAGGCTTGCTCCAGCCTAGTCTCGCTTATTTATCTAGACCGACTCTTTCCCTCAGAGCCTCATCGCGCACTTTTATTTCAACTTCAAGTCCAGAGCGTCAAACTTGCCAATGCCGAACCCTGCAGACCTTCCCCCAGAAATCTTCACTATCATACTCTCTTACGCCCTTGATGAAGATGTAAAAACCCAGAAGCTTCTCTCTCTCTCCCGCCTCAGCCGCGCCTGGTACACCTCGCTTACCCCCCGCATCTACTCCTCATGGACCTACAATGGCGCCCGCCAACCATTCCTTACACTATACAAGTTCCTCCTCACAATCCTTCGCGACCCACAGCTTGCCGCCGAAGTACAAACACTGCGACTGGGTAACTGGGGTTTCTATCCCAGTGCTGCTGCGCCGGCGTCGGAGCTTCAGTTTCCGGATGATGAGATTGAGCTCGTCCGTGGAGCTGTTCGGCACGCAGGCATTGCGCATCTGGAAGAGGAGATTTTAGCTTCTCTGAAGAGAAGGGATCGCAGGCCACTTGTCGCGCTGCTTCTGGTGTCTCTCCCGAAGTTGAGGCGTGTGTGGGCGCATGTTCCGCGGAGAGACCCCATACTAGGTGCTGTTCTGAAGAGGGTCATTAATCCCGGTCCTCCTCAACCCTCGTCAGCGCTGGCCGAGCTCAGCGAGCTATATATATGCCAGGAACCCCCCGTCCTCCCACCATGGGCTGATTCAGACTCCGAAGATGAGAACGAGGTCTCGAACTCCGGGAGCTGGGACTCTCTACAGCTTAACTACATCTGGCCTGTCTTCTACCATAAACCGCTACGCAAAATCTCGTTACTATATCTGGACACAAAGAACGCATCAGCCTGGCTGCCGGCGTCAGCAGACCGCGCCGCTAACGAACTTTCACATTTGGAGCATCTACATATTGTGGCGATTTGGAATTCCGTATGTGCGTACGACGATATCCATGCGCTGATATCTCAGCCGACAGCTCTGAAGAGTCTCACGCTGTCAATAAGAGATAACCCGTACAGCCACCGACGAAACGAGATCATCTCGAATGCCGAGCTCTGGAACTGTCTTCAACAACATCAGGAGACGCTCGAGTCCCTCGACGTCTGTCGAAGCAAGGGTATGCATCGTGATATTAACGGCCGCTTCGGTATGATTCGATCCTCATTTCGTAAACTCAAACACCTTGCTGCCCAAATCGAGATCCTCCTCGGCGGATGCTGCGGCGAGCCCAGAGCGCCCTTTCGGTTAAAGGATACAATCCCGACCTCGATCGAGTCTCTTACCCTGTACGGCGACGAAGGCTTCACAGTCCACACAGACCTAGCAGTGCAACTAAAGGAAATCGTCACCGGATCAGTGGACGACTTTACTTTTCCACATCTAACATCCATTGCCCTCGACGACTCTGATGTTCTCTACACAAATGACGGGATTAACATCAATCCTGTCTACCTGGATCTCGCCACCGCATGCAAAACCCGAGGCGTGAAACTCCGCATCGAGGAGACGTTTAATTCAATTGGTAGTATAAACTGCTACCATCGGCTTTGGGGTGAATCACTGTACATGCAGGAGGACGGTGAAGCACGCCACTCGGCGGCGTCAGAAACGCGAAAGAGGTTGCGAGATCCAGTTGAGCTCCTTCTAAAGGATGATGATGTTTATGCGGAAGAGATGAGACAACTTCACAGCAATAGTAATAACCGTGTCACCTCCAGTTTGCTTCCAGCAGACGACCCGGAGGTTATCCATACAATCCCTTTCAGTGATCAGAGAGGGGAAACAGCATATATGGTCTTCAAAAATGCAGCTTCAATCCCACTCCCGCCTCTCTTCTGCTTCGCAATCTACTTAGCCCATCCGCCCTCCAAAACCACACTTGAAAATGCAAGCATGCAATCCATTTACGAAGCCATCCACCCCTCGCAAAGCGATTTAGGGCATATCCGGTATGATATTTATCTTTTACCCGGTGCAACCCCCGAAGACTGCGTCGCGCATTACACCACCGAGAAGAAAGCCCGGGGAAGTTCGAAGGACCAGATTCGGGTCTTCAAGACCCTGACACCGGAGGAAGATCATGAACATCATCCTCCAGCACCGGCAGACCAGACACAGGCGCAGCAGAAAACCCCGGGAATGGTAAAGAAATACCCTTGCCTCGACGACGACTACCGATCCATCCTCTTCATCTCCACCAGACCAGCATCGGCATTGTCGTCATCATCCTGGAATGACGGAACGGGTATACTCCGTGTCGAGTTCGATCGGAAACAGACATCGGACAGACTCCAACTCCCACAGCCAGATGGAAGTGCCGTAGTACGGGGCCTCGAACAAGATGTTAGCATCACTCGTACTGATGCTCATATGAGCGGTAATACGCTGCCGCCTATCCGTATCACTCGTTGCCCCCTGGACCAGGAAGACCCGTCGTATGACTTTACGAGACGCGAGGGGCCCCATCCAGTCAGTGATACCATCTATGATGTGGCGAATGTGGTGCGTGATACGTATGCGGGGCCGTGGAATGAGGCAGGGAAGAAGGGGTGGACTTGTTGGCGGTGAGACCAGGGGGATCAGGTAAATAGTGATGTTGGGTAGGGTTTGTGGCTGTGTTTTGGGGAGTTCGTCGGGATTTACATGAATAGATAGATGGGCAGGTAGATAGGTCTATTTCCTTTGAACCCGGTATTTTTCTCTGTGGTCTCTGATGGTATCGTGTTCAGAAAAACAGTATAATGAAAAGTAAGCTATCGCTGATTCGAGATGTGATACAGGTGCTGAGAAGACAAATGAAATATATGCAAAGAAGAACGGTGTTTGCCATGGTAAGCCCATCGGGAAAGCCAAGTCTATAAACGGGAGAAGACAATATAATACATAAGGTTAGGAGTGGATTTCGAGGAGCGAATCAGCCCAGAGATTCGCTGAGATGCGCGACAGGAAGCGACTCTTGGGGAGTAGGGGTATGTTCCGAAGACGGACGAGGCTCAGGAGCTTCCTTGGGCGGTGCCTCTTTCTTTTTCTCGGCGCCGTTCTGGGATCTCTGGGTAGACGAGTAGCGCAGGAAGAGCAGAATCATGACTGTGAATTGTTAGCAGTCTCCTACTGCGGAAGATGTTACTGGGTGAGGGGGCAAGGGTACATACAAGCACTGATGGCGATTGCCAGAGCAGCTCTTCTTGTGAGAATCCACCTTAACCCTTCAATCTCGCTCTTGCTATCACTGTTTAGGGACACGGTGATCTTGTAGTTGAGTTCCTGCACCGAGGTATCGATACTCCGCTGGAGCTCGCGAACAGTCATCTTATGGTCGTTGAACATCCCCTTGATATCATCCTTCAACCCGGAGAGTTCTTGGTTCGTTCGCTGAGAGAGAATATCCGCCTCGTGCTCTAATGACGTCCTCGAGGCACGCTGCCTTTGGATTTCCGAGTTCCTCGCTGTTTGCAGACTGGACTGGAGTTCTGAGCAAGCTGCCTTGAACAGGTATGTCTCGTTCTCAACGTCAGACTTGGACGTGAGATTCTGGTTGGCGAAGTCGAGGTTATTCTGCAGAATCTTGCGAATGGCCTTCATGATCGTCTCGGACTGTTTATCTGAGAACCCGTTGTTGGCCAAGTCCCGGACGAGAGTATATGTATCAAAGTGGTGAACATAGGGCGGCGGGGCCATATGCGGGGTCGGGGTTGTTGGCGTCAGGTATGACGAGGGGGAGGGCATATGGAGGACACCTTCAAGAGGATTGCCATCTAACTTAGGGGCTGTAGTTTGTTCTTCGTGAATATGTTCTTCGGAGGCGGAAGAAGCTTGTTTGGTCTGGTGGACGATTTCCTGCACAGGTTCCTCCTCGTCAGGGTCTAGTTCGTCATCTTCATTCACACCCCGGCGCTCAGTGGATTGCGCCGGCTTTTCGGTATCGGGTTGTGGTTCGGACTGAGGTGCGGAGGAATCATTCTGTTCGCGGGGTTGCGGCTGCGGCTGCGGCTGAGTTTGTGAAATGGTCTGCGACTGCTCCGGTGTTGTGTCGCCCTCAACCTTTTTTTCTGATGGCGCATTCATCTGAAGTTGAGCTTGGGCCTGCCCTTGTTCCGATGCAGCCTCATCTTTTGGCCGATTTGGCGGAGGCATATTTGGATCTACGGCCGGACCATATCGCCTCTGGATTGTCCCTTGATTGTGCCGATGGCTGGTGTGAAACCGAGCCTGAGAAGCATGACTCCGAGGCGGCGGGCGGGCATTCGGTGACGCAACCCGCATCGAGCGATACGTGGAGGGTTCGCATGATTTGACTGCGCGCATCAGATTGGGGTAGAGGAAGGGAAGCCGTGGAGACGCCATGATGAGGAATTGGCGCTGATGGTCAAGGGGGAGAAGGGAATAGGAAAGGTAAGATGTTTGTGAGGTGGAAGTGAAGCAATCGAATACGACCTTTTTTCCCGCGGCCAACTGTCGCCGACTCGCCGACTCGCCGAGAACGTGACGTGACGTGACGTAAGCGGTGAAGCTCCCCCGAGGAAATTCAATTGTAGTCTCATCTATACAGATCATTGGGGATGTGGATATTAATGGGTTAAGGATTCTATTATGTACATAGACTATGCGGTTTAAACCGCTAATAGGCCGAATAACAGCCTCGTCCGGTGCCAGTATTCCTGCGCCCGCCGATCCATGGTCTTTGCTGAGAGTTCCGTTTCCGGGCCGAAGCTACCCCGGAGCTTCACTCCAACTTCTTGTAATGGATTCGGTTGCCCCTTTTTCGTCGAGGCGGAGCTCAGGAAGACGCTGTCAAAGTACAGTTGAGCTTTGAGGTCTTGCAAATATGTCTGGTTTGCGATTTCCTGGGATGAGTCGTCTCCGTTTTGAGGTGCTTCCTCAGTTTCTGGCGTATCTGCATCGACGGGAACCTTTAGTTCCTCGAGGAAGGAGGAAAGCCGCTCCGACAGCTCCTTCTGAAGAGAAGCCCGAAGAACTTCCACAGTAGATGTATCCCAGAGGCCAGGGCCATGTCGGTCCATAGACTGTACTAGCCTGCGCAAATATTTGAACACGGCCGGTGAGGGCTGAATCGGAAGTTCGGGGTCACCTTCCCAGAGTGTCCTCCCAGGTATCAGCCTAGACTCGGGATTCGAGAGGGCCAGCGGCCGAGTATCTGCAATGACATTCGTCGCAAGGATTTCTTGTAACCTAGGAATAATGTCGTTTGAAAATCCGGGTTTGCTTGGTATGCATTCGTGTGGAAGGTCCCTTCGAACCAGTCGAATACTCTTCAGCATGAACGCCGCTTTCTCCCCAAGATTTGAGCTTCCAAGAGACTTGGACGTGTCGCTCAAGGCGGCCTGCAGCCCATCAAACGATTGTATCACAGCAGCCTTGAGGGCGTCCCATAGGAGCTGTCTATCGTCTTCGTTTAGGATTGCCGCGACGTCAATGTCAATATCCTCATCTGTGGCTTCATCAATAACGTCAGGCCAGCGAACTTCTCGCAGAGCCTCAATAGTTTCCCGAAGAGTCTCAATCGATGAAAGCCAGTTTTTATGACCATCCAAGACAGCCGACACGTCTTCATCACGGCCAAGCAGCCGATCTGTAATGCCTTTTTTGAAGGCGGCTGCACCGTTGGAGTAATCGAGAGAGACCAGTTCAGGATCCCAGAGTGACCGAGTACTACTGTGCACTCTCCCGTCCCAGTCGGAGACAACCGATGCAACGGCCTTCCCGAAGGCATCCAACGCCTTGGCTTTGTCGGATAGTATGTCCGTCAGGCGGCCGTTGAATATAGTCCGTATCCCTTCTAATACCTGCAATGCTGAATGGGTAGGTGTAGAGCTCCATGAGGTGAGCCAAATCTCCAAGGTTTCTTTCCGAAGTTGCAGTAACTGGGGAAAATCCGCCCATTCGGCAAGGCTGGATTGACCGCGGCGCACAAACTCGATGAAAGCGTTCGTCGACCACTTCTTGATAGTTCTCTCTGCATCCTGCTTGGATAGTTCGGTAACCTTGATCCACGGGGTGAAATTGATCACATCCGCCGCCACCCAGCGGCCTAATACATCAAGTGAGAGATCATCAATGTTGCGAACCTCAGGGTCACTGAAAAGAGGCCGAGACTTTAGCTTGTTCAACACGTCAGCGAGACGCCGAGAGAGGAGGATCTTGGAAACTTGGAGAGTCTGGACATAGAGACGCAAAGCTAACAATATATTCTCTTTCGAAGTTTTGGCAAGCTCCAGGTGACTTCCTATAACATCCAAGCGGATCTTGTGATAGTACGCGACGGCATCATCTGATGAGGAACTTGTCGCTAAGCAATATGCAGCCAGGGCTTCGATAACCTCGTCGATAGAAGACTTGGCGCTCGCAAGGCGTTTATTGATTCGGTTTCGAAGGCCGCTCCGAAGGTTCGCAAGCTGATTGTGCAAAGTTTCAAGGAACGGCGGCGCGGGTTTCTGTTCCGAGAGCGTTTTATGCAAAGGGCGAGAGATGACAAGTAGCTTTGCGATCAATAAGGGGGAGCCACGCTTCCGTAACATCTTGGATATCAGTACCGAGCACCGGTGAAGTAGCGCAAGCTGAGCTCCGAGGGCACGCTTAGCAGCATCTACGGCTATAAGTTTATGCCCAGTATTTCGAGATAGAAACATACCCTGATCCGTGGTTTCTCCGCTTATTTGATTGAAATGCGCATACTTCTTTCCCAACAGCCGTGGGTTGCACCGTCGTCCGATTTCCGATAAGGTCGTGTCCACATCCTGGATTTCACGGTTCATAGCAACAATTGTTTCCGCGGTGCCAACGAGCTCTCGATATCGCGTACTACCGCCATTCATGTTAGTTGATGTACCAATAATTCACACTTGAGCGCAACATACCCGACAAGCGCCCGGAGCTTCTCCTTATTGCTTGCAATGTCCCGGCGGAGCTCCTGCTCCACGCGACGTACGGAGGGAATTGGGTACTGAAAAGCATCCTGCCATGACTTCAGACTCTGTGGATCTGGGCCGTCAGAGGCCATGGTTGAAGGAAGGCAGGATGCCAAGGGCAAGACCGGTAGGCCACCGAGGAATGTAATGAACAGGTATCCAGTGAGCGAGTGCCTGAGGCACAGTTGGCATCCCAGAGCAGGACTAGTCCTTATCGGGAAATTATTATCTTGACTCATGCAAAAAAGTCCCCGTAGACATCTAGATTCACATTTTCAACCTTTTAAGTCTTCTATCTCTTATTCGAGCCTCGGCGTTACAGCCGATACCGCAAGCAAATGCCTCTCATTGAATTCGACGAGGCTGGTCCGTCAACGGAGCAGCTGCAAAGACTACCTTTCCCCCCAGTCACCTACTCGCATATCCTCCACTGCTCCTATGACTACTGGCAACCTCGGTATGGTCACACTGTTCGCCGCAATCTCAGCAACTGCTAACATACTCTGCAGATACCGTACACTAGTTCCAAAATCACGAATCATTCCCTTGTCCGCCCTCTTCGTCTCCTACCTCCGCGCCGACGGCATTGTCCTCCCACCAGAAGCTACCCCGCCAACGGACGATGACAATCTCGATACCTTCTCCGATGACACTGACGCAGAGGAAGAGTCAGACCCATCCAAAGAATGGGCTGACATCCACGCCCAAATCAAATCCACAATCGCCGAGTTCGGCGGCAAAGTCACACCCAAGCTGAACTGGAGCGCACCAAAGGACGCCACCTGGATGTCCGCAACAAACGATATGCAATGCCGGACCCCGAATGACATCTACCTCCTCCTCAAAAGCAGTGATTTCATCACGCATGACCTCGAACATCCCTTTGACGACTGCGTCCCTGATACAAGCTACTCCCCTACTCCGACGCCCAGTCCCCCGCAGGTACAATACAACCTCGTCCTCCGCAAATACGTCAACTTCAACCCTTCCCTTGAGTTCCGATGCTTTGTTCGCAACAAAGTTCTGTTATGTATCTGCCAGCGCGACCAGAACCATTTCGACTTCCTCTTTCCGATGCGCGACTCTCTCCGCTCCCGCATCCAGGACTTTTTCGATGATAAACTCAAGGATACTTTTCCGGAGTCGAGTTTCGTGTTTGACGTCTACATTCCACCGCCTCATCAGCGTATCTGGTTGATCGACATTAACCCTTGGGCTGAGCGTACAGATTCTCTCCTGTTTAGTTGGCTCGAGATCCTGCGAATGAAAGACCCCATCGGAATTCATGAGGAGAACGACAGTAGCGCGGAAGAGCAATTCGTTCGACTCTCACTCAATGGACATACCGGGAATGGTCACTCGCCAGATGGGCCTGCGGATCAAGCATCTGAGTCAGAAGATGAAGACGATAAGGAGGACATTGACGACGCACCCTTACTACCGGAACTCCGACTCGTGAAGCGTGACGACCCGGAAGCATATGCGTTTACTACACCCCAGTACTCGGCGCACAAGCTGCCGAAGGAGGTTGTTGACGCGTCCATATCCGGACCAGGCGGGATGAGTGAGTTTCTCGGGCAGTGGCAGGACATTCTGGCACGACAGGCGCAGGAATCAGATACGGAAAGTGACCAATGATTTACTTGATATGATTACGCATGAGATACATTGTTACTGGAGTAGGCGGCTCTCGGCGTTTCGAGTTATTAGCAGAGATAAAAGTTGGTGTTGAGGATTCGGGTTAGCACACTTTAGACTGAGAATTGAATGTCAAATCCGTTATGTTCAAACAAATTTGAGGACTGAAACATGCCCTTATATACAACAACAGTTTTCCATCCATCTAAAGCTTATGTTTCTTCTCCCCCGTCGCCAACTTTCTGAACTCCTCTTGCGGAATACCCAACAGGAACCTCTCCAGGCCCGCAAACGCCTCAATCGTATTCTGCTTATCCATAATCTCCCTCCCCGGTCGGCGAATCAACTCCTTAATTCTCAACAACGAGGACTGGCTGAGATGCGATCCCATCCGATCCTCAACCTCCTCAATAACCTTTTTCAGGAACCCAGCGGAATCATCCGCCTTCCCGCTGTCGGCCTTGAGAACCTTGTTCACGAACCCGGCTGCTACCAGCTCGTCGCAGGTTATCCGCTTGCTCTGAATAAGCGCTTCATTTGCTTTGGCGATGCCCAGGCGCTCGACGAAGGCCGAGGAGGCGCCGCCCTCGGCGACGAGGCCGAGCGAGGAGAACGGGGTCAGGATGAAGGTGTGGGGCGCGGCGTAGACGAAATCGGCCATTGCGACAAGGGCCGCAGAGAGGCCTACAGCGGGGCCGTTTAGGGCTGCGACGAGAATCTTGCTGTGGTGGCTGAAGGTGTGTGTGATGTCGATGTTGTTTGTGACAAAGTTGCGGACGAGTTCGCGGCGGACGTTCGTGCCGAGGCCGGCCCCAGGGCGGGTGGAGGTTACGTCTGCTCCTCTATATTTATATTCTTTGGTTAGGTGGGACTGAGAAAAGAAGGATGATATATAGACGGAAAGGGGCCTTACGCAGAGAAGAACCGCCCTGTGCCCGTGACAACGGTGATGGTAATGTCATCACGCTTGTCGACTTCGCGGAGACGCTCGCCGAGGAGGTAGTAGTGATCCCCACTGAGAGCGTTGAGCTTCTTGGGAATGTTAAGAGTAATAATCGCGATGCGGTCCTGGTAGGTGATGGTGATGTCTTTCTCGTCGGCCATTGTGATGCTCTCTTATCTTGTGATCTATGAAATCAAATTGTCTGTAGGGCTGAATGATCGAACGGACGACAATCAGCGTTCAAATTTGTAGGGGAAAGGGTCAGCAGAAATCGGAAAATCGACCAGCAATCCTCCCGTAGGCGTAGTCGCAGTATTATATGGTTCCCAGGTACCGAGCATTGCTGCTTGCATGGGCGGACTCGAGAGCCATGGCTTTGCGGGGGAGCGACTGACGGGCCGAAAGGGGAGCCGAGGCTCATTGAACTCGAAACGCGGATTATGTGAGACGGCAATTATATCACGTGAAAATCTGTTTGCGCTGTTTGTTCTCGGCCCGTCGCAAAGGCCCGTTCATAGGCCAGCGCCTCTTCAAGTTTATCGGCGGAGACTCGGGCTTTGGATCGGACCATCGTCAAGCAACAAATCCAACCAATATTTAATCAGCAAGTCATCAGAGTCGGCGAACGATTAGCCAGAAGACAAGAGAGAATAGCATACGCCCGGGCACTTGTCTCTCTCTCCAAACAACATCCTCGATTGCGCCCACCGCCCCTCACATCCCCGCTCGCATACCCTACCACAATCAAAACGACCATTCAATTCCACTCCAATTCACAATGTCCGCCATTCTCCGCAGACTCCAAGGGGGTAACCTTGAAATCTTCAAAGTCGGCCTTCCTTCCCATATTACCTGCCTACTTCCCATACACCGATACACCGCCGTACTAACCACTATCCTCCCATAGTTCGGCATGTATGTGATTTTCCCCATCGGCTGGATGTATTACTTCGGCACAAACCTCGACGAGCGCTTCAGCGTCCCCGGCTTTTGGCCTACCGCCGAGCAATCACATAAAATCCCGCTGGAGAAGGAAGATATTGATAAAGAGCTGGCGCGCATGCGCATGGCTGATGCGCTGAAGCGGGAGAGGCGGGAGAGGCTGCAACAGCAAGAGTTGCGCGCGCAACCGCAAGAGCAGGCGCAAGTTCAGAGCCAGGGTTCGGAGTGAAACTGTCTGTGGTTTTCTTCGGTGTCTGCGGTCCAGCATGGCGGCGGTAAAAGCAAGCCCGAGGCCGCCGATGTTTTGGGTTTTGTGTGAGTCACACGCGTATGTATTGTTTGTATGACTACCCTTTTGTACAACACTCTTCTCTGAGCATTATGGAGTTCCTGGTTCTTGGTCTCTTATTTTCAGGTTTTATTGATGTATGTGGGAAAAGTTGGGCAGAGTCTCTTATTTGCTCTGCCATATATAGAGCTTGATTTCAGCTAAAACCCGCCACATTACTCTTCAAAGCTCTAAATTGGGTGATCCCGAAAAGCATTCGGGAGGCTATATAAACAATCCCTGGTTAATAATACTATGAAGGAGTGCCTGTGCACCTAGGGTAATCTACCAAAACAATAGCCTCGTGCTATAAGTAAAAGCGAGGGTTGAAGACCGGAACGCCTAGGATACGCCGACATGCATGAACTCGCCCAACTCCATTTAAAACGCAGCTTTGTAACGCCAAGATTGAACCAGAGCCATAAGGAATCCACACCGGGTCAAGAGTCTGGAATTATGCAATTTGGTCCTGGGAACAGCAGGAGTAGTACGGGTATTAGTGCAAATTAATAAATGGTAGCGGCTCAACTTTCAAGGGCGAAAAGAGGGGGGAGAAGAGAAGGAAAAATAGAGAGGGGAAAAAAGTCTCCGGGCGAGTCACGGCAAAGGAGAATATTTGATCTTCCTCCTCTCGCCATGAGCATCGCAAAGAAAACAAAAAGAAAGAAGAAAAAGCAAATTTTTCGAATCATAAATCTTGGTCACGAAAAGGGGTCCAGCCTCAGAGCTCTGGAACGGTTGCCTGAGCTGTTGCGGCGGCAGTTTGCGCCGTCTCATACATGAGCGTCTGGCTGCCGCTGTCATAAAAGGCTGTGCCGATTGAGGCGATTCCGCTGGAAACAAAGGGGCGTTCACCGGCCCAGTAGTAGTATAGGTGGCCGTAGATTACTCGGAGGTGGTTGGGTAGGTAGACGTAGATTGCTGTCAGGATCATGGAGATGAGGGTGAGGAGGAGAGAGTCTGGCGGGCTTTTGTAAGAATATAGAACGCGCACAATACTGTAGAAGGAACATACTGAAGATGAATTTCTCCGTGGGTGTGAGCATGTACACAGCGAATGTCACCTCATACTGATAGATCTTCAGGCGAACCCAGCGCACCAAGGCGGCAGCAATCCATAGAAAAGTCATTATCACGGACTCGTCAAAGATGTGTGTAGGTCGGTTTGTCTTTCAGGGATAGGCGACTGGCACGGTAAGAGAGGTCGTGTGTCGGTCGTAAGCTTAGAGGAGATTTCCGAAAGAAAGGGGCGACGAAACTGGGCGGTGTCCGCAAGGTGCCAGCGAAGGACAAGGAAGTCAATTGTGCGGTCGAGTTCACACCATATTACGGAAGAACGAGAAGGACAGGAAGAGAGCGTTAGAGGAAGTAAGAGGACGGCTTGCCGGTGGATATGAGGATATTGATTGCGCGTGGATCGACGGTTGATCTGTTGTCGCTGGGAGTGCGGGGGCGAAATTCTGCAGGTGGACGACAGAGGAACCACCTGGTGGAAAACAGCGCAGCGAAGAAAATGTAGTAATACAAGTATAAATATCGGATACGGGAATGTAGGACTGCGGCACAGGTCTCGGTCCCTACCGAGGTTGAAGAATAATAGTCGAGGCTGGAACTGGCAGCGTTGAGGCCGTCCAATGGTGGTCAACAGGGTCCAGCCGGCCGTCAGATTTGACACTAACACAGATAAAGAGGGCAGCTACGAATACGACACCTCCAGCTTGGAGAAGAATTCCCTCATAACGGCGTTGTAGATACCCCATTTTGATGTTACATTTTTTGTCTTTGCTTACACCACTGAGACTGGAATCCTGTATCATAATCCCGGACTCATTAAATTTGCGTGCGTCTCCCAATCTTGGCATCTCGATCAAATGTCCTGAGCATCAAGAGAGCATGACAACCATATTATCTACTGCGTTATGAATTCTAAATCCAAACTCTTCTCGAGGTGACTGTAAGCATCATTATATTATATTAGAGTTTATGTACAAAAGCTCCTTCTGGATGTCGTTATATGCATAAAATCTAAATCTATACCTAGCTAATCCACGACAACAGACCCAGCCAACCGAATCCACTCCCCGCCCGCTCAAGTTCTTGTCCGAGGGTCTGTCTCCGCCGCGCAGAGGGAAGCTCAGGCAATCACCATGACCGATAATGCTGCGCCATCTACGACAAATCCCAATCTGCAATTCGGCCGTCCAAGTCCTAGCTAAGCGATCCCTCTCGATCTCTCAGTCCTTTTCCGAAAAGGCCCTTCCGCCGCGCCTGAAGCTTCTCGATGCCGACATAACCACCTCTTACCTCAAGGGCACTGGCCCAGGAGGTCAGAAAATTGTACGTATATACCTCCCCTTACCTTCCACTCACCTCCGCTCCGTCCTGCGCTCAACCCAACATTATCCCCTTATCGCTCGCTGACCCAGTCCATTCCTTCCAGAATAAAACAAACTCCGCCGTTCAATTGATTCATAAGCCCACGGGTATCGTCGTGAAATCCCAGGCCACGCGATCGCAGTCCCAGAATGAGAAAATCGCGCGCCAAATACTTGCAGATAAAGTCGAGCAGCTATTGAAGGGGGACGAAAGCCGCGTTGCGCTCAAGGCGGAGCGGGAGCGGAAGAAGAAGGCGAGCCGCGCAAAGAAGAGTCGGAGGAAGTATCGCGAATTGGAGAAGAAGGAGGTAGAGCGTGGAGAAGGAGGAGGCGAGGCTCATCAAGATGGAGGGGAATTATGAGGTGGTCAAGAGGTAAAGCCTTAGAAGCGTAATCAATAATAGCGTGAAGGTGAGGCAGGCTCGTAGAGACCTCTTGTGGAAGTTGCAGGTCAGTCTGCACTGAAGGGGACTTATTCTCTCTGAAATAGACACGGTGCGGTATAGGGGTTTGGACAGTCCTTGTGGTGAAGATCATGGAATCATTCTATCGTTCAAAGCTTGTCCCTTACTAGTACAGCCAGGGACTGGATGAAGATTGCACTAAATTATCCGAAGCTGCCTGCTACCCATCTTGAGCGCCTGATCTAAGCAATATAGCTACCGAGCACCGCCTTCTCTTGGTCTCCTAATCGTTCCTGGACGAATCCTGAAATCTTTCCCCCTTGTTTTTGGTCCGCCTCCTTGAGGTATTTGCCAACCCAGAGCTTAAGATCAGAGCCCGTGTCTGGCCAAGGATCTCGTACTTGCGGCCGGATTGTAACGAGAGCCGTGAATCCAACACCAAAGGCCATGTCCTCAACATCATGCTCGGCAATGACATCGTCCTTGCTGGCAGGCAGTGGCGGAAGTTCCAATAGCTTGAGCAGAGCCTGGCACGTGAAGCCCCAGCCCTTTGCATACCTAGTTGCAAATGCCTCGGAATTAGCCAGTGTCTTGGTGAGAGACAGTACGGCTGTTTTGCGGTCCAACGGGCGCGCAAGCTTTTGTGACTCTGGCAGGATGATGTTTAAGTACAGCTGTACATAGAGTCTAGTTGCAGTTAGCCACTGGTTCGTTGAGAAAATAAACCAAGTCGAAGACTTACGAGTCCTGGATCTTGTTGATGATCTGAACGAGGAAATCGGCGCTGTAGCCTTTTCCATCGTTGGCGCAGAGGAAGTGGTAGAAACGAACAAATCGGAGGCTCAAGCTTTCCGTCTTGTGGTTTTGAAGGCGAGTGAGAATGACCTGCATGATATCGCCAAAGTATGGCTCTAGGGTGGCCCTATGTCGGGGTCAGTAACAAAGCGCACATTCTAGATTGAGGTATTCAACATACGGTGGGAAGTTCTCAACCACAGTCTCAAGAAGGTCAAACCCGTAGCTTTCGTTGGTTTTTGATGAGAGCAACTTTTGGAAGATACCAAGTGTGTTGATAAGCTGATTGTTCTCCAAAATATGCTGCGATCCTCGGCTAATAATGGACGACAAAAGGCGGACGAGCGCGGGGATGTTGCCCTTGGACTCCCATACTTGGGGGGCGAGGATGGGAGCAATGAGCCCTTGGTAGAGTGGCGGCAAGGTCCCTGACGGGTTGGCTTCAAGAAGGGCAGCGAAGAGCTGGAAGGTGTACGGGACGAATTCTGAAACAATCGTTAGAAGGAAAATTGGCAAGCCAATGGTTTGTAAAGATGGAGAAATACCTTGTACATCCCCCTGGAGGATAGCAGAGAAGGGGGGGTAGAGCGCTTGCTCAAGCTTATCGGGGTTCGCGGGAGCAGCGTACCTGTAGCAGTCAATAAAAACAGTTCAAACTACCTAGTGCGCCAGAGCTCAAACGTACCGGATAAATGCACCCAGAGCTTCGAAATGGAAGTAATAGAATCTCGGGTTGCTTGGGTTGCTGCTGATGACTTGTGTGATATTGATCAGATGCTTCAGAACATTATCGGTGATGGGGACGACACCCTCCTTGATCACAATCAAGACTCTCATGGCACACCTCATGATGAACTCATTTTCCTGAACTTTTTGAGGAGCTGGGTCCTTTTGAATCAATGAGAAAATGTGCTCTAATAGGTCCTTGGCCAAAGGTTTGATGGTATCTGCGGAGATGATAGGCTGTCCCTGACTGTCGGTGAAATACAGCACTCGCTCAACCGCAATGGCAGCATAGGTGTACACGACGAAGTTTGAAGAACCAAGGTGATTCACCAACATCGGGAGCACTTCTTGCCACTGTTCCTTTGTCACCAGACTGCGGAAAAGGTAGAGATATTTGATGGCATCGACTTTGAGAATCGGGTGTACACCATCTCCAGAAACCAAATCGGCAGCAAGGTGGTTTTGAAAGTAATCAGTGACGCTAATCAGGCTGTTGGTAGCCGTGATACCGTGACTGGCGGTAGCGACTCCCTTGGCTGCGATTGCAATAAAAAGGTAAGTCGCGGTATCTTTGGCTTTCCAGTTGAGCTGGGGAGATTTCGTATATTCAGTCAGGTAGTGCTCAATGTATTTCAGTACTGTCTTTGTGACGGACTCTTCGAAGTTTCCGTTCAGCTGCTTCAAAAAATCAGTCGCGGCTCGGCGCCTTGTATCACTGTCTGATCCTTCAAGATCCCGTCGAATGAACTCAATCGGCTCATCCTCGAATAGCTCTTCATCTGATTCTCGGAGGCTGACATTGGGCAAAACAACCTTCTCAACCACCTGAGACAGTGTGTCCTCTGCTTGGAAGACCTGGGCATGCTGTGGCATTCCAGCGATCGACGTCAAAAACTTCAATGCCCGGCTAACAAGGATGTCAAATTTGGTCTCCTGGCCGATTGTGGTTAAGAAATTCCAGGAGCTCTCCACGAATTGTTGAATATGAGGCTGGAATTCGTCCCCGTATTTCTGCACATATAGTGTCAGAACCTCAAAGATCCCTGCTCGGACATATTCTAGTTGACCGGATTCGGCGTCATCATCAGTGTGGAGCAGTTGGTTGTCGTAGGTCAAATACTTGAGTAGGAGTTGCGCTATTCCACTCAAATTTTCTTCAAACATTGGTGGAAGGTCATGGCAGGAGAGATCATACATCAGCTTGACCATCAGGTTGAGCTGCGTGAACCCTTGAGTAAGCTGCTCCTTGTTTGACTTGTTCGCTTCAAGGTATGTGTCGAGCCCTTGGAAAAGCGTCAAGAAGGGTGTGCCAAATCTCTCCAGAACGTGGTTGATCTCAATGTACAGCTCGTCGGATCGGAAAAGCGGCCTCCATCTCTTGAATATTGAGTGTGCAACTGTCAGAACGCCAATGTTGGCAGCGGGGTTACCAGGTTGGAATTTCGATACAAGATCCTAAAACGAAAATTAGACAAAACAAAGGAAGCCAGGATCAGGTATTGAACTTACGTCAACAAGCGTGTCCCACCGCTCCCAAAAGTCACTATCAGCAATAATACTGACAGCGTCTCCTAGTTGAATTTGTATACCCTGCGGAACAGAGATCATCAAGTTGATAAGATCTTGTTTGATGGCCGCCACCACCTCCAGTGGGAGTTTATAGTTTCCATCCTCGTCGGTCCAGCTTCTTTTGATGAAATTTTTGAAGAAAAGTGCACTGGCGAGCCGGGTATTGTAGGCGTATGCATCGGAGGCAGTGATCTGGAGGAGGGATATGGAGAAGTTCGGGTTGGTCTCTTCCTGACGAAGAGCGGTTTCAGCTAGCAAATGTCAGTGCTTTTTATTCCAAGTGAGAAAAGTTGAGTGAGTACAAAAATAACAACTAAGAGGTTAATAGTCTCACCTTGTTTACTTTGCCTAGGATCCAAGCTCGCCTCTAGGAGTTGGGCGACGGTCCCAAGATTCGCCATTGTTTGGAGGGGGTATGTACTAGCAGAATAAAGAGAAATATACAGGAAGAGGTGGGGTTTAGATTCGGTCTCTTGAGATTCAAGTTGTGGGTAAAATCCCCCGTGGTGCTAGCTTCCCCTGCTCAGATAACCCTCTGCGAGACGAACGATATCTTCAACAACGTAAAAAGGCCAGAGACAAGTTTGGAGCTTGAACAGGAAGTTTGTTTGGTGGTCCACGGGTTGCTGTAGGAGAAAAATAGTATAGTCACGTGATCTTAAGCTAATTAGTTTTCTGGACTCCGCCAGATCATCATCGTCACATTCCACGGAGGGGGAAATGGCCTCTTGAGTCTTGGCGCAGCTTCGTTCAAGCCTGAAGAAGATATCTCGCTCTTTCCCTGTCTGTTTTCTGGAAAGTTGCTTTTTTTTTTACCCAGAAAGAACCTGTCCTCACACGCGCTCAGCAGTTTTTTCTTCTTCTTCATCGGTGCAACGTTCCCTTCTTTCTCCCTTGTGCTATCTCCGACACAGCCCCTCTGTCTGCGGCTCTGACCTCTTCGCCCGGGACCGACCTAAGCCTCCATCGTCATCTTGTGGCCTCCTGATGCGGGCAGCCGTTCTATAAAAACCTGCGCATGGTACGTCGGTACGGGGCCTTGATCAAAATGTAAAGCCTCTGCATATCTATATGTTCTTAGACATGTTACGCTTCTCTCATGACGCCATCATAAAGGTTTATCGCCGCTAACCAACTTCTCTTATCCAGCTTCTTATATAAGTTCTTTGTCTCAATTGAATCCTATATATCCTCCACCGTCCACTGGGACGCATGCCTTCTGACGATGCTTCATCCCCGTCGCGATCAAAGTACTCTACATCTAGTTTTGCTGGCGTCTTCCGGTCACTGAGTGCTTCCCGAACCAAGACGCTCTCCGCGGCCTCCTTGTCGGACAGCGGTGACTCCCTCTATCAGTCGACGGATGGACATACAGGCAGTTGGTGTACAATAGGGATTGACTCGATGCATCGCGGGAGTGTCGTGTCTAGCTCCTCAGACGCCTCGGGGGCGCGGGACTTTGAGACATCGGTCAAAGTGTTGACACAAAAGCAAAACATAAGCCACGCCAGTGACGAAGCCGAGCATGTAGCCAAATCCCTCCAGTGGTATACTCCGGAGCAGGCTCTTGCACTCTGGGAAGCGGGTTCGCATCTAATACGCCATGAGGGATCACCGGAAGCTCGACGGAGCGGTTCACTTCTATTAGTTTCGCTTTCAACTCGCCATGATCTTTCTCCTGCCGCCAGACGCACCATTTACGATTTTATTTCGTCACCGTCAGTGCCCGATGTCATCCCAGCGCGTGCGCAGTCCCTGATATCATTATCAGACCATGGCAGGCGACTGGAATTTGCTACCTCCTCCCTCCTTCCGTTGATCTCCTCGTTTGTCGTCCCACTACACGAAGTTATCTCCTCTGCTCGTTCAAAGGCACGGAAAGCCAAGGTTGGAAGAGCAAACGGACTCGCCTACGAAGATACTGTCCTGGATGATCTATTACAATTCGCAGTTGATCTCATCACGCTGCAGCGACGACAGCCAGAAAGCGACGAGGTTCAAGAGCTATTGGATCAGATCTTCACTATCTGCAGAAAGACGAGCGTTGCCGCCGATATCAAGCACTCCCTAGCTGTATTTGATGCCGTGATACTCTATGGGGATGTTCCCGATGGGAGCTTTCTTCCTATGCTTGAGCTACTTTGTAGCATTCATGCCTCCGTCAGGTCCCTCTCCGGCCCTACATCGCGAGCCGTCCGGAATTTGGCAAAATCGAAGCGACAGACCGAAATGGCAGACACTCTCTATTCTTTTTTACTCGAGTCCTCGGGAGAGAGCAGTCAGAACCTCAACGTTTTGCGAGGCGTGGTGTACATTTTTACGGACCTTATTCGTGCTCATGGTCAAGACGGAATACTGCAAGTCCAGTTTGAGCGTTTGATGGACTGCCTTCAAGTAGTTCTTCGTAAGAATGATGGTCGACTGGAGGCAGATATCCTGGAGTTATGTCTCAACACCCTAGAAGGAGAATATGCGCAAGTGACCCTTGAGCATAGCTGGACAGGATTTGTCAACGTTCTGAATTCTTGTTCCGCCAGGATTTCTGAAGAGCCTGCAGCAAACGTTGCGCCTACTATCAGTCCAGAGTCAACTCATTCTCGGGGGAGTATTATTGACGAAGTGAAACCCACCATGTTAGCAAACATCGTGCAGATTGCATCGGCCGTGGGATCTCTCTGGGACAATATCAATCGACAACAGCGATTGGAAATTTCAAATTTTCTGATGAATGTTTGCCAGCAAATTGAACCTACTCAAGCCGAGGTCCTCCTTAATACGATGAGAGAAGAAAAGCTGTGTGAACCTCAATCCCCAGGGTGGATTCAAAATTGCCAGAATGTGGTCAGCTGCTTCATTCGGGCGCGTAACAAGCCAGTTGATCTCCGAATCATGGCATTGGAAACCCTGAAGGAGGCTTTTACCAGCTACGAATCCCTAGTTCTTTTCCAAAAGGAAGGCCTCTTGGAGATGGTTCTAGAGTCATTTGTTGACGAGGATAGCATTCTCTTCCTGGAATCGTTGGTTTCTTTCATCGTCGACAGTTGCATTCCTGCTTGTGACGATACTACCTTCAAGTCGCTAGTGGATATACTTAGCTCACCAATGACTAAGGATTCGGAGACGGATGAGCCTGACTCTTCCTCTGTGCCCTCGCTAGAGGGGCGCTCATCAAGCCTTCCCGTCGAGGCTTCGCTGGCTAATATCTGCTGTACCGGGCTAGTGAGGATGTTTCTGAGATCGCTAAACCTCTCAGCTGTCAAAGCTGTAATGGTTTATGAAGCCCTCCTGAAAATCGCAGAGTCTCCAGACCGCCCTATAGACTCGCGCCTAACATCACTCAAGATGCTTTTCAGGCTCCGATGTGATACATCGGGCTCGATCATCGTTCTTCCCATTTCCGAGAATGACTTTCGAATGAGTGTATCCGGCCGCAATCTTGACTCCGGCCCGTTAGCGAACGATCCGGACGACGCCCACGCCGAAGATGCCAGCGCAGATAATGAACTTGGCCTCTCAGTGCCCCAAAGAAAGCATCCGGTCCGTTTAGCATCGTCTACTAGTGCTTTATCCAGATCAACAGGTCGTAGCGCAAGTCATTCGCAGCGCATACCGAAATTGTCTCACCCTGTCTGGGCCTATCACACGCCACAAGTTCTCCCTGAAGAGCCCCCAGACGAGTCTAGCCGTTTTGTATATGCCTATGCAACACCCGATCCATCAAGTCCTGTAGAACCAGAACTGGCCGAGAAGGTTGCCTTGAAATCCAACGTATGGGTTGAAACAATTATCATGTTACTCCAGCGTGAAACCAACTGGGACATTTACAGCTACGTCCTTACCCATTTGGCAGCTCAACTCCAAAACAAAGATCTTTTCAGCAACGCAGTACCGCAGATCAAGCTTCTACGCAGCATCTTGTGCGATCAGGTCAAAAACGAGTCTTTCCGTGAACCTCCCGCAACCACCGGTGTAAAGAAGTCTGACGTGGCTGGCTATATTTTCGAATCACTCTGTGTGTTGGTGAGCTATCATGAGCACTTTGCGAAAAGCGAAGAAGACGAACTCGTACGTTCATTTATGATGGGCATCATTGGCTCATGGGGAGGCACCTCGCGTGGATGTATCCATGCATTGTCCGTCTGTTGCCTTGAGATTCCGCTTTCAGTGACCAAATCTCTAAATCTAATCCTTGACAAAATCTCCAAAGTGATTACACTATCGAATTTGGCGGTGCATATCTTGGAGTTCTTGGCGCTATTGGCACGTTTGCCGGAGGTTTATGTTAACCTGCGAGAGGAAGAGATTCGGACCGTTTTTGGAATATGTATTCGGTTATTGCAAACTTCTCGGGAGCACAGGCTCAAAACATCTGAATCACCCACAAGACTTCAAAGCGCTTCGAGAACGGGCAGTGTTGTTCGTGAAACAGCAGGCCTTCCTAGCAGCAATGATGTTTCCGACCCGTCAGTACAAGACGCCATGTCCAGGTACATTTATGCTTCAACGCATCATGTCATGGTGTTTTGGTTCCTGTCGTTGAAACTACAAGATCGAGCAAAACATGTCAATTGGATAACTAGCAGGCTTATCTTCAAGGATGACCACGGAAAAGAAATAGTGGAGGAACAGAGCCAGGTTTTCCTGGACCTTATGCAAAGAGTTGCCTTTTCTGACCTGGGCGAGACCATCCCATTCGCAACATTCCCACCGTCACCGGAAGATGGCTCGGTGGTAAAGAAGTCGTGGATCGCGGGAATGAGCATTTTCACCGTGGAGACGGCCAGTGTTTCAGGCCTTTCCCAAATCACCAAGAGACAAGCTTCGGGCACCACGTATGCAGTGTACCAACAGCGCACTGCGCCTGTTCTTCCTCATCAAGTGCCGGCCACCCATGATGCCCATCTACATGCTGATAATATGCAAACGTCTGTCCTGCCCAGTCATATTATGCTGCAGTTGATGTCCACAGCTTTTCCCACTCCAACTGCGATTCAACCGATCCCACTACCGGATGATGACATGACCCGCAGGGCATTGAGCACATTTGATCGAAATGATATTGTGGATGGCCATAAGATTGGTGTTATATACATTGATGACGGCCAGACTACGGAGGCTGAGATCCTCTCCAATACCGTTGGTAGCCCAGACTATGAGTACTTCCTCTCAGGTCTTGGCACCAAGGTCGCTCTCAAAGGAGCAAGGTTCAACACCCAGGGCTTACATGCTGAATCAGACGGGGAATTCACGTATGCCTGGCGTGATCGTGTCACGGAAATCGTCTACCATGTTACGACGATGATGCCTACCAATTTCGACACCGATCCGTCCTGTATCTTGAAGAAAAGTCATATTGGCAACGACTTTGTCAATATCATCTTCAACCGTTCCAACACCCCGTTCAACTTTAACACATTACCCTCTCAGTTCAACTTTTTCTTCATTGTCATCAGCCCTGTTTCTCGTCTTACGGATGGAGACAAAACTGCTTCGTCTGGGGCGAGCGACCCTGCGAACTTGTTCTACAGCGTAAAGGTGATGAGCAAACCCGGTTTCCCCGAGATCTCCCCTGCCGCCTCGCCAAAAATCATATCTGGAAAGAACCTCGCACCGTTTGTGCGCATTCTGGCCTTGAATGCCTCTGTATTCTCCCTGGTTTGGAACAGTGAGGGCGAGCATATTTCATCTTGGCGCAACAGACTACGCGAAATCAAGCGGTTACGTGAGCGAGCGCTTGGGTTCCAATCTCAAGCCCCGGATACTCTGGATGCCACCTATCCGACGCAACGCCGCAACACCAAAGCCAATATCTTCTCCGAAGAACTGCCGGTCCGTAGCAACTCAGCAAGATCTGAATATGCTACCGATTGGAATGCAGCAGCAGATGCCAATATTCTCCAGAACCTTGACTTTTCCCGCTGGGCAAAGTGAAGTTGCAATCTTACATCTGCCGAGTCATATCATCTCACCCCTACATCTCTTCAGTCCCATGCCTCTATTCGCTCCATTCCATGTTTTATTCCACCTCATGCCGAGTGCGACTTCATTAGCCTTCGGCATGAGGATAGAGAACTGGAAGCCTATACAATCTCCTTGCTAACATTTCCCAACCCTTTTCACATGATCTCTCATTCCAGCATACTCCATCTGACCCTTTATCTGGAGCACTGAATATCAATGTACAATCGGATGTGTTTGTTCTTCCCCCTTGCCCTATCCCTATCCGTCTTTCCCACAAAATTCACTCTCGCCTGTGTGACAGTGAATTCAAGACGATAAAGTTCTACAGCGTTACGCATTTTCTGTCCTTTTTTCTTATGTATACCATATCTACTGTACGCAGGAGTTGGACCGGAGCCAAAAGCGATCAAGGGATCAGGAACAGGAGAACTACGGTGCCTTCAAAAAGTTTGCTTTTCTTTCCTCGCTTTGGCCTTTTATGCATGTACATGATGAAGGAAATGACGGTACCCAAAAGTTTGTTTTGTCCTTGCTTGTTTGTGCTTTGATATGATAATGATGATGATAGCGATGTGATACTCCCTCTATAGCCTTTTATCTCCTTTGCTTTTTGTTTTGCCTTCGCCTGTCAATGTGGCGTCAAAAAATGGGTTGTGTGTGTATCGAGTACGATAGAGATCTGATAGTGAGTGGTTGACTGTATTGTGCTGTAGTGTCGCAAACACGCAATAGAAAAAAATCAAATAGAGTATCAATGAAGACTTCATCTGAATATCCTCTCTACTTCGCTGAAGCACCTGCTTTCCTGCAGACAGGTATGTGCTCTTTAAATTCCTTTATGACTTTATACAAATACATAGCAATTATATACCTCAAAAGAGAAATGTAAGAAAACTAAAAACGCAGCTATTTTTCTATATATACATATCATGATTAATCAAGATCTTCACCCACGATCTCCTCTCGTAAGACGGATGGAGACGGGATAGAAATGCAGAAGTGAGAAGTCCTGACGGGCTTACGTCACAAATTCAGGTTGTATAAGCAACCAGTAACCGATTCACCATAGATTTGATGTGTATTAATCTTTCGAATCCTGGTTTCTGCGGCGAGGCAGCGGCAGCCGTCATAACTCTGGGTGCTAGGCTTCGATCCTCTATTTTCGGATCGGAGTCAAGAGGGAGACTCACTCTCACCAGCCGAATATCTCGGCTACACTCAGTGTACTCCATCGTACACCGGCTACAGAGAACAGAATGAGGACGACGTCCACGACAGTGAGGACGGCAGCACCCATCATGAATCGTGGGCAGAAGATGCGGTAGAGCATAAGGTGGCGGCGGAGGTGGCCAGCCCACATTGTCGTAGCGAGGTTGATGGTGCCAAAGTACAAGATATACGTAGCTGCAGCCTGAGCGACATCCGAGAGGAGTTTAAGCGCGGGTTTCGAGGATGCGCTGTTCGAGTCGCGGAGCTGGAGGGGTCGTTTCCAGAGGACTGTGAGCGGTGCGGCGATGGCGGTAAGGATTTGAGGGCCAAAGGTGTTGAGGGTGACGAGGAGCGGGGACCAGGGGTATTTCACCGTTGTTAGTGGGATGAAGGCCGTTTCCCACTGAATGCTGGAAAGGGTGGCCTGGTGGCCTGTTTTGAAGTAGTAGAAGGAGCCGAGAAGCGCAAGGACTATGGGGCCGATGGAGGAGTTGGATGTAACCAGGGCGTTTGTGTCGAGGATTTCGAGGAGGGAGAGGATTTGCCAGAGGAGGAGAGCCATGGTGCCTTGGCCCATTGGTTTTTGCATTAGCATGATGGCGAGGCAAAAGTTGATCGCGAGGAAGAAGAATCGTGTGCCGTGAACGTTGCCGAAACCAAGGATTGTCACTGTTGTTCTTGGCAGTTGTTGCTCGCCCGGTGATGAGGGGCGTTTTACTGTGGGTTCCGGCTCTGCGGCGCTTTGAGCAACGCTGATGCTGACGCATGGCTTTGAGTAGAGGAATGCGGTTGTGCCGGCGGCGAATGCGAGACCGAGAACAAGTTGAGCTAGGAATACGCGAATCGACTTGAGGGTTTCGCCGTCAAGAGGGAGCCAGGCCTTGCCGTCTAGCTCCTCAAGCACCCAGAATATAGAGGTTACAAATAATCCAAGACGGAAGCCAATCCCAATCCATAGACCAGCTGCTCCTTCATAAGATTTTGATCCATCATAGAAGCCCTTGATCACCGTGGGCAGTATGAGCATGACGAGGAACGGAAGAGCGAGTTGCCAAGGAGCAGATGTAGAGGATGTGCTGGAAGCATAATAAGTTGACCGGCAGAAGGGCATCTGTTCCTCACGACAGAGACGAGACAGAGACGCTAGTCTTGCCAGAATGACGAAGACAATTGAATGGTATACTCCCAGGACCCTGTCGGTGGTTGTTCCTTGGCGCATTGAGGATACACCAGCAACAATACCGAATGTACACAGGAAGAAAAGCAGAATCTCGTCCTCCCAGATAGTGTAGGAGTTGGATGCGAAGCCAAGCGATTGACTGACCGTGAAGACAACAGCAAGCCAACCCCAGAGGGAGTTGGGCAGGGGAATTGATAGACGCTGAGTGCTGAAGATGACAGATGAGGCACCCAGGATGCTACCAACAGCAGCGAATAGGGCCGAAGCCTCTAGGACCTTCAATTCGGTTACACGAATCATCACCAAGACGGCACCAGCAACAGTCCCCAAAACAGAACCTAAGCCAACGCGCGAGAGGAAGGGACCGGTAATATCTGTCCGGTCCGCTTGCAAACCACGGGCGTAGAACACCAGTAGAACTATGCCTGCAAGGAGTACTGCAGTTCCTTGTACCATACTCGGCAAATCGAATTTCGCCCAGAGGCTCCGGCAGACTTGGAGCGTATGCCGTTGATACTGTCTATAGGCGTCGTAAACTGCACTCAAGTTCTTGGGTTTGCCCTGCCATTCCTTTTCTGCTGTCTCCCAGAAACCAAGCACCTGGGATTCTGCTCCATCGTCCCCACGACTCTGAGCGTAAGCGTGCTGGTATCGCTTGATTTGTGCAGACGCCAGGCGGTTTACAGTGACGAGGTTACTCCAATCGTTTCCGTTGGGTCCCGAAAATGATTCTTCAATCGGCGAGCCCAGATTATTGAACGGGATAGGGATTCCGAGTAGTAATGATAGGGTCGGCACAAGGTCAATTTGGGGAACGAATCTTTCTCGAGCATACTTTGGCGGCAATACGGTTTCCGGCTTGGTACGACCGAATATCCCTTTTTTCGAGTACATCCACAACGCAGCATTAACCTCGTCGTCCGATTCACCCCCGTGATCTCCTTTCGAGTCCATGCCATGGTCGCCCATGACAACGAGCAACGTGCTGTCGTCAATTTTGCTCATGACTTCTCGAATGGTTTGGTCCATTTGGTTCAGCTTGGCCGCCATGGCAGGGTGATTGGGGCCGTATCGGTGACCAGCGTGGTCAACGCCGAGGTAGTGCCCAAAGATAACATCCCATTTTGTGTAGTTTTGGGGTTCAAGAAGTGGGAATATATGCTCATTCACGCCGTTGTCGACCGTATGCAAATCCCACACATTAAACGAATCAAACGGCCGTGTCAAATCATGGTCGAAGTAACCCGGGAAGAGAGCATGCCATGTGTCATCACCAAGGTGAACAATGTTCTTACCCGCGGCGTGAAGTTGAGCGACGAGGTTGTCTTCGTCAATTGTTGTCCCAGCAAAGTTGGAGCCGGCATCTATAAACGTGGGGAGAGTGCCGGTAGTCAGGCCCTTTAGTCGCTGCAATGTGGTAGTCGGAGGATCCGCGATGAAAGGGAGGAGGAAAGCATTCTGAGGGTTGCTGATTGCGGTTTCATACAGCACTGGTATATTATCGTGGAAAAGGTGGGCGCTTTCAATATCTTCATTTGGTGCAAAAGGGACGGTAAAGTCATAGCGAAGAGCATCGATAATTATCACAATAGCCTTGTCGAACGACTTTTGGTGCCAACAGTCGTCATTTGACTCCTGGATCTGGGGAGCGTCACTGAAGGGTAGAACATCGCATGAAGACTTGTTTTCCAAGACCATCCGGGTGAGGAGGAAGCCTTTGGTGAAGTAGAATATGCCAACAACATGCAGGAACCTGTTCGTAGAGATAAAAGCATTAGATTGTGCCTTTCTTCCGAGACCGAATTCGCAAGCGACTGAACAGCTCACAGTATCCACACAAATACGCCGAGTAAACCTAGGTGTTTAGATTTGAACTCCTCCTCGGACTCCTTCCCAACCTCATCCTTTGACTTGTCCTTGCTCGCGGCTTGTGCTTGTTTGAGAAGACTAGTCGCAGTTAGGGCCTCGCGTCCCGGGGTTGGGGCCGAGGATGCCATCACGAATATCGTCTTTCGGGATCTATCACGGCTTCTTTATCCGACTCGGGGAATCGGGGGTTCAGGACGCGGTGGTAAAGGAACTCGACTTGCGAAGAATACGTAGCGATGTTCGCATTCGCGGCTTGTGGCAGTTTACCCAGATAACGAGCTTTCTGAAGCTGGTAGAATGATAGTCATCGAATTTGCGGAAAATTGTCCTTTCCTCAAGAGGTCCCTCGAGAAATTTCCCCTTCGGATGTCTATCCGGGAGATGGGGATGAGCCGTCTCTCTGATGAAGTGTGCTTAGCAGTCGGAGGATATCATGGCCGCAGCGTCAGCTCCATCTGGTACACCGGAAAGAGTCAATGGCAAAAAAATAGGGGGTTGAAAGATGAGCGCAACTGCGAACGCTTAGGAGCGGGCGAAGCACTCGCACAGCTTCCAGCGCCAAATCCTTCCGTGACGTGGGGTGTTCGGCGTTTTCGGCAGCTCATCTTCGAGTTGGCGAATGGCCATTGGTGCAAGCGGCTCGGATCATCTTAAGCCCTGCCAGAGTGGGTCATTGCCATTTGCGGACAACTGTTTAGAGTCTCCGGAGTATAGTTTTCTACGCGTTTCTCACCGACGCTCCTATGGTCAAGTCTGGGAAAGGGCAAACTTGCGAAGGAGCTTTTCAGATCAATAGGTACATTCATCGAGGCTCACACATGCGGGTGGCCGTCCAATGTATACTAGGATGCTTTGAGACTAAGTACATACATTATCCAGCTGTAAGTCACCGAAAGAGGAGACCAAAAAGGTGAAGTAGAAGTAATGACAAAAGAATAGTAGAAAAAAAGTGTCGTGGAAGAAGGTAGATGGAATGCAGGCAAAAGCAGGACGTTAATCTCTCCAGGCCCTAGGAACGTGGCAGGGTGGAGAGGATGGGTGACAAAGCACGAGAAAAGAACGCCAGGTAAGATATAGCAGAAGGTTAGAAAAGCAGAAAGAAGACCTTGCAAGCTTTCACACGACGTCAAATCTCAAATCGACTTGAGGTGAGGGCTTTCGGACTGGCAAAATTTCGTCGAGGCGGCCGCAATGAGCAAGTGTAGAACCATGCGAGCAGATTTTGAGTCTACCGATCAAGATCGAGAAGATAAAAGTGCGTATGTGAGAGTTGCAAGGCGCGTTGGAAGAGATTACGGAGATATACAGCGGAAACGAAGCGGATTTTTTGCCCAGGTATCATGCCTTGCGGGAGTCGTAGAAGCGGAAATGAGAAAGATGAATGTGGTCGATTGGCGTATTGGTCAAGCAAATAACTTGGCGCCGAAATATTAACCCCACCGTTTGTTGTCATCCTTTTCCTTTAATCCACCCATGCGTTCAATATCCAGCGACTGGAAACGCTCGGCATCGCTGGACTGGTAGGGCGGGAGTTGTTCGTTGTATGGTTCGAGGCCAACGCTTCCTGCCTCGCTGATTCGAACAACCACGACTCTGCCAGACTTGCGCTTCCCAGACTCATCTTCCTCCTCGGGAAAAGTAATGCGAATCTCAGGAACAGGGCTAGGTGGCGGGCTTGACGAGTTCTCCATCAAGTTGCGCTTCTCATCAATAACAAAGACAGATTCGGTCTTGGAGTACGGCGGGGCGGTGATCGTAAGGCTGCGGTGATGGGTTGAGCATTGACCATTGTGGACGGGAAGCTCAGACTGTTGTCTGTTCTGACGCCTGCGACGGATGACTAGAAGCGCGCCCATGAGCGCGATTCCGAGCAAAACGAGGACCAAAAGAGAGATCAAAAGGTTGACCATGGCATCGGACAAGCCGCCCTCATCGTCATCCCGCCGCACGAATTGGTGGAACTTTTGCAACATTTTGTCGAGGGTGTATGGTGCTCGAACAAGGTTCTGAAGGGATAGAATTCTACGGAGCTGGTGATTTTATCGAGGTCTCAAGTAGGTTCCAAAATCAAAGTGTTGCTATGCCGACGATCGGTATGCCAGATGCGAATTCTTGGAACAGAAAGGGTGTAGTCTGTGTTTTAGCAAGTTTCAACAAATATAAAGACTGTGCTGAATCCTCGGTGGCTATTGGGTTGGTTGGAAGGAGGGAATGTACGGGGTCGGTGGCTTGGTTTCGTGACGGTTGTTTTCTCAAGGGAGGGGGAAAAGGCCCGGCTGGTAAAGAAAGAATGGACAGCAAAATGCACAGTTAAAAGAATGGAACTGGCACCTGCTCAGAATAGCAAAGAACGTGGTTTGAGAGATGGGACGAGGGATGAAAAGGAAGGCAAAGAGTGAAAGGTTGGAACCTGGGAGAGGAGCAGAAAACGACCTCAGGGATGAGCGCCGGCACACCAAGAACGAGGCGCAAGGGCGGGCGGCTACGCGAAAAGGCCCAGAACGCTTACTGGTGGAGTCGACGATGGTAGTTTCTGGGCTAACGGGTGACAAGGCCCTCTTTGTTTGTCAACCTCCCCTAACGGGTGCACTTGGCGTTGGGCGCTAAGCAGTTGGGGGTCAGGAACATCATCATGATAGGCGGAGACTGGAAATTGCTGCTGTTAGTGCCCCCGATGAACCCATCGCAAACCCAGTTGCGAACATTAGCTTATTGTGCTAAGCATGGCCTCAGCGTTGAGGTCATCGCGACGCAAGAGCTTTTCTCACCTGAACGACCCCAAACCCCTGGAATGGGGACCATTTCTATTTTTGAACAACAGCCGCGATCAATCGCTAGACGACGGGTCACCGAGTCGGCCTCTTTGTCTTGACGGCTGTCCCTGTCACAGGATGAATGATCTCGAATGTTTTGGTGGGGTTTCGCTTTCAGGCCAACCGCTGCAATTCCATTGTGAAATCATCCCCTTTTTCTATGTTCAATAATGGGTGCAAGCTCCTCTCACCACTACCAGTGTCTTCAAAGAGAACCGGGTTTATTCCATCTGGCCCGTGGTCCATCTGAGCAACGATGACTACGAGACTTGGATGGTGTTCAGAGCCGAGATGAATGGGCAGCCCGGGGCACCCACAACCACTGTAAATAGAGGACTAATTCCACATTTGCAACTCAAAATATCTTGACTACTTGGTTTGCAAATGCTCTTCTGTGGAGACACGATAAATGTTTCGTCTGTTCTATGGTATGTCTTCATATTTACCTATTAGGTACTAGTACTAGTACTGTTTCTCATCCATCACTTTGATACTAGCGCGAGTAAGAGTCAGACGTAGCGCTTACTCTTCATGAACTTCAGTAATGATACTGGCGATGAGAGCAACGATGGAGCTTCCTAGTCACTGGACCAGGCTGGACGAGAGCCAGCTGATACACGTGAAAGAGTTGCACGAAAGAAGGCGTTCTTGAGAAGCTTGGCTGCATACAAGTATTCCCCCCATAATTCTAGTAGACTGCATCAATGCAGTCCATAGTAGTTGGGGTACACTATATAGATACCAAGAATAGGCATACTCTTTGATCCAAGACCCCTATGGACTATCTTACGAGGCGGAGCCGAGTGCATGTCAAGAAGTAAGGTATTCTGCCCTCTTCTCGCCATGTGGCCAGCAAGGTAGGACCTGGTGTAACTCGAGTTCATTCCTTAACGACAACCGGTACATGTCATCGGCTTGTTTCTCCTTAAATCGTTTCATATCTCCATTAATGCTGTCTGGAATATAGAGCTGCAAGCGAATATTCAACCAATCCAGTCGCTACCTACCTAGGTACATGTTGCTCCATTGCCAACCGTCTCTGTTGTGTGTGTTTCCAAGTTGGCTCCAGAAAGAACGTACATTCCTCGCCGGCTGCAAAACGCTCTGTCTCGCTTGCCATGATAATTGCCAGATCCCACAGATGACTTCTCCTTTACAGTGCGACTGCAACAGTGACTGTTACAGAAGCACTCACTTTTCAGTCTAGAGAATCAGAGCAACTCGACGTCGAACTTTTGCTGCCGCATGTTCGAAGCCTCACGCTTCCTGTGCACTTGGATATACCATGGCCATCCATTGGAGTCCTTGCGCCGCGTCTTCAAAGCGCATACAGCTCCCACTGCTCTCCGAGTTGAACTCGCTCTATCTAAGCGCAACCCTCGCGGCATCGACCACACTTCTGACTAACACCATTCGAGGGGCTGGCCAGACTTTCAGCTTCCCACCTGTCGGAGGTATACAAAAGTGGCTAGAACCGGTACTGACGCCCTCTTATGGTCGAGTGACCTGATGTTGCGCCCGTAGCATAGGCCTACCAAGTTCCGGCACGCTGCTCAACTCATTAGGCTGCAAGCTCAGCCTGGATTGACTGCGATGTCATGGTCGCGTCTCCTGCCGTAGCTGCTCCAATCCCAGTCAAAACCCTACCTGTTAACGAAACCTTGTCCAAGGGATCCTCCACCATATCGACATTGCCGCTAGTTCCGTCATCCGCATCTAAGCCGAGCTTCACTGGTCATATTTCGGGTCCCTCGTCATGCGCACAGTTGGCTATTCGCCGATAACTTGCGGGTCCCGACTGTCCTAGGTGCTAGTTGAATTGGGCTAGACTTTGCCGGTGAAAAAGAGTGATTGATTTGCGTCGACCGAGAACGTTGATGATGTTCGTCCCTGGGAAGCCCTCGTCGTAGAGGGTGGTTAGTGAAAAAAAGGAGTGGGAAACAGAAGTGAAGAAAAAGGAAAAAAAACCGAACTTGAAAAGATTTAATCCCTCGAAAACCCTTGAAGTCGTCTGCACTGTGCCTAACCTCCTAGGATCGGGATCGCAAACCCCCTCAGCTGTTGAAACTAATCACCTAGTGTACCATCTCAGCGCCCACCACGGCGCTACTTAGGCAGTAGCCACTGAGGTTGCGCCTCTAGGTGACGTGAGCGCGCTCAGTTGGATGAAGGAGCTAAAGTTACTTAGGTAGGCATCTATGCCCCGTTACCCAATTCTACATATAACGTTCAACTTCTTGGAATGTTCATCCATGAGTCTACTATTCCGGTACTTACGTACTGAACTCAAAGGTCGGCTTTGCATATCCGATGATCGCCACAATGCCTGTGGGGTTGTTGTAGCGGCAAAATATACTTCGCTCGAACTGAGGGTTATAGATCGGTTGAGACCTCGGATGGAACTCTACCTACCTTGTCGTGAGTGTTGAACGACCACCACTGGGAAAGTTTGATGGAAAACAAGAAATGGCTAGCCTAATGCGATAGGTTTCATTCTGGATCGGATGACTAGACGTACGCTTTATGCGATGCGGATTCGTTTAGTTTGCGAAATAACCCAAGTCTGCGCTGAAGTATATATCGTGTGATGACCCCCGATTTGAATCTTTCCTCCAATCAGGTCTTCAGGCCTGTAGAAAAGAAAAGCTTAGTAGCTTGGCTAGTTAAATGACGTCCAGTCTAGAAAAAGGCCTGGCGAGGAGCTGAAGTTGACACTTGAACTAATCATGAAACGAAAGGACGTCGTGCACTGCTTACAGAGTAGTCTGGGGTGATTTCAAGCCACAACCGTCCGTTACCAGACTCCTACTACTAGTATATTTGGAACTTCCACAACAAGCAGCAGTATGGACATGTCCCGTTTGGTCCCCACATGGCCAACCAACATCTCTTTTAGATAGATAGGAAGATTATATTCCCCACATCTGAACTACTGCACAACATATGTGTACGCAGAACAACGGTTGTCCGGAGCTTGCGTTTTAGTCACGCAACTGACGAACTTTATGAGCGCATGCGAGAGAGTCGCCCTTATCGACAAGGCTACGGTAGGATGAAAGTATCAAAATTCGGACCACGACCTGCGGCAGCTTGCCTGATTGCCTGATTTCCTCATTGCCTGGTCGCCTGATCGCCGGAACTGAAGCCAGAGTTAATAAAACAGGAACAATGCCGCAAGACAAGGCCGATTACGAGACCAAATGCCTTAGAGTTGGGCATTTTTTCCAGCTTCTCCAAGTAGAAGGATACTGCACGATCATGCCATCGTGGACGCCGGGGAGAGTCATTGGATTAATACGCAAGGAGGGTTGGGAGGCTGGACGGGAATAATCTCCGCTGATATATGAACCAATTGTTCTCATTTCTCATTCCATGTTCCTGGTGGGAGATTCTGGCATAGTAGTGCGGTATGTGAGCAGCCAGGCGATAGTTGAGAAATGATATCAAGCTAGCATGAGTAGCCGCCGGCTCGAGGTCAGCTTCGGGTCGGGGTATGCTCGACAAATGGGATATCGCGCCTATGAAGACACGGCATAACGGTGAGGCTGGATCATACGCGGAGGAGATGGACCCTTGATCTCCGGGTAAACAAAACAGGTGGTGGTGGTGCTAATATCGCGATGTAAGGGGTGTCTACTAGTTGATGTACACAGTACGTGCACGAGAATATCTACCAGTTATCAGTGAGCGCTAAGTGAGCATTGCGATAGTCAGGCCAAGGCCGCGACGACAAATGGCCTAAGTGGACCCTTTCTGTATGAACAGTCTAGTAGCAAGGCGGAGTCTACTCCAACTCTGATTTCGAGTAAGGCTGAGGATATTTGGACTATCCACGATGAAACTCGCAGACCCGGAACGCTTGATATCAGCTTTCAGACGATGTAATTCAGCCATTCTGTCAGATATGCGAGCTTGGTTGAGGTTGCAGCCAGACTTCACTTTCACATGACAGAGTGTGGTTGTTGTAGTAGTAGTAGGAGCTTGAATCAAGCTAAATTAGTGGATCCATACATGATCGTGAAGCTAGCAGCCTAGCACGGAACTGGTAAATGATATCAAAAGCTGGAAGGATAATAATGAGGCCTATCGAAGGTTTGAGAGTTTCCAGGCACAATAAATTAGCTATGGCAAGGTCATGGTACACCTTCAGTGTTCGGCTTGGGACAGAGAGACAAACTACAGGTAGCTGACGCGCGGTGTGTGGGATGACGCCAGCAATGTCAGTAGACGAATCATAACTTAATTGACCAGCAGAGCCAGCAGAGCAGACAGAGTTAGTGAGAAGGAGGAAATAACCGGAAGTGTGAGCGACGGGAAAAACAGCAATTTCCGCAGACCATCGTGATCGCAGGTATCAAAGGTGAGTTGAAGAGTGTGTGTCCGGATCCCCAGAATTGCTGCTTGGGCGGTCTCGATCGCAGCCAGACAGAGCTTATTCCAGAAATTTAAACAGCTTATCTCCCATCGTCCCTCCTCCTCTCTTCAACCTCTCATGCTCACTACTTGATCTTGCTCTCCTCACCAAAAAGTCTGAGTATTTTCTTTTTCTTCTATATTTCACATATTAATTTTTTCCTCAGGCAGTTGTTCCCTTAGCCGTGCCTTCCTTTCTCCTTCAATCTCTTTCCCACCCCGGACTCTTTTTTTCTAAGCTCTTGTGCTACCCTCTTCTCCTCACCTTCGGCGTTAGTATAAACCAGCACCTAGCCTTCGCTCTCTTTCCTTCATCCACCTTTTACTTGGAATATTCTTACATATTTCGCGGCTCTCCGACTGTTGCCATCCCCCGTCTGCCTGCCCGCCCACGTCGTGCAGCTCCCAACGGTCGCCATCCAGGGTCGATCTATCAGCTCCCAGCCATTCTGGGTGTCATGCTTGCTTTCTCCTGTGTCACAGCTGCTTGACGTTAATGCCGTGCTTGGCCTGTGGTCCACATTCTCACTCTCCAGCGCTCCACTAATCACGCCGGACTGCCTCTCAATCTGCGCATTGTTGCGCATCCTCCTTCCATACCAGCTGCAATTTCGCTCAACCCTTCCTCCCTCCCCCCTTGCCGCTACGACTCATCTAAGCTTCGAACGCTTTGTCGATTAAACCAGACTCGCATCTTATTTCCTCCGTTGCCTCCTCTTCTTCTCCACAACTTCACAAGAAGTACATGAAGCCCTCCTTCGAATTTCGAGCTTGCCGAGCATGCACAGAGTGTGGTAACGCCGCAGTCCTCTTTCGACGTTAACATCGGTCTACGGCTACTTGCTGGACTTTAGTCTAGCAAACGGAAAGGGAGAGATTGCCATCGCCCTGCGTTTTCCCTCACGTTTATACTTCTTCGTTAATTATTTCGACCTCTTTTTTTCTTGCGACCCTCGCCTGCCAGTCCTCCCTTTCGTCCCCCCTTCACTCCCCAGCGGACGCTACTTGGCTCCAGTCTCAATCAAAATAGAGCCTATTCTCGGGAAATTTCTCTCCCTCACTGCTTTTTCACCTCCTGTCTTGGCCTGGGACCCTTCGTGAGTTTTCTCTTTCCACACAGGCATCACAAACCAAGTGACTGGATCGTGCTTCTTTCAAGACTGACCTTCGTGCCGCTCGCCGTATGTGCAGGGATCTCGTGCCTTTATCTATAGATCGTCGACTAAGAACGTTCGTCCATTGAAAGGAGAACGGTCTCTTCGACGGCACGAAACCGAATTGAACCCGATTGTCGACGGGCATCTCTGCAGAATATATAATTGATATTGATAATACCGTGCACAGTCAACGCTTGGGCAGTAGCAATGCCAGGAAGACGGGTGCGTTGGGACTACCTCTAATGGATAGCTATAGTCTATATACTGACGGGATCCTAGGTGCAATCGAACGGATCCGCCATGGGCTCGTCAGACCTACGGGCGTATAACGGAAGCTTTGGCAGCGGGCTTGAGCACATATGGAACAGTACGTATCCCGGTTCAGTCAGCACAGGCGATGTTCTAACGCGCTACAAGACTCCTCAACCACGAATACAGAGGGGCCATCCGGCTCTAGCTCCTTATTGCCCTCCTCCGACGCCGATGGGTGGAGTAGCAGTCAACGAAACCTTTCTTGGCCGTCGAGACCACAGGCCAACGGGATAAACACGTCACCAGTCCATAGCCGCTCAGTTGATACAAACGGTATCTCTCTGGCTAATGGTACTGATACCAGTAATTTTCCACGATCAGGACAACCCTATGTGGGTGCCTCTCGTTCAGGCGAAGGAAATGTGATGGACTTAAGGCATTTTGCCAGAGGCCCTGCTACGCCAAGCTACCAGGCGCAATCTGGGCACGCAACTCCCAACACGAGGGCAGATGAAACCGGGTCTTTGAACATGTCCATTTCTCAGGAGGCTCTACAGCAATTGACATCTCGCAATGGCTACGCTCATGCCTCGCGCAACTCAACTTCCCTTGTTGCTGCACAGAGGCCAGCGCATAACCACTTTCCTTCATTCCATTCCGAACGTCAGTTTGAGCAAGTGAGCACCGGCTTGGACAGACTTCAATTGAACGAAACGCAGAACGCTTCCAGCCGTCCGCAATATACCTCCCGTAATTCTTGGGATACGTCGCTGTCCAGGCACAGGTATCCAAATACCACCGAGGAGAACGGATATTCTGCGCAGCACATGATGCTGCCGGCGGATCTCGCGTTGGCGGGTTCAAACCATGACGCCCAGCTACCATATCAACTCGGGCGGCCATCGCGTCTCTTCGACGCCGGTTACATTTCACCCGCTGAGCACACTGCAGGGGAGGGCACCTACTACACAACGCGCCCCAACGCTACGAATCCCGCTCAGCTTTATCGAGACGCCCAGGTCCAGCAATATACAGACAGTGTTGCGGTGCAGACTAGCAACAGGCTACGCGAACTACAATCTCTGGAATCCTCCAGCGCCCTCCAACAGCAAGCCTTTGCACCCACGTATGATCATGGCTTTCACGCTCAATCATCAGTAGCAGCGCAATCATTTATTCATAATCTACATCTCAACCCAGCAACTAATCCTCCTCGACGCCCAGCGTCCCACACTCGTCCTACCGCGCAGGACAGTCAGTCTAGTCAATTTCTGCAAGAGTTCAGAGCCCTTTGGAATAGAAGCAGGCACCAAGATGTGAAGATTAAGGTAGGCTTCTAAATTTTTTTTTTTTTTTAATTTTCTTTTTAAATACACGGCGCGACAGAAAATTGACCACAACAGATCTGCTTCGGGCATGTTTGCGAGCTGAGCGGTGACCAGGTGGGATCTCGAGCCCTCCAGGTCAAGCTGGAGACAGCCAACAGCGACGAGAAGGAGCAGGTATTCCAGGAAGTGTTACCCAATTGCATGCAGCTCTCTCAGGATATCTTTGGCAACTATGTTGTCCAGAAGCTCTTTGAGCACGGCAATCAAGCCCAAAAGAAACTACTTGTCCAACGCATGAAGGGCAACATCCTGTCTTTGTCTTCGGCACCTTATGGGTGCCGCGTTATTCAAAAGGTATAGTACTTTTTTTCTTTCAGCTCTACAAACACCCCCCGGAGGGGGAATGGTTAGGGGTGACTCGCTGAACAGTGACAGGCTCTCGAACACGTTCTGGTTGACCAGCAAGCATGGATGGTCAAGGAGTTGCAGGAAAAGGTCCTTGAGTGTGTGCAGAATAATAACGGGAACCATGTGATTCAAAAGGCCATTGAGAGGGTTCCTACTCAATACACCAAATTCATTGTCAACGCCTTCCTGGGCTCGGTGGAGAAGCAAGCTACGCATTCTTACGGGTGTCGGGTCATCCAGCGGATGCTCGAGCACTGTGAGGAGTCCGATCGCAGGTCATTGCTTGCCGAACTTCATGCTTGTACCGATAAGCTCATTGAGGACCAATTTGGTAACTACGTTATTCAACATGTTATCCAGCACGGCGAGGAAGAAGATCGGTCAAGGATGATCGAAGTGGTCAAGAAAAAGGTTGTTTCACATTCGAAACACAAATTTGCTAGCAACGTCGTGGAGAAGAGCCTTGACTATGGAAACGAAACTCAACGCCGAGAAATCATTGACCAGTTGATAGCCGAGACGCCAGCAAACACGCTGGTTCTTAACGAACTAGTTGGTGACCAGTACGGCAACTACGTCGTCCGTATGTTGAACTCTCTGTCTTGCGCATTGTTATCCTTGTTACCAGGCTCGCTGCTGACAACCCCCTGCAGAGACGATCCTTAATCACTTGGAAGGGGAGGAACGGCTCCAACTTGTGGAGCGCGTCAGACCTTTGGTGGCCAACTTGAAGAGATTCAGCTGCGGCAAGCAAATTGCGGCGCTCGAGAAGCTCATCGGAGACTCGAGTCCTGAGCCAACCGTGGCGGTCCCTGCTTCGAACCATTCATCCACTACTCCTCCCAACTCACACAAGTCGTCACCGCAGCCTTCGAAGCGCTCGGTGGAGGATCGCTTTGTGGAGGCTCCCCCAACACCCCCACCGACTGACAACCAGATCGATGGAGCAAACTTGGCTGGCTCGGCCCCTGATTCCAGAGCATTCACAACTAGCCTCTAAGTCGGCCGGCATTATTTCTCGCAACATACTTGTTTTATCACTGTTTTGAACATTTTATTATTACGAGCGACACAAGAATGGTCTCGCTATAGGGCGTCCCAATTTCTCCAATAACCTCACGGCTTGATGGCGTACAGTATGAAAGACATGGGCATGGCCGGAGTACAGTTTGAGGTTTATTTTCCCCCTTCTTTTATACTTGCTTACCCTTATTTCTTACTAATTGTGCTTTTTTTTTCTTGTTCATTGATTCATGTCACGGAGAAATGAGGGCCCCGTCCTCATAACTCATGAAGGTTCTGCTTTTCTAATGTTCAAACATGGAGGATCGGCGTGTTGCATGGCGAACAATGGATGGGAAATACTGGTTTGACGTTGATGACTTCGTGGGCTTACATGATGGGACCTTTGAACATATGCTGAATACGAGACTGCTATAATGTCAGCTGGCCGAAAAGCGATTGTCAGGCATAGTTAGGATGAAAGTGCTGTACTTAATTAGTAGTCGAGGCTGTCTAGATACTTGATGGTGTTAATTAGGTATCAATACTACACACATTGCTCCAACTCAACTCTGAGAGTCTTTTCTTGTCTTTTACGACTAGCGGGTCAACAGTTAAACCCTTCCCTGGTCACTTGGTCCTGCTAAATATCACGTGATGGCAATCCCGTCGCGCAGTTCCAACTTTACCTGCTCAACTTCACTACCCTCCAGTCCATTCTTCAGTCCAGTTCAGCAACTACCTCAGAACACACAAACACCTCCAATCCTTTATCATACACTGCACAACCGATTACTACAAAACAGCCAATCCCACAACAACAGTCAGACAAATACTACAAGACCCTCGTCGCAGAAGCCCGCAAGCAAACTACAAATCCCAGCCCCGATCCCTTATCTAACATGTCCTCAAACGTGGGCCTCTCCACCCCGCGCGGGAGCGGTACATCAGGCTACGTTCAAAAGAACCACGCCTTCCTCAAACCGCGCAACTTTGGCTCCGGCGCACCATACCCACCGCCCTCAACCTCGTCAAAAGATTTCGGCTCAGAAGCCTCGGGGGGGTTTAGGCACCGACAGCCCGATAAGGCGATTCTCGAGCATGAAGCGAAGCGCGAGATTGAGGTGAAGGTTCTTGAGGAGCGGGAACGGCTTGAGGAGGAGGATGAGGAAAGGGAGGAGGGGAAGAGAGAGGGTGATGTTTTGGGAGAGGAGGAGATTGACAAGAGGTGCGAGGAGCTCAGGGAGAGGTTGACAAAGGAGTTGGAGGAGGGGAGAGGGAGGACCGGCAATGCGGGGAGGAATGGTGCTGGCAGGAAGGGGTTCAAGGCGTATCAGGTGCATGAGGCGGCGGAGGCTAAGATTCGCGAGAGTGAGCGGTTCAAGAGGGCGTTGGGGATCAGGGGAGACGGAAATAATGCTCCTGCTGAGCGGGGTGGAGAGAGAGGGAGTGCGAGGGAAGAGGTTGAAAAGAGGAGAGAGCGAGAGAGGCAACGGGAGAGCGAGCGTGATTGATACACGGACAACAAAAAAAATCTGGGTCTTCCAAATTGGCGTTTTCTGTTTAGGTTCGGCGTTGGAGGCATACGAGTGGGTTGCATTCCAATTCATATTCAATTCATATACATAGCATGACACGGCATACAGGCTGGCTTGCTTGCTCCAAGGGTATTATTCTACGAGACAAACTTTTCAATAACCCACCCCTCCTTCGGGTCCTTCCTCTGAACGACCTTTTTCGCCGGCAACGGCCACCCAGTACTGCCGACCTCTCCCACCAGCGATGGGATAACATAGCACGCCCTTCGCTCCGGCACACCCTCCAGTTGTTCGATCTTCCCAATCGGCTTCCCATACTCGATCAGCGGGGTCCCCTGCGCTAGTGCAGACAGCTGGAGCCCACTCGGCGTAACGAGCGGGTACATCCTGATTTTCGGGACGTCACCGGCGACGACTGACGGCGCGGCCTGCTGGAGATGCGAGTAGATGATGTACTGCGGCATTTCCTTGGGTGAGAGCTTCGCGATGATCGATGAGGGGTGCACGAAGACAGCGCGCTCGTTGAGCTCCTTTGCGGGGCCATCGCGCGAGCGGAAGAGGGTGAAGTAGGGAACGTCGATTGCGCGCTTTGGGGTACGCTGCATCTCCGGTGGGACGGGGGCGAGGTCCGCGCGGATGGCGACGTTGTCGATGAATCCCGCTGTGACGATCTGCTTGAGCGCCTTGACCTGCTTCTCTGTTGGTTCTGGGAGGCGGGCCTGGTATGATTCGACGAGACCCGGGTTGTTCGTGCGGACGATGTCGGTTAGTTGGCGGCGAAGCTGTGTAGCTTCTTTGAGGGCTTTGGCACGGAGGAACATCTTGTCGCAGAAGGAATCGGGGTCTGAGGGCGAGGCGTAGCCGTATGCGCAGATGGAGGAGAGGTACTTGAGGGCGTCGGAGGTGGCGTCGTGTTTGGCAAAGAGCCGGTGGGCGCGCGCGTAATCCTTATGTCGCTTCTCGCGGGCTGTGTCTTCGAGACGGTCTGAGTTTTTGTAGACACCTCCGTCTGTCGGTTCCTTGCCTGGGACTGGGTCGATTTGATTCTCGGGAATGAACAAATCCCCGACGGCCAGGGCGGCTACGAGCGCAATGACATAGGGCATGCAGCCATGCTGGTGACCGACGTAAATCATCTTGCCGAATCTAGGGGAGAGAGGGTATGTCGATAGGCTGTTACCGATGGGGGTAATCTTGCCGTCAGAAGAGAGAGCACCTAGATTCTTCAAAAGCTTCTCTGCCTTTGCAAGACCCTGTCGGCTAGGGGGAGTAGGAAAAGGGAAATTGATGACATTGTGGAGGCCCATGCTCTTCATCTGTAGGACGACACCTTCAATAGGCGTCCTCAGAATTTCTGGTTCCGTGTACTCGGCGAATTCACCTTCATAGATGGCGGACGAATACATCCGGTAGCAGTGGCCAGGCCCAGTTCTACCAGCACGACCGGCTCTCTGGTTTGCGCTGGCCTTGCTAATCCAGTCGATCTGGAATTTCTGCACGCCTGTTTCCAAGTCATACTGCTTTTCCTTTGCTCGACCACAATCAAAGACATACTTGATGCCTGGGATTGTAAGACTCGTTTCCGCCACGTTTGTCGCTAGCACTATCAGGCGCGAGCCCTCTGGAGGTGGCTCGAACACCCGCAGTTGTTCTTTCGTGGGGAGCTGTGAATACAGAGGCAACACGTGGACTTTCGTGGACGCATCCATCGCTTCCTCGTCTCCTCCAATGTCGAATTCGTCGTCTTCTTCGGGGTCGTCGAGACCTGTAATCTCAAGGTCGCTGTCCTCATCCTCAACATCGGCGGCGTTGGAAATATCAACTTCACCAATTTCCAGGTCCTCTGTTTCTAACGGCGCGTCATTCGCCGAAATCTGGACCTTAGCCTGGGTTACCTCACCCCGTTGCGTTGGCTTGAAGGCCTGCTTCAAACGCTTGGAGAGCTGTCTGATTTCATTCTGACCTGTCAAAAATACAAGCATCCCTCCTGGGGGCAGCTTGCGGTGACCTCTAGAAACTTTTCTAAATGCCTCTTCAACATAGTCGCGGTGCGTGCGCCTAGCAAAGTGAATTGTGACGGGGTACTGGCGGCCCTCTGCCTGGACGAGAGGGGGAGGACCTTGCCGGAAGAGGCTTGGATTCTGTGTAAAATCAGAGATGCGTAGGGTCGCAGACATGATCACAAGTTTCAAGGGCTTGACTGAGGGGTCCTCTTCAGCCATAGTTTTGCGCAGGTCGACGATACGGCTGACCATGCCAATGAGAATGTCGGTGTTGACACTCCGTTCGTGAGCTTCATCAATCACGATGATGGAGTACTTGCTGAGGGAAAAGTCCTCTGCGATCTCTCGAATGAGAATACCATCCGTCATGAACTTGATAGCCGTCTTGCTCGTAGCTGTGCTCTCAAACCGAATTTGGTAGGACACTTGATCAGAAAACTGCCCAAGCTCGTTGGCCACACGCTTCGCCATACTCACTGCGGCGACTCGACGGGGTTGGGTGACTCCAATCATGCCAGGGTTTCCGCTCTCAGGATTGCCATGGCCAGCTTCGAAGAGGAACTGCGGAAGTTGTGTGGTCTTTCCGCTACCAGTAGCTCCCCAAATAACGATTGCCGAGTTGTTGTGGATGGCCTCCATGATCTTTTGTTCCTCTCCGACGACCGGAAGTTTAAGACGCGCCTCCTGCACTTCTTCGGGCCGGTTGACCTGGACACTGAATGCCTTGCGATATGGGTTTCCTTTGGTCACTTGTAGTTCGAGGGGTAACGGCTCCTCTTCCTTTTCCCTGACAGGCAGCTTGGACTGGTCTATAACTTGTTGCGGTTCTGCAGTTATTGGGCCAGTCTGAGGCTTAAATCCAACGGCTTCATTGATTTGTTGTCTTGCCCAGGATTTAAAAGCCGATTGTCGAGGTCTAATACGTCCATTGATATTCTCTTCTTCTTCTTCTTCTTCTTCTTCTTCTTCTTCTTCTTCATCGTCCTCATCCTCTTCTTCGTCGTTGTCATCATCATCATCATCGCTGTCCTCTTCGTCCTCCTCCTCTTCGTCATCTTCGCCCTCGTCTTCGCTTTCGTCGTCTTCTTCGCTTGTCGAGTCTTCCGAAGCGTCTGGACCTGATTCGTCGTTCTCCGTCTTGTTTTCTGTGCCAACTTCGGGCTCAATATCCTCGCCCTTCTCGCTATCCTCGTCGAAGCCCTCCCACGGTATCTCATCTACTGTCACTGCAGGCTTGGCTTTGGGCGCGCGCTTTCGTTTTTTGAGAATTGGGAATCCGTCCGGTCCGAGCTCGAGAGGGCGCTTCAACCCAACTCCACTCATAACAGCCGGCGCTACTTGATCCGCGGCGTCGGCCTTTTTACCCGAAGCCAAGTATTCATCGTCCGACTCGTCGCTCGACCAATCCGGCGCATTACGAGGTTCGTCGGCCGCGGCAACTGTGTGTCTTTGGGTTTCGCCATCATCCTCCCTCTTTCGCTTTCCAAGCTCTTTCGAACTTTGGAGACCAGTAACCTCGACTTTTGACTGAGAAAGCTTCTTGAGGAGCTCGATGTTCTCTTCTTTCTTGAGTTTATTTTCCTATACAGAGTTAGAATTGGCGTTGACGAAATCCTTGATTGGAACATACAATATACTTGTCTAAGCGCTTCTGCTTTTTCGCAGATATCTTCGGATGCTGCGCTTTCAATTCATCACGGAGTTTCTGCTTCCTCGCTTCCTTCTCGTCCTTGGAGAGAGGCGCTATCTCCGCCGCATTCGAGTCGACAGCATTGGATGCCTGCTGTTGTCGGTGTTTCTGCTTTCTCTGACGGGGAACAAATTTCGGCATGATGCCACCGTCCTTCTCCTCGAAGACAGAAAGAAACCAAGAAAAGCTAGTGTAGAAGTGGATAGATTGTTGGTGATTTTTGCTGAAAATTTCAGGGACAGTAAAATTATGCCGGACTTATATTGTCGGTCCTCTTGGCGGTCAACAAGTGCTCCCCACTCGTATCCTTCGATCCGTGACTATTTACTGAGTACATCTATTTGATATTCTTGCGGAACATTTTTTTTTTTTTTCATCCGACATTAGCAAGCAACACAAAGAGCGCAATAATATGGCAGATGCATTAAACCTAAGCCAGCTCCAGGAGCCTTTGGACCTCCCATTCCCCGCATCCACCAAGCAAGTCTCTGGAGACGTCAAAGGCATTCCCACAAATGTCACAGCCATCAAATTCAACGACAAGATCCTGATTACCATATCTCAGAAAGGCCGACTAGGTCATTGGGTTCGTGACTTCAGTCCAGACGTGAAAACGAGACTCCCGCTAAGCGCTGCAGCAGCTTCATGTTCCACTGGAAAACAAGAATCCAGGCACAGAAGGCCTTCATACAATCCCTGATGCAGAGAATGACGGCCTTCTTCCAATGAGCAACTTGACAGCTACCTCAGTTCTCGGTGGTCGCGCGCCTGGTCATGAGATTGTTGGTCAGCTTTATGCTCGTCAAATCGCAAGTGCCATTGTCACCAAGACACCGCATGAAAATCGTCTGCTTGTTGTTGGACTGGGGTTAGAAACAGCCGAGGCTGACCGCGACATTTTCTTTGCCATTGTCGATCTTGTTCTCCAGTGCATTTAGGAGGAAGGGGTACGACCAACTCACAAACTAGGACGCAGAGTCCTGGCCCCTACATCCCTCTTCTCTCTTTCGATTCTAGCGTTGGGGAGTTTGTGCTCGTGAAGCAACTTTTCGATGACGTCCCGTTCGTCTGCTGTAAAACCTCTGAAGTTCAACACGCCGAGGAATTCAAATGCTCCGCTGGATAGACATTTGATCAGCTGTCTCTCGTCAAAGCCATTCACCTTCCAGTTCTCGGTGACGACAATAGACAGTTTATAGATGTGAAGCGGTTCATTGTTGGTCAAGATAGTGATGAACTCTTCAAACGACCAACGGCGTTGCAAGGCAATCTTGAGATCTGTCGCCCCAAGGAAGAACAAAACAGACCCAAGTGGTCGATACCATCCAGCCTTGTGGATGCGGCAGACGCGTTTGATCCCGCTGTGCTGCCTGTGACCACAGCAAGGCAAGGGCTTGGGGAAACGCGTCAGGATGTTTGCAGTGAAGACGCCATATGTTCTGACAAACACCTTGCGGTAGCTGAGGGAATGATATAGGGCTATTGAAGCCTCATGATAGATATCATGCGACACTCTGAGAATGGCCAGGTTTCCAATGCCAGTGCGTCGGAGTCTTCCTATCTCAATTGCCGTCTCGTCGTGCTTGAACAACTCTCCGTAAATCTGAAATCGAAGGTGAAGAGGAAGGCGGAAGAGGTAGCAACACAGGCGCTTGCCTCCTCGCTTAAGAGGGCCCCGGGTGATCTTCTGGCCTTCCGAAGCGACCTTGTCGTGATAGCATTGTTGCTGGCTGCGATCTTCGAATCTAAGGATGCGTTTTCCCGACTCGTCAAAGACGGGTTTGTAGAAACGAACTACAACACTACAGTTCACGATCAATCAGTAACATTCTGCCTGTCTTCTGGGATTGGCTTACCCTGGGTTTTTTGGGTCTAGGCGCTTAAAGCACTGAATCAGTTTGCTGCTTATTGCCTCCATGGTGGCAGGGCTGACACTATCGGCCATGTTGACCTCAGCACAAGTTGATGTCTAAGAGAACGGATTCGAGTCAAGATATTAAGTAAGATAGTTTGGGATTGGAGATTGGGGGTAAGGGGGGGAAATAAACACCATAAATGCGCTGATTAGGGTATATCTCATGCTTGTAATTACTTATGTACTTATCTGGCCTTGGGAATTAATATATGATTTACCCTTTTTAATACTAAAAGTAGTAGATATCTGCATTAAACATATTTCTCGACTTAATGAACCTAGAGACTCTTAACAAGAGCTTTAGCGGTAGTGTATATGCCATGTAAAGTAATCTCATTCCTGTCTATACCTGTACAGTAGAAGTGCGATTAAAGACGTCGATACTGCAGCCTGCCAAGGGAGTTTACGTACACTGGCTATTTCAGGCAAGAGGCCAGAAAATTTGTTTTTCGCTTTCAATGTCACATACAATTCGACCCTGCCAGTGACTCCTTATACGTCCTCGCTCCTCTGTCCAGAAACCTGAATCGGTCAGGTCACGTGCTTTGGGCGAGGAGCAGCCGTCTCGTCAACCTGCTTTGTGACATCTAACCTTCAACATCTCACTCAACCTATCCTGCATCGAGACTATCAGATAATTATTCTTGGAGGAGCTGTGAGACTGTTTGCCCCTGTGGAAACAGTCGGACTCGCTTGAGTCGAGTGGAACCTTTCGCGATCGTCGAAACGTCCTCTCAATACATCAACCATAACACAACAATCAACGGCGTCCAAATCTTATGTGTTCGTTTGCAGAAACTCAATAGACTCTGCACTCCCGCATAGGCTTTGATAGGCCTGGGTTTTCCTGCATCCGCGGGCACCACCATGGAACCTGACTCTGAGGATGAGGCTCTCAGAGCAGCCATTGCTGCTTCGCTAGAAGATGTCCAACCTCCGGTCCGAAATCAAGCCAGCAACAATGCGAAATCTGTCGTGGATTTAACAGGAGACTCGGATGCTGACGATGTGATGCCCACCTTCCCCAAATCCAAGTCCGTCATCGGCTCTGAAACCAGTCGCGAAGTCAGTGCGCTTGACGACGCGGAAGACGAGGACGAGGACTTGGAGAGGGCGATCGCACTGTCTCTACAGGCGGCTGGTTGCCAAGATGACCCCCTGGTTGAGACAGCTACTGTCCCCCCCGTCAAGGAACAGACCCGGGTAAAGGATGAAGTTTTGCCAAAGAATAACGCGGAATCGTTCCTGGGTCTGGATCGGAAGAAGATGGAAGAGGAGCGTCTTGCGCGCCTCGCGAAGAGAAAGGCCGAGGATGGTCCCAGTCCTGATCAGCGTAATGTGAAGCATCCGCGAATTGAGGCTCCGGTACAGCATACACAAGCTTCAGGACCATCATCTGCGCCGGCGATTCAGTTTCCAGAGGGTACTGTCAAGAAGACGTTTGCTTTTGGCTATCGCAGGACGCCTGAAGATATCAAGATTGAAGAAGTCCTCCAAAAGTCGAATCTCGAGTTAGCTGTCTTGAGCTCGTTCATGTGGGACATGGAATGGCTTTTCTCCAAGGTTGATCTGCGGAATACACGGTTCATAATGGTCATGCAGGCAAAGGATGATGCCACTGTAAGTCTCGAGATATTTCTGCGATGCTCACTGCCACCGACAATTGTCGCACCCGGGACTCGCCTTTGCTGATGAAACAAGAAACGGCAATATGAGTCCGAAACAGCATCGATGAAAAACTTACGTTTATGCTTCCCACCAATGGACGGTCAAGTCAACTGCATGCACTCCAAACTTATGCTTCTTTTCCATCCAGGGTACCTCCGGATCGCGGTTCCAACCGCGAATCTCGTGCCCTTTGACTGGGGAGAGACAGGCGGCATCATGGAGAATGTACGCCTCTCTTCTTAATCTACTTATAGCCAGACTAACGGCCTCAGAGCGTATTTCTCATTGATCTTCCCAGGAGGGACTCGACAGTACCAACGAACGACTCAAAAACAAACTTCTATATTGATCTTATGTATTTTCTCAAGGCCAGTACGTTGCATGACAACATTATTGCGAAGCTGAAGGACTTTGATTTCAGCAAGACCGCACAGTTTGCATTTGTTCATACCATGCATGTCTCACTACCCATCTTTGCGGATCAATCACTAACACTCTATGTCAGCGGTGGCTCTCACTTGGGATCTTCATGGAAACAGACAGGGTACTGTGGGCTAGGTCGCTCGTTGGAAGCTCTAGGCCTGAAAACAAACACACCGATCAGCCTTGACTACGTGGTACGTATTCTCTTCCATTCTCCGCAAATATAGGCACACATTGATCAGAAACCAGACATCCTCCCTCGGCTCCATAGTCCCCGATTTCATGAGATGCATCTATCTCGCCGCACAAGGTCCGCTCCTCTCCATCTCTATTCTCCCCCACACTCCTAACTCACGAATAATAACAGGAGACTCTGGTCTAACCGAACTAACCCTACGAACCTCCAAATCTCTTCCCGCAAAAGATCCCACCGATCCGCGCCGCCTTATCACCGCAACCACAGCCGACGAATGGAAAGACAGAATGCGCATATATTTTCCATCACAGGAGACGGTGCTGCGTTCGAAAGGCGGACCCAACTCTGCAGGCACAATCTGTTTCCAGTCAAAGTGGTTTGAAAATGGGAAATTCCCTGTTCAAGCGCTAAGGGATTGCCGGAGTGTGAGGGATGGGATGGTAATGCATAATAAAGTACGTTTCCGTCACCGATCCAAGATTGTAATCGATTTAAAATTGGAGTCAATCGGGTGCTAAAACAACCACGGGATTAGATCGCCTACGTCCAACCAGATAAGCCGATCCCTCTTTCAGAGACAACAGAGTGCCCAGGGTGGGTGTACGTCGGAAGCGCAAATTTCTCTGAGAGTGCATGGTACATCCCCTACGTTACCCTATTTTCTTTCCTTTCCTCCCTCTTTAGCAGATCGAGAGCAAGTGCTAACCTACAATCTCCAACAGGGGCCGCCTTATCCAAGACCGCAGCACAAAACAGCCGAAGCTCAACTGCCGAAACTGGGAATGTGGCGTCATCGTACCGGTCATCAAACAAGAGCCAACAATAACAAACGCGGAACGAATCACGAACACCTCCGCGGAGGGATCCTCGAGCAAACAAGTTAAAGGAAGCGGAGTGGAAGAAAACACGCGCCTCCTGGATATCTTCGCAGGGACTGTGCCCGTCCCGATGCGAGTTCCGGGCCCGCGATTTGATAGAACCAGGAAGCCGTGGTATTTCATGGAGATGGACTGATGGATAGGGATACCTGGTATATGCACTGTGCGCTAGGACAGTATGGCACGCTTGAGTGAATGCCAACGGCATTCGTATCTTCTACTTTTGGAAGCTTAAGGTGGAAGACTCATGAACATGGATTATACTATGAAAATTTCTTATTAATGCTAAGTAACCATTATGAAGAGTTTGGGATATCAAAATATCCATGCAAATGTCCGACTTGGACCAAAAAACAACCCATATATCCATCTATACAACACCGATTGAAACAGAGAAAAGCTCAGAAACGCTCAGTATGTAAATGTTTGAAAATCAAATAAACCTCCTCTCACAAGCTTTTATATTGTTCTCTTCCTCCTTTTTTCTTGTTTCGAGGTCCCTGAAGAAACATTTAGTTCTTCTTCGAAAAGACCTTCTTAACAGAAGACCCAACAGCCCCCAAACCCGAGAAGAGATATCCCATACCAAACGACCACCTCTTGACTCGTACCGTGTAGATAAAGAAGTAAACAAGCAGCCAGTTGACAATGACAAAGGCCAGGTAGATCCCGAAAGACCTCCACTTGTCGTTATCCTTGACGTTCAGGGTATGCATGTACTCCGTGCCATCAGCATACGGACAATACTGGCAATCCGAAGTAGCATCGGGGTTAACGAGTCTTCCAACGCCGGCGACATTGCTAACAAAGTTGGACGCGTAGTCGGCGCAGGTCGATCCGGGGGGCGGGTTGAAGTGTGTGCTCTCCGTAGAAGCGCAGGAGATCTCAACCGAGGGGAACACGGCGGAGATAGTACCGCGGATCCACCAGGTCACGGGGTTGACGTAGTACATCCAGTATTTCCAGAAGACGGGGTAGTCGTCGTAGGGGCGGACGACACCGTTGAAGAGACCTGTGACGACGAAGAAGAAGGGGAGGATGTTCGAGATGACGGTGAATGAGGGGGCGAAGGCGCAGATCCATTGTCCCCATGAAGCCTGGAAGAGGAAGAAGAGCATTGTCATGAGGAAGACGTAGCCTGAGGCGCTAGAGTCCGTGGGGAATCCAACGGCGAAGTACCAGAGGAGGAAGTAGACGACTGAGGAGACGATGGCCATGGGAATTTCGCCGAGGACGTTAGCCGTGCAGAAGGCGACCCAGCCGTAGATGCGAGATGGGTATTCGCGGGCTTCCCAAAGGGCGCGGTTCATGTAGAATTTGGGGAGAATGGAGTTGAGGAAGATAGGCGGAAGGAGAATGACCAGGAAGAGGGAGAACATGCGGTTTTGCATGGAGGCGATGGAGTTATCGAGTTGCCAGAAGGTGAAGCCGTTGAAGATACCAATGATGACGGAGGTGAAGAGTTTGCCGTAGTAGTAGGACGGGTCGCGCCAGTACTGGGTGAAGACGCGCTTGGTGAGGAGGTAGCTTTGGGTAAAGGTCGACGCCGCAAACTCATACTGGGGTCCTTGGTCTTCAGAGGCTGTGGCGTCGCGGCGGGTGTTGTGGATGCGCTCGATTTCGTCCTGAATTTCCTGGCGTTGGGAAGAGATGCGCCATTCTTCGTTCCAGTCAATGGTCTTGCCTTCGCGTTTGATGGGTTTGGCGGCGGTTTCGAGGATGAACTCGGCGACGTTCTTGGCTGGAGGGCAGACGGCGCCGCGGTCGGCAAAGTACTTGATCACGTCGCGACCGTCGGGGCCGACGGCGCCAAAGTAGAAGGTGTTACCACCGGGGTTCAAGGCTAGGATCATGTCGAACTGCTGGATGAGCATGGAGGAGGGCTGATGAATCGTGCAGACAATGGCCTGGCCGGCTTGCGAAAGCTTCTTCAGGAAGCGCACGATTGAGAACGCAGCCTGACTGTCAAGACCGGAAGTAGGTTCGTCAAGGAAGAGCAGCAGACTGGGCTTTGCGGCGAGTTCTACACCGATGGTGACACGCTTCTTCTGCTCGACGTTGAGCGATCCAATAATGGCATCCTGGATCTCCTCGAGTTCCAAGAGATCGATAATCTGGTTGACGTAGGCAATCTTCTCTGAACGAGGAACGTTGCGGTCCTGACGGAGCAGGGCAGAGAACTCAAGAGCCTCGCGAATGGTAGCAGTGTTGTCGTGCAGGTCCATCTGTTCGCAGAAACCAGTACCTCGCTGGAAATCGGTTCCAAGGGGACGACCATCCACCAGCATGTCTCCGCCGATCACACCAGTCGTCTGGCGCTGAGCGAGGGTGTTCAGCAAAGTAGTCTTACCTGCACCGGAGGCGCCCATAAGCGCGATCATGAGTCCTGGCTTTGCGTAACCGCTGACGCCGTTAAGAAGTTTCCGAGTTCCATTTCCATAGGGCACCGTGTATTCGACGTTGTTCCAGGTGAAGACACGCTCGCTGGACGAGATGCGGTTGAAGGCAGCCTGAGCGTTCTCGGAGCCAGACTGGGTCAAGGAGCCATCTCCGGTCTGAGCAGTTTCCTCGTCCTTGGGCTTCTCCGCCGCAGCCTTGATCTGCTTGGCCCGCTTGGATTTCTTGAAGACCAGGGCGCCATCACCACCGCCAACAAAGGAGAGTGTCTCGGTAGCAATGACGGTAACCAGAATGTACAGGACAGTAAAGGCAATGACGACACCAAAGTTCCGCCAGAGGTGGCTGCGCACGAACTGGAACGAAGTGGCGAGGTAATCGGCGCCAGAAACGTCTGTCGAGCCGAGGTGGGATCCAGTGAGGGCACACCCTTGGTACTGAGGATCAACACCAGGACCTTGCGGGACCAACATTGAGGAATCACATTGCATGACTCGGTCGGAGAACTCGTTGGTTAGGACGGCCTCGTAACTGTAAGAGAGTGGGTTGACGTAGAACAGCCAGCCGAACCAAATCGAACCGTCAATCAGGCCTTGCTTCGGAATAACGTAACCAACGAACAGCACCAGAACGTTCAAGGCGATACCAGCGAATCGGACGGCGTCGTCGATGGACGGTGACAGCGCGGCGAACATGCGGTACATCGAGGTGATACAGAACGTAGTGGTGTAGACGAATAGGAAGTAGATCCAGAACTTGGACGCTGTAACGTCAAGACCAGCAAGGAAGTACAAAATGATGGTAAACGGCACGGTCATGCAAAAGATGGCCGGGAAGTCAACCACCACACGGGCAATGGCAACAGCAGATGGGCGGTAGAAGGCGTAGTCCTTGTGTCGCGCAACAATAGCTCGTCCCGAAACAGCCGGCATCAACTCGGTCAACTGCAGCCAGCCAAGGAACAGGATTGAGAAGAAAAGGGCACCGCCACGGGGAAAAGCTCCGGAAGTGTTCATCGATTCACCATAGAACAGGGATGCGACGATCAGGGCGTTGGAAACGATAATAAAATATTTGGTGTAGAGGGAGGTCTTGTCGCCCCATAACAGCCAAAATTCACGACGGACGCAAGCTGCAACCTGACGAGCAAAGGAAACGGTGTAGGGAGACTTTTTTGAGACGGTCTTACTCTTGCCCTGGCGAACAGTCTTCTGGAAGCGCTCAGTGTCCTCGCAGTTGGTGTCGTGGAGGCGCTTCTCATAGTTCTGGACCTCCTGCCCGATGCGCTTGTAAAAGTCACTCTGTCTAAACGCTGCCTCGAGCTCCTCGGGAGTCTTTGGCGTAGACGCTTCACGGCCAGGCTGGAATTGACGGGCGTTGGGGTCGCACAGCGAGGTCAGGAAATCGGCGGTAGTGGACTGCTCGGGGCAGTAGAAACCAAGATTGATAAAGTACTGCCGAGCGAGATGGGCAGGGCCCTGGAACAGCATGCGGCCAGAGTCAATAACCAACACCTTGTCCATGAGCTCGTAGATGCTCTCTCCCGCTTGATACAGGGTGACCAGAGTCGTGCGCTTGCTGACATCGGTCATGATGCGGAGGGACTTGGCGTAATCCAGAGCAGTCGAAGCGTCCAAACCACGCGTACTGTTGTCCCAGCACACAACGGAAGACTTGGTAGCAAGAGTCTCCGCAATACTGACACGCTTCCTCTCACCACCAGAGACTCCACGAACAAATTCGTTACCAACAACTGTGTTCTTCGTGTGCGAAATACCAAACATCTTCAGCAGTGCATCGATGATAACCGGAATGCTCTCCTTGTCGTGCTTCTTGGTCTTGTTGATAAGAGAGAACTTGAGAGTCTGCCAAACAGTAAGGTTAGGAAAATGCTGGTCATCTTCCTGGTTGTAGTTGACCTCGCCACGGAAGTGCTTATCCTGCTCAGCGGCAGAAAGCCCACCGTAGCTGACCTCGCCTTCGACGGCGGCGAAAGCACCGCGGTCGTTGGCAATCGCCTTGAGAAAGGTTGAGCAACCAGCTCCAGGGCGGCCCAGGACAAGCATCATCTCACCCTCGCGAACGGAACCGGTAAAGTCGTGAATCAGGTCCCGCACGGGGGGCTGCTTACCGAACCGCAGCTGAGGGACGAATCGGCAGACGATATTGTACAGATCTGGTCCAAAAGTTCCCATAACGGCATCAGGAAGAGACCGAACGAATGAGGCACCGGTCTGTACACCCTTGACAGTGAGGTTCTTGAAAACAACCCCGACCTTCTTCGCAGGATCCCCTGCAGTCGTCCGGCGCTCAAGATGGCCACCCATTAGAAAGTCAGTAAGATCGAAGCTGCCAAACTCGTCTTCCTCTTTTTCGAGATCCTCCTCTGCCATTTCGGGGTCGTGGGGCTGGCTCGCCCGGGATCGCATCCGGTGGGCATCCTTGGTGGTTGATTTCGTTCGTTGCAGACTCAGTCTGGTCAATTCCCTGCGCATCTCTTCGTAGTCCTCCATGGCCCCGCGGCGAGAGACAGGCTCTGTGCCCCGCTCTCCCCATTGGCCCTCTGTTGAGGTGTCACTGTCGCTGCTCGAGCCGGAGACCATCGTGGTGTCTGAGGGGACTTCCCCTGCGACGGTTGAGACTTGGGTCAAGCCCTCGGTGTAAGCCTTGTCGGCCATAATGACCTGGCTTTGGGGGTGGAGTTAAGTTCGATAGCTGTGTATTAGAGGGGGAGAATAGGAGGTATGCAAAAGCGGCGTGATTATTATGTATAGTGCGTGGCGCTTGATATTTACAACAAAATGCGATTGAAAAGAGAGGTTGAGAGTGGAGATGGTCCAGCAAGCGTCCACGCACAGGACGATAAGCTTAAGACAAAAAAAAGAAGATAGAAGAGAGAGATGGCAGAGATCTAAGAGGGTGGAATTGCATCATGGTTATAAACGCAAAGGGGGTTACCAGTATTACTAACTCCGGTGGGCAACTGGGTCAGCACCGCCCAGATTTGTCAGTATGTGGCCGAAGGAAATACGGAGTAAGGCAGTAAGAGCGAAGGCTCTGAGGATCGGGTAGATCTCACAGAACCCTAGCCGTAAGAGTGGTGGCTCGAAATCCGCAGAAGCAGGGAGACGCCTTCGATTCTTCGATGAGCAGCACGAGCTGCGGGTTGAGCAAATTGAATTCCATGGTCTGGGCAACGAAACAGTGGAGCGTCCAGAAACTGTCTCGGCAAGCCCCATGAGTCAGGATGACGATGCAACTGTCATTGGCCATTTCAAAATCAACCAGACATGGAAGATCGTGGGTCTAGAAGGCGAACCGAGCGGCCGCCATGGAACACGAGTCAAGGTTGAAGAGAAATTTCTGAACGCAGCCAGACTGAACGTCTTTTCATTGGTTCCAGTCGGAGATAAGCTCCGGCGTTTATTTCCGGCACAGCTGACTAACCGAGCTTACACTAAGTTAACTAACTAACACCCTCTCAAGTATATCCGTAAGGCTGTCGCTTCTCTCGAATATAGATTCATGCTTCCTCAAGATTACTACAGAGGAGAATGTGCAATTATCAGGATCATACAATGTAGCCGAAGCACGTAAGCAGAAACACAACTGGTATGTCCGACCAGTGGTACTTATCAGAAACTGGTGAATAATCCATCCGGCCAGAAACCCAAAAGTCTCCGAAGTTTAGACGATCGCTGGACCCTCCGGCTCCATCATTGTCCTCAATTTCATGAATCATGCCTTCGTTTTCATGTTTTCATAAGCAGACCCTGCAAAACCTGCAAACTTTGCTTACGCCGAGCCCCTTATGCCCACGTTAACTCCTTTGATGGGACCTTCCGCTCAGACGACTCTTCTTCAAAATTCAAGTTCCAACTCCTGAGCGCACTCGGAAATCCGCTCTAATTGCCACGGGCAGATTTTACTGAGCAATTATCGTGATTCATCAATGACCACACCAGACCTACCTGGGTAACCGACATGCTAACCGGTGGTGGGCCCTGCGTCAGCTTCAGATTCTGATTTTCCTTGTGTTTCCAAACTCCACTGGAGTCGGGCGGCATCTCGGCTTCGTTTCAGCCTTGAGCCTCCGCAATGACAACAAACTGTGATACTGTAGATACATAGCCCTTAACTCCGAACCGACCAGCTTGACTCGTGAACCGTGGCTTCTGCTCGGACTTGGTGAAGGTTATCTGCACGTTTATGTGCTCTCCGCCACCTGCCTGTCGCCGTGGCACCAACAGCCTGCGTCATGGATTGCGATTTTGCGACAACATTATTCATCACATGCACCCTGGAGCAGGTGATACCGTGCCAACTGACTCGAACATCCCAGGATAACCCTAGTAACTGGTCAGCAGTGCCAGTGCTAAGCGGTCAGATTTCTGGGGTCGTGCGATGGCGCTTACTCACTGCTACTATTCTGATTGAGTAATCTGTCGGAATAGAGGGTTGGAAGCTTGGTTTATAATCAATAATTCCTTGCAATGTCAACAGTCCCATCCATAGTCTCTGGTCTCTGGTTGGATATGAATTTTCCTGCTCTGCTCGCAATCTGGCCTGGAGATGCATACCCTGCGGTTCGCTCGATCGAATAAACCGACTCTGTCGGTTAACGTGCGTCGGCTCGGAGTCGTATGCTCGTCTCAGCTGCCTACTTATGACAAGACATATCTCCAGCGTCTTCGGCTAACCGCCTGTTAGCACGATTGGTTCGATCTTATGCGGTTTGCTCTCCAATACCCCCACGGACGTCGGAAGCCTGGAGCGGTAAGCTTACCGCTACGCCACGCTTTCTTATCATTTGCCATGTAGATCGATTGGGAAAACTCTGGACTATGGTCCATGGATCCATTATTGTAGAGTATCCTCGACCAAACGGTTTGTTGGACCTAAGACCCAGTCAGTAATCGGCCCAGGTAGTCTTGCGACGATCAGGCGTCTGACCGCATATTTTGATCGCGCCAGGACCTTTTCCAGCGTTATCAACTTATCAAGATGATGAGGGGTAAGTTAGATATTCCTCTTCGTTTTCGTCTCGCAGCTTGGTCAATGACTCGTAACACTCGAGCTCTTGCAAAATACGTTCAGTGAGGTATTTTGACCATGAAGTAGCTGGCTCCTCCCATAGACTCGAGGCAGGGTATGGTGTCCATGTTTGTCGATGCCGACGCGCGCATTATGTCCGATTTTCGCAATCGATCGAACTTCACATGGCCTAGACTCCTGATAGGTTGCTCTATGAACTTGTACATGAGTATACTATCCTCGGCATGTCAAACTCAATGGAAGGCAAGAGAAACAAGCGGAAACGACCATATCTATCGCTCAATTCTATACATGTGGATCAACACTACGTAGACTACTATAAATATAAATGTACATCGAAACTTGTCGAATATCAAAATCAGGGGTTCTTTTTCCCTGCAGCTCTAGCAATGCGTCTTTGGACTTCTTCTTTGGAGAGGATTTTGACTGCGTCTTTTGAGAAGATGTAGCTTAGGCCTGACCAGATTGTTGTTGCTGCGACAAGGCATCTGTGGAGGTTAGTTAGTATAGACGAAATGGTCGGGAAGCCAGGAAAAAGACGATAATAAAGAAAAAGGGTGGGAGAAATTAAAGAGCAAAAAAAACATACAACAGTAGGGATTCGCATGTGGTCACCCACCATACTACTAACCTACCGGCGTGTGGCTTAAGTACGGCTGAGCGGACGGGAAGCCCTGTTCTCCACACCCTGTGGTCGTATGTGCTTGTTTCAACCCAGACACATCTTCTATACCACTGGGGCTTCCCAATACACTCGCCAAAATTGAAGAACACAGCAAAAGAGGGGTAAATGATAAAGAAAAGGACTTACTGGAATGCAGTCATCGCTTCTCTCAGACTCCATGCATCGAGAATGGTTTCAGGAAGCACTGGAAGCGCCATCGCGCTTCCGACAAGAAGAAGCTGCAGCGCTGTGTTGATCTTCGAGATCCCTGTCGGTCTGACCTCTGCAGAGGGGAGTGAAAAATCCCAGTACCGGGCCATGGTCTTTGGCGGTGGCAGCGAAATCCAGCGGTAGTAAATCGCAGAGAGGGACAGTCCAACATCTCGACCGAGGATAATCACAGCAAGCCATACTGGTCGAGTCAGCATCAATCCGCAGTTGGCGTTCTGTATTTTAGCACTCGAACTTACCAGGTATTGACCCATTAACTGCTAGGCAGGCAACGCTGATGGTCATCAAGAGCTTATCGGCCATTGGATCGATGATTGTCCCAACGACAGTTTGCAGATTATATCGCCGTGCGATATATCCGTCGACCAGGTCTGTTATGCCTGCATAGGCAAACAGAGCTAGCGCAGTTGCATGATAGTCGTACACCAGAAAGTAGCCTACCAAAGGCGCAGCAACCAGTCGAGAAAAAGTAAGAATGTTGGGTACAGTGTATATGTTCTCATGAGTTGGGATTGGGATCCGTGAGAGAATAGGTGACTTCTTTTTCTCTGGTGTTGACCCTTGTGGCGTGCCCTCATCGGTCGACTTCTTTGCAGACCCTCGTTGCTGCAGCCTGAATCTAGACGCCAGTCGCCGGGCATCTATGGCCTGGATTCCTGGCCTCTTCTGGCATCCGGTGGCCAGTGTGGATATCGACGATTGGCATAGTACTTGCCTTGATCCCTGGGTATGCAGCACCTGCCAACCTCGTGTCGTGATGGCATGGCCCAATGGCTGAGGTGTCGGAATACACCCCCTCGACGCACGAAGCGCCATTGGAAAAAGCGGTCGCATTGCCATGCTGACCTCCACCAAGCAAACAGAAAGTGCTAAATCTCACTTTCAAAGACGTGATGATGCTCGTCGTATTGATCAAGCACGGTCCTCAACCTGGTTTATACCAGGTATATGAGGGGTGTTATGAGCAAACAAACAGACTCATATAGGCCACCGTTTCTGTAGCAGGAGCACCTTGGGCCAATGCTCTACGGTAACAATGCTGTTGTTTGCAGGTTGACAAACACGTTGCTCACGTGGCCGCGGCACCCAGCCGAAAAAATGGGCCGATGTTGATAACTACCACAACTTGGGAGACGGGCAACAGAAGATAACAATGAATAAAGAAAAGAGTGACGGTGTTGAAGTTCTGGAGGTTCTGAAAAGCGGATTTTGGAAAACCAATGCAGAAATGAAACTATACAAAAACGCTCCCGGACTGGACAAGTCTGGTTGTTCTCGACTCGGCTTGTGGCGGCGGATGAACATTAATCCGGAATACCGGTCTTCTGTCATGTGATGCGTATCTCCCTGTCGACATCATGACGTTGCTCATCGATGGCTTTCTTGGTGGTTGTTTATTTCTCAGGGTCGAGATGCTAGTCAAAAACGTGTTCGATGTCCCTCGTTATACTTTGGTCCCTGAGACAGAATAAGCCCCGTTAGGCAACGCCTTCTGATCTCGGGAATATCCCCACACCGGAAATATATCTCCATCATCGTATGCCACGTGCAACAACAATGTTAAAACGCAGCAAAAATGATCTAGAGCTGGCAGAAGCCTTAGCTGACTCACATGCCCGCCGCCTAGCTGCTGACGCCTGCTACCTCTCCCACCAGAGCCTCCAGCTGCTAACCTCATCTGATACCAGCGCCCACCTGACATGGCATTCACCACAGTTCGAACACAACACTCCAGGAAGAGTCAGACGATAAGTAGTAAAAATCTAACACAATACCATACTGTTTCCAGGTCAGATCCCTGACAATAATTCGATTTCCACCTAATAACTACACCTATGGACCTCCGCTTTCGCGCACCAAAGACCAACTATAGCCATGGTGCTAAACCATTTCACAGCTCCGATATTAACCTCTACGGAGGCGCCAGTCTTTCCGCCCAGAATATCCGCTAAGAACCCACCGAGTGAGGGAGACTGCGCGGATCCCAACGTCGCCGACCCCCGACTCAACATCAACAGGCCGTGCATCTATGAGCGTCGACTCCCTGGCAACGCATACATCACAGCACATGTCCAGCGCCTCCAACATGGCTACTACTCAACCTCCGCTGTGTCCGATATGGGCTTTGACCACGTCGACTTTCTAGCAATTAGCTTTGTCTTCCATTCACCGGATACACTGAACCATCGATTCAAAGCAGCGACTATCCGCGCCTCGCTTTACAGCCCGCCCATACGCTACAGCTCACACCACGACAGATTAAAGAGAAACTCTAGATCTGGATCAAGATGCAGACCTCTTCACCCGCGCTTCCTAATGCACGCCCCGCACCTCCTTTACGGCTCCATTTCCCCCGAAACCATGCAGTGGAGCTATAGCCTCTCTGGCACGCTCGGCATCGCACAACTCCCACTGATCGCCTCCCTAACCCCTTCAACAGGCCTCAACGGCCAGTTCCGGCGCTTCGAGATGATGCGTATCCAGGGCTCCGCGCGTACTCTCGATGACGACGACGGAAACACCAGGCCAGCCGCTCAAATCGTTTGGACCTTTGAGGAAAACAGCCTCCAGCGCTCTGGGTTACCTCGCGAATTCACCTTTGCCATGTTGATTGCGAAACCGAGTCCCTGCACCCGCGTGGTCTTGGATCTAGAGATTGAGCCCATACTACAGAGTTGGTTTGGGGCATATCCGGCTTGGTGGTTGGCGTTGTGGAAGAGGTATCGAGCTGTTCAGAGGAGAAGAATGGGACAAGCGTGCAATGGTTCTGGTATAGACTTTCGAGCAAGAGTGGGACAGAGGTTCGAGCCTGTTATGTCTAGAAGGGGCTTCAATTTCGCCACGCTCGTCGGCGGATTTGATGAGTTCGTCAGTTTGGCTGGGAGGAGAGTGCTGTTGAATGTAAGCCTTTGATGTCGGCGACTGATGCACATGTTGTGGACCTGAGGTCGTTTAGTGCTAATCAGTATTGTATAGATCCCCGGCGAAAACTTCCAAGATGACACCGGCGGAGCACCTCCAATACCCCCGCCACAACCACAACCACAACCGCAGCCGCAGCCATTTCCATATCCAATGCCATACCCCGGCTTCGGCTACGGCTACCCGAATCAAGAAGGCCCACAGGTTACGGTCCCACTGGCTCGAGAAGCGGAACCAGGAGCAAGACCAAGAGACCGAGTCCGAAAGGAACCGCCCTCATCCTCATCCGTACAGGCACGCGCACATTCCCATTCGTATGAGCGCACTGGGACTGGCAGTCATAATGGCAGAAGCAATCGGAGTGGAGGAGGCAGTGGTGCTAGAAGGAGGGAGCACCTAGATCAGTACTGACACTGACACTGGTACTGTTACCCCCATTCATCTTAATACCCTTTTTGCAGTGTTTCCTTCTGCCGCCTTTCTATTTTTGCGATACCTAGGTAGATATCAACCCAAATCATCCCCGAATAAACTCAGATATACTCCATTAGATATAACTAACCGCCCTCGAGCAAAGGCTATATTCAAATCCTAATCTTCCTTTTCTTCCCCGGTAAGCGTACACTCAACCATCAATATCAGCCAGTCGAGAAACATAAGGTCTACAGAAAGAACTCTTAGGTTCCACCCGCTCTCGTAACCTAACCTACCTGTAACCACATATATCTCTACCTAGGTAGCTTGATACAATGCAAAGTATAGCTAACTTTGATCTACTATACACCCAGCTAAAACTACTCTTCGAACACACGGAGTACTCCAAGCCAGCCCAGCATAACTAGTCCAGCCAAGCCCTGTCTCCCTTTCTCTACTCACCTCTCCCCGCCTTCCTTCTCCCCGTTCGCTTACCCCAAGGCCACGCTATCAGCAACTCCCTCCTTGCGTCCCGCGTACGTAACCAGCCCATGCCATGCCACCATGAAACGAGCCCCATAACAGACGGTGGAGCGCACACACACACACACACGGACTAACGCCCCCAATGCAGGCTGCGACATAACTATGGCACAGCATGGCACTGACACTTGCTGGCTCATGGCAATTGACCACGCGAGGTGGAATGGCATGTTGCACTGCCGCACGTCTGCAGCCACCGGTCAACCATTAACTAAATAGGGATATATGAAAGGCTATGGTACTACTGGTAGTAGTAGTAGTAGTAGTAGTAGTAGGTATGTAGGCATGGATAATGAATTCACGCAGTAGATGCGCAAGCGCAAGCGCATGCCCATGCCCATGCGTAAATGCTGCGGCGCATGTGAACTGGTGATTGCCCTCTTCTCTCCTTTCTGTTTCATCTCCACCTCCCTTGATCCTCTCACGTGGAAGACGTGGAGTAAGGAATGGTGAGCCATGAGCCATGGGCCATGAGTGTGGTGGAATGGGGTTTGTGATGTGGGTTGTGCAGCGGTACTGCACTGCATTGCAGGTGGGTGGGTGATATGGATATGGGGATTCTCAGGGCGGAGTCGAGTTGCCAAGGGCTAAGCTGAAGCTCGTTTACTAACATGAATCGATTGGTACATTACAAGAGTCAGCTGAAGCCGTATATCAAGGAGGAAAGACGCTATTCAGAACCCCTTGCATAGTCGCTTATCAGCTCGATTTCGGGCATTTGCACGACTCGAGCTCTTCTCGAATGTCTGGAATGCGAGAAAATAAGAAGAAGAAAAGGCGTGGATCAAGCTGTATTATTATTTCTCAGACTGAACAGACTTTTAGTCATTATCCATTCTCGCATTCTCGTTGACCATGCACTTCATTATCAAACGACACCAGAACATTAGTACATAAGTAGCCATGACCTGTCTTGCAGTCTGCGATGACTCGAACATAAAATCAATCCCTCTGAAGCCACGAGGCTGTGAGAGCAGTAGAGGAAGAAAGTGTAAAAGTAAAAATAGATATGCAAGGGTGGAAAAAAACAATTTCAGATAACCGCCCTAAACCGTGCCGTTCAACCCAACCCATTGCTCGTAAACGCATGAAGAGGCACAGAATGAAAGCCAAATGCCCAATAACCCCTGCCTATGACGGACGCAGATTTGAAAGGAGGAAGTAAAATGGCTGAAGTAACAATTTTGGTAGTGCGAATCGTATCATCGTGGGGAGAACAGAGAAAGCAAATAAACCGCCAGCATCTTCTCTAAGAGCAGTGCATCATCCGGGTAATCATCGATAGATAACATGCACAGTCTATGCCCAAACTACCGCCCTTAAAAAAGACAAGAGGGGAATCACGGGAATCAATAGTAGAGGAAAAGCATCAAAGGGGAATGAAAATGATCGAACGCGAGTGGGGAATTGGCAGACTAAGAAATGAGGATGTATAATTATATCTACGGCTGAGCCGGAGCAGTAGACCATGCTGTTGAGACGGGGTAACCGGAATGCGTGACTGCCGTAGAGTTGATATAATATGGGTGATGCGGCTGTTGTTCGCTTCGCGTATAGTAATTTGTCGCAACCGGATTCGACTCCCGCCGGGGGACGGTGGCATCGAAGCTCATGTTGCGGTGGTCCAAAGGCGAGTGTGACGATGAATCCAGGTGACCCGCCAAACTGAAGCTGCTCCGCTGCGAAAATGTCGCTGGGGTTGACGGATCGATTGGCGAGGTGGTATCCGTTGTCATACTTCGCGAGGAGATGGACGAATTGCGGTAGGCGGCCTGACTCTGGTCAGACTGAGATCGCGCACGCTCACTGATGGAGCTCGTAAGAGACCCGGGAATGCTGGGTTGAATCGCTGAAGACAGAGATCCCTGACTCATGGTATCGAAAGCCGTCCCGTACGAGTGTTGTCTGTACTGGGAATACTCCTCCTGTTTTGGCACATGCGGGATCTGGGCTGGCGCCGCCGTAGGCGTGGGAAGATAGGAGTGCGGGTTCTGAACCGGGTATCCCGACAGTGCAGGCGCAGGATGTGTCGCTGGGATATATGTCTCTGGCATGAAGTATCCGCCCTGTGCGCCCTGGAGCGGATATGACGCAGTTGCCAACATCTGCGTGCGATAAGAATAACTGGCGGGATCGTTAGGATTATCAATAGGCCCAGGCGGGTCAAGCTCGTCTATTGGAGCTCGGAAGTTTTGCTTGTTCACGAGTTCACCCCGTGGCCGAATTTGTCTGAACCCTTCATAACGTGTTGGCGGCGCGAGGGCTCCTCGAGTTACGTCGTCGACGCTGTAGTAGGAGACAAGGTGATGCGTCACGCCAGCCACCGTCACACTCATCGTTTTCTTGACCAAGCCGGATTCTTTGAAGCCGTACGAATCGACTAGCGAGCCGACCAGGGCTCTCTGGACATCCGCCTGGTGCGCTCTCTCGCCGTACGGTTCAGTGGGCGATGGAGAATAACCGTTGGTTGAATCCTGTCGCGGATACGGTTCCCCAGGTCTTCCCGGAGGGCCTGGTGTACGTCGGGTCGTTTTCTTCATCGCCCGCTTCTTCTCTCCAGGAGGGAACGGCTTTTCCAACTCGCGATAGACCAGGAAATTGCCCAGAATGCGACTGGGGCTCCATGTTACGCCGTCTGTCCATCGCTTGATCCCTGACGAATTCTCCTCGTAGATGAATACGCTCCCGCTGCGAACCAGATGGCTACGCTCCCGATCGTGCGGCCGACGGGGGACGTGATGCAGGATTCCGCTCAAACACGCCTCGAACAAGATTAGAGCGTCCATCGTTGTCGCGACATACCCGGTGAAGGTCGGCTCCAACACCGTCGATGTGCCGGTGACCATTGCTTCTTGCTCCTTTTGCGGTTTCTTGGCTTAAATTTGGGTGTTTGGGCTTGAACCTAGCGGAAAGAGTGACGATGGATCAAGATTGATTGAGTTAAGAAGGTCAAGAAGATCAGAGTTTCCAGGCGTCGAGACCAAGTGGAAAAGAGAAGGATGGGGCGCGGGAGCTGTGAGAATACGGCAGGAGCGAGTGTGATTGCAGCTGCTGCAGGTGCGAGACCTCGCCGGACGGGATGGATCGGCGAATGTTGGACAGGTTCCCTTTTTGATACGGTTAGGAGAGACAGAGAGTGGAGAGAGGTCGGGAGAGCGAAGAGCAGGGAAGAGGAGGTAAATACCAAAAGGTTTTGCAGTGGAGAGAATATCGAGGTACGGGCCAGGCAGGGCAGGCGATGAGAGAGGGGAGGAAGGGGGATAAACCTCCGGGTAGAAGGTTGCGAGAGTGACAGGTCGAGGAAGCTCACAGGTTCAGGCAGCGTACCATAGAAAGAATAGTGGGAAAAAGGTTGGTGGATGTGCGCCAGTGTTTAAACAAACTCCCCCTCCAGACTACACTCAGAGTTCCGGCTACCAGAGTTTGGGAGTCCCGGATCGACAAGCAAGCACGGACCCAGCTTCAGAGCAGAGTGGTTGGACTGGATCTGGAGAGCAGTGAGCAGCAACGGCGTCTGGCCCCAATTGCACCCTGGGTCGCTGGGCTTTGGTTCCACGGGAGGTGATCGCAGACTCGCCGTCCTGTCTGCGGGAATTCCCAGGCCTCAAGGCTGTCAAGAGAAGTTAAAATCTCCTGCAACAAAACTTAATTTCAGGGCGTTGAATAATTGTTAATAAAGGACTGGCTCGGAAATCTTCAAGGAGAGGCGAGATGACGCTACTTGTTTCTGCTGCTGTTCGGTTTCACTCGGATCTTATAGCTGTACTAGGAGTCTACGCCTCCGAGACTCTAGAGACGGAACCAGAAAGAAAAGAGGGAAGAGAGAAACCAGCCGAAACCAAAGTAAGAAGTCAAAGATGGCTAACAAAACATGACGATGGAAGGGATGGTCGGTGATCGGACTGGGGTGGGAGATGGCAAGAGGAGAGTAAGGCCGAGGAGGAATAGATACTTTATGAGGGGAGACGATCAAGATTGGCCTCGAAACTTGCATGTCTTCAGCAAAGTAAGGTCAACCGGCCTGGTGGCATTTCTTTTCTTTTCTTTTTTTTTTAAATAATAATAATAATAATTCCCTTTTATTTACGCTGGGAAAGATGATCAGAAGGAAAATAATAATGAAACACGAAAAAAAAGCCCAAAAAAATAATCGAATAATATAAGAGGAATAATAACGATGATGAGAGACAGGCTAGGCTGGAAGTAGCGATAGTGTGGGCTAACCAGAAAGTAGGCCTTCATGAATCTGAGATGGCAGTATCTTGGAGTCAAGGCACGACGGGGGATTGCTCAATCTCATTCTCGTCGACTCCAGGAGAAGGACTGACCGGGAGGGCGGCGGGGCGCGACCCAGAGTTGGATTGTCGCAGTTGGCCTGGGGCCAGCCAGGCTCGAAGATGGTGGATGCAACTAGTGATCCCAAGGAGCAGGAGAACCGACAGCTGTGGATCGCGCTCTAGAAATGCCCGCGGATCCAGCTGCAATGAGCTGCTCCTCACCACACTAGCACTTTTCCGACCATGATTTGCCTCGCCTGTTTAGAGAGAAGCAGGTGGCTCGACTACAAGAATGTACGGGACGGTTGAGGCGACGTGATGAGAGCAAGATGCTAATATCACTTAGTAGGCAAGACAAGACAAATTCAAACAAAAAGAAAATAGAAAAAAAGAAAAAAAAAAAGCCGAAACCACTGGGCTGGAATCTGGACTAATAATGGTCCTAGTAGAGCTTGACTTGGGGGAGTCGAGAAGCGAAGACGACGGGCGGGGGAGAAAAGCAGGTACCCCGTTATTCTACTGGGATTTTGTGCCCACAGAGTACTGCCGTTGACTGGAAGCTCACCAATGTCTACGTTGTATGTCCTCCGCCCGGGCAACCTTAGCCTTCCTCGAGCACGAAGATTCGAGTTACGAGACCCTCGGGATTTGCTGCGTGAGAAGGTACTAAATCTCCATGTCGATTGTAGATTGGAGGCTGCAGCTGCCAGCGATAACCTACCTTGTCATAGCGGTCATCGGCCCCGGGCTATCCATGGACGGCCTTTGAACCAGCCCAGGGACGCGACTCGGTGGAGCTGGTCAACTGCCTAGCAGAACTGTGGTTGGAAAGAGGGGGGCTGAGTGGGTGAGCTTTGCCAATGGTGAGCTGGTGCTCGCTGGTGCAGTGGTGCTATGGCAGACTGGTGGTGGGGGAAGAGACGATGACGGGAGGGGGGTGCAGCTTCCTTACTGATGAACTTGCAGCTCCTGTATCTCGCTCGAAGATCTGACATGGACGACTAAATGGACGACTAAGTACGGAGTAGATACGAATGTTGCTGCTCGAAGCTAGCTATATAGACTTCGCTCGGTCCCAGACTCTTCTTCCTGACGCGCGGAAGTTTTCTCCTACCTTGCTCGACAGCTCAATGATGCGAATTTGTTTCGCGATCTCTCAGTGACTTCCCAGCCCAGTCAGTCCGGAGCATCTCGAGGCCCAGCAGGTCCCAGAAAGATTGGCGGATTTGAGGGGTTGCGTCTAAGGTGGGTCAAAAGCTGCCAATCATCGCAGTGTCCCTGACGGGTTGAGGAGGGAGATGATGTGCACTGGTCATCGAGTCTTCTGGGCCACGCTAGTTCTCTTAGCGCGCTTATGGGCGGAGGACTCTCAACGCTAGCATTAGTCTGCGACGATGGCCCTATCCCCGGTCCTCTTAATATTGCCTCATCAACGTTATCGTCGGAGGCAGGGATCCGGTACCTGCCTGCACCGCTTAACACAAAAGAAAATATTGCTGAGGCTGGAGGCCAGATTCCTGTCCACTCAACCGAGTCCGGAGAAGATTCCCAGACATCCCGACCAACGCGCATGATCACAGGCTTCGTAATGACCGCCATCCAAGTGTCGCGTCTTGTGATGGGAAATTGCTGGAGCCAGTGAAGGGTTCAGATCGGGCGGAGGTGGATTTGGGAGGTGGATTCCGATACTTGTATTTTATTGTCACTTGCGGCACCTGGACTCTGGAGGAAGCTAGGAATTCTCGTTTCGCATCCACGCATCCTCCACGCCAAATAGGAGCCCATAACGGCGTATCGTCCGATATGATTTTCGTGGCGGCCCAATCTGGTAAACGCGGTCCATGCCCAGCTCTGCCATCAACTTGGTGAGCACAGTAATTCTTACCTGCACAGTGGGTGTAAGATCGCATGAATTGGGTGTGGCTTTTCAGATCGCCTTCGTCAGCTTCCAGAAAACTGGCCACAGGATGACGCTGCAACTGCAACTGGGCCTCTGTGACGAGTCGACGGGATCGCGCTGCTGCGACCACCGGCCACTGGCCCAGCTGCCCGACCAAGGGGACTGTGCGCGCCCCAAGAACTAGCCTCCATTCTGGGTCAAGATGATCTTCGCCTCCCTCTCGCCGCCTCGCGGGATGTCGGCACCGGATCTTCGTCGCTTATCCATCTTTGAACGAGACTGAGCTGTTGATGAATAATATGCCCAGGTATGGATTTGATCGGGCGAAATCGGCTGTTGAGGTCGAACACACGAGTTGGACGTTGAAGGGTTTGCCGATCAGTAGTTTGTACCTACGGAGCACACGATGCTTTGGAAGCCTGGAAAACTCCAACAATTCCCTCCAGACTTGACCTGTCTTAGAGACTTATATATCTTTCGATATCGTTTTAAGTTCTACTGAACGGTTCCACTCCGACAATGGCGATCGCAGATTCGCAGCAGCCAGGGATCTGGAGATTAGAGTTACCTGGGCTGCGAATCGTCGCTAACTTTGTTGGGCCCATTTATTGAGCTTATCCTAGCTGCCATCGAAGCTTGCGGGGAGTTCCCCAGTCGATCTGGGGATGGTTTAATGCCCTCATTTGATGCTGACTTGATGCGAGAGTCTTCGCGATAAAATGGAGCCCAACAGTGAGCTCTCCAAGAGACTTGGACGCAAATCCGAAGGCCCAAAAGCTCCCATGCACCCACATTCCGAAAGCGGAAAAATCACCTCGTCCCGACAAAGCGGCTGGACTGGAGACGATCACAGTTGGCGCGTGCTTGTCAAAACTTAATCCAGTTGGACAGAGAACGCCTTTGTCTGGGGAAGATGGGTCCCATGATCCATCAGGTCTATTACTTGGGCGCTTATTCGGAAGTTGACCCATCTACTTGGGAAGGCAAGAAGCAATGGGTTCGAGACAAGCGAACAAGCACTTATTCGTGAGGAAGTACTCCGTCAAGAGAGCACCAATGTTCATGGTGTAGGTATCCGCCCTTTGACCGTTGACCAACTTTAGTACGGCTTTGGTGAGGAAGCTTTCGGAGATCGCATGCAGCTGCAAGAGCAGGGCTGAGAAGCAACCCCAATCTCCAGTGCATATATACTTGCATTGCCTGCTGGTCAAGTAAGCGGGAAGATGGACTGTTGAGGGTAAACAACGATCTCAATCCGCCTTCTCTTCTTCAGACGGCTCGAAGAGTTGAGATGGTTATATTATCCCAGCTTTGCAACCTCGAGGGGCCGGTTGGTGGCTGCTGACGACCCACTAGGAAGATGCATATCCCCACTGCTTGCGAGAAGTGGTACACTTCTTCACTGGCGTACAGATAACCAAGAGCTGAAGAAGCCGGCTTTGACTCGCAAAGCCCGACGATCCCTCTGTATATTCTTGTAATTGGCCATTGCGCCAAACTGGAGTACTAGTACTCCGTTGGCACATACATACTATGTAGCCAAGCTGGAGAATGGGCTGGAGGAAATGTCTCAACTCCTCGAAAGTGCCTCTTCGTTAACAAAGAACCGCGGATTGGCTTCTCTGCTGAGGACTAAGATCCGGACCTGAGCATCAATGGCGCGGCAGATGAAGTAAAGGGTTTGAACTTTTGGTCTGCCTGAGATGGTGACGACACAAACGGTGAACCATCCACTCTCGAGAATGGATACCTTGATAGGGAAATTGGATCGTTCCCCTCGTTCGTCCCTTTCGGACTCTATTCTGGCTGTTTTGCCCGCATTTGTTCGGCTGTCCGTCAAGCGGTTGTCAGAGGTGGCGCAAGATATTATTGGGAATTGGTTCGGAGAGCCTGCAGCAGGTCTACCCAACAGTTTCTCGCTTCGGATGCTCTTAGAGGCAGGTGTGCTGACCATTCTTTGTCCGAGGGAGGAGGGACAACTCCGAGGAAAGAGAAGAGGAAAATGTGGCGCTGACACTGACATCTGTCCCAGAACAATCACAGCAAATCGCGTGCGGCGGAGCAGGCTGACAGGATCGAGTTGAGCTAGCCGAGTTGAACAGGTGATTATGTCACACCAAGGAATGGACCAAGATATCACGGCCCAGAACAAACCGCTGAAGATGGCCTGTCGGGCGGGCACGAGTTCGTCGGAATTGACCATGGGTTCGGCAAGTCGATCGTTGGAAATTTTTGAGGCATGTCGATGGGGCTTCAAAGTCGGGAGCGTAAAAAAAAAGCAAAGAGGCCAAGTCAATCAGTTTGAGATTTGCAACAAGTTGCGAGTGGCTCGCGGGCTGCTCACTGCTCAATGCAGGGCACAGGTCGTTTGCATTGGCTGATGCAGGCGGCTGTTTTGAGTAAGAGGAAACAGTCTCACACAGAAGGATTGCAATGCTCCTGGATGAGGTTTGGAAGTTGAAGCTGCGACAGATGGGACCCTCGCGAACAATTCCGCATTGGCAAGTTTTCATTGGACTCTTCATGTAAAACCAGGCTGGAATTTGTGGCGACTGGCGAGGCGGGATTCTGATGACAGGCTCAAGGATCGTGATAGGTTTCCAAGAATGCGAGTCTGCAGGCGCTAGTGTTAGCATCGCTCATAGTCCTCCAGGCTGGCGCCACAGCTCGTGTCAACGGTGATTTGGTTGGTTTGAGCCGTGAGATGGGCACTTGCGAAAGATTGGCTGTGGGGAATGAAACTGGACTCTTGAGCAATTGATTATGGCGCAGCATTGGGAGAGCTACATAGCAGCTCGCCTGCTAAGCATTGATGCGGGGGACAAAAGGCCAAGCGACCTAGAGCAGGCTAGCGCGGGCACGGATCGCGACCTCAAGACAATCGCTCTGTCCGGTCTTAGTCAAGGCTCAAATTGCTCTGCTGGGCATTATTGCCAGATGAACTCCTCCCAGCGAGGCAACCAACCTGCAGTTTCACCCCACACCAAGACTGTCAGACAAAAAAGGAGATCGTCTGTTGCCACTGACACTTTCGTTTCTTTTTCCTCCATCAGGTGAACCAAGGCTACTGCACCTCTGTAACACCGTTTGAGCTGCTTTCATGTGAATTGTGACACTCCTGCAGCCATCGTGGCGCCCAGCAGAGAGGTACGCCTCGAGTACCTCGATAATACTCCGTCCTTTCGGGGCCCGATGGATTATACTAACGTCGTCGATCCCAGATGGCAAGATCTCTTGCAAAAGTCAATTAGATTAATATTAATCTCAATCTCTCGCCTGCGCGCTCCAATAGTCAGGGACCTGGCAACCAAGTTGTCGCCATGTGGTTGATCGATTATTGACTCCGCCAACTCTTCTTATTTCGCAAGCTGCTTGGCTGCAATCAAAATCAGGATTATCTAATTTCCTCACCAGCCGGTTGATAGAGGTATATCCTGTCATGACTTTTTACCAAGTGGGCCGTCCAATCCCAGAAATTGTGCCATATACAACATAGAAACCAGTGCGAGATAGAATAATCATGCAGCGTTGATCCCAGCCCACCACCTCTGCTAATCCCCATTTGTGCCCTTGGAGAGCACGCCGTTCCAATAAAGCTACCTGATGAACGCCGGAAACGCGGTACTCGACCGTTCCAATCAGTTCATCTGGAAATGCAGTTACTCAACCCTGAGGGAGGGAGGGAGCCTATGGGAGCTCGTCTCCAGACGTATTATTTCCTCCCCTGTTGCTCATAGCAGAAAACGGCCGTCATTGATCAACAACCCCTCTTAGTTACTTCCCTGTCATACGTGCTTTCTTGGAACTGCGCAAGAATTAGCATTGAGAATGTGGCTTCTAGATTCTTCGTGTACAACTTACTCCCATACAAGGTTTTCTGGAGTTGTCGCACAGCGCTCAGCCCATGGCAAAAGAAGGTTCTTCTCCGGATGTACAAGAGTACAATCCCTTGCATGAGCGGCGAGTCTATTCTATTCCATCCTACTCGATATCGCTATTCCTTTGGTTTCTTGGGAAAGTTTGACTAGAGGTACAAAGGAGGCTCGTGAGGTTTCCCTTGTGATAAATAAATGGCGATCTATTGCCTTGCTTGGTGAGTGAGTACTTATACTGCGAGAAAGGAAGGCTTTCTTGACCCTTAGCATGGTGGTCACGATAGATGGGCAGTGAAGACTTGGAAGCTCGGATTTCATAGTCCCGTGAATAACTGAATACCGTGGATAACCGTCGCTGCGGCTGAAGAACAAGAGGTCTGAGCTGAAGATCCGTTGTCGTGTGATTGTCTTCGCGAGGGCTTGGCTATACATGGCATACTTCGTCACGGGTAGGGTACGGATGAGCGAGAGGAACGGGAGGTTAGGGCTGACGTGTACCCGTCGCTATCTCTTGCTTGAACTGAAAAGTTTGAGATGGACAGGATTATATCTGTTGTTTATGGGCAAATCTAATGTACAGGCGACCCAAGTCTGTAAAACCCCTATATCAACAAGAAAGGAAAATGATAATGACTCCACTAACGCATGCGCCTCGCCACTCGCTACCCAATATCAGTCCAGAAGAACACAATCAAAGTATCTTATATCGTACAAGAAGCCTTCATATTCGACTTGAAGTCCCCGCAAAGCATGATCAGACCGAGCCAGACAAGGCCAGACCAGCCCTAAGCCGAAACATCATCAGGCGCCTTCTCCATTTGCGCCGTCTCGGCAATCACATCCCTCGTCAACCCACCATTCCTCCTCACCTGAAGAAGGATTTTCAACACACCAGCAGGCGTCATACCCTCAATGCGCCGCGCCATTCCAATACTCACGGGCCGAACCCGTTCCAGCGCCTGACGCTCCTCGCTGCTGAGCCCGAAGATAGCCGAGTAGTCTAAGTCAGGCGGGAGGAGGACGTGTTCGTCCTGCTGAAAGTTGCGGACGAGGGCGGACTGGCGGGCGAGATAGGGCGCGTAGCGGCCCTCGATGGCGACGCGGGTGCGGATCTCGGGGCTGAAGGATGAAGGTGTGTAGACTGTCCCTGTGGGTGATTCAATGTACGGGATTAGGGCGTCGATGTCGACGCCGTCGATACAAAGGAGGTCGAGCGCGGAGCGGGTGGAGCTGTCCAACCGGTTTTTGAAGCCCTTGCGCGACCAGGTGCTTGCGGTAGCTTTGGTGTTGGATAGAAGAGACTGGAGCTCGTTGATCTGAGCTTCCGTGTCAATGAAAAGGCGCCAGCGGTTGTCGGAGACAATGCCAGCTTCGCGGGCCATGCGGGTCAGGCGGAGATCAGCGTTATCGGCACGGGTTGAGATGCGAAATTCGCTGCGTGCGGTGAACATGCGGTATGGTTCTGAGACACCCTTGGTTATGAGGTCGTCAATCATGATGCCGATGAAGCCGTCGGAGCGGGAGAGGGTGAGGGGTTTGCGTCCCTGAGCGGAGAGACCGGCGTTTGTGCCTGCAATAATTCCCTGTCCTGCTGCTTCTTCGTAGCCTGTGGTGCCGTTGATTTGGCCGGCGAGATACAGTCCACTAATCAACTTCGTCTCGAGGGTTGGTCGTAGGTTGCGCGGGTCAATGTAGTCGTACTCCACGCCGTAGCCAGGCTGAAGCATCTTCACGTTTTCAAGACCACGAATAGTCCGTAGTAACTCAAACTGCGCGTCCTCTGGAATGGTCATCGAAATTCCGTTGGGATAGATAACCTCGTTCGGCGCGAAGCCCTCTGGCTCAAGCCAGATCAAGTGCTGCGTCTTGTCCTTGAAGCGAATGATCTTGGATTCCAGAGAGGGACAATATCTTGGGCCCTTGACCGTCTCTCTAATATGGACGGATTTGTCCAAGTTGGCACGCACGATATCATGGCTCGCATTGTTGGTGTGGGTCATCCAGCAGGGAAGCTGGGCATCATCGTCTACTTGAACCCTCTTATTAAGGTAGGAGAACGGCATCGGTGGCGAGTCGCCGGGATGTATTTCCAGCGCCCCGAAATCGATTGTTTTCTTATCAAGTCGAGGGGGCGTCCCAGTCTTTAATCGGCCGAGCTGGAATCCGGCTTCGCGGAGCGACTTGCTTAGTCCGAACGTAGCAGCCTCCCCTATTCGCCCTGACGGATAGGCGTTGAGCCCGATATGAATTTCCCCGCCTAGGAAAGTGCCCGTTGTTATCACGACCCGGCTTGTCGGTAACACTTCGCCCGTCTCCAGCCGAACACCAACAATCTTGCCAGCCGGCGCTGCAGGCCCTGTCCCAACATCGTCCTTTGAGATCACGATATCCGCAACTTTGCCCTCGAGAATGCTCAGTCCCTCCGTCGAGAGCAGTTCTTCACGCATATAATTCTTGTACAAGTCACGGTCAATCTGCGCGCGGGGGCCCCAAACAGCCGGTCCTTTTGACCGGTTGAGAACTCGAAACATGATGCCTGCCTTGTCGATGATCCGCCCCGCGACTCCGTCCATAGCGTCCACTTCCCGAATCATCGTGCCTTTTCCAATTCCTCCAAAGCTCGGATTACACGAGCACACTCCGATGTTCGAAAGCGATGGGGTAACTAACGCCGTACGAGCGCCTGAGCGAGCGGCCGCAGCGCATGCTTCTGATCCAGCATGGCCGCCTCCGATGACGACGACATCGTATGGTCTACCAAAGAGAAGTCAGTCAAAGAAATCACTCACGAGTGTCTTGACGTACCGCGTAGTGTCAGCAACCGTGGCCAGACCGCGAAAACTCCATATCGTCCGAAGGCGGCCACCATTACTCCATCTGAGCAAGGCCCCTGACCGTGCCCTGAAAGCCATGATGACAGGAAGCGGGAACGTGGCAACCTCCGCTCCTGTTGACGGACTCTCGAAACTTTTATCTCCAAAAGATCCACCAGACGAATTAGCCGTCACGTGCACTTATGCCAATGCGGTGAAGCTGCTGACATCAGAGACTTGGCATAGTTTAGTTCATAACCGGGTATACAACTCTATGGAGTAATAATGCGCAGCCCCTCAGCGATCGTCGCCAGCGTCGGCCATTCTGCGGCGTTAAGACGTTACGCATGTATCCTACCCAGAAGTCCGAGTTGAGTGAAACATCTCAATATTGCTCAGCCAGTGTTGATCAGTTGAACTCGATTTCTGCTCGACTCTCGTGGCTCAGCGGCCGCTAGTCCAACAGGAGTTTGTCAATCACTGCGCCATCAGCAACCAATTGCGGGGCCGCATTTTCTCACCCCCGCGGCCCATCAGCAGTTTTTAAAGCTGATGCCATCCCCCTCCAGCTCGCTGAACGACGAATAACGCGCTCCTGATTACTCTTATCTTCAACTATCCTCTCTACATTTCTCAAGATAACCGAAATGAAGGCCTACTGGTACGACAACAAGAAGGTACGTCTTTAGGCCCCTCGTCACATTAAGCTTTCCCTTACTACATCATACTAAACTAGTCCGCTAATCTCATATGTATAGGGCGACCAGCGTGAAGCCCACGATTCCGGCCGCCCCGTCTCGGAGGACTATCTCGCTTCTCTAGGCGTCATCTACCACCACCTCCCAGACCTCGCAGACGTCGATGCCCTCGCCGAAAAGCGCGGCTACAAGAACCGCGATGAGATCGTCGTTGCGCCCGCCACTATGGGCGAGGCCTACGAGTCCAAAGTGAAGATGTTCTTCGCTGAACATCTTCATGAGGACGAGGAGATTCGATACATCCGTGACGGAGAGGGGTACTTTGATGTCCGCGGCAAGGATGATGAGTGGGTGCGCATTAAGCTGGCCAAGGATGATTTGATTATCCTCCCTGCCGGTATCTATCACCGGTTTACGACTGATGAGAAGAACGTATGTTTCCCTTTTCTCGTTTTTACTTTCTCGTTCAATAATAACGTGCGAGTAGTATGTCAAGGCTATGCGCCTGTTCCAGGAAGAGCCCAAGTGGACGCCTTTGAACCGCGGGCCGGAGGTTGATACCAACCAGCACCGGAAGACGTACCTTGATGCTTTCTCTGCTACTGTTGCGGCGAACTAGATTGCCTGCACTGGGAAGTCTGTCTACGCTAGTTAGAGGTCAAAACAGCGCTCTTGCCTGATAACATTGTATATATTCACGTGGTAATGAACTTGGGTCTATTTCGCGGATAAAAGCTTCATAGCATCCTTTAATGTGCGATACGTGCTTAGGCCGTAATGTATAGTACATGTAGAGTTTAATTGGGGCCCGAAACCTCTGGCATTGCGCCTGGCATATGGAAGTCATCTCCTAGACTCCGCTCTCGCGTCAGACTAGGACTACGAGCACCACCGGTCTCCACCTGGTAGCTGCTCGTTCGGGAAATAGCATCGAACGGTATGGGTGGTCGGGGGCCTAGTCCTCGAAACCTGAGCGGGTCCGGCTCTCGATCACCGTCATCGCCCCGAAGCGGGCCACCCATGTCCACCGACATTGCAGACCGGGACGCAGTATTCGAGCCGGTCTCAGAGTCGTCCCCCGTGCGTACACCTGTTCTACCCATGCGTGGCCACAAGTCTGGTAGGCCAACAACCTGCACCCGAGGCTCGACGACCCGTTCTTCAAACCAAGCGTGCACACGGGCTTCGACTAACTGTGCAACCTTGGGCACATCCTGAAGTCTGCTCCGGGAGCCAATCAGCGATCGCACTGACAGGTCGAGTCGATAGTCCGGCAAGAAAGAGAATGCGACGTTACTTTTCGGAGAGGACCGTGTCTGATCAGAGGCTTGCGCGTCGGCCGCTTGCGCCGCAACAGTGGGACCCTGCGTTTCTGCGGTTGGAGGTGATGGCATAGGAGATGGTGTGTGAAGGGGTGGGGTAGAAGCGGGCACAAGGGATATGCACAGTGTCCCTGAGAAGCGAACAACAGATATTGACAGGGCGACTGGCAGGATCGCGGAGCACGGCTTGGGGTAATTGAGCACGAGGGAAGTTTCAACAGCAATGGAGAGGTTATCGTCGCTTAAATCGACGTCCATCAGGGCTTGAAGCCTTCCACCATCAGACATGGGATCATCGACGGCAATAATCCGGCAGTTGCTGAAAATGGGAAACTCTTCTCCGAGTGAGATATCGGTGACTTTAATCTTGTCGATAAATGAAGGCTTCTTATCAGGGTTATTGAGAGCCGCGTTCAACGATTGGAGTATGGATGACGTCGGAGAGTCCTTTAACAAGTATGCCGTCTGCCTATACTGTGCAATTGTCTGCGCAATCAACACATTGAACCAATCCAAAGACTCGGGTTGATGCGAAGAATGGTGAATTCTATGCCTGCCGTTTTTTGGAGCTGAGCTAGGAGGGATCGCACTGTAGTATGTCTTGCGGAGTATAGACCGTGTGTTGGTGGCAGACGATGGGACAGGGCGAAGTACGTTGGACGTAGACGGTTTCTCTCTTAATGACCTTGGAGGTCCATCTTGTGAAAAGATCGAATTGGAGCGTCGATGGGTCGAAGCTCGAAGGCCTCGGGACGGCGGTGGTGGTGCTTCGCCGAATATGAAGAACTTGATGAAAGCACCGATCAGCAATACCACAGATAGCTGGCCCAACAAGAATCCTTGCGTAAATGATAGACTTTTTTAATTAGCGACTTGATGAAGAAGGCGGGGGAAGAAGCAGACGCACGACGACTGAGTCGCTGGAGGCGTGGGTTCGCCTGGATAGTTTCGTCATGGTTAACGGGCGAGACTAGGAAGCATGAGAGGGGGAATTGAGATTATCGTACTCTGCTGAAAAGCCATTGTTAGCGGCTGTAGACCTCAACGGCTGTCCATAGCTGGTTGTTTGGCACTATGGTGATAGATCTCAAGGTCACAAAGGAGGAGAAAGATGATTTCATTGGCAATGACACTAAGCCGGAGGTTATCGGTTGGTGGGGCGATCATCAACTGCATTCGACCCATTTTCAACTACTACAACGTTGTTTACCAAGTAAGCTCCCAGCAAGTTACCTGGCTGCCACTTCTCTCCTACGAGAGCTATGCCTTGATACCACCGTGGCCTTTTGTGTCAGGCAACTACTCGATTCAAATACGGACTTTTCCCTGCCCCGCCCTTACTAACAGCTTGACAAAACAATACAGCCAGCGATGCGGCCAACCATACTCTTGCAGCTATTGCTGCCCTTGCTGGTCCTTCCTTCTCTGGCGCTCTCAGCAAGTAACTCTCAGCAAAAACCTCCGGGCAAAAATGCCATTCTCCTATCGCAGGTCCACTCTCTTACGCTGCGCAGCGGCCGACTCACCAGTTCCCGCCGCGTGTCGCCAATCCCCCAACTGAAGTGCACCGGCCCCTCGAAGCGCATATGCGACATGTACGAGATCGAGTCCATGCGATGTATAAATGAAGGTTATGGCTATGACGAAGAGGACGTCCAGTGGACCTGTACTGCGTCCCTCCCCGGCGAGTTCAAGCTTGGCTCAACAGACGTGGTGTGTGAGGGCTATCGCGCCGCGGACGATCCCTGGGTGTTGAAAGGGAGCTGTGGGGTGGAGTACAGATTGCTTTTGACCGAGTTGGGAGAGCGAAAGTTCGGACGAGGCTCTTTCGATGAGGACAACTGGTGGCGGACTCAGCGGCCTGGCAAGTTGTACAATGCGGGCCAGAGAGGGTTGAATCTTGTCGGAAATATCATATTCTGGGGGATATTTATCGGCATTTTTCTCCTCATCATATGGGCGATGTTGAGGGATTGGTTTGGAGTCGGACCGAGAACGCCCCAACAACCCGGAGGTCGCTGGGGTTGGGGCGGAGGAGGTGGTGGTGGTGGGCCATACCCTCCTGGTCCTCCCCCGCCATACGACAGTCACTCATACAGTAGTTCGAGCTATGGTCAAGGCTGGCGGCCGGGGTTCTGGACCGGGGCAATGGCCGGAAGCGGACTTGGATATGGGCTCGGAAGGAGGAGCGCCCGCTACGATTCGGTTTATGGGGGCGCGCGCAGAAGGGACTATGACTCTGGAGAAGGAAGCTCTTCGTCTGCTTCGCGACTCTCAACTTCGTCGAGGAGCACCGGGTTTGGTGGAACGAGTCGAAGGTGATCTCTAAGACCTCATGCCGATCCTGTCTGCTTGTCTAAGTATTTTTTTTGGACCATTTCGAAGACCAAGATAAGAACAATTCAGAATCGTTATATCGGGCTCACATGGCCGCGAGAGGAACTGTTCATCGAAACTCGCTAAGTATAAAAACACCCGTCATTGCTCTGATCATGTCCTTTCTGGTTGATCAGAGTTTGAGAACGCCGTAAGACACCATCCCTCTAAATATATAGCCCGAAAACACAATGCGCCGCCCGGTGTCTATTCAATCATCCAAAGAACCCAGGATTTCCTCTGTTCCGCCACCTAGATCTCGAGCCTGTTTCTTATTATTGCGTTTGCTCTTGGTTGCCGTCTTGTCAGTTCCATTGGCGTTGCTGCCCTCCAGGCCATCCGGGTTGCGAAGAAGATCCTCCTGAGCCTTCTTGTCCGTCTCGTGCTGTTCTTCAATCCGCTTCTTCTCCTCATCCAGCTCCTGCTGGATCACTCGTGGATCGTCGTAGACAGTGTTGGTCATTTCAGAATAGGTCTGGATGTCAATCGTCTCCCGGGGCCCCAAGAGAGTCTCCTTGATCCTTTGCGGATCGCGGCGCTCTTCATTATTGAATTTCAACTTGATCTGACGCCGGGATCGACCGGGAAACATCTTGCTGATTACCATGAAATCGGTCCCAAACATCCTTAGACCGCGATAGAACAAGTCTGTCATGTCTTCATCCCAGGATTCAGTCTTGGAGCGCTTTCCGTAGGTAGCTTGATTGATCTTCCTAGTAAGTGAGTTTTCTATAACGTCCTCAAGGTCTCCCCCATTCCTCTCCGCGTCTGCGTGTCGGTCGACTTGTAAAGAAGCATGGTCAAGCACGATTTCACCATTTACGATTCGCATGACGGGACCAGCTTGTGAAGCCTGGTTCCCTTGTGTCTGGTTTACCTCAGCAGTGGGGGAAGCCTCAGTTGGGATTTGCTTGACTGGAGTCTGATCTGGCGCCGCCCCCTCTTCTTGTTGAGCTTTCCTCCGCTCCGCCTCAGCTAGTTCGTGTGCGCGAAGCTCCGTTTCACGCTTGGACCTTTTCCCCGTGCGCGTATCCTTGCACAAATCTGACATTTTGACAACAGAGGGCGCAATTTGGATCAGCTCTGCGCCCTCGGGCGTGGGTTCCCGCTTTCGCATTCGGCGCCTCTTCGGCTTTTTTGGCGCCGCTCCCGTGTCATTGCTGGTCGACCTTTTACCCAACGCCCGACCATCTGACTTGGCCGTGCTGCTACGTCGCCGAGCCGCAGGCTGCGATTCAGATTCATCACGGCTTTCACTGCGTGCCACGAGTGCCAGCGGTTGCGTTGCCGGAGGCGTCACAAGCTGGATGGCCTCTTCTGGTGGCTGATCTAGCCCAATTGTTGGTACGCTTTCGACCGTAGCCTTGGGACGTTTTGCCGGTCGAACTTCAGGTGCGACTTCCTCATTGTGGGTGGCGACAGAGCGAATCTCATGACCTTCTCCGGTTTGAGCGGCCTCAAATACTACCTCACTTGTCTCTGCGATTCTGTCGCTTTGCTGTTCTGGCGCTGCAATGCTTGTCGGTGGAGGAGAGTGCGAGGAAGCCGAGACATCTTTGGTAGGTAGGGTGATAGGCACGGAGAAAGAGGCTTTTCGCTTCGGAACAGGGATCGGAATAGCGGTTGCGCGTTGGTCGCTCGGGCCTTGTTCGATGCTGGCCGCGATGGATGTGGGTTGAGGAATGGCAGACTGGGATGAGGTGGGCGGTTCGACTGTTGAAGTGGAGGGTGGAGGGGGCTCGGGTGTTGCTGTTTCGCTTGCAGGCCCCGGTGGATGGGATACTGATGCCTGAGAAGCTACGCTAGCGCGCCTTGAGGGCACTCGAGGCGGAGGGGCTGGAGCGGCGCGTCGGACGGGCGCCTTTGGAGCAAACTTCTTGCCCGACTTATCTGGACAAATTAGTGGTGTTTCGACGGTGAAGAAAGAACATCTAGAAGCGGGAAAAGCATACTGATGACGGAGCTTGAAAAAGACTTCATAGCTCATCGGAGAATCATCACCAAGCCCGATCGCTGATACGTTGTCGCCGCTGTTTGACTTGACTTGTGACCTGCAGGTAAAGGCTAGACGAACTTCTGGGGAAAGTGGGCTAGAGTCACGTGGGCTTTTGACGCTAAACTCTCAAGCGGAAAATCCTCCTGGCGCCTCAAGTCTTGCTTATCTCAACCACTTGGTCTCCCTGCCGTCTCCCTCGCCTCACACCTCGAATTCATTTCACCGGTCGGATCCTGTTGCAGTTCCTGCTACTGGACAGTTACTGCTCAGTGGTCACGGCCTCATCTCACCTTATGCCTCTACAGTAGCCACTGATGCCGGCCGTCGAAGCATCCCCCGTTGCACGTTCCGAGTCCGGTTTTGTCAAAATGGAAGACCGGAAGCGAGCTGCCACATATGATAACAATGATTCGGCTCCCCCGTTGAAGAAACAGGCCACTTCGGTCAATGGTGGTAGCAAACCTCATCCAGATGCCGATATGCCTTGGAAAGATGACCTCGAGGTAAGTAACTGACCCCTTCAATGTGGGGCCAAGTTTTGTACGAAGCTTGATCGCATTTATGCTGGCCAGTCAACTAACTGAAGTTCCCCCTTTTCTATACAACAGCGATTTCAAAAGGACGCAATCTGGCGTCAAATGCAGGAATACAAACGGGACAAGGTATCCCTGGAAGCGAAGCTAAAGGAGACGTCAAAAGCCACCGCCTATCATAATGACCACCTTCGCATTATTGATGCGTGGTATAGCCAAGTGAGTGGCCGCCACCACCCGCAGCTTCTTAGTCCGATATCTGACCCATCTCGCAGTTGATTGACGAAATTAAAGTTCTTCTCGGGTCCCCTGACGAGATCAACAAGGGTAGGTTTTTGATGTTGCACCGGGTAACATAAGTCCGCTGACGCTTATATTGAAAGACTCCTCCTTCCGAAGCTCGCTGCTTTTTGATGACCTTGACAGTTTTGAGAAGCACCTAAAATCCCGTTCGGATGATATACGCGACATTGTCACCCGCATTCTCGCCAAGTCTCCAACAACTCCTCCCGAGGTCGCTGATTTGCAAACCCAGCTCACCCGCAAACTGGCCGAGGAGAAAGCCACTATTGCCGAGCTAAATAAAGCACTTTCCGAAAAGCAACAGCTAGAAGAAAGTCTGGAAGAAGCGTCTTTACGGTATATGGTCGCCGAGAAGAGACTTGACCGTGCCCGAAGCGTAACCGTCGCCAAACTAGAGAAGCAGTACATTCTAGGGGCTCAACGGCCTGGGGGCGATAGTGCGTCTGGAAGTCGCGAGGAACCGCCGGCAACCAATGGCACCACACCGACTGGGGAACGAACTCCACTAGAGTCGGATGAGACATATAGCAAGCTTGCAGCTGTATCAGAGAAGCAAAAGGAGCAGTTACAGAAACTGGAAGCCGAAAACGCCAAATTACTTAGCCAAATTACAGAAATGAGTATCAAGGTAGGGCAGCAGCATGTGTTGCGAGTGAAACTCCTGTGTCTTGGCTAACAACTTCTTTCAGAAGTCTAAACCTACCGACGACGATTATGCACATACAGATCTCTTCAAGCAACTGAAATCGCAATACGAAGATGTTGTTAAGCGGATAAATCATTTAGAGGCAATCAATGTACAATTGCGTGAAGAGACAGCAAAGTATAGGTCGGAACGGACAGCATATCGCAACCAGGTGGACGAAGAAACACAGTGTGTCATTGCCGAAAAAGAGGCGCAATTGATGAAGGCTGAAAACGATTTGGCACGGATACGCAACACTCGCGACGAACTCTTGGCCGACCAGCAGATGCGTAAAGCCGCGCAAGAGCAGGAGAAAATGACGTCGGTCAAAGTGCAAGAGCTTGCAGACGCTGGGCAAGCCCGGATCGCCGCCTTGGAATCAGAGGTCGAACGCCTCCGGTTGGAACTCGGACGAGAAAAGGCCGATCAGATGGCCCTTGACGATATTCCCATTGACGAATTACGTACCAAATACGGCAACCTGGAGCGCCAATATTCGATGCTTAACACTGAATTAGCGTCCATGCAAACTGCTTGTAGGAAATATTCTTCCTTGGCATCTCAAAAAGTCACCGAGTTCAGCGTCATGGAAGAGAAGATGGCTCGCTTAGCTGCCGAAAAGTCCAAAGCAGATCAAAAGTATTTTGGTGCGATGAAGAGCAAGGAGGCCAGAGATATGGAGGTCCGGACTTTGCGAATGCAGAATGCAAAAAGCTCCGACATTGTTTCGCAGCTAAAGGAATCCGAAGCTGCCACCCGTTCACTACTTGCGAATATGGAAAAGCAGGTCAGCGAGACCAAGGAGGCCTTAAACACCATGATCAACAAGTACCATACCTCGCAACAACAAATCACCGAAAACAACATTGCAATGGACGGCCTCCGGAGCCAGATAACAGAGCTTAAGGCGCTTTCAGTTTCCAAAGATTCAACACTGGCGACTACCTCGAGTGCCTGCCGCCGAGCCGAAACCGAAGTTGAGGGGCTCAAGGCATCACTCGCCGATACCAAGAAGAGTCTGGAGAATTGGAAGAACAAGAGTCTCGGAAACTCTTCGTCTGAATACGAGATGTTGAGAGTAAGCGTTTTTCCCACCTCTTCCGGTCAGGCGGTCTTTTTCAGTTGCTGACTAGCATGCAGACTCTTGCCCTTTGCACAGTATGCCGCAGGAATTTCAAAAACACCGCGATCAAGACTTGCGGTCATGTTTTCTGCAAAGACTGCGTCGAAGAACGGCTCACTTCGCGGTCCCGCAAATGCCCGAATTGCAATCGCTCTTTTGGCAATAACGACTACATGCATATCACGCTCTGACTTTTGTGCCTTACTACTCTTTGGTCCACGCTTACCTTCATGTATCATAGTTTCTTTTCCGCTTCCTTCGTTCCCATCCTTTTTCTCCGATACTTGATTTTATTACCTTTTTTTCCCCTCTCGTTTTGATCACTCGGCTTGATTTTAATTCCTATGGAAAAGGCTCACGGTGCGGTGTTTTGTCTACGGTTTAGCAGGATAGGTACCCCGGGGCAGGCGTTTTCATTACTGCTATTTGATATCGGATTTCCTGGTCTTCGGGTGTCTTCACTTTTCGAATTCTTTTCTTTCTCTTGTTCTTCCGCTTTGTTTCATTTCTTGGATACCTCCGGTGGTGTTAGGGTATCTAAAAACCGCACACAACAGTTGTGGCGGTTGTAGGACTAGCAAGGAGGCTGTGTATGAAGTTAGGATGGCGATGCCGCAAGAATTAGGAAAGCCTGTCTCAACGACACAACTTGACATTCCAGCTTGATCGTTTTATGGAATTATTCATGAATTGAAAATACGGCTATAGAGTAGCTCATGTCGTCCCACCCAAAGATCCAACGGAGGTACTACTTGTCCTGCATCTTCTATCGGAGTATGCCAGTCCAAGTCGATCCTTTCAACAATCATATCCTGCAGGACTTTGCTAGCTAGGATATTCTGCGCCTGATACGGCCCCATTACAGACGCTCGAACAGCCGCACTAAGGACTGCTTTGGCATGGTTCAGCATAAAGACGTACGCCGTCTGACGAGCATCCATCCCCATAGCCAGACATACAACTCCCCACAAGGGCGCAAAGTGACCCTTGGGGCCAAATTCGTCATCTATAGACCCTTTCAGGGCGTCTGAAAACTCCTCAACGGCTCTTGCGCCTCTTTGCACCGCAGCATGATCCCATGATCGATGCGCGCTGTTACTGGACGCAGCATACGCGCCTTTAAACGCACGCTCCCAGACACCTATCAGCGCCCGACCCTGCGCGATACTCGCGCGCTGGGCGACGGGGCATGGAGTCGAGGCATCGAGATCGTTATCGAGTGTTTCGAGGTCGGTTGGGTCCCGGTATCCAGCTAAAACGTAGGGTAGCGAGAGGCTACCCATTGACGCTAGGGATAATCGCAAGAAGCGGTGGAAGGACGCGACAGGCGTTATAGCCCGTGAAAGAGGCTTGTTATGCGCAATGTAGGACTCTAGCCCGCTGGAGTAGGCGAATGAGCCCAGGGGGAGGGCAGAGTCCGATAGTAGGAGGAGGGCATGGCTCGATGCTGAGAATACTGTGAATGCTCCGGCATATCAGTATATGGTTGCAAATAACAAACGCTGCAAGCAAGGTAGTTTGTAAAAGACGTACCGGCCGGAAGTGGGGAGGTTTTGGAGATTTGCGGAGAAGCAGAGGCGTAAGCTAATCGAGACTTTGCATTCTGAAGGCGAGACTCGAGATCCGAAATCTCTTTCTCTAGGTCCGGGATGCTGGATTCGGCGGTCATTGACACATGCTTTGCGGATAGAACATTGCGTCGGGGAGAAGAGGCTTTTTCGCCGCCGCTCTGCTGTTGGAGATAGATAACGATTTCGATTGATAAGTTCTCGGACTAAAAAGCAGCGACGAGACTCAAGATGGGGCGGTAACGAGGGGCATAATCCATTTAAATCATTCGAAAAAGAGGCCGCCAACTTACATCATTCGAGCACAATTTCATCATGCGACTACGATATACGGGGGAGTAATCGAAGAGAATTCCATTTCTGTTGTATCCGAGACGACATGTCAGGCAAGCGTCTGCTCGACGCTATCCAATTCCTGAACGTCACCAAGTCAGTTGCGACGAAGCACCTTGCGGTGCGTCAGCGGCAGCTCGATGTGTTTACAAGAACATCTTCCCTTACAAAGGGGATCAAGAGCCAGACGGATGGATTGATTCTTACAGCGAGGGCTGCTGCGGAACTCGCCAAGCGCTTCAACGATTCTTCTCCGGATCACACCACCGGTCGTTCCGAACCTTCCCCTCCGACGCACGCAGACCAGTTCCCTACCGAAACCCAAATACCTTCATCTGTGACCGGAGCTAGCAAAGATAATAGAACAGGTAAGTTGGATGTCAGCCCGCAGCAGGAGGAGTTTTATCGGCCTTCAGGGGAGCAGGCTGCGGAATCGGCGGGAACACCTCGTGTGATAGTACCGCGCGCTACAAATGAGGCCCAAGTCGCGTTGGATAAGGATATCCATGCGGATGTCTTTCGATCGCCGGTTGCGGCTCCATCTGTAGCGGCAGGCTGGATAGCCATCAGCCCGCAGCAGGAAGAATCATACCAGCCCTCTCCAGAGCCCGCCGTCACGCCGACTGGAACGCCTAGAGTTCGGATTCCGCAAGCCATAAGCAATACACAAGTGGGAATAGATAAGGAAATCGATGCAGATGTTTACCAAGCACCCGTGGGTACCGAAAAGGCGGCAACAGAACCGCAGCACCTCTCGGAAGACATGATGAAGGATATCTTTCATAGCCCTAGGGTCGCCAGGGTTCTGTCACGAAAGCCGGCTGCGGATCCAAGGTTCCGCGTGGAAGCAAAAAGGAGAGAGCCTCAAGAAGTTAATCCCAGCATCGTGGAGGACATTGTGACTCCTGCTTCGAAAGTCGGTAGTCAGCCGAAACTCACAAGGTGTTCGTTTATGCTGACAGCAGACAGATCGAGTCGGAGATTGCATCGGAGCTGAAGAAGGAGGAAGAAGCCTATAAGATGGTAGAGTCCCGAGTCCCATCCTCCCGCTTGGGACGAATCTGGCAATACGGCGGCCTAGCTACCTCGATGGCTTTTGGAGCCGTTGGCGAGGGCTTCCGCAGAGTAACAGGCAGTGCAGAGGATGCAGCTGGATCTCTCATGTTTAGCCCTGGGAATATGGAGCGTCTTGTGGCCAAGCTTTCGAAAATGCGCGGCGCCGCGCTGAAGCTGGGCCAAATGATCAGTTTCCAAGGTATGTTTAATAGAAGCTATACAGACATAATTCTAACTTTGGGCGTTTAGATTCCAAGATGCTTCCAGAACCGATCCAACAGGTCCTTCAGAGAGTACAAGACCGCGCAGACTATATGCCTGCGTATCAGCGGGACAAAGTCCTCACAGATAATCTGGGTCCCAACTGGCGTGACCTCTTTTCAACCTTTGAAGAAGTACCCATGGCCGCCGCATCAATCGGCCAAGTTCATGGCGCCGTCCTCCAAAGTACCGGCCAACCGGTGGCCGTGAAAATTCAATACCCTGGCGTGGCCGACTCGATTGACTCGGACCTCAACAACCTCTCAATCCTCCTCACAGCTTCGCGCCTCCTTCCGCGAGGCCTCTACCTAGACAAAACCATCGCCAACGCCCGCACCGAACTCGGCTGGGAATGCGACTACACGCGCGAGGCTGAATGTGCCGACCGCTTCCGCACTCTTCTCGCAGACGACCCCGTCTTCTACGTCCCTGCAATAATCCCCGAGGCCTCGGGCAAAAATGTCATAACAATGGAGCGCCTGAACGGCGTCGCAGTCACAAAAATTCAAACCTTTACCCAGTCTCAACGGAATTGGATTGGTACCCAAATCCTGCGCCTGTGTCTCCGCGAGATTACCGAATTCAAATACATGCAGACAGACCCCAATTGGACAAATTTTCTCTACAACGCCGCCACCTCACGGCTCGAACTCCTCGACTTTGGCGCAACACGCGCATACCCATCTCAATTTATTGACAAATACGTCGCGACCCTCCGGGCCGCATCCCGATCCGATCGAGATACCTGCCACACCCTTTCTATCGACCTCGGCTACCTAACAGGCCACGAGAGCCCGGCCATGGTCGACGCGCACGTTTCCTCGATCCTTACCCTCGCCGAACCATTCATGGATTCGTCCCCAGATGTCTACGACTTTAGCGACCAGACGATTACAGAGCGTGTTAAGGAGTTTATTCCCGTTATGATTCGAGAAAGACTGGCGCCACCGCCTGAGGAGACGTATAGTTTGCATCGGAAGTTGAGTGGGGCATTTTTGCTGTGTGCGAGATTGGGGAGTCAGGTTAGGTGCAAGGAGTTGTTCAGGGATGCAATGGTGAAGGTCGATGAGCGCTCGGCCTAATGTTCTTGGTATGATTTCGCGTCTGGGCCTGCCTAGGTCCCGGATATTGTGTTGCAACCGGGATGGAAATGTAGACTATGTACTTTTATTGTATAGAATCATCACCATTTTGTATTATAGTTGGGTTGTTACTAGTCTTGTGTGTATGAGATATGATACATTGGGTATTGGATATAGCCTGGGCAGTGCATTCTACGCATCTGATGGGGTCAGGTCTTTCCTTTTTTTTTTTGTGTGTGTGTGTGCGTGTGTGTGTGTGTGTGTGTGTGTGTGTGTGTGTGTGTGTGTGTGTGTGTGTGTGTGCAGAACCTGACTGATATACCTTCAGTCGCCCTTTTGTAAACCTCTGCCTCTTAGCCACTGAACCTCGTCACCCCTTCCCATCGGCAAAAACGGCATTCCAGTACCCCCGAACCGCTTTACAGATCCCCTTCTTCCCGCTCCAAGACTGAAACTTATCCTCAAGCTCACAAGCGGTCCAGAGAATCTCCCTCCAGTAATGCTTCTCGATATCCGAGCCAAAGTTCTCGATTACGTCTTGCGGGATCGTCCATGCGCGCGTGTAGCTTCCGTCATCTGCAAAGGCCGGGTTGACGTCGTGTGGCTCAAAGACTGTTGCTGGGTCGAATTTGGGGTAGTTGGCGTGGATGAAGAAGGGGCGGGGTCTTTCGGTTGTTGACGATGTGGAGGATGTAGGGGATTTATGAAGGCCGTAGTCTTCTGTTGGGTCGAATTGAACCATTGCGGAGCCTGCGAGACCGTTGGCTGTGGCGTGGCCCATTGCGACGATGCCCTCTATTACCTGGTAGTAGGGCTCGTCGACGGCTATGGCGGCTGCGACGAAGGTTTCCTTGTCGCCTTCGCCGGCGGCGCCTTGGGAGAGGAGCGGATAGTAGTAGTTGGGCCCCCACAGGTTGTAGTACATGCTCAAGAGGAGGGTTTTGGCGTGGGTTTTCTTGGAGATGAGGACTTCCCCAGACTCGGTGGACTGACGGGGCCAGATTCCTAAATGGGGAGCTGGCTGAGCGGCGATTTCATAGTAGTAGGAGGACACAGTGGAGGCCCAAAAGTCGGGCCAAGTTACCATGTTTCTTGATTTGAATGGTTCGCTTGTGAATAGGGGGTCTGGTTGGAGGATCGGGAAGGAGTCGGCGTCGAGAAAGAGGACTTCTTCGAATGAGGAGAAGAGCATGGCGAAGAGTTTGAACTGGTACTTTTCAATCTCTACGACATTTGGAGCAGCACTTAGGATGCGGGATAATATGACACATCGGGCGTTCAGTGAGGGAAGCACCACGTCGCAAACGTAGGGTTCGTATTCTTCTTCGTTGGCGAGAAAGACCTCGACAGGGAGCTCGGAGCCTGTGCGTCGGAGCATCCGCAGCGAAATGACAAGCACTGGGAGATATGAACCGCCAGCGGTAGAAACGATACCTCTAGTGTTGGGTATATAGTGTAGACGCGGTGCAGCTGTCTTGATGGCATCAACAAATTTGAAATGCGCATTGCGCATTTCTTCGACTTCTTCCGGTAGCATGTCCAGCATCTCCGGTCGGTTGTTTGGGTCCGATTCCTCAACCCTGATTGTAGGGGCGTTCCCTAGTCGCAATGGCGGATTGCATCTTGGAGTCGTTGCAAGGAGGAGCGGCTGCATTTGGGTCCAGAAATGCATATGCCCATCTAAACTGGGCTCCTGCGCTACACGGCCATGAGGGCGATATCCTGGTAGGCGCGGATATGATGCTGAATAGCGCGAAAGCGACCAGATGAAGAAGAAGGCGACAATTGTAGCAAGTATTAGGATGCGCAATCGCGCCAGCGGTCGCAATGGAATCATTGTCCCGCGCTCCTCTCCCCACGGTCGCCTTTGATTGAGTCGCGGCTCGCGTAGTTCATGGGCGAGTCGAAATGGGTCAAGCTCAATGGTAGCACGAGAGTCTCAACTCAGCAACAATTGGGTTTTGGAGCAGGTGCTCACTAATGGTAAGTTGAGAAAGAGGCCTTGTAGAGTCATCGGATCGGACGTTGAGATGTTGTCGAAAAAAGCACAAAATTTGCCGGCAGAACTAAACGAGGTGGCGGCGAGAGATCAGATGGAGTACATCGTAGAGCGCAGATCCCAAGGTCGAATGAAGGGTCTCGGGGTCTGGAAGCTAAAATTAAGTTGCTCGAACTCCAGAGAAGTGTAGAGAGTGATTTGTTTATCGGCCTATCTGCACTACGTCATACTCTGCCACGCATTCATCTCTTCCACATCATTGATTCTGAACAGAGTTTTATGGTTCGGTCCATTCCACAGGTGCGTTGAGCTGGACAAGTATTGGTGGTCTATTGAGAGATCATATCGTCATTAATGGCGGTCGGAAAAAGCAGGTGACAGGGGCTTGTTTCAAGGGTAATCGATGAAACACGCCATGCACTAGAGCCTCCGAGCCTCCGCATCAGCGTTCAAAGATTCGAATTCGGACTCCTGGCTTTCCTCCTCGATGATTGTTTCTGCGAGCACTCCTCGCTTCCTCGAGCCACCAGAATCTAACCCCCAGCCCCAGTCGTTCCAGGTCTCGCTGTTCGAGTCAGAGCCGCTTGAAAGCGAAGGGGTATGCTTGTCTTCCCCACGTTGCTCTGTCCTAAACGTTAGACGAGGCGTAGCCTGGGGCCTCCATGGGCGGTTCTCAATAGCCCAATCGATTGCCAAAGTAACCATGAAATACAAGAGGGCGCCGATGCCGGCTCCCATCAGCGAGGCCACGCCCAGGTAGATGAAGAGTGCCTACAATATCAGCAATTATTGACCAGGGATTCGGGTGAATTGCATACCCCGGAGTTGACCAGTACTCTCAGTGGTAGGAGAACAAACCACAGGACTAAGCGGCCCAAGTTTATAAAGGGAGATGCCAGCAGGCCCAACAGGAAGTATGCGCAGTACACAGTGTAGTAGACTACATGGTAGAGTGCAGAGTAGATGGGATATACGGCAATATTGAAGACGAATCTGGGTACAGCGGATAGGACTCCCAACAATAATGTTGCCATGGATGTTCAAGAGGAAAATTGGCGTCGAGAGCTCGAAGCTGTAGTTGTCTAGGGCAGTCGGCCTGGTGATGCCGCGGACAGGACAGCCCCATGTTCGGCGGTAATTATCGGCAGAACCTCACGTGGGCTCAAGCCAATCTGACTCCTTTACTCCTGACAGAGTTGCAAACATTCCTACGCGGACACGCATTGATTGGACAAGACTCTACTGATAACTGGTTAAGTCAAGGACCGGAAAATGATGGCCGACGGCTGAAGGCTTGTCCCAATTGGGCCCGGTGCATCGACCCTTGCTCGAGTGAGACCCCAATCGGGCGAGCGCGTTGTATAATGGATTGGATAACGGTAAAGGACGGAACTGAATAGCATGTGCTCAGCATCATACACACTGCGCGCTGAAACCTGGCTGGGAGGACTGAGTGTAGAGTGGCATGTGTTGAAACTTGACAGTTGTATCTTGCGCAGTCAGCTGCGTGCCCTGAGCCCTAAGTAGCAAATCGGGTTTACGATAACAAGAGGCAAAGGCTCAGGATTATCAACGACATCATCACTTTCGCTGCGACTCCAGCGTTCGTTCCCCCTCCCCCCGGTTCCTCGGGTTTCTTCCCATATGTGTACCCTGTTTATACGAAATAAACTATTTATTTCCTTTGTCTCCCCACAACCCCTCCTCCTTGACTCACCAAGCGACTTGCGTGCGTCCAGCTTGGCTCTTGATTTGGTGTTTTGCCCCTCGGGGTCGCGACTGCGGATGTCTTGATCTACAACTAGCATTATTTCCTCACCTCCAGCTCGACAGGTCAACTCTTCGGCCCCGCACCTCCTCTCGCTCTTCCTTCCTTCTCCGGCCACCTCGCGCTCCCTCCTTGTGGCTATCCTCCTTTCCAAATGGGCAACAATCCTTCCAAGGGCCCTACCGGAGACGGCCCGAGCCCGGTTACTTCGGGCACCACGAGCCTGACGGCTTCGACGAGTGAAAAACGAGCGGCTCGCGGCTCTGCAGTCAATGCTTCGAAAGCTCCCGCAGCTGACCCTTCCGCCTCGAAGGAAATCGCAACGGGACAGTCCTCCGTTCAGCACCAACCCCTGCCATCACGCAATGTCGCAGATTTGCCCACACGGACGGTAGACCGGCCCGATCGCCACGAGGCCAGAAAGACAGATGCCCCTCGTCCGAGACACATACCGTCAGCCGATGCGTCCAACCCCGTCCAGGTCCCGATCTCCCGTGCTGCTGCTGCTCGCCGTGACCCTTATCAACCTGTTGCTGCATCAGGTCCGCCACACAAGATGTACTATAGCGCGTCTGCACATTTCCAGCGTCCTCCGCGGATGCCCCTGCCGATTGGAGATGCTACAGCTACGCCAGGTTCGCCGATTAGCGGGCCTGACGACGCCAGCCCGCTTGCTCCTGAACAGACGCCCAATTACCAGACAATGGTGTCAAACTCCGACCTCACCACCACTACCACCGCTGTCGAAGACGATGATACTGTGGATGATCTCCAGTCGTACGCCGGCAGCGGCTTAGGAAGGGGCGTGCCGACCTATATTGAATGGACGGGCGGTGGTAACAGGGTCTACGTGACTGGAACTTTTGTCAACTGGGAGGCCAAGTTCCGACTACAAAGAAGGTTTGTTGCGTCATTGGCCTGAGTCCTTGATCGTTGTTACTAATCTGGTGGATAGTGAAAATAACCCCGCTGTCATGTCTACAGTTCTAAATCTCCGACCGGGCACGCATCATATCAAGTACATTGTCGATGGTGATATGCGGGCCTCGGACAATCTGCCAACCGCCGTCGACTTTACAAATCATCTAGTAAATTATATCGAGATTAGTGCAGATGATGTAAATCGGTCAAGGCGGGAAAGCGAAAAGGGTGCGGTGCCGCCTGGCATTCACCCTCCGCAAGTGATTCCTGAACAGGCTGGCGCTGGCAAGGACGAGTCCGCCGTTGACGAAGACAAGGAGGACAAGGAGGAACCGGAGGAACCGGAGGAAATCCCGACCGGCGATTTTCGTAGTATTATTCCACCGTTTCTTCTTGACTTGGATAAGGATGAGGACAGCGCGAGCTACCAACAAGCTGTCAATATCATTGGCGATGCGCCAACACCACCGAGCCTCCCGCTTTTCCTCGGAAAATCTATTCTCAATGGCACCACGCCGATGAAGGATGATAGCAGTCTGCTCAACAATCCTAACCACACAGTTTTGAACCATCTTGCCACAAGCAGCATTAAGAATGGCGTGTTGGCCACCAGCGTGACGACAAGATACAAACGAAAGGTATCATCTCCGTTATCTAGAACTCTGCCTTGGAACCAGTCTGCTAATCCTGCCGCCCATAGTATGTCACGACAATTTTGTATAAACCTACCGGGCATATCGGCGAATAAACAGATGTTACATCAGACACACTTTCCAGGATCATCTGCTGCTCTACGTCCCGGCTCACTCAAGCGGCAACTATTTCCGGCCGATTTGAGCATACATGGCATTAGATCGATGATAATCTGTGCTTCTTAGATACCGTCATTACGCTGGAACAGGCCATGTTGCGGAACTTACAAAGAGCCCTGTCGAAGGTTACCCATCCGCTTCTACATCAAACAGTGGTCATTCTCCCCTTGTCAGAACTTGCCCCACGGCAAGCTGCGGTATTGTCGGCTGACGGCGGTCCAACATATAGACCGTCGGACCCGGTAATCTGCTATGGCTATGGAAATACTTGGTTAGGCTTTTGCTTGCCGAGGCCTTCTTCATACAACTCCCCTCTTTTTATACAGAACTCAAGACTTCGGCATATACACACCTGCGCCGGAGATATGCATTACTCATTCAGCTATAATAGGAATTCCAATGAACATAGATATCATGGATATACTTACATATGGCAACTTTGAGCCTCGGAAGATGTTCATTCATTAATCGTGGATATCAAGATCAGTCCCTCCACTGTACAAAAACGTCATCAGTCCTAAACCGCTGAGTGCATGTCGACTCCTTCAGGGGGGTTCGGAACCCAGTCTTGTACGCCAGAATACCAGCCTGCGCAATCATAATCCCATTGTCAATACAGAACCTCTCATCCGTCGCATGAACACTACCGCCCCGGTCTCGCACCATGATCCCCATCATTTCTTGTAACCGTTCATTGCATCCCACTCCGCCCACAATCAGAACCTCCTTTGACCCGACGTGTGCCATCGCCCGCTCCGTGATCTCCACCAGCATTGAGTATACAGTCTCCTGGAGCGAGAAGCAAAGGTCTGCGCGGGTGGGTTTACGGGTTGATAATGTCCCGTCTGATACGGGTTCGTCTGTGGTCTCATGTTCCTCCTCATCCTCCTTTTGCTCGCCGTTTAGGCCATATTGAGCGGCGAGACCATCAATTGCAGCTAGAATACCGGACATCGAGCAGTCCATGCCTTTCACTGTGTAGGGGAGGTCGACGAGTTGCTTTCCCTTCTTTGCGAGTTGCTCAATGTTATACCCCGGTGCCGGGTCGTTGGAGATGCGTAATGTGCGCGCGAACCGGTCGAGGCAGTTTCCTACCGCGATGTCGAGGGTTTCGCCAAAGATTCGATATCGTTGCGAGCTGTATGCGATTACTTGTGTGTTGCCGCCGGAAACGTAGAGGACAACGGGGTTCGAGGCGCCGGTGATCAGGCGGCCCATTTCGATGTCTAACAAGGTTAGCGAGCTTTATCTTCCTATAGTAGGCGTATATCATACGTCCAACACAGTGATTGACTCCAATCAACTCCTTTCCCCATAGTAGACTTAGCGTACGAGCGGCTACTGCCACGCTTTGTAGGGGGGCACCCATCCCGGGACCCTTGGTGTAACATATGCAGTCGACATCGGCGACGGAGATATGAGCTTCGCGGAGAGCTTTCTTCACAAGCTTTACAACCCAAATGCGGTGGTGCCTTGCTGTGTCTTTGGGGAGGAAACCTTCGCCGGGAGGGGAGACGTACGTGTGTCGAATGTTGGCGAGAACTTGCGGGGTGCTGCCATCGCTGGGATGGAGCATAATGCCCACGCCGAGCTTATTAGCGGAGCCTTCGAGGCCAATTGCGATCATCTTAGTGTATGAGCTATAGATATTCGGGAGTATAAAGGGATATTATTATTCAGAGGATATTTTGAAAGCTATAGTGGCAGCGCTGATCTGGGCAAAGAGGGGCAGAGTGAGTCGGAGAATGTTTTTTTATCAGCAGCGTTATCGATTGGCTCGCCTGGCTTGGGTCTTTGGGTTGGCCACGGCAAATCCGCCGCTGGGTTTATCCGACGGTATACAAGCACTAGTAAATGAAGAGCATCCCATCCCGGCCTTCTTCTCCCCCTCCCACTTCAGTCTCTCGGGCCAGCTGCTTTCTTTTCCTTTTTCCCTTTTCTTCTCACATTCTGTATATTATCAGTTGTTCTCGCTTGCTCTCTCTACTTTCCTCCCTCAGTGACACAGCTTCCTTTTTCTTTGTGCTGTGCTCGCTCTCTCCGCCCACAATCTCACCGTCAATATACGCAGACGCCATGTGCTCGTCAGCCCACTTTTCCGGCTCTGACAACTTTCAGCTCCAGTCAGATGAGTTTGCATCCTGGCTATCCTCTAGACCTGGTGTCACGGTCAGTCCCAAAATCCGCATCGCAGACCTCCGAGCAATCGCTGCTGGACGAGGCGTCGGTACGTTCTACTCCACCTAAAGGACGAGTTTTCCTTTACCACCTCCAGCCCAGCGGTCTATTTCTGGCTTTGTCAAATTGTACCCCTCTTCACAGACATTTTATGTATCTGATTCGAGACGGGCGCTATACCAGTGGCTCAAGCCGACATAGTTGAAGGCGAAGAACTTTTCACCATCCCGCGAGACCTAGTCCTTTCGACCCACAGTTCAAAACTGAGCCATCTGCTCTCCCAAAACCTCGAAGAGCTCGGACCATGGCTGGCTCTTATGCTGGTTATGATGTACGAGTTCCTGCAGGGCGATGCATCGACGTGGGCACCATATTTCAAGGTTCTTCCTCGCAGCTTTGACACGCTTATGTTCTGGTCCGAAGAAGAGCTCGCGGAGCTTCAGGGGAGCGCGGTCATGGATAAGATTGGGAAACAGGGGGCTGAGGACCTTATTTTGGGATCTATTGCTCCTATTGTGAGGTCAAATCCTGCTCTTTTCCCCCCGATTGAGGGGCTCGCTTCGTACGACGGTGATGCAGGTACCCAGGTGCTTTTGAACCTCGCTCATACAATGGGGTCTCTGATCATGGCCTATGCATTCGACGTTGAGAAGCCTGAGAATGAGGAGCGTGATGGTGAAGATGGATACTTGACCGATGAGGAAGAGGAGCAGTATTTCAAGGGCATGGTGCCACTCGCTGACATCCTTAATGCGGATGCGGACCGGAACAATGTGAGTTACAGCTCTAAATAGTGCTGAGCTTTCCTTCATACAAATATCTGACAATAAATCCTCAGGCACGTCTCTTTCAGGAAGAAGAATTCCTGGTCATGAAGGCGATCAAGTCCATCAAAGCTGGGGAGGAGATTTTTAACGACTATGGCGAAATCCCTCGTGCCGACCTTTTAAGGCGATATGGATATGTCACCGATAACTACGCTCCATACGATGTCGTCGAGCTTTCACTCAATCAGCTCTGCTCCGCCGCCGGTCTGTCCAACTCGAGCATTGAGCATCAGCCACGGGTAAAAATAACCACTTGACCACTTTTTTTTTCTCGACAAATCCACTGAACCTATTTAGCTCCAACTTCTTGAAAGCTTAGACCTCCTCGACGATGGTTACGCCATTCCAAGACCATCATCGACCGATTCTCTGTCAGATATCATCCCCGAGGAGCTTGCCCTCCTTGTCAAGACCCTAACATTATCACCCGAACGATTCTCCGAACGGCAACAGAAGCAAAAACCACCCAAGCCATCCCTTGATGCCGCAGAGGCCAGGCTGCTCTACAGTGCAGTTCAGCTGAATCAGAGCCGATATGCGACCTCAATAGCACAGGACCAGGAGCTTCTCGCCCAGCTTTCCCAAACAGAGGCCGCTATTGGTACCCTTGAAGGGCCTACCCGGCGGCGGAAAATGGCTATTCAGGTGCGCTTGGGCGAGAAGGAGATTTTGCAGGATCTCTCTATCAAACTAAGTGCCTATCTCGCAAACGCCGATGGCTCCAACTCTGGCTCTGCAAAGCGCACAGCAAGCGGCTTTGCCGACGATTTGAGACGAGCGAAGGCTCCAAGGACTTGACGCAGGGATGCACGCCTCGCCTCACACCCACCGCCATTCAACACGAATATCAGGAGTTACGCACGGAAGACAAAAGTTTTTGCACGTTTTGATACATATTATTAACTGTTTTTTCTTCTTTTCCTTCTTCTCTTCTCCGTCGCTAACTTTATAGCTTCGCTATCCGTACAAAACTCTATGCAAACCATCGATCGGCTTTGCAAAATGAGGAAAATAAAAGGCGGGAGAAACTGGCTATGTACACTAACATTCGCATATTCTTGGTCGTCATGAAAAAGTGGGAAAGGATGAAAAGATGATCGTCAGCAACATTATCCTGAATTTCGAGTTCGGATGAGCCGTGGTGAAAGGGCGTTTGCGGCGGTCAAAGACTAAAGCGGTAAGGTCCAAAAGAGAAGCGGATTTCGAGGTAAAAGTACAATGGAAGTCGGAGGAAGGCGACAATCGAGATGAAGAACGACCACCCGCGGAAAAGTGTATGGGTGTGCGGCGACAAAAAAGGAAGAGGACGAAAAGAGGTGTAAGGGGAGAGAGAAGGTGGGAAACGAAAGCTCGGCTCAGGTTTCCGATACGGGAGCAATGGCGCCAGGCCCGGGATTCGATCCCATTGTTTGCCCCGTGTTTGAAACTGCGTTTTGGGCGGCGGCTTGTTCGGCCTGCAGTCGCCGCGCTTGCGCTGCCTGCGCCTGCGCGTGTGCCTGGTCTCGGGCTTTGGCAAGCATTATTGCCCGATTCTGCATGAGTTGGATGTCATACTGATCCATCTCATAGTCGAGATCCTCGTCGGAGTCTTCCTGGTCATATTTGAATCGGTCTGCCTTCCAAGGATCCAACTCCACTTTACATTTGGAAGCAAGATTACGGCGATCGATCAGCAAACGGCCACCTCGCCCAATACGTCTTCGGAATGAAGGTATCTTGTTGGCATCTTCACGCGTCATCAATGCGTGGGCTGCGAGCTTATCACGGAACGATATGGGGCCGGGTGTATCTAATGATGTGTCCATCATCATATGCTCGGAGGACGCCGAGGATGGAGGCGTTGGCAGTTGTGTTGTGATTGCCGGACGGAACGAAGCATCAAATGTCCGTTCAGGAGACGGTGATAGGGGTGCCCTTGTGAAATCCACATAGCCCTCGTTCCACTTGATATGCTTTGCAATGTTCGCCTTGATATCGCGCAAGATCTCGTTTTCTTTCTCTGCCTGGAAGGTTTCGAGTAATTGCAGGTCTTCTGCAGCTTGCGTACCAGGCTTTGACGATATGCGAATTGGGCCACCGGACGGTGGATGCGAGATGGTTGGAGCCTCCGTCGGCTTCTTCTTGGGCTGCTCTTGTGTTAGCGCCAGCGCGTTGCAGTGGGTGATGAACCCCTTGTTTCTTACCTTTTGATTGATGAGGTCCTCGTCATCGTCCTTGATGTTGAGTTTCCTCTTCATATCCTTGACTTCTGCCCGCTGCAAAAAGAGGACTCGCTCAGTAGCCAGCATCTCCTTCCGTGCCAGTTCCCTTTGGCGGACAAGTGCGACCAACTGGCGAGCGTCCTCCAGCTCCTTTCGGAGCCTCCTCAGTTTATCCGCACTCTGAGCATCTCTGCCGCGAGTCTTTCGGATCTGGCGAACCTCGCGCCTACGGAAGCAAACATATGGATCTGTGTCGTCGGTCTCTTGACCAGTTTCAAACTGCAAGCCAACGTTAGCAAATGGTACCACAGTGCAAGGTTGGTTCACGTTTTGACATACCTTGAGACTGGCGAGCAATGGCCGATTCTCGTTGTTAGTCCTGATTGACTTCCAATGCTCATATATGTCCTTGGCAAATCGCTTTACGGTCTCCTCTACGGTTGCGTCCATGGACTCCTGCATTTCCGCGAAGCTCAAGACGGGCGGGTTATCTACCGCGGCGAATGGCTGCTTCAACCGCGCCGTCTCCTCGAAGAAGTTCATTACTTCTTCAAACTGATCCTCTGTGCATCGGTTGGCGACGTCCCGCTTTTCATTCATAATCTTCAAGAACACATCGTCCTCTTCGGTCATGTTATACGGGCATCCGCAGCAATCCTCAACTGTCGAGGAGAAGCGAATGTACGTCGCAGGCTGCGAGAACACTGGGGGGTACAGCTCGTCATATCGAAGGTTACTGAGGACAGTCTCCGGGGTCGGGATATGGGCCTCGTTTACGACTTTTCCCTGCGCAGTTGCATTTATGGCAACCTGCAAATGGAATTCCTACAAAGAAAAACGCGTTAGCAAGCGCTGGTTGAGGGGGGAATGACCGATGCAAAAATTTTCATCTTAAGGTGAGGTTGTGATAATGTCACGTGATATCACCGGGATGGAGTCACGGTCGGGGAAGGAACACTTACCGACTCTTCGGCCTTTTCAACACCAGTTTCGATCTGCTGCAGGGCATTTTGAATTTCATCTTCAATGGCATCTATCTCATGCTCTCTGACAACGGGTATGACCGCCTTGGAGGTGAGCTTTTTCGGTCGCGTCCTCCCTAACCCCCCGTATCGAGTCATCGCAACGTCTGGGGCGTAACAGGCACAGCGACCATGGGAAAGGGGCCCAAAATTGGTATCAATAGAAAGGTATGATCATCCAAAATCACGTAGTCGTATTTATGTGATGGCCGGCGATGAGAATGGGCGATTTGGGTCGAAAGAACTGCTCGGGCTGATGGGTTGACGTTGGCTGTTGTTTTTGGCGGTCGCCTGTATTGCCCGGTGCACAGCGCTCAGAAAGGGGCTGAAAGGCCGGCCTTCGGTTACTTAGCCGTTTGCGGCTAGTGCGGGGTGAATCCAGTATCAAAGTTGCTGGGCGGGAAACTCCCCTTGGCATGTTGGCTGCCTCCCCTCCGACCTCCTCTCCAGCCGCATTTCCATTCCGCATCGCATCCATAGATCAACACAGTCGTACATGCTTGTAGATTGACGCTGCATTCATATTTCGCTTTCCTATTCTTTCCTCTAGAGTCCGATCCGCTCCTTTTTTTGACTTTTTGAATCACATTGGCCTCTCAACATGGACCAGCCGAGCGAGCCCAACAATGCTGCCTTGTATGCGCGGAGGCGACGGAGCTCTCTTGGGACGTCGCAGCTTATTGAGAACATCGTATCCGCATCTAACTGTGAGGCTTAAACGAATGAATGTAGGAGCTCGAGCACTGACCGTCTCCAGTCGACAAGGACGAAGTAGACCGACTCCGCAAACGATTCATGAAACTGGACAAGGTGCGCTCTCTCCATACTATCCAACAGGACGACAGCTAACACTTTTACGCTCAGGATAACTCTGGTACAATTGATCGTGAAGAGTTCCTCTCCCTCCCACAAGTTTCCTCGAACCCCCTTGCGACACGGTACCTCTCCCCGCTAAATTTAACCAACTCAGCCACAAACTAACAACGGATCATTGGACAGAATGATCGCAATCTTCGACGAAGACGGTGGTGGCGACGTCGATTTTCAAGAATTCGTCTCCGGCTTATCAGCTTTCAGCTCCAAGGGCAACAAGGAAGAAAAACTCCGGTTCGCATTCAAGGTCTACGACATCGATCGCGACGGGTACATTTCCAACGGCGAGCTCTTTATCGTGCTGAAGATGATGGTTGGCAATAACTTGAAGGACGTGCAGCTGCAGCAGATTGTCGATAAGACGATCATGGAGGCGGATAAGGATCGCGATGGCAAGATCAGCTTCGAGGAGTTTACTGAGATGGTGGAGAATACGGATATTAATTTGAGTATGACGTTGAGTATGTTTTCCCCCTCTCTCACCAGTCTGCGCTTGTGCTCTTGGGCAGATGATTGGTAGACGAATTCTGACATCCGATGCCCAGGCCAAATCTAATCCCTTTCAATCAAACTCGGACCGACACCGGGCACCCCCAACTCCCCAACCACATCCCCCTCTTCTGGATGACCATCAACAACGCCCAATCATTGGAAACGACGGACTGGATTGTTTGAATCGACATGACTATGATTACTCTTTATGAAATGACTGACGACGACAAAACTGTACGTGCTCAGGCGCAACGCAGCGCAGCTTTCTGTTCTTTACTGCTATCACTCGAGACTCATTTGGATGAATGGAAATGGCATTCCAACACCCCTAGCCGGTTTTTCTCCCTGCTGTTTTATTTTTGTAGACCTTGGGGCGTATAGGCCCATCGGCGTCTTTCGAGCTAGCCGATTAGGGCTAAATTGAGTGACGGGGTTAATCAAGACTGGTGGTGACACAGTCGGTGGGTAAGGACGTGCTCGGACATCCTTAAACCCGCCATTAGCCTGCGACGCGACATGGATGGTCATCGGCTGAAGAGAAGGAAAGTGACGGGAAGAATGTCCTTCCTACTGATATCGCGGATCGCGGATGGAGACCTGAATATGGTATACACCCATATTATATGACGACGCGCGAGACTCGTAGGTTTCGTGGAGTCGGGAATCGGTAGGTGTACCTATCGTGTAGTGCTACAAAATATCCACGGTATCCAGGAGTAAAGGTGGCCATATCGCTGATCTCAAGAGCTGTACCTCGTTCTGGGCATTGCATCATGTCTACGGAGTATCTAGTACCACATATATAAACTTGGGGTCGGGAGCATTTTGTTTTGTAAAAGGATCATGCACTAGGCTCCCAGAAGTAAAGTAGGATTGGAGGACTCGATCCACTGGATTGGGATTATTATGTTGCGGAGACTTTTTCGCCCATCACACCTCACATCGGGTGCCGTGGAAGCAGGAGAAGAAAGTCATAAAGTAATAGGAATAAAATCCAAGGCAATGTCACTCAATAGCCCTGTCGATCTGAATGCACTCTGTACAGCAGGACGACAGCCTCGACAAAGCAACTAATCAAATTTTTTCCTCCATATCACGAATCAAAGATCAAGAAATCAAATGGTATCACTGAGTAGGAACTTTGAGATGAACATCTAAATCGCTTTGTAAGCCACTCAAAACAAAACGCTCATTGAGAATGAAAAAATAGAATCAAGAGTCTTTGGTGCTACTCCAAAAGTATCAGCAATGCCTTACACGAGCCGACAGTGGTGAGAAGGATGAGGCCCTCAGAATCGGATCTCCTCCGTATTATGCTTGAAGAATCCAAATACAGATAGAGCAGATTCCTTCGTGGTTTCGTAGAGATATGGACGCTGTGTGTACCTAGGTTTCAGTTTGCAGGATGTCCTGGAAAAGTGCGGATTCTCGTGGCAGTGTGACAGCAATTGGCTTGCCAAGTCGGGCATTGCAATTAAGGGTCGGTCGACTGGTCGAACAACCCAAATCAGAAAGAGGTGAGTTTCAGCTTCAGGCTTCACAAAATAATATAGACTGAGTGATTTGAATCATGGTGCTGACTGAGCGCTTAGCGTCGCGAGCAAAAAAGTTGGGCATCAGAATTGATGATTCCTGGATCTATCAACCGATAGTGCATCCTGGGAGCTGGACTCTGGGGTTCTGGACCAATGAGCCACGGGCTAAATTAGCCTCCTATCCGAGGAGTGGATGCCGCCAGGCTGGGTGCTGGATAAGTCGATCTGCAGCGCCCTGCACAAGGTACATACTCGAGGCATATTCTTAGGGATCCGTGCATTCCCAGCCCCAAAAAAAAAAAAACCCTCATGCGTGCGAGGTTGCGGCGGCACGGTTGCGCGCGAGTTCGGGTCGATTCTCAATGAGGGTTAAACATTGACGGAGGACTGGATTTGAGTTTTAGGGTCAATATTTATCGAATAGAGAGGCAGCATAAAGCTAACGTACCAGAGAGAATTTCTTCTTCCCATATGCCCATCTCATAATCAACCAAGCCATGCGGCTCCATTTGGTCGCAAATTCGTATGAGTTCTCTCCCCAGAGTCTCCATGGCGTCGATTGTAAGGATACGAGATGAATGACGACCTGTCTGAAGCAGTTCTTGCGTCATGTCTATCTGCTTTTGGAACATCGCTAACCAACAGTTATTGAAATCATTCCATAATTTCAGACGATCCGAGTGGAGCATCTGGTCATCGCGAAGAATACCTGTTACGTTGGAGAGATTATTAGCCTATTATTCCGAGCAGGAGCAGCCCCACCAGGGCGAAGTTAATCTTGCATGAGGATGATAGATAGAGCGAGCCGTGTGTGTGTGTGTGGTAAGTAATAATAGGTGGACAACTCTAAGAGTAAAAACATACCAAGCTCCCGCGCACTAAACATGAGCCACTCGGAGATGTCAAGCAATGATCGACTAGCATCTACCAACCGGCCGGCATGGGTGTGATCGACTGTCCCTCGTAATGCTCGCTGGAATTGCCGCAACGGCTCCGTTGCAGAGGACACTTCTGACAATAATGTTTGTGGTTGCGAGTGTGATGACGGTTGTTGCTGTCCCGTAGCCCGCACGGGGGTCATGTCCGCCATGTTTGCCGAAAAGGAGTGTGTTGCGCTTGAGCGTCCAATGGGCCCCAGCTGATTATATGGGGACAGAGAAAGTCCCGTTGCCAGGTAAGTCGATGGGAGCCCAGCGCCTGACGGTTCATTGGGAGTGAAATACTGTGGAACGGCAAATTGACCGGAGAGTGAATCCAGGGCTGCAGACTGCCGTGACGGGTATGGTGGCACGACCTCGTACGGGGTTTGCGTTGGGTTCTGCTGCCCGAGGCTGTATACCAACTCGGACTCGTAGGTAGGAAAGGGTTGCTGCTGGCGTTCCTGGTGGTCACGCAACGCTGGCGTATACGGTTGCAATTCGTCCTGCAAAGCACCGCCCTGAAAAGTGTTGTCTGTGTATCCATAGTCCATGTAGGTAGCAGGTATTCGTTGTCTTCCTGCGGCCTGCGATGGGTCTACACGTGTTGGAGGGTATCCGGCCTGTCTGAACCGATCTCCTGTACTGCTAGTACTGCCGAATGACCGAGGGGCGGAGCGACGGGGCATCCCCGGTTGCGTGGCGTAATGGAATTGCTGATCATCCTGCTTCAGCCGTCGAAGATCACCATCCATGCCCTCAAACGAAACCATACGCACTGGATCGAGGCCGAAGGACCAATGCGTCGTCGGGGAGAGTGGAGGACTCGCGTACGATTCCAGCTTGGCGGATCAACGTCTCTGGCGGGACTGTGCTTTGTGCAAGACGCAACTCACGACTATACTCTGTCCGCCTCTTTTCTCGAACAGGGCCCCAATGGTAAGTGTTACCAGGCGGACCCGTAAGCGCGCGTTAGTCTCACACTTTTGCTCTCTGCACGAGGAACCTGGTACAACCGAAAACGATCTAGATATCATATGGACTCTGTCAGTTTGGCTCACGACTAGAAGCATTCACACATACTATAGCTATACTCGCTTCTCTGCGTCTCCAATTGCTATTTGCCAGCACGAATTGAGGAGTCAGGCACAATTCCAATGCGCGACGCGGCTGGAAGTCACACGCAACAGATCGAAGCACGAGTAGATTTCGGTGGGCGGGAAAATGGGAGTCAAAAGAGAGAGGAAGACCAGGATTAGAAAAGTCAATTCCAAAACTTCTTAACGGCGTGTCAGTAATTCATGCCAGATGCACAATGCAGGATCTCATCAGCATGTTCCGGTATTGCAGCCCAAGAGTGGTTATTATTGGAAAACGGTGAAGGGAGGGGCAGCAAAATGTGGGAGCGAGAAGGCAAGATGTCAAGGGAACTGAGGTTCTGCACAGACAGTACTTATACGTACTCGAGTCAAGATCTGATGGGCCAAATTATCCTCGCGCAATCATTGAAAGTCTCGGGGCGAGGCGAGGAAGAGCTGGAAGGACAAGACAATCACCCTGGCGTCACCAATCTCATGGCTCCAGCCTTCGAGACCCTCATTCGGAGTTGTCTACTTGGTGGAGAAATGCCCGCACAAGAAAAAAACGAATACTGATTAGAAAAACTAGGAAAAAGAAAAATCAGGAACTGGCAGGAGTAAGTACGAAGAGGGCGAAAGGGGGGTACAGTGAGAAGGAGGAAGAGGAGGGCGCACGAGAAGCGACTCCAGAAGGGAAAAAGGAAGAAGGCATGACTTGGGAGTATACAGTAGACTTGTTTTGCTTTTGCGTTGCCTGTGCTCTTTCTATCATCTCTATGCGGGAAACAAAGGGACTGATCTATCCCCTTCATAATCCAATTATCATCCTGGCACCCTCACTTGTTTCTCTTGTTTCTCATTACATTGACAGTCCAACTATCTCTGAACCCGTTTGCCCTCCAGTCCTCCGAAAGCACGAGTTGGCCACGGTGAGCTGGCCACGATTGACTCCAGAGAGGGGGCTATGAGAGTCCATCCAGCTTAGGTTTGTCACGATTCTAAATAATAATAGCTGTGGTGGTGCCAAAGACGCACTACTCCCGACTAGGTTGAAAAGGATCTGCCAGAAGATCCGATAAGGTTAGTGACCAGTCCCTTGGAACCAACAAAGTCCCACACTCATCAGTTAGTGATCACACTGCTGAGTCGGGCGTGAGGCTTGGAGCCCCTCATGGGGTTCGAGGCTTGGGGCCATTCCAAATCTCTGGTATTGGATGATATCCTTCGCAGCCCCAATTTTCCGCTCAAAAAGCCCGCCTCAAGGTGTTCGACCCGGGTTGCTGGAATCTGACCTGTACTCCCGAGGGACCCCATTCTAATCATGGACCCAACAACAAATGTGTCATCACGTACACATATCGACGTATTCAGAAAGAGGGAAAAAAGAAATCTCCAAGTGCCGTGAAGAGTAAGAAGGCTGGGTATTGCTTTGGTAACTTTGACAAGGGATGTGATTCAGTTCCGGGTCTTGATCGTCTGGGCGCTGCACGGGAAGAACGCTGACATGACAGCTGCTGAGAGGATCTATCCTGGAAGATTGAACCCTGGAGCAGTGCTTGCACGTCCAGGTCGAAAATGCCTAGGTCTCCTTAAAGTACGGAAGTTAGACAAGGATTCCTGGTATTGGAGAAGGGTTCAGGACCTCAAGGGGAGTCTGTGGGAGATTTTGGCTGCGAATGTCACAGCGCTGCATGGAATTAATGCATGCATCACAGTCCAATAAAAAACTGTCATAGCTGCCGAGTCCGCTAGCTCTGGTTCGACCAGTCAGCACCATTTTGGTTTGTTTCCTCGAGGCTCGAGACCCCGGGGCTTCCTGGAGGGAGGCCGGGTGGACGCCAGTCCTCAAAGAGTCAAAGGTAGATCTGATTTTTCCCTCCATAACCCAGATCGACCCTTTTTCAGGTTTTGCGGCGTGATCAGTTGGTGCTAGATCGACTAGACCTGCTCGAGCCTAGAGTATGTAGTGGGGATGGCAGCGGCCATGGCTGTCGATCATCACGCGCTAGAGAAGGCGCCGTCTTGGTGTGGTTTTTGGTCGCAGGAACAAAGAATAATAACACCCTGTGGAAATTTGGAATCATCAGCACTACTCTAGTTGATACTGGCGTTGTTATCAACGATATCAAGAAAGGAAAACAATGTGGAATTGACTTCGGCCTTGTCAGAGAAACCAAGTGAGGCTAAGTCAGCCTTGCCCGGGACAATGGGATTAGCATACGAAGTGAAAGTGACCGATCTCAACCCTGGAGTATCACACGAGGTCGCTGTTTCAGTCTGATGAACTGTGTCATTGTTGCTTCAAGGACTACTCCTTAATGATAATGGGCTTGTATGAGGTTCAGGAGTGTCACTAGCTGAGATTCAGGGCAACAGTACGGAGTACGGAGTACATTGAAGGTATACGGAGTAGATAGATTGGACACATGCGACAGAATTACTTGATTGGGTGTTCTCGTAAGTTTCTCGAACTACACAGGCCATGATACATCTCCTCACCGATTGCGGTGGGCACTTCGACGAGCATCCCCTAGTCATTTGCCCCGATGCTACAACCTGGCTGGATCTCTGCTCTGCCTCCTCGCGATAGGTCCAGCAATACCAACCTCGTGGTCGGATGAGGTGCACAAGCTCGCCAACCCAACCAAAGCAATTCCGGCGCTGCCGTCCCTTGTACTTTGTACATCGGACAAAAAGGAGATATTCCTAATTGGCCGGGATGGACGCACAGGATCATGGAATCTGCCTCTCACGTCGCTTCAAGTGACCACTCTATTCAGAACCCAACCGAAGCTTTAGAGGAACGTGCGAGGGAGGGCATAACCTCAAAAAAGGATACCAGCGTCGAGAATGAGGCTATCTTGGGCTAACCCTATTTCTTCTTGACTGGATGTTTGAGAATGTAGAGAACTAGTGATCTGAGGGTCGTGCGCTGTCCGCAAATGCATATATCCGTCCTTGCATATCCGCTGATTTTTTCTCACAACTCGACTTGGACTCTCAAGGAGTGTTCTTTTGCCTTGAGTGGTCCTTCTTTCGTTCTGCAAACTCACTGTCTTCCCTTGATTTCCAGTCGGGTCCGACCAATTTAGTCGTCGATCAAAACCCCACGCTGTGAACATCTAGCCTGAGCTTTTGACTTTACTTGGGTACGTTACCTTTAACCCTATTTGATGCCTTGCTCTTTTTGAAGTCTTAGTAGAGAGGACCCCTACTCTTCTTGGGGCAAATCATCACCCAAGTACCTCTGCGGCAATCGTTAATTGAGCCTATCACGGCAAATGCGGGTTGTACAAATATCTACACTATCTTCGTTTCATTCAATCAGACGGAAAAAACGCCAATATTACATGCGGATCGCCGCGAACATGCAGTGTCCTTGTTCCTAGAAACAACACCATGACATCAAATCGAGATAAAATGGCAGGAGATATGCTTTCGCCGAGCATCAAATAATACAATATGGGAATGAGAAAACTGAAACATTTAAGAGTATAAGCATAAACTGCCCTTCTCGCAAAGGCATCTCATCGCTTAACCCAAGCAGGCATCTTACGCGCCTTCACGTGGCCAGGCTTCTTCCTCTCCACACGACGAGGATCAACAGTAACAACACCGGCTAAAGAGTAAAGAGAGAAAAAAAGATTAGAATTTATGTGCAAACAACCGGAATTCATCTCCGAAAAAGAAAAGAAAAAACGTACCTTTTCGCAGAATTGGCTTCAGGCCAGGCTCATGGATCAGCAACGCCCGTGCGAGCGCTAGAGTCATGGCCTCTGCTTGTCCGGTCGTACCTCCACCCCTGACTCGAGCAAATACATTGTACTTGTCGAGTCTGGATGAGCACCTCAGGGCCCAAGTCGCGCTTTCTCGGTCATGCAGTCGGGGGAACACCTCGGCCAGGGTCCTCCCATTGACCAACACCTCCCCTTCTCCTTCTACTAAATGCACCACAGCATTAGATGCCTTTCGCTTCCCTTTTCCACGGGCACGACCCAATTCGTCGAGTTTACGCGGCGCGGGCGCCTCGCCCAATGGGTTTCCGGGACGGACGAATTCTTGGAGGGCGGCGTTGACTTCTTCCGGGATCAAAGAAGGGTCAATGCAGTTCAGTCGATAAACAACCTTGAGCAGACCCATGTATTTCTTCGTCGGGACTTCTTCTCCCAGATGTTCACGGAATTGTGCAATCTTCATCCACGCCTTCCGGGGTGCCTCCCCGGAAGGTACAGTGGGCAGTGTTGCATTCTGCGCCAACAGACGCTCGAGTCGGAGTAGGTGGTCGTAAAATTTCGGGATTCCGGAAAAGTATGAGGGCGATACAGGAACGATTCGGGCAGGCATGGCTCTAAAATGTTCAAAGTCGATTTCACCAGCGGGCGGAACCTCAGAGGGTTGGACCTCCGTCGCATAACTTCGGACATTTTTCCGTTGTGTTAAAGTCGTTGATAGGGATGCTCTGGGGGAAAAGGTATGTGCATGGGCTGCGGAACGTTGGGGGAGAAGGGTTCGCAAAGCGATGGGTGAACGGATGGATTGTATGGCTTGAGCCACGCAACTGGAGGTCGACCAAGCCATGACGAGACAGTCCGGCTGCCAGATACCTCAAAATTGACTGCTGAGGTAAGAAACGTGGCGAGGATGGCGCTCTGAACGGAGGGTCCGGCTGCTCTTCGTAGACTGTTGCTTGCTGTCTCTGGCTATCCTGAGGTTTTTCGATGCGCTCCCACGTGATACGCCAAAATGTTCCTCCGAGGCCGAAACTCCATCTGATTCGCACAAAATTATTTCATCCGCTGCAAAGTTTGGACAGCCCAGGTTTCGCTTTTATTCCCCTCCTCTTCTTCTCTTCTCCTTTCCCCCTCCATCCGTCCCTTTCCTTCTTCATCCCTTAAAATGGCTTTCGGCAAGCTTTACGGTCTTCCTGTACGTTCACACTCTTCTCGATATCTCCTTTCCTGTCACAATTCTCTTCTTCCCCCTGAGTCAATTCTGCAGCAAGGCTAACTCTTGCCTCGACAGGACAACCCTCGCACCATCTCCATCCTCGTTGCTGCTAAGCACAACGATTTGGAGCTTGAGCTCGTCGAGACCCAGGCCAACTCTTCTTCCGAGTTCAACACATCTGCTGCTTACCGGAAGATCCAGCCTCTGGGCAAGATCCCCGCTTTCGAGGGTGCCAATGGCTTCACTCTCTCCGAGGCCATCGCCATCGCTGTCTACGGTGCGTCCACATATTTCCTTTTACCACTGAGGTCACTACCAAGACTCCTGTATCTTTTTTCATGATGAGCAATTTCATTATTAGTTATCCCTGTCAGAACCATACTGTTGATAACGTACAACTCTGAAATTTTTTTCCCGGTTACCCCACCTTTGGGCAAAGTGCCCTTTGAACAAGGCAACCGTTTTTTTGTGACTCGGATTCGATATCAGTTGTTTTACCTGGGTATCTCATGCTAACTGTTGCCAAGTGACCTCCCAGAACGAGAAGACTACCCTTCTTGGCAAGACCAAGCAGGATTATGCTTCCATCCTCCGCTGGCTGTCCTTTGCCAACGCTGAGCTTCTCCCCAGCTTTGGCGCTTGGTACCGCCCCCTCAAGGGTATCGATCCCTACAACAAGAAGAACGTCGAAGATGCCTCCAAGGCTGCCCTGAAGAAGCTCGGCGTCCTCAACACTCACCTCACCGCCAACACCTACCTCGTCGGCGAGCGCATCACCCTCGCTGATATCTTCACCGCCGCCCTCCTTACGCGTGCTTTCGCCACCGTCATTGACAAGAAGGTCCGCTCTGACTACCCCGCCGTTACCCGGTGGTTCCAGACCATTGTCGCTCAGCCTGCTTTCAAGGCTGTTGTTGAGGACCCCGTCCTCATCGAAGAGGCCATCAAGTACACCCCCCCTAAGAAGGAGGAGAAGCCCAAGAAGGAGGCTGCTCCTGCCGCTGCCGCCCCCGCTGAGGAGGAGAAGCCCGAGAAGAAGCCAAAGCACCCTCTTGAGGCTCTCGGTCGCCCCACTCTCGTTCTCGACGAGTGGAAGCGCCAGTACTCCAACGAGGACACCCGCTCCGTTGCCATGCCCTGGTTCTGGCAGAACTTCAACGCCGAAGAGTACTCTCTCTACAAGGTCGACTACAAGTACAATGATGAGCTCAAGCTCACCTTCATGGCCAACAACCTGATTGGTAAGTCGGCTCGTACATCTCAATATCGCCAACTCAATATACTAACACCAATTTTCAGGTGGCTTCCACGCCCGTCTTGAGGCTTCCCGCAAGTACCTCTTCGGTTGCCAGGGTGTCTACGGTGTCAACAACGCCTGTGTCATCAAGGGTGTCTTCATGGTCCGTGGCCAGGACGCTCTCCCCGCTTTCGATGTCGCCCCTGACTACGAGAGCTACGACTTCATCAAGCTCGACCCCTCCAGTGAGGCTGACCGCAAGTACGTTGAGGACATTTGGGCTTGGGACGTCCCTGTCGTCGTTGACGGCAAGGAGCTCCAGAACGCTGACGGGCACGTCTTCAAATAAACGAATTTACTAGATGCCATAGTAACTGGCTTATGATGATGATATCCAAAAACAATCATGACACTATGACATTATTTCCTTGTTATCCTATTCATAAATTTTTTTTTTTTTTTTTCAAAAGTATCCACCTTGATACCTGTTCTTGAGAAGAAGCATCTCTATGCTCTTTTCTTCTTTCTCTCTGTTCACGGTGAATGCCCTATGCTTACGTTACCACGAAGCCATGTATTACGTCGAGTCATCGGAAATGAAGAATACAAATTTACCAGGTGCCGATTTGAGACGTACAGAACCTTTATCTTAAGATCGCCGCGGAGCAAACTGTACCCAATTCTTACCAGTCTTTCTTGCACTAGCGTCGACTCTTATCAAAATGTGGCTGATAATCATCTACCAAGATATATATTTCGTACCTCACCCATAGTTGACACCAACCTTAGAAGTACGAAAGCTGTGTTCAAGTCATTATGAGTGCTCTGTTCCGTAAGGTAAGCCCTACTTTTCCGTGCGGGATTTGTGCTGAGGCGGTGTTGACTGAACTGTCCTGCCAAGAACAAGGCCAGCCAAAGGTCGACGACTCTGCGTTTTTCGATCAATGTAGTTCCTAAATCGCGATATTCAAGCTGGAGCATGCAAAGACACCTTATTTACACCAATGGGTCGGGTATATCATCACGTAAATGCTATGTACATATGCTGTGCCGTCGCAATCAAAAAAAGAAAAAAAGAAAATGCAAGATGCCGTACTCCAACATAAAACCTCTATATGAGCAAAGAAACAAAGCCAGTAACAATCATCGCGAATTCAGGGACTCCTCCAGCCGGTCCAAGAGAAAGTTCTCGGACTGGACCGAGACTGGAGAGACAGACCTTTCCTTTGCCTCTGAGTGGTTCGGGTTCAAGGGTAATGAAGGCTCTTGGAACTCGATTGACTCTGTGTGTGTTGCAAGGGTCGATTGATGATCCTGAGTCTGGCTGTTTCCCTGGGCCATAACAGCTGCCTTTGCAGCAACAATTGCGGCCGCCTGTTTCGCAGCCTTTTTCTCCCTTTTCCGAGACTTACGTTTGTCTAAACGGGCTTGTGCTGGGTCAACCTTTACGTCATGTTGCGGGTCCAGACTCGCCCCTGGCTCGAGATGTAGAGACTTGATGTCGAGATTGATGATGCCTGTGTTGGACGCCCTAGAGTCCCAGACATGAAGCATTTTGCTCACATCGTCACACCTGGCGAGAATATCGAGGAGCTGCAGGACTTTGGGGAAGATGTAGGATTCGTCGACGCCTGGAGCGTTGGTGAATTCGGGTATCTCAATGAGGTTATATGGTTCGCTGACGGCTTTGAGTTTACTGTCATCGATGAGAATTGTATTGGTTTGGTCCCAGCGAGCACCAGCTGATGTGGTATCATTGAATTCGGAAGCTTCGTTGCTCGGGTAAGAAGCTTGGACGTCTTTGCTGGACCAGACTGTTTCAAGTGTTTTGTAGACCTGAATTTTGCTGTTGTACTCTGATTTTGAGAGACCGAGCTTATCGCGACCCCATTCAGCAACTAGCTCTTTCCGCTTGGGCTCGGAGAAAAGCTTCCGGCAGACTGCGTCGACCGTTGGGGGCTGAGAACTCGACCAGATCATGACCTTGTACTTTTCAATCAAGGTGCTTAAAAAGTCGTCTAAGCCGACTCTCCGCGAGAACGATGGCGGAAATTTGCGGGTTTTGCGGAATATCAAAGTACCATTCAAATCGAGGATTACAAGCAGAGGTTGCGGGGTCGATGTTGATGTCGGCGGTAGAGATGATTGGTGAAGGTAGTTCTCCGTTGCTGAAGGGAGTTTTGGAACAGGCCGTTTTCTGGTATGGACGGGCCCTGTTTGACTTTGAATGGGATGGACTGGAGGACTTGCGACAAGGCCAGCAGGGCTGGGCACTGGGGGGTGGTCCGGGCCAAAATTCATAGGGGCCACCGAGGGTGGTAGGAATGGCCGCATAGGCATGTATGGGCCGCCGCCACCTGGTAAAGGAGTAAATGGAAGATTCGGTAAAGGCTGATCCAGTGGCTGCTGCTGCAGGAATTGCGACTGCATCAACTGCTCCGATATATTTGGTGTGAAAAATGATTGCTGTTGTGCAAAGATTGAGGGGTCCATGGGCATTGAGATGCCACCAAACATGGCAAATGGGTTCCAAAAGGAGTAATCAGCCAGAACATTGCTCATTGAGAACGCATTCGGGTCGTTATTCTGCGGCTGATATGACTGCGGGGGAAGATCTCTTCGCGGGGAGAGCGACCTTCCTGGTTGGCCACTGTATAACTGCGTCTGTCCATTCGATTGTTGACCAGAGCCTTTTGTCTGCTGCCACTGACGCCCTCGCCGTAAGGATTGGCCGCCATTTGCATTTTTATGCTGTGGTGCCTCGGCGCGATTGTCCCGGTATGCTACCTTTGCGTCCCAACGACCTTTATAGGGCCTCCATGGACCTTGCATACCACCTTGTTGCGAGTCCACGGCCACCCCTCCTTGAGTCTCGGGAATGGATGAACTTTTGGTCAATGATTGCTGAGTGACCAATGCAGGTGTCGCGGGTGTTGATCCATTGGGACCAGCGCGGGCGGCGCCGGGGACTTTTCTTTTGCGGGGCATCAAATGTGAGAATTGTGTTGATAGTGAGCGACACCCAGTGAGAAACTGCAAGAAGAGCTTTTTTGGAGATTAGCCCTCGAACAACCATCAGCGACAAGGCAATGTACGCACCTTATCAAGCGCCCCACCCGGAGGCATGCGAACGACAAGACAGACTGCACTGCAAAGGGGTGTGAAGAGCCAAAAACGAGCGGCGCTGGAAATAACCAGGGCACAAAAACACGCGGTAAATAAAGAAAAGTAAGATGCCAATAAAACAACCCCAACAAACAAAAAACTGAGGAGCAGGACGAACGTCAAGAGGACTGTTGTCGCGCAAATCTAGACTATTACCACCGCCCGCCTAGAGGGGGGCAGAATCTTTTTTTTCTCACCGCCATCATCAGGTCTCAAGCAGTTCAAACGAGGGGCCTATCTCTCTTTCTGCTTCCTATTGATATTCGCTCGAAACCACGGAGTGCAGGTAAGATGGCTATATCAGATCTTCTCAACCGCCGAGTGCGTGCCCGACCGGACGAGGAAGAAGAAGTCTATTCCGATTCGTCAGTATCGGCTTCCGAAGCTCAAAGCGATGAAGAGCAGTCAGACGAATCAGGTTCAGAGGATGCAAGTGAAGGCTCAGTGGATGAAAGTGACGATGAGGTAACCTTGAGCACAGATTACCTCAACTTGCCGAACGAGTTATCTAACTTTTTTTTTCCAGTCAAGCCCCTTCGGGCTCGAATCCGACCACGAAGAAGGCGACCCAGGATCAGAAGATGACCACAATGACGACGACGTACAATCCTCCATTAATAACATATCCTTTGGCGCTCTCGCCAAAGCCCAAGCTTCGTTCGGATCCAAGAGCAAACGACGCACAAAATTGCCAAAGGAAAACGAAGCGAAAGCTTCAAGTTCACCACTCGACGACATTCGAGCCCGAATTCAAGAAGCGCGCGAGCAAAAGCGCAAGGCGTTATCATCATCATCAGTATCAAGGGAAACTACGAAATTCGAGAAATCAGCATCCAGATCATCAAAACACGCTCCTATGGTTCAGTCATCGAAATACGCCGTCTCCCGCAAACGTACCGTTGTTGAGCCGCCCAGTGCGCCCAAGACTCGCGATCCAAGGTTTGATCCGACTATCGTTGGCCGTAGAGGGGGCGCCTCGGGCCCTAGCGACGCATATGCGTTTCTGGATGATTATCGCGCTGCAGAACTCAAGGACTTGAAGGAGCAGCTTGCGAAAACGAAGGATGTGAAGAGGAGGGAGGCGCTACAGCGGGAGATTCGCTCTACGATGGATCGCTTACGGGCCATCGAGAATAATAAGCGGGAAAAGGAGATTGTGGCTGAGCATAATAAACGCGAGAAGCAGCTTATCCGGGAAGGGAAGAAGAGTACGCCGTACTTTTTGAAACAATCTGAGATCAAGAAGCAGGCGATGCTGAAGAAGTATGAGGGTATGAAGTCAAGAGATCGAGTGAAGGCTCTCGAAAGGAGGCGCAAGAAGGCTACTGCGAAGGAAAGAAAGGAGATGCCCATGGAACGTCGGGGTATGGGCGAAAGCCTTGATTTTGATCCGAGGAAACGACGGCGGTTTGATTGATTCTTCAAGAAGTTGTCAAGTATCTATTCTTGTACAAATGTATAAGTCAAGGCAGAATTTGGATTTCAGCACGAGGAATGACCACAGGTTATTATTGACATTATCCAAAACTACCCGCGTCCTGTCTCGTCGCGTGATGAGATTACCCCAAATAAAAAGGTCTTGTTGACTTATCATGGTCCTAGGTGTCAACAATGAAGGAAAGTGACAATGAAAAGTAAGTGGTATCGCAACAAGGCATCATGAAAGCCATAGAATGATTGCCGAGAGATGAAGATTTGGAGAAAGGTATGGACAAGATCCTAGACAATGATAAGAAAACTCCATGAACGCCCTCTGGCTCGTGAAAAATGGCCAGAAATGGAGAACTATAGACCAAAAAAAAACGCATATCTTTTGACACGAACGGTATCGGAATATCGCCAAAGGGGTCCGGAGGGGGAATAAAAAAAAAAAAACAAATGGAAACCAGTGAACCTTCCTTGGGTCCATTTCATGCTGTTCATATAACAATTCATACTTTGGCGTATCCATCTCATACAAAGCACGGATGACTCGCCGGCCATATCCATGCTTTCCCAAAACACATCACAAATCATTATGTGTGCAGCAGGGCCGTGGCTTTCTTTGGGCATACAACGTGCACTAAAGCACAGAAATGACGCAAAAAGTTTTGACGCCGTTAGGAATGGAATAGATCCCAAGCACGTGAGCAGAGAGACAGGAACTCTTCCTTCTTTCTCCGCTGCGTTTCCGGTGAATCACGACCCGCCCCAAAAGGTCCGTAAGCAGTGCCAGCACCGTGCCCCAAGGAGGCCGGGTTAGGCCGATAATGAGGCTCCGGACCGTGTCCCAGTGGCGGACTACCATTATCCTGCTCATATTCGCTTCTGGGACGACGACGCGCGGTTCCTTCAGCTGCAAACTGTCCAAAATGGTGAGGCGTATGTGCGCTTGCTGCTGCTGGCGCCGTCTCGAGATGTGGCATAGCTGACTTTGGGGGGTTGTTGGCGGCACGCGGAGATGGCGGGGTGGGTGGTTGGTGACCGCCATAGTGCACGATACGCGGCAAAAGGTCCTCACGTCCACCAGACATTTCTTGAACCGCCTCCTCCGCGGAGCGGTACTCGCGAGGTCGATTTGACTGCTGTGCGTTCCCCGGGATCCTAGGGGACGGTAGAGGCGGAAGATTGTTTGGCTGAGTGGAGGCAGTCGCAGATGCACCTTGGTAATACGTTGGCCCGCGATTTGCCTCTCGGTCCCGGGATGCTGTCAGAGTTTCTGAATTGAATACATCTGAGAGCGGCGGGAGACGATTGCTGGTTTGTGTGGCAGGTACATGGTGTATATGAGAAGTAGCGCCAAGTGTAGGGCTTTGGTTTACGATGTGGCGTGTCAGCGGCTGTGGCTGATGTCGGCCTGTGAATGTTTGGTGAAGCGGCGCAGACTGGATCACACGCTCATTTGCGAATTGTGCCGCCGACGGGGGTACGATGGACAGTCCCGGGGGAGGTCGCCGTTTCGAAGATGAACTGCTGGCCTTTGGAAGATTGAAGATTGTTGATTCGGATGGTTTTATGCCGTCTGGGCCGTCGTCCTTGGCGGATTTTTGAAGTCGTGACTCGATGATATGTCTCTGCTGGTCTCGAACTGAAAGGCTCCTCTGTAATTGTTCCCGCATTATCGGGTCGTGGGTCTGAAAGCCAGGAGATAAGCAGGCAATCCCCACGTCTTGCATACTAACATCGCGAGCTGTCATAGGGCCACCTGGTGCGCGGGCCGATAATCTGTCAGAGGTTGGAAGACTAGTGGAGAGATCTAATTTTCTCGGACGAGGTCGGGTATGAGGCTGCATTCCGGGAGAGGATGGCGGCTCTTTCTTCACGATCACTTTCGGAGGGTTGCTTCCCCTGGGTAATGTATATAAGTCTTGATTCTCTAGTGAAAGGGGGACAGTCCGTATGGTGTACTTACGAAGGAGATGTGACTTTCTTTCCCGCGGGAGAGCTCTTAGCGGATGATCCATCGCGGGGACGCGGCGGTGTTGAACTAGACTGATTGCTGGAGCTTGCTGGTGCCAGCCTTTTCGGACTTGGGTCTGTCATATTCATGCGCGGAGATGGAAGAGGCGCAGGAGCAGGCGCAACGACGGTAGACATTATCAATAGTCGTCGCAGCGAAAGATGGCTCGGCCAAAAGAAAGAAAGTGAGCGAACAAAGGAGGATAAGATAGTATTAATATCCTCCAGGGTACGGTGTGGCTGAAACCGAGAGAAGGGCGGTGCAGCGAGGCTAAATTGAACGTCACTGCGAACGATCGATGAGAACCACAGGAACTCCCCGCTCTGCCGGTGTCTTATACAGTCTTTGTGTAGATCAAACGAAGTTCGTGCATCAGAGGGCGGTGCCCTCCTGGGCCTGCTGCGGACGAGCGTTATAACTTCACTTGAGTGCGAAGCTGGAGAAAGGGAGGGCGAGGCCGAACCCAACAAAAGGCGCGGAATCGGAAAGGTCGTCGGCGGTGGAGGCGGCTAAGGAACGTCTGTCTCCGTGAGGGCCTTGAGGAAGACACTGAAGCTAGCGAAGGGAAGCTTGGGCGGCCGTCAACGACACCCCAAGCAACGAGCGGCGACAACAAAGACTGATGAGAGAGGATGCAGGGTGGCAGGGCCACAGAGAAGCCAATACCAATTCGGACGTGACCGGGGGCTTGTCAAATGGTTGGGTCTAAAGGCGGGCAAGGAATGGTTCGATAGCTGCTTTGCCTGCTTTGAGGAGGGGGGAAAGGAACAGGCGGGCGGTTAAAGTTGGTCGGCGGCAGTGGGACGGCGATGAGAGGTCGCTCTCGACGGGGTCTGGCCTAGAACCTCTCGAACGAACGCAGGCGGCCAAAAGGGGAGCAAAAGAAAAAGAAAAGAAAGAGAAGGGCGAGAGAAGTGAGGGAAAAAGGCAGCTCGCGGGTTGAAGAGAGGGAGGAGAAGAGGAAAGCGAGCCGACCTAGATTCAAGGAGAGCAGTCTGATAAGAGAAGGTGCTATTATTATTGTGAGGAAGAAGGATCTTAATTTCAACACGAATAATAATCAACCTGAAGAGACGGCGAGCGCGGATCAATCAAGTCATTTCCTTAAATTTGGCTGAAACAGAGCCACCAACTGCGAACTGCTCAGGAGTTCTCATGCAGCCAGTTCCTGACTTGACTCTGCCTCTGGGTGGAGAGTCACGCACGGTGATTGGCCCTTGCTGAGACATGGTTTGTTTCTGTGCGCGGATGATGTGACACTTTTGTGACAAATGGCCCTCCTTGGGATATAACTCAGGACCTCTCTGCTCAGGTCTGAAGGATAATGGAAGTATAAATCTGGACCGAGGCGCTACACTCCAAGATCGGGTGACTTGTAGAATCTTTGTGAATTTTCCCAAGCAACTTTCCCTCTGCGCAGGCAGTGTCCCTGAACGTTTGTAGATGTGAAGGGACAAAACTACGAGTAGCCCCATCCAGATCATGGATCGATCCAGCCTATGAAGATCCTGGCGCTGGGCGCTTGGGGCACGCTCCGTATGGAGACCACCACGGGCATCTCGATGAGTCCACTCAACCTTTCAGAGTCTGTTCCAGTCAGCTGAATCCCGGTTTCTCCTTGTCTTTCTTGACACTTCGAGGGTTGTTTTAATTGAGATTCAAGTCTTCTCGCACAAAAGGAATACGAATGCTATTTGGCCCAGACACTTGGACACAACATGATGGTGGATGTTTCAACCGCGCATCCTGAATCCACTGGTTTGGCGCCGGTGGAAACATCCATGAATCAATAGTCTCGGGTTCCATCGCCTGTCACACATTTATGGTCACTTCCCCTCCATCTCCTCTCGCCTGTCTGAGTGGTCTGAATTTATTGACCTGGTTGTGCAATTGTTTCTTGAGTTTCTTTTTCTGGTGAATATCCGAATCGACGTCTCACATTCCCTCCACGTTCTGCAGCTTCCGCTTCAGACAGGCGCGGAGAAGATGAGGGGAGATTCTAGTTGGCCAAATCGAAAATGCGACCGGCTCAACATAGTATCACATACCTTGCCTTGTGCTCTGGTGAGCAGAGCCGAGTCACTCACCTGGGCAATTTCTATACCTCCCGCTTTTAGGATAGAGGACCGTGCTGGCCCTCCACGAGACAGAGCGAACTTTGGAGATCAGCTCTGACAACACAGTTGATCTCCGCTCCTGATTGTTGATCCTGAGGGGTCCAAGACTCCAAGCTGGACCATCGAGCTTGCCGACCAGACTCTTGCATCATATTGCTCTTTAGCTTGACCCCGGCCGCTGTCCCGCTGCACGGGAAGCTTTCGCGGCGAAGATCACTATGCAGGTTTAACTTATCGGTATACATGCGGCCGAAGCTGACCAAGTCACAGGTGTCTTGGTATACTTCCTACTAAGCCATATATAGACCATGCGGGTGCTCTCCCGTGTTTCTCCACCTTTTCCTTCTCGAAACCACCTGGCCTGCCCAATGTCAAGTATATGTACCAGCAAGATAGCTGTCACTCCTCTCACCAACCAGCTGGCAACACAACAGCACTTGGCCATGCACTGCACTGACTTATCAATCTAGCACCAGCTCACCCGCGGAACTAGCTACCGGTCGGCCACACCTTAGAGGGGGCTTGCAGTTTTTGGACTGCTTCAGTGCTTCATCTCTGTGGTCGGAGATTGATTCCCTATCCCTGTCGTCACTGCATGCGCCAATGCTGACACCTACCCTTCCCCGTGCCTTGGACGGGATGAAGCTTCCTATGAATGTTCCCGAATCATGGTTTACATGAAGCGTTACCTATTAGAGTACTATATCTGATGAAAAGCGAGCTAGTAGAGCCTCGCTTATCCACGAGTTACTATTCAAAACACGAGGGTACGTAGGTGTGTAAGAGTATGATGTGACCATGTAGAGTACGGCACTTTATGGCCCAAATGTCAACCCTGGAGAGTTCATGTTGACTCATTGTATGAACAAGTACATAATACGCCCACTCATAGACGAGTCTCAGAAATATGCCTCGGCCGCAGAGTGGCTATACCAAATGCAATCCACACACACGAAATATGAAGTGAATTACAACCTACCACTCAGCGGGTTTGAAGTGTCCTTGACTTGATGGATCGTCAACTACTATGCCGGCCTCGTGGAGCAATGCTTAACAGTACTACAGCAGCTCAGCGGGGCCTGAGGCATGAATCCAAGGCGGTCTGCTTATCGATAACCTTAGCATTTTTTCTTGCCGAATTTCATCCAGACACTAGACACTGGACAGCGCGCTTCTCCCTGGACTCTGATATTTTAATCGATCTTTTTGCACTTGCTACGCAACCGTTGAATACCGTCGCCAGTTACAGTGAGGAAATCACACCAAAACCACCTGACCATCACTCTCTCTGCTCAAGCACCCGCCAATCCACGAACCCATTACCATCCCCAGCAAGGCACCACCTATAACGCTTCCCCTCTAAACCAAAGCAAAATGCCTTCCTCCGTGCACTCGCAAGACAACGACCAATCTATGGTTGATGTCCAACCTCAGCACCAAGAACAGGTTGAGCAGGAGGAAGAGGAGGATGTCATTGAGCTCGAGGAGAAACGGATAATTGTTGTACGTACTGTTGACTCGCAGCAAAGCGGGAGGAAATTGACAAGACATCCATAAATAGCTACCCGGTGCCTCAGACACAGCCGCCTCGTTCCAGTTTGAAGGTGAAGGACACACGTTAGGCAATGCGCTGCGTTATGCGATCATGAAGAAGTGCGCTCTTCCTTTTCTTCTTTGTTCGGTTTCTAGATTGCAAAGCAAGGGTCTGGTGGAAGGGGACGGGATTGCTAACGTTGTATCCTTCTACAGCCCCGACGTCGAGTTCTGCGGATACACCATCCCCCACCCTTCAGAGTCAAAGATGAACCTTCGAATCCAGACTTACGGTTCGTCATTCCCTGCGGTGATACGGATGATCAATTATGTGTAAAGCCAAGAACCAAGAAGACATAAACTGACCTGTCACCACGCTCCCAGATACAACGACGGCAGTGGAAGCGCTAGAGAAAGGCCTAGACACACTGATGGACCTATGCGACGTTGTTACAGACAAGTTTACGGCTGCGCGCGATGGGTTTAATGCGTCGCAAATGGAGTCATGATTGAGACTATTTGAGCTAAACTTCACTTTTGAACTTCTAACCCTGTGTTTCTGCTTCTATTTCTATATTCGACTGCGGCGTCTGTCTAGAAAAAGTTCCATTTCATTCTTGATATCTGTATTTTGGCGACTTGATAGATCTGCATGCGCAAAACAGGCGCTCTTTAAGAACTTTTGGTTATGAATGTATAGAATGTATCTGAGGAGCCACTACTACATATATTCGCGAGCAGACCTGTAAGGAACACTTCAACCGCATGAAGAAAGACGGTACTTATTCTGACAGCCTTAATATATACACAACACCCTCTATCAGCGTCGCTACGAGGCGGGGAACCCAATCGAAATTTCAATGCTAAGGTTATAAAAAAAAACAAGAGATTTAGGTGGGAAAAAAGAAACAATCAATTGCGGCCCTCCAAGAAGCCCGATATGAAGTTCGGAGGTAGTCGGGCACCGGGATCTTCCTCTGGCCGGAAGTACTTCATCACATGCGACAGCTGCTTCCAGTAGTTGAGGGTTTCCTATTTTCAAGAAAGAGGCTGCGTTAGCCGGGGGACTTATAAGTATACACCCCTGCCGATAGGCTATGTCTGTTGGACCGCAGGCGGGCGGGCGTGTAAGAATGTAAAATGACTAACCTGGAACTCGGAGTGGCTTTGGAACAGCAGCACATCGACGACGTTGAGTTGGTTGACGTAGCGGTGCTTCTCGAATTCCTGGCGGATCTTTGTGCGGATGGCCGAGACGGGGAGGTTCAAAGAGTACATAGTTTGGATTTCGGGAGACTATAGTTCGCGAAGCGATGGTGAAACGGTCAGACTTCCGCCATCCCTGGAGACAATAACGCGGTATAATATTTTGCTGATAGCTCGGCGACTGCGGTATACGAATGGGATGGCATCACACCACAACCACAAACAACCACTGCATCCAGCTATGCAGGCTATTCCAGGACAATATCGGGGGTACTAACAGCTCGGAGCCAGTCTCTATAAGACCGAATAACACGCTTCTTTGCATCACCCCAGTTGACGGCTATATAGAGGTGTAACAGGTCAGCAATGAATTCCAGCCATTGACGTCGCGGCAATTTCAAAGAGCTCGTCGGACGCTTCCGGAAAAGGGATTTCGAGGGGAACAGGCATACAGGAGCGGGTGCGCTGCGCAAGGTATGTGGGATTGATGGTCATCTTGAAGAGATACCGTGGTTCGTGTACTCCAATGGCACACTGCGGAGAGGGGGGGAGAACAGACGTTGCGAGGGGGACAAGATAGAGGTCGAGGTTTGCTGGGCCCTGCTTGGATTAGCGGCGGCGAGCGCCAAGCAGTGTGGAGCTGTTACTGAATCTACCGCCTACTTTTTTCATTTCGGAGATCCAAATTATTTTGCGGATGAGGTTTGCGACAGCCTTCTTTTCTCCATTATCGAGACCAGACATTTTTGCGATACTTCTGATATCATATCCTGGGCGGCTTCGATATTACGCAGCTGAAAACCATAACCTCGACCTCACCACCCTCTACGATCGACAGAGTCCCGCAAAAGACATCCCACGGCAAAATGGCCCCAACAAAAGGCCCAGCCAAGGGCAAATCGTCCACCAAAGGCGACTCGAAAAATAAAAAGGTACTCGGCGCAAAAGTCAACAAGAAGAATGTGAAGCGACCTCCGCCGAAAGAAGTAAAAACCAAGGCTCGCACTGAGAAAAGCCAACTCAAGAAGACGAAAAAGAGAGAGTACACAGAGGCGGAGTTGGACCTTCCCAAATTGAACATGATTACGCCCGTCGGAGTTGTGAATCCCAAGGGGAAGAAGAAGGGCAAGACGTTCTGTGATGATCCGGTATGTTTGCCGTCTGATAGTCAACGATGTTTTGTGCTAATCCTTGGTTTAGGAGGCGATGATGACAATTTTTGCCATGGTTAATGCGGAGAAAGAGGGACAGATCGAGTCTAAGATTATGAAGGCCCGGCAACTAGAGGAGATTCGTGAGGCGAAGAGGAAGGAGGCGGAGGCCCGACAGTCGGAGAAGAAATCCAAGCTGGTATGAACTCACTGCTTGATCAGCCGCTTGTAGATGGCAATGCTAACGGCGTTAATGAATAGGAGGATGTGAAGGAGTCGATTCGGCAAAAGCGCAAGGGAAACGGCAGCAATACTGAAGAAAAAAAGTCGAAGGATGCCGCAAAGGCAGACGACTCCGGGTCAAAATCGAAATCAGGTGGAAAGAGGAAAAGCGTCGCGTTCGCTTAACCGGTTATTGGCAAAAAGTAATTCCCTGTATAGCAGTACTTAGAGGAGTCGCTGGCGTTTCTATGGGTCTATCTATATATTTCGAAGCATGGCATGAATGACAATCATTATGATCATCGTCAAAGAGCAAGCGAGCGGCCAATAGTAGGACATTCACCAACGTCCATGAATGTCCTCTTATTCTATGATGGGCAACGCAAGTTTGCGCCGCATCGGGCTGAAATCCGCCGCCCTGGATTCAGTACCACTGGGCTTTTGACGTGTAGGAGACTTTCCATGCACAAGTTCCGGCTTTTCAACCACCGGAGGGACTTCAGAATCAACCTCCTTGGCCATCATGTTCAGAAAGTTGGTCACCTAGTATGCATGATCAGTGTATTGAATTGGCTTCAAAAGGGCGAATGACTTACCGGCTTGACAAACCACCGGTCACCCCCAAACTCGAACCAGCCAAGATGGCCACCCCACGATGTTGTCATCATAACTCCATAAGGTGTTTGGCCGATCTCTTGAAAGGGTAGTGCTTTGACGTTGGCAATCTGCGGCGGTTTAGTACACGGCGCAGGAAATCCTAGAATCTATCCAACTTACCGGATCATCCTCAGCCTGCACCACGAAGAAAGGGATTCGGATCCCGAAGAGCGAATCGGTAGAGGTAGCGTCACGATAGTAGGCACCTTCTGTCGGATACCCCCATAAAGCACATTGCAAGGCCCTAAGCGTTATGAGTCACAACACAATTACCGAAGAAGATTATACCCACCTGTCGAATTCGTGCAAGTAAGTAATGCTTCTGACTTCTTCCGCATTGACTTTGGGGTTCTTGATAACCTCATCGGCGTGCCTGCAGAGAATTAGATCATAATTGCGAATGGCTTGTAAAGAGAGTTGCATACTGCTCAAAAAGCTTTTTCATGCTGGATCCCATCACTTTGCTATACACTTCCAGACCCATATAGGTGCTTTGCAAAGCTACTGAACTAATCTCTAGATTCCAAGGGCTCGCACAGATTACAGCCGCTTTAAGCTGGCAGGCGTCTCCCTCTTCGCCCAGATACTACAAAGGTTAGGCCAGAAATTGCTGACAGTGAAAATGATTCATGGACTCACGTTGGTAAGGATATTCGCACCCAGAGAGAAACCGATGCCATATAGAGGTCGGTTCGGGAAAGCCGCTCGCAGCCACTTTACAGCTTGACGAACATCCCAAGTAGCCCGGGCATTGTACAGTACACCGGTAGAGATTTTGGTTTGTGCACAGCCTCTAGAGTTGACAACACAAGCTTCCCACTCTCGGTCAACTATGAGAGGATAAAGTACATGGCGCAGGTAAAGTTCATGCGAACCACCACTCAGACCGTGGAGGACGACAAGCATAGGCTTGCTGTCGTCTGAGGGCAAAGCGGCGAATTCATCCTCTGAGAGCATCGCCGTCCGCTCCGGCAGTCCCGAGGGAAGAGTATACTTTCTCTCCTCGTCAGTTGCTTGGGGGTTCGTGGGCGCTTCATATGGATCCACCACGAAATCGACGGCAAACTGCCCCTGATACTTGGCGCTGTCGGCCTCAAAGATGCGACGCTTGTAGTAGACAGGCACCTTGTCAAACTTTACTGCCGTCCAGCAAGTCTGCAAATGGCCGTTGAAAAGAAATGGATTGAGATCACATCGTGCTGGTGTAGCTGCACGGCAGAGCTCCGCTAATGTGGTCTGTTCCTTGGCGCCAGTCTTGCCGGTTTGTTTGGTGAGGACAAGATTGTTCTCTTTTGCGTGGAAGAACGATATACGTCCACCGGGGCGCGCCCACGAAATGAGTCCCATTGCGATCAACAGAACCAGAAGTAGCGATGCAGGCAATGGCAATGGGCTAGAAAGATCAAACCGGAGCAAGGCAGCCGAGGTAGCAGTAGCCATGGGCAGAAGCTCCACAACAAGTCTATCAACTTGGGCGTTAGCTACTTTATATGTCTGGCAAGAAGCAAATGAGGGCGTACCTGAAAACCCGTCTGGAGTCCCACTGGGCTTCTATAGTTGGGTTCCGTGAAGTTTGTGCAGTGGCGGAACCAAACCAGATCTTTCGGCGAGACGTCTACGCCAGCCACTGCTATGCCAAGACCAAACCACGAAGCAATCAAGGGAAGCTCAAACAAAATCCTCGATTTGGATGAGCACCTTAATGAGTATTGTCCTTAGAAGCAAGATAGCTGTTGTCTAGGTCTTTATTTTTTTATGTTGTACATATAGCAAACAGGCGAACCATTTTATGCCTGAGGCGCTAATATATACTCTGTTACAATGTTTTCTTGAAGGACAGTACTAGTTTGAGTTTTTCGACGGGATATGCCGCCCGAGGTCCCTGGGGTGGAGCGAGGCGCGCAAATGTTCCTTGAGGCTTGTGAAACGTGTCTGATCAATGCTGATAATCCCGTCAGGATCATACGGCTCCCACTCCGCATCATAGAGTAGATACTAACCAGATTATGCACTTTTCTCTAGTGAAATATGATAGTAGTTCGAAAATAACTGGCTTCATAGTAAATGGATGCTGGATAATAACTAATCTCTTCTGCCAGAAAATATGATGACATAAGCACGATCTTATCTTGGGCTTATCGCAAGGCTGCTGTCGATCAACTGACAGAGCTTGTCACTTGACAGCAGTGGAGATCCATCATTTGATCACTCTCTCAAACTCTTGTACCCTCAAACATGATCATTCAACCCAAGGCCTAACGGCTATCGCAGACCAGCAGGCTTGGTGGCGCGAACGGCTATCCTCAAACTGGATGACGCTGCCTTATCGCAAAGCCCGAAGCGTCCGCATGCGGCACGCAAAACATACCGACCATCGTCATGATGAGAACTCAACTTGCATTTATGAATTCGGAACTATTACAAGACCATGCTAATCTTAGACGCAGCTTATCCTAATCAGTCGAGGACAATACATGCTTTTAGCTATTTCACGACCCCGCTAACGGCCGGTAGAGGTGGGCAGATTATAACAAAGAAAAAAAAAACAACTGTCCCTCCTGCTGCCGTGGACTTAGCCCTTGTCGGCATTCTCATCTAAAGGGCTGTGACACTTGCGCGCGTGCCCCGTTTGCGTGCAAGCTGATAGCTATATGCGTAGGATGCTTGGGAGGTCAAAAGGCCCTCCCTCTGCTCTTTTCGAATCAACGTTTTATCACGCGGTACACTCTGTGATATCTTCTATATACACCATGATGTCCCAGAGCACGCTCAACAAAAGTGCTCTCAATATTTACCGATGAAACTGTGTCAGAACACGACAAACAAAGACTTGCCGCATTTTGCAAGTCGACAAAGGCGCCTTTGGAACCTGATATCACCTACCACGGTAAATGCGAATATCTGGGGCCTCCTTCAGACCGAGATGGCAGATAGTTTCCGTCGAGCTGGAATCAGACTAAAGGCTGTTATTGCCATGAATCGGAGATCGCACAACGGCAATAACCCGCGGTCTGAGGAGCAAAACTCTTCCAGGCGATGCCACTTGCTCGAACTTCCCACAGAGCTACTGCTGGAAATCATTTCCCACCTCTCCGTGCTACCAGAGGCTTGCCTTGCCTTGACTTGTAAGAGACTGTTTGCAATATCTGGGGCTGTTCTGGATGCAAAAGCCCTTCATTTCAATCGAGACTTTGCTCCTCTCTTTCACCATTATCGCAACGGACACAGCTTTGCCACTACTCGATGGCAGCTGGTCAAGATCCTCGAGGATAGCAGATGGCGAGCGTGCTCCAAGTGTCTCAAGCTCCATCCACGAAGCTTCTTCCCTCCACGAGAGCTGAGGCGCAAATCGGACGATCGGACGTGCAATCTTGGGAGCCTTGCCGGTGTGGTCGACCTGTGTCCATGCAAAAAGATCACCTTTCGCGACAAGATCGAACTGGTGGAACTCTTGAAGATACGGCAAAAGTCTGTGGCAATACTAGCATCGCAATTTGGTAATGCTGTTCAAGAGCGGTTTTGCTGGCATTCTTGCGCAGAAAATTATGGGTTCACGCAAATGAAAATTGAAATCTATCTAGAGCTGGATGACGACAACCAGTTAAGGATTAGGACCGAATATCATATGACGACGACTCCAGGCCGGCTTGGAAAAGAAGACTACATGACTGCCCGCTTTGGGTGTGCCCACAGGTCTGTCGATTTGTGGCTTTCTGGCGTTTGTCAGACAACCATCTGTCAACTGTACGAGAATCGGTGTGCTTCGTGTAGGCGGATAGCAATCTGCAAGTCTTGCAATGCCGTGCTAAGATGCCCACGCAAGCAACCTTGTCGAATAGACGAAGAATCCGGAACGGCGACATATTCTTTCTGGACCGAGAGATGTCTTGGAGGCGCATCACCTACCCCGGATCTCCCATGGGCGGCTCAGAGGATTCACCCGGCTGAAGCATTGGTCGACCTGGACAATTGCAGTGAACTTTGCCCTTGGACGATCCGTGAGCACCCCCCTCTGCCCAATCCACCATCTCTAGAGATGGATATACTCGACCCTGCAATTCAAGATCAATCTCTCAACCAGCTCTATACCTCGATTCATACGACATGATCCGCGGAGACATCTCTACTCCAAGTGTCAGCTCGCCAGCAAGCCTTGATGGAGGAACATGGCGTTTCTTAGGCAATAAAGGCGGACTTGGTCGGTTGTGGCCATGGGTGATGTAATCAGGCGTTGGTGGTTGACTCGCGAACTTGAATACAAGTGGCTCTTTTTTTTAGTTTTCAAAGAACGATATCAGAATAGATCTAACCATTGGCAGTCATAAGATGCGAGTTTCACTTTGATCTTATTGCTCTTCTCTGTCAGTCTGATATATACATAGTTCAATCGAGAAGCGCTATTCCGTATTTGTCGACACCAAAGGTTTACCCGATCCGAGACCAAAAGGGAAAAGGGCATCGCGACTGGAACATGAGGAAACCATCCGCATCAACTTCGATATACCCCGGGGATCTTGCAGATTGCAGTGGCTTGGATGAGTGTCATCCGTGTCCTGGGGCGATGAGCTACCCACCATCTCATAATGGTCAATATTCTCCGCAGTACCTGCAACAACATCACAACCTCCATCCGCCGCAGCAGACCGTCCAACCCCAACTTCTGTATAACAATGTGAACGCCGTCAACGCGAACGCGTCAGCGTCCGCATACCAATATGGCAAACCCGCCGCCTTTCATCAGGCAAGGATACCGTCCTATGACAATTACGGTCAAATGTACTCCCCGCAACAACAGCATCAACCGCAGCTACAGCAACCGCCTCCCCCGCCGCAACAAGCACCTCCGCAATATGTGAACCCATCCGATATCTTTCAACAACCGCTTCTCCCTTCACCGGCGCCATCCTCTTTCAACACCCACTGCCCGCCTCAATATTCCGCACAGCAACCTGCAGCAGGCCCTGTCGCTAGCAACAATCATCCCCCATCTCCAACTCTTACCACCTCTACTCCAATCCAGCCCACGCCCTCAGCATCAGCTTCAGCATACAGCCCGATGCCTAGCGCTAAGCAATCAAACCACCAGGCCCCGAGCAAACCTTCTCAACCCGCACCACCACCTCCGACTCCCAAACCTGCGATGAAGCAGAAGCCTGTTACAGCTACCCCGCCGATTGCTCCGACACCGCCAGCAGCAGCACCGTCCCCAAAGCCAGTGCAGGTCTTGATTCCGACGCCGTCTCCAGATGTACAGCACAAGGTACAACAACAACGTGCGCCACCCAAGAAGCAAACGCAGAAGCAGCCAACGCAGCAATCTGTGCGGACACCCGCAAAACCCGGTATAGACTACCAAGTACTCTTGTTGGCGATGGCAGATGAATATCTCAATGCGGCTCATAGTCAAGGAACTACGGTGGCACTGTTAAAAAAGGAAATGGAATTGGAGGAGTATTACAGGCTTGTCGCTACTGGCCTCGGCTGTCTCGAGGCCGTTTTAAAGGTTCGTCGCTCCGCCACTATGCGTTAACAACAAGACAACTGATAGCCATGTGTCGCATAGAATTGGAGGCTACAGCCACGTGTAGAGGCTTTGGTCCGACTAAGATATGCACGTATTCTCTTCGAGGAGACAGATAACGATCTGGAAGCGGAGACGGCATTAAGCAAAGGGGTAAGTGTGCAGAAAAGGAGTTTGCTAAGTTTTGTGGCCCCCATCGCTAACAGTGCTTATAGATTGATCTGTGCGAGCGCGTGAGCTACCAAAATTGCATTATATGACCACGTCTGGAATATCATGCTTATCATTTTTTTTTTGTTAGAATCGTATGCTTGACCTAAAGTACAGTATGCAGCATCTGCTGGCACGGATGCTGTACAAAACAAACCACAAGGCAGCGTTGAAAGCTGTGGATGGAATGATCCAGGACGTTGAAGCGTACGTATTCAGGATTGATCAGTGTTAGGTTCCCGCTCTGATTTACTTTTCTAGATATCGCCATTCTGCCTGGGAATACGCCTTTCGCTTCCTTCGCGTGTCGCTGTCATTGTCCTCGTCTGCCCACCAGGAATCTACTGCGGCGCTACAACATCTCCACAAGATCTCAAACATGGCGAACCGGAATGGGGACAAAGCTGTTTCTGCCATGTCTGCTCTGATTGAAGCTTTGGCGCACCTTCAACAAGTATCCAGCTCCGACTCTATTGAACAAGCTCAACGTGCGATAGCGGTGGCTCGAAGCCACCAGTTGAATGACGAATTGCGCCATATCCCGCAACTCACGACTCTGGTCCAGATTGTGGATATCTGTTGTAGCTTACTGGAGTTCGACGTCGTTCAATCTTCTCAAAAGCTCAAGGTGCTCCAAGACCTAATGGATGCGCGGCTGGGTGACTCAATATGGCGTGCTGATGGGTCGTTTTCCATTCCGTTGAGCGGCAAATCCGCTGGCCCTTCTTCCATCGACACGGGCGATATCCTCCAGGTACAGAATGGCACGTTACTTTTGAGCTTCAGCTGGTTGCCGCAACATGATCTCTACGCGCTTTGCTATTTCCTCAGCTCAGTCACTCTAAGCTGCAAAAACTCGTACGACGGACGAAAGGCTGAAAAGTTCCTCCTGGAAGGGGTACGCATGCTACGAGGTTCGTTATATGCGCCGTTTGCTTGCTCTTGGGGAATTACAGCTGCTAAAAACGTCTCTACCTAGGCAACTTTCAATCACCCCAAGAAATCATCACAGAATCATTGGTTAGCGCGAATCGACGCGTAGAATGGCGCAGGACGTTATTCTGTAACCTACTTATTCAACAAGTCTTTCTTGCTTGCGGACGAACAGACTGGGATCTTGCAAGCAGAACTCTTAAAGAACTCCAACAAGAGACCGAAGCGCTGGAGGATACTAGCCTTTCCGGTGGAGCGATCCAGTGCTTGATGCAGTATGCAGTAGGCACTATTGCACAGGCAAGGGGTGACTTGGCGGGTGCCCTAACCGCCTTTCAGGCCCCTATACTCTCATTGTCATCTTCATTCAGCAAAACCGCTCGAAACGACCCCCACCGTGACGTCGCCATTCTTGCCGCAATCAACACGGTCCTCATTCTCCGAGACCCATCCCATCCTTCCCACTCTCACCTTCCAAACCTCCTCTCCATTCTCGATTCCTTCTGCCGCGCAAGTCCGAGCAAGTACATTCAAGCCGCATACCATCTACTCTGTGCAACCGTACAGACCGACTCCACCATCCAGACTAAACAGTACCTCCAGCAAGCCCTACAATCTGCCACGGCCATCGGAAACAGCCAAATCACCTGCATGACGCTGACCTTTATGAGCTGGAAATATTTCCGCGGAGTTGTCGGTGAACAAGCCGAGAAGAGCGCACGAGCAGGCCAAGTCATGGCGAAAAAGGCCAGCGACCGACTCTGGGGTAGCGTCACAGATGAGATCCTCGCGGATACCCTTGAACGCCAAGGCAAGCGCGAAGAAGCGAATGGTGTCCGAGAGGAAGGGAACCGAATCATGATGGGCCTGCCATCGGCGCTGAGGCGGCCTGCGCCATAGTGATTGATTCCCTTTTTTTTTTCTTTGGCCTCCTTGTACGGGTTTTTTCTGCAACCGTCTTTTATCGCTCTATCCTGCTCTTTTTATTCTTATTGGGTTGGGTCGACTTCGCTTTACATGCTACTAATGATGGCGTTTATTTGTTACGTCCGCAATCCATTTCGCTCATGATTGATACCACTGGCATACGTCGAATCTTGAATCTGGGGTATCTGGCGCATTTGTGGTCTCATAAAGGAAGGGCATTATGCTTAGCCATGTGTGTTTGTGTGTTTCGGGTCATGGATTTACTTTCTCAAAAGGTGTTTTTATCTCCCCAATTCCTGCATCTTGTTCCGAAGTTTTTTTAGGTGGTTCATAGACTGTGACATTATCATCCTTACAAGACCAATAAAAGAGTGGAAGCTTATTAAAGGCAGCACAGACTTGGTGAGCCGATCCTGGGTAGCTCAACGCTCCTCGTAGATTTAAGAATAACAAAATTAGCCGGTAATAGAACAATCAAAGCACAGCCGCTTCTGCGCAGCAACAGAACTCCTTAGCCTTACTCCACAGTACGCCTGCGACCCATGCACCCGCGATAAACACCCCCCGGAATAAGCAGCAAAGGAAGAACCGACTGACGGGGCCGAAATAAAATATACCCGGAATCCAAACCAACAAATTTAAATCAGACAGAGTAGATCAAATCCGAGCGAAGACCGGGCATCTCGACTCTCGGTATGGATGCCATGTCTGTATAGGTAAGAGTGCAAAGATCAGCCCAACTCAGCCCAGACCACCCCACGCCCCGCGAATTCTCCGCGCAAGCTGAATGTCCTTTTGCATAATTGTAACTCGTTTCGCGTGAATGGCGCATAGATTTGTATCTTCAAACAAATGGACAAGAAATGCCTCCGCGGCTTCCTGGAGCGCTAGGATCGCATGCGACTGCCATCGTAGTTCTGCGCCAACCTCTGCCGGGAGGAGGTCGAGTGCGACCTCGCGCACTAACCGCGCAAAGGGAAGTTTGCGGAGCAGCAAGTCGTATGAGCGTTGGTATTTGCGAATTTCCTTCAGGGCGACGGTACCGGGTCTGTAGCGGCGACGGCGTCCTGTGGGGTTGGGGTCACCGGCTAAGAGAGGAATTGTTAGTCGACGGTTGGGGGGGCGCCTGAGAATTGCGACTTACCTTGAACATTGCTGGTGGATGGCCGCTTGCCTGCCGTGGATTTGCTTGCGGTCTTGCTCACCCCGCCAGTGGACTTGCGTGACTTTCCCGCTGTTGATTTTGGGGGCATGTTTGCGATTCGAATGGTAAAAAAAAAAAAAAGTGTCGAACTGTCTTCAAGAGAGGAGAAATGAAGCAATTGAGCTGGCGCCGCAAAGTGGGAAACTTTCGTCCGATGTGGGCGGGTTGTTTGACGTTTCCAAGGAGAATTCGTACAGTTTCACTTGTCGCAACTTGCAGGTAAAAACGCCGCTTCAGAATCCCTTGATACAGGGAAACGCTTGTGGGAAAAGCATCCAGACGAGACCAGCCGAAAACGAGGGGGGCTGGGAATAGCTCTCTGTCCGCAGAAAGAAGCTTTAGCGCGTTCCCAGCCCTCGACTTTTGACGCGGAGACGCGTCGACTTGTCGACTTTCTTTGTTCCCCCTGCCGAGTTAGCGCGCGGCAGATCTGCACGTGATGTCCTGCATGATCATGACATGTTGGCCTCAGGCCGGAAGGCCACTTGGAGCTTCGTGGTCGTTTGATGTCTCTTACTTCCCATTATTCCAGGTGATCTTTTCCCCAGACTGTTTCCTCTCGCCTAGTTCCCCCATTAAATTGAAACGTGCGTATATTGCGATTCATTCCCGCTCACTCGAAACCCGCGACACCAACTGCATATAGCGAGCAGGCCGGCCGCTCTTATCTCCGACTATGGCCGCCATCTGGGGCAATGGCGGGCAGGGAGGAGGCCAGTTCCCCCTCGAGCAATGGTTCTATGAGATGCCGCCCGTGACTCGGTGGTGGACGGCAGCGACTGTGGCAACCTCGGTTCTTGTCCATTGCGACATACTCGCGCCATTGCAACTGTTCTACAGTTTCCGTGCGGTGTACGTGAAATCGCAGGTAGGTCACCAATATCAGATCAATATAGGTAAAGAAGTTCAGAAACTAATATGGACAGTACTGGCGCCTCGTTACAACGTTTCTCTACTTTGGTCCTCTAAACCTAGACCTTCTCTTCCACGTCTTCTTCCTTCAGCGGTACTCACGCCTCCTCGAGGAGTCATCCGGTCGTTCCCCGGCCCATTTCGCATGGCTCCTCTTCTACGCCATGGCCTCGCTCCTGCTCATCTCCCCATTCCTCTCACTCCCATTCTTGGGTACCGCGCTGTCCTCGAGTCTGGTATACATCTGGAGTCGTCGCAACCCCGAAACCCGCCTCAGCTTCCTCGGTGTCCTGGTCTTTACAGCGCCCTATCTCCCCTGGGTGCTGATGGCTTTCAGTCTCGTTGTGCACGGGGTGATTCCAAAAGATGAGATCTGCGGCGTTGTGGTGGGCCATGTATGGTATTTCTTCAACGATGTCTATCCGTCTCTTCACGGGGGTCATCGGCCGTTTGATCCGCCGAGTTGGTGGGTGCGGTTGTTTGATCCGCGGGCTAGGACTGAAGAGAATCGGGATGTGGATGCGGATGCGGATGCGGAACCTGAGACGGATCCTGCGAATGTTAACCAGGAGTTTGCCGCTGCTGCTGCGCCGGAGGTACGATGAACTTTCTACCCGGATGGGATTTTTGGCCATCCGTGTCGTCATTAGCAATGTTACTTTGGCGGACGCCGCTTGAAAATATTTGTGGGATGTGTCTTGAAAGGCGCAAGTTGCCGAGTTCCTTTGGTGCATCAGCCACCCCCTCCCTGTATATGATGGAACAGAAAGGGTCCGTACCGGATATAACACGTCTTGCTGAAACCCGAATCATATTTCGCACGAGCCACTCCCCGCGGTCGAAGACTTTTTTGAAGCATTTCAGCTTGACCCTCTTCTGGCATGCGAGCCCCGATTGGATCTTCACATGTCACAAGACGGGAGACCACTTGTGGGGATGTGAGGGGGAGTGTGGGCTAGACCCTTTGCTCTCGGTGACAGAATAGGTTGAGATCTAGAGATTGATATTTGGTAGATATCAAATATAAAATCAAGCCTAAAGCTTACTTGCGATTTCCTCCTGCTTCGCCGCCTCCTTCTCCACCTGATCCTTCGAAGCCTTCAACCAAGTGAAATCTGATCCATACATCTCGCCAACATTCGGCTCATCTCCCCAGGTAGCTTTATAGTCCTCCTCCCAGAAGTACAGCGCATTTTCCTCATGGAAGCAAGATAGGATCACGGCATCCGGGTCTCCTCGACAGCACGCACACCCCCGGTCATCGTCGGGGCCCAACGGTGGAATCTTCACACTGCCATCCTTCAAGCCAGCTCCGCGCTGCTCCTCGCTTGCGATGTAGAGCTCCTCGATGATTCCGTCTAGAGCAATGTGAAGAAGCCGAGTCTTGAAGGAGGCGCGCTCTCGTGTGCATTTGGTTCCGCTGGAGAGGTAGAGGTTGCCCAGGTCATCGAGTTTCGCTTCCCCTGGGTATTTTGGGTGTGAGTGGACGAGGCGGGTGCCTGTTGGTGTTATGGAAGGAGTCAGATGTGGAAGCAGAGAATGCAGGGCTTGGATGATCTCTTCGAGGGGAAGGGAATGGAGAGTGTCGATGTGTGCTTGGAGAGGGGGTATCTCGGTAGTTGTAGAGTGGCCTGGAGCCTGCATGATTTTTGATCGGTAGTGATATTATTCTTGAGAATAGAGGCGAAGTAAGTTATCGATTGGATGTGTAATAATATTGATGCGAGAGCGGGGAACGCCGGCGTTTTATGCGGGGGAAGTTAGGCTGCATGATGAAAGAGCCTCAACAGCGGCCTGAGCTGTTGGTGCTTTTCCTGTCAAAAAATATCTCAGCTGGATGGGAATGTTGATCCTGTCCAACTGTCAATGAAGCCCATTGGTTGAACTAATCTCACGCTAACCATATGGATGTTTTTTCTTTTTTGCCCTAACTTGAGGCCTCTGTCGTTCTTCATTAAAGACTGCCAGCATTGGGGGTTGCCAAGTGCAGGGGAAAAAATATCGAGTCAATCTGGAGAAGAAGAACGAATAATTGGCATGTTTGGAAGGTGCCATATGTGATCCAACGTGGTCCTTCCTCATCCTGCCACCGTTTGCCAGAATGTTGTCTTCAGTCATTCCCTCAGATCCTTGCTGATCATAACTGTATTTCAGTATTTAATAGTTTTACACATTTTTATTGCCATGATATCCTTGAAAAGCTTGCGAACTCATTGGGATGATAATTCAGGAAATTGGAGACTTTGTCGATATAGAAAGCCTTCTGGCTTGCTCTCCATGTGTGAACACAGTCTTCCGGCATCGACCTCGCCGACGATTGTTGGATATCATAGCAGCGAACCCTATGACCCAAGTTCCCGTATTCAAAAGCTATTCCGCAACGTCGTTCTCATCCGGTGCACCCACTGCCAATCTTTTGAAGTGTATCAACAACGATGCCGGAATACGCCCAGCGTCCTCCTCGAGTATGTTGCGTGCTCCGAGGCATTCGAGGCCATTTGTCTTGCAGCTCGAATTCAACGTCTCGCGTGCATGTGTCTATCCCTGATGCAGCAAAACCTTGTTTAGGCTATGAGTATTACTCCCCAATTGAGGTCCGTTGTCTCCAGCCTATCACGGGATGTCTGTCGCATGCAAGCAGCGAAAAGGCCTTTTTCTTGGATAGAAGAATATCGTGTTTACTGGTCACTGTGGCACATTCAGCATCATTCTGACCTCCAAGAAGCTGCATACTGGCGCTGGCATTGGTCCCTGGAATCGAAAAGGAAGATTGAAGAGTACATCGACTGGGCCCACACCTTCATTTCAGACATAGAGGATAGACGCCTTCTCAATGAGCAGATTTGGGCTATACTTGCTGGGTTGATGGACTACTGGGTTCATCCAATGTACAAAAAAGACCCGCCACAGGCAGGCTGGGAGTGTGATCCAGTGCTTCAAGCACCTTGGGTGTTTAGAGTGCCCATTTCTGCACTACTGGCAATACCAACCAATGGCTACCCCATCTGGAGCGCACCGTCTATCCCGGAGGAAACCGAGACAGACACTGCATGGGGGCGCACATTGCAGCTGCGCAAGAGACCGACAAGGTTCACAAAGATACTTGCTGAGCATGGCACGGTCGCCTCATGTCATGGAGCCTTGGAACTAAGTGATTTACGACCATATTGACGCCTTGGCGTGGTCTTCTGGGACCAGTGGCGGATGTACTGTCGGAATTTCAATGATGACCGGCTGCCGAAACCCACTCCTGACGGGGGCTTTATACACGGCAACCCGATGAGCATCTCAATGTCAGCATACGATTTGTGGTCAGTGTGGTTGGCGCTTGTTGGGAAGAGGCTGCCACCCTGGAGCATAAAAGGCAAACCAATGCACTTGCTAAGGTGGACATTCGGATATAGAACTGGCAACATTTGAGAACATGCCAGAGGCCATGATCGGTAAAAGTACTAGATAGTGTCTCGATTGTTAGATTGCTATTGTTATTGCTATGCACTTGATATATCGAAAATGGAAAAATCAACCGACTTCACCCTGGAGCCTGATATAGGTATCATGATTATCACCCCATCGCTCTGGTCGACGAGGTACATCCCCTCTTTAGGGCTAAGGCGACAGTGTCACGGGTGGATTGACGAGTTGCGGCTTGTCGAATTGCCGTTTTCTGCCATTATTATTCGACGGTCAGAGCTCAAGCTGGCCGCTGGCGAGCATTTTGCGTGTGCGTAACCCGCCTGCATAAGTGCATTTGCACTGCCAGGATGAGAATAGAAATGTCCTCTCCAATTTGTCGGGTACAATTGCGAGCGCAGTAAAGAAATCGCATCGCCCAATCGTCAGTACGTATCTAGATAAGGGCTAATCTTGAGGGGACAGTGCGACTGGCTGGTGACAAGCACATGGATTCGACCGATCTAACCTTGAATGCCTTCACCCTGGTAAATGCTTTAAGAGACCTCAAGATCCAAGGTGAATGACGTATTATTCGCCATCAACCAATCTATTTTCCAAATCGGTGCTCCTTAGGTCGCATCGCTATCTGCTCGGCTCCGGACTTGGACTTGGAGAACCGTTGCGGCGTTGCGATCAATGTCGTCAATATACCCCACATCCAAGGTGGCCCAAGCCAGGAACTCAACTTACGGAGTAGTGGTGCTGGCAGCTGCGCTGTGTCCCAGCAACTGCCGACCAAGGAGGACTCGGGATAAGCGCCAGGTCTCGGGCCAGGACGCGGATTTTCGTACTCCGTACGGAGTACAGAGGACAGCACAACCCCCAGACGCTCAGTTCGGTTTTGAATGTGACGGCACTTGGCGAATCGCAAACCTTTACTTTTTCTTGCCTCATGATGAAATCAACTGTCTGTCCTGTTCTCGAGGTGTGATCCAACACCACTCCAGATTATTCTCCGCCTGGGCGATGGAGAGCCCCTGATATCATATGGTGCTCAAATACGTATGGAGGACGGGACTCACCTGTCAGTTGCTGAGACGAATGAGATCGACTGAACTCCGCTGACTCAGTGCTCGTTTGGGTTGCATACGAGTACGAGGACCGGTATAAACAAAATTCCTGCTCCGTTCCAAGAAAGAGGGACTGAAATTGGGCGCTCATCAAGCTCCCAACAAAATCTGCGCGATTTAATAGGTGGCTCCTGTTGATTATGGAGTCGTGCGATATAGATCGGAGTCGGACGGACTAATGTTGCGCGGCCGACAGCTCCAATTGTGCAAGGGCAAGATACGAAACAGTGTCCAAATTTGCGTGTCCTGTTACACAAGATCCAGGGTTCACCCCTAATCTCTCGAGTGTTCCTCAGGATTTTTGGAAGGGGTTGTTCTCTGAGAAACACCTCGGGTTGGAGGCAAAATGGCGTCTGAACCTGGTAATTTGCGTCTGCCTCGCGTTTCGGCCTTCAAGCTTTTCGATTCCTGATAAACTTTGGCGTTCATAATTTCTCATGATTGCGATTAAACCGGGCCACCGGAGTTAGAATGGAGACAGCTCTTGCGAAGCCCCCCTATTGCTGGACCGATTAATCACGCTTATCCTATTCTGGAGCAGATGAGCAGCCACGGAGTGGGCCATGGGTCGATACAATTTGATACGTCCGGAAGAGCAGCTTTAACCAGCGTTTGGCCTGCCAGATTCCAGAAGAAATCGTGTGGCTCAGCCCCAGATGGGCCCACAGACACGAATACGGCCATGCTGTGCGCTGGACAGGGCCAGGTCAACAATCAAATCTGACTGTGTTTGGGCAAAACGCGTCTGCTCAGCTGCAAAACCGAGACGAAAGGATGTTGAGGAGCTCTCATGAAATGTAACAGGGTCCTCCGTCTGATTGCAGCAGTGTGGCGGAGGCTGAGGCCGCCCCCCTAGGAACTGGCCAGTGGGAGGGCGCGGAGTGCAGCAAAGTTCAGGTTCCTCTCAGGCCAACCATGGCTGAGACTGGCGCCTGCTCTGCTTCGCTCCCACACTAGCGACAGCTGCTCCAGACTTCCTCCACCGAGGCGACCGTCGACTCTTATTTCCCTTCTTTCCAACACTCCTTTGCCTCCAAAGTTGATGCCAGTGCCACGCCTCGTTGCTAGGCGTCGTTCGCTCCTTCTTACTACTGCGCATTAACCGTCATTTTCGTCTTGAAATCTGTCTAAATTTCCGCCAGCCAATTCCCCTATTTACCCTCCTTTTTTTTTCCCCCCCATTTCGCCTGCCGCCTTCTTCACGCCCCTCCTTCCCCAGCCGTTATTACAAGAGCGAATCCCTTCCCCAAATTGGTACAGTGCTACATTAAGCTGCTCATCCTCCTTTTCCTCTTTCCTTGGGGGATCGGCTCACTTTCTCGCTTCGACTCTCGAGTCCTCTTGTATTATATTATTGATTCCTCGCCCTGTCTTTCTCAAGCCGCAGCTCGTTGGCTTTTTGCTCCCCTTCACTCCCTCAACCCTAAATACAGCTCGAGAAAACACGGGTCAGGAAAACGCAGAAACGTTGCGGCGGATTACTTCTCCGTAACAACGACAACAACCTCTCAACTTGGACCTCGCCATCTGCTACTTGCATCTCAGCCTCGAGTACGATTTCGAAAGACGAGACCTTTTTGTCACCGGAAGGCGGCCGTCACTGAGCTCGTTCTCGCGGCGCTGCTTGTTCTCAGTCGCGTCTCGACAACCACTGATTCTCAATATCCGCCGTGCCAGAATCGAATATCTACTTGCATTGCTCCCACGACTTTGAAATCGAAATCAATTCTGCCATCATTTAATCTCCTTTTCTACCAGCATTCGATTGAATAGGGGTGAATCAACATCCCTCAATAACCTTGACAATGCGCCGCGGCCTCTTAGTGTTCCTCATTGTCAACCTCCTTATCATCACGTTTCTCGTCCGCAGCGTCTCCACGCTCCTATCATTGCTCTTGGAAGATGCTCAGGCTGATGCGATTCACCGTGCGGAACTCCCTTCGCCGAACTCCAGCTTGATTGAACAACGGCCGCAGATTATCCCCAAGATCATTCACCAGACATACAAGAACGAGTCGATTCCTGAAGTGTGGCAAGAAGCTCAAAAGAGCTGCATCGACCTGCATCCTGATTACGAATATATGGTAAGTGATCTTGCAAGGCTGAAAAATATTTGCGCTAACGTCTTTTTTTTTTTGCAGCTATGGACAAACGAGAAGTCCCGCGAATTCATTGCCGCTGAATATCCGTGGTTTCTGGACACATTCGATGGGTACAAGTATCCTATTCAGCGCGCCGATACCATCCGCTACTTCGTTTTGGCTCATTATGGAGGAACCTATATTGATCTTGATGATGTACGTTCAGACCTATTATCCTCTTAATGGACATCATCATTGTCACAATGCTAATTGACGACAGGGCTGCAACCGTCGGTTAGATCCCCTTCTTTCATACCCTGCGTGGGTCCGCCGCACTGTTCCCACCGGTATCTCAAACGACGCCATGGGCGCTGTCAAGCAACACCCATTCTTCCTCCGCGTAATCGACCTACTGCAGTCATATGACCGCAGCTGGCTCCTCCCGTACATCACGGTCATGTACTCGACGGGTCCGCTATTCCTTTCGGTGATTTGGAAGGAGTATATGGCAGACAACCCTGCCGAAGCTGCTCGTGTGCGAATTTTGATGCTCGACGAGTACAACCGACATTCGTGGAGTTTCTTCACTCACCATGTGGGAAATAGCTGGCACGGAAAGGATGCCAGGCTCATTTTTTGGATGGGCCAGCATTGGATGCTCCTTACCGTGTGCGGCTTCGTCCTTGCCGGTGCTGTCGGGCTGTGCTTGTGGTGGGCTTACGGCCGATTGCTCCTTCTCGGCTCAAGATACCGCTACCGGTATGCCAAGGTACCCAACCTTGGTCTTTCGCGCTTGGCCTCTCCTACGCGTCGGGCGCGCGGCGTGATGCCCATTTTGCTTCGCCGTGTCAGCTTCAAGGATGAAGAAAATGGGCCCACCGAGACCTCTTACGAATACAGCCGACGCGACTAAGCGGCAGACACTCCCTGTGTTTTCACGGCCCTGACACGAATATTTCTTGCGTTTGCCCTTCTTTTTTCAACCACCCGAATCTATCCCGACAAGTAGGACTACCAGTCTGGGGATAATATTCAGCGCATATATGGAGTTCTGGGATCCTTTTAACCGAAGCGCTTTTTAGAGCATTGGCTTCTTGTACATGTCTTCTCTTGGCAACATGTCTTTTGATGTACACTGCGTGATCTGCTAGACAGGGCAGTCCGCACACTATTTGCATCTTCCACTTCTTTGCATGTCCTGATTCTACTACTAGACTTCTCTGCCAGCGTCTTCACTTCCTGCTCCCCTTTGCCACCCTACCACTTTTTAACGTCTGAAACACCTGTATAGAACTTCCGATCCAGATGATATACTGTCGGCGTTTCAGATGCCTGGAGCTTGCTGAGTCGCAGACAGATAATAATAATGCAGAATACACGTGTGATATTGCGATGATACACCGACCGTAGGAGGCAGCCAAGCAGTAACATGCGTTCAGGTTCAAGCTTTCAGGCACAGTTTCAGGCGTTCAGCCTGTCAGAAAGTCGGCGGCTACCTAACCGCAGCCGGGCGTTTCAGAAGAGTAGATCTGGATCAATCAAAACCAAGATCTTCATTTCTCCAACACTTCAGATCAAAATTCTGTGCTACCGTTGGCTTATTGACGGCTTACTGAGGGGTGACTGTCACTTCAGCCCTCAGCTCCAACTCCACGCTTAGGAATGTGGCAGTGTGTGTAAAGGAATCCTGCGTGTCTTTTCTGTTGATCGCAATTCTCCTTTGCTTTGTCTGAGGCTGAGTAGGAGACTATAAATAACTTATACCTTTTATATACCTACGGAGTAGTTATTCTCACTCTTGCCTCCTCGCTTGCAAAACAACCAACCGTCTACAACCAACCGTCTACAACCAACCGTCTTCTCCTTTGAAAGCAGTAGACCTCCTATTCTCCAGCTCAAACCCTACCAGGCACCAGAACATTCAAGCTTTTCATCATGAAATCCTTTGCCCTTCCCCTCCTCCTCTCCCTTGGGACTCTTGCTCTTGCATCTCCCTGCAGTCCTCATGGAGTGACCATAACCCCCCAGCAAATCCTCCACGTCGCCCCAAATACCACAACCTGCGCCGATGCCCCCGCCAACGCCGTCGGAGAATGCGCAACAGCCATCCAGGCGGCCCCCGCCTTGTCCACTGCCTTTACAAAGTACGCTCTAACCTCAAAGGCCGAGCAAGCTGCTGTTCTGGGCCTCATTGCGTTTGAATCGGGGGAGTTTATGTACAATCGGAACCATTATCCTGGTGTTCCAGGGCAGGGGAGTACGTTTCACCCTTTTTTTCCTTTCTTCCATTCTCTACTGCCGGTTGGCATATTGCAAAGGGTGCACATGCTGATATAGTTTGCTCCAGCCCGAAACATGCAATCCCCGGCCTTCAATGCCGAGTACGCCTCCTCCATCCCCGCGATCAAGGAGCAAGCCAAAGCCGTCAAGGATGACCCGGATGCCGTGCTGGATCTGCTCGTTGCCGTTCCCGAGTATGACTTTGGGTCTGGCGCGTGGTTCCTTACGACGCAGTGCGAGGAACCAATTCGGACAGCGCTGCAAAGTGGAAGTGAGGAGGGATGGAAAGGGTTTATTGTTGAGTGTGTGGGGACGGAGGCGAATGATGCGCGGAGGGGGTATTGGGTTAGTGCAAAGGAGGCTTTGGGAGTTTAAGAGCCAGGTATGACGGGAATGTATTGAAGCGCAGTATGGTAGATGGATAAATGCACTCGCTGCGTGTATCTATTCGAGGAGATCAGTGTGGTGGATGGGATTGCGTTGATCTTCGTGACTGCGTCTCGTGATGTGTATTCATAGATCTAGAAGCAAAAAAAAAAAAGCAAAAGTTCACAAGACACCCTTCGTGCTAACGATATCACCAGCCCCAACCTCACCTTCGACGCGCCTCGCGCAAGCCGTCCGGATAGCAACAGCCAATGCCTTGAATGCGCTCTCTGCGCGGTGGTGGTCATTGTCGCCATACGTGCAGCCCACATGCAGCGTCACGCCTGCAGCCTGCGCAAAGCTTTGCAGGCCGTGTGTGATCATTTCCGTGCTGAGGTCGCCAATCTTTTCACGGCGAAACCCAAGGTCGATGACTGCCCATGGCCGGCTGGAGAGATCGATCACGGCCCATGAGAGGGCCTCATCGAGGGGTGCGTCGCCGCGGCCGAAGCGCGCGAGCGATTGTCGGGCACCCAACGCGGAGGTAAATGCAGAGCCGAGAGCGAGGAAGGTGTCTTCCGTTGTGTGATGGTCGTCGACTGTTCATTCTTTTCAGCGGGACTCAATTTTGGTTTAAGCTGTGGTTAACGTACTATATAGATCTCCCTTGGCCCTAATGGCCAAGCTCCATCCCGAGTGCTTCGCCAGCGCATGCAGCATGTGGTCTAGGAAGCCAATGCCAGTACTGACAGTAATCTGTTGCGTGGGTGTGAACTGGGTTGCGTGCGCTGCACACTTGGGCGGAACAATGCCGGTCTTTGCGGCTTCGGCCTCCTCGGGGTCGGAGGGGGCAGGGAAGTGCTGCGATGGTTCGTAGGGAGGGAGGACGCCGCCATCGAGGGAGAGAGAGACTTGGATCTTGGTCTCGTTGGTGACTCGCGAGAGCGATGCTGTGCGGGCGGGGAGGGGCATCTTGAATGTGGTGGCGAAACTAGGCCAAGGAAGGTCGGATTCGGTCTGTGTTGATGGGGAATCGTTCGAGTGTACTGGTCTGGAGAGGATACTGTATTCTTGATATCAATTGAGTCTTGTTGAATAATTGGAGTGATGCTGTTGGTCGTTGTCTCGAACACGGAGTACTTGGTTTTTCTCCGGCGGAACTCATCCAGCGTATCAGTATTACCGGACCTGGAGCAACTGTTGATCCAGCTGCGTCATCTTTCCCTCCATCTTTTGGAGCTCGCCTTGAGAACTGAAGGCCGAAGTCAATTGATAATACAGATACGCTACGCTCACTTGGAGCGCTCCAATAATAATGCCGCCGCCATCATCGCAACGAGCGGACGTTGAGCCGCCGGAGGAAATTACCTCCGAGGCAGTTCGTGGGTTCCTGACGGGTGCTTTTCGCGTATGTCTTCAAGCTCGCCATCAGCAGTCCATTGACCGGCCATTTGCTTTTTGGGGTGGGCTGACAAACTGGATAACGGCATAGTTTGGCTCAGTCTCTATCCTCGCCCATATGATCATGATCCTCCCCCATCCTTTCAAGTTCTCGCCTGCTTCCCCCGCACAAGGTCCTCCGCAGCATATGCAGGAACAACCTCAACCACGCCAGTCGCCGTTCTCAAAGGACTATATCCGATCGAGGTTATTTTACCGTCCGTTGGAAGGCTTTTCCGAGTGGCTTTCTCCGGCAGCCCGGATCTACAGGGGGCTGACACCGCAGTTCAAAGTTTTCCTTCAGATTGCAGCCATGACGTTGGGAGGTTGTGTCTGGGCTGAGCGCAGGGTCAATAGCTATATCAATATGATCCGAAAGGTAAAACGGGCAGAGCGGTTGCAAGCACAGCGAGAGGCTCGGCTTCTGGAGTGAGTGAACCCTGGAACGGTTCAACGTGCGGGGCGAGGCTCCTGGTTGCTTGCTCGAGTCCTAAGACTCGTTTCATCTTCCAACAGTCTGAGACGAGGCTGACTTGTCGCCACTGCGGAGACTGCTGCGCCCAAGAATAACACTGTACATTGTCCTCTTTGATACGTCCTTAATTTTACCTCGTCCAATAACTCTAAAAGGTAAAATATCGCCCCGTTCTTTGGTGAATGCGAGTTCTGAGTGGTGATGATGTCGGGTCTCAGCCTTTCAGGAGATTGCAGCGGGGCCAAGAGAGGCTATTTCAAGTAGCGTCGCCAGCTGCAGGCCAAGGAAACTGTTGCAGCAGAAAAAATGATGATGAATCTGATTGAAATTTGAGATCGCGAACCCGAAAGGCGGCATGGTTCGTAGATCCTTAATTAAGGGAGACCCAAACTTTCAAGGGATGACTAGCTGGCTTCAGCGAGTGGCGCGAATTGTCAAAAGGATTCATTCTTTTGCTCCGTTTTCCGGATGAGCTTCGGCGAAAGGTGTCGGCCATTGCTAGCAGGGAGAATTTGCTAGCAGTATCAAAGTTGTCGGAAACTGATGCAGTATATCTTCCTCAGACGCGTGTCTCTCCACGTCAGTAAGAGAAATGAAGAGTGGCTGAGAATAATCATTGCAACAGTCTCACCTCTGGGCGAGGCGATTCACCTTCAGGCAGCTACGGAGGACTCCAGCTAGGAAAGCAGTGGGGCATAGCTATAATGCATCAGCAGCTCAGCTCGCCTTTTGAGACTAGCGGGTGTTCTGCTAAAACGTCTCGACCGATGGCGTCGAATCACCAAAGCCTCAGAAATCTGGGACGATCAAGAGCCTGTGTACTGAGTATCAGGGGTTCGGAGTTCAGTTTACAGAAGGCAAAGAACTCGAAAGAAAATGTCAAAGCACGCCGCACATCAGGGCCATTGACGTAGACATTGCTTAATCGTGAAGCAATGTTGACATTTCAATGGTGATCATCACGATTGACCATTGCGAGCCGCGTGGGAAGAGCGACTATTACGAAGTATTGAATTCAACTCCAGGTCGGTCAAGGTCGTGCCATCGTGGGCCAATATCAGGCGCTGTATGGATGGAGATGAGGAGGATGATGATAGGCGTCCCGCTTTCGGCATGTCGAGCATCGTGTAGATAACTCCGGAGAAGCTCAAGAGCTGCTGGTGGCCGTTCAACTTGCTGTGCCCTGATCCGGCTGGCTTCTATGTGTCCTGTCAACTTGGCTTCGTTTGCAGTTCGCAATTTCGTTTGTTCGTTTATCCTCTCCTCCTCCTCGTCGCCATGCGTTGTTGATTATTGACATCATCCCCCATCAGTCCAATCTTAAGCTTGGGTCAGGAACTGCTCAATCGCTTTCTTTTTCCTCTGCTCCGCCACTCAGTGTTTCGGTTCCTGATCCACGAGTATATTGTCAGTGTACTACTACGGAGTAAGTACTTGTAGCTCCTCTCCGCTGCTTTCACCCACCTGGATTGCCCCATCCGGTGTTTATCCACTCTTTCTCCAGGCTTCATCTCTGGAACAACACGAGGACTGCAACCTTCCACTTTGCGAGTTACGAGTACGGAGTACGACTCAGGCCTTCCATGACCCGTGGGCCGTTTATTATTATTTGAAAAATTTGATCATACTTTCTCCATCCTCTTGGGCCTCTCATTAGCACTGTTTCTAATTGGGCGGCTGTCTCAAACTTTTGTCTGCTGCCTTTTTCGCCTCTCTTTCGTCTCATTCAACGCATTCAGCAGTGTGTCTTGTTCAATTGCCTAGTACTAATACCGTCGACGGTCCTGCGGCGTCTAGATGTCACGGTAAGGCTTTGGAACTTCTTTGAGGCTTCGATGGACTGATGTATGTTCCACCTGCTTCTCCTCCCCCTCTTCCAAGGTTCTCCTTCCTCGCTCCCCGATTTGTCTTGTCTCTTCCCTTCTCCACCTTTCTAATTTCTGTACTCTTAGCTTGTCTTGCATCATGTCTATTCAATATGCGCTGCTTATCGTCCAGTGACAGCTGACTTTCTTTTTCTTCCTTTTCTCTCCGTTTAGTGGGTGCAACATACACATACCCGTCGTCCTCGATGTGATCATTATTGCTCCGATCTCAGCTTCTCCACCTCCACAACCTTCCCCCCGGCTCGACTGCCCTTTGTCTCTTCTCTTTCTCCGGCTTCGGTGCTTTCCTTCGTGATGGCAGAAGGTTTGGAAAAGAGAGAGCGAAGAAAGAGTTTGGGTGCGTTTGGCCCACTGTCAACAACAGCCAATCCCGGTCCTATCCCACTTGACCGTTCGACAACCCATGACGCGAATGTCCTGCGAAAGAGACAGCGGCGCAATTCGGGCTTTTTTGGGGGCAGGAACCCCAGTCCCGTGAGAGCTCCTGCCGGCCATCGCGGGCCGGGTACCGAGAATCCAACTCCCCGAGTAGCGTCTTTACCTACGATCGCCGTTGACGGTCCTCCTCGATCACGCCGAAAATCACTACAGAAAAGACGCACTTCCGTGTTCGGCTCCCTTCGGTCGCTCCATTCGCTCGATGATGATGAACAACGCCGACATTCCCGTGATGGTGAAGACGTTGGGAATGGAGTGGGATCGATCATCTTACACCATGGCGAGATCCAAATCACCGGTGGAATGTGGAGGAAGAAGAGCCAATATCTTGTCCTGACCGATACTCATCTTGTTCGTTTCAAGAGTCTGAACAAGGCAATGGATATGTTTCCGTCTATCCCTCCATCAATGGCTCGAACGGCCGTAAACCGACAGTCCATCGCATCGATCAGCTCCTTACAGGATCCACAGCTCTCTGCCACGGGCGACGCCTCCTCGGGAATCCCATTGAACAGCATTGTTGCTGTTTACATGCTTGATAATGAAAAACCGTCGGCGTCAGTAGAGGTAGCCTACATGGACGAGCGGACACAAAAGACGACATTTATTCAAATGCAAACGCCGGACCTTCAGGAGCTCAATCTTTGGATGGTCGGCATTCGATCGGCATCTGAAATGTCTCGTGGCACTGCGCCCATGCAGTTTGATTCAAGAGCGTTGGACTGCGTTGTCAGAATGCTGGAGCACGAGCGCGATTATGACCCAGATAGCTTTCGTATGTTCCGCGTTATTCAAATGGCCTCCAGCAAATCCGCGGCGCGGGCGTCATCATCGGACGAACTTACGAAACTATCACCTACTGGATGCTATCTTGCGCTTGGGATGCACAAGCTTCATCTAGTCGCGCTGAATAAGATTACCAATCGCGGTTCAACAACGTCACTGACTGACCTCGACACTGCATCTTCGTCCTTCGGCCTCATGAACCTGACGGGTCTATCAATGGAGTGGGGTGATGACAGCCTGCATTTGACGTTTCGAGTTCCGCTCCAGAAATCATGCTCAATGTTTCTGGCATCTGTGCATTCATTGGAAATTGCCTATTGGATAAGGCAGCAGACCGAATATCTCCGCCCGCTCTGGCTCAAGCAACCTTATGATTTTATCGTGCCTCGAGACCTAAACAACGAAAGCAACTTCCCTCCCATATGCCTGGACGAAGATTACGGCTGTTTCGATCGGACTCTGGTGGCCTACTGTGCCAGCTATGACATTGACACCTCAAATATACGATACACTATTGACGACCAATGCGATGATGCACCTTGCTTCAGATTGCTACGGCCGGCGTCGCCTCGTCGGAGTAAGTATACGGCGCTGGAATTGATCGCCCTCATGCGAGCACTGAGATATAACGAAGCCTTCCGTTCAATCTCATTTAGTGGAGTGAGTCTGGATGTGATCCAAGGCCTGCGGGATTTACATGGGATTGACAAAGACGCATTGCTAACCCGTGCAAACGCTCAAATAAACGTTCCCGGCCAGGAGAGTCTGTCAGTCCTGTCGCAGGAAATTCGAGCACTGACTTTGAAGAGCAAATGGCTACGACGTTTAGATTTTTCCTATACACTAAGCCGAACACCCAAGTCTGACAAGGAGAGCCACGACCCCGGCTGTGGAATTCCCGAAGCGATATTTCCCATTTGCCGTCGTGAACTCACAAGTGTTGACTGGGTCGTTTTGAACGGGATCAAACTCGGTGACTCTGACTTGGATTATCTTGTTGACGCAGCTTCGCAACGGGGGAGCCATTTCCGTGCTCTTGAAGTGGGCAATTGCGGCCTGTCAGTACACGACATTGACCTGCTCCTTTCAACTACTGTTGCCCAGGTTTCGACTCTCGAGGCCATTAATATCTCCGGCGTACAAGGCCGCATCAAACCGGATATGCTCCAGCAATACCTTGGTTATTTTGGCCAGGTCAGGAAACTTGATTTGTCCCGCATTGCTAGAACCTCTGGTCCTGAACCTCTCATATCCGCCCCGGTTCTGTTCAATTGGCGACTCGAAGAGCTTTCGTTGAGTAGGACCGCTGTCAATAGGGAGACGGTGGACTCAATAGCTACTTACTTGGCCAGCGATCGCTCTGAACGTCTGCGAGTTGTTCGCCTCGAACAGTGCGGGCTCACGGGACAAGATGTCGCAATCTTTCTGCATTCGCTAGCGGTCATTCAACAAGGCCGCGATCTCCACCTGCACGTCAATGACAACCGCTTGGACCTCGGCTGTTCATATCTCTGTGATGCCATTGCCCAGGGCAAAACACCGTCTCACTTGTCGATGAGGATGATTGATTTCAAGAGGGAAGAGCAGTTTCAGGACCTGGCCGAAGCCTTGCGGAAGAACCGCACTTTAAAATACCTTGATATCTCCAAAGCATCCCTTCCATATGACGCTGGGCCAGAAACTTGCAAGTCGCTGCAATTGATGTTTGAGGAGAACGACACACTCGAGGATCTAGATATCAGTGGCGAGAGTGCACATTTGGATGTCGCACGGTTTGGGATTGGTCTCAACCTGGCGCTGACTGGTTTGAAAAAGAACAAGTCCTTAAAGGTGCTGAAAATTGAACATCAGAAACTCGGGCTACAGGGTGCCAATACCCTGGCTTCTGTACTAGAAAGCAATACCAGTCTCCGTGAGGTTCACTGTGAGAACAATGATATCAACCTCCAATCGTTTACGGTGCTTGTCAATGGGCTCCAGAAGAATCGATCCTTGCTAAGCCTGTCGTGTATGGATCTTGACAGAACCCGATCACTTGACAAGGTGCGCCGAGAAATTGACAACGTGAAGCGGGAATTGAGTTTCTCTCAACACTCGACTACGAGCTCTCTCCGCAGATCATTGCATGCTGCAATCAATGCGAAACACATCTCGGTCGCCAACAAATTCGCCAACAAGCATTCACATGCTCAAGGTCATATACGTGCTACTGCAAGCTCACTTTCGGCTGTCGAGAGCTCTAGCCCCCCTGGAAACCAAGAAATAGAGGCCATCTTGCAGTCATTGAGTTCGAAATGGGACACCGAAGTTGCTCGTTTACGCCGATATCTCTTTCGAAATTACAACCTGACCAATAGCATCACTGAGAATGGAGTCGAGCTCATCGGCGATGATGCATCGAGCGATGGGCGTCCTGCAACCGCAGCCAGCCTCGGAACTATGCTAGAGCAGATGAAGCTGGACGTGACCCTGTCCACCAACGAGATCCACCCCCCAATTAGTACACAGAGTACGCCACCGCAGCCGCCACCCCGCGAAGCAAGCGACAGTCCGCATCTAGAAATTTTCCAGAGTCTCGACACCGGGAGTAACCTAGATGATGAGCTCCAAAAATCTCCCTACCTGTTACCAGATTCTGATGCCGCTTCTCGCACCTTCCCATCAGACTATGCCATGTCTACTTCCTCTACCCGTTCTGGGCTTCCAATCCCTGTTCTACCGTCAGCTATCAGCAAATCGAGTAGCGTCCGCAGTGCTCGGAGTTCTAGTACCGTCTCTACAAGCACTGGGACAGGCGTAAGTGCCAAAAGCGCATACGGAACAGCTTCCTCAACACTCAGAGGCTTCCTCTCCTCGAGAGAGCGAAGGAAGCTAGAAAGCATGAAATCCGGGGCAGTGTGTGTATCAGGCGACAGACCGCCAACTTTGGACTGGTCGCCACCTCACTTTGACCTGGGAGACTTTCGCTACTAGGTCTTTGCTTGGGCCAGTGGCAGATGCATTGCTCACAGAATGATTTATGAAGCCCAATGATCAAACAATCTAAACACCATTTTCGCATTCGCAGCTACAGCACTTTGAACCAATTCTTAAGCCATTCGGTCGAACTCGGTCTGCTGGTCTGCTGGTCCGAGACACTGCTGCATCAAGTTCCCGCTGTTTATGTCGATATACCCTCTTTCCAAATCTCATTTTCCTTACTCTTACCAATTGGAGCTTCGATTTTCGGCTCAATTCGGTCGCTCTCCGTCCTCTGCGCCCCCTTTTTTCCCCCGTCGTCTTTCAGGCACGACGAGCGAACATTCAAAAGACACATGTCGCCGCATCTGATGACATTTATCCCACCTCACCTCGGGCATCTCGAGCATGCCAACGGCAACTGAAGATTCTAGGTGCATCCTTGTTCTCTTCGGCTTCGTTTTTTCTTTTATTTCTCCAACATGACTCAATTGTTAATGACATAGAATATCACTCAGCCTTGGGAGGTGTGTTTTGCCCCGTGCAGGGTGGGGTGTGGGGAGGGGGCGCGCGCTTTTCTCTTGTGTTGCGCTATCTTATGGCGAAGTTTGGTGTAATTGACTGGACCTGTTTTGAGCATACCTGTTCCCTTTTGTTGATACTCACAGGCGGGCGTTTGGTCGGATGGTGTACATATACTAGGTAGGACGATTGTATATATAAGATCAACTCGAGATATGTGAACATTAGTGGTTTGCTCTAGGGATAAATACCCGTAGATCATCATAGTGCAGACCTCTAGAACTCCATTATTCAAGAATAAGAACGCTCCGAATGAATAATAGTACACAGTACAACAGAGTGAGTGTACCTAGAAAAGACTCGTCTGTAAATGTACGAGGATACAATATGAACATTAGACTTTCACGCCATCCAGAACAAGCATTCCGAGCTCTTTATCTTGTCTCTCCTGCGTCTTGCGGAGCGCGCGTCCCCTTTTGGTGAGATCTTTCAAAGTCTGGTGGAAACTGCTCGACTCGCGCCACACTTTGCTGCTTTGTCCATGAACAATAGCGCGGCGTTTCAGGCACATCTCGTAGTATCTGGCAACCTGGCGTCCTTCCAGCTCGCATATTTCGAACTCGACGGCCCAGTTATCGTGGGGATTGAGATTCTCTGGTCGTGGAACAGGTTTGTCGTTGACGCGGTTGGCGATGGTTAGGGTCATGGCGCCGAGCTCACGGGCCTGGGTTCCAGGGGCGGCGATAGCCTCGCCAAGAGCCTCTGCTTCTTTTCCTTCTTGTTCTTCCTCGGAGAGGGGTTCGGGTGAGGTATCTTCGGATGCGAAATGTTCACTAGTTTGATCGTCCGCCTCCGTGGCCGCGGTGGACTCCTCCGATTCATCTTCAGTAGGCTCGAGGTTCAGGATTCGTCGCTCAATCGCGTCAATCTCGGCCTTGTTTTTGGTTTGAATGGCTTCAATCTCTTCGTCGGTCACAGGCTCGTAAAAGATGTACATATACGGTGTATCGGTGGGCCGTGTCTCAAAGTGGAAGCGAAGGGACCTTTCAGGAAACTTGGCTGTGGCTTTGTTCAGGACTTTGTTCCATAGTTGGAGGCTCAGGCGGAACTCTGCGTCGCCGAGCGTGGTATCCCACTGGCCATGCAGGGCTTGGTCCATTTCTGGCAAGCTAATGTACTGGAAGCCAAAGATTTGTTGTATATTGTGATATGCCACGAATATACCGTCCATCCGCCCCATGCGGACCTGAAGAGAGTATTTGAGAAAGGCAGAGCGAATCATATCATAATACTCGCGCTCGTACGACTCAAAGTCGCCGAAGCGTGATTTGATTTGGTAACCTAAGCCTTGCTCAAACTCGCTTGCATTCTGTCGAATTGAGACAACTGCACGGGTCTTTAGGTCGAACATGCCGGTCCCTGGAAGGCGCGGGTCGTATGCATCTAGCTGAGACCTCATCATGAAGTCTCCTAGTGTCGAGTAGTGGTAACTTTCTGGAGTGAGTTGTTCCTCAGCCGCAGTGATTTTGTTTTTATGAGATCTCCGGTACCGCTCAAAGTACTCCTTTGGGACAGTGAGAAGCTTCTCCATTGACTTGCCCAAGCTCATTAGAACGTTGGCCGAATCGTATTCCTTATCGGCATCTATCGCGTAGACGCCATCGTGGTACCGCAGGAAGATAGCTGCAGGAGCACGCGAAACCTGTGTATAGTTCAACGCTGTTGGTGTGAAGCCTCGCGATACTGCATTGGTATTGATCGGGCGCCATGCTGAGAGCAAATAGTGAAAATGGGATAGAACGGATGTCATGCTCGACGTAGAGCCGATGTATTTCCGCTTGTGCTGTATAGCTATATCTCGGAGGGTGCTGTCGCTCGAAGAGGTGATGTAATCTTTTAAAGCTGCAAAGTCGAATTCGGTCACGGGCATGATGGACCCTAGGTAAGGGTCAAAATTATGAACGCGAGTCCGAGGATCTCGGAGTTGATAGACTCCGGGGCTTTGAAAAGGAAGCCTTGTTAGCATACAGGTAAAAGAAAAAAAATGGTAGACCGGACTACGTACTTGAATAGAACTCTCTCCAAGCCGTAAGAGAGTTGCGGGACTTGCTGCTGAACTTTCAGCCGCACCTCTTGACATATGTTATCATTTCAATGTCCACCAAAGTTGACAGGTATAATTCATACCTTTGAATCCCAATTTTTTACTCTTCACAGACGTCACTTCACGCGTTCGGGACACTATCGCTTTGCGGACGAGTGTCGGAGGTTCAGGAAATGTGTATGTTTTTTGGGCATTGGCTTTTGCTCCTGATTTCTCCCCACCATCTAACTGGGAGACTATTTCATTCACTGCAGATACGAACTTTGGTTGATGTTCTCTGAAAGGGGTCGCTTTTTCAGCAAACTTGCTCTTCTCTCTCAATGTCGACTGGGCTTTTAGAGTCTGTTACAACAAAAAAAATATGGATTAGCCTCAATATACAGAGCCAGGTCAGACCGGGAGCAAATAAACTGACCTCTGTAAGAGTCAAGAAGGTATCCTCAATTGATTTTGCGGAACTAGCCTTGCTTCTGGAGTGAGTCTTGCCCTTTGAGGCAGCTCGGGTTCGTCTACTGCGGCGAGTTTTCGACTTCGAAGCATCTTGAGTGTGTTTATTGGGGCGAGCCTTGCCCCGAGAGTCTTTTTCATTTGGTTGCCTTGACTGCGTTGCTGCCGAATCTGATTGCGACCAAGATGTTCTGGAGAACAGTCGTGCCTGGACACGACCCACGGCTAAGCAGGAAAAGCAGACATGTTCACGGAGAATGGGGTCTGGAGCAGACCGCAGCAATGTCCGAAACATTCGGCATGTATATAGGATGAATGCTGGAACAACTCTTTCTTGTGGTGATTGGGAATAGCATGATTGAGAAGAAGCGCGCGACCTGGCGTTCATTGAATCTTTTTTTCTGACCGCCTTTCTGCAATATACGAGCGTCATGTATGATACAATACAGAGCTCTGCGTAATATTTAAGACTCCGAATCCGGGGAGGGGGGTTTTGGACCGGAGAAAAAAAAAAAGCCCCGCTCACAAGAAAAGTTACTCGACACTCTATTTTCTGCTTTTTTTACAGATCTTGACACCTGCTCTTGCGTTTAGCAGATCGGCGTCTGTCATACTCCTCTAGAGGTATAGAGGTAAGTTTCATTTGATCGTCTTTCTTCCTTTAGAGATTGCCTCCGTCCGTGCATATATAGAGAGGGGTATGTGGGCAACCAACTGCCCCTCCACCCGTTCGTCGCTCAATCGTATACAGGTCCTTCTCTAACATTGGTTTCGGTATAACAGGTTTTCTCGAGACCCCTCGCATCACAATGGCTCAGGAACGTCTGCGCATCCTCGTCGTCGGCAGCGGCGGGCGTGAGCATGCCCTGGCGTGGAAACTCAGCCAGTCGTCCCGGGTCGACATTGTCTACGTCGCTCCAGGAAATGGAGGTACCGCCGCGGGTGCCTCAAGCAAGATTGAAAATGCCAATATCAAGGGAGACGACTACCCAGGGTTGGTGGCTTTTGCCCAGGAGAACCAAGTCAACCTTGTTGTTCCTGGCCCAGAGGCTCCTCTAGTTGATGGAATTCAGGGATATTTCCAGGCCGGTTTGTCCAGCCATCCTCCCGAAAATCCTCCATATCAGTTAATGACGATTTTGAAGTCGGTATTAGGTGCTTTGGTCCATCAAAAGCCGCCGCACGTATGGAGGGCTCCAAGGCCTTTTCGAAAGATTTCATGAAACGCCAGAACATCCCCACTGCCGCGTACGAGAACTTCACAGACTATGAGAAAGCACGCCAATATCTGGATAGCGTCTCTCATAACGTCGTTATCAAGGCCGATGGCTTGGCTGGCGGAAAGGGTGTCATCATTCCTACAACCAAGGAAGAGGCCCACCAGGCTCTCCGCGAAATGATGCTTGATCGCCAGTTTGGAGATGCCGGAAATGAGGTTGTCATTGAAGAATACCTCGAGGGAGACGAGCTCAGTGTCTTGACCTTCAGCGACGGCTACTCGATCAAATCCCTTCCCGCTGCTCAGGACCACAAGCGTATCTTTGACGGAGACCAGGGGCCCAACACAGGTGGTATGGGCTGCTACGCCCCAACACCCATCTCTTCGAAGCAGGTCCTTGAAGAGATTGACCGCACAATTGTTCAGCCATCTATTGACGGCATGAGAAGGGAGGGTCAGTATACAGCACTTTCCGAAACTCATATTGTATATGCAAGCGAGGCTAACATATCAAAAAGGTTTCCCTTTCGTTGGAATCCTATTTACTGGACTGATGATGACGAAGAACGGCCCAAAGGTCCTTGAATATAATGTGCGCGGCGGAGACCCAGAAACCCAGACTCTACTACCTCTGCTTACCGACGATACCGATTTGGCGGAGATCATGGTGGCGTGCACAGAGCACTGGCTCGACGGCGTTTCCATCAAGATCAAGCCTGACTTCTCCACCACCGTTATTGCGGTTGCTGGCGGATACCCTGGGTCATATGCCAAGGGCAAAAAGATTACCCTGGACCCTGCCCCAGAAGGCACCTTGATCTTCCATGCCGGAACCAACCTCGCTGGAGCTGAGCTTCAGACTGCTGGTGGACGAGTGATTGCCGCTACTGCCACCGCATATAGCCTTGAAGAGGCCCTGCGCAAGAGCTATGCCGGCATTGAAACAATTCACTTTGAAGATATGTTCTACCGCAAGGACATTGCGCACCGAGCCTTCCGACAACGCGAGGCCCAGCAGTCACTGACATACGCCTCTGCCGGCGTCTCCATTGATGCCGGTAACGACCTGGTCAACATGATCAAGAGCAGCGTTGCGAAGACCAAACGCCCCGGAACTGATGCCGTTATTGGCGGCTTTGGCGGCCTCTTCTCTCTGGCTGCAGCCAACTCCGCTTACCACCCCGAGTCTCCCACTCTTATCGGAGCCATCGATGGCGTCGGAACCAAGCTCAAGATTGCACACGCCGCGGGCATCCACAACACTGTCGGTATTGATCTTGTCGCCATGAACGTCAATGACCTCGTCGTCCAGGGAGCTGAGCCTCTTTTCTTCCTGGACTGCTATTCTTGCGGCAAGCTCGACGTTAGCACTGCCGCCGCCTTTGTCACCGGCGTTGCCGACGGCTGTATGCAAGCTGGCTGTGCCCTCATCGGTGGCGAGACTGCCGAAATGCCGGGTCTCTTCATTGATGAGTCCTACGACGCGGTCGGAGCCGCCGTCGGCGCCATAAACACCTCCGGCCCCAACGCCCGCACTATCCTCCCAGACACATCAGCCATGAAGGCCGGCGACGTTCTGCTTGCCCTGGCCTCCTCAGGCCCCCACTCAAACGGATACTCACTCGTCCGCAAGATTGTCGAGCGCTCGGGCCTCAGCTACAACGACCCCGCCCCCTTCTCCATGTCCTCCTCTTCCTCTTCCTCCTCCACCGATACCCAGACCCTCGGCCGCGCCCTCCTAACACCGACCCGCATCTACGTGAAACCCCTCCTCAAAGCCCTCAATTCCTCTTCCCCGTCTTCAATCAAAGGTCTCGCTCACATCACCGGCGGTGGTCTCGTCGACAACGTACCCCGTATGCTTCCACCAACCCTAACTGCGCACATCGACGCCAAGTCATGGACGCTACCCGCTGTCTTCTCATGGCTCAAGAAGAACGGCAACGTTTCTGCGCACGAGATGACCCGCGCCTTCAACTGCGGTGTCGGCATGGTTATCGTTGTGGAGAAAGGATCCGAAGCTGCTGTCAGGGACCTCCTCGAGAAGGAAGGCGAAACCGTCTACCAGGTCGGTGAGCTCAGGATCAAGGCTGAGGGCGAGGAGCCCTGTGTTGTTTCTGGACTCGAGACCTGGGATGCTTAGAGGGCGACGGTCCATTTTCAATCTATTATGTTCTGTGCATAGTTTGTTGGGGTATCTGGCAAAGATAAAAGAAATGGCTTTGTTTTACTACTATTTATGCGTATGACCCTATTCGCAGTATCATCTAGACTCTTTGCAGTCTCGTCAATGATATTGATTTCACATCATTCTTCTACACATGTGCATCCATCCTTCCTTGTAGACTAGAGGAGGCGCTTCTCTTGTGATATTTTCAAGTTCGTATTGATTCCATATGTTACGCTACCAAAAATTACGCATACATTTACTAGTAGACAAGTAGACGTGGATCTGATCAAGGTGGGCAGTATGCGCGGTGCGTAGAATATGGACAACTCGTGGCTGCAATGTAGATTATATATATCCTCCGCTGTGATAGAGAATTTTGATAAGAAATAGCACAGTTCCGCATGTCTTCTGCGGCACAAAGCAAAGACACTATCATATCATCGTACTCTGTACTAGGGTGTATTTTAGTTGGTTACTTCTCCATACTATACTGATATCAAGTTCGCTGCTAGTAACGCGCTGGGAGAGAATGTCGACAATTCCAAGGTTCAAGGGAGGAAACGGGTCAGATGAGAATAGGAGAACAAGCAGAAACAAGTAGTGGCAGAGACGCTTATCAGCTTCACGGGAAGTCCAAATTCTCAGCAGTAGTGCCTAAAGGTGGAACTTCACGGAAAGGCAGAAAGCAGTCCAAATGAGACAGACGGATTCAAACAAGGATTGAAGTATAATGGAAGCTTTCCTTTCACCGCGCTGGCCATAGAATCCATGTACATCGACTTTTCTTGCCTTTGGTCTCCACAAGCTGCCATTCGAATTTGCCCTCCCTGCGCCGAGTGACAAGCACCTCAAACAAACCATCTCTATTCCACAGCTAAAAATCAAGTTCCTTTTTCAGGCGTTCTTCCTCCTAGTGCGAGTCAGAGACGGCTTGTAAGCCACCGTTTATCTCCGTTTGATCTTTTAATATAACAGGAAATACGCGACAACGACAAGATACAACGCAAGAGCTGCAGCAGTTATCAGACCTGGGCCAAGTTCAACTCGATTGGAGACATGCGAGTCCGTACCTTAGAAGCACTTGCGGTGGACGATCGAAGGACCGCTCTCGTCGTACTCCTGCTTGGAGATCCACATCTGCTGGAAGGTGGACAGAGAGGCAAGGATGGAACCACCGATCCAGACAGAGTATTTACGCTCAGGAGGAGCAATGATCTTGACCTTCATGGAAGAGGGAGCAAGGGAGGTGATCTCCTTCTGCATACGGTCGGAGATACCGGGGTACATGGTGGTACCACCAGACTGAGAGATGTTTGTTAGTACCACACTAGCGACTGAAAAGAAAATGGAAAGCTTCGTACCATGACAATGTTTCCGTACAGATCCTTACGGACATCGACGTCGCACTTCATGATGGAGTTGAAAGTGGTGACGTGGATACCGCCGCTTTCCAGACCGAGAACGCTAGGCTGGAAGAGAGCCTCAGGAGCACGGAAACGCTCGTTACCAATGGTGATGACCTGGCCGTCAGGGAGTTCGTAGGACTTCTCGAGAGCGGAGCTCTGAGAAGCGTTCTGGATCTCCTGCTCGAAGTCGAGAGCGACGTAGCAAAGCTTCTCCTTGATGTCACGGACAATTTCACGCTCAGCGGTGGTGGAGAAGGTGTATCCGCGCTCAGCAAGAATCTTCATCAGGTAATCCGTCAGGTCACGACCAGCCATGTCGACACGAGAGATGGCGTGGGGAAGGGAGAAACCCTCGTAGATGGGGACGACGTGGGTAACACCGTCACCAGAGTCGAGAACGATACCGGTGGTACGACCGGAAGCATACAGGGACAGAACGGCCTGGATAGAGACGTAGAAGGCGGGGGCGTTGAAGGTCTCGAAGACAATCTGGGTCATCTTCTCACGGTTGGACTTGGGGTTGATGGGGGCTTCGGTCAAGAGGATAGGGTGCTCCTCAGGAGCGACACGGAGCTCGTTGTAGAATGTGTGATGCCAGATCTTCTCCATGTCATCCCAGTTCGTAACAACACCGTGCTCAATGGGATATCTGAGCGTGAGAATACCACGCTTAGACTGTGCCTCATCACCGACATACGAGTCCTTCTGACCCATACCAATCATGATACTATTTCAATAGTCAGCGGCCACCATCCAATTGATGGACAACTCATTGGGGAGGATTTACCCATGGTGACGGGGACGACCGACAATGGAGGCTGCGCGGCGACGGTTAGCATCCGGATTGTGGAGATGGCAGTATGAGTGGGTGGGTGAGACGGGGGTCTTCACCGCCCTGGGTGTGCCCGCTGCGGCGCAGGAAAACAGCCGACAAACTTCATCAAGTGTACTCGATGGCAGGAGTAATGAAGGCAGTACTGAGGGGTACAGGGGTCCGTGTAGTAAAGCATTGAGGGTTCAACTTACGGAAGACGGCTCGGGGGGCATCGTCACCGGCGAAACCGGCCTTGCACATACCCGAACTAGGAGGCTTAACGTCAGCATAACAAATCGGGCCATGCATGGGTCATAGAAAGCATGACAAGTTGGAGGTATCGTTATGATTGATTCCCTCTAACCAGCAGCCGCCAATGCCCAGCTAATACAGTGAGGCGGAAAGGTCGTTGCGACCAGCGGCGAAGCGAGGGCGGATGTTTGGGAACAACAAAGCAGGATGGAGTGGGCATCCCAGATGCCATCAAAAACGAGTCTTGACATACCCATTGTCGATAACGAGAGCAGCGACTTCCTCTATAAGAGACAAGAAAGTCAGGTTAGCGCGAGGTTTGGGAGATTAGAGGGAAGTGGAGGGAGGGGAAGGGGACAAGCGAGGGAAGCAAGGCGTTGAGGTGGCAGAAACCTTACCTTCCATGGTGTCTAGGAGTAGATTAAGAAGCGAACTACAGAGAACAAAGAAGAAAAAAAGAAACGAGGATGATGGGAAAAAAAAAGGGAGGAGGAGAGATAGCTCGAGGAGATGTGGTGGTGGTGGTTGTTGGGGGAGAAAGTGGAGGAGAGAGAAGGGGAGAGGAAGGACAGTTCAGCAGTCGAGAGTTTGGTGGTCGGTGGTGGAGAGCGAACGAGGGAACGGTCGGTCGACGGAGTAGTCAGCAGCAGCTAACAGCGCGCCAGAACTGAACAGAACAGAACAAATCGGAGGGAAAGGGGCTGGAAACTGGTCGTCAAGTCCGCTGCTATGATTAGGCGCCAAAGGGGGCTTAGTCTCGTCTAGGTCCAGTTGCTGTCACCGCCACACCCAGGTCTTTCTTAGGTATGATATTTGATGTGCAAAGATTTCGCTGCTATTTCCAGCTCAATTGGTCGGTTTTATACAATTTCCGCGAGAGTGTTGCCTCTCAGGCAGAATGATTTCGTCCCCCGGGCTGAGGCGTCCTCTGCTCCCCAGTTGAGATGATGAATCCTCGTGGGGCACACGGTGAGAATCCAAGGTTGCGAGAATGGTTCAGCCCGGCGTGTCCCAAAGAAAAGGGTCTCCTCAATCGCCCCTCCTATTCGTTCTATTATTATCATCGTCATAGCTAGACTGGACGGCAAGTAAGCATGATGACGACTCGTCTCTTTTACTAAACGGCCCCAAGAATGCCTGAAGGGGAATTCAGGCTCCCGTATTGATTGCCCCGCGTCTAGATTAGGAAGGTTTACTTTGAACCAGCGGACTGAACCTAAAGCCGCAAAACCCCTTCCTTTCGGTAGTTTGAGGAGGGTTCCCAGTCCCTTCGGAATCAAGGTCTTTATCAAGAGGAAATTTAGAAGGTCACAACCATTACGCAGAACCTGGTCTTGGACTCTTAGATTGGAGAAGGCCGGTCCTTACCGCCTTTTCTATGTTGTAGATCGGCCATCGTTACAACGCCATTGTCGAGGCAGACTTTAGATGAATCGAGAATTGCAAGCGTAATCGTATCGAACAGCAACTTGCGCGGCGACTCAAAAAACTGTAGATAATGTATTGACCAAAGCCTGGCTGATCCTCAGCCGCATTGCGATGTTGTATGACAGCATCGCGGGGCTCAACCATGGCGGGGTAGAAAGTCAGTGCGATCTTGAAACCGCTACCAACACCACTTACTCTAGAGCTCGAAGAAGGTTGACAGTGATTGGTCTCAAGAAAGGTAAAAAGACTGCTCGAGTCTCAGGGTTAGGAGGCTGCATCTTTGTGCGTTCAATGCTCCGTGCGTGTCCACTTGGGCGTGTGCTTAGCGTAGAATGGTGTCGAAAGCCGTCGCGGTTGTTTGAAGCGTCTGGAATCTTGATCAACCAAGAGTGGTACCGCTGCTACGTAAATCTAAAATTCAATCTCCATTATATTCTTCTGCTCGACATTAATTCTTCTTCATAGATACCTTTTTGAACACAAAAATTCTAATTGACATACTTGTTTGATCCATTATCTTACTTTACATTTCATTCCACTTTGCGCAATCAATTTCTATCTCAAGGTTAAAAAATCATCGCATCTACACTATGGACCCCAACATGAACAATCTCCTCAAATGGGGGATTCGAAACTCGACGAAGCCTGAACAAGCTGGCACCACCAATACAAGCACAGAAAACAATGCGTCTCAACCTAACCACAACGTTACCCCGGAGATGCTCAACGCGCTGTTCGGCGGTCCCTCCGAAGCCGACCTAATGAAGGCCGCCATGGAGGCTCTGCACTCCGACGAGGTCGATCTTGAAAACAAGTTGATTGCCTTTGACAATTTTGAACAACTAGTCGAGTCTATCGATAACGCGAATAACCTGGAACCATTGGGCCTCTGGACCCCGCTCGTCGAGCTTTTGAAGCATGAAGAACCGGAAATGAGAAGCATGGCGGCATGGTGTATTGGGACGGCTGTGCAGAATAACGAGAAAGCTCAGGACAAGGTATGAACCTGCATTATTAGTAAATGTCTCTGATTTTTCCACCCTAAGATTTGAACGCGAGGATATGCTAATGATATTCTTCTCTGTGCAGCTCATCGTCATGAACGTCATCCCTACTCTAGTTTCTCTAGCCACAACAGATAAGAACCTCGCAGCCCGCAAGAAGGCCGTCTATGCCATCTCATCCGGCGTACGAAACTACCAGCCCGGCATGGACGTACTCATGAAACACCTGCCAGAGGGCTATGCCAAGAGCGAAAAAGTCGACGCCGGAGACATGGCGGCTATTGATGCCATCATGGACAAATTGCGGTCACACCCCGTACCGTTGTCGTAATCGCTGCCGCCACATTCGTGTTTAGAAGGAACTTGAATTCTGATGCCTTATATCCATTCTGGTGTACCATCACGTGGTGGATTCAGATCGCAGGCAGACGGCAATCACAGCATCTGCACGAGTGGCTGTTTCATGTGGATTGCGACCTCACTATGGGACAGGTTCCTATGATAAAATGCGCCGCTGAAGAATGCCCCCTCAAGATACGTTGCTCAAGGCGCATACAGTATATACGTACAACAGGACTTGACCCTTGGAGCACTTAAGGGCAGCCTGTCGGCGGGTTGGGCCGCCTCTTACGCAATCTTTTCAGGGTTCAAAAACAGACATCTCTGAATAAATAAATTGGCGCTATCGAATGCAATACAGATAGCAAAGAATTCGCAATAGAAAACCATTCACGCCGGCCAGCAGAACTACAGTATGAAAGCAAACAAACTCGCATTAAAGCGTGACAGACGCATGTCATTTAACAATCATATAAGAACGTTCAATATAGTATACTCTGGAGGGCAACTCCCTATCCAATAACACAGTAGACTCGGCGCTCTAGAGTTGTAGGTTGTATGTGTAGTCATCTTCGATGTTCTGAGAGACCCATAGGACAATCGAGCTGTATTGCGTGAGCAAATTTAGAAAACTGCACCCATCTAACGAACAATGTACTCACCTAAGCATAACCAGCCCATTGGCAACAACATTGGCAATCCCAAAGTAAAGCGTTGGCAGCGGATAACCCTTAATAAGGTACTTGAGAACCATGACCGTCTAGTAAGCCAAAGCCAGTCACCTGTTAGCAATCGCCATGCCTATACGAGGGGGATTAGAGACATACCACACTCCCCGCCAAACCCCCAGCGAGCAACGCAAACCCAAGAAACAGCACAAAACGCGCCTTCCATGCAACGCCGTTTCCGCTATAGCTGAAGCTGTCGGCCTGTAGCCGCGACTTCTCGATCGAGTTAATGACAAGCATTCCGAGCGCCGAGCAGATGCCGGGAATCCAGTCTGTGAACTTGACGTGGACTAGGGAGCCGTTGCGCGGGCTGTGCGAAAAGGCTGCGGCGTCGATGAGGAAGAAGAAGCCAAGGGAAAACTATGTAGCCACAAAATGTTATGTGTTAGTACTTGATAACTTCGGATCTTCGGGCGTGATAGGTTTGCTTTACCAGAGCGCCTGATGTGTAGACGCCCGCGTTGCGCACGGTGGAGTTGTTAAGCCATTCGGGCTTGTGGAAACGCCATAGACGGTTGCTTTCAGAGTCCATTTTTTGTAGATTCGTCGAAGAGTTGAAATAGCGATTTCGAGTTGGTGTGAAGGCGTGGAATAATTGCTGGGCGTGTAAGCCATTGCTGGCTTGGAGAGGTGGTTGGATGACGATGGGTGCGGCTGCTCGGACCTCGGAAAATCCCGTTCCGGAGTTCCTATACAACTGCGACATCCATAGATGCCCTGACAGGGCTTATGTCGAACTGTCTATACCTTTATTGTAGGCTCTTGATTTACATTAGTCAGTGAGGATGCTGAGATTTGGATGAGACTTGATTCGATTGAATATCGCGGCTCCTCACTAAGCAAATCACTATATACTCTACTTCGTAACTTCGTAACCTCTTAGCCTGGACCAGCCAAAGCTCAGTGCTCTTCTTCACAAAATAATTTCAAAAATCCATCAATATATGTCATCGCCTTGGCCTTCTCCAGCGCAGGAGGTATAGACCTCGAGCCATCCGCGCTCATGGCTGGTTCCTTTAGGTACTTGCGTAGGGCGAATGTTGATGCTCGGTAGGTCGCGTGATACATGGCTTTGAACTCGTCTTCATCAGTGTTTGATGAAGAATGAAGGGCTGCGTTGTCCCCTTCTTTTACTTCGCCGCCTGGGGTATCGACATCAGTGTGAGAGGGAGGATTGTGAGAAGACAATGGTCTTGTCGAGCGGTTATATCCATAAAGTCGCATACAGGTCAGTATGGTACGGGTTATGGTGTTTTTGTTGTCCGATAGAATAGTGTCAGCATCCTTCGGTTTTGTCGAAGCCTCGTGCCCCTCAGAAGATAATGGCGCAGGCGAGAAGACACTACCTCCTTGTGTTGAGGTTTCCATCAACCGGGCTGGCGCCGGTGTACACTTTTTGGAAGCAAACTCACGCGCGTGGCCCCGGTTGCTGGATGGCCGCGGATGCTCCGTCCGAGCATCCAAGATCTTATTGGGATTAAGGTTCGAACTGATCAAGAGCGATCTGGACTGATGCGACGCGACCTTGCTCAATATTGGAAGTGAAGGTTCCTCGGATTCCCGTTTTACTTTGAGATTTTGCAACTGTTGTGGTGATTGTGAAAGGCTTTGGGCCATCAGCTGCGAAACAGCTTCGCCGCCCTTGTGCCGCACTCTTTTGTGATGCTGCGCCACAGACTCGAATAAACTTGCGACGCGCTTGCGCTTAGGGCTCGGGGAATGGAGATCTGGGAGAAAGTGGGCGAATTGTTCGTGACCGGCAAGCGCCCCGGCATCATCTTGACAGGGAAGAGCCGCAGCCCGTGCGATGAGAGTTCCTGATATTGGCGTTGCGTATATCCTCAATTCTTGCCTAGCAATACTGTAGAGCGGATCCTCGAGCGCCGGCGAGGATGATACGGGTGGTGTGGGCGGCCGTTCATACAAGGTTGTTGTCGAAAGAATGCCATATACCAACAGGTCGGTGGCGGTAGGACCCGTGCTCCTCGGGCGTATGGCGCCATCAAGACTCACAAGGAAACCCACGGGGCACTGAATAGTCTGAAAGCGATCCAAGTCCTCGTCTTCTAACCATATATTAGCGAGCAATTTGTGCTTCAGCCATCGCGAAGTCCTGGGGTCGTTTGTATGGAGTTCGAGGTTCGGGCCCACGCGCGCATAGAGCGGTATTAGAGCTGGATTAACAAAGTTGCGAAAAGCAAGTGTAGAGTGCCTGAGTATGTCCAACTGCCCGCTAGTGGTTCGATCGATGAACTGTAGATCTAGATATGGTAAGAGAGAATTATTCCAAGCCCGACGGGACTGGTAGCTTCACCTGTAAGTTGTGTTTGCGCATCCAGTGAAATAGCGCCGGACCAAATATCCATTTTTCAGAACTCTCTGCACCGAGCAAAACACATATCACAAGCGCGTCATATTTCAGGGCCAGTGCTGTTGGTAAGGAATGATCGGGTGGTTGCATGAGTAGACTCAAATGATACGAAACGCGCCAAAGCAGAAAGCGCGTAATCACGTGAAAGGCCCATTCCATACATACATAGTTCAAGTTGGAGCCCGAAGGTAGCAACGTTCTCGTCCACCTACCAGCAAGCGAGTGACTATTCATAGTCTTCGGGGACATTCAATATGCGTATAGTAATAGACTAGACCACTTGGACCCATGCCTGCAATTTCTCTATATAACCGCACAAGTGGCTATAGTACATCAAAAAAATCATATCGCCCAATAATTGATAGAGGAATCAAATGGAATTAATGTCGGGTCCAAATCAAGAATCTCAAGCCTGTTGGGAAAAAAAAACATTCATTCAAATACCAGATGCAGAGTAGGTAAACATTCGATACAAGCTCCATGAGAGCGCGCTAAAAGAATGATGCAACTATTCTGGTAATGGGTCTTCCTGTCTCTTGTCTGGCATGTCATTATCAACTCAAAATTCCTCTTGCTCCCGGAAAAACATGGAGAAGCTGATAATGGTGCCGTAGATCAAAAGACCGCCGAGTATGGACATGATCATGGCTGGGACCTGGATAGCGCCGCTGTGCGCTAGGACGGCCGGTAGAGCTGGAATGGGTTATATTAGCCAAGCTGGGAGCGAAATGAGAGCATTGTCTGCGTCCAAAGCCGGTGCGAATCGAAAGGTCGAAACATTAACCATGTGCGGGAAGTGTTTGAAGACTTACCGATACCCATCAGTACCAAGAACCCGGTGAGGAAACGCCCAAAATCCGCAACGGCATTGCCAGAGCTATCCATAAAGTCATCCGGATTCGCGCATCGTGAACAAATCCAGTTGGGGAGCGGCGCAATAACGTAGGTTGCAACAACGGTCAGCGGCAGAAAGTTGTGCCAGAGGGCCGACGAGAGAATGACGAGGAGAAAGCCAATGGCGAGAACCTGTATTGAGTGAGGTCAGGTCAGTAACAAAAGATCAAGCGGACACGGATCGCATACGAAGGAGAGAGCGATGATTGTCTTGAGTCCAGCCGTCATGACTGCGGAGATGCAAATGCGTCGAGCTTCCAAGCAGAGCGGGTAGATGTAGTAGACTTGGTACTGCACAAACAGGTTCCGACAGATATGCTACTCTGTTATAAGAGCAGCTCGCGAGATGGTCAATAGCCGAGCCTCTGCCGATCAAAGCGAGTGTTCGATGGATCAATGAGGAGACGAATGCGGGTGACGTGAGGTTGCACTTGGGCGGCAGCTGAAGGCTTGGCAGCCTGAGGCGCCCAGGCCACCACCGCCCATCGCCAACGCTGGAGCTTCCCTCCAACTCCATGCTTCGTCAGTTGCTGTCTGCCTGCTGTCTCACTCCCGTCTTTCCATCAAATTTTATTCTTTCCTCCTGTCTTTGGATCTGCATCGCTGCCGGCCATTGCTTCAGAATTGAACTGTGTTCCTTTACTCGCATAATATCGCCTTGTCCAAGCTCTCAACATGTTCAGGAACAACTACGACAACGATGCGGTCACCTTGTATGAGCTTCCCCAATTCACGCCTCTTGAAGACCTCAAAGCTAATAGTCTTGGCTTTCTGAAGCTCCCCCCAAGGTCGGATATTCCAAGTAGAATATGCACAGGAGGCTGTGAAGCAGGGTTCCGTTGTGGTTGGACTAGTCAATAAGACACATGCCGTGCTCGTCGGCCTCAAGGTTTGGATTACACAGCTTTATTGACTTAAGACTCAATTATAGGAAGCTAACACAAAGTGTGCTTGTAGAGAAACGCTGAAGAGCTCTCCTCATATCAAAAGAAGATCATTGAAGTCGACTCGCACATGGGCATTGCTATCGCCGGCCTAGCATCCGACGCCCGCGTGCTTTCCAACTACATGAAGCAACAGTGTCTCGGGTCCCGAATGACCTATGGTCGTGCCATGCCGGTGGACCGTATCGTCACGCAGATTGCGGATCGCGCCCAAACAAACACGCAACAATACGGAAAGCGGCCATACGGTGTGGGCTTGCTTGTTGCCGGAGTTGATGAAGCTGGACCGCATCTTTTCGAATTCCAGCCCTCCGGTATGACCCAGGAGATGGTGGCCTGTGCCATTGGAGCAAGGTCTCAGATGGCCCGAACGTACCTGGAGCGCAACCTCGACCAATTACATGACTCCTCGCGGGACGATCTTATCACCCATGGCCTCCGGGCTCTCAAGGAGACCCTCTCGCAGGACAAGGAGCTGACAGTAGACAACACATCTGTTGGTGTCGTTGGCCTAAAGGAGAGTGGAAAGGTTGAGAGCTTCAAGCTCTACGAGGGACAGCAGCTCTTACCGCTCTTGGAGGCCCTGGAGCAGTCGGACACTGGAGAAACGAGAGAAGAAGAGACAATGGAGGTGGATTCATAAGTGTGAATGTACTCGATTAGACATGAAAATGCCTTGCCCTGGTACCGAAGATAATACGACAGAAATCCAGTCATGCCATTGCTATCTATTCGTAAACCCATGTCTCTTAAAATATCTTACCTCTAAGCTACCAATCGATTGAATCGGGAACCTACTCCTCCCCCCAATTCAGCTCCATCCTCCCGTCGCTGATTTGATACTGGACCAGCTTCGGCCAAACCTCCTCAACACTCTTCGCCTCCACTAGAATCCTCCCATTCTGCTCGGAGATGTACCCCTCCTTGACCGCATTGCGCACCCAAGCCAACAACCCATCCCAATACCCGCCCACATTCAACAGCACAACCCCCAGATGATGAATACCCAACTGATTCCACGTCGTCATCTCCATAACCTCCTCAATCGTACCAAACCCACCAGCCAGCGAAACAAACCCGGACCCAGGCCCGCCCTCCCGCACCTTCTGCGCCATGAGCCGCTTCCGCGTATGCATATCCGGCACGATCGTGGTGATCCCGTATTCCGACGTTGACTGCGCGCTTGGATCGGTGATAATGCGCTCGGCTTCCTTGCCCCCGCCACCGGCAGATGTAGATCCAGACTGCGTCTCTTGAGCGTTATCGCCGCCCTTGTTATTGTAGCCTGGTTCAACGCGTACAAGAGCCCGCGGGATGACGCCGTGCACGGACTCGGGACCTGAGAGTGTAACTAGTGTACGGGCAATCTCGCCCATGAGGCCCTTTGTGCCGCCGCCGTAGACGAGCTGGATGTTGTTCTGGTGGAAGATGTGGGCTAGGCGGCGGGCGGTTTCCATGTGTGCGGGGTTTGTACCTTCCACGGAGCCGCAGCTGTTTTGCAATCATATTAGTAATTGGTTATTCAAGTGGAGAACAAGTTTGAGTTTGCAAGAAGTTGAGAAGGAGTTAAAGATGTAGATAGCTGCTTATCGCGTGTAGAGTCATTGCGGGGGAGGGGTAAACACTTTACATGAGCGACACTTACAAGACGCAGACGACAGGACGTTTGGAGTCGGAGCTCGCCATTTTTGTTGGATCGATTGTCACTTGGGTTGTAATTGGAAAGTAAGTCTATAATCTTGGAGAAACAATGTTATATGTGTTATAAAGGTGACACTGAGAAATACCTAGTAGGCGGCGATTTTCACGAGGGATGAGTCAGAAGGGGTTACCTTCCTTGGAGCACCGTCCGTATTACTTTAAGCAGTTACACCCTAGCTTACCCAACGATAAACGCTAATCCCACGCAGATCGGGATATATACTAATATAGACTTTCCCTTGAGCCTAGATGCGTAGATTTCATTGGCATTGGGTATCACAGATTGGACGTACATTCAAGACTAATTCCCCGGTTTGCTCTTTTTCTTCCGGAGCTTGGGCTCTTCTGCAGCGCTCGCGCCCTTTTCGGACGCTTTCCCTGGCGTATCGACCTTGGCTTGCGGTGTTGCCGCCTTGACTGGCGCGGAGCCGGTGGTTGGGGCCTGTTGCTGTTGTTTCGAGGCCACACCTCGATCCGCGTCTCCAGTTCGGGATAGAATGAACGATCCAGGTTCGCCCATTAAAGGGCTTTCGTCCATGTACTCATCGCCATACCGAGAGAGAAGATTGAATGACTCAGCGAGCATCTTCATGTCATGCACCGTTGAGCTGGTACCGATTTGGGCTCCCTCGAGAGATTGTGCTTTATTCGTAGCATCCGCGTCAGGCACCGGGGTGTTTTCTTTACTCGCTTGTGTCAGCTGACTGGCTTCTGTCGACTTTGGCGCCGGCGGAAGGTACGTGTGGCCATGTGACGGGCTGAAGATTGGTAATGTTGATGCAGTTTTGAGCAGACTTGTGAGAGACGTCACTGCCGAGAGCTATACAAACGTTAACCTCGACGACCAAAGAACAAGAAAGAAAGTCATACAATCCGATTCCCCACAACACTCGCGACCGAAGGAGCCATATAGATGCAATCGCCCACCACAAAGAACGTAGCCAAAACCACGACTTCATCCTCAAACCCCGCCCGCTTCCGCCTCGTTTGTTTCCGAATCACCCAGACGTTGGAAGGCTCATGTGCGAATTGCGCATTGGCCCCCGCTGCAGCTTGTAAAGGATCGTACGCAACCACGAATTCCAACCCTTGCATGGACTTGAGGCGGTTCTCGAAAGCCTCGCGGGTCTCCACGAAGTGCCGAAAGGCTTCATTGTAATTCGCTTGGATGGCTAGCGAGGCGTTGTTCGAGGTTGCGTCGAAGAAGGGGGATTCGGCGAAGTAGAAGAGGACTAGCGCATTGACCACAATTAATTGCATCAATCGAGAAGAGAGAGAGCTTGTAAAGCAAGATTTAGCGAGAGAGAACCCTACTGTTGTTTGAATGGAGGTATCCGCCCATCATTTGGATGTGAGATGGCGATCGCCATAGGATTTCCTCCAGGGAGGAGGGGTCTTGAGGATCTGCCATTCCGGAGGTTACCGCAGTGTTGGCTCTTGCCCGAGAGGGTACGGCGATGTATTTGTGGAAGGGTCCTACTAATGCTGGATATGAAGCTTTGCGAGGAAGAACGAGTCCAACCTCCGCGGAGGACATGAAGTACATGACTCTGTTTGCACTGTTTGCATCGACCCCACAAAATATATGGCAAGTATAAACGAGTGTTAAGTATAAGTGACGATGTTCGGGTGTATAAAGATCGTGAGTCAATGCTAATTTTGAGTTGGGAGTCTGTTAAGAAGTCATATCAAAAGCCAGTGCGCCATGACCCTCGCTGAATGTTGAATCGCCCCGTCTATCTGTCTAGTATAAAACTCATATCAATCCTCAAAAGGCAACTGTTGAAGATCGTTGCCATGCAAGATATACATAAATCGAATCATGTCTTGTCTGACGGCGTGAAAATGCCACAGACCGTTCGTAACTTGGTGAGCATCTCATCCCACTCACCCTCGGCGCTGCTTAATATAGTCACCGCACCTCCAGCACCGATGCGCCATTTTTGAGCATCATCGTTGTCGCTGGAGGAGGTAAAGGCCGTACGGATCAGGACTGAGAAGCTCCCGCCGCCTCCGAGGTCTAGAAAGCCCATTACTCCCGAGTAGATCCCGCGCTTTCTGCCTTCGATTGATGAAAGGTGCATGCAAGATCGTTCTTTCGGCGCACCGGTCATCGATCCAGGTGGTAGACAACGCTGTAATGCTGTAAGACCATACCCGGACATATTCGAGGAGTGTAGCCGTGGCATATTCTTTGCGGCATATCCAGGCCGACACGGGTCAATATGCCCTTTGACGTGGGTGATCATTTGGTAGACTCGTCCGTGGTCCTCCACTTCAAGCAGCTTCTCCACCCGCACACCATTCGCACCACAGATACCGTAGAGGTCATGCCGTATAAGATCCGCAATCATGAGGTTCTCGGCCATTTCTTTCGTTGACCCTAGAATCTCACGAGCCCTTTCCAGAGTCATGCTGCGAGACTTTTTCACGGTCCCCTTCATGGGTTTCATTTCAAGTGTAGATTGTCTGTCCCAGTTTAGGAAGCACTCCGGACTGCTGCTCACTATTTTCACGTCTCCGAGTCTGGCAAAGGCACTAAACGCGGCAGGGTTATACTTCCGAAGCCGTTTGTACAGCTTCCATGGGAATTGGGCGCGTCCAATGGCAGTATCTGGCGAGGGTAGGGTGATGGAGGTCTCGCCAGTGAGGCATAGTTCGTAAGACTCTCCAGCCCTTAGTTCCTCCTTGCACGCCTCAATCTTGTCAAGATAAGCATCCTCGTCTGGGAACCTTATAACACTCTGTTTCAGAATTGATTCCAAAAACTCTGCATCCGTCGCGGATAACCCATTTGTGCCAGAAACGCCATTGAGGAGTTGCGATGTCGAATCTAACCAGCCAGCTGGTAAATTATCCTCCGCCCTAGTAGATTGTATGGTAATTCGGCCCGTTTCGTTGTCAACTATGATGCTCCTGTCGATCCAAAGCAAGCTGACATCTGCAGGATCTTCAACGGCGGTACTATCCCGGGATGGATAATTATTCTGAGCGCTGGGATTCTCTTGTTTCGGGTGAGCAAGACAGGCCAACCCTAGCTCGTACGAAAAGTATCCAAGAAATCCTGCCCAGAATGGCACTCTGCTATCTCCAGAGTCAACCTTCTTCAGGTCCATCAAGTATCTCAGAACGTCCCAAAACTGGGAAACTGAAAGATATGTCTCGACATTGCTGTTTGATTGCTTGGATATATCGTGTAACTGAGCCAAGGCTGATACCTTTTCCATATATAAGAATTGTTGTTGAGCATAGTATTCCAGCCGCCAGCTGCCTGGGCTTGGTACAGATATAACACTGTATCTGCCATTAGACTGAAACAAAACAGTTGGAAACCCTGGATCATTAAGACATTCGCAAATCGTCTCAGCGTCAAGTTGAGAATTCGCAAAGGAGCGTGACGCAGAATGTTGCGTAGACGATGAACTCCAGGTAGCCATTTCGAAGGCAACGTCGGGCAAGCTCGTCGCTTCATTGTAAGGTCGAATTATGTCAGTAGGTAGGCTTCCATAGCCTTCGCGCCCGTGTCGTTTGTTGTAGTTGGCGGCCATATCCCACCATGATCGAAGCAAATCGTTACAAGCATCTCGGTCAGACTTGCAAGATTCTGGGTGAAACTGTACACCCCAAAACGGCTTCTCCCTGTGCCGCACAGCCATTGGTATACTTATTGCGGGGGTAGAAAAGCCACTAGGTTGGATGGATAGCCATGCTAGGATATCGAGGCCCGGTTTCATGGGCGCTACCCCATTGCGTGGGGTGAGCTTTGGCTGGTCATCAAACTTGGCGTATAATGAATGATAGAGAGTGACCTCTAAGTCCTGTACATTCGCGAATATATCCCTCTGTGAGGTCGTGATCCGATGAACTCGTCCATGTAAGGGCTCCGGGAGTCGCTCGATGGAAGCACCATGGTGAAGGCACAAGCTCTGAAACCCCAGACAGATGCCCAGGACAGGAAGCATATTCTCAGTGCTTAACTTCCATAAATCTGACATGACACCGACATCTTCAGGAACATTGGGATCCCCTGGTCCTGGCCCTAGAACAACCGCATCGTAATGCCGCAAAAATTCCACCATATTGCCGTCGGGCCATTCGGCATCTATCATCATGACAGTGACTCGGGCCACAAGGACCTCTTCGAGCATGGCGACCACGTTGTAGGAGAATGAATCATAGGCATCAATGTAGAGTAAACTTTTCTGATGCACATCTCGACTGTCTGCTGGAGAATGGCCAGCATGCGACCTTGTCCAATCACCTAGTAGCGGCGCCATCGGTCCTAGACCGGATGATTGTGAAAAGGGGGGGCAACTCGGAAGATAGCAATAAAAAGATAAGTAGATGCAAAAGAAGCTTATAGAGTTATTGCGGGCACTGTTATACCAGAAAGCTCCAAGTCTGGACTAAAATAGGACTGACAGGCAAGTGTTCCGGACGATTCGGCAAAAAAAAAAAAAAACACCAGTGCTTATTGTTGAAATGAGATAATGTGCATGATTGTCTCAATGAACAATTTCGAGAAAGATTTGACACCTGGAAATGGCGATTAAACTTAATTGACAGTAGTGGCGCAAGAGGCAAAATTGAAGATTTACTTGGGAAAAGAGGAGGTTAAGCGGAGCGGAAGACCAGTTCGACACTCCATCCGAATTCCATGGTTCGCTCCGATTGATAAATCCTAGATCTAGATACATTCTCAACTGATATATGTAATTCATGCATGCCAAAAGTCCAAGCAACTCTATATCCTCTTACGCAGAACTCTGATTCTTTGCAGCGACAGTGGCGATCTTGGCGGTTACCTTGGGGAAGTATTGTTTCACAAATGCTTCGCTGTGGAAATCGTCAGTATACGAGAAACCTCCTCTTGCATAGGACGGGGGGGCATACGTGTAATAGGAATGGACCTGGCCGTGGTCCCCAACCAGATTGTGCGCCAACTCGTGACAAAGTACCACCCACCAATATATCACAACCTCCGCCTGGTCTTTTGGATTTCGGAGCAATTCCTTCTCGTGAAGCTGTTGGAAATAGTAGAAATTGCAGAATATGCTACCTGCCCGATTGAAACCAATAGACTTTGAACTAGGGTCATAGAAGATGCTCAGCGTGTCGGGTTTCAATGAGAACACTTCTGCACAATCAAGCAGTATCGAGGCGAACAAGTTCATCCCGAGGCTGTTGTTTGACAGAAATGCATTCCTGTCGGGAACGGCTCTGGAGAAGAGGATGTTGACTCTGGAGGGAAGTGTGGCAACAAACTCTAGATCATGGCCAGGTCTTTCATCGCAATATGACTTTACCTCTTCCACTTGTTTCGTTTCTGGCCGCGAAAATACCCCAGATGATCCATGAGGTCTGCTGGACTGGATGGCAGAAAGCAGTTTTTTCTGTACCTGGAATGGGGAGCTGACGTTCACTTTTGTGTCCTTGGGTGACTCTGCGGAATCGCGCGGGGGGGAACCTGTAGTAGGTGAATTGGGCGTGGCGGTAGTCTCACTAAAGGGGTTCCAAGTCCGGTTCCCATCCTTGAAATGTTTCGTGAAACTTGAAAACAGACCACGGCGCTTCTCCTGGGCAGAACCTGAGGGTGAGGTGGGCCTTTGATCTCTGGATAATGGAGAATCGGGAAAATCCCCAGGCATCTGAACCTGGCCATTCTTTTCAGGAGTCCGCATCAGAGCCTGCTCCTGCGCAACAGCAGCTTCTTTTTCCTGGAGACGCCGGTGCTCTTCTTCCAATTGCTGCTGGCGCCGATCCTCTTGGATCCGAGCTTCCTGAGCCTTTTGCTTCAGGATGCGTTCAACATTGTATCCACGCGCTCTCAATTCCAGCAAATCAGTCTTCAGTAACATTTCCAACGTGAGAGCGTAATGTAGTTTCGGTCTCCAGAGGATAATATGCGAGAGGACTTGACTGATTTCATAAAAGTCAAACGGGCCGGGGCATATCCGCATGACACACTCTTTGGATATATCGGGAATGATGGCCTTTCTCTGCTGCTTATAAGATACTCGGCGACCTTTGAGAGAGCGGGTCATGGTGATGTTATGGACAATCTGGACTCTGAGATTTTTCTCAAGCCATCGGCTGTTACGCCGGATCGTTTCGGCGGTCTGATCATGGAGGAAGAGTCTTGAGCGTTCATTGATTAGCTTCAGCAGCTTGGCAGCAGGACGTTGGTCAGCGGCCACGGCTCCCCAGTGAGCTCGGTCTTCCACTAGTTGACTTATTGGTACTGCCCCTAGAGCCACGTAGAACTTCTCGAGTACTTCCTCTTGGGGTGCTGCCGACACATGCTCTTTGAAAAGAACAAAGCTTTGAAAGTCGTCAGCCACAACCACGTCTTTTGCTGCGGCCAGGGTCCATTTCCGAATGCTGTCCTCTTCAGTGCCATCTTCCTCATCACCGGAGTCTTCGGGTTTACTCTTGATCGTCTTCTCGGTCTTCTCGGTCTGCTGCTGCTGCTGCTTCGCTGTGAGAGCAATATCTTCACTCGCCAGTAAAAACGCCGACTTCTTCATCTCTGAGAAGAGATCCTTGTTCTTCTTCAAGACAGCAATGTCATCCGCAAGCGTTCTCAGCAGTTTGAGATACCTTTCAGCACTTTGAAAAGCAGAGGATATTCTCGCCGGCTCTCTGACCACCATTTGTGCAATCTCTACCTTGGTCGGCTCTCTCTTTGATCCGACAGCCATCAAAAAAAGATTTGCTTCCTGGCCGAAGTCAACAAAGTCAAATAACTCTTTGTAGTCTTCGCCATCTCCCAGGTAGCACATTATGGGTGCTACGCGTTGGATAGCTTTGTCTTTGGTTGCATCATCGTGCGTGGACACTGGAACTATCTCAGTTTTGCCAACACGGTCAATATCTCGCGGGCTAAGTTCTGAAACTCTCCCCGCGAGATACCTGAACAGCACCCTCGCGTCTTTCTGGGTAGATGGAGGTCTACGGATCAAGACATCAAGGCATTCAGACATTTTGGGATGCTGTTTGACACCGAGCTTGGAAGCATGACGATGCAAATCTCCACGGAGAATGCTGAAACCAAAAAGTGAAGCCCCTCCGTCCGTATAGCACTTGCTTGGGACGCTAAGGTTATATTGCCCTTCGGCAGGTAGTCCGAACAGGTTTGCTTGCTTGCCATTCAAACCTTTGTCGAGAAAAGTGTTGGAGCGTTCAAGCGGCAAAAACGGTTCTGTGACGGAGCTGCAATCGAATTTGCTGTAGCCGTTTTTGTCATATTCGGCCACGTAATATGAAATGGCCTTTGCGTGCAGAGCCCAGTTATCTGAACCCGCTGCCTTGGCCATAATCTGAATTACCTCGACAGCTGTGGGAAAGCTCCTGATACCCAGCCGGGTGAGAAACTTGCCCTCAGGACTGTTGGGGATGTACTTTCCCGGCCAGTCAATGATGGGCAGCCCTAAGGCTTTGAGAGACTCGTCCGGTTCAAAGAGCTCTTGGACTTTGTGACGTGTCCGCTCAGACGTTTTTGGATCATCAGAGGCAGCGCTCATCTCAGCCGTACAGAAACGGGTGCCTTTGAGTCGCTTGATGTCGCTAGCAGGAATATCATTGCTGACGGATGCGAGGTACCGTATTAAGTCAGCGTGACTCCATTTAGCCTCACGCGGAGGCCCTCCTTTTTCTTCCTCTACCGAAGTCTGGTTGTTCAGCAGACGCTCGAAGATAACCCCGAGCTCAACAGTCTTGCGTACGCCCAAGGCGCCCAAAAATTTCTCTTTGGTGCCTTGCAGTCCATGAACAACAGGCAAATCGTCAAAGAGACGAACAGAAGGAAAGTATGTTTCTTCAGGACGCTTCATGCCAACTTTAGTCGGAATGACGGCGTGGGGTTGCAGCTGATCAATTACACTCTGTTTTGCAGAGGGACTAAAGGTGTCCCATTGCTTCGATAGAACCGGAAGTACTTGAGCCGCGAACGAAGCGGTCTTGGTGATGTCTTGGGATAGAGAAAGGACGTTTCGGTTGCCAGAGTTGCTAACGAGCCAACACAGCCAGGGAACTACTTGCAGTTCTTCCCACTGAAAAGCCTCTAGTTCTTTCTTTTGAAGTGTCCTTGTATACTTGAAGGGCATCACGGCTGGCGGCAAGGGTAGGTCGGCCGGTATACGCTGAGGGTTCAAGAAGAGCGTTATTCCGGAGAAAACGATTAAACCAGCAGTGTTGCCGTTTTCATCGTCAGCGTTAGCTACCGCAACATTCAATAGACTTTTCACGGCGTGTGAATCGAGCTGGCCTGAAATTGCCCTTTGACCCAACCAGGAGAGGAAATCGATGATTTGAGAGGAACGCAAGGTCTGAGCTTCCAACTCGCGCTTGACGTCGGCGACTGTAATTTCAGTTACAAGTCCGAGCGCGGTCAACTTTCTGACGAATTCTTTTGAACCTTTTGTGAATTCTTCCGGCAAAACTGGTATAGAGTCTATAAAGTTTAAGTCCCTGGCGGCGATGCGCACCTGGTAGTTTTGAACGATGCCGCAGGTAGAGAGGACCTCTATTGAAGCATTTTTGTGACATGTCCAAAAAGCATCCTCCATTGTTTGTCCGAGTAGAGACGATGGTGTGGATTCGCGAAAAACGAACTGGTTTGCGGTGTGGATAGCTTCAGGAAGTACCTTCACAATGTCGTCTTTTCGAATCTTGGACTGTTTCGACGGATCTGTCGCGGCGAGTATCCTGCCTTTTATCGATGCCATTTCTGCGGACCAAGCGATTCGGCAGACAATGCCTGCTGCCCTTAGCATCTCCATATTCCATTTGCTGATATGCCTCGTATTGAGGTCAATACTTTCTCGTTCTACGGTGGGGATGACGGATGGGGCAGATATGTGGGCATTGAGGCCAGTCGTCTGATGCGTTGGAAACCCAATAAAGACTCTACCTCCCTTGGACGAAGGCAGGATGGAGGACAGAAACTCTGATTGTGACCCGGAGGCTTCGGAGGCGCGATTTGTATCGTACGAAGGTGTCAGTACAGCAATCGATGTTTTCTTAGGTGGAGGCTTTCGCGTAGCTCGTTCGAGTTCGCTGCTCAGATTTTGATCGATGGAAGCCTGGACGCTTGCTGTATTGATATGGAGAAACACCGATGCTGTTGACGTCTCGGTCAAATCTCCGGAAACGCCTGCATCCTCCTTCTTCTCAGTATCCGCCGATTTCTCAGTCACGCTCTGGGTGAGTTTGGATAAGAAACTGCGTAGTGAGACAGTAGTGTCTCTAATGCCTTCGCGCAGCAGCGTGCTTGCATTAGGGTTCCAATCAACAACTTTCATCCAGACAGCATCAACTTGAGCAACTTCTCTAGTGACACCCGTAATCTTCATTAATCCATCCTGAGTTTTCGTTTCAATGTCCCTTGGAATGGCGAGAGCGGTCCCTGGGGCAGTCTTCTTTAGCAGGCGCAATATATTCCAGTCGTCAAGCCACAGCTCTATACATTCGAGTTGAACAAATGTAAGGCTACTAGATAGGAATTGACAGAGCTGCATTAATGACGGGACCGGGGATGTGTCATTGCGATAATCTAGGACAAATGTCGTTTCCGGGTTGGCCTTTTCGTCGAGCTGTAGCCGACGAGTGAACAGTGCATTACCCTTCCAATAGAAAGCCATGGCATCTTTTCCAGAAGACACAAAGGGGTCCTCACAGTCATCGAACACGCTGTAAAACCCGACTCCAAAGGCTCCAATTTTCGTCTCATCCGGATTGCCATCCGCGATACGCTTCAACCTCGCCCAATCTTTTTCGCTGAACGGAAGACCGTTATTGGAGATCAAAAGGCGCTTGACCGTATGATTCGATATCGTGTGCTTGATCATGGCCGTGCTGTCGGCAGAGGAGGAGGGCAAAGGAACGGAGGTCGACGGTGATGTCTCGAATCTTATGGTGACTTTGGTAGCATTGGCATCGGCAGCATTTTGAATCATCTCACGCAAGACCGTCCTTTCAAACACGTATCAGAAGCCTATATGGACGCGATTTCTTGAGGATAGAGTTATGACGTACCATTTCCCTGAATACCTAGCGAGAACTTTTGAAATCAGCCCACGGGTGTCGACTGTGACGGCTTCCTCGTCTTCTCCGGAACCCATAGTACGCGCCCTCAGAGCATTAAAATCAATTTTCTGAGCCATAATGTAGTTTATAGGAAAATCCAACACCAGCGCTAAAGGAGAAAGCAGATTCGAGGCGACCAAACGACAGAGGGACCTGGACCAGCAAAGGATGACAACAAGATATTGATGATACGAGGTAGGATGCAGCTTGTGGGCGAAAAAAAAATGACCAATTATGGACAGAGAGTGTATCGAGCACGACGAGAAATCATGGCGTACCCAGGAAGGAGGAAGGAAAAGAGAGCGTTTAATAGTTTGCCATCTGAGACTAGTAATTGCCTTCAGGATGAGGCTCCCGAGGCAGAAAGTTTGCGCTTATCACCCGGAGGTCCCGCTAACACCATATTTATCAGTTGTTATCAGAGGTGCCTGGCTTACTTAAGCCGCGCTAGTGCGCCGCAACACGACCCGCGGAGTGGCCGCTATCGATGTACGGGGCACGAGAGGGGCCCACAGCGTTACTGGTGACCGCTCTGGATAGATTGTACACAAGTCTGGAGTAGTAGCTCTGCTAGACTTTGACCACCACTTTCTCAATCGCTGTTTGCTGCCGTGGACGGGTGGTAAAGGGGACTCGGGCACAGTTGGCCTCAGGCGCGCATACTGACCTCTTTATCTCCACACACCTCGGCCTTCGCCCGTCCATCGCTGCGTATGTACCGGTGTACGCCCGATTGGAAGCAGCAGTTCCATGCATGACGCCCGCTATCCGCATCGCCTCCTTCAAATGTCACGATGGGTGTTGACCCTCTTTCCCCCATCGCGCCTGCGCGCCTAAGGGCTCTGGTCCTCCCGGTTGGTAAAATTAGGCGATCCCGATTTCTGAGTTTCACTGCAAGACTCCAAGCCGAAAATGTTGTCCGCCTTGGAGACATCAGTCCCGATGCGCGACCCAATCGAAGTAGGTGACCTGGGAAAGATAGAGAGAGAGAGCGAGGGGAGAGACTGCGAACCTTTGCTCTGGCATGCTGCAAAATGGTGGTGACCTTTTGCTAACGTTTGTTATTGTCCGCTATAGACATGTTCTCCCCGCTCGCGTTTCCGACAGGCATGATTCTCTATGACCTCTCGTTTTCTATGCCTCCCATATCGCATCTGGAACTGTATCCCTTTGAGATCTTCAGGGAGCCACTCGTGATTCTCGCTGTAGCCGATGGGGCAGAACTCCATGGTGGTTTGAATCAGAATGGCTCGAATACTGGCCCGGCGCCCACCCCCGACGGTCTCGAGCAGCTTGTGCAAGAACTTGGTTTGCTGCAGGAAAAGAATCCAAGGGCGCTTGTTCATCAACTCTTGATATTCGATTACAATGGAGTCAGCAAAATCTCCAATGGGCCGAATAATGTGCTCTGGATTCCTCCCCCGCAAGCTTCCAAGGCCACAACTATGAAGACCGTGCTGTGTGATATTACGTCCCTTGTGCTGTCGGAGATGGATGAATTCGCGAGAATGATTCAGAGTATACCGTCGATTGAATCCCCAAAAGCCTCGTCCTGGGGTCCCCACCGCGGCCCAGATCTACGCCGGCGCCCGACAGACAAATTGTTTCACAGGATGACAATGCCTGCACAATTCCCCACCAACCCGAATGGCACCCCAGAAACGCCTCAGGGCTCTAGCAAGAGCTCGCCGGCGCCAGAAGACCATGAAACACCCACAACATTCGACGAAATCACGCGATCCATACAGCTAGCCAATCGCTCCAGCACAACACTCGGCAAACCCAATTCCGTACCATCCTCTAAAGAACATAGCCGTGATCGTATGTCTGTGAGCGGCCTCAGTGCCACAGATAGAACGAAGAACCGGATCAAGGGTCGCTCGGGGGTCGTAATAGGAACCCTCTTTCTTCAGGCTGGAAGATGGCCGGATGCTCTGAAGGAGCTTGTTGAAGCGGCATCCAACGCAAGGGCAAGCAGCGACTACGTGTGGCATGCCAAAGCCCTCGAATCCATTCTCCTTTGCCTCTTGATGTTTGCTTGGGCAGGCATGGATTTTCAGGTGGGATATTTTCTTGTTCACTCCAGTGTGTTTTTCTGCTGGCTAATCTTGTGTGTGTAACTTTTGATAGATTCCCCCGATATGCTATCCCGTCGCTGATAAATCCTCCAAGACATCATCGGCAACCACTTTTGACCCTACTTCTGGTCAATTTTCTGCTGGGAACCGAATCATATCACTGCAAAACCTGTCGAATCTTTTGCCAGATCTAGCAAACAACATTGTGAACCTCTATAATCGCGCAGCTAATATCACCGACGAACCACCTCCTCAGCTTGTCTTTTCTGAGACCGTCATTCGTCTATCAAGATTATTAGTGGCTACACGCCTCCGAGACGGTGCACTGGACGACAATGCATTGAAGCACATTGTCGTCAATGAGCCCTTACAGCTATTGGTCCGCCCAGAGCGGCCTCGGGGTTTGACAATCCTTCGCAAAAATGAAATCGCGAACTTCCTCTTTCGTGCGTTGCCGCTCGCTGCTGGTTCAGACTTGCCTGCTACGGACGCGATACCCATTCTGATCGGTGTTGTGTCCGTCCTGAATACTTTGGACTTGCCACGGAAAAAGGCTTTTGTATTGCGAGAGCTTTTATCTATAACTGTTCCAGCACTAGTGCAAGCTCGCAAATTAGGTGCTGCTGAAGTTGGGATTCACCCCGCTGCAGGCTTATCATCGCTGAGTGATACGGCGTTTGATATTAACGCTCTTGATGTGGGCCCTGGGAACATGGAGCAGAGTATGCGCTCACTCCTCGCTACGATAGGAGAGGTATACGGCGTCCAGTCTTCTGGAACTGCGAGGGAAAGCGTCTCGTCCGGTTACGATTCCGTAGCAGAGATTGTTGATCGCTCGTTCCGCCATGTCGTCCTAGATCGCTACGGTGACTTGAACCTCAAGATTGACGTTCTCAAGATGTGTATCAATTCATGTGAAGCGCTCCCGGATTTTGGCGGTGTCCTACGGTTCACTGTCGAGCTTCTTCAGACGATTCGCGGGGATCTGATGCTCTCTAGGTCATCGTATACGGCACCTTGTTTACAGCCGGATGAACAAAATCGTCTTTTGAACAATATTAAGCGGACTGTTGGTGCTGCCAATCGGCTTGGTGTATCGGGCTTGGAAGCGGAATACTGGGATGATTTTTTGATTCGTGGCGTCGAGCTGTTATCTTTGCCCGACCCTAGAAGACCTGTTCGTCGGTCCAAGTCGGAACTCGACGCTGTCGCAACAACCAGCGAGAAGTCCACCAAAGATCCGTTCTTGTACAATCCCTTTTCCAAGAGGACTACTGGCAAAGCAGCGGAGCTTCTCATGGTTGCTGGTGAGCATGCGGCCTTTCAAATCACGCTACAGAATCCTTTTGAATTTGAAGTGGAGATTGAACGTCTTCGTCTCGAAAGCGAAGGTGTACCCCTTGACGCTGTGACCGAATGGGTACTCCTTCCGCCGCTTTGCCTCCAGGACATCACAGTGTATGGAATCGCAAAAGAGGAGGGTTCCCTGAAGATCACAGGTTGCTCCGTCAAGGTCCGGCACTGCAGGGAACGCAGTTTTCCAATCTTTAGAGATTTCTGGAAACCTGATATAGACGTGAAAGTCAAACGAACCGGTTTGGCGGCCAAGAAGCCTTTAACCGACCGTCCCTTGTCCTGGAGCTCCACCACCTCCAAAGATGGGAAACCCGTTCCGAAGAAGGGGCCTGAAACATCCTCTTGCGAAGTCAAGGTCATTCGGCAGCAGCCATCCCTTATCATAGAGTCACTGTCCCTCTCCCAGTCCGCAATCATGGTCCTTGAGGGCGAGAGGGCATCTTTCAACATTACTTTACGCAATGTGTCGTCATGCGACCTTGATTTCATAAACTTCAGTTTTCAGGACTCGACAACGAAACAAATACAGTCCGCCCTGAGTAACAAGGATCTTTTGCCAGTGGAAGTGTACGAGTTAGCATTGAAACTCACAAGACCCGCCCTGCGATGGCGCAGGGAGGAGGAGGAGGAGGAGGAGGAGGAGGGCTTGGATCCAGGCAACTATTCTATCCCAGCCGGACAAAGCTCCACTTTTACGATTGATGTCAATGGCAACCCCGGATTGCAGGAAGCAACTGTACAGATTGATTACGCCAGCATCGGGGTCGCCTATGGTGGCTTACCTGACGTCCTATACACCAGACAACTGTTTATTCCACTGACCGCCACAGTGAACGCTAGTGTGGAAGTCGCCCGTTGCGACATATTACCTTTTAGCAGCGACTTTGCATGGTGGAATAAACGCACTGCGACGCAAGCCTTTGAAAGGCAACTCTCTGAATCTTCAGGTTCCACTAGCAGTGATTATTTCTCTACAGTGCTTTCCAACCTGGCCCAAGGGACTTATGGTTCTGACCATTGCATTCTTCTCCTTGATCTTCGAAACGCGTGGCCCAATCCATTGTCCCTGGCCTTGAGCGTCTCTGATGCACCAACCACCAAGGACGACTTGATTAGCAATGCCGAGAGCGGCCAATATGTCGTGCGCGAGACACTTCAACCAGGCCAAATATCGCGTTTTGTTCTCGTTCTACCCCGCGTTTACGTCCAAAACCCGCATGCTGCAGTACCTTTTCTAAGCACGGGGTCCAAACGACAATTTGTTGTCAGTGCACATAAAGTTACCTTTGACGGCGAAGCGGCGACACGGGAGGCATTCTGGTATCGCGAAGAGCTTCTCAAGAGAGTCCGGGGCACTTGGAAGGAGGCTTTGGGTGGGCGAGAGGGGACGATTGACCTGAGGAACGTGCGCTTCAATGCGCGCATGGTGGACGCATTTCGCCTCGAGGACGTGGAGACTACCTTCTCCTTGAAACCATCCTTTTCCGGCAACGATGAAACCGAAGATTCGGATATGGTCGCACAGACTGGCAAATCCAAGTATAAGGTGCCAACTGATGAAATGCTCGATCTAACCGTCACCGTCCACAACCGCTCCTCCAGACCCATCCATCCCCTCTTACGACTCCAGCCCAGCCTCCGCAATCAGCCGAGTAACGTCGCACTTGACCTCCCGCGGCGCCTTGCCTGGACAGGCATGCTACAGCAGGTACTACCCGTGGTACACAGCGGCGAAAGCAAGAGCGCCACTGTTGGGGTTACCATCCTCTGTCGGGGCGAGTACGAATTGGGCGCCACGGTTGAGGAATTGCGGCTCGCCCGCCCAGCGCCCGAAAGCGAGGGGAACAACAGCAGCAAGAGCCCCGATTACCCATCCGCAGACGATGGCTTCATCAGTGACACCTTTGGAGCCGACATGGCCAAAAAACGACGCATCTGGCATGCTAGAGATACATGTGTTATGACTGCTCACGATTAACGGCCGCAATTCATTGAGGACCGAGACTATGACGTTTTACCATTTGCATGGAGGCATTTTCTTTGCAATGCCATCGCAATCAACCCTTTGTACAATTTACTGATCGATTAACAAACAGAGGTATGTATGTCGCTGTACCTCGGCGATTGATAGAGGAGGAGATGGGTTACATCTGTTGGTTGCGCAATATCCCATCTCCTACACATATTCATAATGGGGTTTGGACTGTCAGGCGCAGCAGCAACGTGTCTGGATGTGTTTTCGCGCCCTCAGGCCTATGTACAGGCTGTTTTTTTGAAGAAGCATGCACGTGGCTACCTCACCTCTCCGGACCCGTGATTTTTGTCCATACTATACATGTAGATTCACTTGGTTCTGAAGCCAATAAATGACTGTGCATATCTAGACGTCATACAGCCCGTTCTTGTAAGCTTACTCGTCACCTCTTTCCTTTCTTCGGTGCCACTATGGCTGTGGTGGCAATATATAATAAAGTGGAATGCTTTAATGTCGAACAGCATGACAGCATATTGTGCGCAAGCACGAGAGAAAGCCTATATTTTGGTGGCCCTGGATCTTGAATCCTGATCACAGCTATGGTCTCCTAGATCAGCTTTTGAGCCATGATCACATTATCGGTCTCTCATCACTTGCTACCCTCTCTATCCTTCCTGCTCCTGCATACTCGACGCAGGCTGACTCGCCTGCTGCATCCCAGTACCAGCGGCAGCCGACTGCTCCCCTGTCGGAAAACTAAGGTACTTCCAATCCTCGATCTCCTCAATGATACACTTGAGCCGATCTCGAATACTCTCCACGGCATACGTCCCCAAGATAAGCCTCAGCGGCGGATACGAGCAATGACCCAGCTGCCAGACCAAATGCGCCGCCTTGACCGCGCTAGCGGGCTGCTTGTCGCCTAGCCACATCAGCATGCGCTTCGCATGCGCTGCAGGGGCCGTTGGCGTGTTGTACGGTTCGCTTGGTGGCTTGACGAGGAAGTGGCCATATAGCGGTAGCGGAGAGGACAGGTTATGCACGCTATCGGCGCTCGGGAAGGGCTCCGCAGAGACGAGATCACCGACGTCGTCACGACGCATGTGGCCAGGTTCCACGAGGGTGGTCTTGATGTTGAAGCTGTCGACTTCGTAGAGCATGCTCTCCATCAGACCCTCGACGGCATATTTTGAGGCACAATACGGACCCAACCCCGGAACACCCAGTGCGCCAGAGGTCGAACTGAAGATGAGATATCGCCCTGACCGACGCTCGCGGAAATGTGGCAGCGAGAGTTGAATCATATTCAGCGTCCCCGTAAAATTCGTCTCGAACTGGTCGCGGATGTCGTACTCGTCTTGGTCTTCGCAAGAGCCAATGACGCCGTAGCCGGCGCAGTTGGCGATGATGTCGATGCGCCCGAAGCGCTCGATTGTGCGGTCAATGACTTGTTGAACCGTTTCGCGAGCGCGCACATCGCAGAGCAGTCCCAGGCAGTTTTCGTGCTCGGCCTCGAGCTTTTGCATGGCTTGTGGACTTGTTTCGAAGGTGCGGCCGACGGCTGCCACCAGGTCATCGCGAGACAGGGCGGTTTTGACGAGTGAGCGACCCATGTGGCCTGTTGCACCGAAGATCTGGATCGCGAAGATATTTTAGGTTAGAAAAGGATTCGCGGAGGCTTTGGGGCAAGTGCATCTACCAGCCAGACGAGGGGTTTCGGCGGGTTCTGAGGCCCTGGAGGGTCGGTCGTGGATGGGAGTTGGAGCTTTGGTTCTTGGTTATGAATTGTCGCAGTAGGCGACAGGGCTGTTGACGCCCTTGTAGGAGAATTTTGGAGCTCCATGAGGTATGAAGAGTGTTTTAGAGAGTGTGTGTTAATTGTGAGAGGGATATTAAAACCGAAGGCGTGCAACTTGAATCCCAGGATCTCCGCATCTGGAAAATCCGGGGTCTCAGCAATCTACTAGTACATAAGGTACTCACTACTCTCCTGCCTAGGGTATGGTCTAATGCTTGCTACTCTCGCTGCATCTTTAGCTTGCTCACTCCGTGCGCAACTAAAAGCTCAACATAAACTATTACCATTCATTATAAGAGTCCACCCTGAGATATGCATAACGCTACCAAATGCAGCCACAAAGAACGCCCATTCGCCAAGAAAAACGCGCATCAGGCTACATAAGTGAATCTATCGTCCGAGTTCCCTCCGAAGCCGTCCAGCAGCAGTCGAGGGCGCAGGATCGGGCCATCCACTGACAGCATCATCAACTTCCTCTAAGAAGGTTTTACTGTTATGGACACTTGTGGCGGCCAGAACCACCCGTACTCCCGGTGAGCTGGCGTTGACCTGGGCTACCATCTTCGCTTCCTCATACGTGGTTCCGCCCACCATGAAGATGATGATATCCTGTGGTTTATCACGAATGTGGCCTCCGCCCTCCAGGAACGGATACTGAAGTTCCTTCAGTTTGCCTTTGATCAGGTTTTGAAGAGTCGCCTCCAGCCGAGGGGAATGCTGCGTGTAAACATTCTCCACCCCTTTCAGGCCTTTGAACCTGTCGCGAGCACCGGAGAAGAGCGAAGTGGACTCAAAGAGATCTGAGAAGCCGCCGGCAATAGGTGGAGCCTGAAGGGAGTGGTGGTAGGCAAGTACTTTGGGAATGATGTTGACCCGATGCGAGGGGACGTTCCCCGCAGTCATGAGTAGGTCGAGGAGTACTGGAAGAGCATTCGACGGCTGCTTCTCATATCTGATAGCATATAGAGTCACCAATCGCAGCTTGCTCTCTGCAGGTACATTTGGTATTTGGATAACTCTTTGTAGATTCTGCAGGGCGTTGTTAGCTTTGTAACCAAATATTATCCCTCGACAGTATAAAACAAAGAAGATGCTCGGGTGCATTCATACCTTCAAGTCATTGTTATGATTGTCGTTGCAGGCCAAGCTCTGCTCCAACTCGCTCACATCGAGCAATGTATCCTCCCCTACTCGTCGGCTAAGTTCTCCGACCAACGTTACATGTTTGCTCACGTTGCCGGAGAGTTTGCGGAACTCGGGGTAGTCTTCCACAAAGCGCTTCATATCGGCGATGGACTCGATGTTCATTGTGTTCTTGGTCTTGACCTGATACTGCTCCACGTATTCTTTGATGTTTTGCCCCAAATCACCGAAATTCTGGTACATATTTTTCTTGAAAAAGGGATCCTGGTCTTGTGAAAGAACAATCTCCCGCAGCTCTGGACGGATTTCGGGTACGTCTCGTAGGTCAACACGCCCATTATGTATGCCCATCAATTCATGGACCATAGCCTGATACGTCCATTGTGTAAGAAGAGGTGTAATAGGGTCGTCGCGACGGTCAAGAATTAGTAGAATTGGAGGAGTGTCGGTCTTGCGGAAATTGAAAAGTTGCTCTTCCTGCGTCAGCTGATAGCGAACCTCTGTCGCCAACTTCTTTGCCAGTAAGCTATTCTTCTCATATCGAATCAAAGGCTTCTTCTTGAGTGCAAGCAATGTTGCGATTACACCCTCCGTTGTCCTCTGCAAAGCGTCCGCATTCCACACATCTGGCGAATTGGCCCAAAGGCGCTGGTTCGGATGACCCAAATTTAGGGAACAGAGGTCCGGGTTGATAACGAGAAAGTCAGCAAAATGTTCCTGTACGACGCGCACCACCTCGTGTACGTCGGCCTCGGCTAGGCGCTCGAGGGAGGATTTGCGGATGATGTTGCTAAGGTAGATGTAGTATTCCCCATACTTTGGTTCGCGGAGTTCATCAATGAGGAGCTGGATGGAGGTCGGAGAAGGTCGCACGAAGCAGAGACAGCGTAGATGCCGCATTCGTTCACGAGCGGCGTTGTCCAATCGATCAATCAAGTATACTTCGTGATTCAGCAGGGCGGATTGGGTGATTGCGGTCGACACGATTGGTACCTAGTTTGATCCTATTGTCAGCTCTCAGCTTGTCTGGGCCTTGGCAGCGGAGGAGTCGCGAGTGTCCCACTGTCTCACTATCAAGAAGTAAGATCTTCATCTTTGTAGTAGAAGACCCAGATGCCGATGGATCACCAGCGGTGACCATCTTGGAGATGTAGCCAGATACCGCGGCGACGACGTCCATGGTGCGGGACAAGGGGCTAACTGGCGGGGATGCGAGGAAAAAGGTGACGGGAGTAAGTGGGATCACAGGCGAGTCATGAGGAAGGAAGGCGAGACGGAGTAAACCTATGCAGAGAGCAAATTGCGTTGAATGGCCGAGAGGTGGGAGTGAAAGTGTTGTGCCAAGCGTCCAGATCTGATGATCCGCCTTGTGATTCCGTCATTGGTTTTCCAACTCAACAACTCAACAAGCATTCTTGAGCCCAAGTCTTCCCTTTCCTCGGTTCCTTCCCCTCTCCTCTCTCATGCTGCTCGTTCTTCTATAATAACTTTCCCAACTGGGTACCGCTACTATGCTTCCAGGCATCGATTATCGTGAGATATCTCTTTTTTTTTTTTGGATCTCCTAGCAGGTCCTGGGGGCGTGAAGCTATGAGCCTGAAAGCTTCCGATCGACTCGACTAACGTTACTTTTGCTTCTTCTTAGTGTTTGGCATTCCTGCTAGGATTACTGGAGCTTCCGTCGATGAGCGTAGGTCCCTCCCATCTTGCTATTCCTCACTTTGACTTGTTTCAGCTAACGTGCGGGGTTTCATATAGTCAAGCTCATTGCCTCTTTCCTTCTCTCGTTCCCTTTGGCAGCGCTGCTGAAACGGATTCCAGATTCTCAACCCTGGAAGAAAAATGCGTTCACCATTGCCGTATCGCTCTTCTACCTTGTCGGCCTCTTTGACTTGTGGGACGGTCTCCGCACAATCCTGTACAGCTCTGCGGGTATCTACGCCATTGCATACTATATCGATGGCTCGATGATGCCTTGGATTGGCTTTATCTTCCTGATGGGTCATATGTCAATCAATCACATCTACCGCCAGATTGTGAATGACCCCGGGGCAATCGATATCACGGGAGCTCAGATGGTGCTCGTGATGAAGCTCTCCGCTTTTTGCTGGAACGTGCATGACGGCCGATTGCCCCAAGACCAGCTCTCGGATCCTCAAAAATATGCTGCCATTACCACCTTTCCCTCGCTACTCGATTATGCGGGATACGTGCTGTTCTTTCCTGCTCTTTTTGGTGGTCCCGCATTTGACTACGTCGCTTACCGCCGGTGGATTGACACGACGCTCTTCGAGGTGCCTCCAGGCACTGACCCATCCAAGGTGCCGCCGACCCGAAAGAAGCGCAAGATCCCTCGTAGTGGAACACCTGCTGCCAAGAAAGCCGTGGTAGGCCTGGCATGGATTGTGGCGTTTTTACAGCTCGGCTCGGTTTACAACAAGGACGCGGTTCTGAATTCCAGTTTCTTAGAGTACTCCTTGATTCGGCGAGTCTGGAGTCTGTATGCGCTTGGGTTTGCGACTCGCACCAAATATTACGGTGTTTGGTCTTTGGCCGAAGGCGCGTGCATTCTCTCCGGAATTGGTTACAATGGCTTTGATCCCAAGACAGGAAAAGTGTTTTGGAACCGCTTGGAGAATATTGACGCTTGGAAGCTAGAGACCGCGCAGAACTCCCATGCCTATCTGGGTAACTGGAACAAGAACACCAACCACTGGCTACGAAACTACGTTTATCTGCGAGTGACTCCCAAGGGGAAGAAGCCTGGATTCCGCGCCAGTCTAGCTACATTCACAACCAGCGCCTTTTGGCATGGCTTCTACCCCGGATATTATTTGACATTTGTTCTAGGGTCTCTTGTTCAAACCGTTGCCAAGAGTATGTAGACTCCTGGTGCTTCTTCGAGTGTTCTTTTCTTTTCCGTGTTCGCTGACTGTTTAGACTTTCGACGCCATGTTCGGCCCTTTTTTCTTTCTCCGGATGGCAGCACCAACGGCCCATACAAGCGCTACTATGACTTTGCTAGCTGGTTTGTGACTCAAACAGTCATGTCATTCGTTGTGATGCCGTTTATCTTCCTCTCGTTCACCGAGTCGACATACGTATGGCAGAGCGTTTACTACTACGGCGTCATCTTCGTTCTTGGGGCCCTCGTTTTCTTTTCTTCGCCGGCAAAGGGCATTCTCATCAAGAAGCTCAAAGCCCGCGGCCGACCAAACGTCGTCCGCTCAACCAGCACCGACAGTCTCCACGAGCCAACACTTGGTCTGCCAAATGATGCGATCAAAGAGTTCGACGAGGCAGTGCAGGAGATCAAGTCCGAGATTGAATCGCGGCGCAGGCGAGGCAGCATGGTTACCATGCCGACAGGCGAGGAGCTCAAGGCTGCTATTGAGGGCAAGATCGGTCGTACCATTGGCTAAGCCTGGTATTTATCAGCTTCCTTCCGACAAGGATTGGCGGCAGATGGTCCGTTTTATATACTATATTTGCTCCTGGTGCGCAACTGTAGCCAGCTAGACCAGGCGAAATCCTTGATAATCATAATCTTCCTCTATAGACTGTTACGGGCATGATATGCATGTTCATTGCTGTTTTGTACGGGGTGATTCAGTACGTTGTTTTATACCAACCCGGCAATTGCTCTCTTCTGTATAATACCATCTTGAAAAAGGTAATGTTAATGATTAAATTTATATCGCAAGTATAACGATCAATCTGAATCACTCCAAATCTGGATATAGGCTATTTCAGCAAACCGCTATGCATTGAAGTCAAGAAGTATATCTAAATATAATATCCACAAACCCAATCCAGTCCAGTCCCAAAAGTTTATACATCAGTACATATGTATGTGGTTGTAGAATGACAAGAAATCGGCTGAAAAAAATGGCAGCCAGTGACAGAGCCGGTGAAGAAAAAGAAAACATGTATATAAGACAGTGGCTTGTTATGAGAACCCGCAATAAAGAAGAACAATTACCCTTGATTCAACGGTTGGTGATTGCTTCCATCGCTAATAAAGTGGTGGAAGAGTCAGCAGAAGTAAGAACAACGCCGGGCTTGGAAAGAATGAGTATATAAAACATTATGTGCATCACGTCGTGTAGTCGTATCGAGTATTTTGGCGCGAAAAGAGAAGTAAGAGGGTGAGAGAAGGGAAGCGAAAAGGAAGAAGTAGAGTAGGTTGGCGAAGGTCGAGAGGGAGAAGCGAGGGAGGTGTTAGTGCAGATAGCGAACCGACTTGCGCAGAGATAAAAGGTAGATCGGTTCGACCAGAAGAAACTGGCCCAGGCATGCCTGCAGGAAGAATGGAAAGGTAATAGGTTGAAGCGTGAGTAGTGGCTTGGGACAAATGTGCTTTCTAGAAGCCCACTGTAGTTCCCACAACAGCTAGTGTGATCTAGACCAACGTTAGTCAACCGATAGCATCAGCCAGTCGAACTTGAACTTACAATGATAGTAATGATCACCAACCCCAAGGGGTTCATCCATCGATTGAGGTTTCTCCACCACCGAGCGTTCAGGTAACGTCTACGTTCAAGATCATAAAGTCGCATCTTGAGGGTAGCCTCGAGCTCGGGTCCATGGTTTTCCTCCATCATCATTTCCGGTTTCCTCGGCAGAGGGAGGAAAGATGCGATAAACCATGCTGTACAAAAAGACATATGCTGTCAGAACCAGGCAAAAAAAGGGGGGAGAAACGGGTTTTTGCTTACTGAGGGGACAAATGAAGCCCAAACAAAAGGACCAAACTTGAATATTCCGCCGTCCAAGAATTGGTTCAGTCCTCGAGTCCAAAGACGGAGCACGCCAAACACTTGATTTGGGAGCAACGACTCGCCTATCTGGATAAAGGTGTGGCGACCAGCTGTGTCGCAGCCGATGGAGGGATGATCCAGACCTCGTGACAGAAGACTCGGGAGCCTTCACCCAGTGGTTGCGAGGATCTCGAAGATCCGAGGGAGGCTCAGTCACGTTGGACGGGGTTACATTGGACGTTGCATTGGACAAGGTTCTAGCTCGGCTCACCACGCTGGCAAAGCGCTGAATGACAGTAGAGTTGGATGTGACAGGCCGCGCCGATGGCGGCCGGGTAGTACCTTCCACCAGGGAAATGGTAGAATTACCGGCCGGGTCTTCGGAGGTGTAATACATTCGAGCCCATGTGGGGAGATAGTTTGCCACAAAGCTCGAACTCGTACCAGGTCGCTTGTTGTTGCTTCGCGTGCTGCTGCTCCTTGAGCTTGAAGTCTGGCTGTTCGGAACCCCTGGGTTGGTCGGGCGGGGAGGCAGGCTGGCCACACTGTCCAAGAATTCGTCATCCTCCGATTCGTTTATCAGCCATACAGAGGACGACGTAAGTCTCCGGCGAGTCATGGCCGTAGGAGGTGGGGTGAGCTCTTCAGACATCTCCCCACCAGAACGACGATGATCCGTGGGAGAAGGGAAGCTAGAGTCGACTTCGGCTGACCATCGGGAAGTAACTGTGGACAGATGAGAGCGAAACCGGTCAGAAGAATAATCGCCAGAAGGGCCAGGTAGATTATTATCCTCCTCGGACGAGCCTGCCAACTGTGACACGTTGTCCACTCTTGATCCAGATGAGGAAGGTGCCCTGATAGTCGGGTATTGGATGAACACACCGCTATCCACAACTCCGGCTTGAATATCAGCACGGGGGGCAGCACTACCTGATGACGAAGTTGCAGAACGGGAATGGCTCCTGAAGCTTGGCCGAGACCCCACTGACGGGACCTGGTAAGGGGGGCTAGAACGAAACGAATGAGAGCGGGAGGCTCCTCCTAGCTCAGATGATGAGCCATGTGTCCAGGGCCCAGCACCTGCATATCGGATGACCGTTCCCAGGGAATTTAGTGAGGACAGCGAATTGGAGCGCGAAGCGGAATCCTGGTTTGAGGATGTGCCAATACGAACGAAATTGAGGCTCGAATTGTCCAGTGCCACGTAGTTTGGGCTTGAAGGTGGCCCGATGGGGACGAAATTAGGGCTTGAATGGCTTGAAGAAGCATTCCCTGCACCAGACGGTTGGCGAGAAACTGACTCTGGAGGAACAGTCTTGACAGTAGTAGGTGCGATTTGTGGTAGCGTAGATTCCTCGTCCGAATACGTAGCGGGGGAACCATCGTTTTCTATTCTTTCGCGACCTAGGGGAACTGTTTGTGGCAATGAAGACTTGCTTGAGTCAGGGTCGTCCTCCCATAATTGCGGTGGGGTGTTGGCAGCATCAAATGTTGACGAGAGGTCCCATGGATCAGCACTTGATTGATCAATCAAACTGCTATCCATAAGGTGACTGATGTCGGTGGAATATGTCCCTGTCGATGTGCTCGGCCCTTCGTCGACATGAAAACGAGAATCTGGGACAAACTCATGGCCTTTTCCAGGTCGAGGTGGGAGAATTTGCTCGGGTTTCGTCGGGTAAGGACTAGCTGTATACACATGGCGCTCTCCCTGGCCAGGGTGCTTGTCGCTGACAGCTCGGAGGGACGCGGGCGGAGAGCAAGAGTTCGTATGGGATGGAGTGCGTTCGTGAAGAGCTCTCCTCTGGGGAGAGGAATTGGTCGAACGCATCTTGTCGAGATGACGATTAGTTCATTATCAGTAAACACGAATGCGATACTTAGAGCGGCGGGCTCGAAAAAGGGCTCAAAGTATAGAAAGAAAGGAATTGAAAGCCTCCACAAGATTATTGATTAGAGGTGATATAATAAGGAATGAAAACGGCCAGGGTAGAACAGGCGAACGACTGCGCGACGGAGAAGCGAATTAGAAAGACGACTGATAGCGAGTATGGCCGGTCGATGAAACGATCAGCACGTTGGCGGCTGTTGATGTTTTGTTGTGGTATATAGAAAATTCTTGACGCAACCAGGAATGCCTCGACACAAAATCGACGGGAAAAGAACGGCGACGATGTCCAGCGGTTATTTGATAAAAGGAGTGTATTTCCGACCGAGGGAACGACAGGAATATTGGCGATGTACAAGCGACAGCCGAAGAAAATGATTGCAAGAACGGTAAAAGAGCGTCTAACCGGAGAGCTGGAGAACCACTGGAACTGTTTCTAAAGGAGCGACAAACGACAGAACGACTGGAAGGGCTGAGAGCAAAGGGACCACAACCTGAAACAGCGAGACGCACCCGCAATTATGTATTCAAGAACCTTTCCCCCTTCAGCCCAGGAATTGAGTTGCCCAGCGGCGGTGAGCAGCAGGGAAGCTAGACTCGAACGGACCCAGGGGCATGCACCAGATGGCCTGGAGCGAGGCTGGAGCACCGTTGAACCTGCGCGATTGGCGGATAAGGCAGGGAAAAGGAACCGCGCCGCTTATTTTAGCAAGATATCCACCTCTCATTATTTTGCCCAAAGGGTGTGTGGCTCTGATTGCATTTGCGCTGGTGTTTGTCTTCGTCATCCGCGATCGAAGACTAAGACCGTCCGTGCCTAGGATACCAATATCTATGTATCATCTCGGTTCCCGGTTGCCCCGAGCCGTGAAAATAAGGCTTCAAGATGAAACACACATGACGAACTTGAGTTCATTTGCCTTGCCGCTAGTCGCGTCATCTCAGACAGAAGAAGCACAGGAAGCCTTTGGAGAGCACAAATCCAACTCGTCTCCTGACTCAAATTCCTCGCTGCTTTCACAATTCCAAGTTGAGCGGATGGGTGGAAAGGAGAAGAAGAGGGCGGCCATGCAAGGTACGGAGTAGCCCTCGGTCGTACATGCGGCTTGCATAAGTGACTCGGTGTTGGAGAAATAGCAATCCACGAAGGCCAGTCCATCCCACTTTTTATGCCGGATAATATACCTCATCACATTCCCCATGGCCGAAGCCGGTCTCGGGCGAGCAAAATCCCACGAGGTTGCCAATTAAGGTGAGGTGACAAGTCGCAACTGTGGAGTCAAGAGAACCAGACTCGGCCCACCCATGGTGGCTGAGGGACGCTAACAACGGACTTGAATTCTCGAAGGCCTCATTATTGGCCTGAAAGAACGGAAATTGTCCCTGACGATCCAATAACAGCCTGGCGTCAGAGGAGCGAACGTTTAAAGCTGAGAATATCTGCAGACCCAACCATTGAAAAGCCATCACGATGCAGAAGGATCACCCTAGGTTTGCCAGCTCATCGACGGTGGAGTGAGAAGTGCCTCATCAGTGACCATCCGACACTGTCTCCAAGAAGGAGAACGATGTGCTTTCGGGTGGAAGATGGGCGCGAAAGGAGGGATCAACCAAATTATATATGATGGCTTCTGGAGGAAAAGGATGGCGAAAATGACAGGCTTAGAGCATGACTAGTACAACGTAGAACGTAGATACTGAGAGGGAAAGAACGAGGGACTCAATGGTGTGCTGCTTCAAGATTGAACCTTGCCTCGCTCACTGGACATTGTCTTCACCAACAACCACTATCATCGTTTTATTGTTACAGTGGCAGTTGAATTGAAGATAATCTCCATCTTCTGCCATTGAAAGACGCTCCAACATTACGCTCTGGCTGCCTGGAGTTGTGGTGGAAATTGAGACAGCCATGGGCGGTCATTGGTGCCTTCTTGCCTCAGGCCCGCCCGCGTCTGCGCGTCCTTTGTTCTGCTTTTCACCTTGACAATATCAAGAGATGCTTTTGTCGCTGTCCTTGCCATTGACGCCATTGGGAGCCTACATCAATAGCTGTGTCCCTCTATTTCGAGTGGAATATTCTTTCCAGTAACTAGCCATCATTTCAACATCGATCTCTCTTACCTTGACCTCTACCCTTTACACTGCCGAGACACGAAACTATTTCGTGAAAACGGATAATGGCCCCGGTCAGCCTCCTCGCCCGCCTCAAGAGCTTCTACTCAAAACAAGATGGTTAGTTCATCCATATCTTTCTGTTGGGACGTTTTCTTACTGCCAGCTCAGATGAGCCGGCTATCTCGGCGCAGGCAGCCGCTTGCATATCGGTATGTTCTCTTGGTCTGAGCGTGCTCAGCGCTTCTATAAAAAGAGCATTCACTCGAACTTCGAGAAAGGGGGAAGAGTCTTGGCCCCTTCATCAGTTCTCTCTCTCTCTCTCTCTCTCTCTCTCTCTCTCTCTCTCTCTCTCTCTGCCGTCGAGCCAGTGCTGATGAACTCGTCAGGTCTGCTTGACAATAATTTATGTGCTGCCATTCTATGTATCACCGGCGACCCGGCCATCTGCTACTCTTAGTCGCGATGCGCCGTCGGTAATCCGGGCCAGAATTAGGGCCGTCACACTGTCCTGCATCATATGTACCTTGGCTGTGCTTTGGCTCATTGTTGCCAAAGACAACGCCACCATTGCCGATGCCCTCAAGCTCACGGGATGGTGGCCCATCAGCTTAATCGACGTCGTACGTAGCCTCACTTTAACGGCCATCCTCTTCACAGGACCCCTTTTCGAGCGCGGAGTTGCCGAGGGCGAGTGGAGAGATTGGCTCAGGGGGGCTCGAATCTCTGAAACCCTCGGCGGGTGGATTGGATGGAGGAACTATATCGCTGTAAGCCAGTCGACTACCTGACCGAAAAAAAATCAATCTGATCAATCAGGGCCCGGTTACCGAGGAGATCATGTTCCGATCAGCCATAATTCCCCTTCACCTTCTTGCCAAGGTCGACCCTGGGCGAATTGTCTTTATTGCTCCCTTGTATTTCGGGGTAGCACACGTGCATCATTTCTACGAGTTTCGATTAACCCATCCGGATACCCCGATCCTCGCTGCAGCGCTTCGATCTATCTTCCAATTCGGCTTTACCACCATTTTTGGTTGGTATGCGACGTTTGTGTATCTTCGCACAGCCTCTCTCCTCGCTGTCATCCTCATTCATACATTTTGTAACTGGTGTGGGCTTCCTCGTCTTTGGGGAAGGGTCGAGGCCGTCGTTCACATTGGCCCAACCCTCAACAGGGGAAAAGAGGACTCTGACCGGAGCATAGTGTACACCTATGGCGAGCTCAGTATAGGATGGAGCGTCGCTTATTACGCCCTTCTCGTCGGCGGGGCGATTGGTTTCTACTATGGCCTGTGGCCGTTGACAGAGTCTTTGCATGCATTGGTCGAGTTCACGGGCTCCACAAAGTACTAAATATGTGAGCAGTCTTCGGGGTAATCATTCAGGATCGTTGTGATGGATTTCTGGGTATTTATGGAGGAAGCCTTGGTTACGCAGGACTATGATAGCAGAGGGCACCATCTACCGTATATACCCCCAATAATAAAGTGGTTTTAATGCGGCTCTGTCTTACTTATCCCGTAGACCTAAGTGGTTGCTTAGTCCGGAGATAATTTGCGGATTAGAATGATTGATCGACAAGCTTGTCGGCCGCCTAGCTCTTATCTCCGAATGGACCTCGGAGACTTCGGGGCACAGGAGTATTTTCCCTACGTCAATTTTACGCATTCACATAATTTAGGAGTTCTCACTCGCAAACCCGCCACCCTCCTCTAAACTACAAGTATATTCATTCTTTGCGATGAATATTCGGCCAATCGGCTGGCGGTCGCCCGCCATCCAATTACCGAGATCAAGAGCCACCTTTCGAAGTTTATCGAGCTCCCATTGTCTTTTGAGCCAACGCCGTATACCTATAGAAATCCCTTCGCCGTTTCCGGTGACCAAAACGTGTCCGGACCCCAAATGTTCATGTCCTGCGACGCCCTCTATGCCCGACGGTCTGCCACTTGACCATGACCACCCGCTGAGCGGAACGATGGCGGCATACGCTCAACAAATAGTCGTCTGCACGGGGCAAAGAGACTGGACGAGTCGCATTGAGGATGATGGCCCAGATCAGAGCTGGGGTGGCCTAGTGAGAGGGCTGAAGAGACTGTTGGGACGCGGTGGCCCTTATGCAGACGTAAGGCACATTTCCAGTTTCGATTAAACATCGTTTGACTGACCTCGTTTGCTTCGGTTAGCCCTTCAACAACGTTATGATTACGAATTCCTCCTTATCCCAGTCCCCCACTTCATCGTCCTCCGCGGGCACCGCATCAGCCTTCCTTTTTCCGAGCTTCAAATATTTCCCATCAATTCCCACTCATATCTCCGGTTCGCCTGAGACCAGCACCGACTTGTCAACCTTTGTACGAGCGTACCTTTTGCCCACGAAGCTTAGTCCAATGACGGAAACCCTTCCAGAGCCGCGACACAGTGACCTTCTCCGAAAACCGGACTTGGCATCCAGATTCACCGATGCCGTAGAGCTAAAACACTCCCCCGTGATCCTGATATGTGGCCACGGCGGCCGAGATATGCGATGCGGGGTGATGGCGCCAGTACTTAAAGAGCAGTTCCGCAAGGTGCTGGGGAGCAAAGGGATATTCGCGCCAGCCGATGCACGCGCCAGTAGCAATTTTGACAGCCCAGAACGTGCCCATATTGGTTTGATCAGCCATATTGGCGGGCACAAATACGCCGGAAACGTAATTATATATATCCCCAAGGGTATGAATTACGAGGACTCGTCCGCGCCCCATCCGCTGGCCGGCAAGGGGATTTGGTATGGACGGGTCGAGCCCAAGCATGTTGAGGGTATAGTTGAGGAAACCATCCTGAAAGGCAAGGTGGTGTCGGATCACTTCAGAGGTGGGATAGATCAAGATGGTGATATTTTGAGGTTATAGCGCGCAAAGTTAGCAAGCCAGAGGCGCAACCAGCAAGCGAGTGTTTTGTTGTAAAGTGTACGATATCCACAAGACGTGTTGAGTGAGAGGCTATAGATAGAAAATGAATAGTTCTCGCTGGCTCACTCCGAACTGAAATGGGACCACCTTCGACGCCATTCTCGCCACTATACTCCAGAAAGAAAGCATCTGTACATAAACTCGCTGAATCGGGATACTAGTTTTCCATACTTTATCAGCCACAGAGCAAGCTGTGGTCTGGCATGGGGAAAGCTTCACAAGTTATCATACTATCCTAGCAGCCATGCAACTAAACCCTATCGGGACTAAGCTATTTTGTTGAACTTTTAACATAACTACCATCGGCGGATGAAGTGTCATTTTCATTCTCACACACGCGCAAATGGCTTAATCCCAGCTATACACGACGCTATGGTTTATTGCCCAATATGCAAGCACTTTGCCGCCTCCGATTGAGCCCTCCGGGGGCTGCCTTTGGCTGCCGAGCCGCAAGGACTTACCGACTACCTCCGCGATCACCTCCGAACCACACATATCGCGCCCTCGCAACCGCAACCGCAACCGCGAGTTCGCAACATCGAAAACTCGACCTTGTAGCACTTGACAAGAAATGGCAAGCAAAATGGCAAGAAGAATCAAAGATCAAACGTGCCGCCGCTTCCAGTGGGAGCGAGCCCGCAGCCCGAGGAGAAGAGAAGCCTAAGTCATATATCCTCTCAATGTTTCCGTACCCGTCCGGGACGCTGCATATGGGTCATTTACGGGTATATACGATATCTGACGTGCTGGCACGATTTTATCGGATGCGCGGGCATGAAGTTTTGCACCCTATGGGCTGGGATGCCTTTGGTCTGCCAGCGGAAAATGCGGCGATTGAGCGTGGGGTTGATCCTGCGGGGTGGACGACGGATAATATCAAGAGGATGAAGGAGCAGCTTCGGAGTATCTCAACTTCGTTTGACTGGGATCGGGTATGCTTCTGAATGAGTGGTCCTTGATCTCGTGCTAACGGCGCTGGGATAGGAGCTTGCGACTTGCGCACCAGAGTTTTACAAACACACCCAACGGGTATTCTTGATGCTGTATGAAAAAGGCCTTGCGTACCAGGCAGAGGCGATGGTAAACTATGATCCGGTTGATAAGACGGTACTAGCGAATGAGCAGGTCGACGCAAACGGGTTCTCCTGGCGTTCTGGAGCAAAGGTTGAGAAAAAGTTACTCAAACAATGGTTCTTTCGCATTACCGCGTTCAAAGAGCAACTGTTGGAAGATCTTGACTCGCTTTCTGGTGGCTGGCCTGAGAGGGTGCTCTCTATGCAGCGGAATTGGCTGGGCAAATCGTACGGTGCCAAGATCAAGTTTCCGCTTGTTGACGAGGGCAGCGATGGCAGACATGTTGATGTCAACGTCTTTACCACGCGGCCAGATACACTTTACGGAGTCGAGTACATTGCGCTCTCTCTGGACCATCCGATTGTTCTAGAAGCGGCCAAGGAGGATGAGGGACTGCGGACTTTTCTATCCGAGGCGGCCATGTTGCCGCCCGACTCCAAAGTCGGATACAAGCTAAAATATTTTTGTGTCAATCCTCTGAACAGTATCGACAAAGAAAGCCCCCATCTCGCACGTCGGTTACCTGTCTATGTCGCACCATACGTACTCAGTGACTACGGCGAGGGAGCCGTGATGGGAGTACCCGGCCACGATGCGAGAGACTTTGCATTCTTCAAGGGGAATGCGAACCCGCACTCAATACCAGTCATACTGGAGGCGGAGCAGCAGTCGGTCTCCGATCGCGATCGAACTGCGGCCTATGTTCCAATTAACGAAGCCAAGCCATTTACACAGGAAGGATTCCTTACCACGAAATGTGGGAAATACCACGGTCTCCATTCTCGCGAAGCCGGGAAGTTGATCACTGCTGATCTCAAGGCTACTGGTCGCGCCGAATTTGTCGAGCAATGGAGACTAAGGGACTGGCTTATCAGCCGTCAACGTTACTGGGGAGCCCCGATTCCAATCATCCATTGCGGCGATTGCGGTCCTGTACCAGTTCCGGCAGATCAATTACCGGTCAAACTACCCGACTTACAGGGTGACTGGCTAAAGGGAAAACGTGGGAACCCTCTCGAGTCTTCTGAAGACTGGAAAAATTGCAAGTGTCCGAGCTGCGGGGGGGCAGCGAAGCGGGATACAGACACCATGGACACTTTTGTGGATTCCTCATGGTACTATCTCCGGTTCCTCGACGCTGCCAATAAACAGCAGCCATTCTCGCCTTCACTGGCGCGGCCGGTAGATGTCTACATTGGCGGGGTCGAACATGCAATCCTGCACCTTCTTTATGCCCGTTTCATCTACAAGTTCCTCTCGCAATCCAATTTTTTCCCAGAGATCTTTCACAGCGGTGCGCTAGCGGCGCCAGCAGAGCCGTTCAAGACCCTTCTCTCCCAGGGCATGGTCCACGGGAAAACGTATACAGAGCCCTCTACGGGTCGGTTCCTGCTGCCTTCAGAGGTGGACCTTTCCAGCGGGCCGGATAAGCCACTCATCAAGGGGACACAGATCACTCCGAATGTATCGTTTGAAAAAATGTCGAAGAGCAAACATAATGGCGTGGATCCAACAACGTGTGTTTCCAAGTATGGTGCTGATGCGACTCGTGCGCATGTTCTATTCTCTGCCCCTGTCTCCGAAGTGCTGGAGTGGGATGAGTCCAAGATTGTCGGCATGGAGCGCTGGTTTGCTCGACTCTGGAAGCTTGTCATGGACACGGAGCAAAGCCTGAGTTCTTCATCGTACAGAATTGAGCAAGTCGATGATCTTTCGGATCCGCTGTTACCGAGCTTGAGCGACAATGATGCCGAAGCCATCCTCTCGACTCATCGTGTTATCTGCTCCGTCACAAACTGCATCGAAACGAACCCCTATGGTCTCAACACTGTCATTTCTGACTTGACAAAGCTAACAAACACACTCTTGTCCTCACCTCCTACCTCGCCGCATATTTCTTATCTCACTGTTTCATCCCTCCTCCGCCTTTTGGCCCCCGTCGCCCCGTCATTGTCATCCGAGTGTTGGGAAATACTCCATTCTTCTCTTGTCCGTGACCGGGATGAGACGTCGATTTTCAACTGCCCGTGGCCAGCGCCGCCTTTGACCGTAGAACAGGCCGACGTACTATCGGCACGCGGAGGACAAGTCGTAGCGGTTCAGGTCAATGGAAAGCTGCGATTCACGGTCACGATTCCAAGAATGCTTTCGCCAACAACCCCAGAGTCCAGCGTAACAGAGCAGCAAGACTATATCATCACGCGCATTTTGGAAACCGAACAAGGTCGTCTTTGGCTGCGGGAAAAGAACGATTGGGAGAAACGCCGGAGAGTCATCGTAGTCAAGGGCGGGAAATTGGTGAACATTGTCTTTTGATTATTACGCAGTGAGCGAAGCAAGCAATAGAATGGGGGAAAGAGGTTGCGTCTTTTGGCCGAGATATTGACCGATGTACATTAGAAATCGCATCTCGATAGAACGCTTTGTAAAACAAATTTGCCGCGAAAAGGCGCAGTGTCAGAGCCTTGCCAGTAGTTTTTCTCGGAAAGTTCGGCCTCTGAACAGAAATTGGGGTAGATGCGACTTGGGAGAGCCTTTCCGTCGCATTCGCATGCATCGGCTGGTGGTTCTACTGCGGATATGAGGATTCCGATGGAGCTGCCCGCTCGCTGCATGAGGAGTGGTGGGGACTCCGAGTTTCTCAATCTGTATTTCCCCTCACCCAGGATGGGAGTGAGGCAACCTTGCGAGACGATGAGGTGTTACTTGCAGAAGGAGGGGAGCAATCCGGCGAAATCACGGCGCAAGCTCGGGAAGTTAACATCTAGAATCCTGGACCGACGGTGTTTGTCTCCATAATCTCGGTCTTTTATAATAGGCATGATTGTTCTGTCTCTACATACCCCTCATTCTCACTTCGTCATACGTTGCTCATGGGGGGGAGTTTGCCATTTACTTGTACTACTATTTGCCTGAATACGACTTCCGTTGCCTTTTATAATGCAGAGATGTTATTAGATGAAGACTGTAGTGTACGGGTGGCTGATAATGCTCCATATCGCGTCTCGTAGACATTACTAGTTATATACTTTGTAATTTGGAGTAAATCATCTAGTAGCTATTACTGTAGATCAATCAGTACACTTCTGCGCCATAGTCCTTCAAGCTCTCGAGTAGCACTCTCCAAGAATTGCCGCGGAGTCAGATGCTAGGTAAGAATCTTGATTCCTGAAACTTCTGGACTCGTGAGGAGATGAGGGGCGGACAGACAGCCCCGCACTAAATCTACCCCTCGTGAGGGGAAAGGCCCAATCAGGAAAAAAGCTGCTGCAGTGCGACCACGCCAGATTGAACCCTGCCCGCGGCATGCCATTCAGCACGGGTAATTAGATGAGAGCCGAGCACAGCAGAAGCTAGTAATATTGTCCGGCATTAGCCAAACAAAGCCAAAACATCCTCCCGGTCGAGGCAGAGCTTGCGGGCGCTGCGGCGGCTTCCCCTCACTGTACGTAACCGCATGCGGAGACGGTCCAATGCGACCACCGAATTTCCCAGGGATCGGGCGTGGATTCCCTCTGTTGGCCGGGGGAAGTGTGTCGCAAGATCCATGATGGAGGTTTGCTGTCCATGCGATCGGCCAGTGGAACTCCGCCCTATGGAACTGGCCACCTATGGACCTACACTCTCCGCTCACGGATTCCCGGGATGGAAAGAGGAGGGATGGATGGATGGACGGCGAGGAGGAGGGGAAGCAGGCTGCGAAATCGCTCACCAATACTGGCTATATATTGGGTTCTATTCCCCGTGTCTCAACGCTTCCCTTCTATCTCATCATCATCGTCTAAACAGCATTATTTCTCATCATCCGCAATTGGTAAGAGACTCCCCCTCTGGCCCAGATTCGTCGTCCCCTGTCTGCCCTGCCCAGCGTTTTTCTCAACCAGCTGTCACCATGATGCATATTCTCCACATTCTCATCCCCCGCGTCTGTGCTTGTCCTTTAGAGTTTTGATCTTACTATGTGCCCGGCCGAGCCGAGCCATTTAAACCACTGGCAGCTGGCTGACCTTGCTCTCTCTCTAGGACGTATTTTCTTCATCACTCTCTCAACAGCTATTATTTCTTGTTGAAATCTATTCAAAATGGTACTTCTCCGCTCTTTAACCCGTCAACTACGACGGCCTGTCTCTACCCTTCTTTCACCCAATGCTTCTCTTCCTGGCAGTCCCTTCAGGGCCGCCGCTCTGGGAAATGGGGGTCCTGGAGCACGAACGCTAACTGCCTCTGCGAACTTACAGGGTAAGGTTCTTATGGTCCTCTATGACGTATGTGGTTCCCCAGATAATCATCTACTACTCTGGCAGCACGCGTTGACCGTAACGTTTAGGGCGGCGAGCATGCCAAACAACAGCCCGGTCTCCTCGGAACCACCGAGAATGAGCTGGGTATCCGCAAGTGGCTCGAGGATCAGGGTCATACCGTGGTGACCACCTCCGACAAGGACAGCGAGGACTCTGTTTTCGACCGCGAACTCGTCGACGCCGAAGTCATCATCACCACTCCGTGAGTAGCGAGCAGCAAAACCTATAGTATAATGCTTTAGACTAACAATTTACAGCTTCCACCCCGGTTACCTTACCGCTGAGCGTCTGTCCAAGGCCAAGAAGCTCAAGCTCGCTGTTACTGCTGGTATCGGATCGGACCACGTCGACCTGAACGCTGCTAACAAGACTAATGGTGGTGTCACTGTTGCCGAAGTCACTGGCTCCAACGTCGTCTCCGTCGCCGAGCATGTTGTCATGACCATCCTCCTCCTGGTCCGCAACTTTGTCCCTTCGCACGACCAGATCCGCAACGGTGACTGGAACGTCGCTGCTGTTGCCAAGAACGAGTACGACCTTGAGAACAAGGTTGTCGGCACAGTCGGTGTTGGCCGTATCGGTGAGCGTGTGCTCCGCCGTCTCAAGCCCTTTGACTGCAAGGAGCTCCTGTACTACGACTACCAGCCTCTGAGCGCCGAGGTCGAGAAGGAGATTGGTGCCCGCCGCGTTGAGAGCCTCGAGGAGCTTGTCGCCCAGTGTGATGTTGTCACCATCAACTGCCCTCTGCACGAAAAGACCCGTGGTCTGTTCAACAAGGAGCTCATCTCCAAAATGAAGCCTGGTAAGTGAACCTATAGAGATGAAGTGATATGCGAGACTAACTATTTAGGTGCTTGGCTCGTTAACACCGCCCGTGGTGCTATCGTCGTCAAGGAGGACGTTGCCGAGGCCCTCAAGTCTGGCCACCTCCGCGGCTACGGTGGTGACGTCTGGTTCCCCCAACCCGCCCCCAAGGACCACCCGCTCCGCTACGCCGAGCACCCCTGGGGCGGTGGTAACGCTACGGTTCCTCACATGTCCGGTACCTCCATCGACGCCCAGATCCGTTACGCCAACGGTACCAAGGCCATTCTGGACAGCTACTTCTCCGGCCGTCACGACTACAAGCCCGAAGACCTGATCGTCAAGGACGGTGACTATGTCACCAAGGCCTACGGTCAGCGCAACAAGAAATAAACGGATCGCATGATATGAGATGATCAAATTTTTTTTATTATTAAAGGCGCATTTTTCCGGTTTGTAACCCGTCGAGGGTTGGTACATTTCTCAGTCCTAGTCATGATACCTGAAATAAATACTTCAATATGAGTCGCCCCGCGTAGTCCGTTCCAAAATCTGTGTACAATAAGGTATAGCACATGCTTGGAATGAGGTAGTGAAATATGATATGACACAAAGATAGGTAAACGCTGATGATGCCCCAAAAGAATATCCATATTGACATACCGCCAAATGACAAGTGCCATACTATTGATATTTAGCAACAGGGAGGAAAGCCTCAACGTCTCAATGGCGAGTAGGAAGAACCATCAATGACGACCTGATCCTCCCCTCCAATTATCTCGCCTCGTCTCATCGTCACTATCATCCATAAACCCCTCCTCGAGTTCCCGACTAAGCCTCCCCTCATCCTCAGCAATTGTGGACCGCCGCCGCTCCAGCGCCTCTCGATGCGCCGAGTCCATGTGCATCCCAACCATAATCTCCCCTTCCTCATCTAGGATACTGATGTTGTCCTGTGCATCCGTAATGTGAGCTTGTTGATGCCAGGATGAGGGGAGGAACCGGCGCATAACGGCGTCGGCGATCCGCTCCCAGAGCGAGGATGTATGTGCTGTGATGGTCTCGAGTGGAAGGTATTGCGAGTATCGTTGGTGGTAGCGCCGAAAGAAGGGGACGATAACGAAGGAAATCAGGACGTAGAGAGCCAAAGAGATTACGGCGGGGATGAAGAGTGTCTGGAGTGGTTAGAAGAAAGGCACCAGCATCTTGTTCCTGACTGATACATACCTTTGCGAGGCTGGCTGCGGAGCCCATCGCGAATTTGCTTGGAAGGTATATCCCCCCCCTTGGCTAGAAGGCCAAGGCAACAATGTAGACTGCAATGTTACAGGCTCCAATAACCTTCATAGCCCCAACTGGGTTCACCTCCAAGATATTTGCGAGCCAATTGAGGTCGTTCTCTGGGACTTTCACAATGCTGACGGCTGCCACGTGATAATGGCGCTACCTTATCGGGCCAGGGACACCTCGGGCGGTAAATGTCACGTGACTGCCCGCCCCTGTGCATGTTCTGGCCGACCCCCTATACACAGAAAGAATTCCGCACAGCGACATATCGACCAGGAGTTCGGCTAACAAGTTGAGGGCAAGAGCTACGGCTGCTTAACCAGGTAATCAAGGGCTATCTCGACTCGACCGTCTACTACGAAAACTTTCCCGAATGTCTGGGACAGGAGGAAGCGACGCTCTCTCTTATCCTTCCCCCTCTCGTTCTAATTGCGGAGCGGCGAGACGAGTGCAAATCAGTCAGGAGTAAATCACCTCAGCTCCAGCTCCTCGGTATCGCCATTGAATGCCACGCCTCCCTTACGGTGTCCTGGGCTGATAGGACTACTGACAAGACCTCTGATTTCTATCAGCAGTTGCGGGCTCATGCTGCGCTTTGAACCCCCTCTGCGACGCACGTCAAGATGCCAACCACCACATCCGCCTCTGACAAATCGAGACAAACATCTGCTGGCAAATCGTTTTTCGGGCGCAAGTTGCACAAGGAAAAGCCGGCGGAGGATCGGTACGATGCCCATGGGAGTTGGGAAAGTCTAGCCCCTCCAGGAAGCGCTGCCGGTTCTCGTTCATCGCGACACTCGAAGCGATCGTCAGTCCAGTCCGTGGACTTTGGCAACGACATAGATCCCTCCTACCTCTCTTCGTCCGCCGGTGTGATAACCTCTATTCCTTTTGACAGCCTGTCAACCGATAACAAGTCGCCTATTCCCGTCGATTACCTCTCCAAAGCCGATACTTCTCCTCGAAAAGAGCCATCCCCGGGGCATTTGGCAAAGGGCGCAAGTGACTATCATCAGTACCCCGCGTGGAACCCAAACGCCATGCGTGATAATCAACAATATTCGCACCCCACGGGGCCCCGTCCGCCTCCCCACGCTTCCGGTATGGCGATGAGCTCAAGCTCTTCAGGGGATAAGGGCGCTAAATACCAGCAATGGGGACGGCCGGGGAGTTCTGCGGCTAATACTGGCTTCAGCCATCACTCGTCATCTACGATAGATTCGTCTGCGAATTCTCGCATGTCTATTGACCAAGCTAGCGTGCATTCTTCACATTCATCAAATACTAGAGGCTCAAGCTACTTTTCGACAGAAGGCTCTTCGCGCACAATTACGCCCGCGCATGCTGGTGACCGAAACACTTACTTTCCAACAATCAACTCGGGCCGTGGATCAGGTGCCCAGTCCTCACCGTGGCCATCACCGCAACCCAGGCCGCAGAATACCGAACAGTATCTCACGAGGCCGAGGGACGATCGTGTTGTGGACCAATTGTTTCTCGAGCTGATGCAGAAACGAGGCTGGCAGAATCTTCCCGAGCAGGCCAGGCGGCAAATGATGGCGTATCCGGCATCGAAAAAATGGACGCTGGTTCACCAAGATCGACTAACAGAATTACAAGGCGAGCAAAAGCGTAAGCAGAATGCGCGTCAAACCCATGGATATGATGGCCCAGCTGGCATCCTTGAACGAGCGGACGAGGAAGGGAGCCCGGAGTGGTATGTTAAAAAAGTCATGGATGATACAATAACCTCAAAGCAACTGGCTAGTCTGAGTGTCAGCCTGCGAACACAACCAATCAGCTGGGTCAAAGCCTTTGTTGAAGCACAAGGTCAAATAGCTTTGACCAACGTTCTTGCAAAAATCAACCGTAAAAAGGTTACTGGCCCGGTTCCTGCTCCGCCATCTGGTGACAAGGATTTAGACCGCGAATATGACATAGTCAAGTGTCTCAAGGCATTGATGAACAACAAATATGGCGCGGATGATGCCCTCAACCACCAGCAAGTCATTGTGGCGCTTATCAGCTCTCTACTGTCTCCGCGCTTGAACACGAGGAAACTTGTCAGCGAGGTTCTCACATTTCTGTGTCATTGGGCCGAAGGGCAAGGCCATGAGAGGGTCTTGCAGGCGATGGATCATGTCAAGAACCATCAAAGTGAGACTGGCCGGTTCGATGCCTGGATGCGCATCGTGGAGGTCACTATTGATGGCCGTGGAAAAATGGGCAGTCTGGTGGGTGCGAGCGAAGAGTACCGCAGTGGTGGAATTGGAATGGAGAATCTACTGATGGAATATGCCGTTTCGACCATGATCCTGATCAACATGCTGGTGGATGCACCCGAGAACGACTTGCAGCTGCGATGCCATATCCGAGCGCAGTTCATATCCTGCGGTATCAAGCGCCTTCTCTCAAAGATGGAGGGCTTCCAGTACGAGGTTATCGACAAGCAGATTGAGCATTTCCGGGAGAACGAGGCTATTGACTACGAAGACCTACTTCAGCGTGAGAGCAGTAGTACAAAGGACAGCATCGAAGGTGATGTCAAGGACATGACCGATCCTCTTCAAATTACGGATGCCATTGCAACTCGTATCAATGGAACAAGGGCACACGACTACTTCCTCTCTGCTCTGCAGCATCTGCTTCTCATTCGCGAGAACTCTGGGGAAGACGGTCTCCGGATGTATCAACTTGTGGATGCCATGCTTAGCTATGTGGCCATGGACAGGAGGCTACCGGATCTCGACTTGCGACAAGGACTGACATTTACCGTGCAGAGCTTGTTAGATCGGCTTCATACTGATGCAGAGGCTAGACAAGCGTACGATGAATCTTTGGAAGCTCGACAGATTGCAGAAGCCGCGATTGCTGAGCGGGATGAAATGAAGGCACAAGTCGAGCTTGGGGCGGACGGATTGGTCAGAAAGTTGCAAAAGCAGATTGAGGAGCAGACCGGGATCATCGAGCTTCAGAGCAGGCAGAATGAAATGGTCAAAGCTGAGCTCGCTGATGTACAGAGGCTTCGCGCGCAGGAATTGCAACGGAATGAGCTAGAGACTCGAGAGCTCTACCTGATGCTTCGGGATGCCCAGGATATCGCCGCATCGAATGCCAAGAAGAGTAATCTGCCAGAGGCGGAAGTTGACCCATCCCAACTGCCCGGCATCCTGGACCGGGAGAAACTGCTCGAACGACTCGAGAAGCAGCTTGAGAGAACCAAAACACAATTCAAACTGGAGGGTAAGGTTTGGGGCCAGCACGGCCCGTCAGACCGATTACGGGAACTGCGTGAGCAGATGGACGGCGATGCTGGGCCTAGTCACGACTTCGAGGAGAAAACACGACTACATCTCAGCATGAACCCCGTGGGATCCGTTTACCGGAACAGGACCTACATGGGAGACACTGACCAGCGCGGCCAAAATGATTCAGAGGAAAGCGGCGATGTGCTCATTGCAAAGGCACGTCTTGTTGACTACCACCGGCCGCGCATGAATCCAGCCCAAGCGACTGGCCTTCTCGGGGAGATTGCCCGCAAGGTCCCGAGGATTGAAGCAGACGATGCCACCACCGAAACCAAGCCGTCCGAGGCTGAACAACTCGAGGGAGAGGCAGCTATCAAAGTCGAAGAACCGCCCGCCGGGAATACCAAGACAGAAGCAGGAGATGATGATGCAAAAGCCGCCGTTCCTGCGCCTCCCCCGCCGCCTCCACCACCTCCTCCGCCACCACCGCCAGGCTTTGCTGCTGGATCAGCTCCTCCGCCGCCGCCACCGCCACCGCCACCGCCAGGATTTGCTGCTGGGGCAGCCCCTCCACCACCTCCTCCGCCTCCACCGCCTGGAGGTGCTGGATTTCCGCCACCACCTCCGCCTCCGCCCCCGCCTGGTAACCTTGGCGCAATGCCCCCGCCGCCTCCGCCCCCGCCTGGTGGCTTTGGCGGCCCTCCCCCTCCACCACCACCTGGTACAATCATTGGTGGGTGGAGAGCAAACTATTTGGCTTCCCAAGATGTTCCGTCTCACCTGCCTGTCATGTCGTCCATTAGACCAAAGAAGAAGCTCAAGGCTCTCCATTGGGACAAGGTTGACACCCCACAAGTCACTGTTTGGGCGTCCCACGCACCTACTCCGCAAGAAAAGGAAGACAAGTACGTTGAGCTGGCCAAGAAGGGAGTACTGGACGAAGTTGAGAGGCTATTCATGGCCAAGGAAACCAAGATCTTTGGAAACAGCGCTGCAGCCAAGCAGCGCAAAGACAAGAAACAACTCATCTCCAACGACCTGTCCAAGAACTTTCAGATTGCGCTATCCAAGTTTTCTCAGTACCCTGCGGAGGAGGTTGTCCGGAGGATCATCCACTGCGATCCAGAAATCCTTGACAACCAGGTCGTCATGGAGTTTCTGCAGCGAGACGAAATGTGCACGATACCTGAAAACGTGTCGAAGCTCATGGCTCCGTATAGCAAAGACTGGACTGGTCCTGACGCCGCAACCTCTGAGCGAGAGCAGGATCCCAGTGAGCTTACCCGCGAAGATCAGCTTTATCTCTACACTGCCTTTGAGCTGAACCACTACTGGAGGGCAAGAATGCGCGCGCTTGCTTTGACCCGTTCGTTCGAACCAGACTATGAACACATCTCCGCAAAACTCAAAGAGGTCGTGAGAGTGAGCGAATCCCTGCGGGATTCTGTCTCGTTGATGAACGTTCTCGGCCTGATCTTGGACATTGGTAACTTCATGAACGACGCCAACAAACAGGCCCAGGGATTCAAGCTGAGCTCTCTTGCCCGCCTTGGTATGGTCAAGGATGACAAGAACGAGACCACGTTTGCCGATCTTGTGGAGCGCATTGTTCGAAACCAGTATCCCGAATGGGAAGATTTTGTCGATGAGATTGGCGGTGTCATTGGCCTCCAAAAGCTCAACGTTGACCAACTGCGGACGGATGCGAAAAAGTACATTGACAATATCAAAAATGTGCAGGCAAGCTTGGATGCTGGAAATCTCAGCGACCCCAAAAAGTTCCACCCTCAAGATCGTGTCAGCCAAATCACCCAGCGCAGTATGAAGGATGCTAGACGGAAAGCCGAGCAGCTGCAGCTCTATCTCGACGAAATGGTAAAGTCGTATGATGATATTATGGTATTTTACGGTGAAGATAACACCGATGATGGGGCGCGGCGTGACTTTTTCGCAAAGCTCGCAGCTTTCTTGCAGGAGTGGAAGGTGAGCACGCACACCTCATCTCTTTATAGATATTATCATTTGAAAAGAAACTCGACTAACATCTACTACACAGAAATCCAAAGAGAAGAACCAGGCTCTGGAGGAAACGAGACGACGCACAGAGGCGTCTCTGGCTCGCAAGCGGATCAACGCAGGCCTTGCAAACGGCGGGGGTGCGAGCGACTCTCCTGCATCGCCGGCCACAAGCGGAGCCATGGATTCACTATTGGAGAAGTTACGTGCTGCTGCTCCTCAGGCCAAGGATCAGCGCGACCGTCGGCGCCGCGCACGATTAAAGGAACGCCACCAAGTCCGTATTGCATCAGGGCAAAAGGTGCCAGATTTTGCATCAGAGGGCGCAGACAACAATACAGACGGAGATAACCATGGCGTCGGCGACGCAAATGCCACCGAGTCTTCTGATCTCCTCTTGAGCCCTCCCCATCCGGAATCTGAAGCCGGAGGCTCGCCAAACGTGTCCGAAAGTGAAGACGTGGCAGACCGCGCGGCGAGCATGCTCCAGGGGCTGAGAGATAATTCTGACCCAGAACGTACGCGGAGACGGCGAGAAAGTGCCGAAGAAGAACGAAGAAAGCGTCGGTTGAGAAGACGCAATGGAGCAACTAGTGGAAGCAAAGACAGTACCGATACGACTCCTTTATCGCCGGTACAAGAGCCAGCTTTGACCCCTCAAGATGAGTTTGCGGAATCAGATAATATGACTCTTCCCAGTTCTCCAACTGGACAAGACCCGACATCGAATCCTCCGACCATCGTGCTATCCTCTAATGAGATGCCCGACGACGATGATAAACGGCCTTCATCAAGCTAGCTGTGCGGCTTTGATAAGTGAAGGGAAACACAAGAGTATCCCCCCTTCCACACCTAATATAATGCTTGATAGACTACCACTGATGTTGTCTCGGAGAAAACCCCACCCTTTAACTGCTATTGTATAATACCTCCTCCTCGACCTCCACCCTTTCGTTTGATCCCCTTTTTCTTCCCATCTGTTTTGTCCCTTACTAGCGAGCGTGGCTGGGCCCGGTTTGATGATCATGATCATCTTTCCCTTCTCCCTTCCCCTTATCTCTTTGCATACATCCTGCGATGGCTGGTTTCTTATATCTACCGCTTCTTTTCCAGAGTACATGCTTCTTCGATACACTGCATTCTGAACCCTTCCATTCCATATCTCGATTTCCTACCTATCTCTGAGACGATTAACCTTGTACATATTACCTTTCTACCTACTGTGGTTGTCGGGTCTGTTTGGTGATACTGGTGTGAAGAATTGAGCGTACAGTTCTGATACTCGGCACGCTGGCGTGGCGAAGCGACTTTGATCTGCCTCTCGGTTCTACTTGTAAACATTCTACCGTATGCGTTTTCGCAGCCTACTTACTACTGCATCTTGAATGTTGTAGTATAAGCTCACGTGATGCGGAGTTTGACCACTTTCCTCCGCAGGAGGTCACTTTCGTCTGGGAGCGAGCGACCTCAACATTCTGCTAATCTGCTCTACCCTACGTTGTCAGCATCTAGAATATATCCGCGTATGCGGGCTTCTTCTTTTCGTCACTTGCGATGGGTTGCTATCCCCGTTCGCTCGCCATGGAGCCGACCTCTGGGTAGAGCGCATCCGTTCCGCCATGTTTTGCATTTTACCAGGTCATCACCACCCCAAAATCGGCGTTTCTCGGCGTCGACACCGACTCAATTGATCCGCGAGGGGGACTCTACCATTTATGCGCTTTCCACTGCTCCTGGTCGAGCGGCAATTGCGGTTGTGCGAGTCTCGGGACCACACTGTGTCTTGGTATGCGGGATTGTGTTGCATTATCCGCAAAGAACTCCCTCGCTGACAGTTTCTTCACCTTGATTAGATCTACCAAGCTCTGTGCCCTAAAGCGCCGATCCCGCGACCCCGTGTAGCAGCCGTGCGTACCCTCTACGATCCCACCGCCAAAGACCTATCCAGCCTTGCAGCTGTTTTAGACGCCGGGGCCCTAGTCCTATACTTTCCAGGCCCAAAGACTGTCACCGGGGAGGATGTGCTGGAGCTTCATCTCCACGGCGGTCCAGCGATTGTTCGCTCCGTTCTGACCGCGATCGAAAGCACCAATGGCGACGCACATGTAGTTCGCTACGCAAAACCAGGCGAATTCACCCAGCGGGCGTTTATGAACAATCGGCTTGACCTACCGCAGATCGAAGCACTTGGGGATACCTTGACAGCTGATACAGAGCAGCAGCGGCGGTTAGCAGTGCGCGGCGCGAGCGATGCGTTATCAAAACGGTACGAGGAGTGGCGGCAGCAGCTGCTTTATGCGCGCGGGGAGCTAGAGGCGTTGATTGACTTTTCGGAAGACCAGCACTTTGATGAGTCTTCTGACGAACTGGTTGTATCTGTTGCGTCGCAGGTGCGCGTTCTTAGTCGGCAGATTGCGCTGCATATTCAAAATGCGTCCAAGGGCGAGTTTATGCGGAATGGGATAAAAGTCGCGCTGCTTGGAGCGCCAAATGCAGGCAAGAGCTCTCTTCTAAATAGAATTGTTGGCCGGGAAGCCGCTATCGTCAGTACGGAAGAAGGTACGACCAGGGATATCGTGGACGTTGGCATCGACTTGGGAGGCTGGTATTGCAAACTGGGTGATATGGCCGGGATCCGGTCAGAGCCTCGCGGGCCGTCTGGAAACAAAGTTTCCGTCGTGATAGGCGCCGTTGAAAGGGAAGGTATTCGGCGAGCCCGCTTGCGGGCTTTGGAATCCGACGTGGTTGTTGTTGTTATCTCTGTCGAAGATGGGCTCGAGGGAGAGCCGTATCGGCTTGCAGTGGAGCCGGACGTTGTGGATGCCGCCAACGAATGTGTGTGCGCGGGAAAACACATTGTCGTTGCTATCAACAAGTGTGACCGGTTGCCACCGTCAGACCAGGGAGAGCCTGGCCTGGCGCCATCCCAGCTGGTATTGAAGCAAATCAGCCAGCTCTTCCCTGATGTACCCACGAAGCGCATTTTTGGCATTTCCTGCCTTGAGGACGCAGACCCATTGAACACCTGGCCAGCATTCCTACAGGGCCTGATCTCAACCTTTGAAGAAATGGCCTCACCGTCTGGAGTAGAAGGAGATGCAAACGGCCAATACGACCGGTCTTATTGGGAAGATTCCCTAGGCGTGACCCATCGACAAAGTTCCAACCTACAGAAATGTCTGCAGAGCCTTGATGATTTCCTAGCGCAAAGCACCCCTTCCCGTTCCTCTATCTCCGTCACTGGCTCAGAGGAAACAAACTCCATGGAAGTGGACATTGTGACAGCCGCGGAACATTTGCGTTACGCTGCCGATGCCTTGGCGTCAATTACGGGTAAGGGCGAGAGCGGAGATGTGGAGGATGTTCTGGGGGTGGTTTTTGAAAAGTATGCTTCCTTTGTCTCGGGGCCCTTTGAGTGACTGCCTAACGTCTGCCTTTAGGTTTTGTGTGGGAAAGTAAGGGGCGCAGCTTGATTCTACCTAGTGATGAGAATGCTAACCTTCGATCTCATATTCTGTCCCTGCAAGTAAATCCCAGGAGCTCAATACTCCGCCAGCGGAGGTGAGTGCCGGAAGACAATCAAACTATACAGAAACATCAGCTTGGCTATATGAATCATAAAGTAAACCATATCAGGCCACCCGCCTATATGGCCTCGCATAACCTAAGAGATGTACATATTGGCTATCCTTTCGGAAATCTAGATCCTCAACGATATATCAAGATTGAGGTATATAACAGGTATTGTGCAAAGTAAGAATCAAAACTGGACGTTTTCGGTATTTCCGCATGCGAAGATATCAGCACCTTTTGCTTCTGGCTCAGTAGGGAAAAACCGGTGTTTCGGAATCGAGTTTCAAATCACAAAAGTTGACGACGGTGCTCGAAATTAGGCCGGAGTTGGACTGGAGTTGCTGCTCCAGCGCTCTTCCTCTTCTTCCTCAATGCGAGAAGAGTGTGGGGGTGCCTCCGGGATTTGAGTCGTAGTCTCATCGTCTATAGAGATTGGTGTGTCATTGAAACGCTCCTCAAAAAGACCCCGCCTGCGGCTTAGTAGGAATCCGCTAGGGTCACGCACGGGTGTTGGGTGGCTCAACGGGGGTCTTATGGGAGCTGGTGAATATTGCCGCTCGCAAGCAGGAGGAGATGTCTGCGTAGTCATTTGAGATTCAAAAGGTGGGGCTCGTTCCATGGGTGTCCTGGAGGAGGTTGGCTGACTGGGGACTTGCCGCTGCTGCTCTTCGTACTCATCAATACCCGGCGGTCGATGCAACTGTTCTGGTGTTTGCGATCGGCTATCCGGGAGTCCTTGTTCCAATGTACCGGGAAGTTCCTGGATGTCCTCCTGGAGGTGAGTTCTACTCGGAAATTCCGGGACGGGCACTAGGGATGATACAAATTGAGCTCGCATATGGACTGGGTCCGAAGGCCCAGCTGCCCTGCTCATCACCTGCTGGGGCCCTGGTGTCATTGGAGAGGAGGATGTGATGGGGACAGTTGAGCTCCCAAGCAGGGAGTTCGGCTGGTGTCCGGCTCTGTACAACAGGTCTAGAACTTCTCGTTTGCACTCCAAGGAGATATCCGCGGCTGGGGCAAAGCCAATACTATCAAATTGCAGTGTATCAGCAACAGAACTGGGGAGAGTGAGTGTGAGAAGAATCTCCAGGATACGGGGGTGGCCGTGGTATGCCGCATATTGATATGGCCACCAATCTTGCTCGTCTTGCTTCAACGGCGATGCGCCACGCTCTAGTAGAAGCATCACGACGGGTAGGTGCCCAGACGCCGCAGCAAGACACAATGGCGAATCATCTCGAGACCACGTTTCCAACTGCATATGCACAGCCGAGTTGCGGTCAAGTAGGTTCTGCACGGCAGCGGCATGACCAGCTCTGGACGCTACCCCGAGGGCCCGGTATCCCAGCGCATCACGGGCGTCTAGAGAAGCCCCCTTGTCACAAAGCAGATTAAGGAGCCTCATGGATCCCTGGGCGGCTGCAATGTGCACAGGTCGTCTGTGCAACTCTCCGTCCATCGGAGACTCAATGTCAGCTCCAGACATAAGCAGCAACTTTGCAATCTCAGTACTGTCTGCGAGACATGCATAATGAAGAGCCGTCAGGCCTGATTGGCAGCGTCCCTCCATGGGCATTTGTTTGCGTAATAGAAGCTCCACAACCGGGAATTGCGAGGTCATGGCTGCTAAATGGAGAGCTGTCCGGCCGGCAACATTTACCTTCTTCAACGTGGAGCCCTTTTTGCTGCAAAGGATCTCCACAATCTCTGTATGCCCATTATACGCAGCCCAGTGGAGAGCAGTCATCCCGGCATCATCGACACACCGAGTTGAAGCCTTTCTCTTGAGCAAAAGATTAGTCGCCTGGACTGCGCCAACAGCAGCAGCACATATGAGCGGAGACCTCCTATCGGAGCCTGGCACATCGACATCAATCTTCTTATCGAGAAGTATTTCCATCACACCGACATGGCCCTTCTCACAAGCATGATGCAAAGCAGTCATCATTGTGCCATCTTTTGCTTCCAAGTCTGCGCCAGCATTGACCAAGAGTTTGACAATGGCTTCGTCACCCTGCTTTGCTGCTACATGAAGCGCAGACATGTGTCCATCTGCTCGTGCGTTGACCTTTGCTTTGGAGAGGAGCAAAAGATGTGTAGCCTCGATTTCTCCTCGTTCAGCTGCAACCCAAAGGGCGGTGCGTCCTCGGGAATCGCGTGTTTCAAGATCCAAACTTTCGGAGACCAAAAGCTCAATGACTCCGCAATGGCCACGGGAAGCCGCGAGATGCAAAGCAGTTGACCCTGTTTTGTCAACTGCATCAAGGCGCGCATTTTTGCGAATCAATAATTCGACAACTGCTTCGTTGCCACAATGTGCTGCAACAAGAAGTGCGGTTCGTCGGGATTGCCGGTGTCTTGCTTCCAATTCACTGCCCCTCTCAAGTAATCTTTCAACATCAGACCAAGATCCAGCCTGCGCTGTCTTCACGAGGAGTGGCGCGCTCGCTCCATCTGGCGAACTAATATCAATGCTAGTGTTGACATCATCCTTGTCGTACTGCCGCCGCCGAGCTGCTGTCGAACCGCTTGTCGTGGCTCGCGTCGGGACTTGAGGTGACGAACCTGGTCTTAGACTGGCATAACTAATACGCCGAAGCACAGACTGAAATTTTTCGCGTTTCGAGCCTGTGTTTGAACCTGATTCTGGATCCCGGTTTTGTTTGATCATAGGCGTCACATCGGACTTGGATCGCCTCGCATAGTTTGAAGTCGGTGAACGGGCAGTAGGACTTAGGGCTACGCTGTTGCTGTGTCCAAACGTTGGATTTATCATACCAGAAGGATGAGCAGGTAATAATAAACTGCCTGCCCGTGACACTGTCGTGCTTGTCACGACTCCGCTAGAGTAGCCCTCGTCCGTTGTATGGCTCTGGTCCCCATGACTCCTAGTCGACCAGGTTTCCAACCTTGTGGGAACTTGCGGCGGCGCACGTATGTATGGCAAAGATGAGGCCAGGGTACCGTCGAAATCAAACACGGTGCCTCCAGTTGTGGACTCCACACGTTGATTCAGGCTGGAGGTGGTATCAGCTCGAGAGCTCGCGTATCTACTTCGATTGGAAGAACGAAGGGTCGCGGCATCATCGGCAACTTTCCATATTATATGGCGATTTTCAGCCCTGCGCAAGAGTTCAATTTGTTCTGCAGACGATTGGCTGAATACATGGACATTGTTGCGTCAGTAATATTTTTCCCCCTTTTTCAGCAGTAGAGGCAGGAAAAGGGGTGCAGCTTACCATTGGCAGGCTTGCACCAGTAATTGTAGTGCAATCACTTGCGAATGAAGCCTGTCCTGGTGTGCCCTCATCACATCTTCTCTCCAAACCACCCTCAAGCGGGCTCGAAACCCAATTCCAGCCTCATTCGGCGACGCACCTTGCGTCAGCACTAGGATTTCTTCCGATAGAGCCTCCACGACGGTGAGGCATCCGTCAAGCGCAACGTCCAAGCTCCTGTTGTACTCTGCTGGAGAAGGCTTGCGGAGTCTCAATCTTCTCCAGTCCTCTAGGTGGGCAATGGCGGCGCGAATTGTCGTTAATTGGTGCTCGAGTGTGCCAATCGTAAGGTCAGCATGTTGATATTTCCCACGGAGACTCGCCAACCCATGAAGTGTCTCCGCGATAACTTGCCCGACCTGAAAAGCACCTGAAATTAGCCCAAAAGCAGACAAAGGATCCATTGGAGCGGCCAAATGGGGGTCATGATCTCGTCGCTCGTTAGGTTACACGTCGGGTAGAGTGAGAGGCAATCAGAAAAGAAAAATAATTAGAGATGAATCAAGCTCTTGAAGCTGTAGCTGATAAATAAACAAGTCAGAAAAGAAAAAATATTCTGGAGGGGGACGCGTGGTCGGAGACAACGAGGCTGAGGAGAGCACTGCCCCGCGCATCGACAACGTTCGACATATCAGAACTGAGAGACGTGCAGCTTGCCTGCATATTTGACGCAACCAGCTTCGATCAAGTCGTGTTAGCAGCGAAATAGTGCAAGGCTGGAACATTGCCCATGTCATGAGGAATTCAAAAAGGAATTCAAAGCTGGTCTAGAATTGAGTAATAACATGTTCTTGTATACATCTTCAGCAGAATGATATCGCAGATGGTTGCCCGCTGCCAATGCAAGATACGAGCCTTAAAGAAGCGTGACCCAACGCGACGCTAACTCGATCAGTGGTCCATCGATGCAATCGTCTACCCTATGGGCAAAGGAAAGGACGTAATGGATATAAGAGCGAGATGAAAGAAAGAAAAAAAAAAAAAAAAAGGCCTAAATCGCTTGCTTAGTCGATGCTCCAATAGCATTCTTATCCACTTTTCAGGCCTCCCTTGGCAATGGTTTCCGGGCACTGACAGAGCCTGCCCTGGGCCCTGAAGCCAATGGGCAGTTCTGTGGCTCCTGCTTAAGGCGATATCTGCTCGTCTTCAGCACCTTCGGCACCGAACTGCATAGAGATGGAGGCCGTAGCGATGTACAAGTTCACACCATGGGCAATCTTGGAAAATTCGTCGCAATTCTTTTCAGACCCCGTAAAAACTTGGCCGCAGCAGTATCGTCTGATACACGTAGTTTTGTGCAAAGATGCATGGTAGGCTTTGTTTATTTTGATGTTTGTAGCTCGAGGTCCTCGAGAGGCGTATCAAACTGCCAACCTTGACTGGAATTGGGTCCAGAAACGTGAGAATAAAGCAGTATAGATCAGCAAAGGACTTGTTGGCGTGGTGAGCGCCCATGTTCGCGGGCAAGAGGTTTCCATCAACTGGTCGGGGAATGGGCGGGGAGAGTGCTGAGTAGGTGTAAGATCCATCCACGAAGGGCTATGGCCGCGGTTGTGGCCTTGTCTCTTAGTTATTCCATTGAGCACCTTGTCGAGGAGGAAGAGTGCTAATAAAGCAGCCCACTCGGTAGTTGTCTGGCAACCGTTAACCAAGTGTCGAATGAAACAATCCATATCGTGTCTTCAGATCCAGTAGATTCAATTGCATCGTTCAGCACCAGGTCCTTTTGAATGGCCCACACAGAGCAACAATCACATCCTGGTAGAGCGAGGCAAGTCCAAGTCGTAGTGACCAGTGATCGCGACTGCATCGAACATTGAATTGCAGAGGAAGTCAATGAGGGTTTCTTGTTCCCTCCTTCCGGGGAGCCTTGGTCAAACCCGGTTAGCATCGTTTTGTTATGGATATCCCACAAATTCTAATAATGGACAGTCGTCTCAGGATTCATTGTGTCTATGGTGCGGTAGTGGGCTTCTAGATTGTTTTGAGATGAATCCGAAAGCTGTCAAAGCTTCCATACTGCCCACCCATGGAGGTTGAGGTCTTTGATGATGCCCTGAAGAGGGCCTTGCAACTCCATGCCTTGCGCCCATTGCTTTGGTCCTGCCATGTAGCTAATGAATCCTTCTGGCCCTGAGATAAGGATCATGTTGCGATTGCGCTGCCCGAGAGAAAATGTGGCAGAATTGGTAAAGTCCAATATAGACCTCTTTCCAATAAACGTGCTCTCCTCATCGACAAAGTACTCTACAGTAACTTGTCCTGGGTACTGTGCTTTGAGAGCTTCTAGTTCTTTCACAACAGCAGATGTGCCTACAGCTACCTTGGCCTCGGAGGGAGGAGTTTTCGCGATTTGTTGTGACGAACTGAAGAGCCAGGAAAGCCAGGACCATCGAGTGCCATTAGGAGCTGCGCTCGTGTGATCATTGTACCCACCCCGACAATCTTCCCGCTGTCGAGTCGCCCAAAGTATGTGAATCCGGGGCTTATGACCCTTGTCCGGGCGGCGAAGGAGGGTATGTCCGGCTTGCAGAGCGGGTGCAATTCCTGTGCCGCCTGCAATAAAGAGGATCGTCTGAGTCTCTGGCGGTATTTCGCACTCGACCCGTGGCCCGCGAACCTCTATTGGTGCACCAATCTTGAGGCTGTGTAAATATCGAGAGACCTCGCCGAAAGGGTCTTTGCGAATAAAAAACCGGAGACACTCATCACCGTTTACATTGGATGACACGGGTGGTAACGGGGTATAATCTCTGCCGATCTGCAGTTGCGGTTGCTTGAACATAACACTCCATACTCCAGTCTTCCATGCGTCCTCGTATACTTCCAAGTTGCTTCCATCCGACTTGGGAGGCTTGAGGGTGAACAGGCTACCGGTTGCCGAAACCGGTTCCCTGGAAACCAGGTAGTACGGTGTAAATCGAGAAGGGCTCAAGGTTGTAGAGGAAGATGCCGAGTCTTGTGACCATCTGAGATACGCACCGACACCTGCAGCCGTCAATGTAATGAGGGTCAGCCGCAACCACCGGCGCTGGCTGGGGGAAGAGGACGTCAAAGGTTTGGTCGATGTGGTGGTGGTGGCATGACGCCGCTGGGTGCGATTCAACGACCTCGAGGCTGCAAAACATGCATTTTGGAAGCCCCAGGCGTAGCTTTTGGGCTTCATGAGTCGGTTGGTGTGCGCAGAAAAAGGGAGACTGTTAAGATCAGTCCCTCTTTTCCGTGGGCTCTCGCCTTTGTTGCTCTTTTTTTTCACAGGGGTCCAAGCACTAGTCCCATTCAGGTAAAATTACTTGTTCCTCGTCATTATTGGATCTTGGGTCCAAGGCCTCCTATGCAGTCCCCCGAGCCCGAAGGTATCTTATTCTTCTTCTTTGCGCTCTTCAACTACTATTCGAATTTACGTGGCTTATGTTCCTCCAACGCTCCTTGACTCTCCCGTTTGTTGTTGGCTGAACTTCCGCACTGCCAGTCGTCGTCCCTGTTATGGAGCTTTCTTTCTACCACCGCCGCTCTACTTGAACCACCTGCCCCGGCCGTCGACTTCTTTCGCTCTTCTCTTGCCCTAGCTTTCAGGAACGCAATGTCCCGCATAACCTTTTCGGCCTCCGAGTTGAGATCCGATCATGGTAACAGGGACTCACTAGAACTTGCGTCTCTCGCGTCCTCTTCTCCCGAATCCAACCTCGACCTCTCCCGCTCCTCGTCCCCGTCCGGCATCTCGTCATCGCGCAAGCTCTCACTAGAAGACGAGGACCCCCTTTCTAGCTCCAGCCTACATGCGAATCACGAATCCTCACGGCCACGCTCCGCTCGATCATATTCTGTTTCCTCCGCATTCGATTTTGGGAGGAACTTGTTTCCCCTGTCTCAAACCGCTGGAGGTTATGCGCCTCTGGGCGCGCCGTCTGCACTTGACCGAGAAACAGGCCTTGGGGATGGTTCTCTAGAAAGAAATAAGACATTGACGTATATTAATGGTCTCTCCTTGGTTGTGGGACTCGTTATCGGCTCGGGAATCTTCTCGTCTCCGAGCCAAGTTAATGCCAATGCGGGATCCCCTGGTGGTGCGTTGATCGCATGGCTAGTTGCAGGCTTACTGGCATGGACTGGAGCAGCTAGTTATGCAGAGCTAGGCGGCGCTATTCCGCTGAATGGTGGCGCCCAGGCTTACCTCTCAAAAATCTTCGGGGAACTGGCTGGATTCCTGTTCACCTGGTGTGCTGTTTTGGTACTCAAGCCTGGTAGCGCGGCCATTATCTCAATCATATTCGGGGAATATGTTGTTCGCGCAATAGTTGGCGCCGAGGTCGAACAGATCAGCCCTTGGATAAACAAGGGTGTAGCCTTTGGGGGTCTCTTCGTTGTGACTTGCCTCAACTGTTTATCCACTCGACTTGCTGCCCGGATCGGTGACCTTTTCATGTTCTTCAAGTTTGTGGCGTTGCTAGGTGTTACCATTATTGGGATCATAGTTGCTGCGACTGGTCTGTCTTCAAAAGGAAATGCCAGTGAAGAGTGGAAAATCGGCTGGTTTGAGGGCACAACCACGGACATTTCCGGCTGGGCTATGGCCCTATATGCAGGACTCTGGGCGTTTGATGGTTGGGACAATGTGAGTCCATTCAAAAAATTTTACTTAAAATACACCCATCGTACTAACTTGCAGCAGACAAACTACGTGACAGGCGAATTCAAGAACCCGAATCGTGACCTTCCGCGCGTGATTCATACGGCAATGCCGCTTGTTATAGTATCCTACTTGCTCGCCAACATCTCCTACTTCTTCGTCTTGCCTCACTCAACTATCGAAGCCAGCAATACCATTGCGGTACAGTTTGGCGACAAGGTCTTTGGGAGCATAGGGGCTTTGATATTTGCTTTGATCGTTTCTGCGAGCTGTGTTGGAGCTCTAAATGCGACCATATTCACCAGCGGACGACTTGTTTACGCCGCCGGGAAGGAGGGCTATTTGCCTTCACTATTTGGGAACCTCTGGACTCAAGGCTCGACTACCACCAGTATGAACAGGCTCCAGCACCGGTCTTGGGCAAACAAGCTCGTATTCCGTCTCTTCGGCAACGAAACGTGGATCGGATACACGCCCATCAACGCCATGGCTTTGAATAGTGTGCTTACACTGGTGTACATTGTCGTTGGCGAGTTCAAAACTCTGGTTACATTTTACGGCGTCGCAGGATATACGTTTTACTTCCTTACAGTCCTGGGTCTCATCGTCCTTCGTGTCCGCGAGCCGCATCTAGAGCGGCCTTACAAGACCTGGATCTCGACGCCGATTATCTTTTGTTGCGTTAGCCTTTTTCTTCTGAGCCGCGCTATCGTCGCCGAACCGCTACAGACTCTCATTGTGATAGCATTTATCATCGCCGGTGTTCCTGTATACTTTTGGCGCATCTATAAGCGAGACGGGCAAAAGGCGTTTCGAGGGTGGAAATTTTGGCAAGCACGATGATCACGAACGACAGTTGTTACTTGCTCTCGCTGGATTCATTTTCAATCCTGCTAATATTCCTTCTAATTATACTATTTTCCCTTTAGTGAAACCATTCGCATTCCGGGTGTATTATGGAATCAAGGGCCTCAAGCCCTTATGTTACTTACGAACTTTATGGCCTGCCAATGTTTTTGGATGTTTTTTTTTTTTCCTTTTTCCAGATTTTCAGCACATGTATTTATAGAAATTCGGCCTCGACTGGCGACGATAGACCGGGAGATCAAGGGCATATTCTGTCCATACTTGCTTGACAACAAGATGAATGGATGGATGGCGGTGCCGAGTGCCTTGGAAACATGTAGGAGACCACCACTACTTTTGCACGCACGCGACTCCAATTTTCCAACCACTTGCCCAACCTAATCTGACCATTGTCGTGGAGAACGCCAACGAAACCCCTCACTTGGAGCGGGTATCCACCATGAATTCCCTGGCAGAGGTATTATCATTACGATCCAAGGACAACTCTTATATCCCTCCTCGCGCTAGGAGCTTACAAAGCTCAAAGCAGCAACTGGGAGTTCGTGTCTGCGTTATTTCACCCCACCTTCTTCAGTGCTTCCGCACCTGCAGCTATTTTCCAGCTATTTCAGAACGATGGGCAGCCTCCAGACATGGGAACAGACGGTTTCCCAAAAGCGCGCTCTACGGGATCAGGCTCTGAAGCCTTACCTGGTGACCGACATTGACGCACGTTCACCTCGAGTCCAAGATGTACAGAACCTGTCTTGTTTTACGAATGACCCATTGGCCCAGGAGATCACAGACATTGATATTATCCCGGCTCTAGTAGGGAAGCTGCAGAAAGGAACCTGGACCGCGGAGCAAGTCATTCGTGCGTATATACGAAGGTAGAAGGCCTTACTTGTTTGTTGAGTATCTTAGAATTGCACGTTCTGACTTACAACGATAGGGCTGTGGTGGCTCATCAAATTGTGACTCAAGTGACTGCTAGACTTTCGTATAGCCTAGCTGATCTGCTATTTTCCAGACAAACTGCATTACCGAGGTCATCTTTGACGATGCATTGGTTCAAGCGCAGGAGCTTGACCGGGAATTTGAGAGAACTGGCCGGCTCAAGGGTCCTCTCCACGGAGTCCCCGTGACAGTGAAAGACCAATTCAACGTCAAGGGCCATGACTCTACAATCGGCTGCATTGGCCGGTCATTCTCTCCCGCCACAGAGGATGCGGTCTTGGTTCAGATGCTGAAAGACATGGGGGCCGTCATTCTGGGTAAAACAAATCTGCCGCAGAGTATCATGGTATGTTTCCTCTAACCAAGGCAGTGATCCATTCAGCAACAGCTGACGGAGAGTAGTGGGCTGAAACAGAGAATCCTCTCTGGGGTCTCACGGTTAACCCTCGGAACCCTGCTCTTACGCCTGGTGGCTCTACTGGAGGTGAAGCTGTCTTGCTCGCATTAGACGGCTCAATACTTGGGTTTGGACGGATATCGGTGGTAGTATTCGGATACCCCAAGGCATCATGGGTTCCTACGGCTTCAAACCTAGTGTACGTCGGCAGCCCCTAATATCATCATTGAGCTGTCTTCTAAACCAGTAATAGAGCAGCAGATTTCCTTATAGCGGAGTCCCTGTTTCAACAGAAGGACAAGAACACGTCCCCTCTTCTGTTGGTCCCATGGCCCGCGATCTCGCCTCTATATGCTATATGAGCCTTGTAGCTGAATCTCGGCCCTGGAATCTCGACCCTAGATGTCCACCCCTTCTCTGGAACGCAACCGCTTTCGAAGACATACAATCTCGGCCAATGGTCATCGGCCTGATCATCGACGACGGCGTCGTCAAAGTTCACCCACCCATCGAACGAACGCTCTGCCAACTGGCGGCAAAACTCGAAAAATCCGGCCACGAGGTAGTCCCCTGGGATACCTCTGATCACCTAGGCTACATCAACCTCATGGACCAATACTACACCGCCGACGGAGGTGAGGATATACGCCGGGACGCCGCCGTTGCGGGCGAGCCCTTTATCCCGCACGTCGAGGCCCTCGTTAACCGCGGAAGTCCAGTTTCAGTCTACGAATACTGGCAGCTCAACCGCGAGAGGATGGACCTGCAGAAAAAATATCTCGATAAGTGGACTGCAGCTCGGTCACTGTCCGGGAAACCTGTCGATGTCCTTCTCAGCCCGACCATGCCACATGTCGCCGTGCCTCATAGAAGTGTACGCTGGGTTGGATATACGAAAATCTGGAATCTCCTCGACTACCCTGCTCTTACTTTTCCCGTGGATCAAGTGCGTGCTGAAGACATCCCACTGGATTATGGGCCAAGAAATGAGTTTGATGCGTGGAATTGGGATCTTTATGATACAGATGTTATGGAGGGGCATCCGGTCAATTTGCAAGTGGTTGGGAGGAAATTGGATGAAGAAAGGGTGTTGGGGGCTGCTACAGTTGTTGAGCGAATCTGGCGTAGTTGATATTATTCAGTCCTAGGAATGATATCTCCGCCACCCACATTCTTGAGTTTCATCGGTTCCCACTTCTGGTTATTGGGGCCGGGGGTTCGTACTATTTACTAGTACTACTTCTCTAGGGTGTTGGAGTAGTGAGGGGTAGCCGAGTATACTTTGTAATTCAGGATGTGCATCGAAACCACAGCACCAGAACTACAGCGAAGACTATACAGAGTCGGTGTGAGGTAAAGATTTAGCTAACATGACTCTCAGGACGACAACCGCCGACGTCAACAAGCGCATTTCCAGATGGCGATAAGAACAACGCCTCATGATACAGCTCCGATAAAAACCACTCAAGGTCCAGTCTCATAGTAGTAATCATCCATCAATTCCCACCAGCGGCAGCAGTCGACTCCGAAATCCTCTGTGTCACTTGTCTACTTGCCACCTATTGGGGAGCAACTCTCGAGGTTTATCCCACCCTTATGTAATAAGAGCTGCAAGAGCCTCCGAGTTGCAGACTGTATACTCCCATTATAGGAACTCCCACAATCATTCAATCAATCAGCAAAGACCACAAGTGTAGACGAGGTGAATATGAGCGGGAATCGAGTCCTTGTGTCCTATGGAGTCAATATCGACGCTGTCGCCGGCTGGCTGGGTTCATACGGGGGCGAAGACAGCGCCAATGATATCAGTCGAGGTGCGCAGACCACTTTCCTCCTCTCGCCTAGTCTATTTCCGGTCATTCTACAGATTATGAGAGCGCAGTAGGTCTCTTCGAGGGCCACGTCGGCACCGTCCGCCTCGTCAACCTCTTCAAGAAATACAACATCAAAGCAACCTGGTTCATCCCCGGCCACTCACTCGAAACCTTCCCTGGAGAGTGCGCCTTGGTTCGGGATGCAGGCCATGAAATCGGACTACACGGATACAGTCCGAGAACCCAACAGTCATGATCATCGAGCAGCAAAAGGACATCTTCGACAAGACGTACCGCATGCTGACCGAGTTCTGCGGCCGCTGGAGAGGGGAGAGGAGACGGGGCTGGTGGAGATTTCGGGGAATTGGTATATCGATGATTTGCCGCCGATGATGTTTATCAAGAATGCGCCGAATAGTCATGGGTGGGTAAATCCGAGGGATGTTGAGGATATTTGAAAGATGAGTACACTCTCCATCTTCCCATTAGTCCAAGACTTATCTCGAGGGTATAGATGCTATAATACTGTTAGGATCATTTGGATTAATTTTACCGCGAATATGATGAGTTTATCTTCCCGATGACGATTCATCCGGATGTTTCTGGTCGTCCACATGTTCTTCGCATGCATGAGAAGTGAGTTCTTGCGTGGTGTTATGAGTCGTCTTGCAACTAACAACCGGTAGAGACATCGAACATATCCACAGGCACGAGGGTGTGGAGTGGGTGACCATGGAGCAGATGTGCGACGACTTCAAGAGCAAGAACAAGCCTCCCGTCGGCGCTAAGATGCCAGCTGCTCCATTACCTATGCTCAAATAGTCAACGACTAGTAGAGACAATCAATAGGGTTCAGTTCATTTAGTTGTCCAGGGTTAAGCGCTTAGAAAGAGAAACCAAACCTCGGGAGCGGCTCAGCGGGAATATAGATATGACATTAAGATAAACACTGCGTACCAACTCCCCCTAACACCGAAATATGCCGGGATCAACCTCATTAATATTAACCTTAGGCCTTTGGTGGCTCAAACAGTTGTGGTTTCATGTTGATTTTGCAGAGCTTCGAAACACAACCGCTCAACTGGAGAAGCGACTGCACTCCATCCAGAATGCGCATATGCGTAAAACCAATCTCGCGGATGAACTCTAATTTCGAATGCTCAGACAATGTTGGGATCGTCTTGGTTACCTTGAACATTGTGCTGATTATATCATGAGACGAGTATCCCAAATCCCTATTCACCCAGTTAGCCAAGTTGACAAAAGACAGCTGAACAGGGCTGTGCGCACCATAGCTCATTCAAAGTTTCTAGAGCAGCATCAATCTTTCCTTCCCAGCAGGCTTTGATCATCGCTTGGACCTTGATTGGATGAGGGCTATCGACCACACGGAAAACGTTGTCTCCGCTGACCAAGCCAAATCCGGACCAAGTACTTTGCAGGTTATTGAGGGCTTGTCGCATATCACCCTCTGCGCTAAATACTAGCGCCGCCAGTCCATCTTCGGTATGTTCTACCTTTTCCGCATCGCAAACCTGTTTCAACCGCTTCACTATCTGTGCGTCTGTCAAGCGTGCGTAGCGAAGAATGGCGCATCGAGATTGAATTGGTTCAATGATCTTGTTCGATTGGTTGCACGCAAAAGCAAATCGTGTCGTGGATGAATAAATTTCCATCGTCCGTCGTAGGGCTTGCTGCGCACCAGATGTCATACTAAACGAGCGTAAGCCAGGGTAGCCATTTACACACAAGAATCGCTGCACGTTCACGTACCTGTCTGCTTCATCCAAGATGACAAGCTTGTGGCGACCAGGAGGCAATGTCACCTTTTTTTGAGCAAATCCTTTAATACGATTCCGGACAACATCAATACCTGCGATGGAGCAGAGTCAATATCTATATCTTCCGCAAATTGGTGACCCGACCGAACCTCTCTCATCACTAGCATTCAACTCCAAGACAGCCTCCTTGTATGCGTCGCCCAGTAATTGCCGTGCCAGACACAAAATTGAAGTCGTCTTTCCGATACCAGGCATTCCCGAGATGATAACGTGAGGCATATTTCCGTCCTTAGCGATGATCTTTAACCGCTCGACGGTTTCTGTATTGCCGACAACATCGTCTAAGAATACCGGGCGATACTTTTCAACCCTAGGAGCACGGTCAATTATAGGAGCTCTTAATGTTTAGCTCGGGGAACCCTTACCAAGGCAGCTCGTAGTCTGGAGGAGCCCCAGCGGTGTTGGCTTTGAGGGCATTTCGAGCAGCGCTCGCTGAAGATTCGGCCTGGGCCATTGTGTCGAGTCACTGTCGTAGTTGTACCAACAAAATTGTTGACAAGATGGCAATAATGAACGCTTCGGAGAAGGATCTGGGCGACGCGAACTTTGGCCCGCAGACGCGTCGGCCTTGCAAAATAGCTATTTTACCTCTTTAGGTATGGTGTTTGTTGTGTTTGCAGTGTCTTCGACTCCCCTCCCCCAGCCATCCAGCCCATAAGTCTCACAGATCCAAATTCCGATATCAAAGATCATTCCTAAGCGAGACAACCGGACTTATCTGGATCTAATAACCTAAAATCAACCAGCTAAGCACCATTGCGCGGTTATCCTTAACTAACCTTACACTTTTCTATATTCTTGAAAACAACACTCGCTTTGAGATCATATCTCACTAATGCAATGGGAGCAAGCTCAGTCCGTCGCAACCTCTTCCAGAATCATCTAAACAGACGGCCAGTAACCGTCTCGACATCCGGCAATGGGACATCCGGCCTTTCTTCCCAGGTACTACAGTCCAATGCGCCGGAGCCTAGCTCTTCCCTTTCCGCAAGCTCAGTGGATGACGGAGAGATTGTTGTAAAGGACAAAAACGGTGGCTACAAGTTGGATATCCCTGTTCTGCCGCCAATTGTGGGCGAGGATGGAGAGGAGATGGAAGGGTTGGAGAGTGGGGAAGCCGGGACCTCTGCCGCTACAAATGGAGCCGACTCGGGACGAGGAGAGATGAGTGGGCGGGAGAAAGAGAGTAAGTTTTGGCCTTGTTAGTATTATTATGGATTCTGAGTGTCGCGGCCAGGCAGTTTGTGCTAACGGGTCTGCTTTGTAGAAATGGAAGCGAGCCTGGCTGAGATGATGTATCGGAAACGAAACAGGCAGATGAGCAGTGAACCGCACGGTGCGCCCACCACCTTCGGAGCACCTAGGCGTCTTTTCATTAATACTAACTCTGGCAGAAATCCTGGACCTTGTTTACCAGAGCCTCCGAAATAAAGTGGCCTCACTGGAGGAGGACAACTGGATGTACGAGTCCGAGCCCGATAACCGTGTATAGCGACAAAATTGCATCTGCCAGCACTTATTTTCATACGACAAATCGCATCCGCCAAATGCTATCTAATCAAGCTCCATGGTTGATGGTGGCGCCTCGACTTCCCTCGGCTGGCTCCTCCCCTGCGGTCTCCTGCCACTATCCTGGCCACCTCCCCCAAACAACATGCTCCCCATCATGTCCAGCAACGGGTTGCCCTGTCTAGGAATCTTGATCGTGAAATACTGCTCACCAATTTGAGCGAGCGCATCATCCAAGATGCCGACCTCCCTGATCTGCGTGGCATAGTGCGCCGTCAATTGCTTATACAGATCTGCACTACCTCGCTGGGTCGCGAGCAACAACAAGTTGAGAAAGTTGAGTAGTGGAAGGGCTGGGAAGACTCGCACGTCGGAACTGGCGCTGCTGACTTCTTGTACGCCAAGCGACGGGTTCGCGGAACAGAGTCGGGAGGTAAATATAAGGAACGCCTTGTTGGCGCTGCGCAGGTTCCCAATTAAGAGGAATGGAATGACGGCGCGCAAGGCATAGATGCCAGCAGTGTGCGGCTCGTCATTTGTGTACCACTCGTACTCGAGTTTCGCAAGCGTCTCTGCCGATTCGGAGGTGCCGAGGACAAGATGCTTCTCGGCCTCATAAGGCTCATTGTCTGCGGTGATGGCTGGTTAAACAATGTCCTTTGTACTTAGTTCGGAACTTCGGCCACCTTCTTACCTTCGGCGTACAGCGATCCGGCAGCATGGTGTAACTCAGGATCTCCTCGTTCCACGGGTCCGAAGCGTCCACTCCAGCCGATCATCTCTTGAATGAATCTCTTGCGCGTCGGTTCTTCGGACGGGAATTCACGTAAAAGCTCAATCAGACGCTCTGTAGTAGACAGGTTAGCACTGGATTATCGAAGTAATTTGAAGAGGAAGTTCCGACTCACTCTTTCGAGCACGCCCGTCCGCATCGTCATCACCTCCCACAATCTCCCAGCCAGCTTTGATGTATACTTCGACCACCAGCATGATAGCTAAATCACCTCCGCTAGCCGAAGCTCCTTGCTGCGAGCCTGCCCTGAGGAGGGCGGTAGCACCCCCAGCCAATATCTCTGCCGCCGCATCATAGTTGTTTTGTTTAATGTACCGCGCACCAATTACTCGTAATTGCTGATGAGCTTCGTAGTAAGCGCCGGAAGCGATCCTGCCAGAATATAAACAGGCGCAAGTTAGCTTATTCCTCAGATGCCTCTGATAGGAAGAAATAGCGGGGGGTAGGGGGGT